ACGGGCGGTCAGCAACACCCCATCTCGAGGGGACAGAGGTCACATCATAGACCTACGTGGTTGAGCAAGGGTCTCGAGATAACCTTCCCCAGGCTGCAGGTGCATTTTGTCAGTGAACCATGAGAGCCCTGCGTTTCTCCCGTGCTCACCGTCATTCTCCGACAACCGGGAGACCAATCTGGAATCAACCTGCCGAGCAGTTCCTCGTGGCCAGGACCCAGCTTTTTCAGCATGTCGACCCTGAAGATTTTTTTGGCAGCTTCATTGTCCGCTGTACCACGCAAAAAGACCGAGAACTTCTTGCCCATCTTGGACTCCAGTTCTTTGCGATAGGCGAGATGGAACTCTTCGTCGTCCCGGAAGGACTGTTTCTCGTCCTCGGCGTAGTAGTGCCTGCCAATGATGGCGTCGCGGTCGGATGTCTCCAACTTGTGCGTATCAGTGGGGATTTGAGGAGAGATCCAGAACCTGTTCCGCATGAAAACAGTCAAGGACTTTGCTCCTGCAGCAGCGTCAGCACGACAGTCGAGTGGTAGACACAAAGACGGACCCTTTGCGAGGCTTGGGACCATTTGAATAGAGCTTGAGCCCGTCCCAATGACGGCGACTCTCTTGTTGGTTGCGTCAATTGTTTCGTCCCAGGCAGCCGAGTGCGCCAGCTTGCCGCCGAAGCTGTGCAAACCCTCAATGGCGGGCCCTACCCTCAATCATCAGAATCTCTGGTGTCAGGAGGCTGGCACAATGTAACTTACACTTCCACTTGTTGACGACCCCAGATCCGTTGATCAAGACATTGCACCGGTCATGGAATACATGGCCGTTATGTCGCACCTCAACATCCCCTTGGAGAGTTTCCCGTCGTCAGCGATTTCTCCCATGGGAAAAGAGTGACGCTGGCGACCATGGTAGCCATGCACGGCTGACTCACAAGTTCCTTCAAGGTCGTCCCAGGTTGCGCTAAGGACTTCGTGCTCGAGTTTCACAAAGGGTTCTAACTCATACTTCTTGTAGAACCTCAAGAAATAATCCTGGATCTCTCGACTACCGGCGTAGAATGCAGACCACTCCGTGTTCGGCTCAAACGTATATGTGTAGCAATGTGCGGGAATGTCACAAGCACAGCCTGAGTCGGAAGAAAAAGTGATACAGTCAGCCTGCTCAAAGACATGAACCGTAAAGATGAGCGATTTGACCAACCTGGATATCGATTTTCCCACCAAGTGCCTCCAATTTCAGGGTTCCTTTCGAGAGTTAGCAGGATGATAATTGTCATTCGCCGTCGGGAACTGCATGCGATTACTTTTCATAAAGAACGAGTTCGTAGTTCTGAAGCATCAATCTGGCCTTATAGGCCATGAGAAGACCTGATGCTCCTGCTCCGACATGTATAATCTTAATATGGTCCGGTTTGGAGTGAACTTGGTCTGCGATATCAATGACTGGCGGTGGCGGGTCCAGGTGAGGCATCTTCTCGAACTGGCGCTGGAAGATTGAAAATGACTTTGCAATGTCTGGAACGATCAAAATGTAGTCAAAAGTGGTTTATATCAGCAAGCGCGAAAGGGAAGGCTACATGGCGGTCATAAGTGAGTGCTATAAGATGGGCTGTGGATACGACTGCCCTGTTACCTCCCACCAGCCGATTACCCAACTTGTTAGTCGTTCCTTTCGCTTAACTAGGCTTCCTGGCTCCTTGAAGAAAGCCAGAGACCATCTGCAAAGGTTGGACATGTTGTTTTCTCGACCTCGGCGCGAGATTGCAACAAGAATGCTCACTCCTCCACGGCCACTCTCACCTCAGACGCTTCCGCGGCATTTCATTCCGAGCAATCCATTCCGTAAAATCCAGAATCATCTCCCCTCCACCGGCAGAAGCTCCTTTCACAGCATTATGCCCTGGCACGGAGCAAGAGAGCATTATGAAAGCGAAATAGTCGACCATGTCATTTGTGACAGTATCTGTCTAAGTTGCGCATCGATGTGGGAGCTTCTGAGCAGAGTGGGGCGCTGAATACCCCGTCTCGAACAGACAGTTACAGACGAGCCCCTCGCCGAGGAGACCTATGTCGATCCTCGAAAGTGACCAGCTACAGTCAAAATCGACAGCTTGGGGAACTCATACATCTCGTCTTAGGCATTTTCAGCATGATGACTATTTAAATGTTGTAAGCCACATACAGAACCTGAAATGGCCTCACAAGGCTGCCGATCATCATCGGTCGCTCTACTCCCCTGCTTTTCTAAGACGATATGTCTTCAACGCCATCAAAAGCTTCTGAAATTGCTCTTCATCTCCATTCGATGGACCTACACAGTTTGCTGTCTCAGCCAAGATAGGGCCCTCAAACTCCGCACATTGGTTATTGGCCACGAAAAGCGAGTTGCCGTGGTATTGCGGATCTGTTGCTAATTTGCCCACCGCGAGGGCAATCGCGGAGGCGGGCTGGATCGGTACACCCACCGATTTGAATGTGTCGAGAACGCCTGCGGTGATGGCAGACTGCGTCCACCCGGGAGCGACCACGTTGAGACGAATTGGAATCTTGGGATACAGCTGCATCTTCATGGCTCGCAAGAATCCAACAATGCCGTGTTTGGCGGAGGCTTGGCCCGCTCGGTCAGTATATTTTGGCAAATGGTAAGGAACGTTGGAGAAGTAGGGGACAACTACTGACTGTAGGATGCTGAAGTCACTCCCTCGTAGCCAGCCCCGGACGCAGTCATGACGATATTCCCACCCGGTGGCTGTTGTCGTTGCATATGGTAAACCGCCAAAGCGACAGTGTTCTGGCATCCAAACAAATTGATCTCGATTGGACGCCGGCTGGGCTCCAGAAGCTCCCCTTCGTGTTCCCTCAGGTTCACGTAGTCCGTCACGTCGGCAACTCCAGCGTTGGCAAACACAACGTCAATCCGTCCGTAGCGATCCATGCCGGCTTGGAACACGCTCACGAGATCCTTCCACGATGAGACGTCGGTTTTGAAGTAAAGAGCTCGAGGTCCCAGTTCATCGGGGGGCTTTTGAATGTCTGCGACGATGACCGCGCGGGCGCCTTTGTCTAGAAACAATTTTGCTGTCGCGAGACCAATCCCAGATGATCCACCTGTGATCAAGGCTACCTTATCCTTCAAGCCCTCGAGCTCTAATTCATCGATCTTGAAGTAGTGCATTGCGATTACAGTAACCAAGAATGAGCACAAGGGAGACTTGGCGTCTTTGAGAACGACTTGGGCAGCTTTTGGGCTAATATAATGTTCGAGCTGTGCGTTGATGATGGATACTGTTGAGGTATCCACTTAAATAAAGAAACTGCTTGGGGCCATCAAGACAGCAAGTTAACAATCTCGAGGGACAACAACGGAAATCCCAGTTCCTGAGGTATTTCTGTTAGGCACAGAGCCTTGGATTATGTGTATAGCGATAGCAAGGGAGTCGCTTAAAGGAGAGAAGGAACAAAAACGTGATGGAAAACAGGACTGTAGACAGACCAACACATAATTCACGACACTTAGTGCCAGGTATTTTGGTCAAACTTGTCATTTCCTCGCGCCGAGGCCTACTGCAAATATACCTATTAATTCGGCCCTCAGACATGGTGGATCAAGCTAGTTCCAATACACAATTTACACTCTATCACAGTGGAAGCTCCGAATACCCTCTGTCCAAACGGGTGTTGGTCCGAAAGGAACTCCCTAAAGGTCCGCGGGAAATAGGACCGGAACAGAGTTGTCGGCTTGAGGGAAGCGCTTCCCGGCGATTTCTCCAGCGGTGCAGAGTGTGCCGCTAAGTAGACCGCCAGCAACATGTTGCCTCTTCCAGAATGGTCACTCTGCGGCTCCGTATTCTATCGTATGTCTTTTCATGTCCCGTAAGAGTTGCTCAAACTGCTAAATCAATCACAATTCCGAATAGCGACCCTTGCTGCCATAATCCCTTTTAGAAAAGAGATCAATTGCAAGAGTCTCAATTGTGGGCCCTCACTGGGCTCGGCTGCAGTATTCGTGAATAGACAACAATGCGGGGTATGCCCAATCACACCCGTACGCAAGCTGCAATTTCCAGAGGATGCTGTGCAGAAGCGCTTTATGATTGTCCTGTTTTGAGGCTGCTGTTAGACAAGCGAAGAGTGCGCACACGACTGCGACCCCCTGAATGCTGCCCGCAAGGCTGAGGATGGCGCATATCACGTGGGTTCTGCAGCTTCGCAACTCAAAGCGTCGCTGCCCATATTGACAGCATGAGATTCATTTGCGACAGCGGTCGTCTCACCACGGCCGCCACGTGCATTACCCATTGTTGACCATGGAAACTTGATTTTCAGGAGAGTCGCTTTCGGTGCGTCTTGACAGCCTGGTTTTTGGTCTTTGCGGCATTAAGATTTTCCGAAGTTTATCCTTAGACCCTCGGCTAACGTTCTACATATGGCTTACTAGAGTCGTACGGAGTAGCGCGCGCGTGAGCTCCGACATCGCGACCTGCATGCAGCCCCTCGCTAACCAAATGTCGCCGCTGACCAGCCCAAAAAATTTATGTCCATTGCCGGTATGCAGCAGGCTTTTTCCTTCTCAAAAAATCCAGCATGTCGACTCTTCGCTCAGTTCAACTGGGGAGATATCACTCCAACTTGGCGGATTCGTTTCGCCCTCAGATCCGCTACTGCTCGGTCCGAAGCGACGAACTTCCACTACACCTACTAGCCCTCGATTCTTCCCGATCGTAAAATCCTGACTCGTGTGCTATCTTTTCTCAACCCTCCCCATCCCGCCTGTACGCCTATTACCATGTTATTCTAGGTATGTTGGAGCCCCTCCACTCCCCCCTCCACTGCAGGATGATCCCATTTTGTATATTTTATTAGATGTTAGACTTCATAAGCAGTTTTGCTGAAAACCTTCGGGTCTGATGGTGGCAGAATCTGGCGCTTTGCACCGCAAGCACTCCGTTCGAGGATCTGTTTCGGCTGACATCTTGTCCAGAATTGCGCAGACCCGTGGTCAAAATGTGCGGTATTCTCGCTTTAATCCTCGCCAACACTTCCTCGACCGCCGCTGCCGTCGACCTGCACGAAGCCCTCTATCTCCTGCAACATCGTGGGCAGGATGCCTGTGGAATCGCGACGTGTGCGACTGGTGGAAGGATATACCAGTGCAAGGGCAATGGTATGGCGGCCAAAGTGTTCCATGATGGCGCAAGAGTAGTTGATCTTCCTGGTTTCATGGGTTTGGGCCATCTGAGATACCCCACGGCAGGGAGCAGTGCGAATGCCGAGGCGCAACCATTCTATGTGAACAGTCCCTATGGCATCTGCCTTGCGCATAACGGCAACCTGATCAACGCCCCCGAGCTGAAGCAGCACCTGGACTTGGCGGCTCACAGACACATTAATACCGACAGCGACAGCGAGCTCATGCTCAACGTCTTTGCCGATGAACTCAACGAGACTGGGAAAGCCCGTGTGAACGAGGACGATGTATTCGCAGCCCTCAGCAGGATGTATGAGAGATGCAAGGGTGGCTGGGCGTGCACAGCAATGATCGCAGGTTATGGGCTCATTGGCTTCCGAGATGCATTCGGCATCCGGCCCCTCGTTCTGGGATCAAGGCAATCCGCCGACGGCCCTGGCAAAGACTACATGATGGCTTCGGAATCGGTGGCTCTAGCCCAACTTGGCTTTGATGTCATACGGGACATTCTGCCCGGAGAGGCAGTTATCATCCAGAAAGGCCACGAACCGCACTTTCGGCAAGTCCAGCAACGCAAAGAATACGCGCCTGATATCTTTGAGTATGTCTACTTTGCCCGTCCCGATTCGGTCATGGATGGGATCAGTGTCCATCGGAGCCGGCAACATATGGGCCTGCGGCTTGCAGCACACGTCAAAAAGGTCCTCAGTCCTCAAGATCTGAAAGACATTGATGTCGTCATTCCTATTCCCGAGACCTCTGTCACTTCTGCATCGGTCGTGGCTGAAGCTCTGGGCAAGGAATACTGCCAAGGCTTTGTGAAGAACCGATACGTTTTCCGAACCTTTATCATGCCGGAGCAGAAAGCACGACAAAAGGGGGTGAGGCGGAAGCTGAATGCAATGGCCATGGAGTTCCAGGATCGCAATGTTCTATTAGTGGACGACAGCATTGTTCGAGGCACAACCAGCCGCGAGATAGTGACGATGGCTCGAGAAGCGGGGGCGAAGAAGGTTCACTTTGCGAGCTGCGCCCCTCCAATCACCCACGCACACATCTACGGTATCGACTTGGCCTCACCATTTGAATTGGTTGCCCACAACTATCACGGCCCGGAAGCAATTGCAAAACACATTGGTGCTGATAGTGTGATCTATCAGACTCTGGATGATCTGAAGGCAGCATGTGTTGATGCTGCTCGAGAAGCAAAAGCGCGCGACGCCCCGAGCAATTTCGAGGTCGGTGTGTTCTGTGGGACATACATCACACCCGTTGACGACGCCTACTTTGAGCACTTGGAACGAATTCGAGGGCAAACCCGAAAGCTAAAAGTCATTGACGAAGCCAGACGGGCAGTTGCCCAAGGAGTCGCCGGCGAGCACCAGATCCAGCTGGCTACGAATGGAGCGGTGGTCACGGAGAATGGCAAGGTGGTGCCTGCGGTCAATGGCAATGCACACCAGCAGTCCATTCAGACCGATGTCGCCGGCTCACACCGTGGTTCTGCCGTGTCCTTGGGCTTCGAGGATGAAAGTCCGACTGTGCGAGATCGCATGGACATTTCCTTGCACAATCTGGGAGATTTCCCCCGAAATGAGTGAAACTGAACGGGCCGGCACATCAAAGGGTGGCATTAGTCTGCATTTATGGGCGTGCAAGCGGAAGATCATAGAAGGAGGTAGTCTGTCCAGATTCAGACGAAGGATTTCTATCCCATGCAACTGTCCAGAGGGCATATTGAGAGTGACCTCTCTTTTTTGGTGGGCGCTTTCCATCTCTTCTGGGAGAAAGAGCAGGTGCCACTGCCGTTGTTCATTCATGCACCAGGCGCTCCTACCCACTCATCAGGAGTCATGTTGCCAAGGAGTCTATATTCCCCCAGCTCTTTGCAAGGCTCCCGTTCTCCCTTTTCTTCATCTTCAACTCACTTCCCTTGCCCTGCGCCCAGATTCCTTTGCTGTCTCTTTGGCGTTCTCCGACCCGTTGCTCTGTTCAGTTATCGGTGAGCCTGTCTATCATAACGTCGCCATCATGTATTTCCTGTTCCTTCTGCTCAGTGCGCTCCTCAGCAGCGGTTGTGCTCAGTTATACACACCCACGGGCAGCAATGGCAATGGCGACATCACCCAGCCAGGCCCGTGTCCCGCTTACTTACCCCCCTTTCCCGGCTTCGAATTCCCTCATCTGATGGTACCAATTTCATCCACCAACCCTAACACTGCCTTTCCCAACACTAACACCCCATACGTCACGGCCGCGGACATTGAAATGATCTTCAACTTTGACATTCCTACGTCCCGCAAGGGCCAGACTTGCACCATGGAATTCCTGTTGCCGAACAAGACTGAATTGAGCACATCTTCGTTTGAGGTCGCAGGAGTTATTGGGTCATACGTTTTCTCTCTGTCGGTGCTAGGTGGAGGGGCAGTGGAGGGCAACACAACATACAACAATCAACCTCTTCAAGCCAATCCGCACGGGTTCCCAAGGACCCTACACATGGAGCCGGGACACGCATATGCAATTGGCAGCACCATATGCGTGCCGGGCAAGATCAGCATCACAATGAGCAGCCCTGACAGCAGTTTGACGTGGTTTCAAGACTGGAACCAATGTGCAATTGGGATCTTCATCACCTATTCGCCATGAATATGACTTGTGCTTGGGAGGGGAGATTACACAGTGCTGGGAGAGGTTCGCAGGATCCCCAGCCTTGTGGCTAATTAGTATGGAATATGGAGTGGCATTCTTTGGGATGGATATTAGTTAAGGTTAGGGCGGCGAGCGGGTACCTTAGCGAAGGCCAGCCATCTGCATTTCTGGGTTGCATGAACTGGGGTGACGGAGGAGGCTGGGGCTTGCAGTAATACTAGGCTTACGGAGCACTCTGTTCGGCGCACCCAGCTGCCTAAATTGGGGCCTAGACGCCGCCTGGCCATAGGCTGGTTAGGTGGTTGTTGTCCCGCAAGCGCCTATCAGGAGGGGGAAAAGGCCCCAAGCAGGCAGCCCACCATCACCAGAGTTGCCCGGCAGAGTGGAACAAACTCTCGTCCATGGTCCTCATCCCAATGCATCTCTTGTTTCGGTAGCAATGAAGCTCACTATTGCATCCATCTACCATTCCCTGCCTCCCTTACACCACCTCGATTTCTTCCCTGTACGTATTTTGTCGCCGCCGTCAGAATTTCGATCCCGAGCTTCCTGCCTCCTGTCTACACCTCGAGTCGATGGAAGTCTCGTTACAAGAACGCACATCTAGACGCAGGCGACCTTGCCCAGCACTTGACGCCAGGGTAAACAGCAAGCGCCGACAGCAAGACTCGTACACCATGTCATCTTGACCTTTCTCCGAAACTCTCTTCTCGACATTATAACCATGTCGCGGCCGCCTGCTGCTCGCTCTTCGGTCGCATCTGGCCTTGCGCCTCCACCACCTCCAGGCTATCCCGTCAGTGCCCATGGCTCAACTGTCTTCGCTCCTCCTCCCCTCTCTGCCGCGCCCACAAACCTAAGTCGTCCACAATCACGTCTCGAGCCACCTCCTCTGGCTTCAACAATGGGGCCTATGCCTGGCACGCTTGAAAGACCCATCCATGGCCCCAAAAAGCGCCTGATCGTGACCTGCGACGGAACTTGGCTCGACGCTGACAACGGCCTTGTAAACGGGCATAAACAGCCCCCATCGAACGTCTCGCGCATAGGTTGGGCAATCAAAGACACATCGCGCGACGGGATCCCTCAAATCGTGAATTACCAGGCTGGCGTCGGAACCATGGGTGGCCCCGCGGCACGTGCAGTCGGAGGAGCCACAGGGTTGGGGTTGAAGGAAAATATGCGCATGTCATACACGTACCTGGCTGTGAATTGGCGCTCCGGCGACGAGATATTCCTCATGGGGTTTTCTCGTGGTGCGTTCACGGCGCGGTCGGTGGGCGGCATGGTCGGCGCATTGGGTCTACTCACGCGAAGCGGGCTGCCTTATTTCAACGAGATTTTCGAGGACTGGGAACACCGCGCCGACGATCGATACGTCTCACAGTTTCCTGACATCCCATTCCCCGAGAAGGGAAGATTTGACGACCGCTACGTGCAGGAGTTGGCGCGGCGTGGATTGACAACGTTGAACGTCCCGATCAAGGCGATGTGCTGCTGGGACACGGTCGGTGCTCTCGGTATCCCTCGCGTGCCCTGGCTTGAGAGTCTGAGACTACAGCCGCGCGGCATGCATGCCTACGAATTCTACGACACGACATTGCACCCGTGTATTGAGAACGCGTTCCAGGCTTTAGCGCTGGACGAACGAAGAGCTCCGTTCACTCCGGCGTTGTGGGAGAAGCGGGACAATCACAGGACGAATCTCGTCCAGTGCTGGTTTCCGGGAGCACATAGCAACGTTGGTGGCGGCTACGAAGACCAGCAGCTGGCGGACATCACCTTGGCGTGGATGATCTCGAAACTCGAACCATTCCTGGACTTCAGGCCGAATTGTCTGATGGGACTGTGGGAGGAAAATCGCACTTACTACAAGCAAACGAGACAGAAGACGAGATGGTGGAGTTTTGGCGAGATATTCGATACCGTCAAGGGACTTTACGCATTGGCCGGCGCGAAGACGAGGACTCCTGGGAATTACTTCCGCTCGGACCCTAACACGGGACGGACTACCAGCAAGAGATTACGCGGGACCAACGAGTTCATCCACGCCTCTGTGCGCGCGAGACTGGGGCTGCAGGGCCCGGGAGTCCAAGATCGTGGCAACTACGATCCACCTGCCCTACGAGATTGGACGTTCGATGTGGAATATGTCGGACCGGGGCACGGCGGAAATCAAGATGGATTGATGGTGATGTGGAACAACCACGGGCACTCGTTGCGGGGGAAGGGGGAGAAAGGGGGGCAGGACAGGATCCCCGAAGAGAAGCTGTCCGAAACCGAACTGGTGCTCTTGAGGCAGAGTCCTCGTGTCTACGACTATGTCACGCAGTTACGGCCGACTGGTGGACCGGGCGGGAAGAGGAGATCTCGAAGACACGGGCAGAATGGTATGCCGAACGGACCGGGTCCGCCTCCGCCAGGAATGAGCCCATACGGAGTGGGTGGAATGCAACAGCCCCCGCCTGGGTCTTTTGTTGGAGGCCCTCCGCCACCGCCTGGGGGCATGAACGGGAGACGCAGTGGAAGGTCACTGAACGCCGACGCCTCGCCGGATAGCGACGACAGTAGGGAACGCGACAGGGCGAGACGGCACCGGAGACGACGAGAGAGCGGAGATGCAGATCGCCATAGACGGCGGCGCAGTCGCAGGTATGATGATGATGAGTAGAGAATTGAGGGCTGAGAAGGGTGTTTTTTTTTTTTTCTCTTTTCGCTTTCTTGATTGCAAGGCAACGAGGGATGAGAGCAATAATGGCATCGCACCGTGAATGAGGATTAGGGAGCGTCAAGACGATGGTGAGGGTAGCGAGTGGTGGATGGATATCATGACGATAATGACGACGATACCCAGATGACATACTGCATGTGTTTGCATTTAGCACGGGGCGCATGTACAAGCACCGGCGCAGGTACTCCGTAGATGACAAGCAAAGGGCACGAGCGATCATAGGACACAAACACATCCAGGCACGCACAGAGCACAGATACCGTGAGTCGTGAGTCGTGAGACCAATATGCAAATGGGGCTGGGTGGTGCTCATGGGAAGAACGGGTGGTGTATTTTGTCTCGTCACGTGTGGGTATCAATTGCGCACTGGCTGCTGTAGCCTGCCGTATAAAATGGGACCGCCGGCTGTATGGACCTCCGTATCATCTCATTCTGCCCATTCAAACAATGGCACAAGGTAACAACATCATCATGATCGAAGCAATAAATCAAATGAAGCCAAAGGCACCAGCACAGCCCTGGCCCTTGGTCGGCCGCTGCCACAATGAACCTTTTCGTCTCGCCCGTGGCTGTGCCCCTGCAACAAGGACTGTCGAGTCCGCCAATGAATTGGGCCAAGTTTCTACCATTCGCTCTTGGTCGGGCATGGGGGCCGTTTTGTCGCCAGCCATACAAGCAGCCAACAGACTCAGCCTCACCATTTCAATCCCCCCCATTTTTCTCTCTTTCTCTTCTCATTCCGTTCTCAACCTCTCTCTAACCTGCCTACTGCCTTCTTCGGGAATAGATCGTTAATTTCAAGCCGGCAAAATATGCTGGACCTGGCAGTATCGAGGTCGACATCGCCGCTTAACAAAACGCAATATGTCACTGGCTGGAAGTCGGAGCCTGACAGCCGCGGGACATGGACGCTTCTGTACAGCTGTCTCTTCACCCTCTTCCTTTGTGTCTACTCGGCAATCCATATCAACATTCCTGCGCGAGGAGATTCTGGCAACGCTCAATTCTGGCGAAAAGTCAAATGGGTTGTGGTTGCAATCCTTGCCCCCGAGATTGTCCTATACTCGGCATGGCAGCAATACCACCTCGCTAGCTCCTTCTGCGCCGAACTGTACAACGTCAGACTCGAACAGGCCGGGCTGCCGCCGCTGTCGACGAAGCTTTTGTGGCAGAAGCTTACATCCATTTCCGGCTGGCTGGAGCTGTTGAGAAAGAGTCGGGCTCCTTCGGAGAAAAGCACTTAAGCTGAGGTGGTGTCGTCGCCAGCTCCCCCTGCGGTCTCACTCACGTACGGGTTTTATGTGGTTATGGGCGGCTTAGTCGTCGATGTTTCCGACATCTACGATCACGTTCAAAGAGTCACGTTGACGCCTGAAGGAGTGGTTGAGTACGCCAAAAAGTCGAGCTGGGAGCATTTCCACGTCGAAGATGAGATAATCAGGGATAAAAGCAAGGCAGACAATTTGGCGAAGCTGTTGGTCTTCGTCCAGGTGACGTGGACATTGCTCCAGTGCATATCACGTCGTGCAGTTGGCTACCCATTAACCATCCTCGAGGTCCATACTCTTGTGCACGCCCTTTGTGCCATGCTCATGTACGCATTCTGGTTCCGAAAACCGCTGAATATAAAGGATCCAACGATGGTGGATACTGGTGCTTCTCCTGAAAGGATAGCACTTGAGCTGATGAGGCAACATGGGTCTGCTTGCAAGCCGTTTACACGTTGGGAGGGGTCTCCCCGACTCGGCAGTGAAGGATCGCTTCCATGTGTGCTTTTACACTTCGATCATACATTCTGCGAAGCCTGTTTACTCATCTTCGATACACACCGGCAACAACTTGACTCAGAACAGTTATCCAACAACGACCCTACAATCATGTCCATCCTTGAACACATCCCTCCTAGACAAAATATGTCAAATAAAAGCGATAACTGTGTTAGCATCCAGCAGGCTGTGCCTACGGCGGCGGCAATACCACAGGCAAGGATTCTGGTTACAGGGCAAACACTCAGTTCAGGCGTTGGTCCCGCAGCTTGGTCGACGGCGAAGCCATCGCGAACCCGCTCAACCGTGGCAACCTTGTTTTTAATCCTCGAGGCCAAATTATTGAGATTGCACAGACCGGACCACGTTGGACCGGATGTTGTCGAAGTTGAACCAGACCTGAAGATCCTTCTAATACAGGGAGCTAAGACTGTAAGAGGGGATGCTGATTCAGTGCGCAACTTTCCTGACTGGCGGATCAGGAACAGAATCTGCCACAAGATGGCAATATCTCTATCTCGAAAAGACATGCTACGCTGGCAGCGTGCAGGAGTTGCTTATGCTCAAGAGATCTCAGAAATGGATCTAACTGAAGGCATCAATCTCGACCCAGCAAGTATCTGCAGATTGCGCTCTTTGCACGGTTTGGTAGATGGCAAAAGGACTGATCCGATGAACACCTTCGTCCTTCGATCGCCAAATCTCTCATCTGAGGCGGCATCCGATATTTTCGATATCGAAGATGGAGGTATGTTCTGGAGTGCGTCCTTGTCGTTGGGACTGGTTTCTGGGGCATATGCCGCTGTTCATCTGGCCTTATGGAACTATGGGTTCCCCACGGGGGTTGAAGGTCTCTTGTGGAAGATCTCATGCTGTACGCTGGTTGCTCCATTTGGCATTCTCATCTGCCTCTTCTTCGGCTTTCTACCCTGCTATGCAGTTTGGAAGTATATTGAAGAACTCTTCCATGACCCTCAACAACCAGAGAATCCCAGTCAGTCCCCGAAGACCGATCCGCGTGGAACAAGTTCAGGTGCACTTCAAGGCTTGAGGTTCACTGTGGACCTCCTGGTTTCCCTGGCGCTTTTTTGCCTCGCTTATCTCGGTCTGTTTCTATTCGGCGTTGTCATCTGTGCTGCTCTCATTCTATATTTATTTTCGAGGCTCTACATCGTCGTGGAGTCATTGCTGAGTCTGCGGCGCGTTGAAGCAGGCGTGTACGACACGGTCCCCTGGGTTCAGGCGTTTCCTCATTTCTGAGTCTGATCGATTCTGGACAGCGAGAGCGCGCGAGGCCTCCGGAGGACTTGGCCTGGTGATTTGGCGAGGTTGGTGTTATGGTATGTACGTACGTATGTATGTATCTCTCAGAGCGAATGCCGACCTAAGGACGGAGGACCTACAGTACTTATGTGGCTGAGAGAGAGGAGGGCTTTGAAGGTAAGGGGCCGCCGGGATTGAGGGAAAAGAAATCACCCTCTGCGTACTTAATATACATACATACATACATCCTCCATACATACTTTAGGAGAGCATCGAAGGAGACACGATCCAGGGATCACAAGTGGCGCCTCGTACGAAGTAGCGGGAGTTCACACATGGCTTTTGAAACACTCCATACACCGAGTACAGCCGTCACCATGGTCGTCTTGATCTCAAAGCAGGGCGCGAAATCTCTGCGTTAAAACACTCTTCCAGGAGAAGCTATCTGCGGACCGAGTACATACACACACAGCTACCGACCAGGCATGTTCGTTTCGCGGGTGCCTTTGCTCGGGCGACTGCGAATAGAAGACTTTTCTCGCCCAGGGGAATTTGTTCCGTCATCTCTAGATACACTCACACACCGGTATGCAGTGGCCTTGGCTGAGCACAGGGCCGAAATTATCGCTGTTCATCTATTGCCTTTGTGCTGCCGTGCTCCACGTGTGGCCGACCAACCCGCCCGCCCATAGTCACTCATAACATTTGCAGTTCATTTCCATTTGACGCCCAAAACACCATGTCACCACACCAAAAGCCGTAGTCGAGTCAAACCGAGCCAACTCACCTCACCAATGCGGGATGCAAGTTATCGGAAGGAAAGGGAATTGATCATGATCCGAGGGTCGCAGTGACGTCCTCATCGTCGAGCCTAGTCAACCCGCCGTCATCATAGTCGTCGAACGGCAAGCCGGCCTCGCGACATCTGGATTGCCACTTGCTGGACTCGGCCCACGCAGTTCTCGCCGACTCTTTCATTCGATCAAGCCGACTGGTCAGTTCTTTGATGGCGATGTCAAAGGTAGCGCGCTCATTGTCCCATTTGTTCTTCTCGTTGTGGAATTCCTGGATGTATTCGTATGAGCGTTGGAGGATAGCGCCTTTGTTCTTCTCGGTGCCGGGCACGATCTTGGCGATGTTTTCGATGCCTTCGTTGATGACCTCGCGACGACGGCGTTCAACTGAAAAACGTCGACGTCAGCGACTTGACTCTGCCAATGCAGGCTGCGAGCATATCATACCTTCTTTGTGATTGTCTTTACGAAGCTGATGCCACTCTGCGCTTCCCACCGTGGGCTTTCCCGGGTTACTGGCATTGGCGCCGCCACGAGCATCAACAAGAGCTTGAGCGGAACTCATACCATGAACGGGGGGGCTTCCGCCGTCAAAGGTGAATGGAAGACCGGCGCTGCTGTCGTTTGGGTTGGGTTCGGGATAGGTGGGTGGATTCATGCCGGGGGCTGCAAGAGCTGCTTGGGCAGTTCGAGCGTTATCATCTGCGAGTATTGTGTCACTCTGCAGAAGAAGACTGAAGCTGGTAGCATCATGCTCGCCATTCGTGTTGGGCACCTTGGATTCACGTCCGATTTCCTGATCGCCGACAGCACGTTTGCGCTTATTGGTAGTGTTACCAGTGGTGGAGGAAACCTGGGGGTTCGCCATTGTTGAGAGATTGGGTGTGGAAAGTGCGCTGCAAAGGTGTCAATGCTGGTATTAAGAGTTCCGACAATCAGGCACCGACCCGAATCACCGCGTTTGGCTGGCGAGGAGGGGGCAGCAAGGCGAAGTGCAGAGAGGCAGCGAGGGGGACTGTGGAGATGGGACCGTGGTCAACTATGATCGCAGGGTTAGCCATGGTCAACGGACACCACCTGGGTCTGGATGGGTGAAATAGGTCAGGAAAAAGCGGGATGAAGGCATGAGTAGAGAGATGGTGTGTTGCGACGACTTGTCACATGAGGATTGCATTTTGCGGGCTAAGGGGCGCCGTGGGTGGTGAATTGGAGCGCGTCCCTGGGTCAGTTGTCTCAGTCGCAGTGAAGCTTCGAGTTGCGTTCACTGTCGGCGCCGCTGAGCACCACAACTGCAAGCGCGTCGACTTGGTCCAGACGCGCTGAAGGCGCCCGTCCAGAGGAGTGAGAGTGAGATGGGCAGCGCCGCGCATGCTGGTCGCAGCGACATCACCACGATCAAGTTGCGCCAGCGCGCAGGCTGGGAAGCGGGACAGGGTGTTGAAGGAGATCAGGTGCCATCAGGTGACTTGAGGTTGAACTTACCACTGCTGAGCTGAAATCACAGTCGCAACACGGAGGACTGGGGTGTTTTTGGGCGCGAATTTGATTTTCACAAAGAGACGACACGGGCCCAGGGGCGCCGCGGGCTGCGAGAAATTGATGAGTGGTGGTTGGGGCAGTAGGACTGGAATTGCAGCATTCCAGGTTCAGATACTCGAGGCTTCGGGATTCTAGAGGGAAACAACGACAAGCGACAGGTGGCGGGCGGCGGGCGACGGGCGTCACGGGGGAAGAGGCGGTTCATGTGACTCGCCTGCTAGAAAGCCGCTTGTCCCAGAACCGCTTAGCGCCGTCCAAAGGTCCTCCCGGGCCTTGGCGCCCGGAAAAAAACAAATGGCAGGGGCCGTTCAGTGGCATGTGACAAGGCCCAGCTTCTCTTCACCATCGTCATCACCATCCATCACCGACCAGAGTCTGACCTGACTGTATCTCGTGATCAGACGTCTGACCCTCCACTACCTACTTGGAAGTATAGAAGGACAAGGCCTTGCAATGGACCCTCTGCGGCCATCCGGACAATCCATCAGTGCTTGTCAAACATCCTCACTTGAGAACCCTCATCTCCGTGTCTTATCTCGGACTGTTCCGGATGTGTCAGCGTCAAGACACTGGATATCATAAACACCCCCTTTCACAGCCGTAGTCTTTGTCGGATATCTCTTGGGTCCGAACATGGGAAATCAGTCTGACCTTTCAGCCCTCTGGAACTTCGGTAACATCATCGGCAGCAGTCGCTGGTGGTTCTGTGACCTGCTTGAGAGACACCGAGTAGGCTGGGGCGCTGTCTGTGTCCACCATCAGTATCCCTTCCTGGGCTCGTCCAAGGATATCCCAGATCCGGACCTGCCCATCCTTGGTCATGCCCATCACACAGCTGCTGCCCGCATACCTGACCTCCCCAATCCGCGGACTGGTGCCTTCCTCGCCGGTCCTGTTAGCGCAGACAACAAATGCCTCGGACTGTGCGCCTTGGGGACCAAATAGAGGAGTGAGCCTGTTGATCCAGTAGTTGATGGTGTCCCCGTCGGGCTCCGTCACCTGACTCGACAACTCCTCGGCATCCAGCCTTGTTATCCAAGCCATGCTAATGACAACCACCTTTGCACGAGCCTCGCGCGCGTGATTGCCAAATTCATACGCCGTCCACGGAGCCTCGAATCGATATGGGTTAATGTCCATGCAGATTCCCGCCGCCGCCTTGACCTGCTGACCCTTGCCGCCAATCGGCAGCACCCCCGCCCAAAACCCCTGGCCCTGTTGAGCCCATGTCTCGTCCGTGTAGTAGAGAAAGGATTTCCGGTAGTGGGCAACGACGTCCCCTGTAGAGCTGACAAAGACAAGCGAGTTGTAGGCGATTTTGCCTGTTTCCTCGACGGTGATGCGTTGGTCGTAGATAGTGTTGTAGTTGCCTTCCTCGGCAGCCTCGGGGTATCCTACGGCCACAGTGCATTTCAGTCGTTTGGCGGTGCGGGCCGCCCATCGAGTGGAAGGGCCTGCCGCCGTCGGCTCGAGAAATGGTGCAATGGCTGCGAGCGATGGGTGATTGTAGCCTGCCACCACGAATTAGCCCCCAACGGCGTAGGCTGTGCAGAACAGCAGCACCCATCCTTCTTCCATGCGAGCAGCGGTTCCCGCCTGGCGAAATCATCCCTGGGAACAAGGGTATCTACTACAGGTATTCCTGAATGACTCACCCGTGAATGCAAGTTCGGGAAGAACCAGGAGATCGACGTCCTTCAGAAGACCCTCCCTTTCTTCTCTCATCAGCAGGCTTTCCGCTCTGCTGAAATTAGCTGCGATCTCCCCCAGCCGCGGAGAGAATTGTAGAGTCGCGATCTTCATGTCGGCAGTGACCACAGCGACATCTCAATCAAAGGGCCCGAGAAGAGAAGTACCGGTCACAACAGAGGCATGTTGTCGCGTAGGTTAGCGAACTCTCAATGTCTCAGCGTAGATTATTTCAGGGCCTGAAGATATTGGAATCCGTGGGCTTCAATATAGATTGATACAAGGCGAGAGCATTTCATTCCTCTACCAAACTTGACTTGCGAGATGGTGGTTGATAAATCAGAAAGTCGAGCAGAATTGCGGTGGATGTGGCTACGGCGGAGCAGGAGAAAGTCTCGTTCTTCAGCCGCCACCAACAAATGCACCAAGCAGAAAGCAATGAAGATCGTAAGAGCGATTGATAGTTCTTAAGCAACAGCAAGCAATGCTCAATTGATCTGTCGCTGTTGCTTAAGAACTATCAAAACCACTGCCGGCGCCATCACAGCAAAATCTTCTGCACAGTCACGTGACCGTACAACCTGACCACCACGCCAGCCCACTACAGTACAATCATAATGTTTGGGTATATGTACTGCAGTCTTCGCAGCAATTCAGAAGGTACCCCCAGCCTTGTGACGCCACTGCTGCCACAATTACCACTTCAAGCGGCTTTTGCGCCCTCCTCGTCCTCAGCAGCATTTTCTCTCTTCTGCCTCTCTCTTTCCCGTTTCCTTTCTAATAGTCGATTCAACTTCTTGGCCACATTGAATACCCCTCCCGTTCCTGATCCGCAGGCGGCACACGAGGGATCTTTTCGATATCGCTTCAACGCGCATGCCTCACAGAAGTAATGGCCGCACTTCGTGACAATGGGGTTTGTATAAGACTTTTTGCAGATGATGCACGCAAACGGTATGCTCTCAAGCAGCTTTTCATCGTCTTCATCATCCTCTGTTGACTGAGCGTTGCGATTCGCCGATGCTACCATTTTGGCAGCCGGATTCTTTCCTTTAGTACTGATTTCCCAATCTCGATCGAGCTGCCAACCTTGCTTGTAGTCCTCGCGTGCATGGAGGAATTTGCAATTGTCGCCGAATCCACAAAATCCGGTTTGTTTGTAATCCTTGCAGACATCGGGGGCAAAATCTGTGACAGTGATCGTCCTCACGTTGGTCGAAGATTTGAGGGGCCCGACCTGTTTCGGAGCGCGATCAGGATTCTTCTGTATGAATGACTGGTAATTTGCAACGCCTTTATACGTCCCATCCGGAGCAGCCATATCTGGCCTCTTGGAAGAAGAGTTCTCGGGTTTTTGGTTGCCATCCTCATCATACCAGTTCGACGCTTTGGTAGCGTCGTCCCTGTTCGTAGCAGCAATCACGGGCGCCGTCGATTTTACTTCGGCGGGCGTCTCGCGAGTTTCAGGATTGACCTTTGACGATGCGGTGACGCCGGCATTCTTCCGTCTTCGCTTGATTTGTCTTCCCTCCTCGTCTTCGAAAGATGAAAACCCCGAATCCGAGTCATCGTCTTGCGGAGGAGTGGCGGCTCGCTTTCGAATGGTAGACTTGATTTTGGGATTTCTCTTTTTGAAGGTGACTTGCGGTGTCTCAACCGCAACCTGTGGGTCCTCCATCGTGAGTATGTGGTGAGAGAGCCAGAGGTGAGTGTTAGAAACGTAAACCGCTATCAACTGAGGATTTAAAGCACAGGAGGAGGCGAGGATTCTGGAAGCTGCGCAGACAGCATCGCAGGCGGTTTTCGGCAGTGTTGCTTGCATAAGCCAAGCAATTAACTGATCGACAGCGCTAAACTTTATTTTGCTGCTCGCCATAGTTGCCTCTTGTGGATAACCAGGTCAATTTCTCCGACTGCATCTCCAATCCGTTCAAGCTGCGCGCATCCTAAACCCGCGGATCAAGACACCAAAACAGCATGTGGCAGATTTAACCCTCGACCTTCTCGTTTCTTCCACCATGTTATTTGATCTCATGTTGCCTTGAACATACCTTCTTCTTCCTTGGGTGGCCTGTCATCCCCCAATCAGGCCATGGTAGACCATGCAGGCCCGGGTCAGCAAGCAGGGACTTCTGGAGATGCCTCTCCAAACCCCAGTCCGACAGCAGAGGAACGTAACCGACGCAAGATAGTCAGCTTCAAGGTCACCCATGTTCTTCTTACCCTGTTCTTCTTATGGTTGATGTGAGTCGTGCAGGCCACGCGTTGCGCCCGCGCTCAAGCCACAGGCTGACCGAGTTAGGACTGTACATATTGTTGGCATTCTGTTCTTTGCTAAAGGCTTTCTTCTCACCAGATTGGTGTTGGACAACAAATCCGAATGTGGGATACTTCCATCTGACAACCCTTCTCGGGAGACTGGCGGATGCTGGCATCCAAAGTCATTCGACCGAGCTGTCGTCATAATAATTGATGCTTTACGATATGATTTCACCATTCCTTCTCATCGTTTCTATACAGAACCTCAGAAAAAGTTCTACTTAGACAATCTACCCATTCTTCACCAGACCGCTGTATCGAACCCTTCCAATGCAATCCTGCTTCCGTTTATCGCCGATCCTCCGACGAGCACTCTTCAACGCCTGAAGGGTTTGACAACTGGGACTCTTCCTACATTTATCGACATTGGCTCAAATTTTGCTGGTACAGCTATCGAAGAGGATAATATCATTTCTCAGCTGAAAGATGCCGGAAAAACAATAGTACAACTTGGAGATGATACGTGGCATTCACTCTTTCCTGGATATTTCGATCCAAATATGACACGACCGTATGATTCTTTCAACGTGTGGGACTTGCATACCGTCGACAACGGGGTCATCGAGCATATTATGCCTTTGCTAGACCAGTCGCCTGTGCGGTGGGACGTCATTTTTGGCCATTTCCTTGGGGTCGATCACGCAGGCCACCGATACGGTCCTGACCATCCCGCGATGGCCGAAAAACTCCGCCAAATGGATGGTGTCATTCGGCAAATGATGGAGAAGATTGACGATACAACACTCCTCGTGGTCATGGGCGACCATGGCATGGACACCAAAGGGGACCACGGCGGGGAGTCTGACGAGGAGATCGAAGCAGCGCTATGGATGTATTCAAAGAAGCCTCGCTTCGGACGGATCGATGGGGCCGATACGTTGCCGCCGGCCACAGCGAAGGAGCGCCCAGTTGGTCAAATTGATCTGGTCTCAACTCTGTCAATCCTGCTTGGCCTCCCCATCCCCTTCAACAATCTCGGCAAACCAATTGCTGAAGCCTTTGCAGGCGCTGGGACGACAGACTGGGAAAATCTTGCCAAAGTGGAGCAACTGGTCCAGAGTCAGATATCAAGGTATCAAAAGTATTATACGCGTTCACGAGACCTGGGTCTGCCTGAAGAAGCATACACGAACCAAAACCGCTACATGGTCGATTCAATAGAGGCTACAGCGCACGGCAAGTGGAAGGACGCACACAATGCCCTTGTCAGCTGGCACAGAGAGTTGATATCCATGTACCGACAGCTGTGGGCCAATTTCAACTTGACCGACATGTTGATTGGTGTTCAGCTTTCCGGTCTCGGATTGGGGTTCTTGTTCCTATTTTCCTGCTTCTTGGAAGGAGACAAAGCTGGGTTGGCTGTGCATCTGATTAGAAGCGCCGGACTGGGTTCGGCACTGGGCGCTGCGGCAGGCGCTTTGACTGGACTATTTTTGCCTGCTCAATTCACGGTGGTGGCCGGTCTGATATTTGGCGCAGGCATCGGTGGCATCGTGGCCGCCAGTTTCTGGTCTTGTCAACACCTTTTTGCTCCAAAATCGTACCTACCGTCTGCATGGGGATGGCTGGCCTTCGTCTTCTGTGTGACCCAATCGGCGGGATTCGCATCGAATTCCTACACCATCCACGAAGACACTATCCTCCTCTTTTTCTTGAGTTCGTTCGGGATTGTGTCTCTAATCTCGTCGTTACGACAAGCGTCCACACCTGATCGAGTACTAGGCACATACCAATCGGTCGTCTTCATATTCCTCGCTCGAGCTGCATCATTCTCGCGTCTTTGTCGAGAAGAGCAGATGCCCGGCTGTCACTCAAGCTTTTATGCTTCGACAAATTCATCGACATCGGCCCCTTGGCAGCTTCTCATCCCTTATACCGTGGCTCTGATTATACCGGAAATCATCAAGGCGTTCTACAAGGGCACTGCATCGTATGCAGGGTCGGCCGGCTTTTGGATAGGCTTCAGTGTCCGTATGGGCCTGTTGCTTATAGCCGCCTATTGGACGATTGATGCTGCGGATAATGGAGACTGGCTGCTGGGGCGAGTCTCGCCAGCAACGCTCAAGACCGTCAGCATCACCCTGGCCAGGTGTGCCCTGGCAATCGCGATTCCTGTCGGGATAGGGACTTTTGTGTGGGCGAAACCGTGTATCGATATCTCAATAACCGAACCGACAACTGCGACTGATGAGACTGGCACTCGCGGCCGACCTCAATTAGCCGTCTTTGGCTATGCGAACGTCTTCGGCAGCCGTTATTTCATTATGATTCCGATCCTTGTCCTGGCAGTGTCACTGCTTCTGCCACCTATGGGTCAATATTCTATTGCTATCCTCACCTGGCAGATTTTGTGCCTTCTCGAGATTTTAGATACCAACGGACTTACTGCTACCTCTGCCACCAAATCCAGCATTGGCCCAGTTATGCTCGCTATCCTGGGGTCTTACCATTTCTTCAAGACCGGCCATCAGGCAACCTTGGCCTCAATTCAATGGAATTCGGCATTCGTCCCTCTGCGTACGATTCAATATCCTTGGTCTCCGCTCCTTGTTGTGCTGAATACCTTTGGAGCTCAGATCATCTGCGCGGCAGCGGTGCCGTTGACGGTCCTGTGGAAGAGACCGATTGACAAAGCAGGTCTACGTTGGTTATGGACCGATGTGCTTGGGGCTTGTCTCACGCATGCTCTGTACTATGCGACAATCCAACTCGCCACGACGATGTGGGCAGGACACTTGCGACGGCATTTGATGCTGTACCGAGTATTCATGCCACGATATCTCATGGCCAACGGGGTGCTGCTCATTGTGGATATGGTGCTGGCTTTCGTTGCCTTGGCTGGTGTGAGAGTTGTCGGGCTCAGCGTTGGTGAGGTGTTCGGCTTTTGAAGGTTGCGGACTACTGGCGCCGCGGAGGATCTGCAGGAGCCGAGAGAAATTCCACTAACCATGCTTGAACAAGGTCCGGTGTGCACCTGTATAGCTAAGGTCCTCAGTTAATCAGTCACTCTGTATCTGGCAAATGTGCCAAATGTGCAAACCTTCAGGCAGACACGGACCACGACTCGCCGCAGGTTGCACTTCATCTAAGGAATGTCGCCGTTAGTCACGCGATACACGGAAGGAGAAAAGCAAAAGCTGAGTCAGGAAAAAGGATGTACCATTCACAGTGCCACGAGTGTCATTCCCCTCAATGAACCTGTTGGCGGTTGATGCTGGATTTCCGAAAGCGAAGAATGGGGCGCAGGCGCAGAAAGCATCCCTGCGCGAGACACGACTGCCCTTACGTCATCAGCCAATCTCTGTTCCCCAATTGACCGAGCAGCTCCAGAGGCTCCAGAGGCATTCGCCGTATATTAACCAGCTGCGTTTGCTGTCACTGCTCGAAATTTTCACCTTTCCACCACTTCTCTTCTTCCTCAGACTCGTCTCAGAAGGCCTTTTCAGATCTTGCTAACGCCTCGCCTGCTCAACTGTCTTCAGGAGCCAAACCATCCTACGCCCCTCTGCCATACTCTGTACCCCGCATCCATTGAGAAAGCCCCCCCTCCATCCGCCACAATGCCTATCTCGGTGCCCTCCTCTACCTCTCTCCACGACCTGTTCAGCCTCAAGGGCAAGGTCATCATTGTCACCGGTGCCTCCGGGCCCACCGGGATTGGTACCGAAGCTGCCCGAGGATGTGCAGAAATGGGTGCCGACGTGGCCATCACATATTCGACTCGTCCTCAGGGAGGTGAGAAGAACGCCAAAGAACTCCAAGAGAAATACGGCGTCAAGTCCAAGGCATACAAGTGCAATGTTGGAAGCTACGAAGAGGTGGAGAAGCTTGTCCAAGACGTCATCAGAGACTTTGGCAAGGTCGATGTCTTTATCGCCAACGCTGGTCGAACTGCCGACAGCGGCATCCTGGATGCCCCTGTCGAGAAGTGGAACGAGGTCATCCAAACGGATTTGAACGGTGTCTACCACTGTGCACGAGCTGTCGGTCTGCATTTCAGAGAGCGCAAGACCGGCAGCTTCATCATCACCGCATCCATGTCTGGCCACATTGCCAACTATCCTCAAGAACAGGTCGGTCCTTACTTTTCATTCTTTCCGTATGGTGACTTGCATGTGCTGATCATTCAATTAGACGTCCTACAACGTCGCCAAGGCTGGCTGCATCCATATGGCACGCTCCCTAGCCAACGAATGGCGAGACTTTGCCCGTGTGAATTCGATCTCTCCTGGCTACATTGACACCGGTCTCTCGGACTTTGTTCCTCAGGACATTCAACAGTTGTGGCACAGCATGATTCCTATGGGCCGTGATGGCAAGGCCACCGAACTCAAGGGTGCCTATGTTTATCTTGCAAGTGATGCGAGCTCCTATACCACCGGCACCGACATCATTATTGACGGCGGATACTGCGCCCGATAAATGTATAACTGATATAAAACAGGCGGAAAGCTAGTCGGTCGAGGAGCATTGAAGAGCTGGAAATATCAACGTCAAGAAATTAGCCTCAGCCAGGCCGCCTGCAAGATGAAATGTGGCTGCAGTGAGCAGCACTGACATGTGCGACAAGGCTGGGCTAAAAAAAATTCCCGTTCAGGAGTCAAATCCTCTACCAAACTCTCTGGCGAGCCAGGTGAATATATCATATATTTCCAAACGAACAAAAGGCTATTGTGGCCATCCTGCGAGCAGTAAACCTGCGGCTTCTTTTGGTTCTCTGCACTATTTTTTCTCAATCATCTTTTTTCAGCCTCGTTTTACAATACCGAATGCCGAGTTTCGGTCGCTTCCCAAGCCAACGCAAGATACACTCGGTTACCGAACCTCAGGTCACGTCTCCCCGACTCCCTGATCTCTTTCCTGATGATCTTCCTCTCCAACGCGACTGGCAGGTTTGCTACTCACTCGATTGCTTCATCTCCTCCTTTCGAGCAGCTAGCTCACTGGCACCTTTGACCAGGTGGCTGAGGTCGCCCACAGGGATATTCAGCGGAAAATCCACGGCGGCCAGCAGCTGCGCCGTCAGGAGGTACCAACCCAGAAGGCAGACGGCGAAGAGCAAGCCGCCGGCCGCATGCTGACACTTCAAAGACACGGCTGCATTACCTTCGGCTAGCTCCCAGTATACAGCGGCCATCAGCCCAAATGCCGGGACGAGCGAGAGGAAGATGAGGACGAAGCAGATGTTGGTCCTCAGAGAGCAGATCAAGTAGATGAAGCAGAGTACGCCCATATATATCATGAAGAAGGCGAATGTGTTCGCAAACGTCGGGTTCATGCTGCTCGTGGCCGGGTGGCTTGGGTCGTAAGCGATCGAGGCGTGGTAGAAGGGCGTCAATGTCGCGGCCCAGCCGAGCCAGAAGGCGCCAAAGGATCCAAACACCACAAAGGGAAATGTGTTGCCCAGGATGAATTCGAGGACCGAGCCAATGATCATCAACATGCCTCCGAAGAAATAGTATACGCCACTGTTTCGTGCGCACCGAGCGATGTTGGTTAGTTACCGTTCTCTGTGAGTGAACCAGAATGGGAGAACAGGACAAGGGAGCTTACACTTCAGCAGCACCGGAGCCGCCTGACCCCCTCCATCCAAGGAGGATGTTGCAAAGGGGGCTGAGGGAGAGTAAGAAGCCACACAGAGCTCTAGAGAAGAAGAATGAAAGTAAGCGTCTTCCCTGATACAAGTTTCTCATCCGCTCCCTTTTCGGTTCGATGCCAACATGGCGCCGTCTGCATGCGTCAGGGGTCCATTGGACGGGGGCACTCACAGTGGCGTTGGATTCCCAACTGTCGAACGGATATTGTTCGACACCCGGTTCTTGGGTGAGAGGTATATCTTCTCAAAAAGCTCTGGCGTAATGGTCAGGCTCCCTGCGGTCCGCAGCCTACGCAGCGCCGTGTCGCGGTCATAGTCGTCGTGGTGCATATCATACTCTGTGACATCTGGTTTGTGGTTCTGGTCAGCGGTGGTGGAGTTGTGTTGCAGCAAGTTGTTGCTGTCGTTGACGCTGCCGGTCGTCATGGTGTTGGCCATTTCCCCCTTGCCAGAATCGATGCTGTTCGATGTGGACACTTGCTTCCTCTTTCCCTTCTGCTGTACCTTTTTCGTTCACAGGGATCGATCTGCTGGCTGCTGGCTGCTGGCTTCGCGTGTGCTCTCTTTACATGAAGGAAAGAACTTGGTAGATGCCAGAGATCGAAGCACACAAAAGGATACACGCACCCCAGAGTCTTTCCCCTGGGCGAGCGGTAATGGCTCATATATGCCTCCTCCATCTTCAGAGGCTGGTGTACCCCGCCTCCCCAACTCCCTCGTGGTGGAGATTGGGGACTTGTTTGAGATGAATGAGTGGATGGACGAATACGTCGTGCCTCCCTACTGTTCTGTCCCTACCCCATATTCAAGAAAACTTGAGAGTCTCCCGCACAACGTATCATTCCCCCGTCGTCCTCGCCTGGTGTTTGTCCTCGGACAACCGGAGCTACTATTACATCGCGTATAGGCTAGACCTTACCGCTATGCCTGGGCGCTGGTCGAAAGCAGGAGATGACGCAGTATGGCGTCGTAGGTGTCTTCTCGCCGAGTTTCTTCCCCTTCCCAGCGAACGGAGCTGCCATCTCCTGCCCGTCCGGACCGGCGGTGCCTGTCCAGAAACCCTCCCAGAAAGCTCTGGTAAATAAGCCAAATGAATCCTCTGGACGGGTCAATGTGCAAGAGGTAGAGGGAGAAAATAGTTGAGTGCTGCATATGGGGAAAGAGATTGAAGTGTTGGGAGATGAGGTGCCGTCTCCGACCCATACCAACCGCCCCGGGCGGCCTACATGTCATCATGTTCCCATGGAAGTTGGTATTTAATACTTCAGAAAGATGTCTTTTTAGGTCACCAATACCTTAGTCGTCGTATACCAACGAGGTTGGCGGCCTAGAAACGCCATCACCACTGTGCGAGCAGGGTCTGCCGTCTTCGTGCAAGATAACTGTTGAGAGAGATATGCTATGTGTGGATTCTTGAGATTGTATAACCTTAAAAAGGCTTCTCAAGGCCTGGTCGTCGCTGTCTGTCCGGTCCACACAGAGAGACTACGTATATGGCGGAAGTTGTGTATAGTCCGATGCTTTGAGGGTGCGACGCGCGAGGCTGCGCGAGGCTATACGAAGCTGAGATATATTACGCAACCCACGAGACTCAATGCCTCCTTCTCTCCCTGTCTGGAGGCACTTCACCAACGTCCGTCCTCGCCATATATTAGCCGTCATCCTCATCCGCCTTCCCACCTGTGATGTACCATTCTGTGAAAAGAAAGGGGAAAGGTCACGGCACGATTAGGCCATGTTGGGGGGACGTCAAGGGAAAAAAACCACATCCGGCCGGATCGTCGCAGCCGCCTGTTCCAAGACGAAGACCCGCAACTACCAGTGATGAGCGATACTCGACCGGCAGTATGCTCCATAGCATGAACTGCGGGTTGAAAACAGAACCCAAGAGAGAAAATCCACCAAAGTGAAGCCCGAACCAAGTCTCAAGCTGCCTCCCTGGCTTGTAGTTTACAACTTTTCCCTCTCGTTCCAATCCACCTTTGTCAGGGACTGGGGCTCAGATCCGGCAGCCGATCGCTAGAGACTAGAACTCTGAACCTCGAATCCGATCTCGTCTGTTCCGATAGAGGGCGGCGATTCGCGGGGTCAGACTAACTTGTGATAAACTAGAGCATCGGTACGCCCTCCTTGCCTTTTCTTCTCACCTGTCTTCTACCATGTGATAATACCTCTTTTTTTATCCTAACGGCTTGTATAGAATCCAACGAACCATCAGACATCGAGCTCTGGCCGCTGAGGATTACTGAAGGAGAATTTTGGAGCTATTGACGACCTACGAGCTGGTTTACCCGTTGAGATTTCAATCAGAGAGACTCTAGGCCGGGTTCCGGGTCAAGTCAAAACGACGTAGTCAACCCGTGACTTACTCCACGTCATCCTGACGAACATGGACGCTCCCAAAAGGTTGCCCTCAGGAAATGATCTCGAAAAGGGCCCATCTGGCGTCATGGGCGAAGAAATTCCAATATCAGATTCACCGGACGAGGATTCACCGGACGACTATGACGAAAATGCGGGACTTTCAGAGTTGGCCATGCCCCAGCCTGCCCGTCCAGAGGACCCCGAGCAGGACGATTTGGAGCGAGAAGAAATAGCAGCTCGGAGGTTGAGCACGCGAGGCCGGGCGTCTGATGATGAATACCTCACCGAGCTTCGAGTGCCCTCGATCGTCAATCGCGGTGCCGAGGGCGAGCGTCGACCGTCGGGGCCTGCCGTCGAGTCGCCTCCTCCCAGTAGCGAAGAAAAAGAAGAGGATTCCGGGACGGGTCGCCATCATCCGGCGCTGGTACCGCTCACCGAGGTCTACGTGGTTGGACACCTCATCTTCTTCGCCATCTTGGGCACCCTAAGTCGACTTGGGGTCGAGGCCATCAACACGTACCCCGATGCCCCTGTGATATCGCCCGTGCTCTGGGCTAACGTCGGCGGCTCCCTCATCTTTGGATTCCTCGCCGAGGACCGCCAGCTGTTCAAGCAGGAATGGGGTTCACATTCGGACCCTTGGTCCCATCAGCACCCCAGAGGAGAACGACGAAGTGATGGCGCTGGCGACGAGGTTGCGTCCAAGCACAAGCACCTGAAAGTCAAGAAGACGATCCCCTTGTACATTGGCCTCTCGACCGGCTTCTGCGGCTCGTTCACCTCCTTCTCGACTTTCCTCCGGGACGCTTTCCTCGCGCTGAGTGGACAGCTCGAGTCGCTGACGCACCACCAGGCCCCGAGCCCAAGGAGGCGCGGGTATGATTTCGAGGCTTTCGTCGCCGTCCTCATTGTGCAAGTGGCGTGTTCTCTAGCGGCATTGAAGTTCGGCGCCCACCTGGCCCTGGCCACGCAGAAAGCAATGCCGACGCTCCCCTTCCGCTTCGCCCGTCGCCTCTTGGACCCCACGATCCTCTTTCTCGGCGTCGGGTGCTGGGTCGGAGCGATCCTGCTCGCGATCTGGCCGCCCCACGACGCCTGGAGGGGCCAGGTGATCTTCTCCCTCGTCTTCGCGCCCGCGGGCTGCCTGTTCCGGTTCTACCTCTCCAAGCACCTGAACCAGCGCATCCCGGCGTTCCCCGTGGGGACTTTCCTGGCCAACATCTCCGGCACCGCCGCGCTAGGCGTGTGCTTCATCGTCCAGCGCTTCGGCCACCACGGCGTGCTCTCATGCCAGGTCCTCAACGGCGTCATGGACGGCTTCAGCGGCTGCGCCACCACCGTGAGTACCTGGGTGGGCGAGCTGGAGACGCTCCGACGCCGGCATGCCTACATCTATGGCGGCGCCAGCTTGGCCGTTGGCCTGGCGATCCTGGTCGTCATCATCGGGAGTCTGTTGTGGAGCGCGGGCTTTGACGTCCCGGCATGTCACATGTAAACGAGGGTATCATCATCGACAGAAGAGGGAGAGAGAGTAAAAGGGGTGGCACATGGAAAAAACACAGACAACCCACAACACACAAAAGCATCATAGAGTTTGGACATCGTCATCGCGGACAGAATGAACGGAGTTATATAGAACCAACTTGCTAGAATTTTCCAATAGAGTGGGCCCCGACACCCGGATCGCAACCAGTTGGGCGGGCGAGGTTCAGCGAGTCGCCACGACATTCGACTGGATTCTTTCACCTGGGCTTGATCTACGCAGGAAGAGAAAGGGTAACACACATGGAAGGACACAGTTTGTGGTAGGCGGTGTGGGCATGAGATATCAAATCGTGTCACAGCATCGCACGCTATGCCAAGTCAGATGTTTCAAGCCAGGTATGGAACAGCAAATGCGTGGCTGGCCACGAAGAATAGCTCGAGAATGTCTAAGAGACATCGACAACGGGGCCGGGACGGGAAATCAAAGGAGAAGAAAGACGAGAGGGTATTACCATTATTACGCTTTGACTATGAAAGCTTGCCGGCTATCAAGAATTCCGCCATCAATCCGCAATTATGCTGCTCCGGGGGGGGGGGGGTTACTCCTCCTGGCCATTCATTTCCTTTCCTCTCTTCAAAAGATTTGATCACGTTCTCCAGCTTATGGGGTATATTCCTTCATAGATAACCACACCATTCGCTCCTGTACGCTCACGAGCACGGGCATGACTGCCACGAGTAGCACCCGCATTGAGATCCTAGGGCCTTTTTCGGGGCGCGATTGGCAGACTCCTACCCAACTCCCTCACGGAGCCGTAGCGGGCAACTCGCCCTCGGTGACGGGACCGCTCGCCTCGGTGACGCCGTCCGTGTGACCTCCCGGGGCGGGCGTTTTCTCCGCGCCGTCCGCCCCGGGGACGTGGAGCGGGTCGTCGTAGGTCCGCATGCGCAGGCCCAGGCGCGCGGGGTCGATGGTCCAGTGGCTGAAGAGGAAGAAGGCGCTCGTGATCGGGATGAGGCAGCAGTCCAGGATGCCGTAGAAGATGAACTCGGAGTCGGGCGGGATCACGTTGCCGCCCTCGGACACGCCCCAGCACACCGGGTACAGCATCCAGAGCATCCACACCCAGCCGGCGGTGAGGTGGTGCGCCCACGCCACGTCCTTGCCCAGCGCCAGCGCGAACCGGCGCGGCAGCCAGAGCAGCTGGTAGCCGATCAGGAGCCAGCACCAGATCCAGAAGCCGTAGTAGCCTATTTGTTGGGGACGGAACGGTTAGTTTTGGGGGGCTCTTTTTCTCTTGCCTTTTGAGCAATTCGGTATAGGTTCAGGGAGATCATCTCACCCCATTTGTAGTCCGTGCGGACCACGGCCCCGACCACAGCCAGGATCGCCATCGAGCTGCTGAGGAAACAGGTCCAGAAGACATTGATCCCTGGCACAACCGAGCCGAGCAGGATGGCGGCAGACAACAACGGCCAGATCAGAAACCTGTTGAGAGGAGTTAAAACCGAGGGGTTCTGGCGGCATGGCATTTTCAGTGGCATTCACTTACCAGCCGCAGTAGCGAACCCACCAGATCTGACGGTTGACGCCCGCAACCAGGTGGCTGCTGCGTCGCCACTCGACGTCAATGGGCACCCAGCCAAGGTTCGACGCCATGCTGTAGTGCTCGACCATTGCCACAAAGGCGGCGAGGGAGAGCATATAGTAGAAGAGGCGGTTGCTGGCTGGCTTCAAGAAGCTGACTGCCATTATGGCCAGCATGGTCGTGCCCATGACCGACATGACCGCCCAGTACCAATCCGAACCACGGGTGGTGATGTGGATGTCCACAGTCCGGCCATTCACAATGAACGGGTTTGTGTGGAGAGCACGGTTGCCGCCCATTGTGATGCTGGCTAGATTGCGGTCAAGAACAGATGGTGGTGGTGGAAATGCAAAAAAATGGTAGAAGGATCCTTCAGAGTCTCTCGCAAACGCTGTCTGATGAGAATGGCCCGAAAGTGAATGACCACAGAACACGAGGCGGGAGCATCTGTATTATAGATGTCAAAGGGATGAGGGCTAGGTAGTTTGGAGCCTCGTCCGGACCATGACGATGATGTGCGGAGATGGTTGAATTGTACGGATCACCCGACTTGGTTCCCAACTTACCGCTAGAGAGTGTCCGGGATCAGGATCAACATGGCACATGATGGGCTGGGAGGGGTCCTGGACCAGTGGCAGAATATTTCTCCAGCCAAAAGCCTGCTCAGAGGCGTGTAGACAGAGGAGGAGAGCACGTATAGACCCTGCTGGCCGCCAGATCCGTCCGGACAACAATAACTCCAGCTTGTGACATGTCGGATATCATCTGATTTTGAAACTTGCAGCTCGACGCATTTGGTTACATGTGCGGCCGAGTGCCCTGAAGGAAATACTGTCCCACCTGCCGTGGCGGAAAAAGCGGACCACTTTGAGGGTCAGGGAGAGTATACATCGCTGTACTTCGACAGAACTGGATGTGGTTTGATGGAGTCCTGCATATCGGGTGGAACACGCTAGATCAATTTTGGCCTGAGGATCGCCTTTTGGGGTATGGTCCGTTTACTAGCGCATTGTTGTTGCTTGACATGCTCATATCACCGCTTTCCAACATCCTCTGTCGTTGCTGGACCCTCTGCCTCTTCCGTCTTTGGGGGATCTCCTGTCTCCGCCGTTTCTTCAGTGTCTGCTGATCGTTCTGTTAGCTCCGTAGCCGTCGTCTTCACGTATCGCTATTGCATACTTTCCATGAAAGGCGGCTATTTCATCGCGCCACCTAAGGCTCAAGAAGCTCAAGATACTGTCATAGTTACAAGCCGGCACCTCATCTCGAAAGTCCTCTTGGAGATCGGGCCTCTTTTCAAACCCCCGGCCGCGATCTACGGATTGGCATCATAATCAGACGATTTGACACTGGATCCTGTCTCTGGCTGTACTGGGAACTAAAAGTCAGAATACGACCAGCTTCATAGGAGGACCTTTCATTTACCTGGACGACGAAAACTATTCGTCGCTTTCTTGCTCTGTCTGCATACACAAACATAGGATTGGTCGCAGCTCATTGTTCTGGAAAGAAGGTCGACCTTGGAGCTTCCTCACCCACTAGCCGAAGCGATTCCTCCAGCCTCAAAGCTTTGCAATCAGAAGGATGGAATCTCTTCGAAGCCCCTTGTCCCTTTCCAAGCAAAATTCGGCCCGGCCGTGGTCCTTGTCGAAAAGGCAGCTTCATTCAGACATGTGATGAAACGTCTCAAAAGGCGGATAGGAAGGCTCGTCGCGGATGCAATACGTGGCGGGACAACCAATTTTCTCCCAACATGTTCTCAGTCTCCAGATGCTCCATTACAGCGTCCACGCTTGAACTCAGCCAGAGACGACCTTGGCCGCTCCCATGTCTTGATACACAGCTGTTGCCACGTATCCCAGAGCTTCTCTCGAGAACAACATGACGCCTATAGATGGAGACACAAACAACGTCTGCCACCGAGCCACTCTGCAACGTCGTCTTCACACTGGGACGACAAGTGAATGAATGAACGGGACGGAAAGAAAGGTATGGCGTAAAGGATGCATAGCTTCACATGTTGCAGAAGGAAACTTTGATGGAAGAAGGCACGTGGCGCGGCCGGACATTTGTTTATACCATGTATTTTCAGCCTCGCGGGCAGACAAGGCTGTACGTACAAGAAAGTCCACGTCAAGGCTGCCTACGTGGACACACGCTTTCCTCCGTCTAGAGGAGCCTAGTGGCAGCGACCAACCGATATAAAGCCATCACGCCCTCTGACTGAATCGACGCGGTTGCATAAGATCGACCTCCCGTCCTATTCAGGGCGTTCCCCGTGATCGTCCACTGTACTCCGCCTACTCCGATCTACCCGTCACTTCCGCCCATGACCATTTCTAACCTTGTTGCACAATACAACATTCAGCACTTCGCTACTACATGCACCGAGCGTCTCGTCAGGGAATAGTGTCGTCCACTTTGACCCATTCGCCTGCCCTGCTTCCGGTAAGCTCGAATTCGGCAATGTGGACATCCCATGCCCAATCAGTCTCTCGAAAGAATCACCTTTTTTTTTTTTTGACAGTAGCACAACAAGCACACCCAGATCCGGGAGGTTGATATTTTATGTCTCATTCTATTGTTGCTATTCACATCATCAGGATCCCATTTTTCTTCCTTTCCGTCATCACCTCCTCAAGCTTAATCTCCCACTCATTCCGTTCCTCGGCCTCGCAGCCCCCAGCAACACCTGATACGGCTTGTGTCCCTCTACGCTCATCCTCTGCTCCCCGCTTATCCCATCCGCGAACTCGTCCTTCGTCTCGACGGGCTTCCAATCTCCCTCCTCAATCTTCTTGCCATAGAACTCTGCCGTGAAGTCCACCTCTCGAATCACCAGGGCGAGGACGACTTTGGCCTCCATCATCGCGAGTTCCTGGCCGATACAATTCCGAGGACCCTTTTCGAATGGGCGCCACGCGTCTTTTCCTGCCGGCGTGTGCAGTTTGCAGTCTGGGAAGGGTGTTTGAGAGGGGATGAAGCGTTCGGGAATGAATTTCAATGGCTCTGGGAAATACGCCTCGTTCCGATGAATCATGTGCGCGACGGGCCACAAGTCAAACCCCACCAGGGGACATTCTTTGCCGGTGGACGGATCGATCATGACCTTTTCCTTTGCGAGGGAGAGTTCACTGGGCCGTTTCAACTCGCGGATCGTCGACGCAGGCGGGAAGAGTCGAAGGACTTCTTTGATGACAGCACCAAGGTACTCCAGTTTGTTGATGCTGTGCGGGTCAGACTTGATGAGCTCGGCCAATTCGGATGCCTCGACTTCGGGGCCGAAGACCGAGTCGAGTTCCGCGATGATTTTGGTGTAGACGTGCTTGTGGAGATGGATGAGGTACATGGTGTATGAGATGGTCGCGCTCGTGGTGTCGTGGCCCGCGAAGATGAAAGTTTTGATGCTGTCGATGGCCATTGTGCGGAACGAACTCGTCATACCACTTCCCCCGGCTTTGGCACCCGCTGCGACCTCCTTCTCGTATGCGTCAAGAGCAAGGTCCACGATCGAGCGCTTGCGGTCTTTCCTTGGCTTTTCCATATCAGCGTCTTGCGAGGTCTTCCGAGCCGCGATCTTCTTGTCAATCTCGGCACCAAGCAGAGAGTCGAGTTTCTTTGCGTTCCACCAAAGACGAATGGGACGAACGAGGTTGATGTCGTCAAGCGGTCCGATACTGGCGGCACTCGGCATCATCTGCACTTGTTTCCTAAACGTCGTGACGATCGGATGCGGACGTTTCTGGCTGTCAAAGTCCGAGTCCATGACCACTTTGCCTATAATATCAATGGCAAATCCTATTGACAAAGGATCCAGTTCAACCAGCTCATTGGTCTGGGCCTTTTCACGAAGCAAATCGAGGAACACGAGGCTGGAGTCAACCACGTAGGGGACTAAAGTGATCAGGTGACTTGCAGAGAAGCCTGGGTTGAAGATGGATCGGAGGGATTTCCAGGCCTGACCGTCCAAGCCGACCATGTTGTTGGCTCCCAGGAGCATTGTCAGATATTTTGTCGTGAGTCGCGATTTCGGCAGCGATTGGCCGGTCGTCAAGAATTTGGAAGCGAGTTCTGGGTCGGCGATGAACATCCAGCGAGGGCCCAGTGGCCACCAGTCGACGTAAAAGATATCTGTGAGTTGGAAAGGTATCAGTGCTTGCACCGAGACATGCAGATATCAAGAGACGTCGGCAACGCCCAACCTTAGGGCCTGGTCACAGCACGCTGAGACTGAATAGTCAAATACTTACCGCCCAAATCATACTTCTTCCTGATGTAGTTTGCCCAGTTCTGGACGTGACAGTTCGGAGGGAAGAGATTCTTGCAATCGCCCGCAATCTTCAAGTGACCCCAGAATCGGCTTTCCATGGGCGGTTGTGGCTGGATGACGTGGCGTCAGCGTTACCCATATCGCTCCCCTCAACGCAGAAGATGGCGAGTGGCCGGGTGATGCATCAGGAGATGCGAGACACTCACCAGTCCATCGAGTTCTGCTCGCTTCTTGTAAACCAGATTGACAAAGTACGCAGCTCCCGCCGTCAGCAGTGCTAATACGGCTGATATAATCCGCCACATGGTTTCAGCATCTACTTGGGAGTTTGCGGGGCAAAGCCTGTGGTCTTCCCAAAGATTGCAGAAAGCGCAGCGTAGATGTAAGCTTTTGGCAGCTGTGTTGTCCGAAGCGCAGCTATATGATATCTCAACTGCAAGATTTGTGATATCGAATCACGTCTGGCTACTCGTGCGGAGGGCTATCGATCCGAATCCAAAAAGGCACTAACCAGCTAGATGGCCAGTATTGGTTCGTGGAGACGACTTCTCCTTTGGTGCCACAAGTAAGCAGCGGAACGGGGAAGAAGTACGGTGATGGGCCCAGGAACGCGACTAGAGCAGGAGGAATCCGAGGTTCGCTCTCCCTCGTAATATTCTGGGTCACAACAACTTGACGGGCAACGAGAACCGTCGCTGAGCACTCCCCTGTGAACGGGCTGCAAATGAAAGAGAACCCTTTAGTTGATTCTGGCGGGTTGATTGCTTGCATCTAGGGGTTGGTGTCGTCAAGTTGGATAAAAGGCCTGAACGTCAGCTCTTTAGTGCATTTTGCAGGGAGTCAGAACCGCATCTGCGCCACGTCGTAGTTTAGAAAAAGTCGACTGGTGCGTTCGATGGATGGGTCCAACAGCAACAGCTGCTTGTCGGTGAGAGGTTCAACGCTGAAGGAATCAAGCAAGGGCCGTATCTCCCACCTTCTGGTGACGAGCCGAATCGTATGATGAAGGCTCCTCATGTAAGGCGTCCCATGGGGGCGAAAAGCAACACGTTGCTGGCATTGTGTCCTCGGTAAGCAGAGTGTGTCTGGACCGGTCCTCGATTGTCTCTTCCTTCTGTGAATGGTTGGAAAGCAGCTTAGCTTGTAGGATCAAGAACCCGGCCTCAGGCTCGGCGCATAAGTCCCTTTCTTATAAGAGGAACGGAGTATAAAGAACAGATGACTTAGGTGTTGGCGCACGATCCAAAACGATGATGCATTTTACTCGGCCTCCGCCAATATTCTCGCTGAAAGCTAGTAATATATAAGTTCATATGTAATGCCAAACATGAAAGAAGGGGGGAAAAGGCAGGCACAGTTCAGGGCAACAGTTCCAGAAATTCCGCTTGTAGCAGGTAGGCTCCAGCTTCCATAGACCAACCCATATAACAAACAATATGCAATACATATATAGGCAGAGGGGGTAATCTCATAAATGGACAAGGGGGAATGAACGTGCTGAGCTTTGTCTGTCGGAATGCATCACAAATCCACCTATCGTTCGGATGCCACAAATCAAGGTGTATTTCCTGGACCTGACAATGGAGGCGTGTTCAGCAGCAGCAGCAGCAGGAGGAGGAGGAAGGGATCTCGCCCCACTAAAGAAATGCGAGTCGGGTGGTGTTAGTAATGCCTTGTCCACTAAGGCCGATTGACGAGTACCGCGCGAAATGTGTTAAAGTGAATGACAGTGCGAATCAATGCTGCATATCATAAGATCGTGAGACGTCGATTCGGACGTGTACAGATATGGGATGTCTAGAGCGTGATTGGGTGACCGAAGATCGACGCTGAGAAGGGGGACGCGGCTGCTCTCCTGCCGGATAGCAACGCAATTTTGCGGGCGGGACGTTCCTTCGGATTGTACATAGATATCATCTGGCGAAGAAACCCGAGCAAGGCGCGCTCACTACTGTCGGGCCAGCCCAGGCGAACAGGACGGATTCTCATCGACTATCCCACGTTTGAGCTGGCATTTCAAATGGTCGGTCCATCGTCCCCATCTGCGGTTGCATATGCGATGAAGGTGTCTGTGGTGAGCCCATATTATATCCCAGGGCCGCACCGACGTTGGGATTTGGAGAATTGGAGCTCACAACAGTTTGGGTATCGCTGGCTTGACTCGATAGCCATTGATTTACACTCGCGGTCGTTCCGTTCACTTTCTCACTCCCCCCAAGTTCGCTACGGGCTTCTGTTGGTGACATTGCCGTCCAATGTGAGTAGCGGTCTGCGGCTGATCCTCCGTTCTGAGCCGCATTGGCGTCACCCATCATTGGCGTAGTCATAGTGGGCTGGCCATGTTCACCTGGAGCCCCAGAAGCATTCCTGCGACGCCGGCTGCGGTAGAAGAGTAGTGCGAGGCCGCCAACAATAAGAATCAGACCAAGGACTCCGCCTACTACGCCGCCCACTATGGGGCCGATGTTTTTGCTGCTGCTTCCGTGGGACGCCGATGCGGAACTGGATACTGGACCTGCGGTGGACGTGCTAGTGGAGCTGGTGGTGGTTGATGCCGTGGCACTTACCACCGGATCACAGGACGCTTGAAGCACGTAGCCACCACCTTGGCTTTCAAAGTCGGTTCGGATTGCTGGGGCCATTTTGAACTGAGACCGCTTGTAGTCTGCAATCACGTAGTTCATGGTCATGTAGGGAATTCCCCAATCTAGAACGTAGCCGTCATTGGTGGTGTTGAAAAGCGTGGCGATTTGGTAGGTGTTGTCGATGACTGTGTATTGGCCGTCGTCATTGTACCCGCGAGGATAATAGAAAAGCTCCTCTGCAGGGATAGTCGTCTTGTATCCGTTTTGCAGGGTGACGACCAAATTACCAGTCGGCACAGCAGTCGATGGATATGTTAGGTATGAGTCGTTGTAGACAGCATTGGTCGCTTTTTGGAAGTTCTCCCAGACATTCTGCGGTACATTCAGTGCACGTTCTGAGGGTTGAAGGTTGATCTGAATAGATTGAGACGAGTTGGAGAAGAGATTTGTCGAGCCGGTTTCGTCTTCATACGCAAGGCTGGTAATAATGACACACATTTCGCACTGTTCCAGGGAATTAAAAGTCGTCAAGGTGCCATTGATCCGGGTTGTGTCGTAGCCGCCCACGACTAAAGACCCGTCCACGGGATGGTCGATAGAGCGAGACCCGGTCCAAAGCCCAAACACAGTGGATGGTACAGCGCCACTCTCCACAGCAACCCGCAGAAAGTCCGAGCTGGATCCCAGAGGCATAACACCTTGACCACCATAACCGGGTTGGTCGTAGCTAGAAGGAAATCCATAGATTGAAGCATTCCCAAAGGTCAAGAGATCGTTGAAATACACAAAGGATAATTGACTGGGGTTCCCTTGGTCGGTGCCGTTCCATTGACCTTCGGCGACCTGGACAAAGCTTTTTGAAGCTGAATAGTCGAAGACACCGCCGAATTGGCCGATACACGAGTCATTGTACTGAGGGGCGCACTGTGCTTTGTTCACGACGTATAGGTTATCGTCGGCGGTACTTGGTCTGAGGGAGACTATCTGAGGCGGTGTTCCCATCGATATCTGAATTCCTCTGGTGATGGCCTTTTGGTCGGTGGTGACGGTGACATTGGACCACGGCAGAAACATCGGAGGGGCGCCATTATGGCAGAGCGACATCGTGCTCACACGTTGGACGGAACTGAGCCAAATCTCTCGCAGGTCCTGTGTGTCAGTGGTCCAACGAGGCCCCTTTGAGAAGAGCCCTCGTTCTCTTCAGCAAATGCAAGCTGTAGGCCACAGATTCACGAAATCTGAAAACGAAAGAATTGTGAGAGAGAGGAAGTGAAAGACGGTTGAAGCGCGGAAACAACGGCCATGTGAGGACTCCCTGGACGGTGTTCGATCGGCGAAGCGGCTCAACTCAGCCCAACTGCTCCTGAAATTGCGTTCGGCGCGCCTTATGCATTGCTATTGCCTTGGCGGGACAGCAAGGTTTGGTCCAAACAAGGCCCAACCACGTTTTCTGGAATTCACAGGGATAAGTTCGAGGCAGGCGAGCGCCATTTCCCCTTACCTGCCTGCCTCAGCGGGAGCGATACCTTGTCCGCATGTTTAATCTAGCACGCACAGTGCCTATGCTTCCTTTCTTCAGGGCCAAATGTCGGTTAATTCTTTGATATGGAATCATTTCGGACCTTGGCTGGGTTGGGTGATGTTATGGTCGACCGATCGTGTCCAGATGGTCGGAGCCGGTGCGTTTGAGGGTGGCCAGGTGGAGTGGGTCTTCAACCTGGCAAGCGAACAACTGACAAATGAATAGATGGTGTAAAATAAGAAGGTGCTGGAAACGGAATAGTTCTGAGGTTTTCCAGATATAGCGCCATGGCCGGGTAGGGCCTATATCTTGACCAAAACTGAAGTAGAAAAAGTTCCTTGCGACAGGAGCGATCGCCGTCGTTCAGGAACAAATCGTGGTAAATGCCGATGAAGCAAGACTCTGTCGATTGGTTCGGTTACAGACAATTGAATCTCAGAGTGCAGCAACGGCCTCCGTAGCAGGTCGGAGAAAAGGGGCATTTCAGCCACATGGCAATAGTCGAGTGTCATGCCTCGGAGAAGCACATTTTCCTGAAACAAAGCTCGCAGACGTTGGCCAAGAGATATCAATGCCGAAGGGCCAAAACCTTAGTTTGGTGGAAATGCAAAGAGCAGGGAGCCAAGGGTGTGCACAACAGAGGTTGCCGGCGAGGTGGGAGAGAGGGATGGTGATAGAAGCTGCCCCAGAAGTTTGACCCCTTTCATGTCTCCATCTTACAACTTGGCACGACTGGAAAGAGATTAGGCGAACTGTTGTGCATGGGCCATCCTCGCGTGCCATCCCTGCTTAGCGGGGAGCTAATATGCTTCCAAGATCTTTGGTTCCAGCCTGACGGCATTGGCTTTCCGTGGCACAGTTGGTAGAAATTGCCCTCTTGATGGCCCGTTGGATGTGTGACGGTGCTATGTGCATGGCTGGGCCGGGAGAACAGATCGGTGTCGGCCGCCGTGGACGAGTCTCAAGAATCAGAGTCGAAACTTCATAATCAACAATCAGCGCTGTCATTCTCGCTGTGGCCATCAATAAGTCTGTCGCGAGAGGGTGCTCGCAAACCGCAATGCATTGCGTGGGTAGGTCGCTCACATCGGTCGTCGCCGCCGACACTTGGTGCAAGACCACTACTCGCTGAGAATGCCTTCTTCAAGCTGATTTCGAAGTGTAAGCTGGTACATGTGCTCGAGTATGAATAAGTCCCTCCTCTTGCTTTGTGCGATCGATCCAGAATGTTTCAGAAAATAAGTCAAAGCACAACTGTGAGGTCTGCCGTTTGGTCACGCATGCAGGTTTCAGGAGCAACCGACGCCGTCTTCCAAATCCCGTTGCAGTGTAGGTTTCATTGGATGGAAGATTGAAGGCAAGAGGAGGCAGAAGAGACAGGAAGCAAACGAGCAGATGAATGTATTGTTCGGGTGTTGGGAAAACTGGCACAAAAGGGCAGAGTGACAACTGACTGACTGCGCATGTCGTGGTTAAATCCCTATGCACAATGACCTCCGCAGTCACCGTCATAGAGCGCACCGAACTATTTTCTCTCGCATTAGTCGCAATTGCGCGCAAGCACTCCAAAATTCACGTCTACTCTACTACACATGAGTGACAGCATCCTCTCTGCCGGTCAAGCGCGGGTTCGGCAGCGCTGTGGTCGGCAGACAGTCACTCAATCACCACCATCACCACTACAAAATCCGAATCATTACCTCTGACTTCTCCGTCATCATCATCGTCAACGGAAGATGCAATCAACATAGCGCATTCATCAGGGTATAAACTCCCTACAGTCGTCGTTCGGCACTCTTCGTCCCTCCTTCAGCTGATCGATCTCCGCTGCAACAATCGCATCGTCATCGTCATCATCAGGTTATCTCTCTATATCGTAGGCCGGCAGAGTCTTCAGCTGCAACAAAGATCTCTCGATCCCATTCAACATGGACCGAGCCACCCCTCGCTCTAATCCCAACTACGACGTTTACTTCTCCGACGAAAAGATCAAGACCGTGGTGGAAAGATGTCTTCCTTTTGTCAAGCGAGACCACATGATCATCGAGCACCTGCCGTCAGGAAAGTCCTTTAACAATCGGATCTACTTTGTGAATCTCACCGAGCCTGTTCGCACTCTCCGACCAGAGTGGAACGGAAGTGAAGTTGAAGTGACGAAAACAACGACTCAGATTCAGTCCTCATTTTTGGTGCTCAAGATTGCCGGCCATCCCTTTGGACGAAACAAAGTGCAGAACGAGGTGGCCTGCCTCCTTCTTTTGGAAAAACACTGTCCATCCATCCCGGCTCCAAAACTGCTTGCCTGGTCGGACGATGGCAAGAAGGTCAGGACACCTCAATATCCCCGTGGTTTCAGAGATACAGAACCAAAGAACATTCCAGTACTGGCGATCAAAGCGGAGGATGGCACCCCGATTGAGGATGTTCGCAAAGACACGGAGGGGCAAGGCTGGATTTTGATGACGCGCGAACCTGGTAGGCCGATCAGTCCAGATGAATTGTCGGGCAGTGCGGGAGATGAGTTGATGCGCAAAATCGCCGTATATGTGGCTACATGGCGGAAGGACATGCCTCCAGCGAAGGCAGTGGGCAATCTGCGAATTGTTGGCAGCAACTCCACCCCTCAGCCTGCAGCTGTACGTTACGACAAAGCCATTCTTCCAGGCTACGAGGTTCACATTGACGGACTGATAACCAACCACTCTCCACCATCTCCTCTGACTACGTCAGAGAAGTACCACGCCTTCGTGCTGAAAAACTCTCTGAAGAGGCTCAAGGATGGCAAGCTCTATGATCACACCTCGGACGAAGTGCACGAGCTCGTGAAGCGCATGGCCGACAACACACTCCCGAAGCTCCCCATGTTTCGCTACGGAATTGAGCCCATGATATTCACCCACGACGATCTTTCCACCCGCAATGTCCTAGTCTCGCCCGACCCGTCGGGCGACGTGAAAGTCTCGGCCATCATCGATTTCGAGTTTGCGGGCTTTTTCCCCAAGGAAGAGGAATTCGCCAACACGCTTCAGAATGACCAGGAGGAGTGGCCGCTCAAAAAGTACGCCGTGTTCTTGTCCGAGTTGAAGGACCGTGAAGCCTTGCCGGAGACCTTGACACTGAAGATCCCGCCGCCCTCGTCCGTCGGAAAGGCCGGGGACAAGTGTTTCGAGTTTGGCACGGGTGAGTTCCAACAAGCCGTGCTCCTCTTGCGCACCACGATCAATACTGCCCCGTGGTGGATCAAGGAGGAGCAGGGGTACAACGCGGAGCAGTTGCAGGAGGAGATGGAGGCTGCCAAAGCCCGAGTCGAGAAGGCCGTCAAGTGGTTGGAAGAGATGGTGCCGGCGGAGGAGCGTGAGAAGCGGAGCCGAAGGCGGACCAACAGCACGCGAGGCTGAAGGTTAAACCTGCCTTTTGGACGATAACCACGATGCTCTCGCGTTGTTGAAAGGGGGGGTTGCACACCGGAGAGAGGAGAGATAAGGGAGGGGAAGAAGAGTCAGGAGCGAAGAAAGATGGTGGTTGCGATATCGGATTGATTGTCAACTGCGCGCGACGGAATCTGCTTGACATCAGAGACTCAATGTACGAAGATCTAGTCTTCCAAGAAAAACTGTCATAGTCGGCTGGACATATGCACACGAGGCTGTACAGATGTGGGACACGAGAAGAGCCCAGGTCATCGTGCAAAAGATACCACGGCTTTTTTGGAGCTGGATACATGGGTTGCTAGGTAGCTAGGTAGCTAGGTAGCTAGCCAGCCATGTGAGCTTGCAAAGATGGCACTCCTTCAGCATCGAATCAAAGTCATACAACGAATTCTGGCGAGCTAGGTTTTCACGTCGCTCCCCGAAGAATCAGGACAAGCGGTATAAACAGTCGGTAGTCTATACAGGACTCCTCCGAGTAGATTCTATCTGACATTGTCCGAAATTCTATCACTCCCCTCTACACTGCGTAATGGTCCCAACCACCCGCCCGCTTAAGGGTCATGGACTCAGCACCTTCTCTACCCTCCACCCAGTCTTGCTCTTCACATCCATGACCTGCCTCACCTTGACCGGCGGCAAGGGCCAGCCCAGCGCACCGCCGCTCCCGCCAACGCCGGCACTCGCGCGCATGTCGACCGTGACCCAACACTCTCTCCTCCTAGGCGACCCGGGCAGGTCCTCGATCTTGGTCTTGGGAACAGGTTTGCCGTAGTTGACCAGCGCTGTGTCCCTAGCAATGTACGCCAGCTGCGGCGAAGTGACGGGCGCGAGAGGGAACATTCTCGTCTTGGGGATTTTCTTGTTGTTGACTTCCGAGAGCGACGAGGACGAGGACGAGATGACTGTGTGGGCCTGGGAGCGTTGCAGGTGGCTGTAACAGATATACTCGGGCAGGTCTTTGACGTTAGCCCTCGCGAGGACCGATGACGGATGGATAAACACCGCTTTCTCGTGTAGGGGAGCAGCCGCGCGGTCGTGCAGAGGGATTAGTGGGAGGTAGGGTACGTCAATCGCCCGGCGCGGTTTCAATGGTGTGTCGGACGGAGGCTGCGGTGCCTTGTCGTAGCGGATTGCGATTTGGTCGACGAACCCGGACGTCACGATCGTGTTGATTCGGGTGGCCGCTTTGCTCGAGGAGATTTTGGTCTTCCGGGAGTTGGAGAGCGTCTCACTGGTGATCGTGCTGCGATGGTTCATGCGGACCACATGTTCCAGTTGATCACGAAGCTGAGCGATTTCGGCCATGGCTTTGGGACGGAGGAAGAGCGATTTGCACACGGCCTCTCTGCTAGCCGGAGAGCTGTCGAGATATGAAGATATCGCAGTAAGGAGTTTCATCGCATCGGATGTTTTATCGTTTTTGCTCAGCGTCGCACGGGCACGACCATACTCTTGTCGTAGCTTCTCGCGGTGGTCGTCTTCCTGTTGTTTCTCGATCGTGTATACTTCCTCCTCGTCCTCATCATCCTGCGGATGAGTACCTGACAAGGCTGTTGCCGTGGTTTTATCATCAGTGAGATTGAGTTGGCCTTCCGTGATAAAGATTTCCGGTACCGCTATAGCGGAGACGAGTGCAAGGATGTGCCAAAGCAAGTCTGGGTCAGTGACGCTCGCTACCAGAATCTTACCGAGACGTGGTGACAATGGATACATCGATAACTGTCTCCCCAAGTCGGTGATCGAACCACTACCAGTCAGAGCCCCAAGGTTTCTCAACAGCTGTTCTGCCTTGTTCAGAGTTGGGGCAGCCGGTGGTGTTGGGAACGGAAATTCAGCGATCGGTCGTGGATAGGCGAACCCCTTCAACTGCAGTACCACACTCTCGGCCGGTGCCCTCAAGATCTCGGGCTCTGCGTGATCGGGAAAGAATTGCTCATACACTGCTGACGAGTATAGCCGCCAGCAGTGCCCGGGCCCCGTACGGCCTGCACGACCGGCACGCTGCTGCGCGCTGGCCTTGCTGATATAGTCGATTTCAAAGCTCTGGACGCCTGTGTCAAGGTTGTATTTGCGTTCTTTGCTGCGCCCCGTATCGAAAACGTAGCGTATACCGGGGATGGTCAAACTCGTTTCGGCCACGTTGGTAGCAAGAACGATCAATCTTGCTCCCGGAGGCGGTGGTTCGAACACCTTAAGTTGTTCGGCAGTTGGCAGTTGGGAGTAGAGGGGGAGGATGTGGACAGACGTGTATGGATCCTTTGATTTCGAAGGCACTCGGTCTTGAGTAGCTGTTGCCTCACCTTCTTCTTCGTCCTCCTCATCTGAAATGTCGAACTCCTTCTCTTCCGCTTCATCATCCGAGTGCGTCAATATTTCCATATCAAAATCGTCCTGTTCTTCGTCCACCTTCACTGCACCCAACTCGAAATCCTCAACTTCAAGTGGGGCTTCACTCGCAGCAATTTCTACCCGAGGTGTGTTCGTCCGACCACTGTTCCTCTTTCCTGAACCCAGAAGGGCATTCAATCGATTGCCGACCTGCTTGATTTCGTTCTGGCCAGTCAGGAAAACAAGGATGCCGCCCCTGGGGAGTTTCCGGTGAGCTCGTCGGAGCTTTTCGATCACCTCTTCCACGTAATCTGCTCGTGATCTTAGCGCAAAGTGTGTTGTTACACGGTGCTGACGTCCTTCAGCCTCAACTATGGGTGGTCGTAGTGATGGAGAGAAGAGCTTCTCATGCAGAAAATCACCAATGTTGAGTGTAGCAGACATGATGACCAATTTGAGAGGCTTCGGATTCGGATTGAATTGATTCTTCTGCATCCTCGCTGGAACAATTTTGCTGAGCATTCCAATCAGTATGTCAGTGTTGACGCTCCTCTCGTGGGCCTCGTCGACAACTATCACGGAATATTTCCTCAGCAGCAAATCCTCGGAGAGCTCACGCAACAAAATACCGTCCGTCATGAACTTGACAGCTGTGTTCGAAGACACGGTGCTGTCAAACCTGATCTGATATGCCACTTTGTGCCCATGTTCTCCCAGCTCAGTGCTGACCCGCTTTGCCATACTGACTGCAGCAACACGACGAGGCTGCGTGACTCCAATCATGCCTGGAGTTGGTCCTTCGGGAGACCCGTAGCCGGCTTCGAAGAGGAATTGTGGTATCTGTGTAGTTTTCCCGCTGCCAGTTTCACCTTTGATGATCACAACGTGATTATTGTGAACAGCCTCCATAATTTCCTGTTCCCGCTGAAGAATCGGCAGTTGGGACCGAGCTTGTTGGATATCCTCGGGTCGACGAACATGCACCGCGTACGCTCTTCGATTAGGTATAGGATTTGGTAATTGAGTTGCTGGCGAAGGTTTCGGAGGTTGAGTGTCTGATTTTGTGGCAGGTTTGAGCACAGGTAAGAGTTGTCCTTCGCCCGTTGTGTAAGATGGCGTGTGCCCTACGGATTGATTTAATTGCTGGGTCGCCCACGCTTTGAATGCTGAATTCCTTGGTTTGATTTTGTCGCCATCGCCCTCGTACGCTTCGGACATGTCTGTATCGTCTTCTCCATCTGAGGCATCCTCTGGTTCGCTTGACGAATCAGAGTTTGCAGAACTCGGGCCTTCTTCTTCGTCTTCTGAGTCCTCTTCCGCTGAATGCTCCTCATTTTCACTTGGCTCCGAGTCGAAGCCTTCCCAGGGCAACTCGACTGGAACCTCGACTCGGGGTCGATTCCGTTTCTTGCTCTTTCGTGACTGTATGATGGGTAATCCATTTTCATCTACTGCCAACGGTCGGGCAAGCCCGCTCCCCTGTACCTGAAGAGGCCCGCGCGGTATGATAGGTTCCTTCGGGCCTTTATCCTCGTCAAAGGCTTCCCTGTGCTCGGCCTCGAAGGAGTCCTCGCTCTCGACGTCGGAATCGTCTTGCATCTGTGGAGTCTTTTGTGTTTGACGCTTTGGACTTGGCCCTGTGTCACTCACAAAGTCGCCATATGTGCGCTTCCCCAAATTCCCAGAGCTATTTGCAACAGCAGCCTCATACTTCTCCTTCTCTTGCTCCAATTTCCGCAGCAAGTCTAATGTCTCGTCCTTCCGCAACTTATTCTCAATGTACTTGTCCAACCTCTTCTGTTTCTTGCTTGAGATGTGGGGTTGCTGGGCTCTCAATTCTTCTCTCAACTTTTGCTTTTTGGCCTCTCTCTCGACCTTGCTTTGGGGGACTATGATTTCTTGGTTGGACTGCTGAGGGGCGGCGTTGGCCGGCGATGGTCCAGCTTGCGCATGTTGGCGGGCAAGCACTTTGTGCTTCCGCTGGCGGGGGACAAAGCGAGGCATTGGGATCACAAATATTCGGCCCTGGACGCCATGAAGGCTCTCCCCGTCAAAACAGAATGCAAAATCCTGCGTATCGCGGGAAATCTGTCTGGTGCATGGAAATTATCCTGAAAACCCGGCAGAAAATGTTGGCGGTGACGCTCGTTGACTCGAGGCGGTGAAGGCCAGTGCGGTCACGTGGACACTCCGAACATCAGGCTTGAAACTCTGCTTCACAACTCTCAGTTGAAAGCCCTAGCGACCAATACTTCTTTCCGCAGAGCATGGGCCTACCACAAGACTACGGCGTGGCAGATATGGACGACACGAAGGTTACAATCCCTTTCCCTGCACCGACGAAGCAAGTGGCGGGAGAGGTAAACGGGGTGAAAACGGACGTCATGTACATCTCGTTTGCGGACAAAATCATGATCACAATAACGCAGAATGGAAGGCTAGGTCAATGGGTATATACACCCCCAAGACTAGCGAATATCTCCTGGGTTACCTGCTGACATGCATACGAGGTTACGGTGCCACTCCTGAGCGACAACCCTACTCATTCGGACCCTTACTTCCAAACAGCCCGCTCGGGAGATGACGCTTTGCTTCCATCGACTCGCTTCTCGCCGCGGACACTGCTGGGTGCCGGTGGTTCTGAGCGTGAAGCTATGGGCCAACTGTACGCTTCGCAAATTGCCAATGCAATCGTCAGCAAGACACCCGATGAAAGTCGCGCTCTCATGCTTGGACTAGGGCTTGCCAAAGTCGAACTTGAGCGGGATGTCTTTCTGCAGATTGTTGACCTTGTTCTATCAGTCCTCTGAGGTCTTGAGATGCGAAACCTCCGGCCCAACGGCGTCGATCAGACAAGGCGATCTGGCATGCCAGATCCGTCTTTCGAGGGTAGCGCCCGGCACCTCCGACGACGCTACAGTGCTTTGCGTGCGACGACGGCTGATCTCCTCAACGGACGCATTGATCTCATACTCTCCATCAGCAAGCGCAATTATACCCAGTTCGGCCACACAAATACCGCCAGGCTCAATGGCGGGGTACAGGGCACGCTGGAGCACACCAGTCCAGATGAACCGCTTTGTTAAGTCCAGGGCGATGTTATGAGGTTGGTGTCGCAGAGCAGGCTGGAGACGAAGGAGTAGGCGCAAGCTCTCTTGGCTGTGGTTGTAAATTGTAGCTGAAAGGGTTGCGAACACCTCAGTCTGGACGACGAAATGTGATTTTCCGATCTTTCTCACGCCTGTGTCGCCATCGCCGCCCATCACTCGAATCTTTTCGTGCGGTTTGACAGCGAACTCGATCTCGACGTGGTTGACTTTGAGTGCATCCACCATACGTGGACTCAATCTGACACCTTTCCTCAGATCAATCTCTCCATGTCTAGTTGAGCCTTCTTCCCGCCACGTCCCTCGTAGGCATTTAAGAAGCTCTTCGCGGTACCAGAAGGACTCTCGGCTTGCTGCTTCTGCTTCTGGGCTTAGTTTCGATGCCGTTACCACAAATTGCTTCTGGGTCTCTAGGTTCGGAATTGGTGCATGTGGATGCTGAATGAACAGGCGAGGGACCAGCAAAATCACCCGGCTGACATGTCCAGGTTGCAGTGTCTCAGTGACTGAATACGCATCCTTCCAGAGCTGATCGTCGGTATCTGATTCTGATCTCCACTTCGCTGCTTGCAGCTCAATGTGAAGGGGTTGTGGCCAGACATTCCGTAGGTCAAGCGATAACATGCAGTATTGACTTGCATCAGGTTGAGATTTGAGCCAATTGGACAGCATGGGTACACCTGGTATCCTGCCGGGATCATGATCGTATACTTCCCCTGACTTGTCTGTAGTTGAGCCGGAACCCCAGCTGAAGTCACCATGAATCGGGAAGATATTGCAGCGTGGTATTTCCACGCACCCGTTGACTGTGACAGAGATGGGGAACCTGATCTGCCTGGTGTAGAAAGTCCCTTTCACTTCCGACGACGGTGCCCCAAGGTGTGCATAATTGGCTTGTACCGCAGCGCTCACAAGGCCTGCTCGACCAAAGATTGTCACTTTGTATGCAATGCTCTGGCCAGGCTCTAGGGTTTTGGAGGAGTTCTTGTCGCGCTGATCTATGATATCCACAGCTAGATGCACGGTGAGCTGGTTCTGGATTTCGAACGCTTCCGCAGGGCTCAGGTCTTTATTCGTAAGAGCCTCCTGCAGCCTCGCAGTGACCGAATCCTCTGTAGTGACAAGGACGAAATCTGCTGCCACGACCTGGCTTTCATTGACTACCGTGAGATCGAAAACACGCCGTTCTCCCTCCAGCAGCATAATGGCCGGATCACCCAGGCTGTTGGATTTCGCGACAAGTCGAGGCTGAGAGCCGATGACCTGGAGCTTCAACGGTGTCGCTCCTGGTAGACTCAACGGGAAATTTGCCAGTAGCATGGAGCCTTCGTTTTCATTGGCCTGCTCTCTTCTGGACCTTGGCCTTCCTATAGCATTCTGCTTCGGGATCACTGGAAGTTTCCAATCATCGTGGAATGTGAGGAAGTCCTGTTCATAGCAGTTGCGTACGGTTGCTCTGCAACCAATAATCTGCAAGTCACCGCTTCCCGTTGGGGTGCCACTGAGTGTGAACATCTGCGTCGAAAAAGGACCCAGCACGATACTGTGGTGTGAGGGAGTGAACTCACATCCTTCGCTCAACAGACTCATTTCTTCGATTTCAATCTCCACTTCGAGTGGATTCTGCAGCAGGACGGCAAACATGGCTAGTTCCCCTGCTACTAGGACTGGAGCGGCGGCGACGGTCTTGTCTTTCGAGAAAGGATTGTAGATGAATGGATCCCGCACCGTTTCGACAAGCCCACTTCCCCGTATGGCGAGGTCACTAGGCTTGTGTGCAATCAGCTTCGCAAAAGTACCTTGTTCGAAAACTTGAATGTCTCGGACGAGGAAATCGTCCCAGTATTCAGCACGACAGCCATCTGCACCTAGCCGCGAAGCCGCCAAGACAGCGCGTTTGATACTGTCGAGAAGACGTATTTGCTCCTCCGCAGAGACCAATGGAACCGCATCAGTTGGGTATTTTGGCATGGTGACAATTTGTTTCGCTCCGCGCAGAATGCTCGACGTGAAATGAAGCCCAGCGGGAACATCAGGCAATGCCTCACATACCGTCACACACGTTCGCAGCATTTCCAGCTTCAGCATGGCGTCTCCAGAACTGTGCTCGATGGCCCACATTTTGAGTCTGACATGGATGTCATTGAGATCAGCAGATATCCTCAGCGCAGGCCTGTGGACTGGTGGCATAGGGACCCCATATGCTCCAGCTGCGAGGTTCAGCATGGCCCTCGTGCCAACCATCATCTCTGGGAGAATACCCAGAAGAGCAGTGTTTAGAGGTGGAAGTCCAGCTGCGGGATGGATACCAGCCTCAGAAGCACCAATCTTCCTCGCCTCGATCAATTTCGGAACGAACTGTTGCATCAATTGTTTGATATAGAAGGCATGTTTGCGATCCAACCCCAGCATTGACAAACTAGCGGCGACTGCAACCAATATACTGGTAGGATGCGATGGATTTCTGCTCGATTGAGCTTCTTGAAGTGTCTCGATCAGGATATTGGCCAGCCCAGCTTTGGAGATGGCAACAGGTTCTCCATTAGTCTGTACGGGGTTCTCAGGCACGGCACTGTCACCTGTCACAATCTGATTCAGGCCTTGTTTGTTTAGCACACCCCCGGCGCGCTTCACATATATCAGTATGTTCACAAGTCTGACGCGACATTCCCTCAGGATGTCTTGCAGAGAGCCACCCAGGTCCAAATTGGCTACCTTGGCGTAGAGTTCAAGAACAGTCTCAACCAATGGCGGTAGCAACTGGGCCAATATCTTCAATGAGTCGCCTGACTTTGGTGCAACTTCAGCTTGAAATGCTCCGCTTCTGTTTGGCAAAGAGCGACAGACTTGCGGTACAGTGAAGCTTAGTTCGGACCAAGACAGGAGAAGCATGCAGATAAGAAGGTGCTCTAGAGCCTTTGCATGCCACAGATGGTCGTGACCGCTTTGCGCGATGACAGCTCCCTCAGCAAGGTAGCTCATTGCCTCAGTCCAGGAGCCACGTTGCAGCCAAAACATGCCTTGAATCACGTTGAACCGTCCCTTCGATGTATCGCTCTAGATACATTTTAGCAGAGGCCTGAATACGACGCCTGGGTAGACAATACCTGCTGCTCCGAACCATTGGAAGCCGGCATCGGGCTCGGAGACTTTGCGGACACGGGAGTCGAGTTTCTCTCTCCTGGGATTGGAGTTGTGCCGCTGCGCCGAGGAGTCTGTGAGCTTGCACCTGGCACCATGCTGATTGGCTGATCTTCAAAGTCACTAAGAATGAGATCGATGCCGTCCAGGAGTTGCCGTGAAATAGTGGTCATGATTGTACGTGCGGCATTCTCAACATCAGCGGTTGGCATACTGAGAATGCCATGGCCAACAGGGCTGGAAGGCTCTGGGCCGCAATAAATGAGGCGACGAACGACCAATCCAGGACTCGAGGGCAGCTGCTCTTCGAATCGGGTTCTGATAGAGTCAAGTGTGGCAGAGACTTCGTCCGAAGCCACGCCATTGGCAACTCTGTCGCCATCAATCAGTCCCAGGAGCACCTGGCACCGTGTGTTCGTCTCGAAAGGGAAAAGATGCGGTCGGCCTCTTTGTTGGTTTGCTGAGACGTCGTAAAAGATACAGCCATTTCCTGCACGGGATGTGTCAACAGCTATTAGCAGGATGAGTTTTACACCAGTTTGAGCGGCTGTTTGTGCGTACCTTCAGAAGAGGGAGAAGAGTCCACAACTCTACGTTGGACGATCGCAGCATTCTGCAAAGATTTGAGGAACTCCTGAAACCGATCTGGCGTTATCGGCCCGGCTGGGACACATAATACGTTGACCCTTGCGACAGCTGTGGGTAGAAAGGGGTGGTAGCCCATGATGACATGGTGACTATGATCGAATTGGATGGCCTCTGAGTAGCCTCAATGAGACATAGGGAGGGATGAAGATTTCAGGTTCCAAGATATGAGCCCGCAATAGCATCAATCGTGGAGTAAAGAGGCTATATCAAACACAGTCAGGAGGCGTGGTATGGCGGAGACGAGGAGGATGACACCAAACGAGATTGATGGACTTAGGTAAGCAACTAGCCAACTGGCCCTCCCACCCATCGACTGCCACCCAATAATAATAAGGGCTTGTAGGCGCCCCCTAATGCCTCGGGGCAGCTGCCTGCGGCTCATTAGGCGAAACTCGTAACCCCATCGACGTCAGCCTCGTTGCAGCCTCGCGATAGATATTCTGCCCTCCTACATGAGCCGTTCAACAAACTTTGTTTCTCCCTTATTCTTCGCCTTTCCCACGTATCCTCCCTCTGTATCGCTCATTCGCACCCCTAGTTCTATCCCTTTTAGGCTATTCTCACAGAGTTCATCTCCATGCGGGTCAACCATTCGCGTCGATGATATTCCTCGCCACCGAGGCTGCTCAGCCTTAACCCCGAAGTCAATTTTGTTGATTCAACCCCGCCGCTTGTCTCTCTACTCCCAGCACAACTCGCCTGCACAGGCAGTTGAACTACACAGCGACAGCATGGACTTTGATGCCCTCCGCGCGCGCACCCTGCGCTCTGGCGCAGATGAGGAGGCAGTAACAGTCAACACAAGGGCTCTGATTGACAAAGTCCTGGCCAGGTACTCTGGAGAATGGACCGTCTTGCGAGAGTTGCTACAAAACGCGGCAGATGCATCAGCAACCAAGATCACTATCAAATTCGAGACACTGCCCTCTGCCACCGTTCCTGTCCCTGCGGATTCCTCACCGTCGAGTCTATTGAGACACACCGTTCTACATCATACCTTAAAGAGACTGGTTGTGACAAACAATGGGCAACCTTTCAGTGAGAATGACTGGAATAGGTTGAAGCGAATTGCAGAGGGAAACCCAGACGAGACCAAAATTGGTGCGTTTGGGGTTGGGTTTTATTCCACTTTCGCAGACTGCGAGAATCCTTTTGTCTCCTCGGGAAAGGAGGCAATGGCATTTTTCTGGAAGAACAATTCATTGTTCACGAGACGGTTGCAACTCCCGGAATCCGAGACTTCGGGAGACACGAACTTCGTCCTTGACTACCGGGACACCACCTCTCCAGTGCCTCCGTTGCTCCCCCTGGCACAGTTCCTGGCAAACAGTCTGACCTTTGTTGGATTGGAGAAAGTAGAGCTTTGGCTTGACGAGTGGAGTCTGCTTTCGTTGCAAAAGAAGACATCCCCAAGCTATGACGTGGCAATTCCTCGTGATATTGAGCCCAAGACGAGCGAGGGCTTTATGAAAGTCACCAATGTCTCAAAAGAAATTGCACAGATCGATGGCCATTGGATGACCGTCATTGGCTGGAAAGCAAAAAAGGACTCAGCTCGGTCAACTGAGAAAGACTCCGCTCCCTCTCTTCGCAAATTCTTCTCACGGCTGGCAGGAACTATGCAGGAAGAGAGCCAGGCCGAAGTCCGACCTGACCGCTCGGCCGAGATAGACCTGTTGGCGACGAAAGTCTCTGCCACTGTCTTCCTAAATGTGAACACGGCCACGATCAAGACATTTACCGGTCAGAAGTTCAACGAGGAGCTGGAGCGTGCAACCAAGAAACCGCCTCCAAAGTTTACAAAACTCGCCATCCTGACGGCCCCTTATATCGAGGATGCCAGCCTTGCCAAGGCGTCTGCTGCTGGTGATGTCTTTGGGACGGTGCTTCCAAGCAGAGGGGGGAAGATATTCATTGGCTTTCCCACGCACCAGACCACCGGGCTGAGCGCACATATTTCCGCACCTTCTGTCATTCCAACAGTCGAACGCGAGTCTATCGACCTGAATGCCAGATATGTGAGGACGTGGAACATGGAGATGCTTCGTGCAGCTGGTATTGTCTGTCGGATTGCATGGTCCTGTGAGATGCAAGAGCTCAAGGAAAAGACCCTGCGAGCAGCCAACGGCAAATCCAAGATTCGCATGGAAGAAGTCAATCCTTTTCTGGACGAGGCGATCACTACATTCAAGAATTTCACCTTCAGGGAATCAACTCCTTCAGCTTCAATAGGTCAGCTACTTGAAGATGCCTTCTGGACATGCAGCAAGAAAGCATCCATTGAGGTGGTTTCCACGTGCGGAGTCCTTCCTACTCACGACGTCCGTATTGCTCCGAAGGACATGAGCTTCATGGAAGGCATTCCAATCTTGCCTGAAAAGCTGGCCTCTGAGGCCAATGTTTTGGTGTCTAAGCTCGTCGACTTCGGTCTCCTGACTGAAGTGACTGTAACCGACATCAAATCTGCTCTTGAGTCGAGTCCTTTGACCACGCCGCAAGTCTCCGAGTTTCTTGGTTGGCTCACAAAACAAGCAACCCGTGCAAAACTTGACAAGTCGACAATATCAAGTCTGCTGGCCGTCGCAGTCGCAAACGATGACAGCCCAGAGGGGAACAGAATTCCGCTTCTTCAACTTGGAGAAATTCGTCATTTCTTAAATCCTAGCAGAACACCCGTCGACTTCCCGGTGCCCCCGTCAGTGATGCCCTTCAAGTTCACGAAGAGCATGAGCAAGCATGAGCTAGAGAGTCTCGGGTGGGAGGAGCTTCAATTGGTAACATGGGTTCGTTGGCTTATCGCCCAATCTGGAAATCGTCATGTTCTTGCCGAAAACCAGGACATCACAAAGTCCGCAGAATTCAGCTCGCAGGTGTTGCCTCTCCTCTCGAAACAGTGGGATTCGCTCAGCCAGCCATCGAGGTCGTCGTTGGTGGAATTACTCGTCAAGCACACAGTAATCCCCACGAAATTCGGGATGAGAAAGCCCAGTGACGCCTATTTTCCAAGTGTCAAGTTATTCGATGATCTCGCAATAGTCGAAGGACTCGTAAATGTCAAGGATAAGTTCTTACTCGCCCTGGGTGTCCGCAAGACAGTGGAGCTGGGAGTCGTGTTCGAGCGACTTTTGGCACTGGAACCCAAAACTGCCAAAACCGTTGGCAGTGCGAAGCCGCAATGGAGTCACGTTGATCTGATCAAATACCTTGCCTCTGTAAGTGATGATATCCCAGGAGCCGACATACAAAAGCTCAGAAGCACCCCTATATGTCCCAGCCAACTCAAGGGCAAGGACGGAGGCGAGTCCACAGAGCGATACAGAGTGAGCGAGCTGTTTGAGCCACGACACGACCTGCGCGAACTCGGGCTACCTGTTCTGGCTTGGCCCGGTGTCTATCGGAGCAACACTCCAGAAGGGAAGTTCTTGAACGCCCTCGGTCTTCGGACCACGCCTCTGGTCCCAGAACTCATCCAGATCATTGCGGAGGCGGGCAAGAAAGGACCCAAATATGATCTGGACCACCGAGACCGAGCGCTAGCTTATTTCTTGTCTCACCACCATGCTTATGGCTATGGATTGTTTGATTATCAGAGTGTCATGCTTCCTTTCTTGCCACTCGAGAACAAGCCCGACCAGCTTGCTACTCCGACGCAGTGCTTTGCGAATGAAGGAGCTGCTCTACTCGGTTTCGATATTTTGAAGCGCGACTGGATACCCCACGCCACGAAGTTCGGTGTTAGGGAGCATCCGCCCATGGATCTCTGCATCAATATCCTTTCCAAACGGCCTCCAGTCACGGCTCACGACGCCCGGGCCATCTTTACCTATTTCGCAGGTCGGCTAGCAGAGATCAACAACCACAATATGTCGAGACTGAATGTCATGGATTTCATTCCCATCTTCGCCAAGAACAAGGAGAAGTCGGCTCCCAAACTTCACACGTCCCCTCGAAACTGTTTCCTGGGCGAAAATGAGGCCTTCGGGGAGATCTTCCACTATGTCGATTTCGGTGCTGAAGCAAACTCCTTCCTCATCAAATGTGGATCGAAGCAAGAGCCTTCTAAATTAGAGATTGCGCAGATCCTTGTCAAGGAGCCTGCGCGGATTTCTGCAACGTTCCGCAATGCTGAAAAGTACATGGCCTTGCTCCGTAGCATGGCCGAAGCTACCAAAACCCTGAAGAAGAACAAGGAGCTCTGGGCAGAGATGAGGAGGGCACCGTTCCTCCTTGCAAGCCGGGAACTCCCACCTCCAACACCGTCGGCAGAGAAGCATACGAACCATGCCGACGATGCCGATAATCTCGACGAGGACGAGGCCCAAGGCATCCGCGAGTTTCAACTTTGCAGCGCCGAAGATGCTATCATCATTGACGATTACATTAACTACAACCTGTTCAAGGCAAGCATACTTGCCGCACCCCAGGAGGAAAGCCTCGAGGACTTTTACTTTGCTTTGGGATCTCCGTTGCTCAGCTCTCTGGTGGAGGAGGCGGCGCGCCATGGTCCTAGAGCCCACGATCAGAAACCTGCGCAGAAGTTACAGAAACAGATTTTGGAAAGGTCGACATTATTTCTGCATGAACAACCGCCGGACACCATCAAGCACGATGCAAAGTGGCTGGAAAAGAACCTACAGGTTCAGCTTGTCTCATCCATCTCACTGAGAAGATCATTGCGAGGAAGAAATGTCAGTCACACAGAAAAGCGAACTGCTGTCATCACAGCAGTGAACAGAGAGTACACGTTGTGGATCACCGGTGCAAAGCCCGACCTCTACCAAGTTAGCCAGGCTTTGGTCCACATCTTGCTAACAAGACCCAAGCTGCATTCTGCAATCACTCTCGAAATGCTATTGAAGACTGATCTACTTGATCTCCGCGCACGGGGTTTCAATGTCTCTCGCATTCTGCGACAGAAGGCGGCAGAGGCCCGGCTCGCTGAGAATAAGAGACAACAAGAACTTGAGGAGCAACAGAAGAGGATTGAGGAGGAGGAAAAGGCATGGCGAGCCTCTCAAGAACAAGCTGCAAAGGACAAAGCTCCACGCAATCACGTCCCCGGTGGTTTCCCAGACTCACCGGATAGCAGAGCACTGACCGGCCCGGAACCCAGCACGGCCGCCCCAGTCGGCAGTGAGGACTTACGGAGACATGGTCGTAATTTGTTTTCCAATCTTTCGCGTCAGCTTGGACTTGGCAACAACCGTCACATTCAACAGATGTTGGGCCGCAATGATGATGAGCCTCGAGAGGCCACAAGCGGTGAGACCGCAGACCCACCTCCTCCCTATCAATACGATCAGCAAAATGGTCAGACTCAGTCGACCGGGTCGTCAGTCACCGCGCCTCACCAGCTCCGGGAGAACCTGCTCACCGCCATCAAAAAGTCCCGTGCCCACAATTCCTCAGAGCTGTTCAGTCGTGGGGAAACCAATGTCCTCCAAGAGACCAAATCCTACTGCGACGAACACCCTGCACATGATCTTACTTTCGTTGCTGAGATCAAGCACGGTATCCAATGCTTCCTCTCCCCTTCATCTGTGTCCAACTCGTCACAATTCCTGCAGCAACACTCCAACGGGTTGACTGCGTTTGCCAGCCTTTTGAATTTGGCGGGAGAAGTGTTTTCCCTCAGTACCCGCACGCTGAATATTTTCTTCGAAACCTCGGGAAAGACTATTGGTTTCAACCGAAACGGAAGCATCTTCTGCAATTACCGGTATTTTGAGCAACTGCATGAACGAAACATGGCAACGGCGGGGAAAGATGCGTACAGCGAGGCTTTTGTCTACTGGTGGGTGATCTTGTGTCATGAACTGGCACACAATCTTGTCGCGGACCATAGTTCGGACCACAGTTATTATACGGAGGGTTTTGTCGCCCAGTACTTTACCAAGGTTGTCAAAGTTTTAGGACAAGCACAGACACAGCAAAATGCCAGTACAGAGGCCCCTCTCGTCGAGATTTGAAGAGACGATTAGAAGAAGGGGCCGTTTGGGCGGATTCTTTGGGCTGGGTTGGGTGTTGCTAACTCTCATCGGTGCGAGCTCTTTCTTGTTCTTTCTGGGTAGGAACTAGACGACGAACGACTCTTCTCCAGATACTAGATAGAAAGGAGGATGGATGGATTGAGATGTGGACCAAGCCATTGCATCCAGATGTATAGATTATGCACAAGGATAGAAAAGGCAATAAGGAGCACATATTCCTCTCCATTTAGGAGAGAAAGACGCCTAGAGGGCCTGGACAAACGGTTGACACCATGACGGCCTTTATTTTTGGGAATGTTTCAATCAGCAACTCATTAATTCCGGGTATAGTATGGGCATATATTGGGGTTCGTATAAGGGCTATGGCATCCACGATGTGTTAGGTCGACCACCGATGATTTAGCCTCCCGCGCGTCTCGAAACCGGCCCAGCGCACCTACTTCCACGCAAGCATCTCGCACTGGAGCGCGGCGAACCAGGCATCTTCCGTATCGGCCCATTTCTGGACGGCCTGCAGGGTCTGCTGGATCTCGTCCTCGGTGATGCCGGCGTCCCGCCAGCTCTGGTGGAACGGGTCGCCCTGCGTCAGCTGGCCGACGGCGCGCCAGGCCAACCACTTCCTCGTCTCGGGGCCCGCGAAGACCACGCTCCCGGCGCCGATGCGGACCTTGCCGGCATCCGGGTCGAAGCCCACGCTGCGCAGCAGCGCCGGCATGCTCGTGGCGGTCGATTCGAACGTGTCGTCGGCCGCCGGGGCGCCCTTGCGCAGCGCGCGCGCCGAGTTGCCCACCCACAGGCGGTCGAGGTCCGAGGCGCGCGGGTAGAAGTGCTGCTCGGCGCCGTCGCGCGTGGCCAGCACGCCGCCGGGCTTGAGCACGCGGCGCATCTCGCGCAGCGCCCGCCGCGCCACGTCCCGCGGCGTCATGTGCCCGAGCACCTGGGACGCAAAGACGACGTCGAACGCGTCGTCCGCAAAGGGCAGCCCTTCCAGCACGTTGGCTTCCTGGAACGCCACCGACCCCGGCCCCGAGCTGGGCACGTTCGCCTCCGCGGCCACGGCTTTGGCTTTCGCCAGCACCTCGCCCGACATGTCCACCCCCACCGTTGCGCCTTCGCTGGCGTACTTGGCCAGCCCCGTCGTGATGGTGCCCGGCCCGCAGCCCACGTCGAGGATGTGGTCCGTCGTCTTGATGTGCGGGAGCAGGAACGCGGCGTCCGACTCGGCCGTGCGCGTCAGGTGCGTTGCCACCGTGTAGTTGGAGTGGCCTTGTGTGTAGCTATTGGTGGGTTTGCTGGGTTGCGCCATGCTTTTGGCCGGATTCGTGGTTCTTCTCTGTCTCTCGGATGACGGAGAGAGATCAAATGTGACATTGCCACGTTGTTGCCATCTCCCCGGAGAATTTATATCCTGTCCGGGCCTCTCACTGCCGGCATCAACGAGCACACTCCCGAGGTTATGCCCCCCTGGAGATAGGGGCCTGTAAGGCCCCTGCGGTCCGGAGGAGCCCCATCCCTGCATAAAATCCGGGCCGGTTGGGAACGGTCCGGTGGAACCCCCGTGTAGGTACAGACCAATGAAGCCCTGGGCCGCATGCTCAAAGCCGTAAGTAATGGGTGGGATGTGGAAGATTGCTTCACCTTTCTCCATGGGAAACCGAGACGCTGGCCGGGGCCCTATTTCTGGAATCTCCTGTGCCGGAGTATTGTTGAACAGTAAGACTGTGCGGGTTCTGTGGTCCGTGTTGAATGGATAAAACAAAAACAGCATACCGCTCCCCCCAAAGATGCTTCTTGCAGTCCGCCGTATCGTTGGTTGAAATTGCTATCCTGATACCTCGTGGAGAATGTCGACTGTCCCATCCGAATCGTGCGCCAATATATAGATCCATACTTCAGAAAGCCAGGCATCCCATCCAGTAGTGACTCCGGCACTTACCATGTTGAAGGTCGCCGATTGCGCCGCAGAGACAAGACAACTCGCCAGACCTTTTTCTTTTCCAATATCGTCAATGTTGAAAATCCCCGCCAGTGAATCATCGTATTCTCTGGGCTATTGTCCAGAAAGAGCCCTTCATAATTGTACGTCGAAATCATCATTCCATTTGAAAGCCTCGTAAAACACTGTCCAACTTGGTCATCATCTCCTCCCATTCCTGCTCCTCGTCGCTGAGAACGGTGATCGCTCCCCCAGCACCAATTCGCCACTTCTGTAAGTCTTCGCCAGTGTTTTGATCCCTCTCTTTCTCGTCGTCATTAGAGAACGCTGAGCGTATACACACCGACCAAGCGCCGTTGCCGCTGACATCCATATAGCCGATGGCTCCCGAGTAAACGCCACGATCTCTCTGCTCCAGTCCGTGGAGAATCTCGCAGGACCGCTTCTTTGGGGCGCCCGTCATACTTCCTGGCGGGAGCGTGCGAGTAAGTGCTCTCACGCCATATCTTGTCATTTCTTTCGTGTGTCCATCGGCTTCCCGATCCGTTTCAGTAGATATGGGTACGTGAGCACGAATATGCGAGACGAGCGAAAAGACGGTTTCGGACTCGACCACGTCGCATAATTTCACCACCTCTACTTTCGCGTCGCGGCCCACGGTGCTATATAAATCATGTCGGATGAGGTCCGCAATCATCAGATTCTCGGCGCTTTCCTTGGCAGAGGATAAGATTGCAGCGGCTTTGGAGAGGGTCATCTCTGGGCTTTTCTTAACAGTTCCTTTCATAGGAATCATGTCAATAGCGCCATCTTTGGCAGACCAAGAGAGGAATTGCTCCGGTGAAGAGGAGAGGATGGTGATTTTGTGGAGGCGGACGAAGGCGGCGAAAGGAACAGGGTTGTATTGTTGTATATTGTTGTACAACAGCCAGGAGGCGTCGGGGACAGCGGGTGTCGTGACCGTTGCTTCGGTGGTGAGACATAGTTCGTAGGAGTTGCCAGCGAGAAGCTCAGATTGACATGTGCGAATCTGCGAAATATATGCGTCGTGGTCTGGGAGGCTGGAGTTTGTCGAGGACAGGATTTGGCGCAATCTGTCGGTTTCTGATCGGTCCAAACCGGCTGTTGGTTTGAACAGAGGTGTATTACTTAGCTCATTGACCATCTCATCAACCCAACAGTCGTCATTTGGTCTTATAGATTGCACGTAAGCCATTCCGGTACAATTATCAAAGACAATACTGCGCTCCACCCAAAGGAGGCTGATCTCCGGCGTGGAAGTTGGTGATCGGGCTTGCTCTGGAACATCAAGATGCAATGACGCCGTTCCGAACTCGTACGACAAAAACCCCATGAACCCCCCTTTGAATGGGACGTCAGACGTACTATCATGTTGAAAAGATCTGCTGGAAAGGAAAGATGCCAGACATCCCTCCACATGTTCCCGGGCGAGTATGAAACTGGTAGGAGGTGTAGAGTCTTGTTTGAGCGTAGCGCGACCTCCAGCGTATTCCAACTGAAAACTGCACCCGTCAGGGAAGGCATATATGCTGTACTGACCCCGTTTGGTAGACTCTAGCATCACGGAAGCGTTTGGCGGAGATCTTTGGTAGCACAGACTTGCAATGACCCTACTCCCTAGCGGTAGGTGCAGAGACCTCCGGCTTACAGTCCCACTGCACGGCTTTGACAGAGAATTCAGCTCTCTGGACAAGGCCGCACTCTCGTGAAGAAGGGTCCCTTCAGTGAGCTTAGGAGAAGCCAGTCGTATAACAGAAACAAAATCTCGGTGGGCTGCGTTGTGTCTTCTTGTGGCCTCCCACCACTGTTTGATGATTTTGTGACAAGTGAAACTAGACTTGCACGATTCGGGGTGAAATTGGAAGCCGTGGAATGGAAGGAGCTTGTGCCTAACAGCCATGGCCCAATGATCTTTATCCCACGCCAGAACTTCCAGGTTGTTGCAGGTTCGGTATCGTGATGATTCATTCGCCAGCTCGAAGGCGACTGAAACAGATGGCAGACTTCGCAGAGACGATGTGCTCTCACTGGAGGCAGACGAACTTGGACGACTCGGGGTACCGATCCGCTTGAGATCGTCCATGCGGACTCCCAGACTGTTATAATTGGTGGCAATTATGCTTCCGGACTGACAGAAGATGTCCCTATCGGCATGACATATTTCCTTAGCATGTCCATGGCATGGTAGCTCCAAGCGCACGACAGGTACTCCATTGTGAGCGCACAGGCTCTGGAAACCTAAACAGATGCCCAACACGGGAATGTTGTCTTCTGAGGCGCAAGCCCAGACTTTGCCGTACAGACCAACATCATGTTCATTGTATGGATTTCCAGGGCCGGGGCCGAGGACTATAGCATCGAAGCCAGCAAAGAATGCCTCTGGGGACTGGTTGAAGTGGGCCGGGATATCACAATCGATGCTCACTAGAGTCACCTCGACCAGAAGCTGCTCGCGAAGGAGAGCGGCTATGTTCTCTGCGAACGAGTCGTAGGCGTCGACAAAGAGAATCGACCCTTGAGTGGTCATCGATACTGTGTCGAAGTCAACCTGATGGAGAGAGGTGAATTACTCCTCTGGCTTTATACCCAACAACTGATGGTGGAACAGTCGCAGACCCAGACCAGAGACGCCAGAAGATCCCATCGACAATGCAGAAACAAACAAGTAGAAGACGACCTCCCTCCCACTACCTACGAAAACAAAAGTCGGGAGAAGATGGCGATGATTGCAGTCATCCCGGAAAAGTTTCGTGGTGAAAGGGAGAAAATTTGGCAGCAGGTCAAAATGTTTTGCCGGAGACGCCAAGGCTACATCTGCTCCGCCGTAGCAGGACATCCCCCAATTTGCACCCAAACTTGTCGACGGTCTTGCCAGTGTCGCCCAATCATGGCTCATTCAAGAAGACGGTGAAGTCTGCGAGGATAGGGACACGACAGTGTTGAAGAAGCGCGCAAGATGATTACATCCGTCGTCGCGAATCAGCAACTATGGCCGATCTCAAAGACGACCTGACCGAGAAAGCTCACTTTGACCCTAATTGGATCGCCTGGAATGGAGGCACTCTACACTCGAACAATGGTGTGTGACAAGCTGCTCAGGACTTTCCGGGCGCTGACTCTTCCTCTGCAGTGCTCTTTTATTTCGCGACGTCGCCTTTCTTTGATCACGTCTCGGGCAATCAGTCGCTCTTCACACAGTGGGCGGGCACGCCAAACCAGAACGACATCTTAGGCACGAGGGCCAAGTTTGAGGCCAATCTGCGCCATCAGCGCGGTATACAGTACGTCGTCGAGCACGATCCCCTGGAGGAGCAAGTCGTCTTTGACGGACCGAACGGACCTGAGAAGTCCAACGTCTGGGTGATTCGCAAACAGAACCGTGAAAGCGGGCGAGACGACGGCATTACGGTTTTGGGCTACTACTATATTGTCAACAACGTCATCTATCAAGCCCCCTCGGTTGCCAGCGTTCTGAATTATCGTCTAGTAAGTCGAGTCGCAGGGCTCGATCTACCCCCTTTGTTGACGTGGGCTCGTATAGCTGAACACGGTTTCCGCACTCAACAAAGTCTTTACGGCGCCAGCGGATCTATGCCTCTTTTCAGTCTCCCATGGCTACACTTACCATAAGCCTATCCAGCCGTCAGGAACACAAAGCACCCTGGGTGCCTCACAGCAGCCTAATGAGCCACCACCGCCAACACCAGGCCCTCAACCTTCTACTACTGAGAAGGCTGCGTCTACTTCCCAATCCCAGGATGAATCAGATGACGGGGCTCGGACGGCTTGGGACGCACTTCGGATGACAATGCAGTACGGAAAGGAATATGTGGATGACATGCCGTTGGTGGGCGAGCCAGGGAACTTCCGGTTTTCTAAGAGCAAGGATGCGAGTACGACGACTGGCCAGGCTAAAGCTCAAGGGCAGACGTCGCCTACTGGTACTCCGGGTCAATCCCGAGCAGCTTCAGTTGTGCCTCCGACATCGAGCATCCCGTCTGCAACCACCAAGGGCCCTAAGCTGGTAGAGAAAACCGCGACACTATCTGATGGAGCAGCAAAGGTCAAACGGAGGAAGAGTAAACCGGGTGAACCCAGTCCATGACGCTCCAGGGGGTGTGGCGATCACATGCGGCTACACTTGAATCGGATGTCGGCAGCGCTTACATCTCCAGTACATGGCTTGTACCAACTGGCTCTCTTGGGTAGTGATATAGCTGCATATGATCCAGGCTTGTTGATTCCCTAAATATCCATTCAAGTTTATCATTAGTACCAGCAAAGGACGAGGCGGCTCTGAGGCCGACTATCAAACACTGCGCCCAAGGGTGTGGTCACGTGAACTCCAGTCGCATAAGGCTCCTCCTGCGGCAGGCAGCGCGAGGCAAGCGTCACCAGCCTGCGACTGGCGACCCTTTCGCCGCATTTGTTCATCTTGCCTTCTCAACTTACACATCCTCCCCTTCCCAACAACAGTCAGGCCACTCATTTTCTTTGAAAGCCATCTTCGCTTTCCTGACTTGTTTCTATCTTATCGATCCAAGACTTGAGTCTGTGACCCAGTGACATTCCGTTGACGAAATCCGACCGCTTTGTGTGCGTGGCGGGGCAAGATGAAGCTCTCCTTCAGAGTCCGTAAATCTGACCTGTTACCGGTCGGAGAGTCACTAATGCCCGTGACAGGATCTCAAGCAGCAAAAGTTCACGATCGATGCCGAGCCATCAGATACAGTACGCATTTCACTTTTCTCCAACTTCCTGAACCAAGACAACAGGCTTACCCCATGCGCTCAGATCGCCCAGGTGAAAGAGAAGATTGCCAAAGAGAAAGGATGGGAATCCTCGCAGCAGAAACTCATCTACGCTGGTATGCAGACCTTGAATCCACCTACTGCGCTTCGACCTCCAGACAGCTGACCTCAGGACAGGCAAGGTCCTCGCCGACGCCAACACCGTCGAGTCCTACAAAATTGAAGAGAAAGGTTTTATTGTCTGTATGATATCAAAGGTTGGTTATCATCCCATGCTTAAGGCGACAGTCAGTTGATGGTGTTTCTCCTTCAGCCAAAAGCTCCCCCGGCGGCCAAGTCTGGCAGTCCCTCGACACCTGCTCCATCAACCTCCACCTCTACGTCCACACCCGCCGCACCAGCTGCGCCTCAACCCAACCAATCTACAACCGCCTCAAATCAGCCCTCGACCCCCACGCCTGCTCAAAGCACAGCGGCCACGACCGCAACCGCGACCGCAGCCGCAACCGCAATTGCAACAGCTGGCTCTGGCTTTAATGACCCCTCGGCATTCCTGATCGGCAACCGCAATGAAGCAACTATCCGCGAGATGGAGGCGATGGGATTTCCGCGACCAGAAATAGACCGCGCATTGCGGGCAGCTTTCTTCAACCCAGATCGCGCCATTGAATATCTCCTGAGTGGTATCCCCGATAATATCCAGGCAGAGCAACAACAGGCGACCCCAGGAGCTGCAGCAGCAAATCCAACATCGCCCCCAGCACCTCAGCCTGCTCAGCCTGCTCAAGCCGCCTCGCCTGCCGGAGACGAGCCCATCAACCTGTTCGAAGCGGCGGCACAGGCTGGCCGTCCAGGTGGTAGAAGAGCAGCCGCCTCAGCGAGTGCTCAAGCAGGGACAGCGACAAACATGGACTTTCTGCGAAACAGCCCGCACTTCCAGCAACTCAGACAATTCGTTCAGCAGCAGCCGGCAATGCTCGAGCCCATCCTACAGCAACTCGCCGAAGGTAATCCTGAACTTGCCCAGATGATTGGTTCAAATCAGGATCAATTTCTTCAGCTGCTTGCAGAGGTAAGAGGACGAACACAAGGTCTTATTGATTTCTGACTTAGGACTGTAGGATGCTCAAGATACTCTCCCTCCCGGTGCAACGCAGATCCATGTAACCGAAGAGGAGCGGGACGCCATCGAACGGCTTTGCCGACTCGGCTTCCCTCGTGACCAGGTCATCCAGGCCTACTTCGCTTGCGACAAGAACGAGGAACTAGCGGCGAACTTCCTCTTTGAGCAGCCCGACGACGAAGAGCAGTGATCAGAGGGGTTCATCGCCTTTAGCGCCATATCGATACAACTGGGTCCGAAACCGAAAGCGGAGTTCTGGTGGTTTGCACAATGCGTCTTTGGATGGCCTGCCTGCATGCGACGTCAAGTGACAGCTTGAGATATCATGGCAGCAAGAGTTGGCGACTGACCTGGTCGCTCATGTGCGTGGGGAGAGCCTTTCGATGGCGGTAATGGGTGTCGCTGGAGGAAACGACAGGGACGATCAAGTTCTGGGGAGTTGCGCCAACTATGCATGTTCTACGACATACCCGAATCTGCGTTTCGGTGCAAGTCAAGTCCCATAGCTAGTCTAGCCAAGTTTTCATGACAGATGAGCAAGAAAGGGCAAGTGGTTGACCTGGGCTCGGAGAACTCACAGGCCCAACATAATCCCACCCTACGTCCTTTTGGCAGATCAAGGAATGAGAATTACTCGATCAACCACCCACCAGAACGCGGTTGTTTTGTCCCGAGTTAGAAGAAGAGACTGTAATGTCTACCCATTGAGGTCGGTCGCAACTTTCGCTTTTGATTTTCTACATTGCCGTCCATCACTGTGGCACTCCAATGGCGTGGTGGTCTTTCCTCCTTTACAGTTCATTGCTCGGATTCTGCGTCGACATGTCTGCTGGCACTGTGGTGGTACTGATTCTTCTCTCTCCTTCCCCCTCGGACGCCGATGTGGTGGAAATCGATGTCGAACTTGACAACACACTGACTGCTTGGGATGAGGGCAGACTTGACCCCAGCGACGAGTCTGCCCCTTGAACCGGGTCCTCGTGAGCTTCGTCGTTCTCCGCCTCTTCAATATTTACTTCTTCTGTGGCCAGTTTCCGCCCTGTGTGTGCATCGACATACTCTACTGGGCCGCAGAGACGGTCAACCCTCCATACGCCCAGTCCTCGCCTCCCCACGACTCTCTCCAACGTCGGCCACACTCCATCATCCCCAAAGTCCAAGTCGTCTAGGTTCAAATGCCGGCGGAATACTGCCAGATTGGTCAAACTCAACTGTGCAGGCGGAAGGTTCATATCGATTGCAAAACTGAAATTGGAGACCGGAGGGTAGTCGAAGCCTGGCGTTTGGGCAGAAGGAAGCTGGGACGAACGTTGATGGGTATTGGAAGCATCGAGACGCCATGCGCTGAGTGGTGCCACCACAAAGACATCCGTCTTCTCCTTGTGTAAGATTAGGCGTTCCACAAGCGAAGGGTCGCATGTCGGCATGTGTTGCATGAGCATGAAGACCAATTCATTTTGCGGATACCCCATAAGCGGAACAGTGGAGATGTTCAGAGACCTGTTGGTTGCGGGATGCAATGGCTCAGAGCCGAGAAGGAAGGTCGGCGGTGGGTACGTCTTCCACCAGAAGACTTCGACATTATGGGCATCTGAATGGGTTGTGTTCAACGAGTGTATTACCAGGGAAGGTATGGCAAGCTGCGTTGGAATGATTCCACCTTGGTGATAGATGCCCATGAGGATTGCGAAGAGGGCGTTGAAGATGACCCAAGTCGTCCAGAAAAATACTGACAGTAGTTTAGAGGTTGGAGCCCGAATACTTGTCAGGATCAGAGGGATGGTGGGCAGGAGGAAGCGGGGTTCCTGGTGTGGAATAAAGCTGAGGAAAAGACATCCTGCTCCAGCAGAGGCAAGCCGATTGTTGGAGAGCATACCTTTCAGGATGCGAAGATTGAACGGGTAGGCAGACGCGATTAAGAGGATTAATGCTGGGCCGAGAAGTTGAGGAAGGTTGACTAGAAGATGTTGATAATGCGGATGGAGGCCGTGTTGTGCAAGATTGCTGGTCTGGGTATTGTACAGGAGATTATTGAGCGGAGTGATTACTGGGTTCTTCCGAACATGGTCGTAGAGTGCACCGAAAGACCTCGTGGCTGATGGTCCAGAATAGTAGGCCGTATCAATGATGACGGCAATTAGTGTCCAGAAAATGCCGGAAAGTGAAAGGGCAAGAAGGCAGAAAGGTCTCGAATGTGCGTCAGCCATGTGAATCGAGGCAATGGGGCGTCAGGATCTGGCACAATTGTCCTCCCTACTCACCTATTCCAAAAATGTGGCAAGAGTTGAATGCCGGGTATCACGACGAAGGCGGGAAAAGTAACCCGATTGAAGATTCCGAATACAAAAAGAAACCCTAGGACAGCACTTGACGTGATCGCGGACCGTTTCTGGACCGCCCCGTCAGTCAATGCTCCATCAGCGATCGTGGCAGGGGCATACCTTGTCGCGCAAGATACGCTCTATCATCACCAGACTCCACAAAACAAGAAGAGTCTCAACAGAGTTTGAAAAGGTATGTGTTTGAAAGGTCCAAGTCACATATGAAGAAGTGACCAAAATGACGGCCTGGATCCAGCGTCGAGGGGAGCGGACCAGTTCATGAACAGCCCAGTCCTCCAGTACAAAACTGAGAACAAACATGACAAGACGGAGAGTATAATAGATGATGGTGGGATCGACGCGATCTCCTTCTTCTTCCTGCGCCCAAGTCCATTTCAAAAGAGACATCGGCAATCCATAGATTGGCCATAGCGGAAAGACACTGCGGATTGGACGGGAAGATGTCCATTCCCATGTTGGACGAGTTGGATAAGGAAATAAATATCCTGGTCAAAGGGTATCAGCAACGTCAACCGCTCAAGACATCCGTTGACGCATACCAGCAATGGGTTCTGGTCCCTGAAAGATTTCGTCCGGGTGAAGATAACTGGGCGACACGGCAAAATAGACGCGAACAATCAGTAGGAGCAAGTACAATAACCGCCACATCCTGTCGTTTGATGCAGTCACCGTGCCGGATACGACGTAAGCTGTGTCATTGTTCTTTGTCTTATACAGGGTGTGAGCCACTCCCTCCAACTCATTCTCAATTGTGATCGGGTGTTGCGTGAGCGCGTCTACCAGCGCGTCACTTTGCGGAAGGAGATAGGAAGTGGTGGTGGGTTTCGCTACCTGTCGAGGAGGATCAGGAGATGCGATGGACGGCTACAAGGCGAGTAGCCTCCAGCAACGAGGACAGCGCACAGTCACAGGAGCAGGTAAGGTCGGTGGTGGTCAAGCAGCAGTGAGATTTGGTCTGTTGTTGTATGTACTTGGAGTTGCGCATGTTGCTTCCCATCAACGGGTGACGTCGGCCCGACTTGCACTCACGTGACCACTGTTCCCAGCCCTGCCAGCCTGCTAGGTCGCTAGGAGGCCGCCGCAGACAAAGACAAAGCACCTTCTACAGAGAAAGAATGATGCAACTGCTGTGCACGCAGTTGTGAGGGTGCACGCAGTTGTGAGGGTGCACGCAGTTGTGAGGGAGATACCTAGGCGAACTTGATTTGTCAAAGGCTCTAAGCAGCGTGAATTGTCTTGTGCATGTGTGTGCGAAGCAGGCATCGAATAGGCAGTAATTAATCACACTTTCGTAGACATTCGCACCCTTTCATCTCCTGTGCATCGATCCCTGTGCTTCCAGTTCCCTCCATAGATCGTCTCCGAGATCAGCGGGATCACAACAGCGCAGGACTTTTAGGTGAGAATGTCATCTTTCTCTTTGTCGCCAGAAAGGAAGTGAGCAGGGAAAGGCCCAACCCAACCAGCCGCCGATCCCGCACAGACAACGTCGCCCTTGGCATGACGGTTGCGGCCTTTCACCTCGCAGGCAGAGCCCCTACACATTCCATTGTGACTCTTTGTCCTACACATCGCCCTCGAACGCTCATCTCTTCCCTTTGCCTCGACATTAGCCTCCGCTTACCTTTACATCTGTACTGTTTCGTATCAACCTTCTACGCTGAAACAGAGATTGACGCGAGTCTCATCCTAGTCACACTCATCACCCCGCACCACACCCGTCACGAGTCCAAGTCTATACTCGCAACATGTCGTCTGACAACTCTAAAAAGCTGGTACTACAGAGCTCTGATGGTGAGGACATCGTAGTCGGTAAGCTACAATCAAGAACAAAGATGCGCCGTTTCTCCCAGCTGACTGTTTTCAGACCGGGATGTTGCTGAGAGATCTATTCTCATCAAGAACATGGTCGGCGATCTCGGTGAAGATGCCATGGAGGAAGCCATCCCCATCCCAAACGTCAACGCCGCTGTCCTCAAAAAGGTGATTGAGTGGTGCACCCATCACAAACATGATCCTCCTGCGACGAACGAAGATGACTCGGACTCGCGCAAGAAGACGACGGATATCGATGAGTGGGATCAAAAATTCATGCAAGTCGACCAAGAAATGCTTTTCGAGATCATTCTGGCGGCAAACTATCTCGATATCAAAGCTTTGCTGGATGTCGGCTGCAAGACTGTCGCCAACATGATCAAGGGCAAGTCGCCGGAGGAGATACGTAAGACGTTCAATATCCAAAACGACTTCACGCCCGAGGAAGAGGACCAGATTCGCAGGGAAAACGAGTGGGCTGAAGAGTAAGTTTACCGTCTACTGAATCCGTGCCAACGCATTCTGACTTTCCCTCAGTCGTTGACTCACTCCGTCATCATTACCCGCAAACTAGCATAGTCCGATGGCGTTGGAGGCGTTTGACGAATGACGATGGGTGGATTTCAGATGGGTGCAGGAAATCATCGAGCTGGTGGCGCAGTCAAAATCGATCTCCTTTTATCACTTGTCATGCTCGGTCCATGACAAACTCAATGGAGTGGCTTATGCCTGAAGTCCTAACGGCAACGACCGGAGCTGGGAAATGCAGGGATGCAGGGACACATGCACATGCCGACTCACGAAGGGATGACGGGCGGCGGTAATCATGCAGGTTCAGGCTGCTACCAAAAATACGTTCTGCACATAGATGACTCCCAACATGAAGCGACGTGTTTGCCGAGTCGGACGGGCCGGGTTTTACTTTTGGGGGCATGGAACGAGGACGTTAGATCGAAAACCCTCTTTTGAGTTGATGTTTTTAATCTGAGTTCTTTTGCACTAGGCTTCGACGCATGTCTCTAGAGCGTATTGCCGACCGTCATTTCCTGAACCAGCCCATCCCATCATTCATGCTTGTAAGGATCATGAACGGTGATCTTGAGCAATGCCCCCCAACTGACTCCCCTGCTGCTCAGCATGGAAAGAAAGCCCTGGCCTTCCATCGACAACACATGGGTCTTCTCCACCCCAATGCTCCTCTTTCCCATACACACCTCACGTCCTAGCAACGCTCCACCCCCTGATCACCGCCTCATTTCAGTGCTGAAAACATCCCCCCATCGCGGAAGACAATGAAACGCGTCAACTCGTCGGATGGATCCCCCAAAAGGCGAGCTATTGTGAATCCAGACAGGGTATGGAGGGCGATGAGGGTTTTGGTGTGGGAAATCTAGATGCCGATTCTGGTCTTGCGCCAGTGTCTCCTCTTCGCGTTGTATCTGTAGTTTGCAACCGGATGTGTTAGCCATGATCCTTTAACCCCGTCGCTCTTTCTGCGTTCGTGTTCCCAAAAGTCCTGAACAATAAAGCACATAACACTGGAGTCGATGATGGCTAGGATGAAGGGCCCGCCCCCGTTTGGTCCTCTCTTCGTCGTCCATTATGTGTCCATCTCCGTTTTCCTTCCCAGAATAGCCCAAGCTGGCAAAGAATTGTGCCCCGAACTCCCAGGTTCTGACCGGCTCAAGAAATCGTCCCGCCTTTTCTCCCAATGATAGATTGGACCCAATGATTCACGAAAGAATATGTTCATGGAGTGTAGTTGTGCGGGTGAAGAGTTCCCGTTGTGTCATGTATGGGCGACTGACCTGATGGTATTTCCCGTCCTCAGACGAATCCACTGGGGGATGGGTCGGTTCTGCTTCTGCGCCTTTGCGAGCTTCTGCTTCGTGCGGAAGGATTTGTGGCTCTATCAAGAAAACACTGTCAGCTCATGGCCATTCTCCTTGGAACTCATATAAACATGTAGTAACTGTAGACGGATTTGTGAAGGTAGGTTGGATTTTGATGCGGGCTTCAACGAAAGGTGGAGGGGGGGAGTTTGGCGATGAGGATCGTGGCGGGCGGTGTTCGATATGTATTCATCGCACACACTTGGCCTTGGTGAGGATCTTGAGGAGACGTACCGGCATCTTGACTTGTCTTCTCAGTCCGGTGACGAGGTCGTGGATGGAGGAGAAAATCAGATCTGTTTGTTGGAAAGTGGTGGTCAATTATTTGCGTGCCGCTGTGGACTGGACTGGCCCGACGCTGGTTGCCCAAATTTCGCAGCCCCGTCCCTGTGGGCTTGGCATTTTGCCAAGACCCGTCCTCCTCGGGCTACCTGCCTTGGGACCAGCAATTCCAGGCTTGTTCTAGTTGGGTAGATGAATTCCGAGATGATGCCGTCACCTGCGTTGCGCCGCCGCCGCTGCCGCTTGTTATTCGGCGATTCTAGGGGTTCTTGTTCTGCGCTTCCGAGGCTTGGGGTCGAAGTCGTTCTCCGATTGCGCTTCTGGGGAGAACTGCTGTCTCTGGTCAAGATTTATATTGAGTATTCCTACAGAGCTTTGATCCAACCCACCTTCCCAAGCAGCTCTCCAAGGGTGCTTTTGAAGAAGAGTCAATTAGAGGCCCATTGGATGCTTTGACCACTACTGCACTGTGTTTCCTCTCCAGCACAAGAAGAACGTGGGGACGTTAGGGCACAAAGATGTCTTCGAAGCTCAGGATATTGGTGCCCGTCAAGCGCGTCATTGACTATGCCGTGAGTTACCCTGTTACCCTGTCCCAGGAACGCAGAGGGTTTGCGAACACATTATATGCCTCCATTCACCGGCAAACTTGCATGCCCTTACTGACCATCCCGCCTCACGCAGGTCAAGCCCCGCGTAAAATCCGACCGCACGGGCGTCGAGACGTCCGGGGTGAAACACTCGCTCAATCCCTTCGACGAGCTCTCCATCGAAGAAGCCGTGCGGCTGCGCGAGCGCAAACAGCCGGTCGAAGATATCCTGGCCGTGAGCGCGGGCCCTGCCAAGTGCGCCGACACCCTGCGCACGGCCATGGCCATGGGCGCGGACCGGAGCATCCACGTCGACGTGCCCGAGGACAAGCCGCTTGAGCCGCTGGGGGTGGCGAAGCTGCTCAAGGCCATCGCCGAGAAGGAGCAGAGCAACCTGATCATCCTGGGCAAGCAGGCGATCGACGACGACGCGGGCCAGACGGGCCAGATGCTCGCGGGCCTGCTGAACTGGCCGCAGGCCACGCAGGCGTCCAAGGTGTCGATCGACAACGACACGGTGACGGTCGAGCGCGAGGTGGACGGCGGCGTCGAGACCCTGCGGGCCAAGCTGCCCATGATCATCACCACGGATCTGCGGCTGAACGAGCCGCGGTACGCGAGCCTGCCCAACATCATGAAGGCCAAGAAGAAGAAGCTGGAGAAGAAGACCCTCGGCGACTACGGCGTCGACGCCACTAGCAGACTCAAGACCATCAAGGTCGAGGAGCCCCCCGTCCGGCAAGGTGGCGGCAAGGTCGAGGATGTCGACGGTATGATCAACAGGCTCAAGGAACTGGGCGCCATTTAGGTGCAGGTGGGCACAAATGACTTAAAATTGGGCATTTATAGGCCGAGGGGGGAATAAGACTGCTGCGTCGTCGTTGTGGGAGGCCCACGATCGCACAAAATCTACACATGTACTTTGGAGGTGTCGTACCGGGGCGAATCGGCATGGGCGCAAATACCAAATACCTACTGGCACCGTATACATAAAGGCACGGAGTCCATCTCCAGAAGCATTAGGACAATCTGTTTTCGAAGCTCGTTCGTATTACGACAGCCATGGCTGTTCAGCCTTCCAGGCCCTGTCTCTCACAGGAAATGCTTTCTAGTGTCTGTGCTGTCTTGTACCGAGCTTGTGCCTGCCATGAAACGCCAACGCTATGCTATGTTATGCTCTGACGCTCTCAGAAGAGGCAAGCCGCCCCCCAGCCCGTCACCATTTCCATCTCAATCCCATTCAGTCATCCCATCCATAAGCCCTGGAGAAAGCATTGCCCGCATTTTTTGTTTTGTAATGTTGTTGAAATTTTTGTCTGGTCTGCCAACGTGCAGATACTGAATACTGAGAATCCGTTGTTGAGGAATCTTGAAGTTGATGTGTGAGTTGTCTTGCTTAGACGGTTCCAGCAATGGTCAGATCTCGAATCTCGGAGAGAACTTGCTCCACGCGATTGTCCAAATCTCCACGTGCATATTGTTCTCTGGTTTCTGGGTCCAAGTACTGCTGCACCTGTGCCATGCGGCTGTATGCTTCTGCGCAGAACCGGAGTTGGATCTTGACGAGTGCTTCAAAGCTGGGGTCGAGGTAGGGGACACGGAGATCGATGAGTTGGGGAAGTTCGGTGAAGAGTTGTTCGTTGAGTTGTTCGTACGCTTGCTTCGCCATTTCGGCTTCTTTTTCCGCACGAGGTAGTTTGGTCACGTCTTTGTCGGGTTTTTCGACGAGCTTCTTGACCTTGGAGCGCATGGAGTCATAGTCGAGGAGTTTGTTGTTTCGTTTCTTGATGCATTCGTTAATGTCAGGGAAGTACGCGCAGAAGCGGGAGATCGGTTCAAGGACAGTTGCTCTGCCAGCATCGTCAGTAGGTGAGGCGAATCTGAAGGAAAGTGTGAGAAGAACACGTACCGGTATGGGCCATCAAGCGCTTTGATAGTTTCGGCGTCTAGATCTTCGACGGCCTGCTTGTAGGATCGCGAAACGCCATCTCTGGTACCAGCGTCGCCGTAGAATGCGTCGATTGTCTCTGCGATCCTCATTTGGGATGCTGTCATCGCTGAGAGAGCCGTAGTCAGTTTCTGTAGTCATCACCAGCAGCATCATAGCCTGCTAACCTCGCAAACTGTCCAAATATCCTTTGGCCTCCTTCTGCAAACGGGTGGCGGCCGATTCCATCGTCCGGTATCTCCTGTAGCACGGTGGTCAGCCATGGGCTCCGTTCGATTTCAGGTGCCTTCGACTCTCACCTCTCCTCGACCTCGTAGTCCCGGTCGTTGGTCCTCTCGACCTGGCCTAGATGACATGGTCAGTGTTTCGCCTGACGGTGAGTCTCAGATGAGGCTTACCAGTCTTCATCATCACCTGCGTGGTGGCGCGGTTCACGCCCTTCTTGAAGCCGGCCCACGACATCTCGGTCGTCGAGGTAGAACTGCCAATATCTTCCTAAGCGGTGGTTGTATGCAGCGGGCGACTCAAAGGCAAGCGGGCCGTCCTCGACTGTGCAGAGGAAGAGAAGGAAGCAGTTGCTGATGTGGTGGGTGAGGGCCCAATGGCGGTTGGCCATGCGCCACCAGTCCGCACGGACCGCCGTATACTCGGTGCCAAAGCGGCCCCCAAAACTAGCCATGACGTCGTTGCGGAACGGAAGAATAAAGATGCGACATACGGTGAGGCATTTTAAATGGTGGTGCAGAAGCAGTGCGTGGCCAGGCTTGGCATGAGAGACCCACTTAGCATTTACCGTTCCAGCGCACACCCTGATCAATGCAGCATCACTTATACAGGCGGGCATCTTGACGCCAAATGGGCGGGACGCGGTCAAAGGCGGACGGCCTGTCTTTGCACACGCTGAAGCTGTCATCACTTGCACGGACGGCGACCTGGCGTCTAAAGCATGGGAAACTAGGCAATCTCCTTTCTCTGGACGTCCACTTGATCTTGAGGTTCTTTATATGCCCGACAGGCACAATGGCCATCATTCAGTCATTTCTAAGTGCTGATTGTGACTATTTCATCGACACGCACGACGCCGTGGCTTATCCTGAGTCGTCTACCAAGAGGTCGTCTATCAGGCTCCGTCTTCTGGGTGGGCGGCCGTCTGTATTCAAGGCCATCGACGGTAAAATGCACCGTAAGTTGGTGTCATTTTGCAAATGCATCACGTGAGGTCAGCCAGAGAGTACAACACTGTGGTGTTGTGATCATCTTGTCAGTGCCGGGGCCCTGCACCAGTCCAGCCATGAAAGAGATGGATCAAAGGCATGGAGTCTTCCGGTTCGCGACCGACAGCTTTGAGACCCTCGAACCGCGCAAGATCTTGCCTGTACCGGTTAGTGGGCATGTTCGACATGAATCTCTCTATACATGGACCCCATCATATGCTTCGTTGTCGAAACCCTCGGCTACAATAGAACCAAAGTGGTGGAGAGTGTGTTAGGGTTACAGGATGTTCTTCAGGTGGCAGATAGGCAGGGACACAGGAGTTTTGGTGTTTCTGGTTGGTAACGGGCCCCTGGGTCCAAGACTTGACACAATTTGCCAATATACCGGCGTCCATCGATAAAAAGATCTTGATTGAGTTGATGTACGATATGGGGAAAATTGATTTTAATTGAATCGGCTTGAACTCTAGCCCAGTAGCAATCAGAAAGAGGAACAATTATATCAAAAATAGGTATATGCAGGACGCCAGCGTTACCCCATAAATGTGATAAGCGTGAATGCGTGCTCTCCACAATGGAAACCTTAGCAAACCTGATGCAAAGGTCTTTCAGCTTTGTGGAAAACTTCTTGGACGCACAAGTCAGTGCTGCGAACCTGGCATTTTGGTCGTGAACGCCATTCTATAAGCTGTCCTGTCAGTCACGATCGTGGTAGCAATGCATTTGTGCGAGGAAATAGAGACGATCCCTAAGCATTGTTTGATAGCCCAAAGCAGGACGATTGAAGGGTCCGAAAGAGGTTGAGAAAGCTGCGTCCCTTGGCTGCGAGGTGGAAAGCATCTGGACACGGCCTGTCATGGTGCTGAGGAGGTCCTCGGATAGGAGAAGTAGTGATATCGAGACTGTCATCACTCAATATGCTCCTGGTCTCTCGGTTATGATGGGTTTCCCTTGTAGTTTGTCTTTGAGCAATCAATTGCATTCAAAGCCGCCGAAAAGAATTGGCGGCTGTAGCGAAAAGGTTGGAGGCGAGAGTAGAGCCAGCCATCAGGTATGAGGAGCAAGTGGGACGGAAACCAGACGAGACTGCATCCACATTAGCTCTGTGTTGATAGAGAAGCAATTGATTGATGTCTCAGCTTGGTCCTTTCCTCGTGTCAACTGTACTTACTACTCCCTTGCTTGTCCTCTCTAAGGACCAGGGATTATGGTGCTGGTGCTGGCCGCGCATATTGGGATAATCTGTCAACGTGCTAAATTCGGGAGACGAACTGACTTTCTGTGTATCCTTGCACACATCTCACCAGGAGCACCTGAGAGATGAAAAAAAAATCATAGTATCTGCCAAGTTGGACATACTGAACAAGCTATTGTGGTGTGCTTGGGACATACATGGATAATCGAATCCCGACAACCTTGATTGGAAGAGGTCAATAGGAGGTGCTAAAAGCCAAAAGGAGCAACCATCTCACAGAGAAAACTGCCAAAACCAACCTAGGGAGACTATCAAGCCCATGGGGAGGGAGAATAGAGACTTACGTGAAATAATACCTAAGATACGAGAAACTTCCACTGCTCCCACTCGAATGTCCTGCAATACAAAGGCCCCGGGATCATCTGCCAGTCCCGCAGGTGTCATAATCTCAGCCTGTTGGGATCAAAGCCACTGGACAGCCTCCATGGGCAAACCATGCTATCATCAGGGAAAACGACAGAACTGGAGCACTCTGACTTGAGCTTCGCGGAAGCACAATCCTCTTCGCGAGCGGGATCCAGTTCGAGGGAGTCGGACGCCTCAAGTTGGCCACCAACACTTCCCGACAGGTGGTTTCTCACCTGCGAAGCGTAGAAATGCGGTGTACCAAGGATCGCACAACCCCTATCTTCTCGACGTCACTGCAAGCATAGTCTGGATGTTCATCACCTGTTATTTCGTGGCAGCTCTTGTCCTTTTTCCCGAGCTCGGCTATGTTAGTGAGGCGCTGGAACATCGTGTTTCAACATTCCCGCAGAAATGGAGAGGTGGCTGTAAGACCAAGAGCTGACGATCACAGCTGCTATGATCAGTCCGAAGGTGAAGATCACATTAGCTCGTGCACGAACGACTGGTGTTTTGGCATTCGTTTTGCATGCTGAATCGGTCGAGATGCATGGCTGCTCATTTGACAACACGCGGGATGATGCAGCCAGGGACGTCTTCCACCAGGGGCAACAGGGTGGGTAAAGCCAGCGGACTTCCAGTTCGGAATGAAAGAGAGAGGAAGAGAGAAGGGGAAAAATGGGACACACTGCTATGCGGTCAATGAGCTAGATACAACGCACGCAACCTTGTCCCCACGCGTCCCGAACAAGGAATTTGGAGCCAGGAGAAGCTGTAGTGGTGGTCCGGGAATTCACGATGGCCTCGTGTAGTGATGGCCAATAGAAGAGCTACCAACACACCCCATCATCTGTCTCCCTTTCCACAGTGAATGCGGAGGCGGCTACTCCCTTCCCAAACATGCCACTCGGCCATATGGCGGCCTGCGAGAACGGTATTGGGTTTTGCCGGGGGTAGGTAGGCAAGGTAAACCGAGGAAACAGAGTCAACCATTCAAGGACCAAGCAGGTTGAATGGAAACCGGCTTCAGCAGGGCAATTGTTTGGCGGCTGGCAGGATTCACACGTCAAGTTGATCTTCCATGAGGCTAGCTGTGGCACAGCGTGGCAGGAGTGAATTTCGAATTGGACGGTGTAGGAAACGAGCACATGTCTGCTCAAGACAAATGGAAAAGAACAGTGCATCGCGAGCATCGGTGAGACGGTCACCATGGACATGACGTCCGAGATGGAGCCGCTCGCCAACACATGCAGTGGAACTGAGGTCGTGCCGCTGGACTGGGCTCTGGGATCCGACGCTCAAGCGGTGAGACGGTGTCAGGACGAGAAGATGGACAGTAGAAGCCAAAGTGGCCCGTGTGGAAAAAGGTTGATGACAGGAGAACGAGTGACGAAAAAAGGTGCAGATGGAGCTGCAGCAGTCAGAATCCCTGTGGGAAGCTTCCTGGCGAGCCTCGCTACTCTGCGGGAATCACCACACGAGGAAGTCGTGCTCTAGTCATCCTTGCTTTGAAATCGCGCCCGGCCTGGACCTAGACTGCGAGGTTGCGAGGTGGAGGTGGTGGAGTAGACGGTGGTTGCAGAGGTGCAACATTCTGGACGGACGGGATCCAGGGGAGTTATTCCACCACACCGAGGAAGAACGAGGGATGTAAGCGTGCAGGGAGATGCCACGGATACCGCCAAGCAGGTTACGAGGAAGGGAGCAGGCGGAGGTACTCAGAGACGTACGAGTAGGGAGCGAGGTATTCGTGTTGTGGTGTTGTGATGGAGGGCGCAGGCAATTGGGGAGGGTGAGCAACCATTGGTAGGAGAGGAGGAATCGACAGAATGATTGTCGTCCAATTTGCTATTTGGCTTTGAATTGTTATTACTCGATCGAAAAGAAAACCTGGAACAGCGAATTGCTCAATTCCGTGCCCAGTGCATGCCATGTACCTGGGAGCGTATCGTTGGGTAGATTGAGCGTACCAAACGGACAAGCGGGGAGCCAGAAGAACGCACAGCACGAACGGAAACAAAATCAATTCAGACAATCAGAGGCGAGGGCCGTCCAAAATGCACCCTGGAGGCCTTTAACTAGGGTGTTAATTATTATTACCTGCAGGAACAGCCTAAGTAACCGATGAGCCCGGGCTACTGCACAGTAGGACTCTGCTCGGGGAGTCCCAGGTGGGTGGGTGGGTGCCTTCGGGTGAAGATCGAGGATGAGGGGGGACCTGCAGCCCCTACAATCCCTACAATCCCAGTTAAACACCAACTAACTTAGCCTGCCCGCATGCTGCATGCTGCACCCTGTACCCTGCACCCTGCACGCTCTGCACGCTCTGCACGCTCTGCACGCTTCATGCTTGCTGCCACCCCCCCTTTGCCAACCGAATCTACCTAGGTAGGTAACAAACAGCACATAGCCTGCAGACACTCCATCTTTTGCCCTCCGTCTTCACACAACCTCATCAGCAATTGAACGGAGAATTTATTCGCCATCAGGCCATCCTCTTACCACTGCTTCACTCTTATTGCTATCATCTATTGTTGCAGATATAAAAAGGTCCTCATTGACGCACTCAAACGACCTCCACCTCCCCTCAATCTCCACAAACTCACTTGTCGACCCTCCGTCACCATCGTCGTCATCGTAAAGAGGTGGTTGCTGAGTAGTGGTAGTGGGCTCTCGCGAATTGGATCGCTGAGTTTCACACAAATCGGGACTGGAGGAAAAGAAATTCTCTCATACAAATCCTCACAAGCGGACACGCGCACTTTTCTCCCAGGTCTTGCTCTCTCCCACTCCCTGAACTGCCCTACCAAAACTGCCGACTACGCCTGCGTCCTGACCCTCACAAGTCCCGAGAACACCATCCCAGCAGTCAGCCAGGACACCTACTGGACGACTCTCCCTCACTACCGCTTTCGTTTGCCTATCCTGTTCCCGAGACCTGGCGCAATCCCAGACCAGGTCCTTGAACTTGCATCTGCACGCACGCACGGTCCTGCATTGGTCAGCAGCTGCTAGGCAGGCCAATCCGCTGCGTTGCCCGCACTGGCCCCCTGGCTCGCAGGCCTGGCTGTCACAGCCACCGTCCAAAACCCACTCCAACTGCTCGTTCCGTCTTGCCGGTGAGCACTGAGGGCAGCATCACACAACTGGCAAAAGTTTGGCTCACGAAAAGCCAAGGGTCAAGGGCCAAGGGCCACGGTCCAAGGTCCTGATTCACCGTGCTTGACAGATCGTGAAATCTCCCTGCCTGCGCATGCACACGATCAGCCGCCCCAAAAGTCCTCCTCATCACTTAAGGCCTCAGCAAGCCGTCAAATCGCCCTCGGTCGCCCTCAACTGCTGCGCAATTTCTAGCCCCTCCTAGGCTTCCTTTTTTTTTTCACGTTGGCAGCAAGCACGCACCTTATTCCGTCCTCGCCACCACACATATTTATCATTCTTACCAATATCCAACCTCATCCGGGAAACACAAACAACAAGTGCCAAAAAGAACGAACGCTTCGAGAATCATCCTTGCGATTTTATAACCAAGTTCTCGTTACACGAACTGCAGTCGCGTACCACGATACCCTTATCTACCGCCACTAAACATCGAGAGATAGGGCGTCCGGCCCTAAACAACTCTCCCCCCACCCCCTCTTGTACGCCTTCCTCGCGCAGACACCATTCACATGAATCACGCACCATCGCCAGTTCATTTCGCTACGCAACACTCCCCTACCAGTACGCTCGTTCAGTCCCCCGTGTTACACGACGATGCATCGACGCATTCGATAACACGACCGGCGGAGGATACGGCACACCTCCAGGTTCCGGTAGCCAACGGCGGTGCCGCGCCCACCCCTAGCCCCTCGAATCTGTCCCCCACGACGTCAAATTCGGGCGCAGCTGCGCCTAAGGAGCCTGCAAAGAAGGGCAAAATGACGCACCGTCTGACCCGAATGTTTTCTCGGTCCGACCCCAGAGACGTCGAGGCCGCCAAAGCTGCAGTTGAAATAAAGGAAACCTCTCCCGACGCCCGTCTTGAAAACGGCACCCCTCCCAACGGCCGACCTCCTCCTGGCAGACAAGGGTCGAATGACGAGAAGAACGCCCGCAAGATGACTATCCTCGGTACCGCGAAAGAGAAGACCAAGGGTGAACCGCCGTCGGATTCCTCCCATGCCCTGCATAAACGGTTCGAGATCCACGATGACGGCACTCATGCACACTTTCTCAAGTCCGCCAAACGACAGGAGAAATTGTCCGACATGCTCCGCGACATGCTCGGCGGTGGCAAGAAAAAGGATCAGGATGGCGCTGGCGATCAGCAGCTGACGCTGATGTCTTCCTGGGTCGACCAACTCAGATCGGAGAAGGACAGCCTTGCTTCTGACAAGAAGGGCGGCCCCAACGCCACGGCCAACTTGGTTGAGAAGTATGGCAAATGCCAGGAAATTGTCGGCCGCGGTGCTTTCGGCATTGTGAGAATATCCCACAAACCCGACCCTAATAGCGTCGGAGGAGAGTTGCTCTACGCCGTCAAGGAGTTCCGCCGTCGTCCGCAAGAGACGGCCAAGAAGTATCAGAAACGCCTGACCAGCGAATTTTGCATCTCATCGTCGCTTCGCCATCCCAATATCATCCACACGCTTGATCTCCTGCAAGATGCCAAAGGTGACTATTGCGAAGTCATGGAATACTGCGCCGGTGGGGATCTCTACACCCTGATTCTGGCCGCGGGCACTTTGCAAGTTCCTGAAGCAGACTGCTTCTTCAAGCAGCTGATGCGGGGTGTCGAGTACATGCATGAGATGGGCGTGGCTCACCGCGATCTGAAACCCGAGAATCTTCTCTTGACCACCCACGGCGCCCTCAAAATCACCGACTTTGGGAACGGCGAGTGTTTCCGCATGGCCTGGGAGAAGGAAGCCCACATGACGGCCGGACTGTGCGGCAGTGCCCCGTACATTGCCCCAGAAGAATATAGCGGTGGCGAATTTGATCCTCGCGCTGTGGACGTTTGGGCCTGCGGTGTCATCTACATGGCCATGCGGACTGGTCGGCATCTCTGGCGAGTGGCCCGCAAGGAAGAGGACGAATTCTATCAGCGATATCTCGAGGGACGGAAAGATGAAGAGGGGTACGCCCCTATCGAGACTTTGCACAGGGTAAGCATTCCCCGGCCACTGATTACCAGTTCTCAACTAAGTATTGGCATTACTAGGCTCGTTGCAGAAACGTCATCTATTCGATCCTCGACCCAAATCCTGGCCGCCGCATCACCGCTTCTCAAGTTCTCAAATCCGAATGGGGCCGAGAGATCAAGGTGTGCAAGGCAGGCGAGGAAGGCTTCTGATCTTCCCCCTTTCCCGTTTTCCGGCATGATGATGCTTTCGCGAGGCGCTTCTGCGTCCAGCGTGCATCGACATGAGCTATTCCCCCTCTCGTGATTCAGGCACGAGCATGACCCTGACGAAGTGATGATTGAAGCATTTTTCCGTGAGCAAAAGACCAGCGTCTTGATCGGGTTCTGTTTGGGCCTTATTTCCAGCTTCCAGGTTACGACAATGCGCAGAAGAAAGATTTGGGAGGATAGCGATTGGTCAACCATTGGTTCATTTGGATAGCAAAGAAGGGCAAAAAGAAGGCATTCTAATTGTTTCGCTCCATTGCGGATGTGTTTTGACGACTGCCCACCAGCTCTGGCCACCGGGGCGCCAGGAAATCCCCGAAAAGCGAGCCGACTCTGTAACAACAACCAGCGGTGGTCTACCTAGCATACCAGTCTGTTTGCCAGCGCGAGGCCCAGCACGGTCACCCAGCCTTGTGCCGCCCTTGGATCTATATATATTCCTGCTTCAAGGCCTGGGCAACTCCGACCGATACACTGTACCACAACCTAGGGGATGCTGTTTTGATAAAATTCGGTCATTTTTCTTGATATTCGACCACTGAAGGAGATTTCTATGTTTTCGGAGCAAGATGCAATCAAGCAAGATTTGACACTGAGGGCTTGGTGTTGCCTGCGTGCCGTGGCGTGCTACGACCAACTCTGAAGGCTCTCCCGTGAGCAGCCCAGTGCGACGATGGGATCCAGCATTGATGCATCCCTATGCCGCCAAAGAGACTGGGATCTTGTTGTTCCCTCGTCTCAGCCCGGCGCCTAGCATGGCATGGATTGATCTTCGTTTGTCCCCCCCCTTGACCCGCGTAGTACCTGCATAGCCTGCAGCCACCCAGGATGAACTCAGACTGTATGACCATGGCGGCACCTGGTTACTAAGGTTGCTTGATCAGAATTGCTGGATTGAGGATTGATCCGGGCCTTCCATCCAACAATCCATGCATTTGTTCACCAGAGGTCCAGAGGTCAGGGGTAATGGCCCGCTAGAGATGCTCTCGTCTAAGCCTACATGGAAGTTCCCTCCCCTCACCTGCCCTTCTCATCCAAGACTGGAAGGGCGCGATCCTTCAGACGTCATTGTACGTGTCGTTAGAAGTGACCGGGATCAAAGTCGGGTTCCCGATCAGCACTGTGCATGAGTGAGGGTGTGTGTCTTTAACTGACCACGAGACCACGCTCCCTCGCTCGCTACATACCGGTACATCATTTGGGGAGCTTGATACTTAGAAGACGGATCCTTCTTACCTACCCAGCTAGGTAGGTAGGTAGGTATATTATATCATACTCACTTAGTAACCGGGATGTACCGTTCATTGACATCCAACAAGACCCCCGAACCTCGCTCGATTCTCGGACTCGTCTACTCGCCTCGCCTCGCCTCCAATCATCCAATATAACATCTCTTGTTCTCTGCACAGTCTTTTGACTTGGTGTATTATATTTAGCCACTAAGGTCCTTATGTACCTAGTGTAGGCCGACCCATTCCAGCTCTTAATTTCTCACTTCGCAAAATATTGACCCTGAAAAGATCTCCGTCCGCCTCTATAGTACTGTAACCAGTCTTACTCACGCAACGTTCTCTTCTCTGGCTGTGTTTGCGTGCCCAGCCGCTCGGTGCCGCCCCGACGGAAAGGCTCGGTCCGGATATGCATGCATCGTGCCTTTGGGGGGTGTGTGTATCCTCATCAGCGATATTGGGTTTTTGCTTTTTTGCTTTTGGTGGGATGTGTGGGAGGGTTGGAGTGTTGGAGTGTTGTAATGATGCATGTCTACTAGTCATGTTACGGTCCCGGGAGGCGGGCTGGGATGAGATGGATGAGATGAGATGAGATGGGACGGGACGGAATGGATAGAGTGAGGCGATGGCCAAGGCGATGGCCAAGGGAAGAGAAGGGCAAGAGGATTGGCAAGGGAATAGTGAGGCATTTACGTGGGGGAAAACCCAAGACCAGATACGAGGACGGCGGTAGGTCTAACATACCTCCTCTGTAGGTACGTACTTGGAGGTAAGTAGGCTAGGCTAGACTAGGCGGGGGAGAATGTTCAAGAGGACGACGACTAACAGAGAGAGCGGGAGAGTGGGAGAGGTAAAGAAAGCTTAGGGAGGTAGGGCTCGGTCAACTCCATACCTAGATACCGTACGCAGGTCCGCCGTGCCCAGGTTCACATGAGGACCGAATTGGGTAGAGGAGAGAAGACAAGAGTAGAGTAGAGTAGAGTAGATCGCAACCCGGAAGGGGAGGACTGGATGTGGACGCCAGACGACGAGAGAGGGATGTTAATATTGTGATAACACTGTACGGTGGGTGCCATTATAGCCCACAAATTACGGGGTAGTCAGGTAGTTAGGTAGTCAGCCAAAGACAGCTTCCTCTTCACTTCTTGTCTAGAGCATCTACATATGCGTGGAGCACACATGTTCCGATCAGAGACGAGACTACACGACAAGGCTCAACTCAAGAGTCCAGGGAGAATACGGGGAATCAAACCAAGCAGCCAAGTATTGACGAGGTAGAGATACTCAATGCAAAGTCGAAGCAGCCCATCCAGCGATCCAATCCTGTCCAGCGCAACAGAAACATTGAATACTCCTCAGCCTCACCGACCTCTCCAAACAGTAGCTAGCCAGATTGTCCGGTATCATTCAGATCAAACAACTCCATTGCATGGTTCCCGATTTGCTTTTCTTTTCTCTTTGCCAGTCCACATGACAAACAAGCACTCCGCCTCCCCAACCACTTCAAAACATGCATCGACTTGATATCACCCCGTTCATGTACAGTCTGGACACCGAGTTTCCAGGATCGAAAGTCCGTTCGTCACCCACGCCGGAAGAGCTTGAGGATCACGCCCCTGTGGGACTGTGGTGCGTCTTTGTAGACCCTCTATGCTTGCCATTCCCGTCTCCTAGAGAGGAATCGGTATTGCGGCATTGAGGTGTCCTCCTCCCTGCTCCAGAGAAACGTCTCCCGGATTGCGCCCGCAGAGAGCAGGTAGCGTGAGGAGTGGAAGTCGAGTCAGCTTCTCCGGAGAAAGTGCTTTTGATCGAGTGACCATGGGCCGGTCCTCCAAGTAGGTCGATGTTCATAGTTTGTTGCGTTCGCAATCCGAATCGTCATGGAATGTCTGGTCTCGCCGATACACCTTTTACGAGGACAATTCAATCACTCGCTGTCATCACTATCCTCCTTCACTCCGCTCTCTCTTTTCTTCTCCTTTTTCTCCTTCTTTTCCTTTTTCCTCCGTTTCCGCTCGGCTTTCTCCTCAGGCGTCTCGCCCTCGTGTTTACTCTTGCGCTTCTTCTCCTTTTCTTCTTTCTTCATCTTCAGGGTAGACTCGCCGTTCGTCGTCGGAGGCTCTGCTGCAGTCTCGTCGAGATCCATTTGACCGCCGGCGTCACCATTCGGCGCGACAGGTGGAGCAGACAGGACGTCGGATTTGGAAGTGGTCTCCCCTACAGGAGCGGATTTTGTTCCTTCCGTATTGGCGGAAGCACCGTAATCGGTGTACTCAGCATTCCATTTCGCCGGAGTGTTTTCGTTTGGTCGTCCATATTTCTGTGGTGATAGGTTAGAATAAAAGCAGTCGAGAAGGGGAGGGAAAGGCCATACGTCAAGTTTTCCATCAGACTTCATCTTCTTTTTCTCCAGCGCCACAGGTCCCATACCCCACCGTCGCGGGTACAGGTCTCTCTCCATGATGCATCTCTTGACTTTGGCAACAACACCATGGTCACAGGTAGACAGCTCAACAGTCGACATCAGCGCAATACCAAGAGCGATGGCTTCGCCCTTCGTCGTCATTAAAACAACCTCTTCGTGGACTTCGATACCAGCCTCGAATCGTAGGAGACCAGGAATCATCAGTTTGGCACCGTAACAGACAGCATTGACCGCGCTATCCTTGACAACAATTCTCTTGTATGTGGTCAAGAGACTCTCGAGCGGGGAAATCACTTTGCGCAGATACGACTCGTCTCGGTTGTTGTCCATCATCCATTGCGCGTCGAGGACGTCGTGTAACGTGACCATGCCATCGCTCTCGGCCATCGCTCCACTCCTGACTCTTCGCAGTTCCTGCATGTGCGCACCGACACCTAGCAGCAACCCCAGGTGTACGCAGAGCGTTCTGATGTAAGTTCCAGCTTCGCAACTGACCCAGAAAACGCCCAGATGCCGGTCATTGTCGAACTCGTACAGCTTGCTCTCGTGGATAGTTCGGATACGGAGCTGTCGCTTGACCGCGGAGATGAGGGGAGGTCGTTGGAACAGGGCACCCGTCAGCGTTTCAAGCGCTCGAGCAAATTGCGCCTCTCCTCCAGGCAATTTATCGTGTAATCGGATGACGCAGACGTATTCTTTTCCGGCACCTTGTTGCGATTTCACCAATCTAGTGGCTCGGTCGATGCAAACAATCAAGCATCCTGTGACTTTGGGGTCAAGTGTGCCGCTGTGGCCGGTCTTCTCTACCCGCAATATCCGCTTGACCCAAGCGACAACTTCGTGGCTAGAGGGGTTAGAGGGTTTGTCGAGATTGATGACGCCGGACGAGATGTAGGATTTGAGATCGCGTTTCAATGGGGTGCAGCCCACAGGGATCGGCGTGAAATGACCGGTCCGCACCAATACTAGAATTCTCATGTTAGTTGGAGCTCCGAGGTCTTGACTTTGGGGACTTGCATTTGTCATAGTTCTTCAACAGGAGAGGCCACTCAGACGTCGGAATCTGGGGCGTGATGTTTTCTGGTTTGATGCTGAAATCAGCCTCCGCGACCTTGGCCATGTTGGCGGAGCTGGGTTCGCCCAGACTGAGATTTGCAGCGCGCAAGAATGTGTGCACAGAGCTCGCGAGGACCTAGGAGAGTGCTGAATAAGACACAGAGGGAGCAGCTCCCGGGAAACGTATTCTCTGTATGCTGCAGATATCGATGTGGGAGTATGAAATGCAATACTGGAAAAAAATATCTTTATTCTCTGCGATCACAGAGCGAAAGAAATGGAGTCGAGCAAAATCTTGAACGGCGAGTCGGTGCGGAGAGCGCATTAGTCCGTAAATAGACTAGGGCACAAGCAAGGCTTGGCACTATCACAGCCTCGAAATCTTTTCAGGCAACATTCCAACTACGACACTCTGTCCAATCCACATAATATATAATCACCCTCTTTCTTCCCATGTCTGGCGACTTTCCTTGAGATTGTCCTCATTCCATCTTACCCAGGATCTAATATGAGCGGCGGCGGCGTTGATATCATGGACAGATTCTGGAGCACGCCTCCGGTCACGCGGTTGGTGAATCCTTTGCATCTCCTTGCCCGAGCTCGACACGTCTAACAATGCCAAAGGACGATTGTAGCTGCAATGTTTGCAGAATCTGCACTGGTCCATTCAGGTCTGGTATCTGGCATGCGGATCATCTATCACACACCTTGGATATTCAAGTTCCCTCCTGAGCTTTGGCGGCTACTTTCCTCCTTCCTCTTGACGGGTGGTGGCTTTTCCTTTGTCTTCGACCTGTACTTCAGTGAGTTACCATCCTCTCCTCCCTGATCCACGTCTAACTCTATCAGTGTACACATATGCCTCTGGCCTAGAACTGAATTCTCCTCGCTTTGCACAACCGGGCGACTTCTTCACCTATGTCCTTTTCGTGGCAACTGCCATCCTGGTCAGTCCTCCAGCTTTTTCTCTCTTCATCCAGACATTCCCATTTTTACCCCCAACACCTCGCATATCTGCCCGCCCAGCCATTTCTAGCTGAAGCGGTTCCTGGAAACGAGGGAGATTACCCCTGTGGCACATAAAATTCCCTTCATTCGCAAAACTGTCAATAGGACTTTATGCGGCACAGGCATGGTGGTGGCTCCATTGAGAAAGCTGTTCGTGAACATTCAATTTGCGTTTGGCGGTTTAGGCTTCCTACATCACAACACATTGCAACAACTGGTCTTCCACACCGTCGTAATGTCGGTCTACTGACTTTGGAGAAGGTATCTGGAGGGCTTGTCCTCGGTGGCCACGTCTTTACCCAGGCCCTCCTTCTTGCCCTCATTTACACTTTTGCCCAGGATAACAGGGGCAAGAAAGCACATTTCATCATACTCCAAATCCCAGTCGAGCTGCTCCCTTGGGCTATGCTCACGTTGACCCTGATAATGGGCGGGCCGCAGGCAGCCCTGCAACAAGCCACTGGCGTCTTTGCCGCTCACCTCTACGACTTTCTCACAAGACTGTACCCAACCTTCCAGGGAGGCAGAAATTACATACAAACTCCAGCAGCAATCAAGAGATATTTTGGCGCAGATCGAAGCGCATTCACTCACAAAGCCTATGGCACGAGCTTCAGACCCGGCCAGAGCGTCCCCCAGCAGCAGTCTCGCGGTTGGACTAGTGGCTTTTCAAACTCTTGGGGTGGTAGGGGCGCCGGCCGGCGGCTGGGAGGCGACTGAGGGTCCTTTGCTCAGCGATATATTGTGAACAACCTGTATAACAGCATTTGATGAGACATGAGATACCCGCCAATCAGACATGTTCAATACTGAAGAACAATGCCATCGTCGTCCTCAAGGATGGACTCCTCTGCCAAGACCAACTTGCAGCTGAAACATGTTGGACCTCAGGGGTCGATCCACATGGAATCCACAGCCTTGTCTTCTCCACGGGTTTCATACGTTTCTCGTCTCACGGCTCCAGTGTTTCCGGTCAATCCTCTTCCACATTCTGGATGCGCCCATTGTGACTCGCTACCGCCAAGATGGACCTGCCACATCACATGCTCCAAAGTTTGCTTGACGAGGACAAGATGCGTCTCGAAGCATATGGGGAAACACTGTCCACGCAATGCTTGAGCCAGACTTCTCGCTTGCACTGGATACAGGCGTGAACTCGCACGCATAGTCGTCAGAGGGATCCTCTGGATCGACAAAAACCATGCATTTTGAGGCTGTGCATTCAACGAAGCTCAGTCACGGCCGCTACGATGGTCGTGCTTCCCTGTCACCAGTCCACGGACTCATTGCTGCGAATGCAAGAGAATTGTGGTTCTCGAGTATCACGTTGTGGATTCGCATCACAAAGACTGGATCGTGACCATGCAAAAGCAAGGAGAAGGAAAATCTTTTCTTTTCAACCCTTCGATATATATGAAAGCCTTCTCCCCCTTCTATCCTCCTGAGTCTCTCAACATCCCGTGCCCTTTCCTCTCTTTTTGCATTTGATACCACCGCAGGCAGGTCCTGCTGCAACTTGCCTTCATTTCGCTCACATAGCCTTGCCTTCCTTTGGTTCACTTGTCCCTGAATCTCTCGCTCTATTAGAGAAAACAGGTTGTCCTTTCACTTTTCACACCAACACAATGGGCCGGTTCCTTATGCTTTTCACTTTCAGTTTCTCCTTTCTGCTCTTGCCTGGCGTCCTCGCCGGCTTGGACCCAAGGCACAACCTCCCGTCGTTGGCGTTGACCGCCGCTCTTTCTGTCCCGGGCTTCTTTGCCCCTGCAGTCTCTGGCTATGTCCTACCAGTGACGACGACCCGCGAGGAGTTGGCGTGGAGACGTGACTCTCTCCTTCCACGCAAACACAATGACCACAAACATAATGGTGGTGGTGCTGGCGCTGCTGCCGCCAGTGCCAACACCACAAGCACCCAAAATACAACCGATGCCGCTGCTGCGTGCATGGCTGCGGCCATGGAAGCTGCCGTCAATCAGACCGGCGTGGCCAACGTCACCGAGGCCGTGGCCATGAGCAACACCTCCATGTCCGCCATCGCCAGTGCCTGTGCCGGGAATTCCACGGATCTCGTCCAAGCTGTGGCCGCGGCGACGAATGATACCGCAGCCTCAACCAACGTCACCAGCGACGCAACCGCAAGTAACAGCACAATCGACGACAGCTCTTCAACCAATTCTTCCTCATCAGCTGACACCGGGACCGGAAACGGTAACGGTAACGGTAACGGTAATGGCAATGGCAACGGCAAAGGACGAGGCAAAAACAACAATGATGCCACCACCGACAACGCGAACAACAACAACGGCAACCCCATTAGCGCGGTCATCGACGACGCCTTGCAGGTTCTCGACTCCGTCATCGGCAAGCGCGGCGACGCCGACGACGTCGCCAAGATGACCAAGCGCGACAACAAGTACCGCGACAGCGTGGTGCGCAAGAAGTGGGTGGCCGGCCTGGACGAGAGGGCGTTCTGAGCATATATAGCCATATGTTCTCGCCTAAGTGTTCGATGTATTTGTATGGAGGTCCCATCTGCGGACGGCATTCGAAGCTTTGTACAGTCGTCCCCTGCCCCTGGGAAAAAGAAGGGGGAAAACAATTGGTTCTGGAATGCCAGAAGCATGGCTCGGAGGTCGAAACGGAATTTGAACAAATATGGAGTCCTGGCAGAGGTCTTTTTCGAAAATTTCAGGGCAACAACGAACGGGAAGAAAAGAGAAAATGTATGAATTGAATGCAATGCAATGCGATGCGATGAAACAGGGGGAAAGAAGAAAAGGGATAGATGCCTCAGAGATTCCGAGAGGCAAGGAAGAATTAGCGCACGTCCATAGACAAGATGAAAAAAAGTTCGTGTAAACATGAACATGAACCAGATGATCAGTTGGAATTATCCATTCGTTCGATGAGATTCCTAGGAAGCCCGTCTCGACCCTACTCATCAGCTTGCCTCGTACAATGTGCCATGTGAAACCTTGATGACTCCGTAGCTATGCTCTGAGGTGATTGTAACTGAAGGAAATCTCCCGAATAGCTCCTGTTTTCCTTTCCTTTTGCCCTCCGCCATACATTGATGTATGGTGTATGGTGTATGGTTGGATGCCGAGGAATATGTTGAAGTAGTTGAAGCACTGAATGAATAGAAGGTAATGAGCCCTCCTGCTATGCAAACCACGACTGCTCGCTTGTCGCGTAGCTAGTGAAACATGCCAAGTGTGAAATCGACGCCCGTGTCCCAAGTTGCCGGTCTCCGCCTTCGTTCACCCGGCGCCAATGTTGTCGAATTGAACCCTCAGTTGATGTTGACTCGTACAAGGTATCGGAGTCTGATCTGAGCCACATCGTAAACGATATATTCATTGTAGAGAAGGTATGCATTGGACTCGTTGGTGGGACCCGGCGGATGGTTGACGACATCAGGCATTTTGACCCCTTTCAAGCTCGGATGAACGCAGCTAGCATCTTTCCAGACCGAAGGCCCAGTTTGACCGACACCCCAGGTGGAAATACAGCCTCTCTTCTGGACGCGATCACCAGCATTGGAATCGGCATCTGTAAGTTTGAGAGACGGTTTGCCCAGTTCAGCCTCACAAAGAAGGAGTAGTCCAGTCCCGGCACTGTTGTACGTTGCACAGTAGTTAGCACTCTTGGAGCTCATATCCGCAAGATACACGCCTTTGCCAAACATGTACCCTGATACGGGGGCTTCGGGTGGTGCAATTCGCAAGCCTTGACTGAGGATGCCACCGAAGTTGCTGACGCGGGACCCATGCCAGAGTAAGCGGCGATCACTCTTTGATCCGAGATTGGCATACGGAGACTCTTCGAGTCGGTCAGATTCACCACTGCGCTCAATACGGAAGATATCCTGGACTGCGTATGTGACGCCATGGGTGCTGCCAGTTGACTTGTTCAGGTAACAGAAGATCTCGGAGAATTCTTGACTGTCTTGATCCAAAGGAATCATCTCTTTCATGCCGAGTCCCTGGTATTGTCTATCCAGCATGTGGAGAGACTTGTGTTCCTCAACTGCGGCGGATTTCATAATCTCGTTGGCCAATTGCATATCTGTCAACGTCTCCAGGAGTTGAATTTCTCTCTGCATCACAGTTAGCTTTAAGACGAGCACGAGACTGACGGCACTCATTCGCAAGTACCTTAATGGAATTCATATCCCTGAGAACGGGTAAAGACCGACGACCAACGACGTGTGGCACAAGTGAGAAGTACTGATTGCTTCTGTCCATGACAGCTTGACCTGGTTGTTCTCCCAAACCGGTGGCAACAGAAGGGTCGGCAATGAGCAAGGCCAGATCTTTGAGGACTTCGTACCCCTTGAGGAGAGTCTTCTTGCTGAGTTTTCCAAGCGGCATTTTGCTGGCGTCGTAATCGAAGTCGGCCATGGTATTGTTGAAAAACTGCAGGTTGAAGATCAGCTCCATCAGGCGCTGGACCGGCGGCATGAGTTTGCTCTCGGCGAAGACCTTTTCTTTCACGGGACCGTCACCTTTCCGGGTCACTTGCGCGGCCCCTTTCTCACCTTCGTCCTCCGAATCTGCGTAGTTGATTTCGAGATATGCGTACTTGCCCTTTCTGGACGGTGCATCCCTATTCTCCCAAGTGAGACCAGCCTTCTCTTTAAATTTCACCCCAAAATACGAAAGAGCATCATCAAGGGAGCCGTCACCCAGCATCTTATTCTGACCTCTTTCACCAACACGACCCCAGCGTGTCCCTGTGATATTGTTAGGCTCCGAGGTCTGTATTGTCGATACAGCATTTTGGGGGGGAACCTCCGGCAATACTGATGCGAACATCCAGGGAACTTACAAGTATAGAATCCACTGGTGGATCTCAAGAGTTGTAATCGATAGAACTTGTTGTTGTTCACTTTTGCATCAGACTTGTTTAGGGTGGCGTCATATATCACGCCGCTGTCGTCCACATGAACAGTGAAGCTGGGAGCGGAAGGGACAAAATGATCCACTGGAACTTTGATGGGAGTGGTGGTTGTGGCTGGGGTAGGTTCACCGGCTGCTTTGGATGGCCTGGATTTCTTGGTTGGTATTGGGTTATCCTCATCGTCATCATCCTTGCGAGAGCGCTTTGACGACCTGGTCGCCGCCTTTTGAGACGGTGACAGACCGTTGCCATTCGCTATGCCATCATCGTTGGTGGGCGAGCTCTCAAGAAGATATTGGTCGATGTCAACCGGCGCACTTGAGGCCAAAGACGCAGCGAGCCACTCGTAAGAGACAACTTGCGTATCGACATTCTTTTGGGCTTGGGTTATACGGTTGAGTTTCTTCTCAAACTGAGCATGAGTGGTGATGAGGTGGGTACACTGATCCGGCTTGGTAGTGTAAGAACCACCGCAGTTGGCGATGTCAGTCTTCAGTTGCGCAACAGTCTTGTGCGAGAGCTCGGGGTGTGCGCTGAGAGAGTAAGAAGCGAAGCTGATGATGACGCCGTCCAGAGAAGGGCTAGCAGCTTGAGGAGGTGGCTTGATTCGAACCATTTTGGCTTGGGCGCTGAATCAAGAGAGGTTGCGAGATGTCACGGAGGTAGAAGAGCGAAAGCGACAGACCTTTCTTATTTAAGACATTTTAAGAAGTGAGACAGGGCAGTCCGAATCGACGAGAGAAGCGTGTGAGGGCAAAGGCAGCAGCTCCCTTTCTTCAGGCAGTTGGTCGATGGTGGAGCAGATGTGCAGGTGAGAAACAGGCAAAGCTTCAGGCTTCAATTCACTAAACGCGTCGGGGCCAGAATCAGTCGACACGAGATCACATGATCCACAGCTGATGACGTACATGGGCGCTGCGTTGAGGGCACCGGCAAAGGGAAATCATCGGCGGAGTGGCATCCAAATACCACAAACAAACAGCCTGAGGGCCACGACACTTGCGGGCGCAAAGAATGGCTGACAAGACTCAAATTGACACAAACCCTTTCTTGCGACGGCCGCTATACATCTACGACCTACCGCCAGAACTGCTGTTAACCCTAACTCTTGCCGGAGGAGATCACTCGCAGCCCCAGCCGCAAGAGTCCCGCTCTGAAGGTATACCTGCCGATCGAGAGAATACTCCCAGCGAAGACGGTGTTGCAAATTCAACATCATGTGCGCTCTGCAGAGTCACCTTGGACAGTGTCCAGGACCAGCGACTCCATGTCAAGTCGGATTTCCACCGCTACAACATCAAACTCAGCATAAAACAAATCCCTCCAGTTGACGAAGCCACTTTTACGAAGATGATCGGTGACTTGGACGAGTCACTCTCAGGGTCAGACTCGGAGGGTTCAGATGAGGAAGATGAAGAGGAGGCAAAAGGCGGAGACAGCACACTAACTTCTCTGCTACGGCGGCAGGCCAGGATATCTCATCCAGCTGCGACCGATGACACGGAAGCCTCCAAAAAGCGTGGGTTCGGCAGTGCTCCGTTACTATGGTTAACAAGCCCTAAGATCGGAAACGACGTTGGATTAGGCGTCTATCGAGCCATATTGTCGAACGAGGAGCAAGAACAAGCATCCACTTCTCTTGTGGAAATTCTCCAAAAGAAGCAGCTCAAACCGATAGTGGCAAAACAGAGTGGGAGGACGAACGGAGACTCATCACAGGCTGGTGGTAAAGATCCCCATTTCTTCCTGTGCATGATTGGGGGCGGTCATTTTGCCGCCATGGTCGTCTCGCTGGTGCCAGAGTTGAGGAAAGGCCCCGGCGGGATTGAGGAGCGCCACGCTATCGTTAGGGCTCATAAGACGTTCCATCGATATACCACGAGACGGAAACAAGGTGGCTCTCAATCCGCAAATGACAACGCGAAAGGAAACGCCCACTCTGCGGGTTCATCCATCCGGAGGTATAACGAGATGGCCCTGGAAGCGGACGTTAGAGCAGTGCTATCGGAATGGAAAGGGATGGTCGACTCCGCCGAACTACTGTTTATTCGAGCTACCGGAAGCACCAATAGAAGGACTTTGTTCGGACCTTACGATGGCCAAGTCTTAAGAAGCAACGACAAGAGGATACGCGGCTTCCCTTTCAGCACACGGCGAGCGACGCAGGCCGAGCTTTTACGTTCGTTTCAAGAGCTGACCAGACTCAAGGTCGGCAAGCTTGTTGAACCAGCGGCTGAGAAGCAATCACTTGAGAAGGCTGCTGCGAAGGAGTCGAAACCGAAACCTCAAGCCCAGAAGCTGAGTAAGGAGGAGGAACTGGCACAGTTTCATACTTCTCAGCTACAAGGCCTAATTCGACGTTCAAAGGCACCTGGCGTCTTACTTTATTTGACCAAGAACGAACTATCCCCGGATTTCACCTTCTTCCCTCCTTCTGACCACCATCATGCCCCGACTCCGCTCCACCTTTCTGCGTCGACCAATTCACCAGCATTAGTATTGGCCCTCCTTACCAAGACGAAGGCTGACCCGACCGTAAAGAACGGCGACGGCAAAACAGCATACGAAATCGCTGGCGACGCCAAAACGAGAGACGCCTTCCGCATCGCTCGTCACCAACTTGGTGAAAAAACCTTCGACTGGTCCGCAGCGCATGTCCCCTCGCCACTCTCGCAAGAAGAAGCTGATGCAAAGACGGCACAGGAAAAAGCGGCCTCTGAAGCGGCGGAGGCACAGCGCAGAAAGGCTGGCCTAGAACATCTCCGGCTGGAGGAGGAAAAGCGCAACTTGACCAGGATAGAAAGGAAAGCCGGAGCTGGCAAGACGCTCGCAGCCGCAGTGGAGAAGACTGGCGCAGAGAAGCGAGAGGAAGAGGTGCGCGGATTAACCCCCGAAATGCGCATGAGGCTGGAGAGGGAACGGAGGGCAAGGGCCGCTGAGGCGCGGATCCGACGCATGCAGGACGCGGGCTGAGTTAGCCTTGCTTCACGAGATGCTTGAGAGCCGTGAAGGTGATCTAATTGGCGTCTTTTTCAGATGGCAGTCTTTTTCCGGCAAGCGAATCTATTGGAAAGCCCAAAAGTGCAAGTCGTCTAGGTTCATGATCTTCTCCCCTTGCGAGCGACATACGCTCGTCGACAAAGATCAGTCTCGCCTGCCTGATTGTGTGTCGATGCGCAAAATATCTACAATTCTCAGCCTCGTCGCTAGTGGAGCCAACACCCTCCGACCTCAAAGACAGCTACTCTCTATCCTCGTGCCACTCACTCACTTACCACCTCTCACACCACAATCTCGTGCTCCTTGAACAAGGGGAAATGCCGCATCAGATAATCCCGGGCCTCTTGGTAGTCCTTCTCCAGCACTTGCATGTGGCGCTCGCTCCGGATGGTGATGTCGCACTTGTACCCGTTGGGGCGGATGTTGAAGCCGTCCGTGTAGTCGTACGTGTCGTACACGTAGCCCTTGGTCGGGCGGATGTCGAAGCACCACAGCACGCGCGCCATGGCGATGTACAGGTTGTTCGAGGCCAGGTCGGCGCCAGGGCAGATGCGGCGGCCCCAGCCGAACGACGAGTGGCCCAGCTTCGAGGGGTGGGGGTTACCGCGTTCCAGGGGCGTGGACGCGAGGTATTCCTTGGGCAGGTAGCCCAGCGAGGCCGGGTCGTCGACGTCGAGGAAGCGCAGCGGGTTGAAGTGGTCCGGGTTCGGGTAGTATCGCTCGTTGAGGTTGATGGCCCAGCTGTTGCCGAGGATGTTGGTGCCCTTGGGAATGTAGTAGCCGTTGTAGGTGTCTGCTTCCGTGCTCGCGTGCGGTGTGCCGCCCAGCACGGCCACGGGGCGCCAGCGAAGGGCTTCCTTGCAGATGGCTTTGATGTACGGAAGTGAGGCTTCGTCCGTGTAGCCCGGCAGGCGGTCTTGGCCGATCACCGCGTCGAGCTCGGCGTGCGCGGCCGCGAGGACTTCTTGGTTATTGATGATGGCCAGAATCGCGGAAGACAGGGTCGATGCCGTGGTGTCTGCGCCTGCGCCAAATACCGAGGCCGGTAAACTCGCGAAGTCCCTTTCGCGCAGAAGGGCGAATGCAGAAGGATCTGCAGCGCGGTTCTCCAGCAGCTGCTTGGCCAGACTGTTGGGAAGCGGCGGAGCACCGGGTCTCTTTGCATTTTCAATATCCTCGCGGACGTAGTCGAGCAATTGGGCGTTGGCTTGCTCTTCTTCCTTGCCCCAGGATTTGATTTCTCGCTTCCAAGGCGCCAAAGCATCGGGGACATGCTTGAGAATGGGGAATGACTCAACAAGATACCGACCGGGGACATTGAGGGCAGCATTCCAATGCATGATCTTCATCCGTTGGCGGATGATCGGCGATTGCATACTGTCAATACGGTGTCCATAGGCGATGGTAAACACGATCGATGCCGTGAACCGGTTCAGGAGATTGTCCAAGTCTTCTGGATGCTCGAGGAGTTGATGACAGAGACGTGCGGCTTCGGCTTCCTGGACGGGTTTATAGTGCTGAAGCGCTTTCTGGGTGAGCACACTGTGCAGGGCTTTCCGACGTACAGACCAGTCTTTTCCGTATGGTTGCACGAGGATACTGCTCATATCCCAGAAGATCTCCCCCATGGCAACGAAACGAGGGCGCGAGCTGTACTTGTGGGAGCGCTTCTCGAGCAAATCCACCGCCACATTGGGATCAGAAATGATCACAGTCGGCCGCCGACCGAACCACAAGGTGTAAATAGGCCCGTATTTCCTCGACCATTCCTGAAACTGAATCCATGGGTACTTGGCTGGAACGTCCAATTTGTTACCGATGAATGGCAAAGGCTGAGGCCCTGGCGGCATTCGTTTCCATAGAATGACATCGTGAATCACGACACCAAGCACTCCCAGGAACAACAGACCTGTCACACCGGACCAGACGTAGAAGATAGTCAACCAGCTCATCTTTGATGGAGTCTTTCGACACAGCAACAATTTCTTGCTTCAAAACGCTGCCAGGGAGAATCGCTTGATCGTGGAAGCGTGGCAGCTTATTGGTCTCAGCGAGAAGCAACAACAACGAAGGAGCAAGACTCACAGCTATGAAACAATTCCTCCACGAATATTCAGAGGACGCACACAGAAGAGAGAATCCAGGAAAATTGGGGAGCTACCGGAGCATTGCCGCTGTATCCCCCTCCACCGATTCTGGAATCTGGCAGCAACCTACTAAACAAACCTCTTCTTTAGGTCAATGGCGCATTCATCATTGGCGGGAGAAGGACCTGCCACATTGACTGGGCTGCTTTTCATGGAGCGAAGATCCGCTCTTCGTGGGGCGGCAGCGCATGTGCGGAGAAGGCCCATCGTACGCCAGAGCCCGACTATGGTCGAGATCTTCGGCAGTTGTGAGTGTTGACCAGGTGCCGGAAAACCCCCGTCTCAGGCTTTCCTTCTCCATGCCGTGCATCGATTCTCGATTTGGATAGTGGACGGTGCTGGTGGGCAACCCACTCGTGGGAAAGACCATGGGAACAGTCGATGGTGCCTGGGGCCGAGAGAGTGTTGAAGCGACCAAAACATACAACCATTTCCATGAAAGAGATCTGGAAGGTTTTATATCGCCTCGCATGAAAAGCCTCCTCGGTTTAGCCTTGCCTTCTGCATTTTCAACGAGCATTGTGACGAAAGCGACCTATACAAGATGTCCAGCTTCGCGAGGTTACCGGCCTCTGGCATCAAGGTGATCATTGTCGGTGCTGGATTCGCCGGACTATGTGCGGCAATAGAATGTGATCGAAAGGGCCATTCCGTGATATTGCTTGAGAGAGTCGCTGAACTGAAACCGCTAGGGGATATCATTAGCTTTTCATCAAACTCTGGTCATATCTTTGAACGATGGGAAGGTGTGGTCGAGGAGCTAGAACCAATTAGCCATCACAGTGAAGGTCTTGATTTTTATGATTGGAAAGGAACCTTCGCTACGAGGCAAATATGGGATGTCGAGAAGCAATGGGGCAGACGGATCAATGGTCATAGGGGGGAGATCCACAATGTTGTCTTCGAGCACGCCAAAGCGAGAGGAATTGATATCCGACTTGGTCAACAAGTGACGGATTACTTCGAGACGGACACAGAAGCGGGTGTGATTGTGAACGGCGAGAGGCTGGCGGCCGACTGTGTGTTTGCAGCCGAAGGTGTTAAGTCAGCAGGAAGGAAGATTGTGCTCGGTTTTGAAGACCGACCCAAGGCCTCAGGATATGCGGTGTATCGATCTTGGTTTCCCTCGGACGATCTAGCCAAGAATGAAAGGACGAAGCATTTGGTGGTCAACGGCGATTCTCATTCTGGCTGGGTAAGCATGGTACTCTCCTGCTCAATGTACCACTCTCTGATTTTTGCTGCAGATCGGCGAAGACAAGCATTTCCTGGCCGCATCAATAAAGAACGGTACCGAGTTCAGCTGGGTCCTGACGCACAAGGATGATGCGGACATTGATGAGGATTGGCAATTCCCGGGCGACAAGGAGGAAGTCAAGCGGAACCTGCAAGGCTGGGCTCCAATAGTCCATGACATTGTTGACGCCACTCCTCCAGAGCGCCTCGTCGATTATAAGCTTGTCTTTCGAGATCCATTGCCAACCTTCATCTCGCCGAAGGCTCGGATTGCACTGATCGGTGATGCGGCACACCCGTTTTTGCCAACATCAATCCAAGGAGCAAGCCAATCAATGGAAGACGGAGTGACTCTTGCTATCACATTGGAGAAGAGCGGCAAGGACAATGTTCCTCGAGCCATCCGGGCATATGAAGCCATCCGATATGAGCGTGTCCACCGAGCGCAGCAGACTGGGATCACGACGCGCGAGCAGTGGCACAAGGCCGACTGGGACAAGATATGGAAGGACGTCAAGTCTTTGCACTTGAAGAGGGAAGCGTGGCTTCTGGATTTCGACGCAGAGAAACACGCGTATGAAGTTGTAGACGATGTGCTGAAGAAGCTGGATCGAGGCGCATCGGTAAAGACTGACAGCGTGACGGAGCAATCGACTTCAAATGGAGTGCAGACGATGCTTGCTCAAGAGATTGACCAGCTCGCATAGCTCATAAGAGAGCAGCAGCAAAAGCAGTGTTAGACCATGTAACTGAGAAACAAGGATGATTGAGTCCAAGGTCATCAGCTGGTGATGGTGACGGGCACTTCCCGCGCAGGTGGTCGCTCGATGCGGCTCTTTTCGCACGTCCGCCCGAGTCTTATTCTGACTTCTTCTCTCCCACTCTCTACCGTGTTTTCTACATGCATCTACGCTTCAATGACAGATCTGCTATCTTCACAGCCTCCCTGCGAGTGCCTCTGACTTATGCATTGAGTAAAACTTGCTATTAGCGCGGAGTTGATCCACTGCCTTTTTCCTGGGACCGCCGGAATCAGTGTTCACCTCTATACCCGCCATGACCACAGACATGCCCAAATCCAAGCTGGACGAATCGCCGTCAGACAGAGCACAAAGATTGGAGGGGACTTCGCAAAGCCACGAACCCCCAAACCAGCAGCTACATTCTCAAATCTTGCTCGAAGCCAGCAATACAGGTGGAAAGTGGTCGACTCGAATCTGAGATACACCTCCACGTCTGAAAGTCAGCTCAACTGCCGGGATACTGTCACCCCAGAGGGCGTTCTCGAAACGAGTATCACTATCGTGAAGAGATGGAATTCCACGCAAGCTTGTCTCGAAAGACTGATCGACAACCGTGCACCATCCGAAGACGAACCCCACCATATCCCACTTGGTCGAGCTGGGGTAGATGCATGTCCTAATGCGTCTTGCTCAATCTACACCATAGTGCACCGCTGATCCCCAGACGCAAGTCGCCCACGCCTGGTGACCCTCTTCAGTGCTCGTCAGTGGGAGTATTCCGGCATTCCCTCGCGAAAAATTCCGACTGCTGCGGCAATGGACTCTTGAATTCAGATGCACAGGCGAGGCTTTATGCCACTAATCCTCAGAGTACCACTTCCGATCCATCTCGCCCAACGTCTACTGGGCAGCCCAGGCAGCGGGACAGCCACTCTCGCTTGCTTCTAGCACATGCTCAAACGCTTGCAGGGGTCTGGCACCACAAGCAAAACCTCTGCGTCCAGAACAGTGCGGAGGGGGTTGCGGACATCTTTCAATACTTAACCTGGAGCTTTCCCAGAGTACACAGCAGTGTTTTCCTCTCCCAGCCTCGCCACTGGCTTCATACCGAGAAAACAATATCTGAACAAGATGCCTTTCGGAATCCTCGACTGCAAGAAATTGGAAAATGTGCCTGGCACGTCTTTCATGAGCGATCAGGATGACCTGCCAGCAGAGTACTCCGAGATTCCGCGAGAGTTGCTGAAGCATGGGAAGGGCAGGTTTTCAAACATCATCCTGATTCCTCAGCCCTCGGACTCTCCAAATGATCCTTTGAATTGGCCACAATGGAAGAAGGAAATGATTCTCCTCATTGTCTCGCTCTCCGCCGCCGTCGTGGGAGCGTTCGGTCCCATGTTGAGTCCCGGTTTCGTTGAGATATCGGCTCAACTCCACATCACGGTCGAAATCTTGTCCCAGGCCACCGCGTGGCTGATTCTCACCATCGGGCTCGGATTGTTCTTGACCAATCCTTTGGCCAAAATATACGGAAAGAGACCAATCTATATCCTTGCCAGCTGCATCATGTTTGCTTGCTCTGTTTGGGGTGCGAAGGCCGGCAATTACAGCAGCTTCCTGGCTTCAAGGGTGATTAGTGGTGTTGGCATGGCACCGTATGAGGTACTCGAAATCCAATCCCGAAACCGCGAAATGTGCTAATCTGTGTTGCACATAGGTCCTTGTCCAATGTACCATTGGTGACCTCTACTTTGTTCACGAAAGGGCCACCCGAATTGCGGTGTGGAACTTGTTTCTCCTGACGGTAATTCTCCTTGCAAACTTTCACCTCCGTCAAAACCCTTTTACTGACCCTGAATCAGGGAATCTCTGGTGGCGCCTTAGTTGCTGGATACATAATCGAATATGATGGGTATGAATGGACCTTCGGGGTATGCGCCATCATGTTCGGCGTGCTCATGTTCGCCGTATTCTTCTTCGTCCCTGAAACCACGTATCGACGAGACGCTGTCGTGGTGGTTCCGGTTGCCGATACAGTCGGCACTGATCCTGAGAAGCCTGGTGCACAACACGTCCACATGAAGTTGGGACACGAACACGATATCTCTCAAGCTCAGGGAGAGAAGGACAAACATCTGTCTTATACTGTCACGCGTGGATCCGCTGAACCCAAGATGACATTCTGGCAGTCGCTGAGGATTTTCACTGGACGATACAGCTATGCTCCGATCTACAAGATCTTTACACGCCCTGTGTTGCTTTTCTTTTATCCAGCGGTATTTTGGGGATTCCTCATGTATGGCACGACCTTGACCTGGATTGTTGTCTTCTGTAAGTTCTCTCGTTGGCTCAACAATTTGTCAGAGGGACAAAAGCTAACAGGATATCTGCAGCTGTGGTCAACGGAGTGATATTGTAAGTCCCCTCCATTTGTCGCACCTCCGGACCCCGTCGCTCTCAGCGCAGGCTGACCGATTTCCGCAGTGTGGCTCCGCCTTACAACTTTTCGGTATCGCAGGTCGGGCTGATCAGCTTGTCTCCTTTTATCTTGACGTTGATCGGAGAGGTCATCTCCGGGCCCCTCAACGATGCGATTTGCCTATACTTGACAAAGAAGAACAAAGGAATCTACGAACCTGAATTTCGACTTGTACTGATCATCGTTGTCATCATCCTCGGCACCGTGGGTTTCTTTGGATTCGGGGCGACGGTGCATTACCAGACGCATTGGCTGGGGCCAGTCTTGACGTTTGGGTTTGCAAACATGAGTTTGGCCTTTGCATCGACCTGTGTCTTTGGTTATGTGATCGACTCCTACCCCAAGTTGAACGAGGAGGCATTTGTGGCCATTAACGCCCGAAATCTCCTGACCTTTGGCCTGACCTACTTTGTCAACAATTGGCTGGCTCAAGATGGCCCCTTGGAAGTCTTCTGCATCCTGGGAGGGCTCTTCTTGTTCGTCTGTCTCTTGACGATCCCTCTCTGGTGAGTTTTGCGTCTGCGATGCATTTTGCAGGTACCCCTAGCCGTCACAAGGCTGACTCCCGAGCAGGATATTTGGCAAGCGAATCCGGTCCCGGATTGGCAGGACCGCGTGGCTTCAGCGGTATATGAATGACGATTTCTAAGGTGAGGGGGGTGACAAATGACTGATCCGTCCTAATTGCTCCCGTGGTCTGGGGCGTGGTGGTTAGTGGCGGATTTGGGTAAGAGCAGCAGCCTAATGGGGGCATATTCGCAGATGACAAGCCAGAATCTACATGCACCAAGCGGCCTTCCTCTTCGAGAATCTCAACTGGGGCTCTTCGCCTTGTCTCTCTCGTGGACGCAGTGGCCGCCGGACACGGGCTGTGGCTGATACCCGCCCAATCAATCAGCAGCTGAGATATTTAGAGGATGACCATGTTCCACTCCGCCACATCCGTGACGCGCCTGGGGGACGGCGAAGATGCCCATGGGTGCAATCAGCACGATCAGCGCCCAGAGGGTTTCAGGCCTCCATGATCCGTGGGCCATTGCACCCATGGGCTGCCCTCGAAACTTCTACTCCAGGCTCTGAGCAGTGGCCGGATACGAAGAGGGCCCTGCAGCATGCGTGATATCCCGTGTTCCGAGTAATGCTAGTGATTGCTGCAGCCCTAGATTATAATAGCAATCGATGGAGATGGCTTGGAACCACCACCCTTCCTGGTCCTCCGTTGCTGCCCGTCTATTATTTCATCAAATCCGGCCCTTGGAGCCCTAGAACCGCATGGCAGGCCAAACAATTCGCGCAGGATCCTGCTGAGAATGTATCATCTTGAAGGGCGTTGAGTTGATTATCGCCAGAATCACCCACAGTCTGCGGCCGCCACAAGCCCGTATTTCTTGCTCCGGATAGACTTCCATCCATTTCCCCTCCCTAAAAGGCCAAGATTATTCGCCTCAGCGAATCCAGGGTTTGGAGGGCGTGCGCTGGCCTTTTCCCGGCTCAGCTTCTTGTCAGCTTCGCAAATTGGACCTGGGGGGAAGAGGAGGCTACCACTGCATAAACCCTGTCACAGCTCTCCCTGCGCAATCTGACATCCTTCTGCCTGCGAGTTTTTTGCAGTCTTCATTTTCCTCGAAATCACATAGAAAACCCATCGACGAGTGCCTCAGCGAACGTCGCCATCGCTGCCCCTCCAGTACCCGACCTCCGACCTCCAGTGTGAAGTAGAGCGACACATCCGCGCCGACCGTTGCCAATATGAAGAAGAAATCCGTCTACACCAGCATCACTCCCATTCCCTCGCACATCCCCCGTCAGCTGGCCATTGACATGTTGCACAGTCATGGCGAAATCATCGAGCTGAATCCCCTCGTCATCGGCTACAAACCCATCAAAGCCCCTCAGACTGCGCCCGCCGACGAGTTCTTCTCCACATGGTATGAGATCAATGAGCGGATTCAGTATGTCCCGGGCATAGGAAAGGCAGGAGCAGGCAAGATATCCTTCAAAGGCTGTTTTCATGACATGCCGTGGGGTCTGCAGACACATGTCTATGCGCCCATGGGCGTGGACCTGCGCAACAAATGGCAGATTCGAGGCAACCAACCCGGCGAGCCTCCCGAGTCGAGGGAACTGGGAAGCAATGCTCCTCCCGAGGGTCTCTATCTCCGCGAAGACATTGAAATCAAGTGCAACCCCGCCATGGTTTCGTTTGTAAAGAAAGAGATGAAGGCGGCGTCAAAGACCATGGTTGACCGCTTGGTGAAGAAAGCAGAACTGATCGACGCTGGCGCACTGAGTGCAATGATGGAAGATGGCAGACTCAAGACCTTGAATCCTGCAGATCGCTCACAGACCTTCCAACAACATGGCCATTATTCGCCGTCCATGCTCTCACCCATTCCCCAGTCCGGGTTCCCCCAATCCCCCGCTGTCCCAACATTCCAACAGTCCGCATATGCAAGACAATCCATGTACGGCTCACCTGGCCCACAGTACTCGCCAGTACCGCCTGCTCAAGGCCTCGCGATTGAAATGGAAGGAAGTACACATTTTATTCAGGCACCACCGCCTCAACAGCAGCAACAACTGCATCCGCACTCGAACAGATTCTCGTCCGCAGTCTCTGAACTGTCGGCAAGCTCCCCGAACCAGAGCGACTTTCCGCAGAACAGCAGCCAGTCAGACCGGCAAAGCTATGCAGAGTCTGTCAGCTCGATGCCGAGCTCTGTACCCCACGGCGGAATGGCCTCTCCTGGCATGGAGAAGCGAGCTTTCCTGGCGGAGTTACCAGCTGGTGGCGCACATGCACCGAACAGGTCGCCCAGGAGCTCGGACCCGAATGCAATGTCGGCGCAAGCTCAACAGCAACAATACCGATATAACCCTCAGGATTATGCCCGGATGTCATGAGCTCATTTTGTTTTGATGGTGACGAGTTTCTTTTGTGACGATGTTGGGGATCTGTATATCGAACGCTTTCCAAGTCTTGTTCACCCCGTTCAGCTCGCAGAAGGCGTCCTTTGGTCAACTTAATCATTCACTACCGACCAGGAGCCATGAGAGGCGATGGTCCAGACCTTGGACAGTACTTACCCGTGTTGCATCACCGATCGTCAAGCCATGCCGGCTTGCAATGGTCGGCATAGACAATTCCAGCCGTTCTCCAAAGAGCGACGAGGAGGCACCAGCATGGCGTCAGGCTGCTCAAGATCTGATATCCCGAGACACCAGTCTCTCACCTCCACAGACTCCTGCGTTCAGTGGAACAGACACAGCCACTCACTTCATCTTCTGAACCCGCTTGCAAACATGATTTCTTCCCCGTCCTTTCGATTCCACAACAAATACCCCTTCCAGGAAATCAGTTTCGATATGTGACGAGGCTGCTTGAGAGGCCTCCTTATTTGGGTCGTGGTATAGGCTAGGTGAAAGAGGTGCTAAACGTGGATCTGGCACTTTTGAGCTATCTACTCCCTTGGAAATATGCAGAGACAGGAGCAACGAGAGCATACGCGAGAAAGGGTGTTTGTCGGGGATTGATCTGAATTTGAGCCGTAAATCATTTGGACAGATCTAGATGCGATGGAGTTTCACAATGATCCTCAAACTGACACCTGCCATGAATCTTTCTGATACTGCTGTCCGACGAGCCAGCCTCGCCCGTCAGCCTCGTACGTCAGCCTCGTCTTCGGCAGGGCAACAAAGTCCTGTCACGTGCCTTCGCAATTGACCTCGGTTCTGCTTCGACATCCTCTTCTCCTCGCCTCCGGGCTCCCTCCACAATCAGCGGCTGACTCGACTTACTTGTGGACGCTCTTACGGTCAAAATGCCATACGCTGACTCGTGGCTGCATGACTAATGCAATAAATCCACACGCCTACCCTGGAAGAGCCAGATATTCGACTTTCATCCACCAGCATGTGCTGAGCCTTGTCTTTGCTTTCCACCTGCCCGGAGCGAATGGTGTCTATAAAGGAAACCCAGCAAAGAATGTGGCTTGACGAATACACAGAAACTCCCGCTCGAGGATGAGGAGTCCAACTGAAGCGCCCGTACAAGAAATCTCGGAGTGGGACTAAACGAAGAGCGTCGTCTGGTTTGGGGACTACTGCAGGAGGAGCACCAAGCAGTACAATCCGGTTCGAAATCCAGGTCGAGATGGCTTGCTGTGTCTTCACCGCATACATCATGAGCCGCATCATCAAGGCGTGCGAACTCTTTGACATTCGTCTCCTTGAAATCAAGTATAACGATTCCGATCCAGACCCATATTCTCCTCCCAGCTTCCAAGCGTATACACGCCCGGGCAAGCAGGTACCAGAAGTAGCACCCAGCACCGACAATACCGTGAACCAGGAGAAAGGATCTCAACCTGAATCATTATCGACCGTTCGCTTCTTGATCACAGGGATGACCTGCTCCGCTTGCGTATCGACGCTGAGCCACGCATTGACGTCCGTTCCGGGTGCCTTCCGAACCAACGTGTCTCTGCCGCTTTCACGAGCAACCGTAATCTACAACCCGACTACTACGTCGACAGATGACTTGATATTTGCCATCGAAGGAGCAGGCTACGACGCCGAGGTGCTTGGACAACACAATCATGGCTCTGCCGCCCAAAATCTCAAACTCGTCCGGAGGGAAGAAGAGCTTCAGGCTCTGAAGGGAGCTTTCAATGGTGCAGCAAAGTGGGCTACAGTTATCACGGTTATTGAATGGACGAGGAAGGTCTTTGTAACCACTCAGCTTAGGAGTGCTCTGGATCCGACTCTGTGCCTCCTAATTCTTGCCGTTGGATGTTACGTTCAACTTTCTCATGCACGCTGGATCCATCAGAATGCGTGGGCAAGCTGTTTCTCTCGGCAACGGGTACGGCTTCCGAGCTTATCCATGGACACTCTCTTGTCTCTGTCACTTTTGCTGAGTATATTCCTCTCATTTTTCAACATCGCTCTCCATGGTCTCTCCGATGTCCAGACAAGGACTTATTTTTCCTCCGCGTCTTTTCTCGCAGTGGTCATTAGCGGAGGACGGTACCTTGACGTGACTCTGCGGAGGCAGGGCGCAGCAGGCCTTGCTCGTCTATTTAGACTGCAACATGAAGTGGAATTGGAGACAGTGATGATGGAGGGACGATTGCAGGACTGCGACAACAGACCGGACGACGGAAGCGAAGTCATTCTAACGCCAATTCCCACGAATTTGCTTGCGCCGCTAGACACATACCATATCTTTCCTCAAAGCCTCATCCCTTGTGATAGCTACGTGGTGCGCGGCGCCTCTTTGGTCGACGAGGCGAGCATGACTGGCGAATCACTACCATGCCGCAAAGCTGTTGGCGATTTCCTGATGTCCGGGACTCGCAATCTGTCCACTGAGCTCGTTGCTGTCGTCCTGAAAGACCAGGCCGAATCCAGTCTCGAGAGACTTGTTGAAAGCGTGGAAGCAGCAACAGAGGTGAAATACGGACCCGCACAGAAGGGCGCGAGTTCGGATGACAAGCCAGGAAGAGCGATAGAGGATGTTATCACGGAATATTTCGTCGCAGTCATTCTTGTGCTGACATCAATCGGGTTCATACTCACATTTGTTCGCTCGGCAGACTCGTTGCCGATCACTGATCGACTCAACCTTGCGTCTGAACGGGCAATGGCGATTCTGGCATCAGCTTGTCCATGCGCCATGGGATTAGCAACCCCTTCAGCTGTGATGGCCGGTATCGACGCGGCCTACGCTTGCGGAGTTCTTCTCCCAGGTGGCGCGGATGCTTTCAGCAAGCTATCTCGCCTCTCGCACATTGTAATGGACAAGACGGGAACTCTTACAGAGGGTAAACTGCAGATCTCGGATGAGTCCTTCGCGGAGCCATTCAGAGCAGATTTCAGGAGGCGGGAATTGTGCTATAGCCTCTTGAGCGCCGCGGAAAGAGACGTCTCACAAACACACCCAGTTGCCAGGGCGGTGTTCCAATGGTGCGTCAAACAGCTTCGTGCAGCGTCACTGTTGGAGGGAAGTCGGAGCCTCATGACCGAACCAGGTGCTGCATCCGTCAGGAACGTCTCAAGTGTCACAGGAAAGGGTGTGTACGCAGAAGTTCACGGGCAGGCCAATGTATGGTACACCGTGCATGTCGGCAGCGAGCGTTTTCTATCTGAGAACGGCATTGCCATCGCGGCAGCCCCCACAGACCGGTTGCGAAATGTCACAGGAACGACTGAGGCCCATTTTGCCATTGACGGCAAGTATGCAGGCTCGTTTACGCTGCAGGACAGCATCCGTCGGGGCGCTTCTAGCGTTGTCGAATCGTTGAAGTCGCTTGGACTCGAATTGACCATGCTGACAGGAGATGCCGAAAGTGAAGCAAACCGAGTCTCGTCGCAACTGCAAATCCCAGTCCTCGCAGCCAAATCTCTGCCTCACGAGAAGAAAGACTTGGTCGTCTCACTGCAGTCACAGCGTTCGTCGCCCACGAAGAATGGCGCCAGAAATGTTGTCGCCATGCTAGGCGATGGCCTAAACGACGCACCCGCCCAAGCTGCCGCGGACGTTGGCATTCTATTCTCACTCTCGCCCCTGTCGAGCCGTCCTTCGGACGCACCATCCTCGCTCGCAGTGGGAACCTGCGCTGCCGATGTGATCATCATGACACCCGATCTCGCGGCCCTGCCGAAGTTGATCACGATTGCTACCAAAACGATGGCTCAGGCAAGGTGGAATATGTGTTGGGCGGTTCTCTACAATGCCGTGGCCCTTGCATTAGCGTTGGGCGCCAGCGAACTAATGGGGTTCGGGACCGTTGATGCCTCAACTGCCGGCACAATGATGGCATTTTCGAGCATTACTGTGTTGGGCATGAGTTTAGATCTGCGCCGTCGGTTGCAATGAGAGAAAAGCCATCCTGATTAGACACTGCTGTATACATTGTTGCTGCTACCCGGATGTCGGTTGCCGGGGACAAGCGACGGTTGGCACTCCACGGCAATGCAATGCAATGCGTGATCCATGGCAAATACGTATGCCCGCTTCCCGGCGACGTATGCCATCAACCTCGCTTATATTTCGATCAATATGTCAATGCCGGCTGGAAATGTCCTAATTTCCGACCTTGCCGTAGCTGGGCAATGCTCGAGGGGCCAATTTCTGACGACGCTCAGGTCCTATCCCAGGAGTTGTCTCTCGATAGATCTGCGTATGCTCTGGTGTCGACAAGGAAACTACCACTCCAATTGAGTACCTAGCAGCGACAACTGAGCAATGGAGAGGCCCGGTCCCTACAGCATGAGGACTAACGGTGGATTTCGTAGCTGTCGCAGATCACGGTTTGCGACTGTTACATTTGTTGCCTCGTATCGCGCCCACGAAGCCGTGGGCTCGCTTCAGGAGCATTGACATCACTCGCTTTCGCTAAAGAGGACCCTGATCCTGAAGTGTTTCAAAGAGGCCAGGGGAGAACCAACAGCGAGAAAAAGAAGCCCAATGCCGAATGCCATGGAATAGTTGCATAGCGTGGCTGATGGGGGACAATTTCCGGGGCAAAATGTAGCTTGCATGCACGCTGATCACTGATCACCCCGTTCCAACCGGCGCATTGCGTCGATCACCGTTGAAAATTCTCCTAAACCTGACCCTGTGCCTGGCAGCCCTGGGTAGTGGCAGGGCGGTGTCTCAGCGAGAAGCCACAGCGGCCTGTCGATCTCTCCACAAAGATCGACGGCGAGGCCGGCCTTGGATTGGAGAGGTCGAGGAACCCTACAAGGATGGGCCTTAATGCCTCAACGTCATTTGCGCTGGATGTTGGCTGCTGGCACCAGCTGGGGGTTCTCTCCAGCTGTTTCTTCCTCGAACACGACGTTGCAGGGACAAGGTCAGTATTGCGTACGGTGTAACGGCTTTATAAACAGTGCCTGGCGGGTCTGGAGAAGTGGTTCGACGATCATCCTGCAATTAGTCAAACCAAAGACACTCTTCCCTGACATGGCCCAGTCGTCGACTTGGCCTTGTTCCCGGTTATGCATTGTCTCACAGCGGCTGACGACGAAGACCGGGATCATATCGAATACACCATTCCGCATGGCAAAGAGACCATGGAAATCAACATACATACCCACTCATATCCCCCGCAGTCGGCACCTGCACGATGCTGGGTCCCTGTGGGATGCGTCAGTGTCCGTGTGAGCCGCTGGCGAATTCAGTCTTGGTTTTCAGAATTGCTGGACCCCAGGTGGGTGGATTCACGGGAAAGCAGAGCGAGGGTGAGTGCGGGTCAACTGCCAACTTATCGCTTACAGTGGACGAAGTTGCATCCCTCGTAGCGATCGACGCAGGTACATTCGCACTAAAGACAGGGCGTCGACCAACATCGGTACAGAGCCTTGCAGGGTGCCATGGATGGACACGACTGCAGCCGGCCGCGCAGGGGATCGTCGTCCGTTCGTGGGCGTATCTCAGCTGAAGCATTGACGATCAGGGAGTACATGTCTCAAGCAATCCGGGCTGACCAGAACATTGCAGGGCTTCTCTCTTCCCCAAGAGAAGTATAAAGGCGTGCGAGGGAACCGTATCAGATCAAGGTCTCTGTCACCCTTCTCCCCGTGCCTCAACCTTGGTCGTCGATTCTTCAAGGCAAGCTCCAATCCCAGCACCTTTCTCACCACCGTTCGCGGCTTGTTGCCATCTCTCCCTCCGACAAGAAGTCAATCATGCGCTTCGATACCGTTGCCATCGCCCTCGCCGGCGCCACCACCGCCGTGGCATCTGCCATCCCGGGCAAGAGCGCTCTCGTGGACCGCCAGGTGACGCTGTGCTCTGGCGCCGACAGCTCCGCCGTCTGCTGCGCCACCGACGTGCTCGGCGTTGCCGACCTCAACTGTGCACCTCGTAGGTTTCCCCCCAAAAGCCGCGATTTTTCCAGACCCGGACGGTGATTGCTGACGAGGTGAATTTCCCAAACCCAGCGCCGTCGACTCCCACGAGCATTGACGACTTTACGAGCATCTGCGCCTCGATTGGCCAGCAGGCCCGGTGCTGCCTGCTACCCATTGTGAGTCCCTGCCAGCCTTTCTTCCCAGTCTTGTCTTTCTGCCTGTTGAGCAGCACCATGCACGGGGGGTTCTTTATCATCACACTTTGTCTTCACCCCCGCTCTGCGTGTATATAAATGCTGACACGCCATAACAGCTCGAGCAGGGCCTCATCTGCACCTCCCCAGGGAAATAAATAGGCGACGTGACAACGTTCTCACGATGACGAGACCACAGTGGTTCAATTTTCATCCTAAAACCACTCATTACTAAAGTCGCGTTCATTGCCCCGGTTGATGGCCATGCCGTATTTGAGGGGAGAGGGAGGATAATATCGCCAGTCGCAACCCACTACATCTATCAGGGCGGAATCTATGCGCGCGCGTCCTGGTCTGTCCGTCTATGTATGTTAGTTCTTGACCTCGGAAATGCATGTGCTGGCGAGTTGGAGGTCTGGGAACGGTGCCTTCCAGGGGGAAATTGAGGCCGTGGATGTGGTGTTGTAGGCAATATCTCGATTAATACCATGAACGTTCCGTTTCTCAACCTTGACCCTGACGTGCTATATTTTTCTGATTCTGAGTGTTTTCTCCGCGTCCACGAACTCTTTGTCCGCGACCCAGCTTGCCATCTGTCTCAACATTACGAGCGCAGTTGACGTACTCTGTACCGAAGCGAGTATCTGATAACGAGTGATTGCCCTCGCCTGAATTTTCTTGTTGACTCAAGATACAAGCTGTGATTTTACATCTCTACCTCGACACTACTTGATCGGAAGACGCTTTTTGCCCGACATGACATGACATGACGTGCCACTCACACGAACCAACAAACTAGTCAAGTGCAGTCTTGCCGGAATCGAGACACTTGCTAGATGTCGACTATCAAGCGGGAGGCTGCTCCTCCCTGACACTGCCCAGGGGGTCGATCCTCGCCGCATCGACGGTCTCGTCGTCGAGACCTGCGTCCTCCTTCGTCCCCGCGTGTGCGTCTACGTCTGCGTGTCCCTTGCCCGCAAGGGGCTCGATCTTGGCTCCCTGGATTGTCTCGTCTCTCCCGACTGAGCCCTGCGAGTCGGCGTGGGGCGCGGTGTGTTGGTACTGGCCTGCTCGGGCATCCCGTGCTCGCGGGGTCAGAGTCAGCGATAAAGGTTTACCATGCCATACAACAATTCTGGTTCCGTTGATGTCTTTTTCAAGCCATCGCGATGAAACTCTAGAAGCGGGGACCGGGGGTGGGTGGTTGACGGTTCACATACCGGCTCCGCCCATGGGTGCGATCCGACTCTGGTCGATACTGCGATCTGTCCCCGCCGCGCCGCGCGAGCTCTGGTCGTGCGGCCGGTTCGCTTTGACGGCCGAGTCCAGGGGCGGGATCTTGGTTGCCGAGATCTTCTCGTCACTGCCGGACGTGCCTCTGTGGGCGATCGAAGGAGTCAGTTCAGTTCACGGAACTCGGGGGTTCTGTTTGTGGAGGAGCAAACAGTTTGGTCAGAAAGACTATGGCAGGGGGGGGGGGGGTACGTACGAGGACATTGTGAATGTGAAGAGGTTTTTCGAGTTGGCTTGTATATATATAATTGAGCGTTGTTCCTCGACGATAGATACGAGGGAGGGGAGACTTGTAATTCTTAGAGTGAAGATGGAATAGAATTAGAGAAGAAGTTTCGAGATCCGCAACTGTCGTGTTCTAAAGACCCCTTCCTCCACGGCGCAACTCGTTTCCCTGTATCGCACCCAGACGCCCGCAACCCCCTCGCTTCCCCGGACATGCCATCATACGTGCTGCTATGACTTCATGGCTGCTTCTCATTGGCTGTGGCTTCGAACGGTACCACTGTCCCGCCAATCATATTCACGGAGTAGCCACGGGGGCGAAGCCTTGCGAAGGGTCCCGCACATGCAGTGTTAGACCCCTTTGTGGATAAGTTATCCCGGCCCGGTCGGGATGGGAGGTGGCAATAGGGGGCTCGGGCGTGTCTATATCAGTCAGGCGTTGTATTGTGGCCGAGGATCTGAGGGTCCTGTGGATGACCACCCTGTTGTCGGCTACAAGCCAAAACCTATAATCTACTTGAAGCCCAGGGGTTCCTCCAGATCGTGCCCCATCTGTCCTATCTACTGATGTTTAGACCGTCAAGGACGGGTGCCAGGGGAAGATGAAATCGCCTCTGCGACGCCCACGAAAGAAAATCAGCCCGTTAATCCACCTCTTGGCCTCCAGCATGGGAATACCTGACCGATTATAACCTCGCACGTCCACCTCCAGGCTAACATGTTTATCAAGCTCCTCGCCTTCTCCATCCCAAGAAGCCGTGAAAACGTTCTCCCCCGCTCCCGCTCTCTCGTCGTCGTCGTCGCAGACGAAGATACCGGTATAGCCGTCTTCGGCGTCTCGTCGTGTATCAATGAGCCGCCCCAGGCGCAAAACCTTCTTCCGATCCGGGATTGCGTCGGCAACCTCGCTGGCCATCCAGGTCTGGAATTTTCTGGAGAAGCTCAGCTCGTCATCACCCGCGCAGTACTCGTCCTGGTCGAGAAACCACTCGAGAGACTCGGCGAGTTCCTCGTATTGCATCTTGTACTGCCCAGACTGGAGCTTCTGGAGAAGTTGGCCAAGGCTCCTGCGCTGGCCCTGCCTCAAGCGGCCGGTCGACTTATACTGCCTGGAAACAGGATGACGGACCTTCACAGGTATCTTGGGCCCAAGCTCCCAGAGGTGGCCTCGAGTTCGGATTCCTTCGTCCGTCAATCTGACCCGGATGAAGCGGCAGCTCTTGATAAACGTGAGCTGCTGGCTGATTGGCGGCGAGAAGCTGTCGAGACTCTGCGTCTTGAGGAAGTCGAATATCGTGCCATTGAGTGGAGCGACGCTGCTGCTGCTGCCATGACGCCCTTCTAGATCACCGCCGCCGCCGTTCATGAGGATCTCTCCGTTGAGGAGATACAGAGCGAGCAAGGCCAGACTCAAGCTGAGATTGCTGCTTTGTAGTTTCTTTGTATTCAATCGCACGGAATAGTCACAGCAATTTGCCACGATGGCGAGGCGGTCAGAACATGTTCTGGCCTTCCGAGCATCGACGTCGGCGAAGATGCTGGGAGACATGGATTTGCGGACTGCGTATATTGTGTCCTCTGCCTGGCGGTCCTGGAGCGTGACTCTGTATTTGCCCGCGCGCTGCAAAATCCGCCCAGCCATGTCTTCGAGTCTCTTCTGACGCCGGCTTTCATTCATGTACGCGAGACAGAGTCGAGAAGCCTTTTCGCGGAACTTGGCGGATTTGACGCACAGCTCGCCTTCAAGGTCACCAAACAACAGATTTTTGGCGTTTCGTTTTCGGTCTTCGAGAGACGGGTCGTGAGGGATGAGCAAAGTCATCTTCGTCCCGGCGCGGTAATCCTCCTGAAAAGTCCATGCTCTGCTCCACCAGTGGTCCGAGGTGATTGAGGACAGGAGCTCTAGAATCTTCTCAACGCTCCCGAGCATATAAGTGTTGAGTCTCAGATCTGGTGCTGTATCGTCGTCGTCGGCAACGAAGCTGTCACTAAGGAGCTCGGCCAAGAGATCCAATTCCTCCTGGTAGCCGACATGCACTGTGAGCAACGCCACGGAGTGGTCACTATGGCTATAGACAAGGTCCATGCATTGCATCGCGACTTCTTTCTCGCCCTCGTCTTTCTGGTTAATGCACTCCTGGTCGATCCAGAAATTCGTGCAGCCAACGTAGGCGGCGAATCTTGAGACGCGGTCCCAGACCACGTCTCTCACTCGACTTGACGACGGGTGAAGCGTCCTCCTTGATTCGACGCGATATCGCCCCCGGCTGGAGTCCTCCCCCGGCGCTGGATCCCACACGTACGAAACGGCGATGTAGTCTCCAGAATCGAAAGGGTTGATGCATGTCCGGCCTAGAAGCCGATCTGACGGCCGTGGCATGTCGCTACGGCGGTATCTGCCGGCAATACCTGGGCGATTTCGGGCCCCATCGCTTTTCATGTGGAGGCATTCCAACGACTGGATCCATTCCAAAGACTTGACTTCCGCGGTGCGGTACTTTTGGATCTCGAGCAGCGCGGCGTAGATCGGCTGACCGAGTTCCTGTCGGATCGTGCGAAGCGAGACGTCCGCGTCCTCTCGCATCTTCAGCGCGTCCTTCCCTTGGTTGGCAAGCGTCCCGTAGCTAGTGTACACAGTAGTATAGTCGTGAGATAGTGGTATGTGGGCCGTTCTTTCGCTTTTCCTGGTGATGGGCTTCTTGCTTGATGCCAAAACAAGGCAGGCGGGTGGTCACTTCTCTGGCAAGCGGCCTCGATACTAGTTCATATGTTAGCCTCAGTCCCCAGTTGCATAGATACAGCTGGTTAGGCAGACATGCATCATCTCACCCGCCAATAGAGATGGTTAGCAGAGGTATTGAGTAGAGGACGATCGCGAAGGCATCACCTTTTTCGCTCGCGGCAAGATTATTCGCCCGACTGGCCCCTGTTCCCTTGGCATTGTATTTGGAGAAAGTCGAGTCTCTGTCGCTAAGCTTCTGTTGTGACTGCCATAGAGGAGGAGAACGGAGTACAAGAGCTCAGATTGTCTTCAGCAGTACTCGGTACTCTTATGGCAATTAAGATAATCGATTAAATTGATTACTGTTGATCGTCGTCGAAATTGACCACGTCCGACCTCCTTGAAATACATACAGAATGGCTGCTATTTCGCCTCCCCCCCCCTCTTTCCTCCCGAATTCGCTGTAAATACATTCCCAAATCCCTTTCGCGATGGACCCTCTCAGACACAATTCCGAATGATTGGAACTTCACCAAACAATGCTGATTACTCCTTCAAGTCGCCGGGAGTCGGCTCGCTGCTGACCGCCCCGAGGACCTGTGCATCCGCACGCTTTCCTTCCGCCATCTTGAGCACCTCTTGGAGTTGTGTCCTTGACGGCCACTCTGTCTCGCCCTTCAAGATCTTCGCCGCCGTGACATTCGAGCCATACGACTCCGCATTGACGCTCGGCCGCTCCTTGATGACGGTGCCGTCCACGGTTAATCCGCCATAAAGACCTCGCGACTTGGTGTATGTCCAGATGGGATTGACCTCTTTGGTGCTGATGTCGGCGGTGCCTCCGATGGGGCCGGCAGCCATGGACGCGCCGGCGCCCAGTGTCATTTCGCTCTTCATGTAGGCGTCGACGGCTTCGCTGGTGTTGAGGACGCACACGCAGTCGTACACGTCCACGCCGTACACGACTCCAAACCCGCCAGATCGGACGGAAAACGCAGACGGGGGCGACCAGGACCCGTCCGGGAGACGCGCGACGACGACGCCCGATCCGCCCGCGCCGGCGAGGTACATCGCGGCGCGGAAGCCCGAGAATATGGCAAGGCCTTTTGCATTTGCGATGACTTGCGCCGGTATTCTACCTTTGTCTGTGCTTGTGTCAGCATGTGACCAGTTGCCATTCGGCTTTCGTTGAGACAGTGCCTACCAATGAAGCTCTTGAGGATCTGCGCCGCCTTGTCGCATTCCTTCTTGAGGCTTCCCGTCATGGCGAAGATGTTCTGTACGCTTCTTTGGACAAGATGCACGGGTATGTCGCACAGTTGGCTGAGTTGAGCGGGAAATGCTATGAGGAACAGAGGCAATGTGATGTTCGATGGCGAGATTGATCAGGAACAAAACACAAGTCGTCGAACACCCAGGCTTATAAACTGAAGAGTCTTAAGCTGCTAGCAGTCGACGCTCAACTATGTCATTGTGGCTTGACCCCCTATTTATGGAACATGACGCTTCATATCAACTTGCAGAGAGTCTAGGCCAGTGGTGTATGTATTGGGGTGGAATCACCACGACCACTTTGACTCGCCGGACACGGCGATTGTAGCCATCGCTTAGTTGTTGCGCAAATGACCCGAGAGCATCGCGTATGAACGCTTCGGCGCATCGGCGCCTCGCAATCAATTGCACCTTAGTCACCGCGGAGCGAGGCGCAGCAGACCCAGGCTTTTTGTGCCGGTCCATGACGGGGGAGGGTTTGGGATGCAGCAGGGAGGTGTGCCTTCGTGTCTCTGCCGCAGCCTAAGTCATTATGACATACGAGTACGAGCATAGCAGTGCCATGAAATCCTTGACTATCGTGGGAGTGATCTATGGGGGAAGGAGCGTATTGTATACTGCGTAAATGCGGGGCGGGAAGCGTATTCGCGAGGCTTGCCAGGCTAGATGGAATATTCGTGCGGGTCTGTCCATGACAGTTTCAATAACTTTAATGATGCCTAGTCAAAACCGGAGTCTCGCCTGTCATCCTCCATGGAGGATATGCACGGTGCGCCTTACCCACTAGTCTGTGGTGTGGCGTGGCAACTATCGTGCAGCAAGGGACTCTGGGAGATCCCCAGCATATGCAGATGGGATTATTCCTGAGAGTGGAAATGCGAGATGCACACCTCGTATGTCTCCTGACACAATCAGATTCTGCGCCGTGGGCACTCTATTCGGCACGCCACCTTCAGCAGGCACTTCAACGACCTCATACTCGTTCTACCTTCAGTCTTTCTCGAGCTTCGTAGGTCTATAGATGATCGGAGGAGATGCGACGGTGTCGGGCAAAGCTGCCAGGAGTGTAGACATGGAGTCCATTGCCGGTCTAGGGGAAACTAGCCATGCAAGGAATATCGGGAATCTGGCAGGAAGATGGGAATCAATATTAATGGCTATGTGCAACTCGTCCAATGACCCCGATGCCAGTGTCTAATGGGGAAATCTCCTGACAAATTCCTCGACGCTATACCCCTCGGAAACAAGATGCAAGGGAACGCCAACATGCTAGAAGATCCGAACGCCCCCTCTTCCCCCCGCGATGTCTAAAACCTGGCTCCGTCCAAACCTCCGGCTCCGTCTAAGCGCCTTCGAAAGTCCCACGCGCCGCTGACCGGGGCGGCGGGGGGGCTTAGTTGGCGACCTTAAGTTCGTGGTGTTGGTCTTTAACTTGGTACGCTGGAGGTTCTCTGAACACCACATATGGTGGGAGCGATTCTCCCGAGCGGCGGGCTGCGTTGTTCTCGAACGGGGAGGCTGGTGCAACTGAGTCCGCTCGCGGAGCTTGTTGAGCTTTCAAGACTTGCTTCTTTTTCTTGTGGTCGCGCACTTTTTCGGCAGTGAAATAGATGGCGGCGCCGAGGGCGAGAGCGATGGCAACCATTGTTGCGGAGTGACGAAGTCTGAAGTGGTGGAAGAGTGTTGGGCGATTTGGAAAGTGATAGGCGTTGAAAGTGTACTGTCTTGTGGGAGGTTATGGAGTGGGAACTGGATCAGGAGGCTTGATCAGATACTCTGTACTTGAGGCGTTGTTTAGTAGGATGATGGAGTAATAATCGCCAAATGCCGGGCGATTTCGAATACTTTATAGCAATCCTGTCAAGCTATCCACGCTTTACCTCATGTACCGTGTCATCAAGTTTCAAGGAGGGCGTGAGGGAGACCTAGCAATGCCCCGTGGAAATCGAGTCGAACGAGGCATGACGGAATTGCTTGCAGCTGATTTGGATTTACTCTACCAGCCTTGCTCGTTGGCGTCTGTCCGTCACTATCCTTCCATTGTCGCTTGATTCAAATTATACTAGCCTTTTGATGCGCACTGCCCTCTCGGAGGAAACCTTGGATCCCAAGCATACCGGACCGAGACTAGAGAGCGTGGTAAATGTCCAGGAAACGGCAACAACTTCATCATCGAGCCAAGAAGATGTACGGCGTAGATCAAAGGAAGAGTAGCTTTTACGCCGGTGGCAGTCCCTGGTGATCTCGGCAGGCAACAAGCTAGCCTAGTGAGGTCGTCTCTAAGCCCCGAATGTCCTTTCGATCTATGCATCATGACTAAGGGCCCTGAAACGCAGATCCGGACACTGGGAATTGTCATAGCGCAGCGGGACCCGGCGCCACCAATACGCCCGCGCTTAGCGAATACGCCCCTGGTCGATATAGCACATGTCGGTCCATCTCTGCATCGTCCGAGTTGCTGGATGGAACCCAACACAATTGCTTCCTCACAGACTTGTCCAATTTGAGACTCTCATACACGTGGAGAGTCTCGCCCTGGTGGGGGATATGACGAGCCACTTCCGCCTCGGGTTAATTCTTTAGAACGGCGATGCAACGAGCCAGGAGAGCTCCTCCATCCTCATGAGAGATTCGACTGTTTACCCCTGGCTTGCACCACCGCACAACTCTGTTATTCAGCCCAGCAGCGCCAGCATAGCTCCCATAACGTAACGAGAACTGCGCCATGGCGGAGGTTGCGACCATTTCTTGTCCAAAGTTCCCCGATCTATGCGCCAGCATACGGTCCTGGACAATGCCCGCCATGGCAGCTGAAATGTCGCTGTGATGGTGCACCTGCTAGGACGTCATCGTCCAGAAAGCCGGCCTTGAGCGGGCATTGCTTCTCTCTACATCTATATAAACCGCTTGTCTCGCTGCCGCTGTTCGATCGGAGACACAATCCAAATTCCCGCATAGTTTTACCCTGATCCTGCTCCCGCACGCTTTAAAATGGCCGCCACCTTTGTCATAGCCTTGTTGGCGCTCTCCCCGATTGCCTCAGCGTCTCCTGTCAAGGCTGCGCAGAGAACCCACGGGTACTGCAAGCAATTGAATATCCCGGTGTTCGCTTCCGCAGACAGCGCGACCTACGACATCCGAAGGGTGGACAGTAATATCGAAGCACGAGCATGGGCGATCTACGGAGACACCTGGAGCACTCCCCAGGGTGCACAGACCGTTGTCAAAAACACCACGACCGCTGAGACCTTCAATATCCATGCCCAGCTGTGTATCCCCAAAGCCCCCGGGGCGAAAAAGGACATTCTGCAGATCGCGACTCACGGCGCGCATTATGATGGAAGATATTGGGATCCTGAGCTCGACCGGGAGAATCAGTCTTACGTCGAGGCGTCGCTCAAAGCAGGATATTCCATCCTCACGTACGACCGTCTAGGAGCTGGTCAATCCGACCACCCTGACGCGTACAACGTGGTGCAAGCTCCGCTCGAGCTCGAGATCCTTCGACAGCTGACCTTGATGGCACGCAACGGAACCATCTACAGCCTCGCCGCGAAGGCACAACCGGTCACTGCACAATTCAACTCGTTGGCAAAACCGAACCAGATTGTCCATGTCGGCCACAGCTTCGGATCGTTCCTCACCTCCGCCTTGATTGCCCAGTATCCCACGCTGACCGACGGAGTCATCATCACTGGCTACTTTTACGGCAAATACCTGGCCGCGCCCGGGATGGCTTCGTGGGGCGTGGACTTTGCTGCCACGGCTTCTCCTCCTTTCGACCGACCGAGTGGCTACGTTGTGTGCCAGAAGAGCGGCATTCAGAATCTCTTCTTCGGCGGCAATCCCGCCACCGCGTTCACCAAGGAGATGCTCGACTACGGCGATTCTCTCAAGCAGCCCGTGCCCGTCGCCGAGCTCGCCTCGGCCTTCCACATCATTGGGCAAAAGGGCCTGGGCCTGAAAGCGCCGGTTCAGTTCTTCTTGGCCGAGTTCGACTTCTACATCTGCGACGGTGACTGCAAGGGCGCGTACGACCCGCAGGACTTGAAGGATACCTACCCCAATGCCGCAGTTGTGGAGGACTATATCCAGCCCAACACTGGCCACGCCTTCCCGCTCCACAACAATGCCACTGCTGGCTACCAAGTCATGTTCGATTTCCTAGAGAGGAATGGGCTGTAATGGGCTGTAACGTGCTGAGATCCACTGCAACAAACAACAACCACAACCACAACCACGGGCGTACTTTGTGAGGATTGACCTATCGGGGCACCTGGCCCCAAAATAATAGACTGCAAGCATTTTTCTTCTGTAGCACACTAGTTAGATAATATGGAAAGTTTCTTACAAATGAATCTGCCTGCTAAGATCACTGGTTCTGCCGTAAATGTGACGTCGCATCCTGGCTACCATGGACGCTGGGCCCGTCGTTGCCAATGGCATTTGTTGACCTGTCACTGCTGCCAGCGGTGCTAACTCAGCGTGGTTGCTGTGCGTCCGCGACTCCGCGTTCGGTCTGTTTCCTGGATAATTGAAAACTGCCTATTACCTGGGCCGCCCAAGTCCGTCCCAATCCGAGGCCTCCAGCTGGCAGAGTATCGCTCCCAGCCCATCTCGTGGCGGTCGAGGAAATGCGACTGCTGCCGTCGCATCGGACGGGAGGGAGAGCAATACGGGGCCGAGCCTCGTTTGGGCATTCGAGCTTCTCCTTTGGCATTTCCCCATGGCGATATTACATCGGAAGCGGGCATTTCGAATGGAGTTTGCCGTCTCCCCGAGGCTCCTTGTTCTGCAGGGTATGGATGGATAAACCCCACCGCCGCCTAACCCAAGCTGGTCACGGAATTACAAATCGATTAGCGAAATCGGTAAGGTTCCCTGTTAGGCCTGCCGTGGCCTGCTCACTTGGCTCAGCCTTGCCAGCCGTGGCTTAGGGAGAGGCTCAGCCACGATGCCACCCACCAGTGCCCACCCACACCACCACCGACCACGAGGAGCTTCATGACTTCAGCCAAGGCTGTCCGCCCTATTGCCAAGAGACATTGCGAGGAGACTACTGTATGTCAGCCGAATCGCAGGCTAATCAGATTGAATAACGCCGTGCGCATTTGGGCGGAGCCCAGGTATAATTTGTAACAACCGTCTAGCCCTACAGCATACTTACTCGTAACTTGGCTTGCAAGACCCTGCAGCACACCCACGAAGCCTTCTTTATCCCCCAGACATGAGTCAGCAGCCCTATTTCCTGAAAGGATTGATGTGATACCCCTGAAGCCTCGGCACGTTGGATAGAGTAGGCCTGAGGGGACGACAAATATCAGCAGCGGCGGCCCATCTTGAGCGTCTGCTCGAGAGATCAATTCATAACATGCCAACCAGCACCGAAACCATGGAGAGAAGCTCATCGTCGTCCTCGCCGACGTCCGCCTTTCCCCCGGGGTTTCGGTCGAGGCGATCTCACGCCAAATCTCGAAACGGCTGCCTGACATGCAAGCAACGAAGGAAAAAAGTGAGCACACCGCCCCTCCACTCTGGCATTGGGAGAGGTACCAATCCTAACGCCCGCTGGCAGTGCGACGAGAAGCGACCGTGCTGTACGCTCTGCGAGACGAGTCTGCGGACGTGTACATACGCATCGGAACAGCGATCCTCTAAATCAAGCGAATCCAGCGCGACAGCGACGTCTCAACTTCCATCTCCAGTTCCATCGCCCCCCGGGTCACTCGGTGGTGGGAGTCTCTTGACCCTTCCGACGAGAGAAGTGCTTTCTCGATCACCGGTGCCTAGCAGTGCTCCTGTCTTGAGTCTGGTGGCAGTCGGCGATGTCTTGTCCCACGTCACCGACGCGGACCTCTACTTTCATTTTCTCAACCATACCTGCAAGGCCGCTCCCAGCTGGCAAAAGGACCGCATCCTTCTGCAGGTCGGGATCGCCAAGCTGGCCCTCGACAGCGAGGTCGCCTCGCACTCGGTCCTGGCGCTCGCCGCCGCCTGTCTGTGCTGCGACGCCATCTCCCAGGGAGGCGTTGATCCCGAGACCGTGCGCCACATCCTCGACCTGGGCTTGGAGCACCACACCCTGGCTCTTGAACAGATGCGGACCATGACGTCCCGGCCGCGGGAGGCGGACACGCAACCCCTCCTCGCCAGCGCGCTGCTGCTGGTCCCGTTTGCACTGGCCTTCCAGCACATCCAGCACTGGATCCTCTGCGCCAAGGGGATGCAGGTGCCCGACCTCCTGACGCCCCGCGACACGATCCTGCTCCTGCGAGGGATCCGGACCACGATCGTCGCGTTGAATTCCAACCGCATCCGAAGCGGAAGCTCAACCTCCAAATCGCCGTGGGAGACGATGTTTTCCGCGCCGCCGACCGACTCGGACGAGTGCGCGGCCATGCCTGAGCGCGCGCACAGCATGTTTGCCATCCTGGCCGCGACGTTCCACCAGGCGTCGTCGCAGCTCCGATGCCGGATCGAGAATGCGCTGGCCGGCGCCCACGTCGACGAGAGCACCGCCTCGGTATCCGACGCCTACGAGATCCTCAACGACATCATGTGCAGCACCTTCACGGACTACCCCAAGGTCGACATCCCATTTGAATATGCGTCTTTTGTAAGTGGTTCCGTCTTTTGACCAACCGCTTGGGCAACTAACAATGCCAAAAGTTCTCCGTGACCCCCGACAGCCTGCTCGCCCAGGCGCCCGGGTGGCTGAAGAACTTCATCTTCCAACGCCCGCGGCCCACGCAGGCGGAGCCGCTGTCGCGCTCGTTCCTGGCCTTCTTCTCCAGCGCGCCGCAGACCTACGTCGACCTGCTCCTCCCGCTGCTCGACCCGCGCCCCGACACGATGGCCGCGGACGACCGCGAGCTCACGGCCGCCGAGGTCCTGGCGCTGGACGTGTACGCGCACTGGCTGGTGCTGATGCTCCTGCTGGAGAAGGAGGCGTGGTGGGTCGGCGATTTCCCGTTCGTGGCCCTGCAGGGCCTGATGGCGCGGTACGGCGACCGGCTCTGGGGCGCCTTTTACGCCCCGCCGCAGCAGTGGTGGCCGGCGGGGATGCTCGAGGTCGCCGCGCGACTGAGGCAGTGGAAGTAAGACCCGACTTGACTTGTATAGATACCCAATGATGATTTTCTGTTTAGCAGGATGGTCCTGATGGGCTATCCTGATCTCCTATGGTGCCTAGTGATCGGTCACAACTGGCGCGCTGTTCCGTCTTTTGGCCGAAGAGGCAAGACATCGACCCCCCAAAACCTGACGTTGTCCTCCCATGCTCCCGAATTGTAGCGACAGGATCTATCCATCAGCCCAGGCCACTCTTCAAACTCGGCTCTGGACGATGACCCTCATCTGGAGGCTGAACATGACCATCTGCACTGGCCCCGAAATGCTTCTCGACGACTTCCGTCTCGGAACCCGAAGAATGCAGGGCGACGCGAGTTCCTCTCCGGCTATTCTCGCACGTGGCAACGAACAATGGATCTGCGCCATGCCCCGTGTCGAGGACTTTCAGGGCATCATCCGGCCGTGGTGCTTCCCCTGGTAGTGTAGTTTGGACTGTCGCGGATAAGCCGCCGGCATGATCATGTGCTTGCGCCCGGACTCGCTTGTGGTCTTCACCAAGATGCTCCCCGGGGTCGAGGCGAATCGGTGAACGTCAAACTCCGAAGCTTGAAGGTGCAATTTGCGTCCAAGTGCGAGGTGCTGGGATGGTGTCGAAGCCCGCGACAGCTGCGAGAACGTCCAGGACACCAAAAACGAGAGACTTATTCGTATGTCGAAATCGGCCCCAGGTTGGTGGGTCTCATTTCAGGCAGGTTTCCGGATCTAGTTAGCGGTTTGACGTCGAGGCTCTCGGTGCCGAATACGGAGTACATCCTACAGGTTACGACCAACAAGCAAATGGAACGAAGTGCGTAAAGGCTCTTCTTGGGCAATTTGTAAGTTGGAACACTAGGAACCTTTCTTTGACAGGACTGCTCATTCATACTCCCTCGTCTAGACGTGTCGTCTGTCCACCATCGCAGCAACATCAACGTCTTTCTACTCTCAGCCGACCCTTTCCAGGCTATATTCACCCACCGCATCCTCCATCTGGCACCAGCAATTGACTGTCGAGATCGCTCGAAGAATCTTTGTCCCAAATACCGCTGGACTCTATTTCCTCCCCTTCAATTCCCGCTTCTGAGCGAGGCAGGTCTTGAATGGCTGAAGCTTCTGGATTTCCTTCTGTTGTCTGTTTCGGACAGGTACCGCGTCAATCGCGACGTCTGGACACTGGCCAATCTCGCTTTGCAACGACTTCGGTAGGCAGAATGCGCCCTCGCACCGTCCATAGCATATACCACAGGCTGGGCCTCTCGAACGAGTAGTTGTCCATAAGACCCCGTTCAGCCACTGCTAGGGCTGACCATGTGCCTACGCGTACGCGTAGTTCGCTCAAGCAACGACCTGGATCCGCGATGCACCTCTTCCTGACCACTATCTCTCCCATTGGACAGCCCGGGAAACGAGGTCCGTCGCATGTCTCCTGACCACCTCCAAATCGGGTCTTGTCCACATATATTACTGATGCACGCGACCTCGAGAATTACTAAAATTACCGCTTGACAAAGATGGCAGAGTCGCTCCAGCTTGTTCTAGGACTAGAGACGTGATAGAACGGCGGGACGGCGCTCAAAAGGCCCTGTGATATGTGGAAGGGTTCTCTACTGTTCGGCGTGGAGTGACAGAGACTGTTCGACCCCGCGTCAAGTACACGGAGTCAAGCCGAGGAGGGACGTTGCCATTAGAGAATCTTGTGGGAATTGGCATATCTGTCAACCTGAGATCCTTCGCCTGAGATGCCATGCTAGGTGACGCTGTAAATCGCAAACGAATGTGCAGACGAGCCCATCGACAGTTTTCCAGAAGCGTCAACCGCCATGAACTCTCCATGGCTGTTCACCAAGTTGTATCCATCCCCGCCTCCGAGGTAAGGGATACTGTGCACCATTGCCATGGTCTTGTTGACCAGCTCCATGTTCGCGCCCATGTACTGCCCATCCACTGCGCTACTGATGGTGTACAGCCGACTGTCTGTGGCCGTCTCGTGAATCACCCAACGTTGAGCCAATGTCGAATGAGACGCCGTTGCTTGGGAGGCATTGAAATGTGTGCTTTGGCCACCGGGGTTAGAAAGCGCGAAGCCGGACGACTCAAAGGTCAGGTAGCGACCCTCGGTGAGATACCCACGCACCGCCTTGAACCCCTTTTCGGAAACCAGAGATGTCTCTTCGGTTTGGTTGCCGTAAGGGACAGGTGGGCGCTGGACCGCGTATTGCGCTTCGCAGTAGGATGAGCCGTCCCAGACGCCCTTGCTATCCTTGTGTGGCACTTTTGCCAGGGGGATCGCGGGGATGGAAGTGTTGGGGCTGCTGAAGTCGAATGCCGCCGTCAAGTCGGACATATGAGCACGACGCCACGCGGGCATCTGGTTCGTCACCACGTTGTTATAACCTTTCGCCGCCAGCCACTTTTCCAGGAACATGATCTGGGAGTTGTGGTCGCATTTCTCGGTGAAGACATTCCCGCCGCGAGTCCATGGTGAGATGATGTAGAACGGGAGACGGAAACCAGGTCCCGAGAACGTGTAACCGAACATGTCGTACGGGTCTTCGAACCACTCGCCTGCCGTTCCATTGGGTGCGTGGTAAGGAGAAACGTGGTCGCCCCAGCCACCAGTCTCGTCGTAGCTGATAATCAAAGCCGTGCTGTTCCAGCTTTTACCCTGGGTGACAGCGTTGACCACTTGCTGTTGGAGCCATGCTCCGTCGTGGGGGGAATATGGAGGATGCTCCGAGAGTTCAGTAGGGCCGATGATGTAGGAGATCATTGGCAGGGTACCGTTAGCAGCATGTTCGTAGAAATCCTCGAGGCCAAGGTACGACATTCCACGTTTATGGAGGACAGTACCATTCTTGGCGGTCTGGTATTGTTTGAACCATGCAAGAGGGTTGTCGTCGAAGTTGTCGAGGTCCTGATAGACTTGCCACGTAACACCGGCTTTCTGGTAGATCTCAGGTGTCGTGGTCCAGGAGAGCGGATAACAGTTCAAACCCGGTGCTTCACAGCCGGGCACTTCGTTGTTGTCGATGTATACACCGCCTTCATTGGCCGTCTGGGGCGACCCGGGGACCGCTATGGAGCCACTGACCCAAGTCACACGATTCGGGTTGGTTGAGGCTATCACGCTCTCTTGGTACATGTCACCGATCGTCCAACCTTCGGCGAGGGCGAACTGGACAGGAAGGTCATTCCGCTTGTAGTATCCCCAACTCCACGGTGTATTCTGTTGTTAGGGGGTTTGTGTCAGTAAAAGGGATCGGCAAAGGCGAAATGGGTGAAGACATATCTGCAGCGGAATCTAGCTATCGAAAACTCACATTGAGAGCCCAATGATCGTTGAGGCCAAAATTGTAGGCCAGGTGATTCTCCTCGTACCCATTAGATCCTGCGTCCATGCACTGCGTAGCATTCAACCAGTGGCCGCCCAGTTCGTTGAGGTAGAAAGGGAGTAAGTAGTCGGCCTTTGTGGTTATGGTCTTGTTCAGTTTCCTAGATCTGTCTCAGGTAAAGCTCATGGCCGTTGACGTCGTTGTACTTACTGATACCACACAGACTTTCCGTCAGGGTTGATTTGAACGTTGGGGTCTGAGAAGCCTCGAACCCCTGCCATGGTGCCAAAGTACTGCTGTGGTATGAGCAAAATTCTTGTCGATCAATGGTTTTTCCGTACATGATCAAAGGCTCGATTCTCCTGCATGAATAGAACAACATGGTCGATGCTTGCGAGGGAGTCTGCGTACACCCCGCTTCCGAGGATGCCAGTGGCAAGCACAACGTACAGGCTGGATGACAATCGCATGATGGCTGTTGTAGTTGTCGACGGTCCACTCAAGCCCATTTTGCGACGAACGGGAAGAGATACTATATAGCGGTTCATTCCAGTCTTGTCCACTGGATGGGCTATTCCGCCCAATACCTCGTTCCTTTCCATGGTCGGAGCTGTGACTACCTATCAATGGGCGTGAATTGGCAAGCACGCGTATCCCTCCCATGCACGTGGTGCTGTCGACTGCCGCTGGCGGCACGACATGAGCCAGAGACGAGGCTGCGGGCTTCATGCCGAAATCACCTTACCGAGCAGCTGGATTGAGGTGGAAAGCGCACAATGTGACGATAGGGAAAATTGTCGTGGAACCAGAATTGGCTCTAGGCAAGATATGCAGATTCGCTGGTGTCTAAATTGCCAGATTTGCAAACACGTTGTGGCGGCGCCGAGCTTCATTCGCTTGTCCAACCAAGCGGACATCGACGCAGCAAGCTTCATCCGGCCGGTTTGCAGCAACAGGAAGCCGACTCGAATCCTTTCAGATGATAACCAATGGGGGAATACATCCAGCGTGCGCGTCCTTGCCTGCGTTAAGTATGTGCCGGTGCATCGTCAGGGTATTTCCTGCGTAGGAGTGGAATCAAGGAGGTCGAGGTCGACTTAATGGTCGATGCCGAAACCGACTAGAGATGCGTCTTGCATGTCGTTGAGCTGGCCGAGACAAGGCTAAGCACCGGGCATATCAACTAATCTCCCAGCTCATAGCCATCCCACTCCCCAAGTGCCATCCGACATGACAATGCATCATCCAGGTACCCTTGTTGTCGGCTCGGAACCTGATTACGACGTAGCCTCTTTGGGGAACGAAGACCGTGTCCTTCATCACTGGGTTCTCCAAATTGTACAGACCAGCAGGTGACTCTGACGGCAGGCTGCTGAACGGATCATAATTGTACATACCAGTGCCTCCTGCGGTGAATGGCGGCTTATCACTGCTCCATGGAATTGGAGGAGGGAACACGGAGACGACGTAGAAGGAGTAGCCATGCAGATGGAATGGATGGCCACCATCGTCAAGATTGTTGATGACGATTTCCACCCAGCCGGCAGCACCGTCCTTGGCTAATGGGATGTGAGGCGAAAGTTGGTTCGAATCATATCGTTCTCGAGCCAGGGAAAGCAAAGGTGGCGATTGGGGCGACCAACTGGTGTGATTGATAAATCCCATCGGGATGTTGTGGTGCCTTGCCAATTTGAGTGTCGTCGTGTAAATGACAAACTTCAACGACTCATCTGCCCACGCAATGGGAAGGCTGTGGCTCGGCAGGGCGGCCTGGAGGTTGTAGTACTGGAGCTCTGGTTGAAGGACTTGTCTCTGTTGAGTAGACTCGGACTCTGTCTCGACAGGAAACTTCTGTAGTGGATCGAGGGCCGGGTTTGGGTACTTGAAGTTCTCATCGTCCATTTCGATTTCAAGATAACGGTGACTGTCGGATACCCCTGTCTGCAGGATTACATCCACTCTCTCTCCAGGGTAGAGGATCCCCATGCCTTGAACCTCGGTCATCGTGATGTCGTGACCGCCGTCGACCTGAAAAGGGGAGAAGCTGGCGTTATCCATCCTCATCGAGAAACCAGTCAAGGAGCCCGTATTGACCAGGCGAAGGCGATAGCGCTTGTCGTTTTCAATGTGTAGGACAGGGAGATCGCCCCTTTCGTTCGACGGGATGCAGTCCAAAGGCCTTGCAGGCACCGCCATGTCACAAGAAAAACGTCCCTTGCCGTTAATGACCAGAGAGTCGGGCACTGGCTCATTCCCAAAGGATCGAGAGTTCATGTACCACCGGAGTACTTCAGTGCTTGGCCGATGATACCAATCACCTACCAGCAGCAGAATTTCTTCGTCATAATGATATGTGTCTTTCTCGCTAAGCTGAGTGAGTGGTCGATGGATCACAAGACCGCCATACAGACCGTCGTCCCGCTGTGTCTTTTCGTGGCCATGGTACCAGAAGGTGCCGAATTCTTCCTCCCCAATGGTGTAATTGTACAAGTAGCTCGCCCCACTTGGGATTGGGTCCTGGGTCAAGCCCACAGCGCCGTCCATGTCGTTTGCACCCTCCATTCTCAAGCCATGCCAATGGATGGCCAGACCCTCATCCCTCAGAAGATTGCTGACATTGACCATGATTCGATCGCCTGAGCGAGCCTCAATTGTCTCGCCTGGAAATTGGCCGTTGATGAGATATACTTCTTTGCGAACGCCGTCTGGGTATCGGTAACTCTTGGTGACCTCCCAATCGAAGGTCAGCGTTGTTGGTGGGCGGCCAATATGGGCATCGGGGTGAAGTTTTGTTGCGATATCGCCAGCGGTCTGTGTTTGGTGCTGCATGCCATGCTCCCGGAGCGGATTTTGGATTCTTTTAAGCAACCATGAACCGCCGCCTAGTTGATCGAGAAGTAATGCCGACACGAGAAGAAAGAGCAACAGGCCAGAGAATAATCTAGCCGTCTTGAACTCCCGAGACGGTGCCTCGAGAGTCGTCGGAGATCGCTCCTTGGCTGTATTCGTCGACACTGTGGGCGCTGAAGCGACAGCATCATGAGGGTCATCTGGTTTCACACCTCCAGCTTTACGCCTCCTAGAGTTTGTCCTCTCCATACTATTGAGGTCAGATTGAGGCTGTCGAAGTGCCCATAGCCTAAAGGAAGATGCGTCAGCATCATAAGTGCCTTGATGTGGTTGGTGAATAGGCTCTGGGCAGCCATAGACCGGGATGAAAGGCGAGGCTCCCTGAAAAGGGTCTCGCTTCTGTTAGACGGCCAGCTTCCAGGCTATTCGTAAGGACTTTTCCCATGCCGTTCATCTCCGTCGTGATGGTCGGATCCGGGTCAACTTCGCTGAATGACAAAGCCAGAATTTCTCGAAATCGAACATCTCTCGTTGAAAATATCACCAATGTCCAGCGCCTTTCTGAAACCATGAGCTAAGCAAGGCTTCAACTTCTGTCTGAAGATGCTGCAAATCATCAAGACAGGCCACTAATCTGAAGAATGCAAACCGGTGGAGTTCACAGACGTCCAGGTGCGTGGGATACATAATGCTGTTGTCCCTCAATCCAGAACCACTCTGCCCTCCAAACCGCATTCAAGGAAGCCCCTGCACTGAAAGATGTCTACATCGCTGCGCAACTTTGGTCTGATCAGGGAAGGGACGGGGTGCGCTGTTCTAAAGCCCATTCCGGTCCCCAAGTTGGAAGCCGACTACATCTTGGTTCGAACTGTAGCAATCGCGCTCAACCCCACCGACTGGACCAGTCTGGACGCCGTCGGAAATGACGGAACTATTGTGGGATGTGACTACTCTGGGATCGTCGAAGAGGTGGGAGAGGCCGTGAAGGACCGGTTCCAAAGGGGCGACCGTGTGGCTGGCTTTGGCCACGGAGGTGCATCCACGATCCATCCATTTCGTCCTGTGTGGGCTGACACCATTCCGCAGCCAATGACTTCAACCCGCAGAATGGCGCTTTTGCAAGGTATATCGCCGTCAAAGGCCATCTGCAAATGCACATACCTGAAGGAGTGACCTTTGAAGCGGCGTGTACCGTCGGCGTCGGAGTGGCGACCGTGGGCTTTGGGCTATACAAGATCCTGCAACTTCCTCTTCCCGGAGAAGGCAAGGATGCCGAGGCCGGTGTGATTCTCATTTACGGAGGAAGCACGGCAACCGGAACACTCGCTATTCAGTTCGCACACCTGTGAGTACTTTTGACGCCGCTAAGGATTTGGGCGTCGCCACTCACTTAGCTTCTCCAGTTCGGGCCTGGACGTCGTAACCACCTGCTCTCCAAAGCATTTTGAGATGGTCAAGGCCCTGGGTGCGTGCCAGGCATATGACTACGTAAGTCGGACGGCCATATTCTCCCTGTTCCTGCCATGTCCCCCTTTGACAAGGGCTCATTGTCTCCAGCATGATCTCAATGTCGGCGGACAGATCAAGGCCGTCACAAATGGCAAATTGGAGACCGTTTTCGACACGGTCGCCACCCAAGAGACAGCGAAGATCTGTGCAGAGGCATTCGGCGATGCGGGGGGAGTGTATTGCAATGTCCTAGACGTGGACTGCCCCCATCCGAACGTCCGATCGGAGTCCTTCCTCGGCTACAGCCTTTCGGGCGAGCCTTTCATCTATGAAGGAGAACTCTTCGAAGCACACCCAGACCATTTGGTCTTTGGTTCCTCCTTTGCTCGAGTCGCCGAAAGGCTTTGGCGTGAAGGAAAGTGGACGCCGCATCCGCAGCGCATAGAGCGTGGCGGCCTCCGCGGTGTCACCAATGGAATGCAACAAATGAGAGAAGGGAAGGTCAGCGGTGAGAAGCTCGTTTATGTCATCGAGGAGACAGAATGGCCTTGAGATGTTCAACTTTTGTCCAAGATTTTGAAATTCATATCGTCTCTCCAGCCAACGAAAAGCTCTGTGATCTTGATGCGTCGATAACTCTCGTCAAAGTTTCGGTTTTCTCACCAGAACAAAATCATGGTCCAATGTCCAGAACCCGGTCGTTTTCTTACCCTGCGCGTCGACTCGTTCCAGCATCTCAATCCCAAACTGCTTCGCCAGCTTACCATCTTCCGACCATCCAAACTGCTTGATGAGACTCTTTTTCACCCCAAAGACCGGGTCCAGCGCCACATTCTTGCTATCATTGGAGTACAATGCCGTGGTAAGTCGGACGCACTCTGGGTGCTGCAGCACAAAATGCTTTCGCGTGACAAGTGGCGTCAGCATCACCTTGGTACAGTTGCAGGAGTTAAGTGAAAAGACATACCACGTGAGCCGGCCGCACATTCGATCTGTTCAGCAGTCGGAGCAGAACACCCACTGGCCCATCGTACGGAATCGGATAATCGACCGCCCTGACGCCGACCAGGGCAAACCTGCCTGCTTCGTCCGTGTGGAAGATGCCCCGACAGTCTGGTTCGTCCTTTTCGGGATCCTGCATGTCGTAAAAGCCATTTCCGTTCGTTTCCCACACATCCACCAAGGCACCGGAGAGCGGATTCCTGTCGGTGTCAGAGACCGTGCCACGGATGAGCATGGGCTCTCCGATAGCTCCCTTGGATGCGATGGATTGGCCATTCTCGAACTCGTGGGCTTCGTTGTGGAAGGGTCCGAGAACCGACGACTCGGTGGCCCGCGGAGCAGTGGGATTGTTGATCGCGTCGACCAGAGCCGATATACCCAGGACATCCGAGAGGAGGATCATTTCCTGTCGGTCTGGGGTGCAAAATTGCCCTACCTGCGAAGACAATACTCAGTCGACCTTGCATCTGGGGGTGGATGGAGAGCACGGAGTGTGGTCTATACAAACCTCGGTAAGGTATTGCCATGCCGCCTCCCACTCGGCGGTGGTCAGTTTCGTGTCCCGGACGAAGTCGTGCGAGTACTGGATCAGCTTTGCGACGACGAACTTCACCCGCTCGTCGCTGATGTTGGACCCGAGTTTGATGACATGGGGTGTCAAGTTCTCAATCGTCAAGTCGTCCGGGGAAGTCGTCCTACCATTTGCGGTCGCCATGCTTCGCGAGCTCCAATTTCACATCAAAGTCCGTATAGCCCGTAGCAACAAGAAGCACCAGCACCAAGTACAAGCAGAAACGACGAGGGCTGAAGCTCTCTCTTTATGAGCTTCCCATCAACCCTGTAGAGGCAACAAGTGAGACCCGGGGCCACGGGCGAAATAGAGAATGCCGGATGACATTGCGTCTCATCGCACGAAGCGCCTTCGAGGCCCTTGACTTGGCAATCAGAAACCTCGATGCGGAAGTACGCCGTTGCCCCTTTTGGACCGGTTTCCTGGGGGCCAAAAAGTGAGGCGGGGGAATCGGAATGTTCCGAGAATCGACCAACGTATCCTTGACTGCGACATCGTCGGTGATATGTAATCCAAGTAATAGAGAAGCCATGGACGGGATGGAGGGGGGTTATTCCGTGCTTCAGGATGACTGTTTTGCATTAATCCTTCTAAGCATTACCCCGTGTTCCATTTGTGAGCATGCGTACTCCAAGCGATGGCTCTTCGTTCAGGTTGCCCTCGTGGGCGAACAGACATCAGACTACCAAAAAGAATAATGGGATTGGTTACGCAGCGGGCGATGCAGGCTCCGCATATCATATATTGGGTGACAGTGTCTTTACATACGTCTTTGGAGATTCCCGGTGGATGCAACCTCCCGTCTCACTACAACTGCCTTGTTTCCAACTGAGTGGCTGATTTCAGCTTACAGAAGCGCCTGAGGTGCCTTGAACTCTTCTGGAATGCCCATGAAGCCATGGAAGCGCGCGTGGGGGTCGTATTTCTGGCGAATCTTCTCCAGACGAAGATATGCCTCCAGGGTCATGAACCTCGAGGGCCTGACGGCCAGGTTTTCATCGCCCAGCTGCGTGCCCAGGGCTTGGGGGGCTATCGAGTCCATGCAAGAGCTGACTAGATGGCTGTAGGCCTCGTCTTGGGACGAATCGCAGTAGATGGCAAAGTAGCTGATGTATACCTTTGCCTCGAGCGAGAAAGCCATGTCAGGCAGGCGATTGTTGGTCTCGTCCCGACCCCAATACAGGAGGTAGAGATGCGAGGGCGCCGGGGCAAGTTCCCGCACCATCCTGTGGATGCCCGGCAGCACTGACCGGATAGGGGCGGCCATCCATACGTTGTCCACCTTGTACCGGTGTCCGCTCAGCTCGAGGATGTCACCAATGCTCTCGACCAGAGTGGCCAAGTCGATCGGCTCGAACAGGAAACTCTGGACCGCTTCCTTGACGATAGCCACATCGTGAAACGCTTGCAGCTTGCTCCGCGCATCGGCGGTGGTTGCGGCGAGACAATCCAAACGAAGCAAGATGGTCAGCCCCGGCACGCCCTCCTGGTCGTGGCCGATGAAGAGTGAGACCTCGAGGTCGCGGGGGAAGGAGTCCTGGAGATCCTCGATCTGGATCAACAGCCGGTCCAGCGTGACGATCGGGAAGAAGAAGCGGCTGTGCATCATGGCTCCTGGGAGCGGATGAAGCTGGAGATAGAAGCGTGTCACGACAGCAAAAAAACCATGTCCGGATCCTCTCGCCGCCCAGTATAGATCTGGGTGGGAGACGGCGTCGGCGTGCACAATCTCCCCTTGGGCGGTCACGACGTCGACCCCCAACACATTTTCGCAACCCAGACCCGTCAATCTCGAATTCCAGCCCAGGCCGCCCTGCAAAAGGTAGCCGCCGAGCCCGACCGTCGGGCAGTGCCCGCCAGGAAACATCAACCCGAACGCGGCGGCCTGTTTGTTGAGCGCGCCCCCGAAGCATCCTGGTCCGGCGACTGCGGTGCGCGTCTCCGGATCGACCGAGGCCTCGTTGAGCGCGGAGAGGTCCAGAAGGAGACCATCCTGCCTCAGGAACGACGACGACCACGAGTGGCCACCCGACCGAATCCCAATCTTCATGCCATGGGCAGCGGCGTACTGGACGGTGCGCACCACGTCTTGTTCGCTGCCCGCTTGCACAATGACCTCCGGATACCGGTCAGGCTTGAGGCCGTTCCACACTGTCTTGGTTCGGGCCTCCTCATACCCAGCTTCGCCTCGGAAGAACACCGGACAATCAACATCCATATCTTTGCTTTTTGTGCCACCCAAACCCCGAGCGTCTTGTTGTCGTCTAGGAGCTCCAAGGGAGCAGCTTCTCCGAAGGGGTTGCCCAGATTCCTTTGCATAAGATGTCTGTATCAATGTTTCGAGGGGGAGAATGTAATAGCTTAATCCAGGAGGGGAAAAGAGAGACAATGGTAGCCACAGGTATGCAATATCTTATCAGCTTCCAGTGTGCATAGATTCAGGCCTGTTTCTGCTCGAGAATAATTTTCTCCTAGAATTGCCTCCAATGGTATATTCTCGTAGCCGGCAGACTTCTGGCCATCCGGCCATGTACGCATGGGGTATTCTGGCCGAGTTCTCTGGTGCTGTCATCCTCCACAGACCCAACTGGCTCCCCAGCATCTTGATTCATATCAGCAGATTACCGCTCGTGATGGGGAAAAACACCAGAAGAATTGTCCGGGGTGGGGAGAAACCTCCGCGATTCACTCCCGTATCCGAGGCACGGGCTTGGCCAAATTCGCGAAACAGGTTACCTGGGTCGGATGTGCGAGAAAAGAGCAACAAGAACTGATGTTCGGAAGAAGAAGAGATCAGCCCTAAGCAAAGCACAGATGCTGAGAGGGTGAGGTGACTGGGCTGAGACCGTGTTCCTCAAGCAGCAGCCCTGCGTTCAACGACAACGGCAACCGAATCCTGCTTAGGGACCTTTTGTCGGGTTTGGTTTTGTTTTCCCCCCAAAAATGCGCGCCGCCATCTATCGAGGAGCCAAGGATATCACGGTGGAAGACAGGCCTTCGCCGTCGCTGGAGGCAGGCCGGGTGCTTGTCGACGTCGAGTGGTGTGGGATCTGTGGCTCGGATCTTCATCTGTGGGAGAAAGGTTTGGGTTCCAGCATGATATAGTTTCTGATGAACGAAGAGAAGTAGAGAACAGGGTTGGCTAATCGACACATCCGTCTCTGCCAGGGCCGGAGCTCTTCGGCGCTCTGACGAAACCCGACACTCCAGGGCCGATGGCGATATCGCTCGGACACGAGTTCTGCGGCAGAGTGCGTGCCGCCAACCCGGGCTCGCGGTTCCGACCAGGCGACAAGGTCATGATCGACCCCCGCCGGCCGTGTAGGCGGTGTATAGACTGCAACGCGGGCCACTCCTACTGTTGCAAAGCCCAAGGCGGGTACGGGTACAACACGCACGGCGGCTTCGCGGAGCAAGTGTCGGTCAGCGAGCGCAACGTGCATCTGCTCCCGGCGAGCGTGTCGCTGGAGTTCGCGGCGTTGATTGAGCCGTTCGCGGTCGCGGTCCACGCGGTGCGAGCAGCCGAGATCCGCGACGCCGATTGGGCGCGGTCGCACGCCTTGGTCCTCGGCGGCGGGCCCCTGGGCTATTGCATGGTGTCGATGCTGAAGGCGGTCGGCGTGCGGACTGTGGTCGTGTCGGAGCCGGCGCAGGTGCGCAGAAACCAAGTGTCCAGACTTGCGGACTGGACGCTGGATCCGCGCACGCAAGACGTCGTGGCCAAGTGCTCCGAGGTCACCAACGGGGTCGGGGTCGATATCGTCTTCGACTGTGCCGGATCCAACGCCGCGGTGCCGACGGGCATGCAAGCCCTGAAGACCATGGGGACGTATTTGAACCTGGCCATGTTTGACGAACCCGTAAGTTTCCAGAAGCGAGGACGCAAACGAATCCCTCGTTGACGGACGGACGGGTTGGACACTGACCAGATCGCAGATGAGCATCCCTGTCTTCCTCATGCTGTCCAAGCAAATCACCATTCGGAACTGCATGATCTACAGCGACGAGGACTTTCAAAGGACCATCGACCTGTTCGCCCAAGGTATGTCTTCTCGCCACAGTCGTCCCGTCTTGACGACTGACACGCTGAGACAGACAAGCTCGTCGGCATCGAAGAGATGGTGACGGCTCGGATCTCGGTTGACCAAGTGGTGGAAAAGGGCTTTGGCGAGCTGATCCGCAACAGAGACCGGCATATCAAGATCCTCATCTCGCCTAAGAAGCCGGACGGGGACGCGTGAAGTTGGAGGCCAAGCACGCATATGAACGAGATAGAGTGGAGGACGCCCACAGAAATGGAGGGCGGAGGGAGTCAAAATGCCCAACGAAGGGAAAAGGGGAGGTTCAGAGCCGAGCTAATCAAGTTGATTGCCACAAGATCAAAAAGCAATGGTTGTGATCCATCGTAGCACCCATGAAGGGTCCGAGCTGCAGAGGTCCCAAAACCTGAGAATGTGTCTCGGCCGTTGAAAAGGTATGCATACATACCGAATTACGGCCACGCAGGGTACAGAGGTGACAAACAGGTCATGTCTAGGATAGTTTCATGGGTTTAAGCGTCATGATTGCAACTTGAGGCCCTGTAGCGAGGAACGCAACTACATGTGGTGTTTCATTTTTCCGGTTCTTCCGCCTCGTCTCAACGTCGTCGCCGGCGCTACTCCCTCACCTCTTCTCGCGAACCTTGAACACGACGGGCATGTTGGTCTGCTTCCAGAAGAAATTGCAGTGCGTGTCCCACTCGGGCTTGTCGCCCGCCCATTGCACGTCCAGATGCCGCAGGATCTGGGGGACGAATTTGCCCATCTCCAGAATCGAAATGTTCTTGCCTATGCACGTGCGGACTCCGTGGCCGAACTGTACGACAAAGGCTATCAGTCAGTCCTGTTGGAATCGAAGTGTGGGTGGTGAGGGATATGACGGAAGGGGAAGAAGGGACTGTTTGGGGGAGAATATGAAAGACCAGGAAGAAGAACGGAGGAAGAATAGAAGGAGAAACAGAGAACACAGATACAGGACTTACCGCCAGGAAGCTCCGTTCCATCACCTTCAGCTGCTCTTCAGACGACTCAATCCACCTCTCGGGTCGGTATAGGTCTGCATCTGGCCCGAACACTCTCTTGTCCGAGTGCAGAACAGGGGCAGATATGAACACGTTGGTGCCGCCGGGTAAGAAGACGCCGCAGATCGTCGCCCCTTCAGCAGGCACGTATCGTTCGAGAGGCAGCCCGACGCCAGGGTGGACGCGCATTGCTTCCTTCATCACGGCTTGTCTGGAAGCAAGACATGAGCCGACGGATCCATCCAAGGCGAATGGGGTGCTACCTACAGATACGGCAGACGCAGACATTCTTCGTATGTGACGTAGGGAGACAGTTTGCCTTCTCGGTCCGCCTCGTCAATTTCCGCCTGCAGTTTCTGGTACACCTGTGGATGTTTCATCAGGTTGTAGAAGATGGCTCGGAGCGAGATCGCCGTGGTGTCGGATCCTGCGATACTGCGTGGCAGGTTTGTATGTCAGAAGAGGACAAGATTCATGACTACCGAGTAAAAAGACGCCTCGACCAGAGACTTACATGTTGTTCGACAGATGATTCACCATGTCCGTCTGAGTGATCTTCCCGTCCTTTTCAGTCTTCTGTCGGATTTGGGCCAGGAAGTCGGTTCGTTGGCCTTGAGATGTTCTGCCCTCGTGGTCGTAGCGGTGGATTTCGTCTTCGGTGATCTTGACCTCGAGGTTTCAGCCTTCGTGGAGCTCGTCCATCGGAAACAGCAGCGGCAGCAACAAAATGGCACAGGACGGAAACCCAAGCATGCACACAGAAAGCACGACAAAGCACACACCTTGAGGAAAGAATACAGGGGATCTGGAACTGTCGCTAGCATCTTGGCCAACCCGACCAAAATCCGGTTGCCCAGGAGATAAGGATGTGCCCATGGGATCTGGCCGATCAGCTTGAGATATCCCTGGACGGCATCGAGATCACTGATCATATTGTCGACGTCGCGGCGTTCGTCCAGGAAACGGAATCTGCGCTGGAACGTGATATAGGCGATCACGTCAAAAGCATAATACTGCAGCCACACGCCCAGGTCGAGCACCTGACCTTCGACCGCGCACATGGCGTCGATGAACAAGCCCGTACATTCGTCGGCGTACGGCTCGTAGTTCTTCATGTTGGTCATGGAGAAGAGCTGGGCCACGGGTCGTTTCAGGTTCTTGTGGTACTCGGGGTCTCGGGTCGAGAACATGCTGTCGATGACCTGCCCATTGTAGAAGACAGCAGCTATGTTTTAGAAAGATGTCTGGATCGTAGTCATTTATTGTCGAATTCCGTCATCCCCAGGGCTTATCCATACCTTGAGAAACTTGGATCCAATGCCATAGATGACGGGGACCATGTCAGGATCTGATACCGAGACTTCGTTGGGCCCAACGCGGACGATCTGTCCATACTTCTCGTGGAGGTTGCGGTAGTGCTTGGGCGCTTCGCCATTGTAGACCAGCGCCACGCGGTAGAAGGAAGAGAATCGAGCCAGCAACGGGCCTGGAATCTCTCTCAACCCTTTCCTGAAAGCGACGTGGAGGTAGCTGATGGCCACCAATGCCACCAGGACGACCGGCAGATAGAGTGTGTATGCTATCATGATGGTGAGAGTGGTGTTAGTGATACGATGAGGGAAGCTAGCAAGGCTCCTCCTCCGTGTGTGTGCGACCAAGCATTATTTCTTGAATCACCAGCAGGAGCATCGGGAGCTTCTCCACGCATTCGACATGGCAACTCACTTACCGAAACCTGACTAGAGTGGCGCTTCCACCTCTCCGCTCGAAAAAAGGATGTGATCGATTGCAAGAACGGCTCGGGAGTTTTCTCGACTCTCGTGTCTCGTGTCCTGCGCCCCGGAAAGCCTGAGGAGCACCAAAAGACTGCCAGGGTGGAGTAGGCAGCACCGAGTACGCCAAGTGCCGTCGTTCAGGCCTGACCACTGGTGAATGTGTGAGGTTTGCCCGGAGTATGTGGGGGAATTCAGCCTCGTTGAAGCGTCCACCAGTGCCCCGACAAGAGTCACCCGGGGAATCCGGGGTGTTGTGTATTTAGTTGAACGCAGAGCCAGGCTCCCATAACCTTGAACTCTTCGGCTGCTTGTGGGTACGGGATCTTCTGGGGTGGGTGAGGTGAGTAATGGCATGATATAAGCCAATATCCACGCCGTCGGTCCTATGGCTGCCGTTCAGCCCTTCCCCCCTGCCGGGAATTTGCACGTTACCAACTCGAATTCTCGGCATTTTGAGATCGAGGACATTTGGGTTCTAATCGAGACACTGTGCCAATTATGCCTCCGGATTCGGATGTGCAGTGCCGTCGACTGGCACAACTTGACCGCTTTTTTTTTTAATGAAGACGACGAATAGACTGAGGCACAGGCAGTCCACAACAAAGATGGCGGAGGAAGGATTGACTGTTCGATACCCGGTACCTTGGCTTGTGGAGGGAGCAGATATTCCAGCGAAGAGTCCTGGTTATGGGTTCAGTGCTGTAACCAAAGACAGTCGTCTCTTGATGCCGCGCAGTCAACCTCAATATCTCGTAGGCCACGAGACATCGAACCTGACTTTGTTCTCCCAGGTAGCTAGAAAAGGCCCGTTACTAGGTTTACTTAAGGGGGCTATGCCAAATCTGAGATCAGAGGAGCATAGAATGGTTAGTTCTTCTCCCCACATTCCACTCATCTCTCCTCTGATATTCTCTCCTCCCTCCGCAACTCCATAAAATACAAACCTCTCCATCCGGGCTGGGGTACCTTCGAGTATCGTCTGTGCTCCGGGCGAGTGGTTCGTCTCTGATTGCGGGGGTTTCCCTGGAATGCCCATGATGATAAGGCTGGGACATGTCAACACCCCAATAAGAGCCATTGCCTTGCTGGTGGTATTCGTTGCTATTCTACAGATTCTCCTGACCCGAATCCAGCATAATGCTAGTCGTCAGTCCAAACCTCAACGCGAAGCTCCTTGAGCAGCTGTCGTGGGGGAACTGGGTATACCTCCCAGTCGCGGTGTTTGTATTCTTCATTGTTCGTTCCATCAAGCGGCGGTATTTCAATGGCTTGACCTCGATCCCCGGCCCTTGGCTTGCATCCGTCACTCGAGCATGGAGGGTCAACGAGGTCTTCGCGGGCCACACGGAGAGGACCGAGCTGGAACTGCATAGGAAATATGGTTAGTGGGAGCTGTCTCCTGGGAACAAACCAAGCATTTCTTTTCTGAGTGGTGGCTGGCCAGGTCCCCTTGTTCGAACAGGCCCCAACGAGGTGACGACCAACGACCCGAAAGCCGTGGAGCTGCTTTACAGCATCTCGAGCAAGTTTCCCAAGGTATCCATCGCCTTCCTTTCCTTTGTCTGCTTCGTCGAAAAAGTGAGAGTTTGTGTGATGACCGTATCCTCATTTCCCAGACCGATTTCTACAGGTTATTCGGCTTCCCCGATGTGTACGGCATCCATCAGTTTTCGGTGCTTGATAATGCCCTGCACAACAAACTCTCGCGACATACGTCGGCAGCCTTCGCCATGACCTCGATCGTCGAGCTCGAGCAATACGTCGATAGCTCCGTCGAGTACTTGGTCACTCGCATCCAAGAGCTAGGCACCAAAGGTATCCCGATGAACATGGCGCAATGGTTCCAGTGGTACGCTTTCGACGTGATCGGTGAATTGACCTTGTCCAAGCGCTTCGGGTTTATGAAGTATGCCAAAGACGTCGACGACTCGACCAAGCTCATCGATACCATCTTATGGTATACCTCGGTGGTCGGTCAAGCCTTTACTTACCACTGGTTGCTTTTGGGCAATCCATTGCTGAAGCTCTTTGTGTCTCCGCCAACCGGAGAACTGATCAACGTCAGCTCGTCATCCCACCGGTCTACTCCACTACTGACAGTGTCGTTAGATGGCGGTCCGCGAGGTCAAGGAAAGACAAGGCAGGTCGACAGACCGAAGAGACCTGCTCTCTCGATTTCTCAAGTCTCACGAGAAGGACCCGGTCGGGTTCAGTATGGACCAGCTCTTCCGCACCTGTACCATGGTGATGTAAGTCGGCCAAAATGCCAAACCGCGCGTTGTCGCTGATTCGATCCACTTACCATATATTTTTTTTCCCCTTGGTTCTAGTGGAGCCGGCTCAGACACCACCGGTATCGCCCTGACAGGCACTCTATACCATCTCCTCAAAAACCCCGGAGCATACAAGCGGCTGAAAGACGAGATTGACGAAGCCGAGAAGAACAAGACACTGTCCCGGTCGGCCAAACTGCGCGAAACCCAGCCTTTGCCGTATCTCCAGGCCGTGATCAAGGAAGGAATGCGCGTCCATCCCTCGGTGGCTTTTATCCTGCCCCGGCACGTCCCGGAGGGCGGCTGCACGATCGCAGGGAAGTTTCTGCCCGCCGGCGTAAGTTTTCTCAGTGTCTCGTGTATATAAAACGTGATACTAATCAGAGACGGCGGCCCGGAACACATAGACACGGATCGGCATGAACCCATATGTGTTGCATCGCGACCAAAGCATCTTCGGGCCCGACGCAGATCTGTTCCGGCCAGAGCGATGGTTCGAGCGAGACGAGAGGCTGATGAACAAGTACATGCTCCAGGTCAGTTTTTTCTCGTCTCGATACTCCTCCAGCTGTCTCCACCTCATTTAACCGAGTATATTACTGTCGACAACTAACGTCCCCATTCTGTGTGTATTTCAGTTCGGTCAAGGCTCGAGAATTTGCTCCGGACGACACATCAGCATTCTCGAGCTGAACAAGACGCTGGTGGAACTGTTTCGCCACTTCGACATGGAACTCGCGGACCCGACGTTCGAGTTGACTTGGACGACCATGTGGTTCATGAAACCTAGCCACCTCCCCGTCATTTTCAAGGCGCGTCACCCCCAGCAGGGCATTTAAGACGACAATCAGGGACCAGACGATTTGAGTTAGTACCTCACAACATCAGGCTCTCGGTAGCAGGAAGGCTGCAATGGAGAGACAAGAACGAGGGCGATTTTGTGGAGACCCATTTTGGGCCAAATGCAATGAAAACACTGAGAGATAAAAGTAGTCGGCGAATACACTAGAAAACTTGCTACTCGACCCCATCCACCTTCTCTGCTCATGCTAACGATGTACAAAGGCATGTTTTTGGGGGGACTTTTGGGTATGTCAGTTCTTCGGTTTCCTCGTCAACCCACACAACATGAGTGTCAGGATAGTGCCTCGATTCCCTGCCTTAACGGCGAAAAGACGGAATATCTCGCCAGTAGTGGCGAATTATTAGGCACTATAGTAGATAAAGGTCTGTCAACCGTGACAATGAGCGAATAAGAACGCACCCAACCCTCATTTGCAGTCGTCCGTGCACAGAAACCCAACTCAGAAGATTTCGAATAGGATGTGATCTTCCAAAATAGTCGGGGAGACTCGCCTATCTCTGTTTGATGATGATGCATGAATGAGCAATTGCAGCATCAAAAAAAAATCACCGGAACAGTAGTTTTATAAAACAGCGAGTTGGATCTGGCGGACGATCCTGGCCCAGGCCATACGAATCTACGATCCTGATGACAAGGGTGGATGGGAGCAATACCGCAAAACGAGCTTAGCAGTGACTACCTTCCCAACCGAAAAATGGCGCATAACCTCAACTAGCAATATCAGTGTGTATCAGTCTCCATCTCAATTCAGTCTCTCTGCCACCGAACAATCCGACACGCCGCGGTACTCGTTGACCGTGGCCTCGACGACCTCGAAGACGGGAATTTCAGCAAGGCGGTCAACGAAAGGATGCAGCGTCGGCAACTTCTGGGCACCCAGGCTTTCGATCTTGAAATCGACGTTTTTCGTTGCAGACACAAACTTGGATTGCAGAGTCGACGCTCCTGGTTCGTCAAGCACGAGCACGTCGTAGTCGGCGTCCGGCTTCCCCTTCCCGCCCGTCGTGGGAATGTACTTGTGAAGAAGTCTGCCCTCGCCGCCGTCACCGCCGCCGTCACCATTAGGCTGGCCAATCGTCTCCTCGACCGTTTCTGGCCTGAGCTCATTCAGCTTGAAGTGCCCCCACTGTGCTCCCTTCCATGACAGGACTGCCTCAAAGGTGGTGTTGGTGCGACGAATGTCCAGGTCAGAAAATACTTTGCCGAAGCCGAGTTCGTCGCGGCCCGTGATGATGGGGTCGGCCATGTTCTCGAACATGATGGGACAGTATGTGCCTTTCCTCCGCCGTCCCTGTGTGTCCTCGTACTGGACACCGTAGATGTATAATGCCAGGAGGTCGTAACCGTGGCCGCTCAGCCAGGCGAGGTTGTGGAACGACTCGATCGAGAACGAAGCATATGCTACGCTGTCGGACAGTATGAAACTGTAGTGGGAGTTGGGGAACAGGGTGCGAAGGAGTGTGGCACTAGTCTTGAACTTGAAAGTCGCTTTGGTGAGAAGCGTCTGGCCCAAAGTCGAGCGGTATGTGGCGCCATCCAACGCCTGACGTGGTCCAGGCAGAGGGCCAAATACGGTCGGTTGTCGCCATCGCAGCCCAGGGCCGAGTTTCTTCCATTTGTAGTCTTGGAGGATCTGTGATGACGCGTGGACTTCGTTGTGGCTGAATCCATATTCGATGTACTCGTGGACTATCACATTGGGTCAGTCCGGCCCATGAGTAGAGACAGGGCGGGAGAATGAGTGTACCTTTCAATTGGTGCACTTTTCCGTCGCTATTAGTATCAATTCCATCGCCTCCAACCAATCGGCTGTACTCTTGGATCGTCGATGACCGGTGGTGTCGGGCTTGGTTGTACAGTTGCAGACGCTCCGGGACTTCTTGAGGAGTGACGTCTTTGTCAAGCATGATGCCGAGTGAAATACCATCTTCGATCGCCATTGCGCCTCCTTGAGCCAAATGAGGCGTGAACGGATGAGCGGCGTCGCCGATGACAGCCAACCGACCCGATACGTAGGTCGAAAGCGTCGGCATGTCATACAGCCGGTACACTTTGAGCTCGGCAGGGTCGACCTTACTCAACAGCTTCACCAAGCTGGGATGGAAGTCTGCGTAAACATCCAGCAGTCTCTCAACCGAGGCGGCGGTCTGATAGTCATCGGAGCTCTCGGACAGTTCGGCAGGGTGGATGCAGACGAAGTTCAATATCTCGTTGTATGAGGTCGAGTAGAGCACAATCTTCCTATCCTCCGAATACCACAGGTCCATGGCCCCGTTGATGTTGACCAGTTTCTCTGTGTCTGGGTCCGCCAGGCCGAGTTTACGCGGCATGGTAAATCGAAAGGCATTGTGTTTGCCTTTGAACGGAGGCGACACCTTGGTGTGGAGACATAATGCCGACCGTGTCTTGGAGTGGACTCCATCTGCGCCTATCAATACATCTGCGGTGCGTTGAGAGCCATCTGAGAGAGTGATTGTGGCTGTCTGGGCGTCAGCTGTCTCGACCCGCGCCGATGTGATGAGTTGAACTGGCTCTCCGGGTCCTTCGATGGCAGCCGCCTTCGCCTTCAGTTGGCTGTGCAGGTGAGCTCGATGCGCCAGAACCCATGCCTGAGGGATTGGTTAGCAAAACACAAACCCTTTCAACCAGAGCTGTGTCAACCTACATCCTGCCATCTATTGCTATCATTGTTGGGCGTAACGCGAAAGGCTTCGTTTTGAGAAGACAGGAACCTCGACTTTAGCCTTTGCGGTCAGTTGAAATGATGACAAGATCATTGCTTGAATAGACGGAAAACCGAACGCACCAACTCCAGTCTGACAGCGCCTGCGTCTCTTGGATCTATCCCAATGTATTTCAAGGCTCCCATCGCATTGGGCGTCATGTGGATCGCGGCGCCGACCTCGTTGGCAAACTTGGACTGTTCATAGACGTCGACATGATGACCTTGGTTGCGCAGCGCAATGGCTGCAGTGAGTCCTCCAATGCCTCCGCCGACGACGATGATCTTCAGACCCTGATTAGGAATATGATGTTGTTGCTTGATCCCATTTGTTCCATTCGATAGGACTGGGATTTCGATGGCTGGGGACATTTTCTGGGCTGGTAGAGGGTGTCACAACTGCGGCTGCGGTCACAGCATCGAGGGTCCAAGCAGTTAATTCGACCGTAGTGGTTCTTCTTTCATGACTGCCCGCAACAGACGAACGGCTGGATATAGTATGTAACCAAGACAGACTAGAATGGGCCATTTTCGTTCTTCCCCAGAGTTTGAGAGTCCGGGAGTTTGCAAGGGAGAATCTCACTGCCCGCTATTAGTTGTGCTGGTAGTAAGGAATGAGTGGTGAGAGTCGGCCAACGGATTTTGAGCCGTTTCTCCATCATCCGATCACCAACACCCCCATACAACATCAGCCTCGAGTTCCATCTCGGCCCTCGTACGCCAAAGGTTCGGGACCAACAACACTGGCCACCCCTGGGCAACACAGCGTCGGATGCTGTCCCTATCGGAATGATATGGCTCCGGACGTGTCACCCACGGAGGGAAGCCGGCTGGTTGGTTACTTCATATCTCTTGAGCACAGTACAGATTGACTGATACTTCCAGACACCAGACCTGTCCCGGAGAGCCGTTTAGGGCGTTTAGAGGCGTCCGGCTATTCGCACATGGCCTCCAACATCGACTGGCCTGAAAGGGACGTGGTTTAGGAAAGTTGAATGGCATCCGTCTCTGTTTGGCTGGGGCCTCACCTTCCCTCCTATCACTCCAAATTCCTTACCGACTGACTGATGCTCAGGCCTGGTTCTGTCTCAGATAACCGTCCGCCCATCATGTCTCAGCCTCACAATACCAGTATCAATAGTCCACTTCGCCCACTACACCGACACATCACGTGGCACAACGAGTCCGGGAAAGCCATCTTCACCGACGCCGTGCCAACTAAGGCACCCTCGGGCGCAGCCATGGAGTTCATGCTCATGGACGCCGCTGACTGACTCCCCGCCAACATGGACGAGAACAAGGACATTGAGACATACACATCGTTCCTGGAAGATGCTCCCACTCTGGTTGTTCCAGGCGGCACCGTCGTACGCACCGTGGACTTTTCACCAGGATACACATCCCCAATGCACAGGACACTATCATGACTTTGGCGTAGTGCTACAAGGCGAGGTAGAACTGATACTCGACCCAGGAGAATCCAGGGTGTTGAAGGCAGGCGACGTGGTGGCACAAAGAGGCACGAACCACGAATGGAGGAACCTGAGTCAAGATTCATGGCTGCGCATGATTTTTTGCATTGCAGAGTGCCGATCCCGTCAAGATCAAGGACCAAGTGCTAGGAGAAGACGAAGGAGGCATTGATAAAACCCCTGGATAGCGACGACTGGGCAGCTATCGTGAATATCACACCAAAATCTAGGTCTTTGTTCGAACGACCTCTAGCCAGTTTCAAGAGAGTATCACCATTCGCCGCCGACCTCGTAGCGGAAAATCCTATCGTTGAGCCGACCGCCCGTCGCTCTCCAGACCCGATTGACGCCCTTGTTGTGGAATATTAGTACACTCGCTGTTCCTGTCGTCGCAGGCAGCACCACTCACTGCAATCACCCACACTCCCAGAAACATTGCGCCGACAATCACCTCTTCGCCCGAACTCGTCCCAGCAGGACGAGCTGACCGCACGCTTCTGTTCGTTTCACGGTAGCCCGGCACTCGACGCCGCGAGCTGTATGCCTCGACTTGCCATTCCCGATGCTGCTCCTGCGTTGTTGTGCTTGAAGCGTTGGCAGGTGGATTTATCGGTCCTCGGGGGTGATGAACGGCCTCCTGCGCCGGTGAGTCTTCTTCGGTCCCTGTGTGATGGACGTTGTAGGCCTGGAGGACATCGTGGATGGACTCGCCCTGGGCGACCTGCGTGGTGGTCGATGTGGCCATGATGGTTTTTGCTAAGGTGAAATCGAGAACAACGACTAACTAGATCCCATTGATTCCCTTCTTGAAAGGAGAAGCCACCCTCTCTTGTCGAAGACCCAAAGCGCTGTCAGCCGACTTTCCCATAGGCGGTGGTCTGCCTCTCCATTCTGTTCTCTGAGCTGCTCTGTCGGTCGTTGTGATGAGTGGAGTGGAACCCTCAGAACCCCCAAAAATGCCGGAGTCACCAAAGGAGTGGAAGGAATCTGGGGCCGCTGAATTTGCCAGACCGGGGCTGGGGGTCGGTAAGAGGTGTTCTTCGGGGCTTGAGTCTCGGGTATTGTGGGATGTAGACGACGACCCCGATTGAAGTTGCTGCCATGGTTGAATCTGTTCCCCGGATTTGTCGTCCAGTTCCACCTCCAAAATCGCCATCACTTCTCAGTGGGATTTCGTTCGAGTCAGGCACGAAAAAGATGGGTACGGTTTTCTGCCAACGTCCCCAAGGGCTCCTTGAGACTGACATGTCAGCAGGAATCACGCCGGTGTATTTCTTTTCGCACGGGTCGACTCGAATGATCGAGGAAGATTGCGAGTCCGGCACGTACTGGAAGCAATGCGGCGATGAGGCTCTCGCGCACGGAGTCAAAGGCATCGTCATGATGGTGAGTCTCCTGGTTGGCGTTACAACAAACCACCTGATAGCAAGTGTCAGGGAGCACATTGGGATTGTGTCGGCGACAAACTTGAAGTGGCGACAAACCCAGCACCTAACAAGTCCTTCTGCCCCTACGCCACGCCATCCATCTACAAGGACTGGAAACCCAACCCGGACCTCGAAACGGCAGAGAAGTGTATCCTGATGCTGAGCGCCGAAGGATTCAACGTGGCCGGCAATCCCAACTTCGACTGGATCCACGACACGTTTCTCATTCTGATCCGTATGTTCCCGGACGCAGCGACGTGTCCACCCACGACTATCATCTCCATGAACGCACGGTACGATCCGCACTACCACGCACAGGTGGGCGCGACGCTCCGCCCGCTCCGTGAACAAGGGTACCTCCTGATCGGGACCGGCGGAGCGGTCCACAACCTGTACCGCAACGAGTGGAAGCCCATGGTGCTGTACAAGGACAGCATGGGCCAGGAGACGCCGCCAGAGACGTGGGCGTTGGATTTCCGACAGGCAGCCGAGGACGCCGTCACGCGCAACACGGGGCCCAGGCTGCGTAAAGCCATGGCGTGGCTGATGAAACACCCCCAGTACCGCGCTGCCCAAGCCACCGACGACCACTGGATGCCAGCCATGTTCTGCGCTGGCGCCGCGGGTCACTTTGACGACGTCAACACCAAGAACCTCCTGGCGGCCGAGACGTGGGAGTTGACCAACATGTGCAACTCGCAATATGTCATGGGCTCTTATGCGGATGACGAGACGAGACAGGTTGCTGTGCGTGGCTGAGAAGGGGGCAAAAATGTAAGGAAGACCCCAATGGAAGAGGCGGTCTAGAAACACAGGGTACCCCGTTTTCTAACGAGATCGAGATATATGTCGTACATACTATAGTTAACCCCCAAGCTGATTGACCCAACATTTCGCTATTGTATGTGTGTGAACGAGGCTTTTTTATTTTATTTTAGGCAAAAGTTCTTGATACTGATCTTGATATTGAAACAGCGGTCTTCCCTTCACTACAAGATCCCGATTCCATATCATACCACCGACAACAGGTGACAGAGAACTGAGTTACCTCAGCTCAAGAAGACTGGGCATCTTGAGATCCAATCCGCCCAGCGCAACCCTGACTCCCCAAGCCGAAGCAGCCAGAACCGACGTCAAGACCACTCCCATCCCAAGTTGAAGTCCGGTCTCGAAGAAATCCTTTCTCTCCCCCAGTCTCTGGCCCGTAGGTCTCAGCGGAGCCTGGACGGCGTCGCTCCACGCCCGAAACCGGTTCTGGTCGATTCCATGGGGCCCGAACACAAACCCGCCGACAGGGCCGAGGATCTGCGATGCGGCCGTCGGCGTCACGATCGCGGGCCTCGCTTCTTCAAACATGTCGGGCGAGTACCGAGCGATAGCCTGTTGTCGGGTGTAGAGTGATGATATAGGCCTCGGTCTAGGTCTGGGCAGCTTAGGGCCGACGAGCAGTTCTTCGGCGAAGGTATTGATCAGGGTCAAGTCCGCGTTGAGGTCGTTGGAGAGGTAGTTTGCTTCGGCCTGCGAGGCGAAGATCAGGACCAGCGAAGGGGTTGGGCTCGAAAACTCGGTCCCGCACACCCCGTCGACGACGCTAATGGCGTCCTCTAGGCTGCTCACCCGGTACAAGACCAGGGTTGGAGTTTGCGAAAAAGGGCTGCCCTCGTCTTGGGCCTGTAGGTGAGTATCCGCACTCGGTCTGCGGCGAGGGAGATCAATCAGCCTATACGGGGGGGGTTGTTTCCTGGGGTTTCTCACCTGTTTTGTAGCGTGACTATTCTCCCTCCTCGTCCCGCCAGCACAACATCGACCGCTGGTGGCTGCTTGGTAGTTGCCACAATTTTCCGTCGCTCGCCGCCAATGTCTACCGCGGTTGTTGTGGCTGTTGACTTGTGGAAAGTCGGGATAGACTTCGCCAAGTGGACCACGTCGGCGCAGAACTGGTCGTGCACGGCTTCGTCGACCAGGACCAGGTCAGGAGCATACGAACTCTTCCCATTCATCGCAAATCTCGCCTCCAGAAGGCTACGCGCGGCCAAGTTGATGTCTGCGGTTCGGTCGACGATAGCGAAGTTGTACGCCGTCGAGGGCGACGTGATCATTTTGACGCCGCCCTGAATGCCCGACAGATCGGCGTGGCGCGTCGACTGGTGCACGACGACACATTGCCGAAGAAAAGCAGCGGGCGGAGACTCCTCAGCCACGGCAAACGTGTCGCGACTCAAGGCTTCGTTCAACACCTTGCGCGCAACACTGGCGGTTCTGCTCCATGTTGCCGGGATCTGGGTGGACAAGTCAGCCGTGCCGCCAAAGCGTCACGGAAACGAAGGACGTTACTTCGGCAACGACGCAATTTCCAGCCGCCATGGCCGCAACGAGCGGCGACAGGATGGAGTAGAGGCTGCTCCTGGACCGATCGGGTCGGATGTAAACGACGCCAAAGCCCGTGAGGCGGTCGAGGCTGTCTCGGCCTCGTTCGACGTTCGACGCGACGGCATTTGCTCGTTCCAAGCTCAGGCCGCCGTACGTGTGGCCCAGCTCTGCAAGACTCAGAGTGTATTCGAAAACGGCCTCTCGCTCCGTGTAGCCATTGTCGTCGATCAGGGCGGCGATCAACAGCGGCTTCGAGGTCAACAGTGCCTCGTGTAGCCGGTGGAATTCGTTCTGTCGATGCCGAACAGACTTTGCAGTCCCTTCAATGTTGGCTGAGAGGATTCGCTGGAAAGACATGATGAGAGCAACTGATCAAGTGAGCTGTTCCAGACGGTAGAGGAAAGGAAGAAAGGGGTCTGTTCGTCAACTCCAGAGCTGTCAACGAAACCAGATGGTCTCCCGCATAAAACTCGGCATCAACACCACCACCACCATCTTCCTTTTGGACCAAGGAAGTCCGTGGACCCCATGGAGACGAAGGGTCCCTTGGGCCGCACGGGGAAACACTCAATATCCCCGGAGCCTGTGACTAGCTCACAAGATACAGTACCAGGGTGGGATCGATGGAGGGAGAGGACCAACAAAGAAACATCCGAGATGGGGGAAAGATACATCCGGACATGGAGCGGCTGAGTCAAGACCATCCATTTGTTACCCCCGTAGCACACAGATATGCAAGGCATGTTCCGTTACTGCTGACTGACAAGGCTGAGAGCTGGGCTCACCGATAGATTGTGTCCGGCACCATCAACAGAACCCCCATGAATTATATCCTGGACTCAATTAACCGGCGAAAACACCAATTCGCCGTTTTCCAGCCATGTCGCTGCGAGCGTCTCACGCCCTTGGGCTGGGGGTGCTGGGTGTCGATGCCTGGTCCGCCCTGGCCTGCCTTGCCCTGTGGCCACAATCGACTCCGCCACTCCACCTCGGCAATTTAACGGAACCCCTACAAATACGAATTGATGCGCATGCCCCACACCACTGGGGGCGGAGGAGGCGGAGGCGGAGTATGGGGTTCGGACGGTGTAGAGAGCCTTGAAGCGCGAGCCTTGTAGGCGAATCCTTGGTTGAAAGGTATTAGTCGGAATATGCTTCCGTTAACGAGAGCCTCCACTCCGCGACCGGTCGATCCGCCTTAGGTTCAGCGACAGCAAGATGCAGGATATCGCGAGACTTCCTGAGGGCTGGAACTGCTGGACGCGTGAACGACGGAAAGAAAATCAATTGACTTCCAGCAAGCCAAGGTTCGGCATATCTACGCCACCGATAAAACCCCAGACCGCGTAAGGTATTCTTTCGACAAGCGATCTCCTCTCCTCACGGGGCTCCTAGACTTTAAATGTAACCCACTCGCATCAGACGCTGCTCACAAAATCGGGTTCAGGCTGGTGTGGAACAATGGTGGTGGTGGTGGTGGTGGTGGTGGTGGTGGTGATGCTTCGCGTGGAGCTCTTCCACCGGCGCCTCCACCCTGTAGTTCATGACGTCGCGCAGGTCTCCGAGGAAAAAACACAGAATACACGCCACGACACCGAAAGCAACGCCGATGATGAAAACCACTCGGAGAGAGTCTGCATAGGCCTGCTGTAGTCCGGCGACGCCGGCTGCGATGATCGCTGGCGTGACCCCTGGGATGCCCGACAAGGCTGCCGTGTCGCTGTTGGCGAGATCCTCAATGAAGGCCGGTAGTGAGGCCGAGGGTAGACCTGCCTCGAGGGCTGCGTCGCCAATCTCCTTGGGCAGGTTTTGGGTCAGCTCTGAACTCAAAGCCGCGGCGTAGATGGCGGTAAACACGCTCGCGGCCACGGCTCTTGAGGTGGTAATCACAGAGGTTGCAGTCGCGATAAACTGGTGCGGCGTGACAAGCTGGACAGTGGCAACGATCAAGATGAGCGGGGCTCCAAACCCAATGCCTGCTAAGCCCCCGAAGACGAGAGAGTTGAGATTGTCGCCGGGTTGAATGGTCGTCCACCCGATGAAGCCGGCCGTGTAGATCACAAATCCCGCAAACAACGGTTCACGCGTCGTACGGAACTTGGAGCTGATAAACCCCCAGAACACTGTCGAAAATGTGGTGGCCGCCCAGAACGGCTGCGCACGGGCGGCTAAGAGGAACGGGTTTTGTTCGAACAGAACGGTGGTTCTGGTTCAGGCTCAGTGGGTTAGCCGCGGAGTGACCATGAGATAGCAAATCTTGGAGATTCAGCTCAGCGGCAACTTACAAGACGGGATAGAAAATGATGAACCCAAATAATTGCAGCGCTTCGATAAACATAAGCACGATGCAGATAGCCAACGTCCGCCCCCGTTGCTTGCCACCTCGGAAGAGATCGTGATGCAAAAACCCCGTCTTGGTGCCTTTCCACTCGTAGATTCCGAATGCTATTAGAACCACAATCCCGATCACCAAGGTCGAGAGGGTCCGGGCATTCGTCCATGCATAGATCCCACCGCCCAGGTTGACGCCAACCAGGAATAAGGTAAGGCCTAGGGTGAGGAGAGTCATCCCTGGAAGGTCGAGAAAGCCCAGCTTTTGCCAAAACGAGAGATGATCCAGACGAGTGTGCCGTTTCGGTGGTCGGTAACCCAAGAAGAGACCAATTGCCGTAGCCCCCCACATTCCGACTTGAATCCACTGTCAAGGTCAGTAATGTCGAGGTCAGAGAGTGAGGGATTCTGTCTGACATAGAACGTGCGCCAGCCCTGATGCGGGTTGTCTCTGGTCAATGCCCCAATACTAAGGGGTCCTGTCGAGGATGCTAGAGCCGCTGCAACGTTGACCAAAGCCTGCGCGACTGTTTCCCGGGAAAAGGATTGTTAGTTCTTCTGGTTGTCCAGGCCGAGTAAAATTCATCGACACTTACTTGGTCTCCATTTCCGCGGCAGGATTTCACTTGGAACAGCGTACGACAATGGCACGGCGGCAAACCCCACGCCAATCAGACATTGGGCGCCGATGAGTCGGTAGATGTCTTTGGACCCTGGTGCGATCGCGGCCCCAACCAAGGACAACAGGCATGATCCAATCAGAATGGCCTTGCGGGCTTGGTAGGTATCCGATGCAGATGCGATAACAGGAGACAGGACTGCTTGCACAAGGGTAAGGGAAACAGAGATCCAAGTTTGCCGGAGAGGATTGTTCAAATCTTTTCCGATCCAGGAGAGCTTGATGTTGGTTAGCAGAGAAGGCTGGGACAAACACGGACGTTGGGGTTGCAGTCTTACCACAGCTGGAGGACCTTGCAGCGCATACACCTGAACGAAGTTGAGCAGAAACAGGGCGACAAGAGCAACATAGGTCCGGACATGAAGCTCGGGTTCCTCATCGACATCGTTGTAGACGAGGTTTCCATCTTCGGTCTCCACATGCTCGATCTTTGGGTCGTCTGCTGAGTCTGTGATACGGCTTGCCTGGTTGACCTCCTCCTGATGAGAGTGGTCGACAGTTTTCTCTCTTGTCTCGTGGGTGCTGGACATGTTGTAATGGTTATCCTTTTCAATCCTGAGGGCAGCGATGAGTGCCTGAGCAGGGGCAACTCCATGGGTATATCACACTCCTTATAAGGGACGCATGCCAAATTCCCGTATCTCAATACCAGGTGGTGTCTTCAACAAAATGCCGGATCCGAGGCTCTAGAGCAGTAGCTGTGCAAGGTAGGGCCACAAGAATAACTCCGGGGTTGTCAGGGCAAGCGAGTGAAACCCCATCGGCCCACCGCGAATCCGGGGTAATTGGATTGGTTTCTGCCCTCTCTCAAAGAAGAAGCTAGACGATATCGAGGAGTCCATCTCCGGGTAGGAATGGATTGTTGGCATTTGCCTGATCCACTCGGGCCAGAACAGTTCGTTCCATTGCGCTGTACGCGTTATTTCCAGTTCTTTGAGTGTCTGCCCGGAGATCTAAGGAGTGCCCGTTGAGAGCTCGCACAGAGCACTACTGACCACTTTCGAAACCGGGGCTCTCAATCTGGAAAGAATCTGGACTGCCGCTTCAATACACCCATTTCTCGAGCCGTGGATGCCGTCTTCCCTAGCACCACCATACCAAACGACCAATGTCGCGAAATAGACACAATAAGGTAGATGTGGCGGCTCGAGGAACCGAGTTCTTGCCGCCACTGAATCATTCCGGCGCTGCAACGGAGGTAAGCTACTCCGAATGAGCTTCAACATGGATTCTGCGTGCCAAAGGGCAATGGGAAAGTCCTGGCCATGGACCCAGGTTCGAAGAGAGTCAAAGGCTTTACGCAAAATCCGATCTTCCGAAGGTCGGATAAACTCGTGGGCGAATCTTTGCAGCACGGCCAGGTTGCTATAGAGGTTGATGTCGGTCAAGTGATAAATGAGCGATTGGGATAGATCCGGCCGCTCCGACTCCTGAGTTTTGTCAAATACCCACCGTTCCAACGCCAACGCAACGAATTCCGTTTTCCAGAGTTGGGGTCTCCGGAGACAGTCATGCCCTCGAGGGCTCGGCATCCAGCTGTACGCACTGATCATCGCCAGATGTTGTATGCCTGATGAGCCTTCAGATATTGATCCGGTGGGTGTCATGAGCGATTTTAACGTGGTCACGGATTTCTTTCGTGATTCATAAATGCCGTCCGGGTAGCTTGCGTTTGGGTCGAGGGGAGTCAGGAAACAAGGAGGACGTAACAGCAGCAGGACACGATAGGCGTCAAGGATGTAAATCGATTCGGTGACGAGCAATAGTTGCGGGTGAACTGCCTCAAACGAAGCCGAGTCTGTCGGAGCATGTCGCAAGCAAGATTTCAGGCCATTCATGGTATTGTAGTGGAAGGCCTCCCAGAATTCATAACTCCTCTTGTCGCCGCTGCAGACTCCGTACATTTCCAAAAGGATGGAAGTTTTGGCCGAGTTCAAAGCCTGGGCCAAGGATGACGGCTCATGGCGAAGTTCGGCTTCGAGCTGTAATCTCCTCGCATCGTTGTACAAACTTTTCGCGACCGTGCTGCTGCCCTCGGCGGTGGAAAAGAGCGCACCGATAGCAGCCATGGCCAGACAAAGCTGCTGACTTGTCTCTTGAGTCGCTTCAAAGTTGGAAAAGATACGAAAGGTGGTGGAGACATGCGCTCGACCCAGATTCAACAGAACGTTGATCACCTCGTCGTCGTACATTTGCAAACGGGGCGGGAGAGAATACCAGGATCGTTTGGCGTCTTTGGTAGGGCTGGAAGCCCTTGAGCGTCGTTGGAAGAACTCAACCATAATGGCTACACCTTGGTCGATATGGGAGGGTTTACTGGACTCCAAGTTGAACGATGCAGTCTTCGGAAGGTCGTTGCCCGCTTGCCCTGACACAGCATCGTCGAGGTTATCCAGCCAGCCTGAGACTCCCTAGAAATCGTGAGTATGGACGGAATCGACGAGCACAAAGGACTTACCAAGGACGAGAGTTGCCAGAGCCCATCCATGGGGTCAAGGTCTGGAAAGGCACTGTTGATCGACTCCTGGCCATCAAAAAACATTCCGTCGTCAGGAGGAAAGATGGCATCGATCGTTGTGGTCGTTAGGTCGCCAGGGATTTGCATGGCATCGTTGATCTGTTCAACGGAATCCGTGTGTCCGATGATATTGGGGATCAACGACCCTTGGCCGTCTGGCTGAACAGTTGGCTGGCAGCTTTCCGTGGTCGTGGACCGGCCGGGAATGCTTGGAGTCATGAAAGTCGGGCCAAAGTCGGCCATCGACTCTGTTGGTCCTTCCAAGAGCTCGAAAAAGTCGAGTGCGTTCTCACTAGGGATGCCATCTTGGTCCAGGCGCTGCTCGGGGCCTTCGTGATTTCTGGGTCGCCCCGGCCCTCGGCTGGAGGAGGAAACTGTGCACGAGAGGTGCTTGTTGCGACATGCCTGGCAAGGATGATGATTGTCGCACTTCAGCTTGCCTCTGCGGCATTGGTCACAAGCCAACCTCGATCGCTCGCGTTGGCTCGACCTGGCCTTCTTAGAGCGGTAATCCTCGAGGCCTTGTGAGGTGTGAAACCTCTTCATGTGCTTGTCCTTGACATCGGCGCGCGGGAAGTTGGTGTCGCAGAAGGGGCAATCAAAGGGCCTTTCGCTGGTGTCTACAGGACAGAGTGAGTCTGCAGTCGCCAATGAAGCCCTACAGTTGACTTACGGGTTCGACGGTGTCGCACCAGGTGTTCATTTCGCGAGAAGGATCGTCCGCAAATCTCACACTGTCTGTTTTCTCAGCTGTCTGCCCTCCTTCTTTCCTTTCTTCCTAGCCCAACGGATTCACGTACTGTCTTATCAGGGCGCTTTGGCTGTTGCGGGGGTTGTGGCAGAGGCTGAGCGGTTGACAGCTCGTCAGTCATGTTGGCATCTGTCGCGGCCAGGGGTTCCGGCCAGGTCGGGCATTGACTCGGGAACGAAGATGCAAATCCGGGGGAGTGAATCGAGGAAGTCTGGGGGTGAGACGGCGTTAAAGGCGAATGTGGCCTAAGGTACCTACCTAATACCTAGGAGGCAGTTACCGAAAGCAGACTCGGGGGCCGGACTTCGGGACTCGTGGACGATGGAGGGACAAAGGGGGCACCTGAAGAGACAGCCTCCCCATGCTGCCACTGGCCACATGGGCCTAATTTGGTACATTTCTGGGTGGTTACTTACGGCACCCACAGTTACTAGAGGTACCTGAGGCCAAGGTGCCTTGCCTGGTATTCAACATCCCCCGCTTCTGGCTCCCCACAAGATTCTGTCTTATACTGTCTTACCCCACCCCGGTGATTTTCGCCACAGCATCGAGTCTTTGGCGAGAAGACAGCAGCAAGGCAAACCACTTCCCCACATCTTGCTCAGAAACGAAGAGTCTGGGGTCACAGGGAGTGAAGAGGCGGGTCTGTGAAGAAGCACACAATCCTGCAACCCGAATTTGCTAGCTACACGATGTCCCTGACGCTGTCCTACGACACGTGAAAACTAGGTCCTAGGTCTTCAATGGCGCACACCACCGGTACAGTAACCTCTCAAGAGCAGATTCTGCCAGGAGAGCGGAATCCATCGCGACATGATGTCGAGGCTGCAACCGAGTTGCCTGAGCCAACCATACTCTCGGACTTCAAGAGATCTCTCCTGGCGACTGTTGATGCTTCCGACGCCCAGGATCTGATGCATCTCGATCTCAAAGCCACGGTAAATCGCGCGCCACGGACCTCTCTCTCGAGTCCCGGCCGCCGTCCCTGCTGACCAGTATGCCAGGCAGTCGGAAGTAAGGCGTTTACCTACCCTATGGCGTTACTGTTGGACTTCCCCGAAATTCCATCGCAGGAGCGCATCACGTCTCTGTGTGACGACTTCTCGACAATCATGAAGAGCCACGTCTTCTTGAACCAGCTCCCGTTGGCACAGTATTGTACCGACCTCACGACGCCGCCGCTTCGGCTCGCCGTGGCCTGCCTCGCCTCGATGCACGGCAAGGCTCCGGGGAATGAATCCCGTCATCTTTTCCTCGCCGCGCTCGACCTGTGGGCATTTATGACTGAGGTGGACAACAGAGAGGCCCGCTCGCTCGACATGTTGATGGCGGTGAGCTACCAATGTTCAAGAGTGTCCACTCACTTGATTCTGACGTGACAACCGTCCATTCTCACAGACCATTCTTTTGAACTTTTTCGGCGTCATGACAACAGACAAGGCTATTGGCGGCAAAATGAGAATCCTAGTTTGTTCTTCACTCACGGTGGGTGTGGCAAAGCCGAATTCCAGCGACGGTTCGTTGACCTGGGTAGATCTCCCGACGAATGCGACTCCATGATCCTGAACAGCTTCAAACGCTGCTCGGATCCCGGATCTCGCCACATAGGTAGGCCCCAATCTCAGACTCTTCGATGAAAACTGAAGCGTCTAATGGGTGAAACAGAGGTGCTTTTATCTGGTGCTTGTGGCTGACCGACATCTTGTATGCGTTGCGCGACGGACTGGGAGTGCACAGCTTCTCTGTGCGAGAATTGTGCACCAAGATGCCGTATTCAGAATACGACTTTCAGGATATTTATCGCACATTACTTGACGAATCGCAACCCAAAGCCTCACTGCCAGATGACATGACATCCCCAGACGACGCATTTCTACTCCTTATGGCCGTCCTGTCGGATATCATGAGCGTTCAGCGGTCGTTATACAAAGTAGTCAGCCTATCCGAGAGCCAGCAATCCAGTTCTTCATTTGCCCCCAACCCCTTCATCCCTCTGACGCCAGCCGCGGAGCTGACCCGAATGAACAACGCCTTATCTTCGGCATTGGACACATGGTACGACAGATTCCGCGGCCTGATGGTCCCAGAAATCATCGCATTCCGTCACTACTGCGGACTACACCTCACTTGTCCACGAATATTAGAACTCCCCTTCGTGGCAGAATCGACGCTGTCACGGTCCGATTTCGATCATCAACCAATCATCATCACCGACGAGGCGGTCCGAAATGCCTGGCTTGTACTGGACCACTCCGCCGACGCAGTGAGGGCATGTACACCAGAGACCCTGTGCCCTGTCTGGCTTCCGATCGTCGTCTTCCACGCCGCTCTCGTCGTCTGGGCCCAGCAGGGTCTCCACAAAGCCGGCCACAGTGGCATATCCGGGAGCGTCAGGGTGCTGCTTGCGTTCAAAGTCGAACTCGAAAGGATGCCTTGGCCTTGTGCAAACAACATGGCAGCGACATTGGACCGGCTGATGCATAGTCGGTCAGCAGCTGTGAGGAGAGACAGTAGGCTAAATAGCTCGCGCTAAGGCTGAGCCGAAGTTGAGCCCAGTCACCTAATTCCTGAACAATCCAGTTAGAGGGATGTAGACTCTCACTCGCTCTAGGTCAATAACGACGACTAGTTCATGTAGACTGATTGGCTCGGCTCGGCATTGGGATAGAGCGCCACCAGGCTGGACGAAATAGGACAATTTCCCCATTTGAATACGTAATAATAATACATTTGGCCAAGTTCGCCGAATGCGTCCAAAATAGTCAAAGCTACGAGCATGTGGGTTAATTGCCTCGTCCGTCTCCTCAACGCCCGAGACTGCCAACTCCTTTGGGAATACATCTTATATAGACTTTAGAGATAATGCGATGCAGCTTGGCATGATTCATGACATACGATCTCTCAGCTCAGTCAGTATATTCACTTTGTGGTCCTTGCAAGCATCCCGAGGCCCAAACATCCTACTTGCTATAAAGCAAGGTAATGAACATGATGCGGATCTATCTTGCAACTTGATTCTCGATTTTCTTTTCTCAGTTTACCCGGAGGAAAGAACAGAACATGTTGCCCCTTGCTTTGCTGTTTGTTACGCTCTTTGGCCTTGCTTCGTATTGCATCGTCTCCCCCGTCCTACACTACTTCTGGGATGCGAAACGCCTTCGAAAATATCCAAATTGGTCCACATTCTCAGGGATATCAGACCTTCCATATGTCTATCTGAGCTCAAGAGGCACCCGCTCTAAGAGCATACATCAGGCTCACAGAAAAGCACCTATCCTGCGCATTGGACCAAACTCTCTTTCGTTTGGCGACATAAATGCCATCAAGGACATTTATGGGCATAGCTCTGTCTGCACAAAGGATTTGAACTATATCATTCTGAGTGGAACGCATACTCACTTAATCGACGTTGTGGACAAAATTGACCACGGAAGGAAAAGAAAACAACTCTCGTCGGCCTTTGCGATCAAGAACCTCGAAGCCTGGGAGTTCAAGGTTGCAGAAGTGACTGGGCGTCTGCTCAAACAGTTCGACGCCCACTGCACGGCACCCCTCTCCAACCCGGACAGTATACCAGATCCTGCCGATTTGAACCTTGATTTCGGAAAGTGGATCAACTTGTTCACGATCGATGCGATCAACAACATCGCCTTGTCTGCTCAGCTCGGCCTCCTTGAACAAGGGACCGACGAGGTTACCGCCGAAAGAATGGATGGCACGACCTACAGAGCACGATACAGGCAGGCACAGAATCAGACCTCGTACGCCCAGGCAGCCATGGTGTGGGATTACGGAAACTACCAAACTCTGGCAAGACTCTCTCGACTCCTTCCCAAATGGCGTAAAATCTGGCACGAGGCTGAGCCATGGAATGATGTCGTGCTCCACCAGGTCAAACAACGCTTGAGGCGATACATGGCAGGCGAGAAGCTGGACGACTTTTTCTCCGCCCTGATGGACGACAAGTCTGGCAGACCTCGCAATCTAGAGCTGGGAGAGCTGTATGCCGAAGTCAGTGTCATAATCAACGCAGGCGCAGATACAACGGCTATTGCGCTCACGAACATCCTCGATACATTGATACGACATCCTGAACACCTGGCCACGCTAAGGGAGGAGGTAGACGGGGTCCTTGATGAAGACGAGGTTGTCGCTCCGTATGACAAGGTCAAGCACCTCCCATTCCTACGAGCCTGCATTGATGAAAGTATGCGCCTCATCCCTCCGACTTCCGCGGCTTTGATGCGCCGGACGCCCCCCGAGGGAGCTCAGATCTTGGGCGAATGGATACCAGGCGACACAAGTGTCTCGATGACAATCTATGGAGCCCATCGTGACGGCAACATTTTCCCCAACCCGGATGAGTTCCAGCCTCGGCGATGGATGGATCCGAACGAGAGGAAACGGATGGAACCCTACTTCATCCCATTCACTACTGGCGGACGCGGATGCATTGGAAGGAATATTTCGTATCTTGAGCAGGTTGTTGTTTTGGCGTCGCTTGTGCATCGCTATGAGTTTGCTCTACCGAGTGCTGAATGGACGCTCAGCCGTCATGAGGCATTCAACATCATTGTGGGCGAAATGCCGGTCAAGATCTGGCGGCGAGGGCTCTCTTCAGGAAACCGCGAATTCTAGGTGCCACCTCTATCAACATGATGGCACAATCTGAGGCCCTGCTATTCTCATGGTCTCATAACAAAGAAGAGGCGAGCGGACAAGACTTAACATCATAGTTCTGCCATTGCTATCCGTTTGTCGAATTCGATCTTCATTAAGCTGCTTTGCTTCTAGCCGGCAGGGGAGGCCTACGCCTGTAACTGACCGAGTACTTGGTTCGGCGACGAGCCCCAGATTGAGCGTTCAACTTCCTTCAAAGTAGACGTAATTGAGCAGTGCTCTGAGCATTGCTTCTCACACGCGGATTGTTTTAGTCACCTGCATCGGCAGCATCAGGGTGTTTAGGTCTGGAAATCTGCTTACTCTTCCGCTGTACCTAGCACTTCATGAAGGGACTATCTCAGATGACGAGTTGTTTCAGCTCGAGACTTGGTTACAGTATGGCCATTTCCTTCCATTTCCAGTGTTATGATCTCGGCATCAATACAGGTTTGCAGACTCTGGGGTCGGCATTTGAATGTCTTGAATGCCGACGTTATATTCCGCAACGGCCCCCATGGATCTATTTCCCAAAAGAGATGAACTCGCCGAAACTTGGAAAATGGAGCAAAGGGTGTGTCGCCCCTGCCAATTAGAAGATCCTATGGCAATGCGGAGGCTATTTTCCTACTGAAATTCCCCGGCGATCTCTCCCCCATACCCCGGACCACGCTCTGGGCTAGTATTTCCAGAATTTGAACGTCGCCACACAGTCAGAGGCCTAGGTCGGTGAACGCTTCAGAGCTAAAAGTTATATAAACGAGCTTATTCCCCAAGGATGTTTTGGTTTCTATTCAGCATCCCTTTTACAGCCGACAGCGAGGGTTTGTCTTGAAATCCATCTGCGTCATACTTTAGGTCGTCACCAAAATGACTCGAATCGACGTGAAGGGTGCTACTACTCCCTCGGAGAGTACCAACCATGAAGAGTTTGCAGACCTCACAAACCAAGTGCTTCACACGGAGCTTGCCTACGACAAGGAAGGCATTGGAGGCATTTTGCGGTCGCCGTTCGTCTTCGGCGCGGCCTTGCTTGCTTCCTTTGGCGGATTTTCATTCGGCTATGGTCAGATAACCCGTCAAGTGAGCTTCTGGAGACAGACTCTAACGGAGAATACAGACCAGGGTGTGATCTCATTGATTCTGGTGATGCCACAGTTCCATGAGCAATTCCCCAAGATTGCTCCGGGAGCTCCTCACTATGGCTTCAATGTCGGCGTCATGACAGGTCTCCTCGAACTCGGTGCCTTCATTGGATGCCTTTGCCTACCTTACCTAGCGGATCGCCTGTCACGAAAATGGGGCTTGACAGTTGCAACCTGTTTCTTCTGTATTGGTGCCGTCATCCAGACAGCGTCCTACAACTACAACACGCTGGTTGCCGGCCGCTTCATTGGTGGCATTGGCGTTGGAACTCTAGCTGTGAGTCTTCTGCTACCCCCTCAAACTGTCGTCCTATGTCTTTTTCTACGGTAGATGTTGCTCAGTTTTCACATGCATATCCGCGAGCTTTGAGTGCGACACTAACTTGAGCGATACTCTAGATGGGTGCCCCTCTCTACATCTCCGAAATTGCGCCCCCTAATATCAGAGGGTCTCTGTTGGTGCTCGAAGCCATCAGTATTGTGATTGGGGCTATTATTGCCTACTGGATCACCTACGGGACCAGGTAAGAGATTGCTCGTCAAAGCTGTTGTGTCAATCACCCTTCTAACGCACTGGTAGGCATATTGCCGGCGACTGGTCTTTCAGGCTTCCATTCCTACTGCAGATGGCTCCAGCTCTCGCCGTTGGCTTGGGCATCCATTTCTTCCCATTCTCTCCTCGATGGCTCGCTATGAGAGGTCGCAACGACGACAGCTTAAAAGCATTGGCGAAATTGCGAAGACTTCCACAGGACGACCACCGTGTCCAGACTGAGTGGAAAGGTATCCTGGTGGATGTTCGTTTCCAAGAGGAAATGCTGAAGCGCGAACACCCCAATACCGGTCCACTGATGCTTGAGATCAAACAATGGATCCAGCTCTTTAAGCCCAAATACATTAAGCGAACCTTGGTCGCGATTGGCATACCATTCTTCCAACAGGTAAGAACCTCGGCCTTACCTCTTTGGCTGACGCTTACCGATCTGTGCCCTCCAGTTCTCGGGTATCAATGCGTTTGTATATTATGCACCGACATTTTTCGCCGCGCTGGGACAAAGTTACGAGATGACCCTCATCCTCTCTGGAATGGTGAACATCTGCCAGCTTATCGCAGGGTAAGTGCAAGCCGCCGCTTTGCGAAGATCTCGATGTGCATCGGTACTGACTAAACCTTCTCAGCATCCCGACGTTTCTCTTCCTCGACCAAATGGGAAGACGAAAGTTGGCTATTTTTGGTGGCTTAGCTATGGCAGCACCGCACCTTGTAATGGCTGGTGTCGTTGGCAAATTCAACGGCAGTTGGTCTACCCACCAAGGCGTCGGTTGGTTCGGTGTTGCACTGATATGTAAGACACTTCTATACTCGCAAGCTGTCGACCCGTGGCTGACTCCAAGCAGATCTATATGTCCTGACCTACGCTGCATCGTACGGGCCACTTGCTTGGACCCTGCCGGCAGAGTGTTTCTCAACAGCAACGAGAAGCAAGGGCGTGGGAATCGCCACTGCCACCATCTGGATAGCAAACTTCATCATTGGAGTTGCTGTCCCACAGAGTGAGTCGGCCTCGATTTCAGGATCCTGTTACCTCTGCGCAAACCCGTGTCTAGCCAAACAATACTAACAGGTATACACTATAGTGGTCATCTCGATCGGCTGGGGAACCTACCTGTTTTTTGGCTGTTTCTGCATTGCAGCCAGCATCTTCTCGTTCTTTTTGGTCCCCGAAACTAGCAAGAAATCATTAGAGCAGATCGCAGAAGTTTTTGGGGACAAATCCATCTACGAGGAGGTTGAGTTGATGGAGCATGTGGCGGAAGAGCTGTTTGGGAGGACGGCGTCGATTGAAGAGGTGAAGGTGTGAAGGTGACGCACAGTCCGCCATCTAAGTCAGAACGTCCCATGTAAACTCGGTGACTTTGTCACTCGAGTGCTTAGATTCTGCGTAAGCAACTCATTTAGTATCAAGGGCGAGAAGTCTATTGAAGGTGGCACACAGCCAATCTCAGCTTCGCAAGTCAGCATTGGTATAGTATTTCACTGGGATGGTTCGATACATGCCGCCTCCACCAGTATTCAACCTCTCCGTACAATCGCAGGATCCCTTCTCTTAATCTATTGTTCCCTTCCGACGTGATGATAACTCTAACTTAGCCCCAAAGACTGTGACGCGGGGTGGCGAGCAGCTTTCTCCTTTGGGGAGTCCACCCGCACTTCTCCCACCCGTGGAAAATCATCTTTTGGTCGATTTAAAAGAGTCGCGGTCCGATTGCCATAGCCTCGATCTACGAAATTGGTGGCCGCTATGGTCGGGATCCTTCCCAGACAGCTTCCAACGAGCAATTGAGATCGCCCAGCTGAGACAGCGGCAGCAAAAGTGGCAAGTCCTAACTGCACTGGGGACCGGTGCCAGGTCTCTTCTCCGTCATGAAACCTCAGCCTCCACCGTGAGGCCCAACCAACGACCAAAAGATGTCGCAATCTCACAAGGAACGGACTGTGCCATGCACAAGCTGCAAGAGTATGCGGTCTCTCTACCATGTGCCGTGCCGGAAGAGCTGTGATGGCTGATGCGATGAGTGCGTAGACAGACATCTCAAATGTAAGTGCGGTCTCTTGCAGTAGGCCTTCATCGAGACTGAGGCCAGTCACCAAGGCGACCCTCATACCCCATGCCGCAACTGCAAAAAGTCAAGTCTTCAGTGTCTACGACCGAGCAAATCGTTCCGCTTCAAAAAGACCCCTCGGCCCCAGCGTGAGTTTACCTTCGACTCGAACCAAACATGGTTGGCAACCGACAAACATGGTACGTCCGAACACTTTTGACGCCGGCGGAGTCCTCCGTGTCCGTTTACTCACTGGATGTACAGACGCACTATCCTACATTGATGTTACCAAAGAGGTTGCCCTTGCTTCTGCCGGCACTATGCAGCCATCAGATCAAGCTAATGATCGACCGACCAAGAGGCCAACACCAGATCATGCACGTGAAGAGCCAGAGCGCGCGCCAGAAGCTGCGTCCATATCGGATCAAGCAGCACCTGATGAATCACTTGGATCTCCTGTCCACGAACCTGAAGACCGCACAATGGGCGACCCACAGCCGAGCTATGAGGAGCGGTCTCAGGACACAAGAATCGGGGGAGGCATGTTCGCCCAAATTGAAGGGTCATTGAGTCCCATGCAAACCCGACCAGCCCAGCATGTCCAGTCACCAATTCTTGTCGCAAGCAATGAGCAGTCGCTCGCAGCCAGGTCCGAAACTCAGCTACGGAGTCCGGCTCTGACTACACATAGTCTCACCTCGGGCGGGCAATGTGTCTCCGATGCACCACATCCATCTTACGCCTTTCCCTCGCCGTATTATGCTTCCCCCGATGCTTTACATGGGCTCCCAGAGAAAGCAACGCATCAAGCATATACAAACCTTCAGGAAGCTTGTCTGGTCAAACACTTCATCAATAAACTGGCGCATGCCGTGAGTTGCAGACGACTTTCGGTCCCTGTCATGTCTAACTTCTCCAGTTCGAAACGACCGATCGCGACCGGCATTTCTCTCTCGTGATACCTCAGCGTGCCATGTTCTGCCCAGTCCTGTTGTATGCAATACGTGAGTCTCTCTTGTCCCAGGAAGGTCAATTGGCGGCCCTAGACTGCATCAGTTTCCATTGCCAGACTCTTCCCGTGGCAGCCTAAGCTAAGAACGCCCCCAGTGACTGCATCAGCACGCCATTTGACTAGATTGCATTCAACACATAGTAACAGACCCGTCGAGTTTGAAGGGACTCCTCTGCCCGACCTCAATGAGAATTCGGCAATAGAATATCACAACATTTGCATCTCTTACTTGATGGAGGTTCTAAATGATCCAAAGAAGACCATCAACCAGGACGCTTTGATTGCTGCAACCATCCTCAGATTTCACGAACAAATAGACAGTGAGTCTTCCCTAGGGGATCTGCAAGTCCATATGCAATCTCAAATTGATATGGGACGGTTTGCATCATAATATCTGAGTATATATATTGACAGATTGACACTTTACAGCCCCGTTAACCGGGTGGGATCCGGAAACATATCTAAGCGTCCTCCGAGGAGTGATCGAGTCGCAGCAGAACGAATCTTTCTATTCCCTGCGCACTATCCACGGGCCTCCCAGAGACTGCGATATATATGCCTCGAACAATGCGTCGCTAGCTCATTCTGCCTGCTTGATTGCTCTTCGACAGGAGATCTGGTCAGTCTTGCTCTACCGTAGACCTTTCCGCCTCCCACTCTGCCCAGACAACGACTACTCGAATCTGGATCCCGCAGTGGACGATTACACCTGGACGAACCGAATTCTGGTCTGGTGTGCCGATGTTTGCAAATTCGCCTTTGGCGGAGAAGGCGGCATCGTCGAGCCGAGTAGTCGCGTTGAACGGTGGAAGCGTCTCAAAGTCGTGCAAGACAGATGGGATGCGGTGCAGCCAGCGTGCTTCAAGCCTCTTTACTACCGAGACGCCGATCCGTCGAGGGGTAAGTATTTCCCAGAGGAGTGGCACATGAATGACTGCCAGGTGCTGGCGCTCCAGCACTTCGAACTGGCGCGAATCCTACTTGCTGCATACAATCCAAACCTCCAGAGGATCGGGTTGGGCTCCAGTTCATCTATTACTACCCTCGAAGCGCAACTAAGGCGCTCCACGATGCGGCTCTGTGGCCTGGCTCTTGCAAACCTCAATGACCAACCAGGCATGGTCACAGCTGCAGTGGGAATATCAATGTGCGGCGAGTATATCCGAGACGCTGGAGAACAGTCTGCAATTGAAGGATTCCTCTCCACCCTTGAGCGCGAGCACGCTTGGCCAACCCAAACTGTCCGGCAAGCACTGCGAGATGCGTGGGAGGCAACACGAAGACAGTCAGCAGCATTTTCAAGCCCAGCAGGCTAACGCTCGACGCATTTTCTCCTCGAATGCTTCAACCCTGAGGCGGTCAGTACACAGACCCCTTGCTTGGCCTAAGAAATGGGCATTCTGTATACCATTTATACGAAGAACATGGCGATCATTCTTCAATCTCGGTCCAAAGGGAAGCGGAGGCCTGTGGCTCTCCGTGCAGACTCCCTATTGGAGTGCGAATGCCCATTCCATCTGGTGGATAGGTCTATCCTGCCTTTCCAGGCAAGCCAGAGGAAAAGAAATCCTCCTAAGCTCCTGATATGTACGTAAAGACGCCGGTGCCGCCCCGCTTCGGGGTCTCGCAGCCCTGGACTTTCACCAATGAGGCAGTCTTCGGCAGAGGACCGTCGCCCCTAAGTCTGGTTATAGATTGGCTATCTGGTGAACCATCTGGGCGGAGCGGTGCCACCTTGCTCGCCGGATGTCACTGTGCACAATCATTGGCCTTGAGCCCTGGTCTGCCTATCGTAATTCGACATTTGGCCCAGTCTGGATTTTCGCCGATCAATCCTTCGCTTTTCCGGGGGCGTCTCCCTCGCTCGCGTCTTGCTCGGTTCAGCTTTCAGCTTTCAGAATTTACATTCACGACCGACCTCGAAACTGCAATGTTCTTGACTTCCCAGGCTCAGGCATTGGTCTCCTGGAACCTTAACAGAGGCCGCAACAACTCCAATGTGTGTCGACAATGAATACGACAGACCCGCGCGTGGGTTCGGCCCGTGACAACTCTACAAGCCCTGGATTGTCTCGTGTGGTTTCTGGCTCCAACTCATCTTCAACAAGCAACCTTGTTGCGACACTAGTGCCCGTCTTGATTTGGGCAGCCCTGTGCGCCATTATCTTTGTAACTCTGCGACGCAAATGTCCTCGAGTATATGCTCCGAGAGCAATACTGAAGAGCCTGGAGCCGCAGTATGTCTCTCAGCCCTCAGTTCCCATAGATATTCGCGTCAGGCTGACATTTGGAAAAGCGAAAAGAGCCCGCCTCTTCCCAACGGGTGGTTCAACTGGTTTACCGAGTTCTATCGGATTCCTTCTGTGTTCGTGCTTAATCACTCATCTCTCGATGGGTTTCTCTTTCTGCGCTTTCTTCGAGTGCTGGCTGTGATATGCCTGGTCGGCGTAATCCTCCTTTGGCCTATTCTCCTCCCAATCCATGCGACAGGTGGTGCAGGCAATCAGGGGTTGGACTGCTTGACTCTGGGAAATGTTGTAAACCACAATCGACTGTACGCTCACACCCTATTGTCATGGGTCTATTTCGGTAAGTCATCTCAGGCTAAACAGCGGCATGTCCCAGTAACATGCTATGCAGCATTCATCCTATATATGGTTTCACGAGAATGTGTTTACTATATCAATTTACGACAAGCGTATCTCCTTTCACCATTTTATGCAAACCGCCTGTCCTCCCGGACAGTGCTATACATGAATGTACCTCGACAATTTCTGGATGAACAGAGGCTTCGATGGATGCTCGGTAGCTCTGTCAAACAGATATGGATCCCTCAAAGCACCAGCGAGCTTGAACGCCTTGTTAAGGAAAGGGAACAGACGGCTATGCGCCTGGAAAAGGCCGAGTTCGAGCTCATCAAGATGGCCAATGCCGCAAGGACGAAAGCACTCGAGAAAGCCGAGAGTGAGAGCACGGAAGAGCCAAGTAAGGACTCTCTGGAGACCGAGCCCCGTAGCGAGAATGGGGAAACGCCGCGCTCGAGATCTGGCACTGCGGAAGTCATACAAGCATCGGACAACCCACAGGACGCCCTTTACCCCTCGAAAGAGATGCAAGAGCGGACTCTGCCGGATGTCAATGGATCAGTTGCATCACAATGGATTCCACACAGCTCGAGGCCGCACCACAGACCGATTGCAAACTATGGGCGCCGTGTGGATACGATCAAGTGGACCAGAAATCAGATCAGGAAGCTGAACAACCAAATTGCCAAAGTTCGACGGGACCAACTATTCAAGACTGATGGCATGCTGCCCTCCGTCTTTGTGGAATTCGAGACACATACCGATGCACAGCACGCGTACCAGACTCTGACGCATCATCGCCCACTGCACATGGCTCGGCGCTTTCTTGGTGTACGGCCGTTCGAAATCCTATGGGAGTCATTGTCAATGTCGTGGCTGGAAACAATTGTGCGAAACTTCCTCATCAAGGCTCTGATCACCGCGATGATTATATTTTGGGCCATCCCATCCGCTCTTGTGGGCACCATCTCTAATATTGACTATCTGTCGGAGAAAGTCAGTTTCTTGGGTTGGATCGCAGATCTTCCGAGCGCCATTAAGGGTATCTTGAGTGGTGTCGTCCCGGCTCTGGCTCTGTCTTTGTTGATGAGTATCGTGCCGGGGATCTTGAGATGTAAGTCGTAGATCAACTCCCAATACTCCACATGCTGACGGGAGACCAGACTGCGCGAAGCTTGGAGGAGTCCCAACTCTGACGATGATCGAGCTTTACACCCAGCATGCCTACTTCGCCTTCCAAGTTGTTCAAGTCTTCTTGATAACGACTCTGACATCGGCGGCATCCGCAGCCGTTACGAAACTGCTCGAAGATCCCACAACAGCAAAGGATCTGCTCTCACAGAATCTGCCCAAGGCTTCCAACTTCTACCTCTCGTACTTTCTTTTGCAGAGTCTAGCGCTTGGATCTGGGGCGCTTGTTCAATTCGGCAATTTGTTCCAGCTGTATGTCTTTCAAAGGTACATCAGCAGTCCTAGGAAGATGTATACGAGGTGGCACCGGCTACAGCGTATTCATTGGGGAGCAGTTTTCCCGGTCTACACCAATCTTGGTGTCATCAGTAAGTCTCCTGCCCAGGATAAGATATAATTGGACCACTTCTAATAATATAGCAGCTCTCAGCTATGCGCTGATCGCACCAATCATCCTCGGATTTGCCGCTGTCGGTCTTCTTTTCTTGCACATTGTGTACCGATACAACCTCATCTACGTCTACGACTCGGAAGTCGATACCCGAGGGCTTGTCTATCCTCGCGCTCTCATGCACCTGCTCTTGGGGCTCTATTTCTCTGAGATTTGTATGATTGGTTTGTTTTCTCTCAAAGGAGCCTACATCCCAGTCGTGTTGACTGTGGCTCTACTCATCCTCACGGGTTTGGTTCATTCTTCGCTCCTTGATGCACTTGGGCCTCTTTTGTGGAGTCTTCCAAAAAGTTTGACAGCTCAAGAAGATCAGCACTTGTTGGGAACTCGCCCTGTGAACCCACGCAATGCTGAAGATCTGGAGCATATCGAGCAATATCATTCCGACAAGGAGGAACAAGGGCCAGACTATAGCAGCAGTAGGGCTCTAGAAGGCGCAAGTGGAGCTCTCAACGCTCTTGGAGGGGGCATCAAAACAATGTTCAGGAAGAAAGTCAAACAGGAGGCCCCCGAAGCCCACATGATAATGGACGCTCTCACCGCATTCTGGATGCGATGGATCTCACCAAACCCAGCAGACAAATCCAACTTCCTTCTCCGCTGGCTCCATCCCGAGGTATACTCCGACTATACTCTGCTTCGTCGAATGGTGCCATCAGACTTGCCAGATCCGGTGTATCCGGAAGAGGTTGAGCGTGATATCTACTATCCACCCTCGTTTTTTGCAAAACCACCGACTTTATGGATTCCCCGTGATCCGGGCGGAATCAGTCGACAAGAGGTGGAACACTGTGGCAAGGTGATTCCAACCACAGATGAATATGTACACATAGATGAGAACGGCAACGTGGTGATCAATCTGGAGGAGAGCCGACTCGTTTTCGACGTTAGTCGGCTGAGATATTGACAATGATAATGACACGATGAGAATCCAAACAAAATCCTGATCATTCTTTTAGTTGGCGCAGGGCCGTCATCAGCGCAAGGCTGAAGCTGCGGCTGCTGGGTGCAAGGCTGAAGGCCGCAGAGGCGGAAATTCTTAGCGTGGCGGCAGGAGCAACCGCGAACTTTCAGATGCACCCGCACCGCAGGTGAAAGACAATACAGATTATCACCAGCGAACATTTGCAACAGGGTCGCTTCTCTTCAAAAGGTTGGGGCGTGCCGAAAGTACACACCGCCTTGTGTTGCTTGACTTCTTTTAATTTCTTGGTCACTGCCCACTCGTATTTTCCTCGCCATGAGCTGATCGACTTACGCTCTTCCATCCTCTCTCCTCTCCCACGACTGATCTCCCACCACCGCCAACATGGCGTCGACAGCAGTGCGAAATGGCAGTGCTGCTAGTAACCTCAATGGAGGAGCAGTGGGAATCACACCTGCGTCACGCTTCGCCGACATCCCGTCCGCGATCGATATTCCTGTGTCTGGCGGGCTTGACGCCGACGAGGCGGTCGAAGTCAATCTCGAGGATCTCCTTGACGACCCCACGGAGCTCTGCCAACTTTTGGAAAATGAGAAAGCGGCTAAAAATCTGTGGATCACAATTGCGTTGGCATACGCAAAACAGGCGCAATATGACCACGCAATCGAAATTTTGGTCAAGGGCATGGGGTCGCTGTCGAGGAGCGGGCCCAAAGAACGTCTGAGTCTGCTCGCATGCGTGGCCTGGCTGAATCTTCTCAAGAGCAGACAGGCGCCCAGAGTATTACCTGAAAACCAACAATCCTCCGATGCAAAGACCAAGGATCATTACCTCCGAGAAGCCACCGCCTCGATCAACGATGCCCTTCGAATCAACCCTGCCTTCCCTCCGCTGTATCTCACTAGAGGCGTTCTCTTCCTCCTTCGAGCTTCCTTGCAAGCGTCAACCAAAGCCGGGTCAGATGCTGAAAGAGCCGAATCCCTCAAGCAGGCGCTCAAGTGTTTCGATGACGCGCTACGAGCCTCCGAGGGTCGCAACATGATGGCAGCAATTGGAAGAGCCAGGACATTATATTTGCAGAAGCAATATGGTCCAGCATTACAAGTGTACCAAGACGTGCTCGCCAAAATGCCCGGACTCACAGACCCCGATCCTCGTATAGGCATTGGCTGTTGTCTGTGGCAGTTGGGGTACCAGGATCGGGCGAAGATGGCCTGGGAACGATCGCTCGCACTGAACCCAGAGTCAAAAATTGCACACGCTCTGCTGGGTGTGTACTATCTGCACGAAAGCGCCAAATACCCGGCTTCCGACCCTCAGTTCAACGCTCTTTACAAAAAGGCTATGATCGATCATACGAAGAAAGCTTACACTATCGACAAGAACTTTCCGCTTAGCTGTGCGACTTTTGCTAGTTATTTCCTCCTGACTGGCCGCTACGATACGGTGGAACCTTTAGCGCGAAAGGCCATTGAACAGACTGACATCAACGCAATTGCCAGTGACGGCTGGTATTTGTTGGCTCGAAAGGAGCACAACAAAGGTGACTTGTCCAAAGCAAATGACTACTACAACAGATCGGACCAGGCACGAGGCGGTTTGGATCGAGGCTACTTCCCCGCGAAATACGGTCTCATTCAGATTATGATTCAGACCCAGGATATCCAGGGTGCCAAGTTTCGACTCGAAAATCTTTCTCAGCTCAACAGACATGTGGAGGCCATGACATTACTGGGTTGCGTTTACGCTGAAGAAGCGTTCTCAGCCCAGAGCACAGCGACCAAAGACGAAAAGACAACCGCAGCGCGGAAGGCCATACAATTACTCGAGAACGTTCGAAAGACCTGGAAGGATGAAAAGACCCGGAACAAGCCCGACGAGTCCGTTCTGCTTTACCTCGCGCGTCTATATGAGCTTGAAAATCCAATCGAAAGCCTGAAATGTCTTCAGACGGTCGAACAAATGCAAATGGAGAAAATTCCGGATGAAGACAAGCCAGATCCGAGTGAGGAGGAAGCAACATACATTGCTCAATTGCGCGAGAACCTACCCCCACAGCTTCTGAACAATATGGCGTGCTTCCTGTATGGGCAGGAGTCGTACTCCCTAGCTCGTGAGACATTCCAGATTGCGCTCAATGCCTGTGTCAGACTCACCGAGAAGCAAGAGGCCGAAAAGAAGGCACTGGAAGAAGAAAAAATCAACGCAGAGGATGTCGACAACAGCGACACTGATGCTTTGGTGACCACGATTTCATACAACCTCGCCAGGACTTTGGAAGCATTGGGACTCACGGAGGAGGCTCAGAAAGTTTATGAGGGTCTCCTTGCCAGACACGCCGACTATACAGACGCTTCCGCCCGCCTCGCGTTCATAGCCTTGGAAACATCGCCGCGAGACGAGGGACCGCGAAAGATTCACGCAATTTATCAGAATGACTACGGCAACACTGAAGTCAGGGCTTTGATGGGCTGGTACCACCATAGCGCCAAGAAGAAGACGACCAACATTGCAGAAGATGCTGAGAATCGCCATTACAAGCACACATTGCAGGGCTATGACAAGCATGACCTTTACTCTCTTGTTGGTATGGGCAACATTCACCTGACAATCGCAAGAGATATGCCCCGGAATACGGATCAAGAAAAGGAAAAGCGGAGCAAGATGTATGCCAAAGCATACGAGTTCTTTGACAAAGCGCTACAACTAGACCCTAAGAACGCTTATGCTGCGCAGGGAGTTGCGATCGCTCTCTGCGATGACAAAAAAGCATATTCTGATGCTCTACAGATATTCACAAAGGTCAAAGACACTCTCCGAGACTCCTCGGTCAACACCAATTTGGGCCATGTGATGACGGAACTGCGGCAGTATCAACGCGGCATCGACAATTACGAAATTGCGCTGAGGAAGGATGGCAAGAGCGAAAACGCCCAGTTATTGGCGTGCTTGTCAAGAGCATGGCTTTTGAAAGGCAAGGCCGATAGATCCATCCCTGCTCTCAACACGGCTCTCGATTACATGAAGCGCGCTCTGGCCACCCAACCCGAGTCTCCTCATTTGCAGTTTAATGTGGCATTCATTCAGTTCCAAATTGCACAACATGTGAACCAAGCCAAGGAGACGGATCGAACGCTTGAGGATGTGGATGCCGCCATCGCCGGGCTTGAACAGGCCATCGATACCTTTGAACAGGTTGCTAGGCATAAGCAACCGCCATATCCCCGGACAGCACTTGAGCAGCGTGCCGCTATGGGCAAAAATACCATGAGGAATCAACTAGAGCGCCAGCGCGTGAGACAAGCCGCCTATGAGAATGAGAACGCCACAAAATTAAAGGAAGCAAAGGAGAGACGGCAGGAGGAGCTGCGAAAACGCGAGGAAGCAGCAAGAAGGCGCAGACAAGAGGAAGAGGAACGCGCACAGAGGATTGCAGAAGAACGGCGAAAGATTGTGGAAGAGACGGAGAGAATTGCTGAGCAGATTCGCGCCGAAGCAGCAGCAAGAGAAGCTGCCGAGTACACGGACGATGAGGAAACTGGGGAACGCGTAAGACGGAAGAAGAAGCCTAAGGCCGGGGGCAAGCGGAAGAAGCGAGACGATGAAGATGGATTCATTGAAGATGACGAAGATGGAAAGAGCGAAAGAAGTGTTTCGCGGACTCCAATGAGTGGCACGGACAACGAAGCTCCGGCTGAAATGCCCAAGAAGAAGAAGAGAAGACTGGAGAGAAAGAGTGCTGCCAGAGAAACACCACGGCGAAAGAGTGACAAATTCAAGTCCGCAGCTGTGGTAGTGGACTCAGATTCTGAATTAGACGACGAGGCCAGTGCAGTTGCGACCCCGGAAGAAGCCACCGCCGAGTCTCCGACATCCGAAGTCCCAGATAAGGATGAAGAGATGGAAGGTTTACGTGATGAGCCGGACGGCGACGAGGACCGAGTTCAAACGAAACCGCCCCCTAGACAACGCAAGCAACTGCGGACAATTGCCGATGACGATGACGAGGATGAGGATGAGGATGAGGGTGAGGAAGAGACCTTCAATGCAGGCGCCAATGGTCATGCGGACGCAACGAGGGCTTCTGCCGAAGTCGGTTTGGGAGGTGATGATGATGAGTAGGCGTCAGGGCCTTGCAAGTTCATGATCTCTCATCCCTCCTGCATAGGAAGCAGGGAAGTTGAATGGGCGCCGCTCAGCAAAAGTGTGCTTTGATATCATTGCTTCTGGTGTGATTTCCCCGTGAGTATTGAAGAGCCTTTGCCTTAGCTGGTGGGATTACCAGGTTTCTACAATGTATAACATCACGGTCACTTCTATTCCGTTAATCAAGTAAATGGGTGGATCAGAAGACCATTGATCGTATCGGGGTGGATGTGAGGTAGGAGTCAACCCGGATACGTCCAATGCTCGAATTCGGTCATCGAGCAGAGTCATGTAGATGGATGAGCTCCAGCCTCGTCCAAGGGAACAGAAAGGGGCATGAGCATTCTTGGCAAGGCTGGGTTATGACTCGCGATCGATAAATAACGTCACATGTATCGAGTCATTTAAGCATGCGGTCGTCCACCACCAGTGGCTGCCTACTGCATGATACCTCAAGTAAATGTCTCGTCTTGCCGCATATAAAGTGTCTATCAGACCTGCCTTCAGGCCAGGACTTCATGGCTTCCTCACAAGCGAGTCAAGCCCTTATACGACGGTCATCGGTGGACGATGTTGCTCTTATGCCCCCGCCACCTCTCAAGCGGATAAAAAGACCACCAAAAGTTCTGGACGAGGACGAATATACAAAGGCGCTGTCCGACATCATTGCGCGCGACTACTTCCCCGGCCTGCTCGAAAGCCAGGCGCAGCATGACTACTTAGCTGCGTTAGACTCTGGAAACGAGTCTTGGATTGTGGAGGCAGCGCAGAAATTGAGACAGGTGGCAGCGCCCGCAACGGGCAGCAAGAGAAGGTCAGCGCGGAACACTCGATTCGACAGGACCCCTTCAGCAACGCCCCGAACAGTGGGAGATACGCCAGTGGGATATACGGGGAGCGAGACACCCGTGACGGTCGCTGGGACCGAAGTTGAGGAAGAGGAGGAGCGGCAAAAGCAGTTGGATACAGCGAGATTCTCGCTGGGTTCTTTCCAGGCGAAGTACACGTCGGAGGACAATGAGTCCTTCAACGCTCTCCTTGACACACAAAACCAAAAACGCCGCGAAAAGCACGCCCACCTCTGGACCCAGGATCAGCGACTCCCCTCTGCAAGGCAAATCGCGCACCGCGCCCGGGAGGCCCGACTCCTCAAGGAGCGCGAAGAAAATGAAGCGGCGGGAAAAGCCATGATCCCTATGACCTCAGGAGCGACAGACGCCCGTCTTGCGAGACCCGACGCTTGGAAAATCAAGCGTCCCGACAACAGCTTCATGTTCAATGTGACCTCCGTAGACGAAGACGGGGTCCAAACCGTGCAGGAAGTCAAGGAGCAAAACTCCAAGGCCGGCCCCAAGCAAGTGGTTCACGCAAATACACGATTTCCGCCGATGCAATACGTCGACGAACCTGGTCCGGTCCCTCCTTCACCGTCGCTCAACACGGACATCATTGAGCAACGGACCGCGCACAAGAGACAGCGGGAGGGTAGCGATCTGGCGACCACGACCGACTTCCCGGGAAGCGAGACTCCGCGTGTCAACGGCTACGCATTCGTCGAGGAAGACGAGCCCGAAAACCTGCCGTCCGCCGCGGACCCATCGGCTCCCAGTTACCGCGATCTCCTGGCCGGGCAGGTCGGCGACGGCACGCCCAACCCGTTCAAGATCGGCGAGATCCGCAAACGCGAGGATCTGCATCTGAGGATGTTGGAGAAGCAGGCGAGGAAGAAGCGGGACAAGGAGCGGGAGACGGTCAAAACGCCCAGTTCTGTGTTTGGGGCCGGTGTGAAGACGCCCTCGACGGCGGCGGCAGCAGCAGCAGCAGCGGGAAACATGACCCCCGCGGCAAGACGGCTGATGGCGAAGCTGGGCGGGAAGACACCCGTGAGAACTGGCCTGGAACTTGGGGTGGGAGCGGACGGCGTCGACGCGAAGGAGATGTGGACTCCTGGACGGACGCCGCGGAGGAGGCACGCTGGGAAGTGACTCTTTGATGTTCCCTCTCTATAAGAGTGGCTCCCTCTGCGCACCTACAGATACAGAGTGTGCGGCGTGTGTGCGTGAAGTAAACTAAGCCATCCTTAGGCCCTCTCCCCCACGTCCAATAGACCAAATAACATGACTACGAATGAGCAGAACATTTGCGCTCCTTAGACGTTTAGTCTATTCCGTCCGAACTGCCCCCTTTCCAAGTCTCCGACGAGAAAGCATTGTCTGTCGAAATCACCAGGCGAGGTTCTACGGTGGGAAAGAGGCGTCCACGCCTGAGAGTCCTCTTTTCCACATACCAATGTGCAGCGCTGCGGGTGGATTGCACACAATGCACTGAAGGAGGCCATGCATGGGAGACCGAAACAAGCCGTCGCCGTCGGCAAGGGGCGAGCCATTCGACAAAGCAGACAGACAGAGACAGAATAGATGGAATGTTTCTTTTCCGGGATGGAGGAAAACACAGCACCGTGAATGAATGACTTGTGCAAAAAAACCGGTCCTTGTATTCGTAAACTCGGGACGCTCTCTAGAGCCGTTTCTAGAGCATGTTCCCTAATCCCAGGACAAACACCAACAACGCCATGCTATACACGCTCGGGTGCAAAACCGTGCTCCCGCTCAGATAATACGCCGCGCCCAAATAGCTGCAACTGATGACCCCTTCCGACTCGTTGACTCGTCTGCCGTAGCTATCCTCCAGGCCCTTGCCCCGCAGTGGACACGCGAATCCCAGGCTCGCGGGACAGCTCTGCACGAGGTCGTAACACAGGTCTTCGCAGGGCAGGACTTCCTTGTACGGTCCCGGTTGGATGGACGTGTCGATGAGCGGGTTCCGGGAAGAGTTCGTGGCGACGGCATCGAGCAGGGCTTGGTTGACGTTGAACTGTGACGGGTCAGATGAGATGCTCGAGCCATTGATGAACGGCTGCCCCAAGTTCCGGGGCTTGAGAAAGGAAGCCGAGCTCGAGAAGTCGGCGCAACGGGGAATGGTCACGGCGCAGAGCCATTGTTTGTATGCCCGGGCGCAGTCGTCGCAGTTGCGGGCGAGAGAGTATTGAGCGCTGGAGGTTGTGTTACAAGGGATTTGTTGCAAGGAGTAGTTGAAGTATTGGTACATTTGCGCCGCGTGGGAATCGTACAGTGCCGCCAAATCCGGGAGACCGGTCTCTGGCGAGAATTTGTCCGGGTTGGTGGGAACGGCATAGGCCACTTCGGAACAGAACGAGAGGTTGTACATCAGGGCACAGTTGTTTTCGGTCTTGGTCTCGAATTCCATAGCTGCCCAGACGGTGCCACCGCCTCCAACCACGCCGGCGCCCGAGTCTGTCGAGTTCCCCTGCATGACAAGCATACCCCAGTATTTCGAGGTCGAGTTCAGACCCGTAATGTAGAACTGCTCTTTTGGCTTGCCGCCCAAGCCTCGGTTGGTCATTTGGGCGACATTTTGGTTGGCGATGTTATCGATATTCGCGGCCAGCTGGGCGTTGTTTTTCAAGCCGCAGAACGATTTCTGGACTCCAAGAATTGCCCGTTCTTTCTGATTCGAAGCGAAGACACCCCACGGAGGACTTAGCTTCATCCATTCTTGATAGACAGTCTGATTGGGAAGAGCTTGTGTGGTATCATTTGTAATCAAAAGGGCTGCATGGTTGTCCCCATCGACGAAATACAGATTCTTCACTTCTGGGTCCTTGAAGCCGTAGAAAGGCGCATCGATCGATGCCGCGATATTGTAATTCCAGATGCCCGAGAATTCCGTGGTGTTGGGCGCAGATATTCCCACGTACACGTCACTGTCAGCGTCCGCCTCAAAGATCGCATACCCTCCATCAACTGTAAGGGTCTGTTGATCGGGGTCACTGGATCCCGGACCTGGTTTCTGGTTCGACTCGGACATGGAGATGTACATCTGCAATTGTGGAGGTACCGCATTGGTCGTATTGGGTGAGGGCTGCAGACAAGTGTTGAGAGTAATGTAGACTCTGCTTCCTGCCTGCCTCCTTCTGAGTTCGTGTTGTTCCGGCAGTAACTCTGATTCCTCTAGCTTTTCGCCTGGCAGACCAACCCCAGGCGTCCCGTGGGGACCATCAATTGCATCCTTTGGAAACACCCAGTTCTGGGTCTCGCCCACCTCAATGTTACTGTTCGCAGGGTCGTTGTTGGCAAGCGCCGAGACTCCAACCTCAGCGCGGTTTGTTATTCTATGCTCCTCCGTCTCTTCCCTATCGTTCTCGTCTGGTATAACGTAAAAATTGTGGTCTTCAGAAGATATCCGAGAGGAGTCAGCCTCCAGGGCATAAGCGAAGGATGGTTTTGTCAAAGTTAGGTATAATAGCAACAGGACGACAGAGGCCGAGAGACATGCTGTAAACCTTGCTTGTAAAGGGGTCAACTTGATAGGCGGCATCTTGAAGGCCGGCTTCGACTCGGTGCGCTTGATGAGGGAAGGAGAGGCAGTGAGCGAGTATTACAGGGACATTGTGGCGCGTGCTAAAGAGCTGCATGTAACGGCGGCAGCAGGGAGTCTTGACTTCAGGAGGTGCAACGAATGGTGAGCGAGACTGAGCATTGGGATGTGGACAATTGTGTCGAGGAGGCGCAGGTTACGAATCGGTCAGATCTGAGCCTCGTCTAGCCTTGTCCAGCCTTGTCCAGCCTTGCAGACCCCGCTTGGGGGGACTTTTTGTTCCGTTCCGGTACGAAGCGACAGACGTAGGCACATAACATACACCGTAACCCGTCGTGCTCATCTCCTTGGGCTAGAGTAGAGTATTCACGATTTCCCCAGCAAGGACTCAAGCAATTGCACAGGAAGGGCCATTGCCAGACCACTTGGCCGCAGACTCCAAGGCATACATGTCCCGTCGGCAAAAGGCATAAGCCTAGGGCTTTCGAACTGTTCCCAAGCCCCTTTCGACAAGGCTACATTACCCTCGCGTTGCGCCATGGCAGAGACGTGTGAACACAAGCCGGCTATCGGCTGTGCTCTGACCGCAGTGCCTGGATGCTGCGCCTGCGCAGACAAGAGACCGCTCGTATGCCATTTCCCACCCCCGTTTCTCTGCCCTTTCCGATGCCTCCATTCCTCTACTGACACCACCCCAGGCAACTGCCTACCCGCTCTACATTGACGGCCAAGGCATGAGACTTCAAGGCAGGCGCTGGCAACGCTACTGCTGGAAGTGTCGTGGTACGTGCAGCAACCATGTTCCTTTACTTTCTGCTCATACCATGTCATCATCGCCGGCATCACCGAATTCCAACTTTCAGTCGCTCGCTCATTAACATATTGTTAATTTGCATCGTAAGATTACTGGAATCTACACTCACAGTCTACAACACCTGCGTCTGACCCTTCAGACCCTCCCATTCCCCATGCTACAGTTCTGTCGGACCAGCCCGCAGTTCCACCGAGTGACAACATGGACCGTCCACATCACAATCCCTTCCTGCTCTCCAATTCCCAGCAGCAATCGTGGTCTTTTGACGGTGTAAACGATGGACATCAAACCACTGTCAGTGAGTGGACTTCACTTATCTTCGGCCCAACCTACAGTCCCAGCGGCACCGGACAACCCAGGGATCCCAGAACATCGGCTGAGCCCCAAATGAACGAAACCCTACATGATATGAATCAGTCTCGACGGGCCCGTGAAGCGAGGCTACCCCATGCAACCCAGCTGGGAGAGCGCCGTCCGCAACCCAGGTCACAGAGAACCGCGGTCCGCCAGCCGAACCCAAATGGTGATTCAGACCCGTCGACCGCGAGAAGGGGGCGAATAGCCCATTTTACAAATCCATTCGGTACAAGAGAGGAAATCGAGTCCGAAAGTTATCAGAGTCCCATCTCCGCAATGTTTGGTCGAGCTTGGAATCGCTATAGACAAGCGGAAGAGCAGAGATCATCTATTGAGCATGGGCCTTTAGGCGTTCAAGAAACGCAAACAGAAGTCTCGGCCAGTATTCTGGGCACTGGGCCGCCCCGGAACGGGGATACAGAATGGCGAGGCGGTCCCATGGCGAATTATCCGCGGCGAAGGGACGAACAAGAATTATTCGAAAGATTCGGAATCTCGTTGCGAGTAGCGGATGCGCCTGGGCGCGAGCAAGACAACCCTCATACACACCCTCAGGTCAATCCTATCGACTCTCAGCTTCATCGGCCACGATCGCTTGAGCCGCAGGAGATGACTGTTAATATCGCCTGCAGAATATGTTGTGAGCAGAAGGTTGACACATTGTTAGAGCCCTGCATGCACGTCGCCATTTGTCGCTGGTGCTCAGATCTGATCCTTGAACGAGTCCGGCGGCCTCGCTCCCTTCTGGAACAGCTGGACGGGGTTGGTGGCGATGGTAGGTTGAAATGTCCGATTTGCCGCCGTTACGTCGCACGTGCAAGAAGAGTATTTCTGTCTTGAAGGTCAAAGCTACGTCGAATTGCAGTGTCGGATCTTCAGATTGAGGCCGGGGATTGCGAGGGTATCCAGAAACTGCCCAAGCGACGTTCATTCAAGGCTGGCTTCGCTGTACAGGTGGCTATAATGTACGAGATCCATGTGCATGTCTTGTGAGCGTGGGGTGAATTTGGAGCTGATTCTGTTCGGCTTGCATGTCATGTGCATATTGTCCCCCATATAGATGAGCCAAAAGATTGTCTTGTTCACGATCACCGGAAGCATTCACAGCCTCCGTGCAGAGGTCTTCTCGACTGCGGAAACCGGGGTTGCTTGTAGTTTAACTTCATCGCTTACATTCGTTCGAGCAGGCATAGCCATTGGGGTAGCCCCCGCGCTCGAGGCTACTATGGCTCCGAATCAACCAGCCACTGGACAGCACGATGGCGGCGGACGGGGATATAGGTATTCTTTTCCGGGTGTCTCTCTTTGTAGACGTTTCTTCTCACATCCCGACGCCCACTAGGTGACGCAAGTGAGCGTCTACCCACGGATTCAGATTTCGGGCGCCAGTGTCAGGGAAACCTGGGAAGTTCATACAATGACAATGACAATGCGAGGTCAGCGTGTATAAGTATGGATGGGAACAGAATCGGAGTACTAGAAGGGGGGCAGCAGTAGCAGCAGCAGCCAAACGAGACAAGTCCTCCCTCCCTCCTCCACCGCCGGCGGATAGAGGACAGCGGACCCCCTTCCAGAGCCGCTTTGAACCCCCTGTGATGGAAGCGTAGGCAAGAAGTCGAAAGATGCTCAACGGGAGAGGAGAGTGGAACTCGACATCGGCAAAAGAAATACAAATCGGGCATGCGATTTCAATGTAACACACAGCGAAAAAAAAAGGGAGATGGAGATTTGAGCGAAATGGATCCCGTAACCGTCGCAAACTCGAACGTGGCGTTGGGAGTATTACTCAGTAAAGGGGGGTGTTCCAGAGACAAGAGACGAGGAAAACATAACTGCTACAATCTCTCGACGACTCGAGTGTACTCGACTCCGAGGGACGCAATTGACTTACCATCGCGGCGCGGCCGTGGTGGAGCACCATATTAATGCAAATTGAAAAAACGAATGGAATCCATCAAAACGGGTGGATGGAGGAAATGGTCGAAGTGCGATAGGGGAGAAAGGCAGAGGAGAGGTAGGGTCTTTTTTTGGTTGATTTCTCTCTCTTCCGTTCTATTCTTTTCTCTTTTTTTTCCCCTTGTGGCGCAGGTTGGAAAAGAAAAATGAAGAGGGACAGACGGACCTTTCTCGAGTCACCGAGAACCCTTCGAGTCATGCTGTCGGACGAGAGAAGTTTTCTTTATCCGAGTCAGAATCCATCTCCGCCAGCCTCAGGGGGTCTCCTTCACCTTTGGAGTCAGGAGAGATTTCGTCGTCCCATGATAGGAGGCCTAGGATGGGACACAGTTCTGCCTGCCATGATCCTGGGAGCTGGAAGTCTGTATTTCGCTCACCCCTTTCTTGCAGATTCTTGTGGGTTGCCGCTTGTCATGGTTCCCTGCCTTTTGAGCAAGGACAGGTGATTGAAGAGATGGGGCAATTCGAGAATTCAGCTGTCCCGAAAATAGAACAGGGGTAGTGTGAAGAGAGGACGGATTGACGCGATGCTTGTCTCCCAAAGGTGGTTGTTCCCGGCCCGTCCTCGACGGCAATCACTTCAACAGCGGGAAGAAGCAAGGACGGGTCTGGAAGACTCGGCACGTACCTCTCTCTTTGCCTTTCCTCGGAGCAGCTGATAAAGTAATTTGGGGGGGCACGGCTTGTAAAAGGAAGGTGAACACTTTTCCTCGTATCTGCTCGCTCAGCCTTACCATTTTGACCCTCACACCGGTTTCACACGTTGCCGTTGCCCCATTTTTTTTTGTTGCCTTGGGCTTGGGACGTTAGTTTTTTTTTCCTCTTACATCTCTTTCTGGTATTCTGAAAAGGCCTTATTTTGGGGGCGAGGCGGAGTAGCTTCGATGAGATCATGGGTGTAACTTCCAGCCCAAGAATCACGGAGCTTACCAACTTTGTTCAACAACGACAATTTTGATAAGAGGCGCTGAAGATCAGGCCGATTCTCACTCTCCAGCCAGTCGCAAGCCACTCTAATTCTCGTTCGCACCACGAACGTCTGATAGAGAATAAACTCCCTCGCGCCTCGGTCCAATAGGTCTCTGTTCAGCCCGGAGTTCAATGAACCCAAGTCCCGGTCAGTTTCGGGTACAGTCGCCTTGCAGATGATGCACGGCAAGGAACATCCATATCCAAACATCACTCCATTGGTTCGGAGTATGCAACGGCAAATTCGTGACGAGCAGGTCAGTTGACGGTTTGTTTGCGTCGAGGCCAGCCCATTTGGAGCCACGCAGACTGTGCGGCCCAACCGTGTGACAGGCAAAGTCTTCATGACATGCCTCAAGCAGCACACTGCAATTTTAGTGCTGTAGAGCATTGTGAACTCGTTGGGTGGAAGTAAAACTCGTCGTTGGTGAAACACCCAATCTGTGTGCGCGTAGCTCAGGGAGAGCGGAACCTTCGGTACAAGATACGAGGAAGCGAAGACGCCCAAACTGGCCTGGACATCGGGCGCAGGCCTTAAGCCAGCACCCGTTGATACAGACAAATCCGTACTGTTGCAGGCGGGGTGGATGAATCCGCTTAAAAGATGCATATCCACGGCATTCGCGTAAGGCTGTCGCAGAGACAAGGCGTTCCTAAAAGATCGAACGAATAAGCCCAGCCGAGCACGCGGGTACACCACCACCCTAGATTGACCAAGAGGAAGGTGAGATCAAGACTTGAGGAGGCCGAAGACGTGGATAAAGGGAGAATGGCGGTGGCCCCCCGAGAAAAGGGAATTGAAGGCACACAACAAATATGTCCGTGCCGAGTCAGTCCTAAAGTTACATCTCAGTGTCAGCCCGTTCTTCGGGTAATGAGAATCGGTTGCCTTTTCTGCCTTTTGACCCCTCACAGGGCTAGGGCACATTCCGTTGCGAAATGAACATGAACAGGCACGGGCACAGGCACGGGCCCTCCAGGGAGTAAGGGTTTTCAAGACTGGGGAAGCCTTCGTGCCAGTCACATAAGGCACGAAATATCAAGTTTCAGACATGTCCCCCGCTTTGATCGTTCAGTCTCGCAAATGTTTGGGGGGCAGGATCACAGAAGGCGACCAAAGAAACATGAGACAGTAGATTTCTGGCTGATGCGGATGAGGTTGACAAATGATTCGTGCGAGCGGGCCCGAAGAAGATCTAAGCTGCATGGTGACAACCGGTGAGGCTGAGGCTGACCGGCTTAGGGGAGAACATACTTGGTACAGGCACATGATGAAACACACCAAGAACATGCTCACCTGAAAGCTCTTGGACTCGCAAAAGAGTACGTCCACGTCTACATGAGGCTGATATTCCATCGACTTGAGACACATGCATCCCATTGGCGATATGTCTGCACTGGTGTCTGGAGATCCCCGTAGTGGTTCATCTCTTGAACGATGCGCGACGAGACCACCAATACGAGGCCATTCATTTCCCCTAGCACAACGTTCTGCTTCGGATGCTGGCCTCAATCGGTTACCGATGGCCGGTGCAATGGTCAACTTGGTCGAAAGAGGACATGCACAGCCAACAGGTTGCCTTCCAGCTGCATATAATCAGGTTGAGGGCCACCCGCACTCAGTTGCGGAAGCAATCATGACCCAAGGCATGCAAGGGCCGTCCATCGAAACCATAGCTCGAATTGGGGGAAGAGGGTCAGCAGGAGACGTGGCCTGAAACGGAAAGTGCTGCTTTTTTAGACGACGTCCTCGCTTTGTTTCGCAACACGCCTGAGGCTTTTCGAGAATCAGACAGTTCCTAGATACCTAATACCAGCAAGCTGTCGCAGAGTCGAGTGCGCAAGCCAAAGCGTCCGCAGGACGCGAGGAGACCACTCCAGCCACGGCCATGACGATGTCTGACCAAGGCATCTGGGAAAAAGGCTGTGGGGTTGCAATAATTCATCGCAAGAAGTCTCAGGCGACATGCTATTACCGGCATGGGCCGACATTTTGTTCTCCACTGTACTTCCGTCTTCGTCCGTTCCGTGACTCTTTCTTGCGAGGCCTCGTAGAGAGCAACGTGGGCTCATGGAACGACCTTCCTTCTAAGTATCGAGTGATTGGACCTGGAGCGAAAGTGGCAAAGACATGGCTGATACGAGGTGCTTGAAGACACACCTCATTGGCATGAAGAGCCTGGTCATCCATCTAAGCCGCCATTTGCTCGGAGCTGTTGCACAGAGGAAGAAACAGATCCGGCCGGCGGAAGCGCTATTTGAATCTCCCTCATCACTCAATGACAACGTGCAAGCACTCACGACGGAAAATCCATGTGGCAAGACATGAGATCCGTGGCGTGAAGGCAAAGCGACCTCGCAGTTGCCTAAGGGTGGCGAAATGCTCTCTCGCTTCTGCATGACGGCGCAGCGACCCATCAACCAACAGCCGAACCAATGAGACAAAGAGCATGCTTTTTATCGGTCCAAGATGCACGTGGAATGAAGATGAGTAAGTATGAAGCTGCTTCATGAGTTTTGGGGGGAGATTCCGCAGGCAGAAGGCACAAAAGTGAGGTGCAGGACTCGCAGGAATCGCTCCGAAGGGAGTGTGCTGGAGGTTGCTCGCGATTGTTATACGGCGATGACCTTGCAGAGGACAGAGCCGAGGTTTTGTCCATCAAGTGTAGAGTACAAGAAAGGCTCCAAACGCATGCAGTGTGACCGTGTTACCTTTGCTGTCACTTCATGGACAACCATCATCGGTTGAGAAAGGAGGCAGGCGAGTCACTGCTGGAAGCTTTGAGCAGTCGACACGAGAGGCCGGTGTCTTTGAAGCTGATGAGCCTGTCCAACGTGTCAAGCTTGATATTGGATCCTTCCTAGCCTTTGGAGATATGATTGTATTCTGTGAGGTGTGTGTGTGTATCCTTCTCTTTCCGACGTAGCACGGCCTTCCTTCGACGCCTTATCAAGTTATTCCACCTCTTTTGTGCAAGCAGGATCTCAATGGCAGCGACGGCGGCGTAGTCTCCGTGATGGATTGTAACGACGTAGGATGCAGTCAGGGGAACGGGTTTCTTCGGAGGAGAGAAGAGCTAGACGTATAAGGAAGCGTTGAGATTTGGTCAGCAGCCCGTCCAGTGTTCACCACTGCAAAGTATCACTGTCTACACCCGAATCCGTTGAACCAGTGTAACGTCAAAGAGGCTGTCCTGCGTCGTGCTTTGGATCATCTCGATCAACCACCGCAAGAGTTCAAGGGTAGAAGGGGAGTTCAGAGAATGAAACAGTAGTCCATACGTCAGTCTCGAGATGACTTTTCAGAGGATAGGCAAAGAGTGAGGCATGGACGATGTAGATCACAGCGCATCCTCCTGCTCTGCTGGCAAGCGATTAATGCCTTGGACGTAGGAGGACAAGATTTAACATCCCAGCCGCTTCACCGACTTACGCTTAGAGGCGGAAAACGAAGAAGGCAGCCTCGACCCCCAAAGTTCGTTGGTTCGCATGTTCAAAGGTGGTTGGGTGTGAAGGGATGTTGGAGGGGAGGGAGGACAGATAGCAACAAGCTGGCTCGCTGGGCGGGCGAACATGGCATAGCAACCTAAAATGAGGCCATGACGCAGGCGTCGTCGCTATTGCCAATAGTGCCTGCACGGAGGCAGATCGATGGAACCAGCACATGTAGGCCAACTTCTACCTATAAAATGAATCATCAGGCTGAGGAACTCGGCTCGGCGCCTGGCTGCATAATCTAACTTGGGAATAAAAAATGTTTGGTCTACCGGCCAGAGCCTCAGGGGAAGGGGGGGGGAAGTACAGAGTGCAGCCTTATGGTGGACCAGATGGTTTGTCCTGGTGGGAAAGAGAAGAGTGGTGAAGGGGGGAGAAGCGTCGAGTTGTGACTCATTCACATGTCGATACGCGAGGACAAATCATGGGGTTGAAAGACGAGTTCGGAGGCTATAAATCCAGCCTCAATTCCCCTCGACGGTGAGAAGATTTTAGCCATCTTCACTATAGGTGAGCAACGAGCACACAGCGAGGATACGAGGGCGGATCCATGGAAGGGAGGGGGGGTGAGGGGGTATTGGTGTGGACGAAATGAATGCGGCTCTGTGAGCAGCACTAATACGCAGTAGTGGCTGCCTTTTTTTGAGTGGAGTGGTTCGCGAACCTGGGCCAAAAACACATGCACCTGTTTCTGCCCCACTCGGCCTGTAGGGTGTAGGTGGCACCTCATGGAGATGATGACAGGGAGCTCGACCGACACGCGCAGAGACCGCTTTCGGCGCCTGCAAGGTGCGAGATATTAAGGTCGTCCTGCCAGCGAGCACAAAAGGGAGCCTCTTCGAAATCCTCAATCTCGTGAATCTGTATCCTCTCCCAGACACTAAAAGAGGGTCAGTTCTCTAGATTCACCACTTCTGGGAGCCCAATACCTCGGGACTGTGGCATCGTGGTCCCCTCCCTGTGCACAAGCACCTGATATCTTTCTCTGGCTTGGAGAGAGAGGTGTTTAGGGTAAGTTAGGACCATCCCTCCAGACACAAAATACCCAAAAGCCCCTCCAAAGTCCCTGGCCGCGCCAACTTTGCACATTCGCACACTGCAAGATATTTTCCGGAAGAACTTGACACCGAGGACTGACGCTAAAACCTTTTTGGCCGTTGCTCCTAGGGGCTTTCGATACCATGGCCTATCCGAATCCCGGAGATAAACGGTTACCGCATTTGAGATCCACTCCACCCCGCGGTGGCGGATCGGCCCACACGGCCATTGCCGCTGACTTGTTGGTCCGGAAGCAGCCTCCTCCTCTACCAAGGTACCATTCTCTCTCTCCCTCTTGCTGGCCACCTACCAGGATTCTGAATCTTTCATGGCGTAGGACCGGGAGTTATCAGAACCATACTTCGCCGACAATCAAACAGGAGCCTAGCAAGTCCTTGAACAACTTGAGCCTTGAAGACTCTGCCAGACCTTTCCGACGGGCCAATGAAATAAGATCATCCAACCGCCCAGCAGCCGAATCCGAATGGCGACCCAGCAAGATCGGACCGGGCTCGGCCTCTCCAGCCTACTCTCCCGGCCGCCATGAGCACGAATTCTCACGCATTCACTTTCCACCCCCCGACTCGAGTAGACGGTCGCCTTCAGCAGGGGGCTACCAACCCTCTCAGCAGACACCCGTCCCACACCAGTCTCGTCAGAACAGTCGTACTCTGGCTCAGCACGCAGAGTCGGAAAGGAGATGCTATGATGCACGACCCGCGTCGGCTCACTCGTCCCAGGATGATTTCTCGGCCGAGGCCGACATCAAACCCTTACTCCAGCCTGAAACCCGGCCCATCTCCCAGGAACAGCTCGTCAACGAGGTCAAGGGCATTTACGCTGGCCTTGTCATGGTCGAGAAGAAATGCGTCGAGATATGTGCGCAACAAGCTCAAACCACCACCAAACTCTCCAACGAGCAGTGGCAGGCATTGATCGCCTTACATCGCACCCTCCTCCATGAGCACCATGATTTTTTCCTGGCATCCCAACACCCGACAGCATCACCGGCATTGTGGCGCCTGCCCACAAAGTATGCAATGCCGGCCCGCATGTGGAGGCATGGTATCCATTCTTTCCTTGAGCTGCTCCGTCATCGTCTCCCGTATTCTTTGGAGCATATGCTCAGCTTTGTGTACCTCGCGTATCAAATGATGGGGCTTCTCATGGAATCCGTGCCCGCTTTCCACGAGACCTGGATAGAATGTTTGGGCGACTTAGCTCGCTATCGGATGGCTATCGAAGAAGCTGACCTACGAGATCGAGAGACGTGGTCCAACGTTGCTCGTATGTGGTACCAGAAGGCCGCAGACCGCTCGCCCGACACCGGGAGGATCCAGCATCACCTTGCAGTTCTCGCCAGGCCCAATATTGTCTGCCAATTGTTTCACTACTCAAAGGCCCTTATCTCTGTCAACCCGTTCCCCAACGCCCGGGATTCCATTATGCTATTGTTTAACCCCTTATTGGACGCATGCTCAGGCCAGAAGTCTAGGTTGGATTCGACCCATTCCAAATATTCAAAGCTCGAGAGTTCTCTGGTGACTGCCGCCGGCCTTCTGTTCACCAAGGGTTCCATCGACCAGTATTGCTTTCAGGTTGGCCAGTTTACATCGGAATTGGAGAACCACATAGCTCGATCCGGTGTCAATTGGAAGGTCCAGGGACCCGAGGTGGCTTCTGCGCTCATTGCCTTCCTTCTCGACTATGGGTCGGAAGAGAACTTCCTATGGAAATCCTTCCGTGCTGACCGCGATGGACTTCGAGGCTCCCAGATTGATCCGCAGCAGCAACAGCAGCAGCAGCAGCAGGAATGCAGCTCCACGATCACCCCCGACCCCATGGCCAAACAACGCATTCACAGCGAGTTCTGGGAACAAAATGGACCCATCAATGCAAGCGACTTCCGACAGGCTCCTCCACCTCCGGAACATCGTGTCAATGTCAATTTTACATCGGCAGATGAAGTTACCTCGTACGCTCTTCCCGTCTGGTCCAAGGCTATCTCCATTGTCGCTGCCAAGCTTGGGGACCGCAACATCCTACCCTTCCTCCATCTTACGTTAGCATTCCTTTGGTCACTATCATACGTTCCAGGTGCTCTGATCTACGTCGAAAATTATGTTCCGTGGAGTGTGTTGGTCCTTTCTTTGAACAGTTTGAGCAGATCCGGTGTGGTTGACGCGCACGTCGAATCCAAAGAGTTCCCTCAACAACAGTCTGGCACGGGAAGACAGTTGCCCGAAGACTTTCCCATCCGCGGCCTGGTCTGGGCGCCGTATTATTTCCCGTCGGACTTCTTTGAGGGAGACGTGGTGGATGAAGATGAACGCGCATTGGAACTGCCAAGCCACACAGCACCACGGGCAGAGCGGTGTCTCTGGCTGGGAGTTCGACTTGCATCGGTAAGTCCGGGGACTTTGACTCCTTCCCTTCTGCCGCTGACGCTTCGCAGTTGAATCGCTACATAACATATGACCGCTCCACAAAGCAATTTGGCTGCACCAGCTTTGCTTTGTCGCTCTCGGAGAATGCATCGATGCATACGTTGCGCGTTCAAACGCCCATCACCGCTGAACTTGATCTGCAAATGACCGACGTCTGATTTCGAAGACATCTGGAAGCCGCCAGCGGCGAATCCGGTGGGTAATCGGGCCCGTCAGATTGTTCCGACGTTGTGCTTGACCCATCGCTGCCATTTCGGCTCCGGACGATCTTTCTGGACGAAGGATTTTGATTGCCTTACCCGGCAGTTTATCGAAAGAAATCAACAAACACCTGGACGGGCCCCTGTCAGTGGCCACACTCGGCGTGCACGTCAGAAACGCCAAGTGAGGACGTGTGAGATTGTGCGGAGGCGGACTGTTTGCAATATTTTGGGGGGGAAGCCAACTCAACTAGCTAACAGCAGGCATGGATGGGTGATCCGGGTAGAAAGAAGCCAGGATGGAGGCCGCCTCGACTGTACTTGTTCTTTTTCAAGTAACCAGCAATATGTTGAACACCTTATGCAGCAGACTTCTGAAGCCAATTGACGAGCCACGTGTGTTTTTTTTTCTCCCTTCCTTGACCACAAGTATGCCGTAGGTTGATTGCCATGACCATGTGCGTGGCCGCAGTCTGGAGGGACTTGGCTCTCTGGTTAGATCGGGGAAGACCGATAGGATCTGTGACGAATGGGGGGAGAATAGGAACGTTTTTGGGAAGAGGAGGGAAGGAAGGGGAGGATTGGGGAATATTGGGATAGGCGAAGTAATGAACCGGACCCTAGAGCCTAGACAGACAGCGGTGGACGCGACCCCAGCCCTCTACCTACCTGCCGAACTAGGAACCCAAGAACGACTTTGAGGCTTTGAACAACCCGGCCGCGACAGGTCTACCTACTGTCAAGCCAGCCCAGTATTAAGGGAAACGGCCGATCTGCGTTCTGTCCCTTCCCGGTCTACACCTCGCTCGCTGGAGTAGGGATCTATAACGGCATTTCTTATCTGGGGAGGGAAATCGAATATGCCTGCTTTTCGGAGGAGGAAAAGGGGAGGTTGCAACGAATCTTTTTGAAATAAGACTAGTTAATGCATTTCTAAAAAGAAAAACCTCAGGTCAAAGGGGCTATCATGTTGTCAAGGTGCGCTTGAGAAGCGACGTAATTTTTTACACCGGTTAGGATGATGGGTTACTTCACGTGCCGAAACACTCACAACAGACCCCGCTCATCCCAGACTCCAGAGTTTCAGGTTTCTCTCTCCATGCCAACTTCCCTCATTAGAACCGGCATAGCTGTCCCCCGCACAACCCAGTCTAGCAGCTCTTACTGCAGGCTCCAAAACGTGAGGTGCAATGCCTACTTGTAGTCGAATGTGGAGGCATGGCTTGAATTCTTTCCTTGTCCTGTCTCGCGGCTGTCATGAGACTTTAGGCCTTTGGTCGAAGCAATTGTCTCGACGACGGCGTCAGGCGACTCTGCTGCCGTCAGAGTCGCCATGAACTTGTCGAGCTCGAGCTCCATCCTGGCAACTCGGAGTCTACCGGTGAGCTTGTCTTTGTCGATTGAGGGGTCGTGAACATGGTGCAGCTGGGGAACGCCCTCGGTTGAATGCGAAGTCGCGCAAGAGCTTGAACGCGCCTCCAGCTTGGCGCCAGACATCCTCTTTTCCATGCTTATGTCGATGGCCTCCCGGCTCCTCAGATACACCGACAGCATTGGGTCCTCCGGGACGGTGACCAAGGTGAATGCTGTGAGTGGAATCCGTCGGCGTCTGCAATCCCTCAGGCATCAGCATAGAATACATCTCTTGGAGAGGGAGGGCAAAAGAACACACTCTTCTCTTTTCACTGGAGCCATGACTGGTTTCTTAATACAGAGAGATGTCTTCGCGATACAACGCCTCGAATCCGGCGGGACGCCGCTACTGGGTCTCATCGATATCAATGGCTCGACTATAAGAATAGTTGCAACGCTCCAAAGCTTGGAAATGATGGCAAACAGATGGTCCGGATGACGGCGACAAGCCCTGCATCTGGTGCAGGACCAACGCAATATAACATAAAGGAGGGAGGGAAGGGAGGGAAACGAGAGAAGGGTGGAGGGGGAGCATGATGACCCCCGAAAGAACTGAGCAGGCAGGCACTACGTCCAGCTTGAACCAATGGGAGCGTGACCGCCGAAACTAAGGGCTATCCAGCCTATCAGGCCGCACTAAAGCCTCCGATCCCACAAATCCGTGCATCCTGATTCGATGCATGTGACCTTGGGACTAGCCTTCCTAAGCGGCTTGCGTGCGTGCTGAGATATTTCTCCCGTGCTCTGATCTGCCGGGCTGCATCCTCGGACATTGCTCAGTGAGCCTTAGCCATTGTAGCATCCCTTGTGAGGTCGATAGCGTACATCTGATGGCACCACGGGGACATGCTGAGTCGTGGTGCTGTGGTCACCTCTGGAGGCTGCCTCTCGATGGTGCGGCTCTCTGCCGAGTGGAAGGAGAGGAAGCAATCCCTGGATTGGATGTTGTCGCACGTGCTCACCTTGCCGTGTAGTCGATCCTAGTGCCAGGAGCATCCGCCTTGGTCTGTCGATGAATGAATTGTGCTTCACATCAAGCTGTTCTCTCCTCCCGATTCATGAAGGCTATCCGCCTGCGAGTTGTACATATTGGGCGAGTAGCGTCTTCTTTACTTACCTGAGCGGGTCTAGAGAACTCGGCGGCGGAAAAGAATTGGCTGCTCTGTACTGTGCGATGAATGTAAGAAGTAGAAGGGAGGGACATACCAACAAAACCTGAATCTCCTTGTCTATCAAGATCTGTACTCAGGTGCCAAGACGCCCAGAAGACTGTCTTCTGAAGAGGCTGTGGGAGTCGTAACACGAACTCTCCTTTCCTTACCGGATGGTAGCAACCCAGTCATCGTTGAGACAAGCGTCTATGGTGTGCCTTAGGGACGTCTTCATCCTGACCAACAGAGGATGCACGGAAACAAGTTGAGTGGGCTTATTCCTGGCCTGTGGTTACCCAAGAGTTGTGAATTCGAAGATGGCGTGAGCGACGCACAAGGCTGGCGTCTTGCTGGTCCAACTTGATGCATCCACAGAGTCTGAGTGTGTTTCCAGGCGCAAAATGGTCCCGGAATTGCAAGCAGCAGCGCTTTCGACTCCAAGAAATCCATTGGTGTAGCCTCACTCCTCTAGATATCATACTCGTTGGCCTTTCTCAAATGCAGACCGTGACCAACTTTCCTGACATGTGGATCCCAGGCATGGTGTCGAGAAAGGCCTGGAGTGATCGTCACCCTGAAGCAGGCTGTTTGTAAAGAGTACAACGAGGCTTGATATTTCCATGCACAGCTACTCCATATGAAGTTGCAGTCAATGTTGTCGCCGATGGATAGAGACTCAAGTACAACGTGAATCTGAGTTGTCGTCGAGAGAAAAGTCTCGGTCGAGCGCGCCAGCCTTTGAGCTAGTGCTAATACATTCTAGGACAGCTTCTAGCTTCAGCGCCACAGCAGCACAGCCGCAGCACGTGGCTGGTGAGCTTCGGAACGCGCCGAAGCCTCCCGGACAGTCCTTTTGCGCACCCAGTTCGTTTAGCAATTCGGGAAAACCTATTTTTCCGTCGTCTGCATTCAGCTGCTGCAACCGAGAGCTAGCAGCATATCTCGTAGCCGCTCAGCTCGCCACGCTCTTTTGACTTCTTCTCTCTTCTCCTTCCGTGAGGAGTGTGGCTCGCTGTCAACAAGAGCTGATCCTGTCTCCTGTGCGCAGAGACCGTCGTGGAACCTCACGATCCGCAATAACAAGCACAGTCTCGAGTGTCACTATTCGCTGTATTGTATTTGAAGCCCCAGCCGCATATTGCTGCTCAGCCTCACCAAGGCTGCCCGCTTTCTTCCTTGCCGGACAGCTTGTTTCTGGGTTAGTACAGCTCCCTGAAAGTCAGGGCGACAATGGATAGCAGCGATATGTCGATCACGAGCATTGCTGTTGACGTTGGTCTATACGATTGGCGGTGGCAAATGCTGGCTCAGCCTTAATTCACTGATCGCCACTCTCACAAGAATGCCAACCCCAGACCTTACGAGTATGATGGACAGGTCTCTCTTCCAGTAAAACCGGAGGCCGGCTTTCAAAACCATGGCACCAATTGTGGGATGAGAGATGAGGCAAAGCCTTAGAATCTTCTTTGGGGATGGCCCGTTCGCCACCACCATGAAAGTTTCGACGTCTGTCCTACAAGGGACATGTTGGCTTCTATGCCATGGACACCCCCAGATCATCGCACACTGCTGGCAAGTGCACCCCATGCCGAGGGTACGGTCCTCCTGCTTGTTTCAACACGTGATGCTGCTCTTTTCCTTCGAGCATAGCCCCAATGGCGAATTAAGTACCCAGCACAGTGAGGGATTAAGCTGAGCCTACCACGATGCAACCTCGAATCATCGGAGACTTCACCCTCGTCGTGGCTGGGTTGATGATGCGTGTGACTGTCGCCTGAGGCGAATGATATTCAGAGGGGAACAGCCAAAACTTCTGTTGGATTTTCATTTCGTTAAACCCACTTCTGTGCCTTTTGAGACGGGGTACTGCGGCAAAAGGCGGTTCAGATCACGTCAAAAAGGCACTCCTCGATGCTGCTCTTTCAGCTCTCTCAGGGGCAACATGTGCGTCACAAGATCCGCCGCCGCCCTGGTTGAACGGTGGCCGAGGGTCTGGGTTGGTTACCAGCACTCCGTTGCTTGCACTCTCCACTTTGACCACGCAAGGACCTACCTTCAGACCCTCATTGGTCTTTCCCGTCATCGGAAAAAGGCGACCACTACTAATAGGTTGCAACATTCGGACCGGGCGTGCCACAATATCACTCCCAGTGACCGCTTCTGGCCCATCTGCACTTCGTCCCAAAATCGTTGCAGGTCCGCTAGGAAGACGACGCGGGTGGCTGCCTTGCCTGCTTCATCGGGATCTGATTCGGCGGCACTACATACAACGTCGAGGTGTGTCAAGAAAACCTTGCATCGACCAAGTCCTGTGTACGCCTTGCTCCTGGGTCTTCTCCGTAACATTCCCAGCCGCCCTCGCTGTGGATCCAGTGACTACTGCGGAGTAGTACCTCCGAGTACATGCGAGATAGCAAAAGGTCTGACTGACGAGTGCATCGACTTTGCGCCCCTGTTTGCCTCGCCTTCCAGACGCTCAGGCACGCTGGCGGTGTGAAGTTTCGAACTTAACCTAGCTGCCAACTTTTTGGTGGGTCATTTCGAAGGCATCGCAAAGGCCCCCGGCGCGCAGCCTAGTGGACGGATTCAGGATTCCCCCGGGAACCAAACAGCGTCTGCGCGAATGACTTCTCAGCACCAACCTGGCGCGTACGGCCGCCTGCTGGTGTCATCGAGATTGGGCCTCAGGGGCTATGAGAAAGGCAGCTTACCTTTTGCGCATCTTGGGCTCCGAACCACTTATTACGAGCAGTAGTCCAAGGCAACAGGCTACCGTTCAGAAGGCATTTTCGTCTTCGGTTGGCCCCCCGTGCCAATCTCTCGGACTACCCTAGTTTCCGGGAACCTGCGGAGTTCTCGAAAGTATGTATCATCCACTTCGTCTCCGAGGCTGCCTTTTTTTCTCCCCCTGCGCCACCATTGTTGTGAGCCCGTTGATGCTCGTATACGTGGCGTTGCACAGGACCTTTTCTGTCCGCCGGTCGGCGTCGAGAGAAGAGCAATGGCTGGCTGGCTGGCCTGCATCATTTCGGCGCTACATTGCCTCAAAATCTGGCCCGGCGTCGGCGGCCGCCTTTTCAACGTGGCCGCGTTGTTTCACATTCCAAAAGTTCCCAAGAGGTCTTTGGATTCCATGTCCGAGGACAGGACCCTGTGCTCCCAGGAGTCTGATGATGCTGGAGATAAAAAGGCAAACAGACACAAACTTCAAAGATAGGTCAAAGAGCTTGGTTTTCGGACGGCAAGGCTGGTCACCGGTTTCACGGTCCGCTGCCTCTCTACGAAACGCTCGCCACGTACAAGGCCCGAAAACAGGTTGTCCTTCTGTCACTCGGTCAGGCTGAGCTTTGCGTTGCCCTACACCCCTTTTCCCCGTCCACCGACGTCCTCCGTACCACACGGTTCTCCTCTACCTTCGTCGTGATGCAGTCAACTTGGGCTTGACGTCGGAGGTGGAAATAACGATGGCACTCAGCACATCCAGCTATGAAGCGTTTCGTGAGCTTCTCACACACGTGGGCGGAGAACCTTCACTCAGGACATTATAGCACTTTCTAGCTAGAGTTGACGGATACATCTAGATCCGACACTTGGTGTTTTCCTTGCTCACTGTGTTCACGTATCTAGTTTTCCAACGCTATCACTCAATCTCACCTCGAGAATCGAACTTCAGGGTGCTTAGCCCTTCGTGCGACGTCCTTCCCAGCTCATCTCCGAAAACCGCTCCTAGATGAGACTTTCGCAGATATCTCCCGTGCAGGGAAACACCATACTCGCAAAGGCGACTGGGTCTGATGCGGACATTGAACGAACGACTTCCAAGGCCCGCGGACGCCCACACTGTTCACTCAACGTGGTCTCCATGACGCTAGTGTTCCACATGATGCATCGAGAACATGCGGATGTATATAACCCGCTTTTTTGATAAAACATTGTCGAATATTCCGGATGGCGGATCGAAACTGGAGCGGACGATCATCAGAAGGTGCTTCTCAGTGCGGCTCGGCATGTTCGCGGGCCTGCTGTATCAAACATGAATTTGAACATTCGCAGATTCGCCATGGAATAATCTCGCTGTAGTTGATCGGAGGGCGTTTGGACACGAGATAGATAAGCGTGCATCGAAATCAGTCTCCACTATTGAGTTGAGTCGCTCGAAGCGGGTGGCAATCAAGTATATTCACCTTGAAACCCTTCTCTTCTGTCCTGGACTCTTCTCTCTTCCCGAGCAGTCCAGCTTGCTAGCTAGTCGTAGGGAATAGAGGCGCAAGGGTCTGCCCTGTCACTTGTTCTGCGGCTTCCGTCTGCGTGGTTTTAGCGACTTCCGACAAGGCTTGTCATAGCGGTAGATCTGGGGCATCCCGAAGGAATCTATTCCGCTTCGCAAGCAGCGATTCGAGCTCCGGGTCCAGCACAGGCGCATAGTAAAGGAACAGCTGGAATGGTCACGTAAGGCATGACACGGTGTGCTTGACTGGCTTTCCGCCATGATAAACACAAAGTCCTCGCATCATCTGAGCGTACACAATGGAGTGTGAAGTAACGTCTCATTGCTTCTTTTTTGTCCCCGAGACCTGCTTGTCGCGAGTAGATCTTGCCGTAGGCCATGGCTTCAGCTTCAACAGCACCCACAAAAATCCGAGTGCAATTGCACCGATGGTCAGGTATTCGATTGTTGACGGGGTTGCAGCGTTGAGATCCAAGACTGGAACAGAGATGCGCTCTACCAGTCTTCCTAGAGCCGCACCCCCGGTGGGTACTGGGTCGAGATGGTAGAACATAGTCCTGGGGCCAAACAACCCTTCAAATCCAAGCTGAATTCTGTCGAAAGGATTTACAGGAAATTTGGTGCCATCGTCAGCAGTGCAGGCCCAGAAGACAATAGGCCAAGGCATTTCGACCTCCGAAGAGCTGCCATTCTTCGGTTCCAGATATCGTAGATGTAGTGGTATAGTTACATCCCACACGTCATTAGCAGCACTCATTTCTCTAACACTGCTATTTGGTGTCTGGAGTTCCAGAAGCATGGTCGAACCCCATTTTCTGACGACATAGTTCGGGGCCTCCAAATCTGTCTCACCTGCAATAGAATGCAATTGACCAACGTGGTGTAACTTCTGAAAAAGAGGGTCGTTGCTGAGAAACGCATATTTGTCGGCAAAGATATGCGAAGGAAGAGTTAGATAGGTCTGTAATGCACAAACACTCCCAGGCGGCTTATTCATAGGCTCGGTCAGTGAAACCGCCGAGGGAAAAGAGATTCGTAAGGTCGGATGCAGTCCAGTAGGCTCGTCAAATGAAACACTGTATCCCTGGAACCTTGCTTGGTCTGGACCAAAGGAATGATGCCGGGAGGGAAAACTGAAAAGCGTCGCTTTCGGATGGTCATCTTCTCCAACAACAGTAAGGAAGCCTGATAGCTGAAGGTCTGAGGGATCAGTCGCTGGTGACGCGCTCAGAATACCGACCTCGACTCTGTCGTCCTTTCTGGATTGCACGTCGAGATTCCACGCATCAAGAGTTGTGAACTCCCCCACTGGGTCGTAGAATACGGCTGGCTGCTTTGACCAGAAAACGGTGAAGGTGAGAGCATGAGAAATACTATCGTAATCGAAATCCACAGAATCAGCGATGTTTAGGAGGGATACCGTGTGCAGACACGGTAGGTCGTTTTGTGCGCAAACAGCATGATAAATGTAGGCAACAAGAGGCTTGAGCGACGGGAGAAGAGAGTAGTACTGAAGGGACGAAGTCTGGGCGAAGCGTTCGGAGATCAAAGGGGGGCTGATGAAGGTTGCATCTGGCGAGTCGCATCGAAGCTGTTTCCCAAACACTTTGCGAAGAAGATTGCAAAGTCGATCGACCTGGCCTTCGTGCAAGGGGGTGTATTGGACATGTAGACCTGGGGAGATCCTTGACAGGAATGGAGCTGTTGTGTTGTAGGGATGTTCTGGTGCCCAACGGACATGAAGTTCATGGCATTCGCGTAAGTATTCGGCTACCTCGGCCGGAAGTTCTTCGAGGCCAAATGTCAAGCGTTCTTCTCGTGCTGCTTTCAATGCCCCCAGTAGAAGCTGGCGTTGGCGAACTTGGATATCATCGGGGTTGACAGCGCGACTGGGGTGAGTGATGTATGTTGATCTCCTGCGCATGACTGGGAGCACAGAAGGGGGTCAGCAGCCACGGCGTACTTAAGGGCGACAACGTCTGTCTGCAACGGATTTGGGCGTTGGAGACCGGGAGTGGGAGAGGAGGTATTTGGGTTGAATGTGAATTGGAAGCAGATGCAGGTTGATTTGGTATGGATTTGGCGCTCACGTGATGTGCACGTGATGCAGAAGAATAGAGTTCGCACTAACGTTATCGATAAGCGAAGGCACTGACGTCCACCTTGGAATCGGCGAATTTGGAACTGGGAACTGCAACTTGTCCATACCGGCCGCTGGCTGCTGGTGCGTCTGTGAAAGACCATCCACCAACGCTGTGGGAAGAAGCAGAATTCTCTGACCCTATAACTCTACCGTATACCTCTTGGACACGGCCTCTTACCTCCTCGACTTCCCTGTGCTACGATAATCTCCTAGCTCAGTCGCTCCATCCCTGAGATGGCGCCCACCGTGTCTTCTTCCAGGACACAATTGTCTTACCCGCTCTACGCTGCCGATTTTGACCCTCTCAATCCGGACTTCCTGCTCGTCGGCGGAGGGGGAGGCTCGTCATCCACCGGGGTTCCCAACAAAATCTCCCTCATCGATACCTCGCAAAGGAACCAGTTGAAGGAAGTGATTGACATTCAACTTGCTAGCGACGAAGACTCCGTTACCAGTCTTGCCGTTGCTGACTCTTCCTCGGCATCACTCACTGCTTTTGCTGGCATCAACAGCTCTGTTGCGGATCAGAACGCTGGAAAGAATGAACATCTGAGATCGTTTAGAATTGGGCTACCCGCAAGGAAAAGGAAGGCTGATGGGAGTGCTGTGGATGAACATGGGGAGAAGCAAGTGGTTTCAGCACAGGGCGTCCAACCCTTGGGTCGAGCTGCGCTGTTCAAATCTGCAACCACCACCAAGAACGAGACATATCAGAGAGTTCTGCGGTTTTCACCGACCAAAATGACCGGCCAACCTCGACTCGCGGCTATTGCTTCTGGACTTGCTCCGACCAACGAAGTTATTGTATTCCGCCCGGATCCAAAACCTGAGCCGGATGATGTGGTTTCTCGCGTCGAGCTTGGTAAACGCGAAGCAGGGGACGTGGATTTGGCGGTTGAAGATGACGGGAAGGGTGGCTATCTGCTCGCATATTGTACCGATGATGAAGTATTTATGCAGCAGCTCCCAACATCATCCAAGCCTGATGCACCAACATCCCTCTTTCGGGCGGCAGAGATATCAACCTCGTTGCCGCCCTCACAGAGACCCAAGTTTCGCGCTTTGCGCTTTCTAACCCCTCGTCACCTGCTACTTCTCAGGAATCGCCCGTCGCGAACTGGAGCAGATCTATTGGTCCTCCGAGTCAGCCAAGATTGTTCACAAGCTCGCATATCCCTACGCAAACAACTCAACAAGTCTATAAAAGCGGCAGTGGGCCTGGATGTGTGCTGCCTGACCGAGTCGGAGCAGGGCGAGAAGCAGTTCGTGATTGCAGTCGCAGGACAGTCCGGAGAAGACAGCTCGATTGAGGTATTGGCGCTGGACTACTCTCAGGAGGCTGGAATGAGTATTTTCAGGTCGTATGCATTCCTCAAAGCCGTTCACAACGGACCGCTTACTCGACTCGTCTTGTCGAGCTTTACCGGACCAACTCTTCCGGCCACCAGCACTGCTGGGCCCCGATCCCTTCGCCTGGCATCTGTTGGCGTTGACAAATTTGTCGTGGTCCATTACCTCCCGCTCCGTCCATTTCCTCCAACCTCAACCAAGACCCCGCGATATGTGCTCGTCCCTCCAGGGCGCTCCGAGGCGGTGCAAACATCATTCAGTGTTTTCTTCGCGCTTGTGGTCGTCGGCTTGGTTGCATTCCTCATGCAAGCATTCTGCGAGATCCGTGGTGCGGTGCCACCTATCCTCGGCGCCCCGAATTGGCTGTCACCGCGTATGCGCGAACTTGTCGCTCAACCCTATATTTTTGCCGACCGGATGACTTCCGCCGCCTCAGATATTCCTGTCGCGGCGCACAGCGCAACGGAAGAGTTCAAAAGCTCCGTGGACGAAATCACCTCCAGTCTCTCTTCCGCGTTGTCGTCGGCAACGGACTCGCTAAAGGATCTTGTAGAAGAAAACTCCAATTTGGAAACTCCGAAAGCCATCATTGTGCGGGAGCAGTCTCTAGGCGAAATCTCCACCGAGATTCTACAGTCGGACGCTGAAGTCGTGAAACAGGAGACGTTGAAGAAATGGGAAGAACTCACCGAGGCTCAGAAGAAGGGTTGGAAGCGCCGATTGATCGATGCGGGCCACTGGGCAGAGCATCAGGGCGAGAATGTGCTGAAGGGCATCTTGTTCTCAGAACTAGCCGGGGCCGTGGGGAATATGGCTGGTGGAGGATGAAAGAAGATCTTGGAAGGGCAATACTGGTATAAGGCCAGTAATTTGCCATTTCGAATATGTGCCAATACATCTGGGACCACGAAGAGGCAATTCATGAATGTCGGGCTTGACAGTTACCCCTGCAGCGTATCGTCAGAGTCTAGTAATATGGGATGTTTTATACTCTAATCATCGTAAAATGTCGTTACGCTCCCTTTTTGCCTTCCCCATTCAGACAATCGCATATGAGTCGATCCCTCACATCCCAACATCCCCCTCCATTCATATCGAGACATCAGTACGTCTCGTCGGCGCTGATCCCGTAGGTCCCTCCGGCGGCATACCACGCGGCCATGATCAGATCGCACAGATCCTTCGCCTCGACGTCCTTGAGAGGCAGGTGATGGCCGCCGTCGAAATCCATCTGGAAGCAGTGGTCGCTCTCGCAGGCCTTCATCAGCTCGACGCAGCCGGGCTTGACGTGGTCGTCGCGGCCCCACGCGTGCACGGTGGGGACCTGCTTGAGGAGGTCGTAGTCGGCGACGTCGACGGCCTCGGCGAGCGAGATGGGCGGGAAGGGGCCCCCAATCATGACGCCGAACCGGAACTTCCAGGGGCTGTGGTGGTCCGGGTTGTCGCGCTCCTGGATCTTTTGGCGCAGGAGCAGGCCCGGCACGAGGCGTGCGCCCTGCGAGAAGCCGATGATGCCCTTGAAGCTGTCGACGCCGCCGTTGGCCTCCATGGCGCGCAGGATCGCGCGGTCCACCGCCTCGACCTCGGCCCGCGGCGTCGCCTCCCGGTCGCTCTCGCCCGCCTGGAACTTGCGGCTGACCCAGCGGTAGAAGGGCGCGCACGACGCGAACACGGGCAGCATGCCGAACCCGGGCGTGCCCTCGATGGGCGCCTGCACGAACACGAACCGGAACTGCTTCTCGAGGTTCCAGATCAGCCGCCGGCACTGGATCTTGAAGACCGTGCTGTTGGACCCGCCGCCGTGCAGCATCAGGATCGCCGGGAGGGGCGTGCCCGTGTGCGAATGCGTCGGGCGGGTGGCGGCCATGGTTGTGGTGGTGGCGGGTTTCCCTGCTGCTGCGGCTGATTTCGTCCCTCTCTGGAGGATTCGGGGTGAGCGGATGGTCGTGAACTTGACGCGCGTGGGAGTCCGGTACATCCGCCTGAGGCTGGTTGGAGACAGAGTCGTGAGTTCGCTGCTCAGAGAGATTGTGGGGCGGCGTCAGAATCTCCCCTCTGGTGTCCCTTTTTGTCGCTTATCAAAAGGAACGCTGGTAGAGTAGTGAAGTTTCTCCTATAGAGTTGCTGCGTTTTTCCAGACTTGAGCTTACGTGCGCCAAAGATAACTTTATATCGACAATAAAATTTCTAATTGAATGGTCTATGTTTGACTTCTGTGAAATATGAGAGCGAGGGAAAGTCTCAATGGAAGAGCAGAGCGGAGTGCGAACTGAGCCTTCCACGTGATAAGGCTAGATACGGCCACCGACGAGGCTGAGAACCTCACTAATTAGCCTCGCACGCCTGGTGGACCGGTTCCAAAAATAGGATTTGGCGTATAGAGCGCCAGAGATCTCACAGGAAAGCGCCTTATTGAATTTGCATGACCAATGTATCTATGTAGTACTTTCATCATGCCCTAGCCGACTCCAACACCACGTGGTGATAGAGACTCAGGAGTTGCCGGTCCACCCTACCACTGCCTCACACCAAGAATGTCCCACTGTTGGAATGGATCACGATCCCTGTCGCATTGGCATCCTTCAAGCAGTACAGGTATGCCTCGGCCAGGTCCACAGGTTGTCCAACCTTCCCGGTGGGTATCTTGCTCTCATGGCCCGCGAAGAATGCCTTTTTGCCTTCTTCACCCAAACCCTGCCAAAGATCTGTTTCGATGACACCCGGAGCAACACAATTGACACGGATGGGTGCCAGATCAAAAGCCAATTGTCGCGCCAGACCATTGAGCCCGGCCCCGATGAGAGCTAACATAGACCAGCCTCCAGCAATTGGTTTTCCAGAGATGGAACCACCGGTCAAGACGATGGAAGAGTGTCGATCCTTCTTCATGAACCTTGTTCCGATTTTGACGACCAGGATCGCAGCAATCGTTCGAACTTGGTTACATTTTTGCCACTTCTCGAGCGTAACCTCCTCGAGCGGGATCATCGGCAGTCTATCTCCAGCCATGTAAACAATGTGGTCAACCTCGCCGACTTTCTTGAACAGATCTTCGATATTGGCTTCGACGGTAGGGCTGGCTAGGTCGCAGGCAAATCCGGAGACGCGGCCTTTGGCATCTGGGTAGTCATGGATAAGCTGGGTGCACACGTCCTTGACCTTGGACTCTCGTGACGACGAGAGGATGACGGATGCGCCGAATTCAATTAATGCCTGTGCAACACTGATGCCGACTCCTCCCGTGCCTCCGACCAGAAGGATACGTTGGCCAGCAAGTTTATCCGTGAATCGTGCAGGAGACATGGCGGACGATGGAATGTTGTTGGTTTTCAAAGGGGGGTCGGTTCAAGCTCGAGAGGACGTGACGGGGGCCTTGCTCTTCTCTTCACAGCGGTGGTTGTGCAGGTGCTATACCGATGGAGGGAGAAGGCGCGATGAATCGCTCGAGTACTTTATCTCTTTTGGCATCTTCAGATTCTCGCTCGATCCTCGATATCTCCTGCCTGCGGTCTCTTCTATCTCCGTCATGCCCATTGGCACTGACCGCGGGCACAACTATCTCCATGACAGGTCACCTCTGCGCTGATTGTCGGTGAAACATGATATGCGAACTTCGCTTCAGAGTAATGTGCTTACCAAACGTATGTTCCTCCTCCTTTCGTAGGTACATCAAATACCATTGGAGTGCCGAGCAAAGCTGCGGTCAATTGATGCAATGGTTGAAAACGCAAGTTCCGCATTGGGAAAATGCGATGCGCCGCCAGCGACGTCATTGTCGTCGGCAGACTTTCGTCCGTTTCGCGCTTGTCTCGTCTTCTCCCATCCGTCCCAACACACCCCGCCAGTCGGATATTGTGCCTGATCCATCTGTATCTGAGGGTGGTGCGCGGACATCTGCCAGAAAGTCCGGAGAAACAACGAAAGGCCAAGCGGGAGAATGTGCCGAGTCGGCACGGGCGGAGTGTCAGAGAAATCGCACGGCTTCTTGAGCATTCGTCAAGTTCATTTCTTCATCTATCATATTAGCACTCTATTTGTCTCTTGGACTGCACCCGGTTCCTCTAGCGCATTCCAACCATCACTTTCGGGTGCTCAGGACGAAGTTCCAGGCGACATACTTGTAGGTGGAATGACCAGCGTCGTCAACATCAAGATGCTGGAAGTGTTGGCATAGACTGACACAGACTGACAGGCTGGCTCAGCGCATGCGTTTCCTGAATTGCAAAGCCTCAGAGAACCGTCTGACAAGCGTGGATGATGTTGGTATTCAAAGCTCTTCTCGAGAAAGGACTTGAGATCTCGCTTCGCACTGATTTTCGAGTCCAACGACGATCCACGGTAGCGTGCTGCATAACATATGCAACTGGCACAAACAAGAAGCAGGTAGATGAAGCAACGTGTGTCTCATCAGCTCATGCTATGTCCGCTTTGAACACCAATGCAACACCGTCGTCGCCGGCCGTGACAATTCTGCTTCCACCACCGCCTTGTACGAATCCTAGTACGCCGCCTCCTTCCCCTTCCCCTCTATGTCCCTTCCACTCCTGAACAAACCCTTGACCTGCCGCCGTCGTTCCGCCCCTCACGTCCCACCTCCTGACCACGCCGTCCATGCCAGCAGAAGTCAAGAGCCAACCACCCTTCTGGGGGTTCCTGACGAATTCGACTTTGACGACCGCATATTCCTCATGTGCGTCTTTGATATGTCTCCGCACAGCAAAGCGATGAGCTGTATCGAAGAGTGCAATCGAGCCATCGACACTTCCCGCAGCAAGGATGTTGAGGGGTGGAGAGGAGAAAGAAAGTGTCTCGACACCGTCGGATTGGGCTTGCAGAGAGGCGAGGATCTGTCCTGCCGAAGAGGCCTGCTGCTGTCTCCCAGCGCCCTTGGCACCAGTCTTTTTGGCCTGATCAGCCGGTTGAGGCAGGCCGATGACTTTGATGTTGCCGCCCGCGCCACCCACGGCGACCATCGAGGGAGTGCATGACACGCTGTAAAGACCGCCTTCAACCTCAAAGCGTTGGTCTGCGGCGGTGAACGAGATGACGGCCTGACCTCCGGAGAAGACGTCACAGACATACAGACTTCCGTCTTCTGATACTGTCGCAAGTAGTGTACCGTCCGGCGTCCACGCTCCCGCGGTACAAGATGCAGTATGGAGGTAAAACGCCTGTACGATTGTGAGAGGGCTAGCCTTGTCATCGCCATTGATTTGATAGACCCAAACTGAACCGTCATTCGCGCCGAGGGCTATCACATTCTCCTGATCCTTGTTAGGACAAGGGGCTACCCAGTTGATCTCTTCCACTTCTGCAGTCTCGGCCACAAACGTCCATTTTCCAGAGCCAGAGGTTTCTGATGACCTCCATGCGCGTAGCTTCCCGTCGAGCCCCGCCGTTACCACGTATTCACCTCGGGAGTATGTGAAGGCTACTGCATTGACAGAGTCGGTATGCCCATCCAGCTTTTGAAGTGGTTGAATACTTTTTCTCTCGCCCTGAGGCGTGTTGGTGTCTAGGGTTGTGCCAGGTATTGATGCGTCAAATAGGTATGCGACGTCGTCGCCGCCGCCTGTGATCACGACGGATGGGTTGGTAGGGTGTTGCGCTATGCAGAATATACTGTCTGTATGGGAGTCAAAGTGTGCGGCAGAGTCGTTTTGCAGTTGGATTTCCTGCTCTTCTCCTTCCATATATTCGTCATCTTCGTCATCCATGGGGTGGTCGTGGTCGTCGTCCACGATTTCTTCGGCTGCTTCATCTGCGTCAAGAAGACCGTCATCCTCTGGTTCTACGTGCTCGGGCGGCCGAGGGACCGGTTGAGGGTCGGACATGCTGGGTCGATAGATGAGGGTTTCTTTAGGGAAAGTCTATATCCTCACGGGACTCAGCAGGCAGAGGGAAGGAAATGAGAAGAGGAAATCGAACGGTGCAATGGCAGAGTCTTATGAGGGATCAATGCGACGCCCCCCGCTTAGAAATGCATTTCTTGTGGTGTTTACCCGGACGAAAAAAAGAGAGTTGGGCTCGCGAGTTTTTGGAGAGGGCCGGATCTTGCGTCATTGGCTGCGAGGGGGCGCAGGTAAGAACCAGTACTAGGTATAATTTGGTAGAGCAAGATACAAAACATATGAGAAACTCCATACAAGCACGAGCGAGAATATGGCGTCGACAGCAGATACTCCAGGAATTGACAGGTCATCTCGATGAAGAACGAGCAAAATCGACATTCAGGAGGTCCATGAAAATGCACGGAAACAATTCAGCCTTGCGACAAAAGTCTCAGCCTCGTCGGTTGTGTCTAGCCACGTCTGTGCCTCTGGCCCCCTGATATTGGTAATTAATAAGCGACTCAGTCGAGTTCAAGGTCCCAGATATTGCCGCAATCTCGGGGCTGCTTAATTTGGGGCAGGGGTCGTCTTGAGTATGAGCACGAGGCACGTGGTACAAGAAGTTACTACCGCAGAGTGCTCGTCCTATGTTATGGTCCTGGATGCTCGGCATGGCGATCCGTGGTGCACATACAGCCATTGACCTTCCCCTGGGCGGAAAATGCCATCCGGCAAATTTGGGCCCTTGTTGGGTTCTCACCAGTTGTAGTGTCGTCTTTGAAGAGATACTGCCTAAATCCTCCTTTTGCACCAGGGGAAATGGAAATCTCAGATCGGTGAGAGTGAGAGGACCATAAGCAGTGGGACGGACCGCACCCCTTGGTTGTTGTTCAGGGGAAGGTAATTTTCTCCAGTCAGGACAATTTATGGCATTCACTGACGGCTCCTCAAGACAGACGCAGCTTGTGCCGTTTCGCAGGCAGTGAGTCGAATAAGAAGTTGTCCACTGATCTCCTCTTTCTGCAACCCTTTGGTATCTCCTAGGTTTGATCTCCCTCCCAGACTGTAGATGGACGTTTCTGAAACACTCATCTGTCTCCGTAGCAGTGGAGAGGCTCAAGAGGTGGCTGATTTGGCTTGCAACTAAGAAGACAAAGAAACACCCTGATACCCCGGTCGCAAGGCATCTCATTTGTCACTGGGGCTCAATGTAGACACGCTGTGGAACGCGACAAGCCGGACTTGTTACTAGGAAAAGCAAAAGCAAGTAACCATGCAGGTGGCACGCGGCTGGGGTTTTGATGGCGTGGATCAAGTGCAATTGACCGCAGTCGTTCGGCGAATTTCCAACTCCTGAGAGTGTTTCAGATACATCGGGAAAGCCACCCTGAGAACGAATCTCCCGAGTGAAGATCGTATCTACGAGGTACCTAGGCGACCCCAAGCCCTGGTCGTTTAACTGGAGTCCTTACCACACAGGGACTCCTCTAGGCGGCTGCTGCCCAGCCGGAGGAGGCACCCTCTCCCCCAATCGCCCTCCTCCTTCCTCCTGGGTGCCCCCAATTATCTTGTTCGCCTCCCACGACACCATCCTTCTTCCACCTCTTCCACCTCTTCCACCCTTCCTCCCTTTCTAGCCGCCCATTGTTACAGTGAAGTATAGGCCGCCAATTGGGCCAATCCAGGCCAATCCTATTGCCCTCTTCCTCGTTTACAGGTTTCAGCCTGATCCTGAATCGACTCCATTCCGCTCTGCCACTCGTTCGTTCGCTCGTTCGCCCATTCGATCCTACTCCAGTACCTGAGCGCCGTCGCCCATCGCCCATCGCCCATCGCCCTACTCGTATTCCTACCGGGCTACCTCACCTACCCTTGTCTTCGTTGTTACTCCCTAGGCGAATTCTTGTTCTTCAGCCTCAAGATTCACGACTTTGGACGTCGTATAGAGTCCTGCCGTACAATGCCAATGTCTGTTTACTGATACTCGCGCCAAAGTACCCTCGTTGACCGGATAGCGCCGCCAAAATATCACCAGTTAAAGGGTGTGGAGCAGACTGCGCTCACCAACACACCAACCCCAGGCCAAGACTCAATACAGGAGTATCTCAAACGCATTCACTGAAACTTCGCACGACGGTTTTTGCGTTCTACTCGTCTACTCTCCTCCGGTATTCCTAGGTTTTCGGAGCCGCACGCATGCTGTCATTGCCTGCGCCTGCTCAGCCGACTACCGCTCCCCGCTGAATCCCAGCTCTGCTGCAAGATCAAACTCCGGTCTTGCGTCTCCGGCCCAATACCACACCAGACGTGTAACAGAAGTATCTTCAGACGCCGTCCCGACAATGGCTTCAGGGCCCGAAAATGGGTAAGTGACCTTGCAACCGAACTGAGAAACTTCCGCCGCATTTTGGTGGTCACGCCGCTGACCCAACTCCCAGTTTCTACTCCTCGGGCCAGTTTATGAATCCAGGTCCTGCACCTCGTCCTCCTACCGATCGACCTCGACATTTGGAGTTGCAGCGCTCAAACACTTCGATACCGACAAGCACCTTCGAGTCGATGTCTTTAGGAGGGCCGGCGTCACCGGCGGTCAGTACTCCAAGTGCCCCTTACTTCTCCAATGGCAGTTCTCTGTCCTTGTCAACGAACGGAAAACCCTCGGGTCCGGTCACTATCATCAAGGAAGGCCATGTGCGCTGCAAAGAAGACAAATTCCTCGCTCAATGGAACCAACGATACCTGATTCTCCGCGAGTTCAGATTGGATTTCTTGAAGAGTGAGAATGGAAAGCTCATGCAGTCCATCCAACTGAACACCGTGACCGGGGTGACTCGTTCTGAGGAAACGCGGATGGCTTTTGAGATCACCCGTGTTGCGAATCCCAAAGATGCAGGCGGCAAGATCATCATGGCTCGTGATTTGCCCACCCGGACCATCACCTGTGAAGTCCGCAACGACGACGAAATCTATGATTGGATTGATAAAATATATGAGCGATGCCCAGGCATGGGGGGCGTAAGTAATCCCACAAACTTCAGCCATCGTATCCACGTTGGCTTTGACCCTCAGACAGGCGGCTTTGTCGGACTACCGCAGGAGTGGGAGAAGCTGTTGAACAATTCCGCCATTACAAGAGACGACTACAAGAAGAACCCCCAGGCTGTCATTGAAGTTTTACAGTTTGTATCAGACCAGAAAATGCGTGAGCAGCATCCCGAAATGTACACACCTGGCATGGTCACTCCGCCAGCAGCCCAGCCGAATAAGCAACTTGGATATCCGACAGGGGGCAATAGTGTTGCTCCCCCAAGGCCAGCGCCGCCCACAGATGCACAACGATATAATGCTAATCAGTTCATCAACAAATATCAGGAGGGCCCTTCGCGAATAGGGACTCCCCCCGGGAAACCGCCCTTGCAGCGGGCGCAAACAGACAAGGGTGCATATGACATGGAGGCCGATGCCGCCCGGATCAAAGCGATCGCTAACGAAGAACAAAAACGCCGTCAGATGGAAGCGGAAGCGAAGCGCGCCAGAGAAGTTGAAAGACAAAGGGAACAAGAGCGAGAGGATCTTGAGCGCAGCCGCAGAGAGCAAGAAGCCTACAACGCTTCATTACCAAAGACACGCCCGCCGTTAGCTCAACAGGAGATCGGAGGATACGGAGGTGGCTCTGATCGTGGACCCAACCGGCAAGATCCTAGATACAATCCCGCGAGAGCTGCTCCAAGTGCTCCTCAACAGTCGTCTTCAGTATCAGCGAGGCAAAATCCCACAGCTCAAAGACCAGCCCCTTCTGCCCCGAGCAGCAGCTCCCAAAAATCCATTCCCCAGTCGCTTTCTGCTAGCCAGAGCTCATTACGATCACCGGAGAGCAGAGATCGTGATCGTCAGCCTTCGCCAAACGCTAGATATCCGCCTGGTGAGGCCCCACGGAAGGAATCTAGCCCCAAACCACAAGCGAATGGTGTTAATGGACAGTCTGTGAGTCGCTCACAAGGATCCGTGCAACAACCGAAGCCTCTCAATGTCGCCAAACAACCGCAAGCGAAACCCGCAGCCGATCCACGCAAAGAAGCCGAAATTGCATTAACGGCGAAGAAGCCAGTCGAAGAGCGGGCCAAGGAAGTTCGGATGTCGAGTATGAGCGAAAGCGAGGTCATGGCCAAGCTCAAACAGGTAGTATCGAAAGACAACCCTTTGGAATCATACAGCAAGCAAAAGAAGATTGGTCAGGGTGCTTCTGGCTCAGTCTATGTTGCCCGAGTCAAGGAAAGCGCGACATCAGCTGTTGCGCGTGAACTGTACCGCACACATGGTCCGAAGGGCCAGGTCGCCATCAAGCAGATGGATCTTCGTAACCAGCCGCGTAAGGAGTTGATCGTCAACGAGATCATCGTCATGAAAGACTCCAAACATCCCAACATCGTCAACTTCCTCGACTCCTTCCTCCAAGAACAGAACAACGAGCTGTGGGTGGTGATGGAGTTTATGGAAGGTGGTGCGCTTACGGATATTATCGACAATAACCCAGTGATCACCGAGGATCAGATTGCCACCATCTGCTTCGAAACCTGCAAGGGGCTTGCTCATTTGCATTCTCAAGACATCATCCACCGTGACATCAAGAGTGACAATGTACTGCTCGACCGCGTGGGCAATGTCAAGATCAGTAAGTGATCCCCGATCTCTAACCGACAGTGATGATGTTGCTGACCCTGGATTGTACAGCCGATTTCGGGTTTTGTGCTAAGCTCACCGAATCGAAGAGCAAGCGGGCAACAATGGTCGGGACACCCTACTGGATGGCCCCGGAGGTTGTGAAGCAAAAAGAGTACGGACCCAAGGTTGACATTTGGTCTCTCGGCATTATGGCTATTGAGATGATTGAGTCGGAGCCACCATATCTCAACGAAGAACCGCTCAAGGCCTTGTTCTTGATTGCAACAAACGGCACACCGCGGTTGAAGAACCCCAACAAACTGTCACGGGAGCTGAAGGCGTTCCTCAGCGTCTGTCTCTGCGTCGACGTCAGGAGCCGCGCTAGCGCCGACGAATTGCTTCGGAACGACTTTATGCGCATGGGATGCAGTTTAGCGAGCCTCAGCGAACTTTTGAAATGGCGAGAAAAGGGTCGACAATGATGACCTCGCGCCGCAATATCGGGCCGGGATAATATGGAATATCACTGGGCTTGGGGACGAATTTAATGGCTATTGGGAAAGGATCATACAGGCGTCGACCGTTCTTTCACTCCACACGCATCTTGGATACGGGGCCGGAATCTATTGGGAGCTGCGGTTGCGGGGAGTCTAGACCGATCGGAGCGACACGGTAGCGACTCGCAAGCCACTTGAAGATCGTCAAAGCGAAGAGTTTGATTGTGTGTTTCTTGTCAAGACCCAGAGATGGCAGAGAAAAGGGACGACGATGATGGTTATTTCACGGTTGATGATTGAATGGGAAACGGATCTTGCATTAAATGCTTGCCAGTTGACAGGGAGCATCTTCCCCCTCCAGTTGCCTTGCACAATGATATCCCTGGGTATGAAGGAGATATGTCGTGGCATGATGCAAGCTCGTACGTGGCTGCAAGCCGCCAGATAGATGGACAGAGGCTGCGCAAGTCTTGGGCATCGACATGACTTCGGCCACGGTTTCACTCGAAGGGGTCGAGGCCGGTCGATGAACAGCCCATCGACAGGCCGCATTTGCGAAGACGAGAAGGTGGAGGTCTGCGCTATACACGTTGAATATGGAGATTAGGCACAGAGCGAGATGTCGCTTCAACAAAAAGAAAGGGCGAAAATCCAATCCAGTATGATTTTCCAAGCTCTAACACCTCTCTAACCTAGCACCTTGGAGTCTGGACTGCCCATCGGTAGTCGGGAGGAGCGTGGCCCGACCGATAGACGATAAACGGGCTGACAAGTGGCATCTGGCGGGAGGCACAAGGCACTGATCCCCCCTTTTGGTCCCTTTCAGGCCCCGTTGAGGTACCAGTGGGAACAGGACACGACGCGGGGCGAGGAAATGGAGTGCTAGAGAGGACGCCAGGCCACTAGAAACGCCAGAAATAATCATGGTCACAGGCTGGGCGGCGCTCGTATTAATTATTATCATTGCCATATCAGGGGCTACGGCGGACGAGTGGCCTCGTATCCTCCCAGATAACCGGAGACGCTCCATCCCGCAACAATACTAGTCGTCAATGCGCCAGAACGGGCTTTGCAAACTCCCTGCATATCTGCATATTTCCTCCGGTTCGCAGTTCTCCGGCTCGGTCCAGTCGTTCACGTCCAATACAATATCGCTGCCTGTGTGATCGATTCATCTACGATTACGTCAAGACTCAGCATGATAGTCGCTGCGCAACCTTTCTGATATTATCAATCAAGTCTGCCGCTGCTGGTGCTCAACCCTTGAACCCCTCCCAGAGCACGCTCATGGTCCAGATGCGGTAGAGACACGTCTCACCCTCGATCCGTCCAGCAGCCAATCCTCCTCCTCTTCTTCGACTCTGGCGCGGAAGCCAACATCTCCCCACACACAAATCCAGTGACCTTACCCACGATGTTGGACCATGAGGATGCCTTTGCAGAGGAGGCGCAAGAGGAGGTCAGATTGGCCGAGGAAAGCAACCCCGACTCTACCACAAACGCGACATTCCATATCAGCGACGGCCAAGATGATGAGGAGGACGAGATGAGCCCTCTGATGAGCCCTCACCAACGTCGGAAGAAACCCATCGCACATACAAGAGCTCGCCCAAGTTTGGAGAGGGCCATCAATGAACCTTGGAATGGCGCTCACGGCTCGAGTGACCTCCCCTGGTACAAGACACCTTCAGTAAGTCAGCCAGACTTCCTCCCAGTGGAATTCGGACTCTCGCTGATCTTCTGCAGATATTTTGGCTCCTTCCTGCCTTCTTTCCCTTCTGCATCGCCTTTGGCGGCATCATTGTTCCCAAAACATACCTCATCCTCGACCTGATCTGCAAGGACTACCTCTCGGAACAAGCATCAAAGAACCCCAACTTCAAGTTTCTACCTGTTGTCCTGGGAGAAGAGAATCCACAGTGCAGAGATCCACACGTGCAAGCTCGGGTTGCCAACTTCAACCTGTACATCAACCTTCTGAGTGGAGTCTTTTCCGCCGTGATCTCTCCCCATCTGGGTTCGCTTTCAGACCGGATCGGACGAAAGAAGGTCATGGTCTCTGCCTCCCTCGGGGCCCTTGCTGCCGAGATCATCACCATCATTGTCGGCCAGACCAACGGCCAGGTGTCGGTTTACTGGTTGCTTCTTGGAGGCCTGATAGATGGTCTGTGTGGTTCATTCACCACGGCATTAGCTTTGGCCTTTGCCTATGCGTCCGATTGCTCTCCCCCGGAACGTCGAGCTGTCGCTTTTGGCTATTTTCATGGAACACTCTTTGCCGGGATTGCGTTGGGCCCGATCGTGTCGGGCTACCTGATCAAACTGACGGGGACAGTCATGATTGCATTCTACCTTGCTCTTGCGTGCAACGCGTTCTTCATTGTTTTCACCCTCTTTGCTGTGCCCGAGTCTCTGTCCAAGGAGCGCCAACTGCTGGCAAGGGAGAAGAGACAGTTCGCTCAGGCCGAGTTACCGGACAGTGACTGGCTTACGACCATCAAGAACTACAACCTCTTCGAGCCGCTCTGGGTTCTGCGGCCCAAAGGCGAAGGCTCGAGCTCGGCGTTGAGGAAAAATCTGTTCGTGCTCGCGGCGATTGACACGATGATGTTCGGCGTAGCAATGGGAACCGTGCAAATCATGATCATCTATGCAGAATACCGCTTCGGCTGGACTGCCGTCAACTCTAGCATGTACCTCTCGGCCGTTAACATCTGCCGCGTGCTGGGTTTGGTCCTCATCCTGCCATTGCTCACCCGATTCTTCCGGGGTCCCGCACAAATGCGCTCCAAAGGACACAAAGGTTCGGATATGCTCGACATTTGGATCATCAGGGGTGCTGTCATCTTCGACCTTGTCGGGTACATTGGTTATGCTTTCACCCCATCCGGTGCGATTATGGTGCTGTCCGGCATGATTGCATCTCTCGGGGGGATTGGCTCGCCGACCCTACAGTCGTCTCTCACGAAGCATATCCCTGCAGATCGAACAGGCCAAGTGCTAGGTGCCTCTGGGCTTCTGCATGCCCTGGCACGTGTGGTAGCCCCGACGGTCTTCAACTTGATTTACAGTCAAACGGTGGGCATTTACGCCGGGATTGTGTTCATTTGCCTGGCTTCGATTTTCGTCATTGTGTTTATTCTCAGTTGGTTCTTGCGGCCGAACGGTATGTCTCCTGTGTCCCCTCCCTTTTTGCGGTAGTAGGGTACTTCTAACACGATCCAGTCTACCTTGCGGAGCCATCTGCCGTCCATCTCGACGAAACAGAGGATGACGAGGACCATCTTGAATGAATGAATTGCGTGTATATCTATCCGGATTTGCGATATACTGTACCCGGGAGGATTATAGATTTGAACTCCTTTTTTTTCTCCCTCTCCTGCGTTGGATGGCGAATTCACCTTTTTTTTTTCCCGCGGCCACGCAGTCAATTTGCCCGTGTCTGTGTATTTAGCATAGCTCTTGTATCCGGTATTTATGTACATACCTACGCGTGTACACGACTAGACAACATTTGGGGAGATGGTCGGGCCGTTGTTGTTTCCCTCCAAAATATCTCTCCCCTAGAAACCACGCCTTGCTCGCCAGAAGCCCGATCCTCGTATACATACATATATGCGTGCGTGGCGTGCATATATCCCGCACATGCACTCCGCATGTACGCTCTCTACACTCGTGTACGTTCACCCTCATCGTACGTATAGTGAATAAATTTGCATGTAATGCGCAGCAGGGTCGGTGGCTCGGTGCGTTCAGGTTCGTTCCGGCTATCCTGACAAGACACTGGTGTATACACGGTATTACATACAGGAGATAGGATGGGGGGGGAACCCTGTAGTAATAGCGGTGTTAAGGGTAACGTTTGTGGTTCTCCACAAAAGGCTTGTTTCTACAGCACACAATTCTCCTCACCACCTCAGCTCCTTTTCACCTTCCAACAAGGCCCCGTCAGGACTTCAGCTCGCGGCTCATCATGTGCGTGAGACCCATCGGCTCGACCAGCGCGCCGCCCCTGTCCAGGCCGACGTTCCACTCCCAGACGGTGACGCCGAGTAGCGTGGCTGCCGCGATGCCGAGAAACAACCTCGCGTCGATGTGCGGGGTCGCCGGCACGCACACGACGACGATGATGTACACGACCCGGCCCGCGAGGCGTATGTATCGGTTGTTGATCTTGAGCGTGGCCGGTTCGTCGAGGGACGTGTCCAAGAGCGCCAGCGCCGTCAAGCTGAGCATGATGACCCCGAGCGAAGTCGCGCACGTCCACACGGCCCGGTACAGGTAGCGGGGCAGGTCGTCCCGTGGGATCGGCTCCCCCGATTGGCCTCCCGGAGAGTTGTACGGCGCGTCGGGTTGGTGGCGGATGATGAACATGACGCTGGACGCGAAGGTCAGGATCGAGGAGAAGAGCGGGACGTGCCACAGGACCCAGGTCAAGCTCTTGCGGCCCTTGTGGGTGGCCGCCGGGACGAACCTCCTGCTCCCGTCACGGTTGAAGTAGAGGAACGAGAGTTCGTAGTAGATCAACAGAATCCAAATCATGGTCCCCGTGCTCCCGTTGAGGCCGAGCCCCAACGGGCCGTCCTTGACCAGTTGCAGAACGCCCTCGCCGAGGATGATGATGAAGAAGTTGGACATGCGTGACTGGAAGTGGTGCACGTCGAGAGCCTTCTTGACTTCGATCGGCGTGAGTCTCTCCGTCACCCGGGAATCGATGATGATTGGGCAAAGATACTCCCAGACGATGGCGCCGCAGACGGGCCCGATAGCACGGGCACCCGATACCTGGATTGCAGTGACCCAGAGGGCGATGGAAGGTAGTCGGAGCACCGTTTGGAAGAAGACCAGTTTTCGCAGCCATTTGATGAAAATCGAATATGCCAGCTCAATGAGCCAGAAGGCGCCGAAGATGACGAGATAGGTCGAGATGACCCATTGTTTGACCTCGTCGATATCTTTGGTCAGATATGCCAGTTGATTGCCGTAGAAGACGGAGAGCAATAGAATCCACAGGGTGAATGCCCGCTGCACCATATCATCCATGTAGTAGTTGTTCAGGAACTCGCGCATCGCGTCCCAGATGCGCCAGGAGGGCAGGAAGACCAGGACAAAGACGAGCTATGCATCTCCCAGAATCAGCACGTTGATATTTGGAACCTTCGGGGCAGTGGTGCCCGCTGTCCCTTACCGATGCAATCCCTATGTCTGGGTCTTCGGGCCTGAACCCTAATGATGAGAATACTTCCGACAGATTGCCGATGATGCCGACCCAGATCAGGTCGATGAAGAGATCGAGTCTTTCCCTCTCCTTGGCGATATCTTCGGGGAGGTGGCTGGATATACTTGACCGGTTTGTTGACTCCGGAGCCCCGCGTTCATCCCCAGCATGGACAACTTGGGATCGATACGAGAATTGAAGAGCCCGTGGTCGACGGATAGTGTATCGGTGTCTTGCACGTATCTCAGCCTAATGTGAAAAATGTCAACAGCTTGCTTGCAACGTGCGCATAGAACCCTCCGAGCCGCAAAAGACAACGACTCACGTGGTGACCAGTGTGTTCATAGCTGGCATTGGAGTTGACATGCACGTTCAACGGGAGACCTTGCTTATCCTCGGAAGACGTGGAGGCATCCTGGATTGGAGTGTCGTCCCTGTCGCCGTCCTGGTGTCTGCTCGCTATTGAGGCCGGACGGATCTGTTCAGCCAGACCAGAATTGTCGTTGCCTTTCACTAAGTCCATTGCCCTGATCAGAGATGCTGATCTCTACCAGGTGAGACTGCATCGGCAAAACCCGAGGGCCCGTGCCGGCGGCGTCCTCGAGGAGGCGCAGGAAGCTGGAAGTATTGGGTGATTGAATTGTCGACATGGTAAGGAATATACAGGCGCCGTGAATACTTTAGTGCTTTTGAGATCGACCGCCAGCGTTGCGCCAACCCCCAAGGAGCTCGGAGAAGGACGAGTAGGGCCTCCCGTCGGCGTGTAGGTGCATGGGTGCGTGAGTGTGTGAGTGCGCTTCTTCTAACTAGTGGGCGCTTCAAACGAGGGCATTGACGCCTTACCACCAACTGGACCAGCTCCATCGATGGCGGGTGTCTTGGCAGGCTCAGATTCATTCTCCGCAGGTGGAGACGGGACTTCGAATCTCGTGATACTTTGGACTCGAGCACCACCACAAGCAACTTTCACTACCAACGTCAATGCCATCCCGACAACAGAGGACAATAGCTGGAGCTGCACATCCTCGATTCCAGACGATGTCACCGTCTTGAGAGCAAGCTCCATCAATGTACGCCTCAGCGTTGCTGCCGCTGTCTAGGCTTCACGCCCACGAGCCCACGAGTACAATCACATGATGAATCCTCAAGTACCTCCCACAGGTCAATCGTCCATCGTTCCCTCCAAAAATGCCTTGCGAGCTCTGCGTCGCTTGGCCCTATCGTCTCCGATCCTTGTGGCTAGCACACTAGGCGGTGTCTGCGGTATCGCGACCCTCAACTATGAAGTCAACCGCAGAGTCCGCCTGGCGGAACAGGCTCTGGAGTCCAAGAAAATTATACGGGCGTTGTCCCATGGAAGAGGCGTCAATCAACTAAGTGCTATGATTGGGGCTGCAGAAAGAGGTGAAGATTTCACACTGAGCACGAGAAGTACCAAGAGGAAGAAGAAGACCTCCACGAGGGATTTCTCCGCCGTAGCTCTTCAGGAATACTCGGAACCCACGCACGAGATAACGCCGGAGCACCTTCACCCAGAGGCCGAACTTCAATATGTACCCTTCAAACAATTCAGTCCTGTTTCAAGAGAAGCAAGTCGACCTACACGTACTGCTGATACCGTTGAGGCGCATCCAAATGGTGTGCACGGAATGGCCGTTGAGAAGATCCTGAAGGCGAGCAAGGTTCCACATAAACTCCCGAATTATCGGATATCTACGCAGCCAAAACAGCAGCACAAGCTAGAAGCCGACAGAGCCACAGATCTGCTTCAGAATTGGTTTAGTCACGTCCCCGAGGAATCGACAAGGAAAGACTCTGATTCCAGCACGTCGCATTGGCTTAAACGCGATAATGCGGCCCAGAGAGGGCAAACAAAAGGCCCAGATTTGTACATGAGAAGGATTCCTCTGTCAGATCTGCTGCCCGTGCAGGAAACGCCAGTCCTAGATGGACATGATCACGTCCACTCTACACCCGAGCTCACAGTACCGCAAAGCCATCTCCATCCGGTGGATCGTCATGGGCGGTCACCTATGACCGAAAAAGACAGCAAGGGGAAATCACCACCCACTGATCGACTTCTCGATCAAACCGATGCCATCCCCTCATCTGACCACCAGAATAAGCCCACCGAGGGTACGGTGCGTGGAGCGTTCCATGCTCGCGGGGAGCGAGGGGCTTATCTAATTGCCTACCTCGATGACGAGTGCATCGACCAGGCTCTGAGAGACTTGCTCAATGACATTCCGCAGCTCCCCTGGGATCCCGTTGGGGCCGAATCCTTGCTCCCATCGTCTCCGGAAGATTTCGTCAACCACGCCAGAAACGTCCTGAACCCAAAAACTCTCTTTAGCCTGCATCGATTTATCCGGCCCGAGAATAGGAAAATGAGGCGACACTATCAGTACCGGCGCTGGCTTGCTGTCATGAGACATTACACTACCCGCCCCAGTCCTCTGAACTGGACAACCGCCGAAGCGGTGTACTACGAAAATCGGAGCTTGTTCAGCCCCAAGGACCTCAATATCCGACCGGTCTTTGATCTCTTACAGTATCTCCTAGTGACAGATTCGACTTCCAGCAGAGTTCAGACCATCCTTTTTCCCGACTCGCTGCAGGATTCGGCGGATCTAGCCGAAGTTTTTCAGCTATCGACGAAGTACCTGAACTTTTTTTGCGAAGATCAGCACACTATTCCCGAATGTCTTCAAGAGACGAGAAAAGTCATCGACATCGCCAGAAGGCGCGGGCTCTCCCCTTCTCAGGATCTTATTGTACCTGTCCTCAAAGCTCTTGTCCGCTCAAGAGACTTGGAGGATGCGGACATTGTCCTCAATCAGCTTGGATCAATGTTTGAGAGTGTTGATTCTCTTGATATTTTAAGCGAATACACCATTTTGAACGCCTGCGAGGGTAATTGGGCAGCGGTTGAGTCTAGCTTGGACAAGATTCACGGCGTCAACAAGTCGAGAATTCGACCTGTGGAATTTGCGCGCCTGTTTCAAAAACTGCTCATACAACACACGGCGCAAAATCCCGCGCTCCAATCCTTTGGCTTCATAGTCCATGCCATCAAGTACGCCGGGCTGATACCTACTGGGCTTATCTCGAGGACCCTGATCTGCGCGTGCGTTCGAGATCGCCGTTACGACTTGATCGCCGAATGGGCACGTTTGGTCAAGGAAGCCTTTCCCAGGGTGAGCCTGGGGTTTGATCTTCTTCAAGGAGGGTGGACACTTGCGGATACTCTCATGGAGGTTGGCGCCAGCTGCGAAGAAGTTTCCAAGGTTTGTCTGACAATCGCTCACGGGTGCCGGAAAAATCCCTTTGGTCCAACTTTCAGGGAGTTTACTGTCGACATCGTCAAGTCAGATATGGTTCAGAGACTATGTGCACCGTCTGCTCCAAATCCGGCGGGAAGTGTATCAAGGGATGAAATTTGCGCGATGAGCCTGGAACAGTTGCTCACGCTTGCTTTTGATCTTCGCAACTCGCCAGCGACCCCACGGGCACACGATGCGCATATCGAGGGATTGAAGAGTGATATTGCAACTCAAATGTCGGCAATCGTAGATCTGGCCAAAACCTTTCGAGGCGATACAAAGCTATTGTTTCTGGGCAACAAAGGTCAGACCGAGATTGTTTCCAAACGTCGTGGCGATGGTGATTCCAGCCAGAAGTTGCGTGGAATGGGTGTCTTCAAGCGGGCGTTCCCAGAACTCTTCGACCCAGACCGGTTCAACGGGGCCGGAAGATTGACAGCGGCTCTGGTAGGACACTATGATCGGCGTGAGAAGAAGGGTCTACCGGTTGACCACGCAGTTCTGGGACATTTCATTACGAATGTCGGTCCGCAACACCCATCAGAAACTCTTGAACTGATCGAATCCATCTACGCGAGCGGTTACGTCCAAGGACAGAACGGAACACCCTTTGATGCGGATGTCTTTAAAAAATGGCTCTATCTGGTATCGACGAGCGGATCCGTCACGTCCGCTGCAGTGGTGCTGAGGGCGGTGATCGATTCCAACCGTCATCTGGACTGGACTACGCATTTCCGTGTGTTGTGTGAGTTTGTGGCCCAGGTGGAGAGTTACCCGAATGGCAGCTTCTGGGATGAGAGGCAATATCCCAAGAAACCCGAAGGTGGGGAATTGAGATCGTTGTATGAGGAGATCAAGAAGATCTGGGTTGCTGCGTCAAAGCAACGGAAGGAGACGTTCAAGTTTCCCGAGTGGAAGGGGTGGGAGATGGAAATCAAGTAGTTGGTGAAAGAATCATGCCATCAGCGAATGTTGTCCGCACAGTTGTATACGCCGCTGTGATGGATCTTCTATATCTCTTCGTATAGCGGGCACATGGCGGAGTTTGCGGCCGCATTTGTCCGACTCTACAAATGAATACATCATACAGTAACCATCCACGGGTCCATATATATTGGAGCTCCCTCGAGCAATTCCAAGGGCTCTTTGACTATCCTCTTCTTCGTCCTGTTGTTTATTTCTCTCGTTGGAAGCAGCACTGAAACCCATCGCATCACCCTCCCAGCAATCCGCAAGGTCCCTTTCAGCACCATCTTAGGCGAAGCCATGGCGGAGGCAGGAAGAGAGCAGACTCCATCCCAGCAAGGCCTCCTGCCCGCGCAGACACTAGATGGCAAAGTTGCGATTGTCACCGGCTCGAGTCGAGGGCTCGGCGCCGATATGGCTTTGGATCTGGCCAGGAGAGGCGCAAAGGTGAGTCGCCCGATGTTGTTGTCGTCTCAAGGCCCCTCCGAGGTTCCTCGCTGTGTTACTGCGGCTGGAGTTGGATGAAATAAAATAACGTCCCGGGGACGCCCTTGAGGAAGGTTGGAATGGATTGGGAGTTTTACTTTTCAGTGCAACGACTCGTCCATGCTTGGATTGGATGTTGGAGGTGGAGAGAATTACTGAAATGGATGGAGGTCGCCTATATCATTACCTCTTCCCCCCTCTGCCCCTTGATGCTTTGTCTCTTGGGAACCATATTCCTCTCATCTATGTTCAACTGGCTTTTCACAGCATATTGTTTCTCTCGCCCGCCATCTCACGCACCAGTATCCTGACGTTCCGCAGGTCGTGATCACATACACATCGGCGTCTTCCACATCCAAGGCCGCCAGCCTGGTCGAGACAATCGAAAGCCTCCCGAACGCATCCTCCGCGATCTCCGTGCGGGCCGACCTGTCGCAGGCGACCGCGCCCGCCGAGATCGTCGCGCAGACGCTCGCGCACTACGGCCCGGCGATCCACATCCTGGTCAACAACGCGGCGGTGCAGCTCACGCGGGGGCTGGGCGAGATCACGCGCGCGGACTACGAGCGCGTGTACGACGTCAACGTGCGCGGGGTGATCCTGATGACGCAGGCGGTCGCAGCGCACATGCCGGCGCGGGCGCGTGTGGTCAACGTCTCCAGCGTGGGCGCGCGCGCGGGCTTCGCCAACCTGTCGCTGTACACGTCGAGCAAGGCCGCGCTGGAGGGGCTCACGCGCTCGTGGGCCGCCGAGCTGGGCGGCCGCGGCACCACGGTCAACTGCGTCGCGCCGGGCCCCGTGCGGAGCGAGATGCTCGACTCCATCCCCCCGGCCATCGTGCGCATGCAGATGGACAACACCCCCGTCGAGAACCGGGTCGGCACCCCCCAGGAGGTCAGCAGCGTCGTGAGCTGGCTCGCCGGCGACGAGAGCGGCTGGGTCACCGGCCAGGTGTTGAATGTCAGTGGCGGGTGGACCATGTATTGATTGCGGGTTTGAGTCCTCGATTTCCTCGGGTGTCGTTGTCCTCGGAAGTCGTGTCCTCAGGAGACGGTGAACTTGGGTTATAAAGGAGCGCGCAAAAAGGAGATTAGATGGTGTGCATGGTTTGATCTTGACCCCTCCACAAGAGCATTCGGACTATACCTATAGCCACCCTTTCGGGGTGTCAGGTCTGTGGTGTAAGATGGGTACCCTAGAAGAAGAAAGGAGCATTTAGAAGGCATTTGCACAATGCGTGACACAGGAAATTGACCGGAACATCAGCTCGCGAGACGAGATTGTTATTCATCATTTTCATTCTGGGTCAGTAAACAATTTTTATCTTCTCACCACAATTCCGTCCTTATCGTACAGTCGGTAATATCTTCGCATGCTGGCCAGCAAAGAACTTTTTCTGCTCAAGGCATCTTTCACTTGTGCACCCTTGACACCTCAACCCCATCTGCCGGGAGCAGCTCTCGCCACTCAGGAGATGATTGTGCGCAATATCTGCCAATGCCTGGATGAAAACCGGGTTGTCGTTGAGACTCTCTGCGCGCTTGACGCCCGGGTGGCCCTTTGCATCTTCGTGCATGACTTCCTTGTCGATCTCGTAGAGAGTCTCGATGTGGTCGCTCGTGAAGGCGATCGGGACCAGAATGATGTCTGTCTGTCCTCGCTTCATATATTCCTTGACAGTGTCGCTTGTTTGGGCGCCCAACCATGCAGAGGGCCCGACTTGCGATTGCCAGCAAAGTCGGTACGGGTGCGAGTGGCCGAGTCGGTTCATGACAGCGTGCACTGTTGCCGCAACTTCGGCCGGGTACGGGTCGCCTCTGTTGACCACGCTCATGGGAAGACTGTGAGCTGAAAACAGGATCACCACGTCTTTCTGTCGCTCTTCGGGATATTCGGCCAATTTAGCTTCGATGTTCTGCGCAAAGGCCTCAACTAATCCTGGGTGCGTGGGCCAGCGATCGATCACACTCCAGGTTATTGCTCCGTCTGGATCGACCTCGCCCGTTGTTGCTCGTTTGCCCTCGAGCCGGTTCCGCCATTTCCACAGCTCGTTCAATGAGCTCCCCGTGGTGGAACAGCTGTATTGGGGATACTGTGTGAATGCTACCGCTCGACCTCCCTTTCCGCCACCAAACCCGTCTTTTAACAATTGTTCATACATATGCTCCGTCAAGGGATTCGCGTATCGGAACGCCACGTAGGGTTTATGTGGTGCCGTTTCGGGCGAGAGCTTGTCTAGGATTTTGCACATTTCGGTACACTGGTGCTCGGACCATTTTCGTATGGGAGAACCCCCGCCTATGGCCGAGTATTGTTGTTGGATTTTCGGGGTGCGGCGGCGAGAGATCAGGGGCCCCAGATAGGGTTGTAATGGCCCAAGGGGAATCAGATCTCGGTCGGCGAAGAGGCGGGAGAGGAAGTCGCCTACTTCGGACGTGTGCGAAGGACCGCCCATGTTCATAAAGACCATTGCAGTCGGGCCCTTCGAACCAGTCGAATCTTGAGTCACAGGAGGAACGGCGGTGGCCATTGAGGCACTCTGGAGAGCCGCGGGAACTGAGAGGCCATTTCTGGCTGAGGGGGCCACTGCCGGGCGCTTTGTCGCCAGTTGGCGGGTGAGGTGGGCAGTCGAAGTACGCAACGACATTTTGTATTCTGGGAAGATAGTTTGGCTGTTACCGAGCCATGAGAGGTATTTAATGAAGAACAACTACTGTGAGGAGGCTTCACACCCGGGTGGGAGTAAGATTGTCAGTCGTAGGGAGCTGTCTCTGGGGAACCTAAACGATGAACTTTTTTCGCCGCCGGCAAGTAAGAACCAGAAGTCTACGAAGTTCGACGAGATGATGATGACGACGAATCAAGTGTCTGCCAAATCGGCCGCTTCTCTCGACGGCAGCGGAACTGCGCCCGTTCACGTGAGAGCGCGTGTTTCAGCCTTGAGCGCGACCTTCTGCTGCCTTGGCTGGTTGGCATTACATCAACATCCCCCTTACGCCTTTGCCACCTAGGACTCACCACCACACCTGCTTCTGTCTCGATGAGTGCACAGTATGGGCGACAACCTGCCATACCGCCCAAAGGGTGATTCGGACGAGGCTGGGAGGAATGACGACTTGGATGATGAGGAAGAGGAGATCGACGAAACTGGCTACAAGACCGTTCGAGATGCGGTCCTCTTTGCTATCGAGGTCAACAAGTCCATGCTAAGGGTGCCACAGCCAACATCTGCTTCAAAGAAGTCCGACAATAGTTCACCTCTTTTAGCCGCCCTCAAATGCGCATACCATCTGATGCAGCAGCGCATCATCTCGACCCCAAAGGATCTCATGGGAATCTTGCTCTTTGGCACAGAAGCTTCCAAGTTCTACGATGAGGATGAAAATTCAAAGGGTGGCTGGTCTTTCCCTCATTGCTACCTGCTCACAGATCTTGATGTGCCCGAAGCAGACGATGTCAAGGCTCTCAAAGAATTGGTTGAAGCAGAATCTCCAGAGTCAGCCGAGATCTTCAAGCCCGCAAAGGAGCCTGTTTCCATGCACAACGTTCTCTTCTGTGCGAACCAGATCTTCCAGCAGAAGGCTGCCAATTTCACCTCGCGCCGATTGTTCATCGTTACGGATAACGACGATCCTCATTCATCCAACAAGGAGTCGCGGTCTCAGGCTACTGTGAGAGCCAAAGATCTGTACGACTTGGGTGTGACTATCGAACTGTTCCCGATCTCGACTGCAGACCACGCTTTTGATACGAAACTCTTCTGGGACGACATCGTCTACCGTTCATCGCCTTCCGATCCCGATGCGATCGTTCACAACCCGCCGTCCATAGTGGACGCCGGTGGTTCGAAATTGGTGAGCGGTGCTGGGGACGGCATCTCCTTGTTGCAGTCATTGCTATCCACCATAGCCTCCAAAGTTGCACCAAAACGGGCGCTTTTCTCTTCTGTGCCTCTGGAATTAGCACCAGACTTCAAGATTTCTGTGAAAGGGTACTTGCTCTACAAGCATCAGAAGCCTGCTCGCAGTAGCTATATTTACCTCGGATCCGAAAGACCCCAGATTGTCACTGGCTATACAGAGCAAGTCGCAGAGGTTGAATCTGATCGCCGACCCGTAGAGAAGGCCGAGATCCGCAAAGCCTACACCTTTGGAGGAGAGAAAGTTACCTTTTCTGATGAAGAAGTCAAGAAATTGCGCAACTTTGGTCCGCCGGTGATACGAGTGATTGGGTTCAAACCGATGTCCAAATTGCCAATGTGGGCGAATATCAAGAACTCAACCTTCCTCTACCCATCGGAAGAAGATTTCGTTGGCAGCACGCGCGTATACAGCGCACTGCACCGCAAACTGACCAAGGATCAGTTATTCGGTCTGACATGGTTTGTTCCAAGGAAAAATGCCGCTCCAGTGATGGCTGCTATGGTTCCAACACTTACCGCCGAGGGCAGCGATGACAAGCCCAATGCTGCAGGTGTATCTGCGACCGGCGCACCGCAGGGCTTGCACTTGATCCCCCTGCCGTTTGCAGACGATATCCGACAGAATCCACCTAGCACTCATGAGGTCCCGTTACGTGCACCGGATGAGCTCGTTGATGCGATGAGGCCCATCATCCGTAAGCAACAGTAACAATCATTCCGTCAAATGCTAACCGCACATCTAGAGCAACTAAACCTTCCCAAGGGCATATATGACCCTTCAAAGTATCCCAATCCAAGCTTGCAATGGCATTATCGAATCCTTCAAGCCCTAGCCCTCGATGACGAGATTCCAGAACAGCCAGAAGACAGGACGATACCGAAATTCCGCCAGATAGACAAACGAGTAGGAAGTGAGACCATAGAATGGGGCAAAGTGTTGGAGAAGGCCTACAAGCAGTATCAAGCGGAAAACCCAGACGCGGTGCCTACAGGGTCGAAGAGAGCTACCACGAATGGAGCAGCAGGGTCATCAAGCGCAGCAACCAAGAAGGTCAAGACAGACGCAGCGGGTGGCACGAATGAAGAGGAGATCCGGAAGCTTTGGCAGAAGGGCCAACTGGCAAAACTGACAGTTGCCGAGCTCAAGGATTTCTGTGCGACAAAGAAGATTCCTGTTGCAGGAAAGAAGGCAGATATTGTGGAGAGGATCGAGGAATGGCTTGAAAACAAGTGATTCACCAACAAATTGGCAGTGCTGTCAAGTCCATCAAACGATGTAGTACCACCCAAACAAATTTATTGTAACTGACGTTGTCGCATCATCAAAATGGATAAGGGTTCGTGTGGTTGATGTGTGGTCAATCATTGCAATCCCAGTCACAATCTCAAAGAGCGAGACTGGCACTGCACCCAAGATCGACTACAGGTGAATTGATCTCCATTCCAATAGACGATTTCCGTACATCATGGATCACCGCTTGGAAGTAGTAACCTCGTAGGAATGCTTTTTGAAGGAACGTTGGTATTTTGCGTTGTTCATATAGAAGAGAAAAGAAGGAGAGGAAGAGGGAACGAGTTGGAGGCGATATAAATTTTGTGCAGAAGCCATGCCGGAAATGGTTAGATCAAATCTTAACCGCTCTCGGCCTAGTTGCCTCCCGCGTTGCTTCGAGGGTGATAGAAAACGGCTAGTGCAGTGGCAGGAAATGACGTTGGGGAACTCGAAACTGCGGAATCCACCTCGCCGCCCGTTATGAACGCAGCGCATGTGCGCTCCTGGTCCACCTCCCTCGTAACCCATTTCAGACGACGGCAAACCCACCGACTGTGCCATTTGCCCATGGCTTCCGACGTTCTGCTACCTCTTGGACCTCTCTGATCTTTGGTGAACGCAATGGCACGGGTGCCCTTTATCGGCAGGCTCTTTTGGTATGTGTTCCCAGCCCTCCATTTCTCTGTCGAGGCGCCCTTCGTGACTGACTGCTGCTTGACCAGGAGGGAGTATCTGGCGCTGTTTGGGTCCCTGATACTAGTCGCCCTCGAGGTCCTCGTTCGGATCATTACGCTGGGCCTTCCTCAACCGATCATCCGATTCTGCTACAACACCTCCAAGAACCTGTTTAACCGATTGTCGTCCCAAAAGTCTCGACAAGCCCGCTCCCAACGAAAGCATACGTACAGTTCGATCGCGACGTGCTCTGATTTCACCGAGCTCTGTGCCTTTTTTGGATACTATGCTGAGGAGCATGTTGTCCAGACAGGAGATGGATACTTGTTGGGTGTTCACAGGCTTCCCTTTCGCAAAGGGGAAGAGCATAGTGGATCACAGGTCAATGCTGGGGCCGACTCGATCAGGAAACCTGTGGTCTACCTACATCATGGCCTGCTCATGAATAGCGAAGTTTGGGTTTGCCTGACAGAAGAGGAACGATGTCTTCCCTTTACGTTGGTACAGCAGGGCTACGATGTTTGGCTGGGCAACAATCGAGGCAACAAATACAGCAAGAAATCCACGAAACACTCGCCTATATCCTCACGATTTTGGAACTTCTCCATGGACGAGTTTGCCTTCCACGATATTCCCAATACAATCGACTATATCCTTAACACGACTTCCCAACCTTCGCTGTCCTATATCGGCTTCAGTCAAGGCACCGCACAAGCGTTTGCGACACTCTCCATACATCCCCAATTGAACGAGAAGGTCAACCTCTTCATCGCCCTGGCCCCCGCCATGTCCCCTGCCGGTCTCAGCAACGGCATCGTGGATGCACTGGTCAAGACCAATCCTCACCTCTTGTTCCTTGCGTTTGGCCGCAAGTCGATCCTCTCCTCAGCCACCATGTGGCAATCTATCCTCTACCCACCAATCTTCGTCCGCCTCATCGACATGTCTCTCTCCTTCCTCTTCGCCTGGTATGGCCGCAATATAAGCGTGCAGCAGAAACTCGCTGCATACCCTCACCTCTACAGCTTCACTAGCACAAAATCCGTTGTGCATTGGTTCCAAATCATCCGTAATAAGTCTTTCCAGATGTACGACGACGACAGCTCCAATAGATTTGGCATTGGTGCCAGCAATCGGTATTACAAAGTTGCCAAGTTCCCAACAAGAAACATCAAGACACCCATTGTTTTGGTTTATGGAGGGAGTGACTCACTGGTCGATATCCGTGTTATGCTTAGGGAGTTACCTCGTCACACCATCGCGACTGAGATCCCTCACTTCGAGCATCTCGATTTCCTCTGGGCGCAGGAAGTTCATACCCTCGTCTTCCCGCATGTGCTGGAAGCGCTTCGATACTATGCACAAGATGGCACAACAAATGGCGTTCCGAAGGCTCTTGCTCTCTCTATGACCGATACGGCACAACTTCACCGCCGGCATAATAGTAACAGCAGCGCTATGAATTGGTCCGAAGACGAGTCTGCTGGCGGATATTCGGACTTTGACGGCGCGATCGATTCACCTCGCACTCCGAGAGTCAAGAGTTATGCCCAGCAGCAGAGAGAGAAGCACTACTTGCATCCGTCACCAGGTCAGAATCATTCGCCTTCCCATTCGCCCCTGCAATATCAGTATCAGTACGCCTCCCCTACTCCGAACAGACCCGGAAGCTCGATGACGTGGATGGAAAATTATTACAAATTTCCCAAGAGGGAAGCACAGGGGATGACTGAAGGCATGGGGACTAGCAGCGGTCTCAGGAATCATACCGAAGCGGATACAGATCTGCAGGGAGAGCAGAAAGAGACCGAAAGTCAACAGGAACAGGAAGAACAGCGGCAAGTGCATGATCAGAGTCCTATGGGCACGCCACAGCGCGGGCCAGACAACGCTTCCGGAAACTCCGATTTTGGAGCGGTGCTCTCAACTTCTCGGGCACTGCCTCAAGACGGCGATTCAACCAGTACTGTTTCGACAATCCGTAATCGAAAAAGCGCGCTTACTGCCCCTCCCATGACTCCGGGGCAACAAGACACCCTCAACACTGACGAAGAGAGCGCACCAGGGAGCGCAAGCGCAAGCGGGAGCGGAATCGAAAACGAAAACAGACGACGCTCGACCTCTGCTGCTGGAAGTGTTTCAAACACGAGCGGGCGAACCACGCCCGTAAGTCGAGGCACGCCGCCTAGTTTCACGGCGAAGGGCATCCGTGTGGGCAGTTCGAGACCGAGTGTTGGTGCGGCTTTGCCTTGAAACCTACAAGGGGTGCCAAAAAGGGGAAAAGCGGATGGATGCGCGAGAGCTCAAGAGATATGAGAAACAGAGACACCAGGCTCTCCTCGTCCGGCATCGAATCCGGGTTTGCACTCATCAGGACCACGGGAAACCTATAGAATATAAAGCGGCGCACGCCAGCAAAAATATGACTTTGCACATAATGAAAAGACACAAATGTGTGTCAAGGACTAGATTTCTTGAGTTGACTCAGTCCTGCTCTCTTCCACGAATCTACCCAAGTATCTATACCGGCAAGCATTGCCGCGCCGTCGTGCTGGCCAAGTTCTATAAGATTAGCTGTACTCGGGACAATTATTCTTGTCTATACGGAGGAGGATCTCGTGCAATGCGGCGCCAATGAACACCATGACCGGCCTTCCAGCTTCTGCATTGTGTGATAATACTAATAATGGTAATAGTGATACTTTTGTACTTCTAGGTACGTAGGTATAGATATATCTAGGTCGTCCGAGGCTTCCTGCGACCGGTCCAACTACCGACCAGCAGACTAACCTAGAGCGGGACTTTTAGACTCCCGCTTGCCTGTTCCCAATGCTTTGCTGCGTTCACATCTATATGCGAGACATCGTAAAGTCGTTTCCGCTTCCTTTTCCCAAAAACAAACGCCGGCAAATGCCCAAATGTCATGAGTATATCCAAAAACACCCCACGCAATGCAATAGTCCGGGCATGTGTCGCCCGGTGGAAACGCACCCCTCCCTGCCGTTAACCGAGAGTCATGCTCATGTTCGTCCTCGTTATCCCAACTTCAATTCATCAAAAATGCAGTGACATGACATGACGTGACTTGCGCCCCCTCTCCATATGTATGGACCAAGGTATATATATATATATATATATATACAAGGGCTTGCATCATTAAAAATCTTTCGTTTGGTCCGTGGCCATCTGATCCGCAACAGACCAGTCCACAAAATGAAGTAGAGAGGAAGGGAGAGAAAGATCGCCTCATACGACAAGTGCGGCAATAGCTACCACAGCGGCTACCATGGCAGCCATTGGGCGTGCGCTACCCTTGTCCAGGGAGCCGGAGTTGGTATCTCCCAAGGGAGAGCTGGAAGTGGCAGCGCCTAGCCTTGCTCCCCCGGTGCCCGCAGACACGTCCGTGACGGGGTTAGAAACCGGGGTTGCGTTGGGCACGGCTTTTTCGCCGGTGGTAATTTCTTGCACGTTGCTGCCCGTCGAGTTGAAGACTGTTTGCGCGAGAGAGATCTCATTGTTGGCCAAATCGTAGACCACGTAGGCACTCCTCAAAAAGGTATCCCCGAGGACAGCCATTGAGCCTTGCGTTGGCGCAATACCGAACAAGCAGGCCTCCTCGCCGTTCTCGAAGGTTATGGGCTGGCCAAAGTTGTTGGTGCCTGCATCGAGGAATAGCTCATTGTATGGGACACGAATGGTTTGGCCGGAGAACGTGAAGTCGATTGTGGCAGAAGACGAGGATAGACTGCAGGGAGCGTAGGCAGCGCCGACGTCGGTTTGATACACAGCCTGGACTTGGTTGTAGATGTCCTGGGTGATGTCGTTGGGCAGGTAGGTGAGGGTGGCGCCGGAGTCGAGGAGGACGGCAGCGGGTAAGGAGGAAGAGGAGGAGAGGTCGCTGCCCGAGCTTACCAAGCCAGTCAGGGCAATGGCAAGTTGGAAATAGACGCCATTGCTGGGGATGATGGGGATGGTAGCAAGTTCTCCTTCATACTTCTCGGTGTTGACGCCGCCAAAGAGGATCTCTCCTGTTGAAGAGTCCAGGTCGTTGAGCCAGAGGCTGTACGCATTGGAGGCAATGTGGCCCGCTTTGACCAGGGCTTCGGGCAGGTTCGGATAGGCATCCATTCCCGCACGCTGAACTTGAACCTCATTTGTCATGTAACCAATACCCAGAACACCTTGTTGGGAAGAGGAACTCTCGCCAATACCAAACTGAAAATCTGTCAGGCTCACGCCGCCAAATTGCAAGGTATCGGCCACGTAGTCGCCTACAGCTCCTGTGCCGTCGACGTAGGAGATGTTGAATTGGTCATTGACGAGTTTGTACGTAGACGAGGCCGAGGAATCGTAGGTACCTCCCTCGCAGGCATCTTGGCCCGATTCGCAAAAAGAAGAGCTAGCAATGTTGACCCACAAATCCGAGCTGCCCGTGTCGATGTGCAGGCGTAGGGACTGGGCCGGGGTCCCTAGCGTGATGTTGGCGTAGTAGAGGGATTGTTCATTGTCAAGAGTCTGTGAGACCGTTTGTTGCGTCTGTCGTTTTCTCATGCGGGACCTTTCATGGGCGAGGATGTCGGGAACATGTCTTCGCTCAATGGGCAGGCCGATGGTTCGGGGCGGACTTGACGAAGAGCGAGGAGCGAGGTGGAGGGCCGAGACAAGAGGGGCAGCCAACGCAGTAGCGGCCACCACCGCAACTGAGGATTTCATTCTTGCGTTTTTCTGTCCTTGCCAGGAACTATTCTATTGCTTGCAGGAGAAACGAGGCAAAGGACCTTTCGCTTCCAGTCACAATTAAAAGAGTGTCTCTTTGTACCAAGCGTCTAGGGATAAGTGGTTGGGGAGGGACCGGGTCGAGGCGTCGAGGCGTCGAGGGCTGGTGGATTAAGCGAGACGGGACGCCGGTAGTGATAGAATCGGTCTGTATAGAGCCACCTAATAAACAGGGAGTATTGCGAAGCGAGTGACGCCGTTTGCAGAGAGCAAAAACACTGAGGAACAATAGTGAATGATTCAAAGAAACAGAAAAGTCAAGAAGCAACGCAACGCGCGGGACCCGGGCATTAGAAGTAATGGTGGTGGAGGAGGGCGATGACGATGATGCGAGGGCCGTAGCTGAGAGAGAGAGAACAGAGGCGAGTGAGCATCATGGCGCAGTTGCGTCGGACTGCGGAAAGGCACTTGGCCGGCTAGTGAGGCCTAAATGGATTTGCTCAACGGTGGTGACGGTGGCCAGTGAGGCCAAACGACTGATGTGCGCAGTTCCCCATTGAACCCGTTGGGACCATTTCCACGAGGCTTTCCATCTTGCTCATTTGACTTTGGGGGGGCCACTGGGGGGGACAGCACCTATTGTCCGCCTGCAGCCGGGCAGTGGAGTTACCTGGGTGAGTGGACAAGTAGCTCGGCAGGTTACGCGGCACGGCCAAGTCCTTTCCCATGGGCAACGTCAGTGGCTGCAACCACCTGCGCACCTTCATTGTACCTACTCTCATTCACCATCACACTCAGTGTATGCAGTGCTCCTGGCCTCTATCAGTCTGAGGTTTCTCGAGATTGCTCTCTACTATCTGAACCAAACCCTCTCCTCCTCCTCCTCCTCCTCCTCCTCCTCCTCATCCCTTGGCGCGTACAAAAACGCTTGCAACCACAATCCCACCTACTCCAGTCAAGGCTGGCACTACCACTTCGGAGGGGGCTGGTGAGGCTGTAGCGGCCCGTCGGGGCTTTGCTGCTAAAAATGGGGAATGCCGCCACTGGATGATGCCACATCAGCCCCTCGGCGGCCGGCCCTACTTGTATGAATACGACTGGAAGCCTGAGCAAATCCATCCCAAGCGATTGGTTCAACGGCATGCGACCGCCTTCTCGTGCCTTGCCCACTCGGTACACCGCAGCCTTCCAAGCTTACAGATCGCGACTTCACAAGTCACGGGTCACGGGTCAGGACGCGCACACAACTCTTCCTTGCAACTCGAACGAGTCTTGGCAATACATAATCCATACTGAACAAAAGACGGTGGGAAGACGAGGAGGCGTAGAGGACTCGCAATAACGTGGCGCTCAGAGTACGTACCCTCCACACCCAACATTCCCCCAGTGTCGAATGGGCCGCGTATCCTCCAGTTCGACACACCACCAGAGAATCTCTTTGGCTCTGTCCACCTCGCCGCCCAGTTCATGAGCTCTGGCGAGCGCGAACCATGCTTCCGAATTGTCCCAGCCCGACCCCAATTTCGTCAGTGTCGACAGCAGTCCATATGCCCGGTCGCGGGCTGCCAATCGATTGAGGTTCTCCGGAGTCTTCTTAAGATCCTCTTCTCTCGCCGATGGAGTGTTCGACATCCCGACAGGCGCGGTTGCGTTCGCACCTGGACCATCCGTCTCCAACCAGCCGTTGGTGGTCGGCCCCGTCGAGATTCGGCTCCATTCGCGCTTGTGCTTCGGCCGCCCTGGTTCGTCCTGTGGTTGTGCCTGCTGTGGTTCTTCTGCCCTTGGCTTGCCATTGTCGATCCGCCGAGCCAGCTCCACTTTGCGTTCGTAGTAGTCCAGGAGCACATTACTCAATCCCACGATCCCTCCGGGGTGGTCGGCAAAGTACATCAGACACTGCTCGTAGTTTTCCACCGCTTCCCGGATTCCTTCAGGAGACACGGCGCCTTCCTTTTCTTCGCGCGCTCGCGCGATAGCCATTAGCAGTTCCGCTCGCTCACAGTACACGTCAGCCCAAAGCTCATCCGAACTTTTCCCGCCGCCGCCCCATCCACCATCACTGAATGCTCGTGCTGAACTCTCCACGCTGGCAACCATGCCCTCGATCTTCAAGGCCACTTTTGCTGCCTCGTCGCACGCTTCCCGCGAGTCGTCAAACATGTTGCCTCTTCGGTATAGCGTTGCAATAATCAGCCATATTTTGACCAGTACACTCAGAGCATGCCTCTGAGATGCCGTCCGTGGGAACCGAGGAATGGGATCTGTCCGCAATGTCCCCGGTCCTACGACAGGCAGTCGCACATCCTGCTGAGGAGGTTGATCTTGGTGCTGCGCCGGCGGCGGCACCTTCTCATGGGATGTGAGGTTGTGCGGAATCTCCTTTAAGGGCTGTTTGGCTCCTTCGCTTGCATCGTGATCCGGAGACACAGGCATCTCTGGGACATCGGCGGATTGAATGGTTTCCAATGGGGACCTCAGCTCGGGTTGAGCAGTCTCTGCCGTTGCCTCGGAGCTGGGAACTGTCTCGTGCGAAGTCTCAAAGGACTGTCTCGTACTCGAAGCATGACTCGGCTCTTTCCTCCCGCGACTCAGTGACCTCGAGCGCCTTGACCTCAGACCCTTTGTAGGCAGGGGGGCCGAGGAATGTCGCTTCCCTTCCTTCGCATGGTCATGGATATGGAATATTTTGTGTTTGTGAGGCGACGCTTTGCCGTCTTCGTTGGTGACCTGGATAGTCGGTGCTTGGGTCGTTTGAGTCGCTTGAGTCGCTTGCGTGTTGGGTCGTAATTCTTCCGCTATCGAAGGAGCGACATTGATCGGCACTCCTTTGGACGACTCACTTGAGCGTCCTAGTCTCTTTCGGTGGAACAGCTTACCCGGAAGACTCCTGACCGTGCCACCTGAGCTTTTGGGAGGTTGAATCGATCTTTTTCGGGACGTTTCTTCACTGATGGCAATCACCCCATGTCGCCCGAACAGTCGGGAGTATAGTGCAAGCAAGTCGTTGCTGTTGTTGACCGCATGCTCCGGACCTTCCAGAAGTTCTGTCAAAGCGAGTTCAGTGATGCGGATCTCGATAATTTTTTGCAATTCGTCACACTCCATATCATCCACCAGCCCGACTTTCCGATAGCCACTGGCCAATCTTCCACCAACCACCGAACCGTTGGGGAAATCGCCGAAGATTGTCTCTGGAGGGGAGAATTGCTCAAATGCTGCCACACAGCTTTGGCTAGCCGTCTCAAAGTTCTGCCGCGAGGTGAGAAGAAGCGACAACAAGTGCCAGAATGGCACTAACTGCCGCTGTATGCTGTAATTGTTATCTCCCTCAAGCTTCTCCGCTTCCCAAGCCAAGGCCTTCTTCACAGTTGCAATCGCCTGGTCAATGTCTCGCGTCTGCGCAAGCAGTTGGCTTAGAGCGTACAAGGTGGACAGTTGCCTTTCAGGCGGGAGATCTTGTGCTGCCGCCTTCTGCAGACATTCAATAGCTGCAGTTTGCAGATTGGTCCGCTCCTCACTGAAAGGCGTCCATCGAGCCCACTGGGCCTTTCCTATCCCAATGGCTCGGTAGGTAACCTCCAGCAAGTCGGGGGACAGACGGCAAGGGACCGACTTTTCTCCGTTCACCTCTCCATTGGTTCTTGTTGCAAAGCCGTTGGGGATGGAATTTGTAGACGGCGATTCGAGCTCTCTCAGGAGATCTTGGAGCTTGTCGCACAGCTCATACGCCTTCTCCGCCTCCAGGTATCGGCCAAATGAGCACAGGCCTTCAATTCCTTCAGCGATAGTTCGCATAAAGACCTCATCACTGTCACTGCCAGTCGCTGGAGTTTCAGACTTGGCAGCTCCAGCCCGCGCTCGATCCATTAGCTCAATGTAGGTGTCCAAGGCCTTGTAAGCCAAGCCGAAATCCGTCAAGGCTTTATGGACTTGGAATAATCGACGTAAGATAAGTGTCGAGTGAAAAGACTTTGTGGCGGCTCGATATAGCATGTCGAGCACATTTCTTCCACATGAATTGCGACCGCCTTCGCCCAGGTCCGACTCCGACCAATTGGGACCGCAAAGAATCTGCCAGTTGCGAATGAATTCCTCCACCCACGCTTCTATGGCCGCGTTGGATTCAGTGGCCTTGGGAAATTGAACGTTCCGCAAGAGTTCATTCTCGTAAGACGTCTCCACCCGCCGTAGCTCGACTGCCAAGTCAGAGTGTTCGATGGAGACATGGTCCGCGATTCCTTGTCTGTTTTGTAGAAGGCTAGACAAAAATCTGTAGTAAGCTCTCCACATGTCGAGCTTCGACAAATGTCCTGGCCCATTGCCATAGGTTGAAGCCGACACCTCCTGGTTCTTAACCGCAAGTACAGCCCAATGACGGAATGCTTGGAGCCTGAACGAGGCTGATTCGTGACCAATGATGGTTGCAGAGTCTGTGACTGACAATCGGTGGCCCAATGAAACCCTACCAAGTAGTTGTTGCGCCCAGTAAAGGAGTTGAGGAGTAGAAACGACCAGGCTCCTGTTAGCATCTAGCCAAGGAAGCAGAGAGTCAAGGATTTCCTTTGCCTCTTTATCCTCGCCAGCTTGTGCAAAGAGCATGCCTCTGATGTAAACCGTCTTGACCACACAGATCTTTGTCCATAGCGAAATGGCGTCCGCTGCAGTCCGTACAGGTTCGAATGTAACAGCGGGCACTTGACGGTCTGTTTTATGTGCTCCAACCCAATGCGCCCAAAGCAAGCATGTCTGGCCTTGTACCACCTCTTCAAACGGATGCCCTGGTGCACGGAGTTCTTCTTCGAGGGAAGTGGCTTGGGAATCTGGAAGAGGCTGGTTGGTGTGAGCAGTGCCCGGTCTGCGGGCGAATGTGGAAGCGTAGTTGGCGACGTCGTGTTCGGATTTTGCGACCCGTATCAAGCCTGCCTTGAGGGTTAAGACTGAATTCTAGACTGATTTGAGAGGCGTACATTTTCGATCAGGGGCATGCTTGGTAACTTTTCTTATAAGTTCTGGAAATTCTCTCCACTGGCCAGCCACGCGCGCCGCGTCTAGAAGACCTATATAGCGCTGGGCTTTTTCATGGTGCGTCTGAAACTATATCAGCCAGCCATACAAAGTGGTAACAGGGATGCCTGGAGAGCGTACACTCATTCTGGGGGACGCGGAGCTATACTCGCGAGTGTCAGCGTCCTATGGTCGGTTCATGGTTGCAGGCACGTTGTAGCAGCTCCATCAGACGTGTCTCTGCTGCTGGCATCCCGCCACAAATTGTAAACAGCGAGATGCGGTCGACCTATGCATTAGGGGATAAAAGAGGGAGTTGAGGTTGTTTGGCAGAGTGAACCGTGCTATGGGCCTGTTGCTGCCAATGCGCGATGCGGTCATTGGGGGCCGCGCCAGACGCAAATCAACCAGTCGCAGCCTGCGTCGTTAAAAAAAAAATTCCCCAAACTCCAAACACGTGTGTCCATCGCATTCTCTAATACACCAACATGCCAATGCACTTTGCATCAAGCCTTGTTCACAGCTAGGACGCCCCCAAAAGGCTCGAGAAGACCGCTGGCGGCAGCAAGAGCAATGCAACATGATATCGCTCTGCGGGCCATCACTACTCGGCTGAGTCTCACACCAGTTGAAGACCTTCCTCGAATATCCGGCTTCCTCGCGACCTCGTTGGCTCAATGTCCTGTCGAATTGCTTTCCTCAGACAGCAAAGGCAATAGCTCTTCCGTGGTCGCACACAAACTCAAGACTCGAATCACCTCTTTGTTGCAAGACAAATCTACTGCTTGCCGGTTTACCGCTGCCGTGCTCATCAAGGCGATCGTTGATAATGGTGGCTTGAAGGTTCTGTCTAACTGGGAAGTCTGGACCAGAGGCTTGCTCAGCTGCTTGGGAAAACCTGAGCCTTTTGAAGTGAAAAGAATCTATCTGGCTACTGTCACTCGGATCTTTGTCCTCTCCCAGGACCACCCGGTATTGTTGCGGGAGGTAACAACGCCCCTCCTCCCGGCGTTCATCACAACATGTCTCGGTCTCATCAAGCCAGTCAGGGCTCATGCGGACAGTAACGTCAACCCTATCCTACAATCGGTGCTACAATGTTGGATCCAGTTGTTGCCTCAGCACGCAACGGTCTTTCGCCCTTTCCTGACGCGTATCAGGCTAATTTGTCTGAGCCTTCTCGAAGACGCATGGACTGCGACCTCTACCAGAGAGCTCGCGATCCAGCTTCTTTGCTTGCTATTGTCATGTGCACCCAAGAACACAATGACTCAGGAATGGTCCCAGGCAATTTCCGATCTGATCAGCAGCGCTCATCAATCTGCCGATAGATTGTTCAGAGCCGTTATAGAGGAATACGAGTCCAATGACAAGAGCCGTCAAAAACCTATCGGAAAGCATGATTTCTCCAAAGACCCGAAGATTTATAGCGCCGACCAAGCCGGACTGGGCCAATGGGTTGGCATGCACGACGGCAGTACAAGGCTTGCAACATTGCTCGACTGGTTAGGATGTTTAGTCTCGACACCTACGTCGCAAGTCATTACGGTCCCTCTGGGGTCTATGCTGGACCTGACTTCTCGTATACTGGCTATAACCATTCCTGGAAGCGGGTCAAGCACAACTGACTCCCTCAAGTATACCAAAGAAGCGAGTCGAGAAGAGAAGGAAGGTCTTTGGATTAACTTACCTCGTCTTCACGTTTCATCTCTTAGTGTGCTCCAAAATTTGTGCAAAACTTATGGACAGTCCTTTCTCCCGGCAAATGGAACTATACTCAACCACATTATGGAAGCATTTATCGCAATGGCAGGTGACGAGACGGTCAGGCGAGAGGTCTATACTACCTTCGCCTCTCTCATGAGCAGCATGAACACGACCAGTTTTGTGTTACCTGAGACCACCTTTTCAACGTTACTTGAGCACTGTTGCAATGACCTGCGGATTGGTGTTCCCGGCTCAGATGATCGGACCAACCACAATCCTGCAAAGGATGGATTTCTGAGTGCTAAATCCACGTTGCCGGTTGCTGGAGGCTCTCGCTTTTCGGAAAGACAGCCCCAAGTATACCAAGCAGCCTGGGGATTGCTGCCAGAAATCTTGGCTCATTGCCCGACATCGATGATCTCTCGTCAAGCAAGAATAGAAGCGGATAGACTGTCTGTATTGCTCGATCATCATGATGCCATGATGGCGAGTGTCATGCGTCCAATGCTGTCCAAGGATGGAAAAATGAGGACTGCCAGTCTGCTTCCGTTCCTGGTCAGGTCTGCAGCAGATTGTCTCGACACCGAGGCCCTCTTGAGGCCTCGAATGCCCGTTGCGCAAATGAAAGAGATTTCTTCGGGAGCATCTCGCAATGTTCGAGCCCATCTTGATGACCAGCAGATGGCACACATGCCCAACGACGATGCGGAAACCTTGTCTAAACCTGAGGGCTCCCCTGATGCCTTCGAGACCGACCTCGAACAAAACGGCGCCAATAGCCTCGAGGAACAAGAGGGGGATGAGTTGTTCCAGGCTCTGACGGCGAGAAAGCGAAAACTCGAGAGCGTTCAAGACCCCGGCTTTCGAGAGCGCTCTCCCATAGTATCCGAAGATGCGGAAATGCTTGATTCGAGACTGTCCAAGGTGCCAAGGTTGGAGGATGGCGGCGTGGAAGAGTTGGTATTGGAAGAGGTTGGTGTGAGCGAGACGCCGATGGCGCAGCCTCCAGCTGCCGCAACTTTTGGGATCGAAGAACGGCCCTCTAGCTCGAGAGGCCAGCTTCTTGGGACAGTGTCTAACATGGTTTCCTCCGAGACCATTGGACATAACGACAGTGATAGCAGTGACTTTGAGATCCCGACCATTGACCCGGGGTTGGACACTGACGAGGAGGATCCTTGATCTGTCGCCCTTGAGCCGTCAGGCAACGTTGGTTTCCTACATAGTCTCGTATTAGTGTGAGTAGGTATGAGGCAGTGGTGCTCAAGCTGTCAATACAAGAGATACACCAGTGATACTGTAGCCATTATTATTTGTACAAGTCCCTGGTCGTGCTAAGGCTGGACCCCTTAAAACATTTCTAAACGAGATGAATAGCGTGTCAGATGCGGCGCCCGCTTGCGTCATTTGATAAACAAAAAACCTTTTGGGGGCGATGTCGAACTTCGCCTCAACGCGCCTCTCGCGACTCACAAAGAACTAATTGGATGCTTCACTACTGGCATGAATCTGCTTGTCCCTCGCCATGGAGTACAAAGGTCTTTGAAGAGTTTGCTCTAAGACCAGAATCTGCCTTTTCTCCTAGTCTTGGTGGCAGTATCATTGGGGGCTTCTTGCAACGCTTCATCGCGGAGTTCGTATCTCCTGGAGTCTTGTTCCCAGAGGATCAACCATCATGAGCAAAAGAAAACTGCCGTGGCAATCGGCTCCAGACATCGTTGATCTCACTGGGGATGATGACGACTTTTCAAAGCTTTCTCGCTCCAAGGTTCCCAAGAAGACGCCGTCCTTTAGTTCTTCTCAGGGCCGTGCAACCCTCCTAACACCACCATCATCCAGCCAGCCAGGGTATTCCTCGCATCGCCCGAGCCAAACCTACAGAGACTACACCCCCAATTCCAGTCATCTCAGCCAGCAATCCAACGGCATTGTCACACGCGATTACTGGCTGGGCTCTACCCTGGAACAGGAGGCAGATATTGCCAGAGAGATTGATCTCACCGAGGACTTTGACGACGACGTCTATGAGAATTTCCAGCTCTATGGCATCCTCAACACCAAGATTGTCGGCTGTCGATTCTATGATGGCCAGGCTACTGTCGGAGAGTACGTCAGGGTTAAGCGCGAACCTCGTAATCAATACGACAGCAATGCTATCCGAATCGACAATGTCCTCCGTGATCAGATTGGCCACATCGGGAGGAATGTGGCGGCCAAACTAGCACCCTTGATGGACTCTGGCTCACTCCTTGTCGAAGGCGCCTTGACAGGTCCAAAAACCTACTACGATTGTCCAATCGGCCTCAAACTCTTTGGCACCAACGATCCCGTTGCAGGTGCGGCTCTTGCCCGTCAGATGCAGGATCTCCATTTGCCCATTACGGAGTACACTCGGTCAGAGCGAGAACGCAAGAAGCGTCTGCAGGACTTCGAGAAGCAGCAGAAAGCAAGGCAAAAGGCCGCCGCCGCATTGCGAAAGCAAGGCATGACGGTCTTTGACAACGAGGGACCAAACAGATATAGCAACCTCAGCGCGCCCACAGGGATGGGAACGCAGACAGCTCCAAGCATGGATCAACTACTCAGTGGGACTGCGGTGTTTAACCCCCGTGATGCGCAGAGTGTGGTCAACAAGCTTGGGGCCGGAGAAGAGGTGCTTTCGAAGATGTCGATGGCGGACCAGCCTCAAGAGCTTGCGACAGTGCTACTGCCCTACCAGAGACAAGGCCTCCAGTGGATGCTGGACCATGAATCCCCCTCATTGCCCAAGAGTGCTGATGATGTGGTCCAGATGTGGAAGAAGACTGGCAAGTATTACACCAATATTGCAACTAATTTCTCCTCCAGCAAAGCCCCAGATCTGGCCAGTGGAGGGGTGCTTGCAGATGATATGGGCTTGGGTAAGTCGTTCGCCCTCGAACATGATCCCTAGGCTGGTTGGCTAACTCTCGCTCTCAGGCAAGACTATCCAAATCATCTCACTCATCATCGCCGATCCTCACAAGAATGGAGACCCCACGCTCATCATTGCACCACTCTCAGTGATGAGCAACTGGAGCACGCAGGCCACGTTGCACGTCAAGAAGAAATTTGCGCCCCGAGTCTTGACCTACCACGGCTCTCGAAATAAGGAATTGTCGCCAGGACAATTGAGAGAGTACGATATCGTCATCACAACATATCAAACCATGACCCAGGAGCTCTTTCCATACGGTGAAACGACCGCCCAGCAAACACCCGCATTGAAAGGTCTGTTCTCGGTGACTTGGCGGCGTATCGTCTTAGATGAAGGCCACCAGATTCGAAACGCCAAGGCCAAAATGTCCCAAGCAGCATGTGCCCTCCAGGCGAAATCTCGCTGGATTCTGACCGGGACTCCTATCGTCAACAGCCTGAAGGATTTGTACTCACATGTCAAGTTCCTTCGTTTGCCTGGGGGGCTCACAGAGTTTGAAGTCTTCAATTCGACCCTGATACGGCCACTCAAAAACGGGGACAACGGAGCGCGCCTCCTTCTCCAGGTCCTAATGTCGACTCTATGTCTGCGACGCATGAAGGACATGAAATTCATCGACCTCAAGCTTCCCGACATCACCTTCCACAAGTATCCTGTGAAGTTTTTGCCCCATGAGCAGGAACGGTACGACGCGTTCAAGCAAGAGGCAAAAGGCCTGGTCGAAGCCGCAAAGGCCAAGAAAGGAGACTACTCCATGACTAACCTGCTTGAAGTTCTTCTGAGGCTGCGCCAGACGTGCAATCACTGGAAGATGTGCGGAGACGAGAGAGTGAGAAAGTTGCTGGAGTTGGTCGAGTCGAATGAGGTCGTCGACGTGACCAATTCGGCCAACCGCAAAACTCTGCAGGACATGTTGCAGGTACAGATTGACTCACAGGAGGATTGTTGCGTCTGCTTGGATTCGCTGAACAACCCTGTCATCACAGCCTGCGCGCACACCTTCTGTCGGGCATGCATTGAGAGAGTGATCGACACCCAGCACAAGTGCCCCATGTGTCGTGCACCTCTCCAAAGCAGCGAGCAACTAGTTGAACCGGCAGCTGGGATCGGCGAAAGTGACGAGGTAGAGCTTGACATTGACCCCGAAACCACCAGCACCAAGATCGAGGCTCTCGTCAAGGTGCTCAAGGCATCTGAAGCCGATCCCCACGTCAAGACTGTGGTGTTTTCGCAATGGACCTCATTCCTCGATCTGGTCCAAGCGCAACTCGTGCGCCACGGATTGCAATTCACGCGTCTCGACGGTAAAATGAACTCGACGAATCGTGACACGGCCATTGAGTCACTGAACAGCGACCCGTCGTGCAAAATCATGTTAGCGTCCCTCTCTGTCTGCTCGGTCGGCTTGAATCTCGTGGCCGCCAATCAGGTCATTCTGGCGGACTCATGGTGGGCGCCAGCCATCGAAGATCAAGCGGTTGACCGAGTCCATCGCCTGGGACAAACTCGAGATTGCAAGGTCGTCCGCCTGGTAGTAGAAGGGACGATCGAGGACGAAGTGCTCGAGATTCAGGCGAGAAAGCGGAAACTGGCGAGCGAAGCATTTGGGGAGAAGGACGGGGGCAGAAAGCGAGAGGAGAGACGGGCAGGGACACTGAGAGATATCGAGAGATTGTTGGCCTAAACCGGAGCAGCAGGAATCGGCATGGCGTTTTGTGCGTGGAGATATTGTCAGAAGGAGAAAGTGGACAAACACAAGGTCGACGGATACCCTGTTCAATTACCGGTGGTGAGGGATGGTGGCAAATAATTCCAGGCATGTGGGAGGCAAGGATGTCGACGGTGAGCTTGTATGAATAGTTGAGTCTCGGATCTAGAGGTATTTTGAGGTATTGTACCAGATTTATGGCAGTGCATGTCGTGCATGGACACCAGAGTGCATCTCACACCATATCAACAACGCGTCCATCGGCCACTTTCCGTCTTTTTATTGTCGATGCAGTCATGGAGACTATTGACCCTGCTCAAGCCATCAACGCGTCAGTCCGAAGTCAGGAAAAACAATGCGATAAGGGGGAAAAAAATGGTGTGATGTGAAAAAAAAAAAGCTGTGGGCACCATAGCAACCGGACCAAGATACAGGCATGGTGGGCGTTGGTGCAAGCCACACCGGACCCGGAGCTCCCAGCCCCGGGCGTCACTTAGGCTTCCCTAACTCGCTGAGCTGGCTCAACATCCACCGAACCTCGCCTACCGAGCCTAAACCAGCCCGTAGCTCGGCCCTTTGCAGGAAATTGCGCTTGCCTATCGCCAGGTGGGTTGAGGACCAGCGCTACCTGTGCTGGTACTACTCGTACTGGCCATCAACGCTGCTGCAACGTGCTCGAGCACATGTTTTTTCCTTCTTGTTGTTTTGCGCCCCTCTTGTCTCAATCTCCTCTGTGGTGCTGCCGGCAAGACAGGACGTGCCGGGGTGAGGGCACGGCAACGAGGATCACTTCACAGGCAAACATGATAAGGACTTGCAGATGAGCTGCAACCGAGGTTGATCTTGCATTGTTTCTGGGGGAGGCATCTGACTCTCTGCATCACTGAACAGGAGCAACAGTTGCATCACTCCGCACCAGCAAAAGACGTCACCCCCCAGAGTCGCCGCAGAGGGAGGCTCCTGTTTGGCCTGCGGTGGGTGGCACCGGTAGCCCAGTGGCACAAGTGGCAGGGCAGAGCTCCAAGGGGGGTCCACCGAGACCAACGCCCGTGGGAGCTCCCGCCAATAATTGATCCAGCTGCTCAGCTCCCTTGGGACGCTTGGCCAGGTGTTTATATCCGGTGCGGGGGATCCCAGCACCCACTGCATCCACTGCACCACCTTCTCGCCCTGCAACCGCCGAGCGGCCACTCACAACATCGCCAGGCTCATGCACGTCGCAGCTTTCCCTCTGCATCGCGAAAAAAGTGGTTGATCATCATCACTCGGTCACCACCCTCGGGCCCTGCGGTGGCTAACGCCCATTGTGCCAGTTCGAGCTACATGACTTTGAGATTTCTTCTGTTTCCCTTACCGCCTCAACATCCTCGTCCATCGGCCGGTGGCAGTCTCTCCTTCAGCTCCTCCCCTCCCTCGCCATCATGGCACCTATCCGCGCGGCTGTCTTTGCGACGGTGAGAGCTCTCTCCCTCCAGAACTAACCGCGCTGTTTCCCCGCATCGTTGTTTGGATGGTTATGTGCACCATCACTGACGCAAAGCTGGCTAGCTGCTCATGAACGATGCCTACCTACCAGGTACGTCGAGAACGATCTCTCTGTCCAAGATTGAACTCGAAGCTCATCACGTCTATAGGCGCTATGGTCCTGGGCCATTCTTTGAAAGACAAAGGTGCAAAGGCTCCTTTGGTCGCTTTTATTCTGGTTGACCGATTGTCCTCGGATACCATCACTGAGCTTCGAGTCCGTTTCTCTACGTCGACCTTTCCCAATACCAGCACTAATATTGTCAGACCGTCTACGATGAAATCGTACCGATCCAGGAGATCAAAAACAAAAATCCCGCCAACCTCTACCTCATGAACCGAGCCGACTTAATATCCTCCTTCACAAAAATCGAGCTGTGGCGGCAGACTCAGTTTAAGAGAATAGTGTACTTGGATGCAGATATGGTCGCACTGAGGGCTCCCAATGAACTTCTTACTCTGGACACAAACTTTGCTGCAGTACCGGATATCGGCTGGCCCGATTGTTTCAACAGTGGTATGATGGTGCTGAATCCCAACATGGCAGACTACTATTCTCTCTACGCATTGGCACAGAGGGGGATCAGCTTTGATGGAGCTGATCAGGGTCTCCTCAACATGCACTTTCGCGAGTGGCAGAGATTGAGTTTCGTGTACAATTGCACACCAAGCGGCCATTATCAATATGTCCCGGCCTACCGACACTTCTCAAGTAGTATTGCAGCAGTGCATTTCATCGGCAAAGACAAACCGTGGACCTTGGGTCGAGATAACAAGCTCAATACAGGCGTCTATGGTGAGCTACTGGGGATGTGGTGGTCTGTATATGACAGACACTATCGACCAAAGGTACCCTGAATCTTGAAGGAAAGCGGATTGTGACCCGGGCTAACTTCTACAGACGGTCACTTACTACGACGCCCAAACTTTCGACTCCTCCAAAAAGGTCCAAGACTACGTGCGTGGGGAGGAACCTTTGTATGTGGTGGGCTATTCAAGCCACCAGCCAGCACCGGGCCCAGGTCCACAGCCCCAGCAAGAATATCACCGTCCTTCAGAGCAACATCACCACGAATACCAGCAGGGGCAACAGCACCAACAGCACCATCATTACCAGGAACAACACCACCATCAAGACCAGCAGCACCATCATCCGGCGTCCGAGCATACCGGGCAAATGCCCTTACCTCCCGAGATTCAGGTGCATCATTCTCAACCAGGTCAGACAACGTCTGTAGAGCTGCCATTAGGCGACGCACCTACTCCCAAAGCCGCGTCTGACTTCCATCCTGTTCCTACCGTTGAACAGAGACGATTCTCGGCACCCCACGCCGAATGGGATCCCGCACGGTAGGCGAATTTTGACGCAATGTGGACGAGTTACTTATCGTGAACAGAGAACCTCCACCTGCGCACTCGAAACCAGAAGCCTCCAATTTCCCCACCATGGTCTATGACATGTCGAGCGAGACCACGCTGTTCCAACCGCCTGCTCACTACCCGGAAGCACCAAAGGATATGTGGTACCAGGTACCCGAAAAGGCCCCCGAAGCTGCGAAACCGAAACATATCTTCCCCTGGGAGACGAGGGCACCCAAGCCGACAAGAGTATTTCCCCAACCGAGACAGCCGAGTCCACCGCCTCCTCCGCCCCCGGAACCGGCACCTGTCGTCCCCGAGGAAGTGACGACTCCCTCAGCAGCGACTGACGTCACTGGTGTGACCGAAGAAAGCGTGCTCACACCGCCCGCGGCACCAGTCGACCTTTGGGCGTCGTTCCAGCAAAGGAGCAATGCATGGGACGACATGCCTGAGATAGAGCGTTACGTGCAGTCGATCAGTCAACCGCGAAAAGGCAAGATACAGGTCCTGTATAACACCCTCGGACAGCGCTCGCCTCGTAACACCAGCGGGAGCACGACTCCCACAGAGAGAGACCGACGGCGCCCGAGCATCAAACTAACCGACTTCCCCACCAAGGACGAGCGCCCGAGCTTACCCGTGACTCCAGCACCGATACGACGACCCACATTCTGGGGAGAGGAGAAGGACGAAGAAGGCACCTTGCCGACCGCAGAAGGAGTACCAAAACAAGAAGATTGGGTGCGTCGATTCTCCCACTACCCTCAACCTGAGTTTCCTGCTTCACATCCCCCATCGCATGCTGCGCGTCATGATTTGTATTGGAGATGCCAATATTGTGGGAAACAGAACCCGATCACAAAGTTAGAACAGCTGCAGTTGTTGCAGAGTGAGGCGTTGTTGTCACCCGAGGGGCCTCGGGAATTGGCACAGGCGGCAGAGCCTCCGACAAGAAAGATGCCAGAGAGCTCGACCAAGGAAGAGATGGAGAAGGCGGTCATCTCACACATATCCCCTACAAAAGTGCCCAAGGCGCCCAAACCCATTCTGAAGCCTCCGCACTTTGAGTTGGGGCAGGACGTTGTGGGGGAAGTGGAAAACCCTACACGAGGTGGGCTAGAAGACAAAGATTCGTCGACAAAAGTGCAAGCAGCCCCGGCGAAAGAGGATTCGATTGATCCGTTGTCTAGGCCGGCTGCTGATGAGGAGGAGGTGCCTCTCGAGCACGAACCAAGGGCCGTTGTGGCTCCCACGACAGCATGAAGATGGAATGGAATGGAACGGGATGAGTGATGAGGTGGCTCCGTCATAAGGTGGGAATGTTTCTGACAAGTGTTTTGCCGCATGCTTGTTGTCGAGATTGCAAAAGCTCTCTGCTTGTTTTGGTGGGAATCGCTTTGGTGTTTTTGATTTACGCATGACTTACGCATACATATGGAGCATCTTTGGACGTCTAGTTTGAGGCTGAATGGGCCATTGCCTTGGGCGTACGAGTTCTTGTCTAACGTGTATCATTATGTTCAACAGCATTGCATGGCAAGCGCCTCAATTTCGTTGCTGCATTGGCCGGCGTGTTGGGCTGTGTTCATGGTCTCTGGCACATACATGTACTTAATCGATCACTTTGGAGGATCTGGTAGCGTGAGATGCTGATTCAACTACTCGTCCTGGGCCAACAATCATGGCTCGATGGCTTCCATGGTGTGTGTCATAGAAGAAAAAGGGGCCACCCCAGAAGTTCAGCCTCGGCTTGGCATCTAGATTTTGGTTCCGCAGCCTTGCCCCCTTTTTGGATTATCGAGATTCGGGCAACCTCTTGTACCTCCTGAGCTGCAGAGATGTGTCCACTATCCCACAACTTGCCCGCCTACTTTGACCGAGTACCACAGAGCTTTTCCTGATCAGTCCTCCTGAACATGTCGACTCTCCCTTGAGTTTGTTGGGGATTCCTTTTCGTGGAATCTTTCCGCGTCGAGGCTTGGTCGCCGGACGGGGCTTATCAATACTGCATCAATCGAGCATCAGATTCGCATCACAATAGCGATCGAGTGACAAAGGCGCAGCTTCTATCTACTCCAAGCCTCTCACGATCCTGCAGGAAATGCCATTGGCGTCAACATGGCCTACTCAATGAGCCTCAAACTCACCCCTTCCGAGCTCGAAGAGCGCCGTCACCAGCTCAACAGGGCGGGTTTTCATGCGTGGCTCTCCCCAATCATCCTCCTGGTGGTGGCATATCTGTGTCGACGCTACTTTCATGCAGTGTTTTTGTCATCCAAGTCGCCAGCGTCAGCATCTCGCTCGCCACACGTGTCGCAGGTGCAGCTGTTCCTCAGACGCGCGGAATGGATCCTACAGACGACATACATACCCGAGTTTGGCCCCCTGTCTGTCCAGCTGCTGGCGTTGATGTATACAGCGTGGCTCCTTTACCTCACATTCCACAACACGGGAGAAGATTACATGCATCTCACCAAGGCGTTCGGACATGTAGCCATCTCCCAACTCCCAATGCATTACCTTCTCTCCCTTAAACATACAACATACTCGCCCCTCAGGTGGGCCACGGGCCTAACGCACGAACGCCTCAACGCAGTCCACCGCATCTTCGGGCGCATAGTTCACGCCTTCTTAGCCACTCACGCCGTTCTCTATCTCCGGTTTTTTGTCAAAATGGGTCTTCTGCCGAAACGGATCAAGGACCCCGACGTCCGGTTTGGGATCCTGGCGTTCTGGATGTTCAATTTCTTGGGTGTACTGAGTCTGCCCGTCGTGAGGAGGAAAATGTACCACTTCCTGTTCTACAGGAGTCACGTCTTGTTGAGCGCCCTCGTCATTCCGGTCTTGTGGGCCCATGTGCCTTACACGAGGTTCTACGTGGCGCAAGTTGCAGTGATTTGGATTCTTGGAGGATGGTCGAGGAGCAGGAGCGGGGTGACGAGCGTGCAGGAGTTGAGATGTGAGAACATCCCCGGCACGCAGCTTGTGCGGGTGAGCTTTCTCGTGGATAAGACCAGTGCACTGGCCCAGGCGATTCCAGGACAGCACGTTTATGTCCGCCGTCGCGGGGGCCTGATCGGTCCAAAGACGCCGTTTTCGATTGCGAACGTGCACCTCTCGGCCAAAGACGGGAAGGAGCAAATGGTGGAAGTGATGCTTGTGCTCTGGAACACGGGCGGCCCGGGGACGTCTTCTCTGGCAGCCCTCTCCAAGCCCAAAGTCGATGAGGCGGCGGATGAGATGCAGATCGAAGGCCCCTACGGCGAAGCCAGCGTGTACATGCCTGCGATCCTCCGCTCGGACCCGGGCGATCCGGTCCTTCTCGTCGCCGGTGGCATAGGCGCCACGTACGTCCTGCCGATATACATCGCTCTGTTGAATTCGCGCCGCCGACGCCGCGCAGAGGGAGCAATGGGACGCATCAAGATGGTGTGGCTGATCAAGACCCCCGCCGATGCGCGATGGGGCATTGAGCTGCTCGTGAGCCGCCTTCGCGAGGGCCTCGTGCTGGACGTTGACATATACATTACCACCGTCTCCTCAGCCATGGACGAACTCGACTCGTCTTCGCTCCCCTCCTCGCTTCTGTTGAAGAAACATGGTCTCCATCTGCACCAGCTCGGCCACCGTCCCAGCCTTGGTCCGATCATCGACGAAGTGTTTGGCTCTTCTCCTGTTTCTTCTTCTTCGTCTTCGGCTTCTCTCTCCCCATCATTCCACGACGAGAGAAGCTCCCTCGAGCTAGACGGCCAAGTCACAGTCTTTGTGTGCGGTCCACGCGGTCTGTCCACCGACGTGAGGGCCCTCGTTGGAGGACGGGTCATCGGCGAGGGGAGGAGGGTGCGGTGGTTCGAGGAGGTGTTTGGGTTTGGTGGGAGTTGAGGGCGGCGTTGCCTCTTGGGTTGTTATCAAAATACCGTCTCACGCTGAAAAGCGGTGGGATCGAGTGTGGATCTCGGTATGTAATCATATTCTATGGTATTCGGTCATATAAGACTATGTCAAGGTACATTATTGCCATGGGACAAGACGATCCTCCAACCCTGTCCTTGACACGTTATACTTAATAGGACTTTTGCCATCTCCGTCCTGTCGTCCTGTTGTGTGTTGGACACGTTTGTAGCAAGACCATCTAATAGGGTCTTTCTGAGAGGATGGATCTCGTGGGTGGCTGTTTTCTCACTTCGATTCTTTACCACCGTATTATATATCAGCCGCCTACCTAGCTACCTCCTCGGTCGCTCGCTCTCTGGCTCTCTCATGCCGCCACATGACCAAACAGGACTTTCTCACCCCCTACACCGAACCCGGTGCGCAAACGGGGCGTCGATCAAATCGTGAAGGCAAACGGGGAGAGTCCTCGTGGAGTCGTCAGTGACAATCAGCGGGTGATCTCATCGTGGTGATGGTGGTAGTGTATAAATATCCTCTCGTACGTGTGCCCCTTTTGCACTCATCTGCTTCCTAGACTCTTTTCTCTCCCGGTATCTAAATCGTACAGAGAGGCGTCTCATCGTCAACCCATACCGCGCATCTCACATCCGCTTTCACACCGACGAGCCTCGCACTCGCACTCACACTCACACCCACACCACAATCTATCAAGGTCGGCAGATAGACTCCATCTCATATCGTATCATTCCATTCAATTCCATACCCGACCTCCTGGTCCACGTCTCAAAATGGCGCTCATCTGGACCTGGGCTCCAGTGACAGTCCTCCTGCTCGGACTCGGACTGGTTTCCGTTCCATCACCAGTCGTCGGCGCCCCGATCCTCCACAAGCACCACAAGCACGGCCATTTCCACACGAATGTGGTCCCCGAGGGCGATCCCTGGCTGGCGGGAACCTCGAGCACGGGCTTTGCCGATCCCACCGCCGTCCCTCGAGCTTTGGCCAACGATGGGACCCCGAGCGGGGACACGTCGACGACGCGCTTCGTGAATTACCCGCTCGAGACGCCCTATCTCTCCAATCCGCTTCGTGTGGAGGAGGAGCGAGAAGAAGACGAAGTGGAAGAGGCACCCACGGTCGCCTTCGAGAGCATTGTCGACCGCACGCGTCCGCTGACTCGCAGCTCCGGGGGCGGGATTCCCCCCCAACCATACCCGCCAAACGGCCCTGCCCAGGTCGGCGCCGGCCTGTTTGAGCGCCTGGCGTCGCGGACTCGGCCCTTGGTTCGCAGCTCTGGTGGCGGGGGGAACATCCCTCCCCAACCGTACCCGCCCAACAAGGCGCTATATCACCATCCCGGAGTCTCCGATTCGGCCGCAGTCTTCTTCCTCGCCGCGGTCGGCTTCTTCTTCGTCTCCCTGGTCTGGAATTTGTACGTCCGCCACGGCTGGGCGCGGGACCAGGCCAAGCAGACGGACGTGGGCGCTGTGGGAGCCATGCGGCTGGGATCGCTCGTCGGAGAAGGTCGGGGCAGAAGCAGAGGGAAGCATCGCCGCAGCCCTGGCGGGTGGTTGCGCGCGGCTAACGCGACACCCGCTCCCGTTGCTGCCGTCTGAGCATTCCTTGGTAAGACCGTCGGCGCCGAAACCTTTGCAAAGCAGCATCTCAACATTCGTGTAGCTGGAAAATATAACGTGACGGAAGTCGACTTGAGCGGTCTGGGCGACAAAGGACAGGAGGGAGAGCGGTCGTTCTCCGAGAATTGAGCTAGTCCGAGGACTATTAGCTGAGAGGCTTCGAGCGACATTTCTTGTGACTGGCGGTCTTCAAGGGCAGTGTGCGAACACAGCTTGCGCTGAAGGCATCAGCGGCTTGTCAGCCTTGTGGTAGCTAGAAAGTTGACCGCAGCGGGATGTCTTTGCTGGCGAAATGCATTCATCAGAGCCGAAGCCCTTTCGTAATATACCTCTTTGACGATATCCCTGACGCCTGAGTGAAATGAAAGTGAGTTCCTGAGATCCATCATGCTCAGAGGTTTTCCATGCCACATAACAGGTACTTAAGTTCCATCTGCGCTGGTAAACCCGTCTAAACCAGGTCTTCGCGACCATTTTGGATATAGCCTCGTGATCGGCGTTGCGATACTATGTGCCGGAATCACAGAGCGAGTGAAGAAGACAGCAAGTCTCGTCAATGACACGTCTCGATCGATCGATCCCGTTCGCGACTCCCACTTGATTGCCCCTGTCAAAGGAGTCAGTTTGCTTCGGGTGACTGTCCATCTCTCAAGGTGAAAGCACGGCACACACCGCGACGTACCTCCAGTGAGTCGAGGTGCAAACGGGAGCAGATCACACATATAGCCGAGACTGGACTCACTGAAAGGGAACTCCTGAACGGTGACGATACTTTGGGCTCATATAAATATCTCCAGGAGGAGCGGGCTTGACCTCTTTCTCTCATCTTGTACCAACTGCCGACCTCCAGCCAGCACGATTGCACCGAACAACACTTGCAACGACCTGTCACCGGTCTGATACAAGCGAGAACAACTCATTTGGGCCATTCAGGCGCAAAACCTCCAAAGCCCAGAAAAGCGAAAATGAATGGGTGGGTGATTTTCACTATCGTCTTTGTCGTCCTCTGGGCCATTGTCATCATGGCGATTGTATGGAGGGCCAGGCAACGGGCCATAGCTAGGGAGCAGGGGAGACAGGAGAGACAGGAGAGACAGGACCAGGTGTACGGATTGCAGTAAGACTGTAACAGTGGTCTCGGGATTGCGCTTCGATGTTTTTTGCAGTGCTTTGGAGACCTTCCTTACGGCGGTGGGAGTGAAGGCTGGCTGCCGTTGTCACCCGCTGATACACTTGTGGTGAGCATCGAACAGGCGACTCAACTGGAACACTGTTGCTGACCAGACGGTTGCCGGACAAGTGACACGGCCAGGTTTCGACATGGGATTTATATCTGCGTTGGCATGTCAGCTCTGTTCATGACCACAGCTATTCCCCAGAACAAGGCGTCGAGAGACATCATAATCAAGCACCATCGACCTTGCCACGCCGGCCTCTGCCCAATATCAAGCGCACGATCACGAATCAACAGCATCATCCACACACACACACACACAGAGAGAGAGAGAGACTGCGACGAACAAGCAACATGGTTCCAGGCCTGGCTTGGGGACTGCCATTGGTCCTCTTCGTCTTCATCTTCGGCGCCATCGTCTGCGCATACATGTACAAAGCAAACCCGAACAATCCGTTTAGGAGAGTGCTGCAGCGAAGGGGGGTCGATGAGACTGCTGGATAGGACGAGGGCTGTCGTTGATAGAATAGACACGACAGTGTCAGCCTTGCACAAAGATGGCTCCGGCGCGGATCCTCGGGAGTCATTGGCGACTTATTTCTAGCAGTGTGAAAAGGTACAACAGATTGGCCTGTGGGCGCCACCGAATACAAGTACCGAGAGATTCCGCTTGAAGCAGCCCACGCAGGTTAGGAGACATTATGAAATCTGCCGTGATCCGATTTGCCGTAAATCCTCCCCTCAGCCTCAAAGCTTCAGACTCCAGGGACTTGATTTTGTTGATGAATGTTCAGGCCTGGCTGATCTCGCTCCGCAATGCCATGTTTCCATGATGAGGCTCATTCTTACGTCCGTTTCCCCGGACGTGCCCATCAATTCATCGAGTCTTCTCAGACTTGCTCCGTGTGCAAATTACTGGTTGAGGTTGTCGAACAGGTCAAACCAGGATGGTTGCAGCGCGACCCTGACAAGTCTGTTTGCCTGGAATATGATTCCAACCAAGAAAAGTCGCAGAGGGGTTCAAGTACTTTGATTGTGAGCCTCCAAGAGCGTCGATCAGGGGGGGTCACTGGCAACTTGGCTTGGGGAATCTTGAAGTTACCCTGGCAGACGGTGGAATCTTTCAGGTATTTCATCTATTCCGAAGGTGAATCATGTCCCCTTGGGGTTGACTCCCAGGGCCGGGTCTGGGAGTCGCTAGCTTCCGAACGAAACCGTCGAGGAACAGGGCGTTGCTGACTCTCTATACACTGTAGGAGGTCCGGCGGTGCAATTCGAGCAATGGCCAGTCTTGCATAAGACGGGCACGGTCGTCGACGACACCTTGTCGGCGGCCGCTGCTGACCTTGCCGCCAAATGGCTGTCTGATTGCTGTTCCGGCGAGGGACACCCACGCTGCAAAATCCCTGACCCGGAATTCACGCCCCGTCGCCTCGTCAATGTTGGCTTATCGGACCCGAACGCGAAGCCTCGCCTGGAGGCTCCGAAGACTCCCAGGGACTATGCGTGTCTCAGCTATTGCTGGGGCCCAGATGTGGAAGAGATCAAAGAAAAATTGCAGGCCAGCGTGTCGCAGGACAACACCATTGACGTGAGCTTGCTCCCCCAGACGATGAAAGATGCCATCTTGTTCTGCCGTAGACTCCAGATACCAAACCTGTGGATTGATGGTCTGTGCATCGACCAGCAGGACGCGGAAGCGAAGAAACATGGCATCGCTGAAATGCACAAAGTATTCGCCAATGCCAAGCTGGTTCTTGCAGCAGCGGAGCCCGCGTCTTGTAAACAAGGCTTCCTGGGTAGGCAAAACTATGGAAACCGTCCGTTACAGTGGCTGTTTGAAACCGCGGTGCCGGTTGAGGCGGGTGGTTCTCCCGGCGACAAAATCCTCATCAGACGGCTCACAAGCGATCGGAAACTCGACGCAAGATCTTCATTGGACCGGAGAGGATGGTGTCTTCAAGAAAGCAATCTTTCCATGCGCAGCCTGTACTTCAATGGCGATGAAATGACGTGGGAGTGCAACCACCGCGTCATCTGTGAATGTGGACACAAATCCAGATCCAAGGAAGACGGAGAGCTGAAGGGACTTCATCGACGTCCTTGGGAAGAGCGAGTGACAACTCGTCGAGAATATGTCGATTGGATGGATCTGGTCGGGGAATACTCAGACAGGTCACTCTATCAGGGGGACGACAGACTCCCTGCGATATCCGGGTTGGCAGAGGAAATCGCGCGGCGCCTGGGGGTGGTCAAGGCGCAGTCCTATTTTTCAGGCTTGTGGAAAGAAAACTTCATTCTCGGGCTGGCATGGCACGTCGACAGATCAGCATCAGCCTCGAGGCCACGGTTCGAAAGACCCGCCACGGTCCATTTTCCCAGTTGGTCGTGGGCCTCGATTACGAAATCCGTGGCATACAGTGTGTTTGACAACCCTCTCGGCAGTTCACTTCAGCGGGAAGAGCTGGTTGAAGACTGTAGGGTTCGAGAAATCCACCACTGCGATGACCCGACAGAGGTTGCGTATCCAGGGGCCGCGACATTGTCGGGATCACTGGTATCGGTCGAGCACAAAAGACTCAGCAAGTCCGCGACTAGACAGTGGAAGAGAGATTCCGGGTATGCAATGAACCTGGGCGACCCGGAAGAGTTAGATATAGTCAGCTCCCAAAATGGGGTAGGCATCCAGGTCCTCCTGGATGAACGCAATGAAGCAGATCAGTGCATCTGTGATCACTGCTCAAGGAAGCTGCAAGAGATTGTCGATGACCAGTCCAAAGGGGAATCACCACAGCTCTTTTGCCTGCGACTTTTTACCTGGAGAATTCCCGAGGCCCGTGAAAATCCAAGAAGCCATCATGTTTGGTACCTCTTGCTGCAAAAAGTGCCCCAAAAGTACAGTAAGGAGAGGGATGTCTTCCGGAGAATTGGAATGGGCATTCTGGATGGGTACCGATCTTCAATGTTTGAGCACAGCAAAGAATCCGAAGTCATTATCATCTAGGCCGGGCAACCTGCTGGGGCCAGGACGAGACACAGACATGATAGCGAGAGAGAGAATCCCAACCCAAAGACAAATCATCAGTGTGAAATCACCTTCCAGGTTGAACAGGAGTGTTGATCCTTGAGAATCGCCAATCGACAAAGGTCTCTCTAGCCGCTGCTCGTCTCTTGATCTAGGCGAAGAGGGACTCACTTCAAATCCTATCCCTCAAACATAGGCAATCTTTTGGAAAACCTGGCAGTCTGCTGCCAAAGCAGTGTCCCAGCCAGGAGGAGGCCACAGCAACAGCCCATGAAACTTCCCACAGCCAAGAGTCGAGTAGCTTTAGCTTTGGACGATTGCTCACACGCCCGACCCTCCTGCGGCTTCAAAAGCAGACCTTGTGCTCCGAAATGAAGATCTTGGGCGCAACAGGCTCAACGTCAGCGTGCCAGCTCGACCTGTGTTGGTCCAAAAGACTTCCTTTGTCTGACTCTGACAGCGTGCTGGTGTGACACCTTCCAGTCTCGGTCGTCCACGCGGTGGCCCAATGTCCAATTGTTGCGCCTGCTCTCAAGATCTTCCTGGGGATCTCTGTTGTTGACTTGGGCGAGGGAGACGGCTAGTGACCTGGGGCCCACTAGAGGGCCCAGAACCCGTAGAGCTAATGGATGGTAGCGAAGATCTTTTGGAGTGGTGTGAAGTACGGTCCCCTTACGATGATCAGCGGGTTGACGACAACTCGTTGGACAGTTGTGTCGTCTGGGTCCGTAGGGATGAGGGAAAGGTTAAAGGGGATGCGCCTCCAAATTAATATGGATCACCGAGTAACCTGCACGAGGTATGTAGTGGTGGTGTCGCCATGTTGATGGGAAGGTTATGAAGGGCAGTCTAGTCTGATGCCTGCGGCGACAATGAGCACAGAGCAGTGGAAACTAGGCGAGGAGGAACGCAGGCAAAGCCTTCCCCCCATCGACCCCTCCACTGCACCCCTCACCCGCCCAGAACCACCTACTGCCTACCTACCAAGCAGCCCCGGTACACAGTAAGCTGCTCTTCCGCGTGTCTCCCTTGTCCATCATTGCTGCATCGAGTCGCCCATCGTGATGCCCTTCTTCCCCCCTGCACTCAAACATGCGACCTGCCGGCGGCGATTGGAGTTTACCTTGTGTTCCCCTGGATTATTTGTGCACCGACCGCTGCTTGCTGGAGCAAGCCTGTCTGTTCGAGAGCAATGGGCTGATCATGCTCACGTTTCCGAAGATGGGAAGGATCACACCTCGGCATCCTTCGTTGCTAGCGAGGCAGGCGCCATGCTGAATGTGAATGTCAATGTGTGAAATCGACGGTTTGCTGCTGGCCTCTGACTCTGATGCCTTTCCTGCACAGTCACGGGTTGCTTGTCTTTTCTTTGTCTCCCTGAGAAAAGCCGGTCTGATCAGACACAGACCTGACCTCACACCATCTCTAATTCCACGTCCCGTTGAAGCAATACTTGACTGTTGACCCTCGTCCATTCGCTGACTTTCGTGCTCCCTTGAGCAGTTGACCGCCTTCAGCTCCCCATGAACCTACCTTTCTCTACAGATCACTCCTCATTATGGCATCGTCCTTCTTAGGTCGACTCTTTGGCCAGGTTTCTTTCTACTCGTTCGGCTTTTTCAATTGGTGCCTGTTCCTGGGCCTGTTTGTGAAAAATGGAACATTCTTCAGGAAGGATACCGAGCAAGATAAGTTGCAGTTTGCAATTGGTCAGTCAAGCGTTCAAGCCTCCAGGAAGGACCATATCTGACTGTTTCCTGTGTATAGAAAGAGATCGCTTTTGGAACCTGACCAAATCACCTTTCCCCGGCTTCAAGCACTTCTTCTACACCCTCCGCAACGGCCTCAGACTGCACTATATCAGCAACCGGGACGGAGCTTCGCAGGGCAACTTGGTCATATTCTTTCATGGGTTTCCCGACAGTTCGATGATGTGGAGACATCTCATGCAAGAGCCGGCCATGCCAATCCACGATGCTACCCTGGTCTGCGTCGATTTACCTGGATACGGTGGAAGTGACAGTTTCAAGAAGTACGATACGGAAGTGCTCGAGGCCCTCACGGAATTTGTTGTGGCAATGAGGGACAGGTACATCCCGGCGGAAGATTCAGACGAGACGAGCACATTCATCGTGGGCCATGACTGGGGGTGTGTTTTGGGCTTTCGTCTGGCTGCAGAGGCTGCAAGCCTTGCAGATCGCTTCATTCTGACCAACGCACCGCACGTAAGTTATGGGACTCAAGTGCTATATCTTCCGGTAATCTGACCATGCATGTAGGTCGAACTCGCCTTTGCCAATAAGAACCGTATTCTGAACTCAGCCTCGAAAATCTTCAAACAGTTCAAGCAGTCTCCGAAACAAAATTTTGGGTGTTTGTCGAAAGCCCTGAAGACGTTGAAGCCTTTGATGGTGCAAACGTTGTTGATGGGGTACATTTTTGCATTCCATTTGCCATCCATCTTCGTCAGATACCTGGGCGTTGCCGGGAACTACTCTTTCATACGAGGGGCAAATTGGTCATCGTACGCAAAAGGCTCAAAGGAATATCGTGCTCAAGAATGTATGGCCTCTTCTTTCGGCCCTGGGCCAGAGGAGTGCAATACATCCATTCCGGCCGTCAACAACCTGCCCAACACCACCAACGGAGAGGCTCAAGCAGACAGTTACGGCCCCAGCGTACTGCAACGGGCACAATCTCCTCAAGAGGCTTTCTGGAATATGACCGGCTATTATCGCGATGGAGTAGGCTGGCGTCCGTGGACCAAGTCGCTTGAGGCTATAACGGACCTCTACGCTCTGGAGACCTCGGCATCGGAATCCAGTTCTCCTGGCAGACGTCGGTCTTCGGTGTCGCAATCTCTGTTTGTTGATCAATACAAGGGGAGCCTCAAAGCACCTACGTACATTCTCTGGGGAGAGAAAGATCAGGCTTGTTCCAAACCAATCTGTTTGGATGGAATTGGAGACTACTTGGGCAGAGACAGTGAAGTGACAATCCTTCCGCGAAGCGGTCACTGGACTCCTGTTCAGAAAGAAGCGCGGCCGGCACTTGCTACCGTGATTGGGTTATTTGCTGGAGCAGGCGCGAGACCTGTGGCGAAAATGACAACCGAGGTACAGAAAGTGTACGAAGGGGCTGTTTTGATGGTGAAGAAATGAAGCGCAATTCCGATGAGTTGATGATACTATGTACTCCTGTACTCAAATCCGGGATCGGGAAGGGGTTAGTTCTGTATGATACTGGTCATCAGCGGCGTGTCCATCCATTGCTGACTATTCCAGCCGAGAGAGCTCGTAGGCTAGATGAAATGAGAACTCTTGAACTCACCTGATACTCCATGGTACTATGGGCTCCGTGTTCATACTGCCAAGAGATATCTAGCGCTGTCGCCTCGAGACTAGGATCCAGAACGACCAGAGTGTGAGCTGCAATCCGAAAACGATCAACACCACGCCCATGACGGCCAAAGGAAAGTCACGTCTGCTGTAGCAGGTTCCATCCGGCACTGTGGCTGTTGATGGTGAAAGATTTGCTCGCGGCCCAAGGTGCTCCGGTGCCTGCGTCTCCTCTATCCGCTGTGCTTGGATGCGGCTCAAGAAGGAGACGCAGATTGTCGCAGAGGCGAGGAAGACGCCTGCAAGAAACATTGTGAGGAATGCACCCCGACTCATCGTTTCTGAGTTCGGCTTTTTTGGTCGATCGGAGGTGTTGCGGTGGCAGTTGCAGGTGGATCTCCGCTGCGCGATGCGTGAGCAAGCTTGAGAACGAGGCGATCATGGAGGCGACGGAGGCAGAAGCAGGACCAGAGTTGATGCTTCGTTCGACCTTGCTCTCCCCTTTTTTGTTCCCTTGGGAACTCCGGGTGACGCTGGACCAGTCACACCGTATGCCCCAAGCTGGCACGGGGGACCCGGCGGGGGCGTCTCCTCATGTCTCGTCCCGGTGACACCGGTCGCGTCGCCCCGTGGCATGTCTTTCGAGTTTGTGCCGAAGTGATGCTGAGATGTGACGGGACGACGAGGGCAGAACGAAGGAGAGAGCGGAAAGGAGAAATCAGGTGGGAAGAGATCAGATGGAAAAAAAACACGACAGGAGCCACATGTACATATGCCATTTGACACTGAAAAACACACAGAGTACCTGACCCTTTTTGACACCGTATGCTCGCTCCCACTCACTGAAGGACCAGGATGTCCGAAAAACTCCTGCTCCGTCCTTACCGCGCTGCCTATTAATTAGGGTTGTTAATGATATGCTTTGCCTTTCCCACACATGTTTTGGCACTGCTCGCCGGCGAGGGGGGAATGGATAATGTTTAACCCCGAGTCATTCGAGAGCTAACGGGGCTCGTGTGTCTTGACTGGATCGCGGCCTGCTTCTGCTTCTTCTTCTTCTTCTTCTTCTTCTTCTTCTTCTTCTTCTTCTTCTTCTTCTTCTTCTTCTTCTTCTTCTTCTTCTTCTTCTTCTTCTTCTTCTTCTTCTTCTTCTTCTTCTTCTTCTTCTTCTTCTTCTTCTTCCACGTTACCTTTCTGTCTTGATCCCGCCTGCATTGCGCGAGCGGGTTTTTCTGAGCTGTTGCTGGGAAAGGCAGCGCAAGCTTGAGAGGTTGTCCCACCGCCGACACGCAGATGTTGCTCTCACGAACTGCTTGATTGCGAGCGACGACTCCGAAGCATCTGCCTGCGAAGATGTCGCCGCGTGGAACCCCCCTGGCTTATGCACCCGCCAAACCCCGCGAGAGATCCCTTTCGTAGGAAACCAAACCCTTAGAACAAGAGCTCAAGACAGCAACAACAGGTCAGCGCGGCCAGGAACGCCGCACAACAACCCTCCGCCGCGGCCTGGTCTGGCGATCTGTCATAGTATCCCACAGGCGGGCCCTGCTGGTAATACATGCCCGGTTGCGGCGGGCCGTAGTATCCGTATGGTTGTTGGCCTGGCGCACCCTGCGGCGGCCAGGGACCCGGCGGCCCTTGATTCCAGCCTTGAGGAGGAGCGTAGCCACCGTTGGGACCTTGGGCTGGAGGGTAGGACTGGGGCACGGGACCGCGCGTGTTGTCGACCGGTGCGTCGGGCGGATAGTATGGGCCAGCGTCGTGGTGGACTTGTGGCGGGACGGTCAGCGCTCCGTTCGGGGGAGGCCCGTTGGGGGGTTCGTATTTATTGTTGTCGGCCATTGTGAGGAAAGAAGAGGAGGGAAAGGGGACGTGTGTGTGCGCGCGCGATTGTCGGGGGTCAAGGAGAAATGCGCATTCAACAAGTCGGTTCGGTGGGTTGGGATGAACTGGTCAGGTCGATTGCCGTTTTCGCAGCGGGCTTGTTCTGCGGGGTGACGAGGCTCACCGAACGCTCTCCCTCTACCACGAGGATCAGGCTGTGTGGGGGGAGGGGGGGTTCCGAACTTGTATGATGCCTTCCCAGTGATTGCGCTGGATTCTGCAGTTATCTCGTCGATGCCTTTTTCAACAAACGCTGCTGCAGGTATGCGCAAGTTAGTCACAACAATAACGCTTCAAGAAAGAAAGATGGATGCTGGCGGGTGTTCAAATGTAGCGCAGTTTAGTTACTGGTCATTGATTATGAGAGCCCGTCGGCGCGGTCGGCAAAGGCGCTGTGCGAATGTTCTTTGCTCAGCCACCGCCTACGACTTGCCCTTGCCGCCGCATGCCGAATTCGGCTCTTCGTTTTCGACCGCCCAGTCACGGTGGGCGTGGGTGGAAGAAAAACACCGGAGGTCAAGTCTTTATTGAACATGGACTGGAGGGCGCGGAGGATGGTTTAAACCCAACAAAACCCCCAAGCCCTCGATGGAGATGCAGGACCGTTTTAGTAAAAGAACTGACGTGCTGGATGCTTCTCTCAGGTTGAGGCGAGAAACTGCTGCGAACACCCCCAAGCGCCCCGGTTCGACGACGCCGAGCACCCTCCACCACCACCACCACCACCACCACGACCAGCAGCCCCGTGGTCACCAGCATCGCATCCCCCATCTCGCTGGGCCGGCTAGCTGCCAGCTGCCATCAAACCATCCCATCGGGATAATGAATTACATGAGAGAAACGAGGAATCCAGCCCACGTGCCCCTTTGAATATTTCTTTGTGCAACGTAACTTGATTTCAGAAGGATCGTTTTGCCGGCAAGACGGACAAATCTACAAGTGCAGGTGTGTACCCGTATGTGCACACTCATCGCCTACGTACGAGCATTGGTCCAACGTGCACGGTCTACCGAGTCAGCCAATTCCGGCGTTGAGCGCCATCACCACCCCATCGTCGACAACGATGTAAATGACCCTTACGGCATGGGCCTGGATCTGGTCGTTCAGATAGTTCCCAGGTAGAGATAACCGTGTTTTTTCTTCTTCCTTTTTACTGTTTGCCTGGCAGCTAGCAGTTGTACTCGTAGTGGTGGGTGGCGGCAGCGGCGGTAGTGGTGATGATGAAGACGAGAATGACGAACAATATGGTAATGAGTGGTGATGGAATTTCCCGGGCTTTGCTTGCAGCCTATCGCACTTTTGTCCCACCTCAACACCTGCGCCAAAACTGCAACCACTGGGATCCTCACACCCAACACACCAACCGTCATCAACTCTAGGCACCCCCAGCACCCCTTGTGCGCTCCCCTCCCCCCCCATCAGTGCCCCAAGGCCCCAAACCCCCATGCTTTTGATGGATCATGACCCATCCATGAGCCCATCAGCTTGTCCGACTTGTCTTTACCGTCGATGGCGAGGCGGTAGGCCCGGGCCCTCGCGTCTTCCCCCCTCGCCCCCTTCCACACAGGACAAATCGAACACGTCCCCCGAAATGGAGATGTACCCCCGTTCCCACGCAGTACATGACTTGTGAAGCGGTCAGTCTGTATCCGGGATCTTGTCTTTTCTTCTTTTTCGGAATTTCCATGTGAAAGTCCAAGATAATCCTGTTGCATTGGGTACGTAGGCAGCCTGCGATCCTGGCAACTTCCGTCGTTCCCCTATCTCATTCCTTGCAAGCATTCGTGGCAACAAATAGCACCCTCGATTCGTAGGGAGGGAGGGAGGGAGGGAGGTCGAGGCGTGTCCGGGAGGACCAGTACTCCGTTCCCCTGCACCACAGGATCTCAAATCGCAAGGGTGGATAAACCCCACTTTCAAGACACCATCATCCGGTCAAGAACAACCCAGTAGGGGAGTAAGGTAAGGGACTGTGCTTTCGTATCACCATCACCACGCTCCCACCACCACCACCACCACCACCACCGCTTCTGGTGTGTTTGGAACTCGTACCTTGTCGCCAGGATCGTCTGGGTGGGTTCCTGCTGGTGGTGCTGCTATCTCTCTCGCTCCTTGGCCGTGTGGGTCCGTGTTGCTTGCTTCGTCACGAATTGATTCTGCTCATGGCCGAAGTTGCTCGCAGCCCAGTTCCGATGATGATATGATGAGAAAGGGAACCCTGGGCGAGCAGGACCAGGATGCGTCGGTGGGGGTCGAGCGACACGGAGCCAAAACAGAGGCCACTCCTAACCTTGTCGGCGGGATCCCACGTTGTTCCGTTCCGCCTTGCCGCGAGCGAATGCCCGTGCTGAGAACGTAGGCCGGAGGACCTGGCCGTCTTGTCCAGTTCAAAAAAGCAGCCTCACTAGCCTTATCCCTTATCATTACACCACAATCTGGACGTGCAGCGCGCATCAGCAACAAGCCCGCCTTGCCAGCCAGCCAGCCCATCCACAAAAGATCGCCTGTGTCGCACATCAGCGAAGAAACAACATCGTCGGGCATCCTTGGAGGCTAGCCACAAGCCCCCCCCCCAAGCCTCCCGATCCATGTCCCTTCTACCTGCATTTTGCCGTTTCCTGACATCCCCGATTGCTGTCCGCCCTCTGATTCGACCCTGGCGCCCTCAACAAGGTTAACAAGGTCCATTTGCCTGACAGCACGCAGGCACATGCCTCCCTGACTCTGTCTTGCCGGCAGACGCTCCTCGATTGAACCGAGACGCACAGGGCACTATCGGTCCTGCACCTCAGCATCTGCGCAGATAACGACCTTGAGTCGCTCCTCCATCCAAAATACCCATCCACCCAGCTGATAAACTTCTCCTGACCATCAGAGTTGGTTATTGCGTGCCAGTCTCTCAGGCTCTCTCTCTCGATTTTTCCTCCTTTCCTCCCTCCTCTTCTTCCTTTCTGATTCCTCGTCGCTGATCCCGGTACAATGAGCACATATCTGTGGTACACGTTCAGCTGGAGTTCTTTGAGAAAGAGCTTTGCGCCTTGGTAACATCCACCATCCCCCAAAACAGCTGCGTATGTCACTGTACCCACGGTCGCTCACCGTACCTTGGCTCTCGTCTGAGACCATCGATAACCATCATGGATGCTGACACTTCCCCCAGACTCAACGGTGCACTCCCACCTCAAGTTTGCGTATCAAGATATCATACAGCTGGTGATATCGCCCTCTTCGGAGGGGGAGGGGCGCTGGGCCCTTTACAAAAGCCTCTGGACCTTGCCGCCATCTTCGTATGCATTGCATAGATCACGTTTCTTCTTTCCCGAGTCGTTGATCGAACCCGGGCGCCGGCGTCTCTGGCCTCGATGTTTGGCTCGAACGCGTTGCCGTTACCCCCACCCTTTGCCCACGAACATCGACCTCTCCGGTTGAGCGCTGAAAGCGCCCGTCCCCTCCCAACCGGAGAATGTCGATATCTCCTGTTGCATCCTGCGGCACAGAATCAACAATGTTCCTGCCAATCCTTCCACCTGAATCGGAGCGCGCCTGGGAACATCTGTGAATGCGGCCATCAAGCCTGCTATCACGTCCACCAGGAAAAGCATAACCATAATGAAAAACATACGGATACACTCAATGCTGTTCTTGATAAGATAAACATCGTCTTTGATAAGGTCAAGCGTTTGGAGGAAACCATTCAGAATGAACGCAGCAATCGGGAGTCTGCTTTACAGAGAGAAAGACAGATGTGGGAAAGAGAGGTTCGCATCTTGCGCGAGGCGTTAGCACCCTTTTATCAAAGCGAGAAAGAAATGCGTCGACGCATCGTCGACATCGAAGATAGAGTTGAAGGCAACTATGACGAGCACGTTCGCCTCAGAGATCGCGTTGTCGCCGTCGACGATGCCACCATGTCAATGGAGAAGAGAGTGGAGGAACTCGAAGATTTCCGCTTCAAGAGACGACGCGTGGGTCGCAATCCCACTCAAGACCAACCTTCGCAGAATGGCTATGTCTCGTCCGATCCCGACAACTTCAGACGAGTTTCTTCGAGCGTCGACGGAGGTTCGGTGCGGACGCCTTCATCAAGGGCATTGTCGCCCAATGGGACCGCACCTCCTCCCGCGCCGGAGCCGGAAGAACCTCGTTCAAGCGGAATCCTCAACCTTGTTGCTGAAATGCCCCGTCCTGGACCTTTCGTCAACCTGCCACAACGCCTCTCCCCGCCACAGGAGGAGCCAAGATCAAGCGGCTTCTTGACATTGGACCTAGGAGAGCGACTCAAGGAGAAGTCTGCCTCTGAGCAGCTAGCACAAATCTCCATCCACCAGGCTGCTCGAATTACTCCGCCACAGGATCGACCAAGTCCATCCAGCTCTGCAAGGTCCATCCAGGACGTCACTTCCAAGGCTATTCGAACCCCTCCCGAATTCCTCAACACCAAAATGCCAGTCATAGATGTGATGGTGCTCCCTGGCAACGTATCCCCAAGAAAGAGAAAGCATCATGTCGACCACATCGCGCTCGATGTGCTGGCCGATGTCACCGTCGCCAGTCCACTCATTCACGGATGACCATTTTCCAATTCTAGCTACCTCACTTATTTTCGTCCTTCCACCATTATGATGTGGTAGCCATGGCTTGTTTTGACCTCGGCATCTGTGGTGATGATTAGCGAGGGATACCAAAAGGGATTAAACGGTCATTGTTGATTTGGTCGCGACATTGGCACTACAGCTTTTATCGCACACGCCGACTCTTTTTCTTCTCACGATAGTCGAAATAGCTTAGGAACGCTCATTCTGTGGCTCAGTTCCTATGTTGTACAGGTAGATACCAGACAGTAACAACACGGTCCCCGTCACCATTCTCTGTAAACGAGATAAGGAATCAGACTCACATTTGGGATTTGCTGTTGTGGACGGTTCTAATTCGTAGGCCACTTTTTCAAAGTCTCCATGCAGGCTGCCTCTGGGTTTCCAGCCTAGCGATCCGCCTGAAGGGATTGATAACGGTTTTGTCATATTAGCCCCAGCTGACTGACGGACTCGGAGACTGGCTGACGCAAAGGACCTGCCAACGCAAGGGAGTGACGATAAGTCGCAAAGTCCGTACCTTGTCTGGCCTTGTCCTCTGAGAACTCCCTTGCTACCTCGTCAAATTTGGTGCCTTCGCGCAACTTTGCCAGGGCTTCCTCTTTTTTGGAATGCTTTTCGCACTGTGGAGTGGCCAGAGGGTTAAAAAGGGCGTGTGCGCAACGGAGCAGTATCTGTGGACACGGCTGGATACCACCCTTCGTGCCCAACGTTGGAACCAACCTACCAAAATGTGTCTGACATTGATGGATTGAGCCGATTTCAGCTTCCCACTTCCGCTGGCTGATGAGCCATCATCGTCTTTACCTTTGCCTTTGCCTTTGGCACTGCCAGAGGAGGCTTTGCCTTTTGGCGCCATTAGAGCCTCTTGAAAAAGTCGCCCTTGAGCTGGGGTAGTTGGTCAGAAGCACTGCCCACAGGATGGTCTTGAATGTGAATCAAGGATAGAAAATAGAAAACCGCACCGGACATCAGCTGCCTGGTGGTGCTCAGGCAAGCCTTGAAATAGGGCGATCTCGCACGAGCCGAGACCAGGCCTGGAAGAGAAATAGAGTACAGATGCAACAGCGGCACCAAACTTTCCTGATTCGGTCTCGGCTCGGATAATCTCTTGGCGACGCAGCGCAAATGACGCTCGCTCCCTCGTCAGTGGTGGCCCCAGTTCAGTTCCCGGGGGTGGGCGTTTGGTTTGGCACTACGACTCGCCCTTGTTCTTCTTGTTCCCCCTTCACAGAAAAAGTCAGAAGGTGCCTTGTGGATCAGCCAGCGAGCAAACCTCAGCAGCTGCCCGTCATTCTCCTCGCTTCCAGCGCCGCCCTGCGCACCACGCTCACCAGCCTCAGCACCAAACAAAACTCAACACACCGAGCACAATGGTCCTCGACGCGAGCGAAAGGCCAAATCGTTGGCGATTCACAAAATCGCAGAGGGACCCTGTGTCCATAGATAGAAAAATGCTATACCACTGCAACCCGTATATAAAGAGTCGTCACGTGATGGGCTTTGATGTTCTTTAACGCCGGCCGGGATTCGCGCTTTTCGAGGAGATGGTGATTCCAGACATCCGGGATGAGCTTGGGCTTCTGGGACTGCACCCACGGCTGCACCAACTGCGACTGACCATGACCCAGCATCCTCCTCATCGCCACCAACCTTCATCTCCTTTAATCATCCCTCCATTCTCATCACCATCCCATCGCCTTTTCCAATTGCGCGACTGTGAATACATTTCCACTGCTCGGCTGAACAATAATGTCGCCAGCCCCTTGAATGATTCCGAATCCGGTGACACGACCTGACTGTACCAGCCGAACGCCCTGAGAAAGCCCAAACGGAGTGGATCGACCCTCCTCTCATCCACCCCAATTCGTCTGCACCGCGATCATCGTCGTTGGCGAAAAAGCTCCCTCCCACCTGCTTGCAACGCCGTGCCACGATCTGGTGATGGAGACTGGGCAAAGGCAATAGATAAAACACTTTGATAGCGACTCTGTGCCAGTAGGACCACAACACCCACGGTAGACCAAACGCAAACAACCACGACCTTCGAGTGGTCAATGAGGGAAAAAGAATTCACAATGTCTGGATCGACACCTTACGCGGTTCGTTCGCCGACTCAGTCGAACCAATATCCACCACCTTATTCACCAACTCACCCGAACCGTCCATTTTTTGGCCATGAACCCTTCCAGATACCCCCTCAACACCTCATCCAAACTCCGCCTCCATTTCCTCCTGCGTCTCTGGTACACAGTCCGCATCACGCTCGGCCCACGTTGGCATCACCCTTGCCCTCAGCAAGCGCTCTACCACCGCCGCCGCCACCTCCTCCTCTTCCTCCCTCGATAGGCCCAGGACCGCAGTATCAACCTCTGACATCAAGTCCGCCGTTTGCGCTTCAGCGAACGTACTCTGGACATCTGGTCCACCCAAATATGCCGTCGCCATACGACGTCAATCCATCGCACGCGCATCCACCGGGCCCTCCAAGTTCGGCGCTGCAGTCACCGATGAGGGACCACCATAGTCTCACTAACGGAAGACATGGAGACATGTCTTCGTCAGAGTCGCGGCCGCAATCGAAAGACGTAAGTACACAATGCGCTGTCTTCTAGTCTAGCGAGTTGCTAATTTTGTCCCATAGAAACCGGACAGAGCAAGGGATCCAATGTCTTTTGCAAGCATTCTTGGTCCTTCAAACAACGAACCCTCTCCCAAAATGATTGAAGCAAAACTGCCTCCTGCACGACCTGCAACACCGCCGCCGCCGCCAAAGGCTATTGTTGAAAGCAAGGTTGTGTCTGAAAAGCCTCCTGTGACAAAAATGGCGGAGATCAATACGAGCCAACCTTTCGCGAATGGCCACACCAGAACACAATCAAAGGCAGATGCAGTACATGCTCCTAAGAAGTATCTTGCGCCACCACAACCACGGAAGATACTCACAGAAAGGGAGGCTGATAAGATACTAAAGGCTCTTGCCATTATTGACGAGACGAGTTTCAGTGACGCCGAAGATGCATCATGGTCCGAACACAAGGAACGGTACAAGCAAAGAACTAGGAAGAGAGCTGCAGATGTGTACGAGGGTGAACTGCACAAGCGCAAGGTAAGTGATTCATTGACCGCACCCGAGTAGCAGTCTGGCTGACCTCCCTCATAGCGCCGCCGCGGCTATCTTCTGGAGTCTTTCATCCGATCTATGGACAAGCAGGCCCTCATTGCATCCCAACGCTTCCGTGAACGCTTCGAACCTGTCGCTGCCAAAGAAATTGCAGACAAAGATCACCAGAGTGAAAAGGAACGAAAGAAAGACATGCAGCGGAAGCGGCGCCGTGAGCAACAGATTCGTAATGAGAAGGAGAGGCTGGAAGAGCTCGAACAGCGTGCGAGAGATGCTGAGGATCAAGAAGAGGCACAGAAGTATCTGAGGCAAGCAGAGAAATCCCAGGCCCGCATAAAACAGACCACAGAACTGCTCGAGGGTGTTCCTCCTCAAGAAGACATGGAAGTACCGGCACCGGCACCCAACTACGAAGGCGGTGTTACATCGTCATTTCAGCTGGCCACGCCCGAACCCGGCGAGCCTCCTAAGAAGCGCAGCAAGAAAGATCCCAGTGCGCCCTCAGCTCGTCTAAAGAAGTCCAAAGAAAAGAAGCAAGCTGAGAAAGATGCCGCGGAGGCCGCTTATGCGGCAATGGAAAAAGATGCCTTGATCCAGATTGCACCCAAGGAGGAAGCAACCCCGGCACCATCTGGCAAGTCCAAAAAGTCCAAAGTTCAAGAACCCCCCGTCAGTCCTCCTCCACAGACGGTCAACTATGAGTCGAAAGGTTACATCCAAATCTACGAGCAAATCTGGAGAGATCTGGCCAGAAAAGACATACCGAAAGTATATCGGATCAAGCAAGTATCTCTGGCTACTAGGACCGAAAATCTCCGCAAAACTGCGATCCTCGCAAGCAAACAAGCGCGGAAATGGCAGGAACGCACCAACAAGAGCATGAAGGATACACAAGCACGAGCGAAACGTGTCATGCGGGAGATGATGTCCTTCTGGAAACGGAATGAGCGAGAAGAGCGAGATCTACGTCGTCTGGCAGAGAGGAAGGAGATCGAGGACGCAAAGAAGGCTGAAGCCGATCGTGAGGCCAACAGACAGAAGCGAAAACTCAACTTCCTCATCTCGCAGACCGAGATTTACTCACACTTCATCGGAAGAAAGATCAAGACAGATGAAGTGGAGAGAGCCACAGACGATGCCGAAGTCGCTGGTTCCGGGGAAAAGAGCAGGCCCGCTGGTGTTCAGGATCGAAGCATGGACGACTTGGGCCTGTCCGAGGAACATGGAAATCACAAGGTCACAAACTTTGAAGACCTGGATTTCGACGCCGAGGACGAGTCAGAGCTGAGGAGAGCGGCAGCGGCCAACGCGGCAAGCGCATTGCAAGATGCGCAGGACAAAGCTCGCAATTTCAACGCACAAGACTCAATGGATGCGTTCGACTCTAGCGAGCTCAACTTCCAGAATCCTACCATGGCTGGCGATGTCCAAGTCTCCCAGCCCAAGATGTTGCAAGCTCAACTCAAGGAGTACCAGCTCAAGGGTCTCAACTGGCTGGTCAATCTTTACGAGCAAGGTATCAACGGTATACTGGCAGATGAAATGGGTCTCGGCAAAACCGTTCAATCCATTTCGGTCATGGGCTATCTTGCCGAGCAGCACAACATCTGGGGACCGTTCCTGGTCATCGCTCCGGCCTCAACGCTACACAACTGGCAACAAGAAATCACCAAATTTGTTCCAGCGATCAAGGTTCTCCCATATTGGGGCAGTGCAAAGGATCGAAAGATTCTGCGAAAGTTCTGGGATCGGAAGCACATTACGTACACGAAAGACTCTGAGTTTCACGTTCTCGTGACTTCGTACCAACTTGTTGTTCAGGATGCGCAATACTTCCAGAAGATCCGATGGCAATACATGATTCTGGACGAGGCACAAGCCATCAAGTCTTCGAGCAGTTCGAGATGGAAGACTCTGCTCGCTTTCCAGTGCCGCAACCGACTGCTGCTGACCGGCACGCCGATTCAGAATAATATGCAGGAGCTGTGGGCTCTACTCCACTTCATCATGCCCACGCTGTTTGACTCACACGACGAATTCAGCGACTGGTTTTCTAAAGATATCGAGAGTCACGCACAGAGCAACACCAAGTTGAACCAGGATCAACTCAAGCGGTTGCATATGATTCTCAAGCCGTTCATGTTGCGACGTGTCAAGGCGCATGTGCAGAAGGAACTCGGCGACAAGGTTGAGAAAGATGTCTTCTGCGAGCTCACCTACCGACAACGAGCATACTACTCGAATTTGCGCAGCAAGATCAGCATCATGGACCTTATCGAGAAAGCTGCGCTGGGCGGCGACGAAGATACTGCCACATTGATGAACTTGGTCATGCAATTCCGAAAAGTGTGCAATCATCCGGATTTGTTTGAACGAGCAGACACAACGTCCCCCTTTTCGCTGTCGTATTACGCCGAGACGGCTTCGTTCGTCCGAGAAGGTTCATTTGTGCAGGTTGGCTATTCCGTACGCAATCAGATCCAATATGATCTGCCTCGAGTACTCTGCAATGATGTCGGGAGAATAGACGTCGCTGGGCCCAACAATCCGTACGCCGGCTTTCGACGTGCTGGCTTCAAGACCAAGGGACTGGGGGGTCTGATGAGAATCTGGACCCCTGAGCACATCAAATCCTCGGCCGAGGAGGATGGAGCTTTCTCGTTCCTGCGGTTCGTCGACACGTCAACCGGTGAAGCTTCGTTTTATGGAGAGTCGGGACTCTTCGAGCGTGTCATGAAGCTCAAGAAACAGCAGGGACGGAGGTTACACATCTTCCAAGATTCTGAAGATGGACCCGACGGACCACCAGCACACGCCATGTTCAACATCATAGAAAACCAGCCTCGACGTGCACTTATGGAACTGGACCCCAACTCGAACCTCGCAAGACTTTGCAATATCTCCAGGGATACCCTTGCGGAACATGGGGTTTCGGTGCTGGAGCCAGCGGCCCGACCGAAGGCGTTAGCCCCACCGATTGAGATCAGTTGTTTTGATCAATCCTCAATTTCTGAGCGTCAGTTGACCCTCTTCAACACGGATGTCCGCAGCACGCTGTACCCGCTAGAAGAGTCGCTCGAGGAGACGTTACTTGAGCGTGACGCGGACCCGGCTAATTTCCCCATCTCCAACATGCTGCCCACCCCGGAATCTGCGAAAGCCAGGTACACCAACATCTCGGTGCCTTCGATGCGCCGATTTGTTACGGATTCGGGTAAGCTAGCGAAGCTGGATCAGCTGCTCCGAGAACTGAAGATGGGTGGCCATCGTGTACTCCTGTATTTCCAGATGACGCGCATGATCGACTTGATGGAAGAATACCTGACATACCGCAACTACAAGTACTGTCGGCTGGATGGAAGTACCAAATTGGAAGATCGGCGAGACACGGTGCACGACTTCCAAACCCGACCCGAGATCTTCATCTTCCTGCTCTCGACACGTGCTGGTGGTCTCGGTATCAACTTGACATCTGCCGACACCGTCATCTTCTACGACTCGGATTGGAATCCCACGATCGATTCGCAAGCCATGGACCGAGCGCACCGACTGGGTCAGACGAAACAGGTTACTGTGTATCGACTCATCACTCGCGGCACCATCGAAGAACGAATCCGCAAGCGCGCGATGCAGAAAGAAGAAGTCCAACGTGTCGTCATCACCGGTGGAGACGGGGCTGGTGTGGACTTCAACACCCGCGATCGACGTGAGAATAGGACCAAAGACATTGCCATGTGGCTGGCGGACGATGACCAGGCGGCTCTCATTGAACAGAAGGAAAAGGAGATTGCCGAGAAGCCTGATGATGAGAACACGAAGAAGAGAAGCAAGAAGGCTGCAGCTGCCGCCGCGGCGCGGAAGCGAAAGGGCGAAATGAGTTTGGATGACATGTATCACGAAGGTGAGTTTTCCTCTGCCGTCTGTTGTTCGGCATTGACTGACCATTGTTACCCTACAGGCGAAGGACATTTTGAAGATGCTTCGGCGAAACCGTCGGGAGCAGCAACGCCAGTAAGCGCCGCAGAGGCGGCTGGACCCAAGCGCGGGCCTCGTGGTGGACGGGGGGTGAGCAAGAAAGCCAAAACGGCCAAACAAAGACTTGCCATCGTCGACGCCGAAGGGGATCTAGGGATGGGTGGGGCATGAACGACAGGGAAGATTCTGAAGTTTCACGCAAAACTCAGCGCCGAACAGAAAATGGGTTGTGGAAGACAGAAGGTATACATGGGATATTAATATGAAACGCCAAGGGGACCCGGCCGACTGGGATTTTGAAATAGAATTGGACAGGGAAGCAGGGTATTGAGAGTGAATCTTTTGCGTTGATGGTGTTCAATGTACGACTATGGCATACTGTTTGCGCGTTTCGAGGGTCTACTTGGTGATGGGTGATGAAACCGGGGCTAAGGAATACACAGGCATTGAGGCTGAAGAACCTTGCATGCATTCATGGCAGAACTAGGGGGAGAGACACGAGAATGTTTACCGCGGGTGAGATTCGTCCTCGTGCTCGTGCTCGTAGATCGGGGACCTATTCAGGTATCAGCAGCACCTTTTCGAGACGGCAGTGTGTTGAGTTGGGCCAGCAAAAGAATCCACTATCTTTCCAAAGAAAAAAGGGGGTCCTGACGATGGTGCGTTGGTTCAGCCATCATCCTCTTGTCTCCATGTCTCGATTCCCACGCCCTTTGGATCTTGGAGGTGGAAGAATGCCGAGAGGAAAGGAGCATTGGGTCAAGGAGAAGGCATGAGGCAGCCACAGCATTAAAGCGGTCGATCGAGAGGGTGGTAAGACGACAGAGATAGGGATTTGGGGGGTGGTCTTGGATGTATTATACTTGTATGTCGTCGACGCGGGTGTGGTTCGTAGATAGCAGGCGAAATGAGGAGGTCATGGTCTTACGGTGTGGTCGGACAAGGGCGTGTGTCTGCGCCATGGGCCTTTTATCGAGGATGCAATGTCGTTGCCTTGCCCTCCTGTCGCTGTCTCTGCTGTTGGGTGGTCATGTCCGTGATGAGGCTCCACGGGGGGGGTGACGGCGCCGTGATGATAGCGGCTGCGATGGACGATGGGTGGATGAATTGAGGGTACGAATAGCTAGTGACATGAAATCCGAGTTCTGCTGGGTCAGTTGTGGAGGGCCAGGACAAGTCCGCAGCTGAAGATACGCAGGCAGATACAGCATAGAGGCATGGTGTCTCCCTTTACCTCGTGCTTGCTGAGTTGCCAGTGGTGAATGATGCCAATCTGGTGGTGGCTGTGATGGTCCAGGCTCCATCTCGCTCGGCCATCTCCTTGTGCGCTGCTGACGACCATCGACTCTTCCCCGTTTCCCACCCGCCGTTCCATCCCAGCGATCCCGAGTCTACGCCAGCCACATGCGCCCTTCGTGCGTCTTGGACGCCTCCAACGGCTCTTCTCCCAAAGATAAGCTCGTAAAGCTTATTTGTTCGTCGCTCTCTTATATGCAAAAATGATTCATAGCCGTCCATCAATCATGGCCATGAATAGCTAACAACATCATCTAGATAAGTATCGCTGTCCCTTGCTGTCACATTTTCCTCGTGCTGTCGTCCGTGCCCCGTTTCTCCTCTTTCCTTCTCCCTCTCTACCACACGCATAGCCCCCCCGGTTGATTCCTGCACATTCTCCTGTCAACCTGCGCCATGGCTACTCGCCGTCTGTCCTCCCTGGTGGGCAGCACCAAGGATGGGCCATTTGACTCTACCATTGCAAATGAAGCCCAATTGGCCCAACTAGGCTACGAGCAGGGTATGGACTCTCTCTCCTGACCGAGCCTCGTTTCTGACTCTGTCCCGCGAAGAACTCAAACGCTCCTTCTCCCTTCTGGGGATGGTTGGATTCAGCTTTTCCATCGTCACTTGCTGGACCGCCCTCGGAGGGACTTTGATTGTGGGTATCGTCGCTGGCGGCCCTCCCGTCATGGTCTGGTCGTGGGTGGGAATCTGTCTGCTGTCCTTGACCGTCGCATACTCGTTTGCCGAGATGTGCTCTGCCTATCCAACGGCCGGCGGTCAGTACAGCTGGGTCGCCATCCTCGCTCCCCCGAAATACGCTCGCGGCGCCGCGTTCGTCACTGGGTGGTTCATGTGCACGGGAATCGTGGCCATGGGCGCCGTCAACAACTTTGTGAGCCTCCGTCCTTGCGCCAACTCGTGCTCAAGTTCAAGACCCCTGAACCGCTAACTCTCCTCGATTTGTTCTCCTAGCTCGGCGCAAACTTCATCCTCGGAATGGCCAACCTGAACAACCCATCCTACACCATCGAGCGCTGGCACACGGTGCTGGTGACGTACCTGATAGCCATCCTCGCCGCCGCGATGAACGTCTACCTCTCCCGCTGGCTCAATCAGATCTCCACCTTCGCCGTGGCATGGAACATTCTCAGCTTCTTCGTCGTCATCATCACCATCCTGGCTGCAAACGACCACAAGCAGTCTGCCAGCTTCGTGTTTTCCGATTTTCAGAACCAGACCGGTTTCTCGTCTGGCGGGATGGCCGTCATGATTGGTCTTTTGCAGACCCTATTTGGTACGTACACAGAACACCCGCGAATGGCTGTACAGTTTTTATATCTACTTGATTTTCTGACATCTCTGCCAGGCATGTGCTGTTATGACGCTCCTAGGTAAGGACTGAAGCCCTGATCCTTCAAAGACCCCGTACATTTTGGGACCACAAACTAATCTCTCTCTCTCTCTCTCTCCTTGACAGCCACATGACGGAAGAAATGCTCAACCCAGCCAAGGAAGCGCCCCAAGCCATCATCCTCTCGGTGTACCTGGGCGCGGTGACCGGGTTCGTGTTCCTGATCTCGGCGTTCTTCTGCATCGGCGACCTGGACGCCACCGCGACGACGCCGACCGGAGTGCCGCTGATCCAGATCTTCTTCGACAGCACGGGCAGCGTTGGCGGATCCACGACGCTGGCGGCCATGATCACCGTCATCATGCTGATCTGCTCCAACTCGCTGATGGCCGAGGGGTCGCGGGCCTTGTGGGCCTTTTCGCGTGACCACGGCCTGCCCTTCAGCAAGCTGTGGGCGCGCGTGGACAAGAAGTCCCACGTGCCCGTGTACAGCGTGCTGCTGTGCGGCGTGCTCCAGGCCGGGCTGAACAGCATCTACTACGCGTCCTTCGAAGGGTTCTCGACCGTCATCTCCATCGCCACCTTCGGCTTCTACCTGTCCTACGCGGCGCCCCTGTTCGTGCGCCTGTGGTCGCTCGCCACGCGCGCCAACCCGGCCGCAACCACTATCCGCGGCGGCGTCTACACCCTGGGCAAGTGGTCGCCCTACATGAACCTGGCGGGCCTCCTATTCCTCGTCTTCGCCGGCATCGACTTCAACTTCCCCCAGGTCGGCCCCGTCACCGCGGGCAACATGAACTACTGCAGCGCCGCCTTCGGCGTCATCGGCCTCGTCAGCGTCATCACCTGGGTCTTGGACGGCCGCAGGAACTTCACCGGGCCCCAGACCCCGGGCATCGTCAACGCCATCGAGGCCGCCGGCGGCGGTACGGGTGCAGGGCATGAAACGGCCGCCGGTACCAAAAGGGACGAGAAGAAAGGCATGATGGGTCTGCCGCCCGGGGAGGAGAGCGTCGATGAATCCGAGTCCAGCGACGAGAAGGTGCCCGTCGAGGGAGACATCGGGAGAATTGCCTAAAGATATGGGGGCCCAAAGAAATTGGGGATTTTGCAGCGTAATATGATTTGGGGTAGAAAAATCAAAAGTAGATTCCGTGCTTTCTGTTCAAGTGTGGCGAACCACACAGACTGTCTGTGTTTGCGCTAGATTCTGTATACTTCTGTGGAGAGAGAGAGAGAGAGAGAGAGAGAAAGATAGCTCTGTAATTGTTTTGTCTGCCGGGACACCTTGTATCAAAATGACATGGGCTTGGATACAGCTTTGCATTCTGAACATGGTCTATCGCTGCCCTTTACTTACCACTCAAGTTGAAGCCGACAAGCCCACAGCGCTAATTATCGAATACAAGGATATTGACATCGACTAAACCATACAAACTCCGTACCGTGTCCATTTTCTCCCGGTTTACCGGATTCTCCGCATGTCACCAAGCTAACGACAAACACTCCCTTCCTCATCTCTCCCCTTTCGTGCCGCTCTGACGTCCGTACTGTGTGCTGTCCTTCCCTCTCAGCGCGGAAGATAGAGGTTTGCCGCGGCAGGAGGAGGCTTGTTCGTACCTGGCGCCGAGGCCACCTTCTTCGGGCGGTGAACGAGCGGAGCTCTCTGCGCGCGAGGACTACCTCGATCGGCTCGACTGCTAACCACCTCGTTCTCGGGGTCGTCCTCATCAGCTAGGTCGAAGATCGACCTCCCATCACTCCGCCCCCTCGGGCTGGCCAGATCCTCGGTGTCGCTGTCTTCGGCCAGCTCGAAGATCGATCCGCGACCACGCCTCTTCTTCTTCTTCGCAGCCTTTGGAGTAGCCAGCGGTGTAGACACTCGTCGCTTGAGTTTGCCGTGTCTGTGTGGCGTTGTAATCTGCGAGGGCGAGTTTGACTCGTCGTCACTGTCAGCAATTCTCGAATTCTGATTGTGATTCACGATGTTGCGAAGGATTTTCGTGCTAGGAGACTCAGGGAGCGCGTTGTTTGCGCCTGCTGCGCCAAACCCAGTTACTGATTTAAATTGAGGGCCAGAGATGTTGTCGCTGTGCGTATGTGAGGGTGAACTCGATGTTGCAGAGAAGGGAAACCTCGAGCGTCCACCCGCAAGGGCTCTGCGATTCTTCGGAGAGGGGGTCCTCGACGACAATCCACCAATTTCGAAGCGAGTTGTTGGATACACCTTGTATTCAGTGACGGCGGTCCCCCGGGAGCTTCCCGAGTAAACCTCAGCCAGCATCTGCTGTGACCGAGATGAGAGTCTGTTTTGAGGAGGCTCTGAAGCAGCTCTAGGAACCTTGGAGGCACTCATCCCCCCTCTATCCGTGGGCTGGGACGTTACAGACCTAGCTCTCGGAGATGAAGATCCCGCTCGCATGCGTAGTGACTCCGCGGACCTTGGTGACCATCTCTCTATTGCAGATAATACCTCCTCAGATAGTCGTTTGTCTGGATCTCTTCTTGGCCATATCTCAAGATGCATATTTCTCGGAAAAGGCTTGTAAGGCGGCTCTATCGGAGAAGGCGGTCTGGAATTACTGCGCCTCGCATTGTCTCGCAGACCTAGTGAGCACAGCAAGTTCCTGATAGCCCCGCTGTCTCGAAATTCAACCACTTGGGACTTTGGAGTTCGCGGATGCCAGTGCCGGATTGTTCTTTGATACAAGTCCTCGAAATCGTTCTTGTGCGCTTCGTTGGAAAACCAAGAATGGACGAGAGCTTCTTCTGCTGTCATTCGGGCGGCCTCATCGAGTACCAAGAGCTGCTCAACAAACTCCTTTGGCCGTTGTCTGACCGCCTGCCATTCTTTTGATCGGCGGAGAAATTGTAAGTTGCAATCTCGGGCCAGCTTTTCAGAGTAGGTGTTTGTGATAGGGTCGCAGAAAGCCAGGCCTCCTGTGAGCAACACAACGGAGACACAGCCCACCGCCCACATATCCACGGCTCGAGTATACCCCGGTCTCTCAAGCTCCAGGCTGCTTCTCGCATTTCCCAAAATCTCGCTAGAAGTTGTGAGTAAACGTCCGCAGTGGAGACTACATAAAAGAGACATACGGTGCTGCATATTCGCGGGTTCCTATAACGGACGACATCCGGTGCAGCTTGCTCTCGATTCTCCGAGCTGCACCAAAATCTGTCAACACCACGCGACAACCCGCAGCTAGACTCGTCATGAGAACGTTGTCGGGTTTGATGTCTCGATGAACGATGTTCTTGCCGTGAAGAAAACCCAAGGCCACCACAATCTGTCGAACAATGACGGCGGCCTCGACTTCGAGCAGTTTCCCATTCTTCAGCTCGATGTAGGAAAATAGGTCGCCGCCGGTAACGAGATCTTGCATAATGTATCTGTGCTGTCAGCTAAATCACGACACGCTGTTAATCCTCTCACATTGTATTGTCCGTGATGTACACTTTCTCGATGCTAACGATGTTCGGCTGCAGATTTTCAAATCAGTGGTTTCCGATATGTTCGCTGGAAGATATTACATGACTAATGGAGGCAAGGATCTCCACCTCGCGATAATATGCGCATATCTTCCTCTTCAACGCGTTGCCTCGTTTCTGTTGGTTGGCCCATGCCTTGACTTTACGTCTCTGGGCTACGCTATCGACCTCTTCGGCCGTAGCGGGTTGCTCTGGCCGTCCAAACTGGGTTGAAGGTCGAGGGCCGAGTTTTCGCAGGTCGACAACCTTGCATGCAACTTGCCGTCGAGCCATTTGTTCGATTGCCATGTATACTCGACCAAAGGTGCCCGCACCCAGAAGCCTGTCGGTGAGAACGTAGTCTTTACCAAATATCTGTATCTGTCAGTATGTGGTTCGGACAAGGACTCTTTGCCCGTACTCCCATCTCAGTCTCCTGTGTAAAGTCAAATACCTCATGTTTAGTCCCATCGGAATTGACTGTGAAGATGAGGTATGTTTGGCGGCTCAGTCGCAAAACATCTTTGTCACTCAGAAGAAAGCCACCGTTGCCTTTTCCTATGAGGGATCCGTTCCAATATGTGCCATTCTGGGACAGGTCTTCAGCGTAGACCAAGGTAGCAATCTCGCAGGGCTCGTCATTTTCGTAGACCACGGTGTAGATTCTCAGATGGCGTTTCGAAATGTAGGGATCGTTCAGCACATATTGACTGACTGGTGAGTGACCCTTCGATACGTAGCTCTTGGTTCTTACCAGCGGCCCTTGTCTCGACCAATCACAATCTCATGGTTAGGATATATCTTCTTTCCTGCAAAAGGCTAGTATGACCACAGACGAATCAGGTAGGATGACGATCTTGAACCCACTCCCCAGAATTTTGCCCTTCTGATCCTTGTGGGTGAGAATTCCGGCAGGAGTAGGTCTGGAGGAACTGCCTAGGGAGCTGTTGACACGGCGAACACCTGAAGATGGAAATGTAGACATTGTAACAGGAAGGGACAGGAGCCAACTTCAGAAATGCTACAAAGAGACACGCTGCATTGAGCATGAATTGCACAGTTTCGGCATGGATAGAGAAAAGGAAAGACTTGTGACGTGACATTGACAGACCGAAGTTAGACTTATGATGTGCTATGGGCAGAAACGCCACTCGACATCAGTGCTGTGGCCGGCAAGCACCAGCATGGACAGAGGAAGCAAGGGAAGAGTGAAATGAAAGCACTGTCCAGGAATGGACAACGTGATCTATGACCGCATTGAGGCTTTTAGCGCGGGCCAAACGGGTCAAACCCGCCAAGAAAAACAATGGCAGCTGCACACAACAAAATTCCCCGCATAAGTTGTTCCTGTTGCTTCCCGATCCTTCATCTCATCTAGCAACCTCATCCTCGAAACCAATCTGTACGTTGCCCTCTCAAACTCGGCGAGCAGAAGCCATTCACCAAGCCCATATGCTAACACGCATCAGTCCCAATTGAGCGAAGATGAGAGCCAAGTGGAGAAAGAAGCGAGTTCGTCGCCTTAAGCGTAAGAGGAGAAAGACCAGAGCCCGCAGGTATGTCTCGATGCTCCCTCGTCTGCACAGAACGGTGGTTGCTAATGATTCCGTGCAGCAAGTAATCGCGTCGACTGCTCCATCGCGTCTTCTCTCTCGACCAATGTCAACGAATCTTCAACCTTTCGCTAGTCCACGACGTCGAATTTCGGCACCAACTAGTCCCTCGACCACAGTCAACCACGACCGATTGTTACGAATTGGTGGATGGAAGAGATGTGGTCATCGAAGAATCGGCCTTGCAACTGTCGGACTCTCACATACGTGATGTTCGCGTAAGAGGAGTAGGAGATGGTCAATTTCCAATGGAGCTTTATGGCAGGTTGCTTATGATGTCTGGGACATATCACAGAGGTGACAGTGCTCAGAACACCTCGGACAAAGTACATGTGTCCTATGGCTCTCCGTCTCTCAAAAGCAGAGCTCTTTACCCAACACAAGTCGTCCAGTGTCGTCATATGCGGCGGTACTCAAGCCAGGACTTAGATAGTCAATACGATCAATTGAGCTCTGAAGGTCTCTTCCTCTATCGAGTTCCTTAGTTTTGGAAGCTTCCCGTTGTAGTCTGTACGTGGAAGAATTGTGAGGACTGGTGGATTTCCACAATTCGCAGTTCATCAGGTGTTGAACCGGCTCACCGCAAGGGAAGTATACGCCAGCTCATCTCGAACCTCTACAGAAATAGCTGCTTGTCCGCCAGCTCAAGGCCTTTGATCAACACATTGACCGGAATGTTACAACTTGCTTTCATTTGCAGCAAGCTCAAACTAGAATCTCTCTGTCTATCTTCAAGCAGTAAACACATAATATGTAATTTGGACAGCTCGATCAGTGCGGAGTGACGACCTTCCAGCCACGCTTGGTAAAGCGTCCGCGCATAAGTCGGTGAGAATTTGCGAATCCAGTGTTCCTGTCGGAAAGGCTTCTTCAGCGCACAGGCTTGAGGGAAATGTCCCAAAGATGCACCATTCTTTGCTCGCTGCTGTCCTAATACGGAAACCCTGGGATTAGACTCGATGGATTCTATAGAGCGGTGATGGTGCAGGAGATGTTTTGATGCTAACAGACGATCTTACCCGAGCTGAAGATCATTGGCCGTGTCACACCGACAGAACTTGGGGCACCATGATCTTTTCAGAGACAAGCAACTCGACCAAAGTCGGTATGGACACGGCGGTGTTCAATCCCCAGAACATGGTGGACAAGAAAGGTATTGAACTTCATCTTCAATCAGTCGACTCGTCTTTTCCGGGAGAAGAGACATCGTCTATTTACTTCGTCATACCTATGCCTGCCGGATTCCGAAACTGGATTAGATGCACAAAGCTTGAGCAGCGTAACCCGCTCGACGCGGATGCCCTCAAAGCACGACGCGGACACTGCTCACCAATGATCATTGCCACATCCTTTGGAAATTGGACCAGAATGTAAACCAAGGTAGCGAGTCTCCCTGGATAGGAGCTCGTGGATACAGGCAATTGGAAATCGGCCTCCATCCGCTGATGCTTGTTCCCCAGCGGGGCCATGTTGAATCCGGATGGATTGCAAGCAACCTCTACGGGAATAACCAGCAGTTCACAGATTATAGCAAAAATGCCAGTGCTGCAGTGGCATATGCCTCAGTCCCAACCGACAAGGTAGGTTGTATCACAGGCGCAAAGAAGGCGCTGTGATTGCCTAGAGTTTATGTTAGAAATGTCCAGAAGTCCGGGCCAGAGGAAGAAATGTAAGTACCGGGAATGTCTTCCACCTTTCCATTCTGCACTGCATCGTCCCACTGCTGGGCATCGATTCCGCCATAGTTCCAGAAAACGCTTGGAATCGACAGAGGAGATGTTAGGTTGGCAAAATCTTCGCTCCCGGTAGAGATGGTTGCATCTGTACCAAAATTTGCGCCAAAGTGGCTCTTCATGGCTCTCGAGACAATGTCAGTGGCGGTTTCATCGTTGTAGAGCAGCGGAAATGATCCAATGTGCTGAATTAGTGGCGGCTTTGGGCTGCCAAAGGCTCTGCATTCGGCGTCGACGATGCGCCTGACTGCCTCTATCACTTTCTGCCTGGCGTTCGAGCTGAACGTTCGGATGTTGATCTGAAGTTCGGCCTCGTCGCTGATGATGTTCGCTGCCGACCCTGCATGTAGGGACCCGACTGTGACCACCACAGTTTCGCGTGGATCGGTCTCGCGGCTTACTATCGTCTGAAGCTTCATTACCGTGCTGCTCGCCAAGACCACAGGGTCGACGGCATGGTGTGGACGACTTCCATGGCCACCACGGCCATAGAGAGTCACCAAAAAGCTGTCGGCTGCGCTGCCCATCACCCCGCTCCGAGTCTTGATCATGCCTGTTCTCATAGGCATCACATGGCCGCCCAAAGCCACGTGTGGTATCGGGATATGATGTTTCGTAATGTCAAACAGGCCGTCATCGACCATGGCCTGCGCACCGGCGCCGCGTTCCTCGTTGGGTTGGAATAGTGCGATGACAGTACCATGCCAAGCTCGGCGACTCTTGTGCAGAAGTTCTGAGGCGGCCAGCAGAGATGCAATGTGCAAGTCGTGGCCGCATGCATGCATCACAGGCTTGACGATGTTATCGGACAGATCCAAAGCGGTCTTGGAACTCGCAAATTCAAGACCAGTACGTTCTAGGACGGGGAGGGCATCCAGCTCTGCTCGCAAAAGAACAGTCTGGCCAGGCCCGTTCTTGAGGATGCCGACCACGCCGCAGCCGCCAATGTGAGTGCGGACCTCCAAGCCGTCCAACTTTCTCAGGTGGGTCGCCACAACCTCAGCAGTCTTCTCTTCCTGGAGGGAGAGCTCGGGGTTGGCATGGAGTGTCCGGTACAGGTCTTCGTACCATCCCAGGTCCGGCATATATTGAATGATGAGCTTCGAAACCCTTGAGCCTTCTGTATCCTTCTGCTCCGCCATTTTCCGTGTGCATGAGGACGAGAGGACGAGCAGACGAGCGGATTAGGTCACGACCAGGAAGGCCTCGGTGAGTGCGGAGAGACTCTGAGAGTCTCTGGCGCAGGGATGTTGTTGACTCGGAGCACGGACGGACTATCGACGAAACAAGGTTGTTGAGGTTCTTTGTTGCTGCTGCTACTGACATAATTTTGTGGGCCGCTTCGGATGCTTCTTCCATTCCTCAGCGAGAGCTATTCTATTCAAAGAAGGCCACAATCCTGACACTGCAGGAGTCCTAGATAAAGCATACTGCCTATCTCAACCTGATGGATTCCGACTCCTATCTCTTCACTGTTGCGTCTCATAAAGGTTAACAAAAAGGTGAGTCAACACCAAGCCAGACGTAAGAGCCCATAAGATATCGAAGTGCCTCTTGATCAGTTCCTTCCATTCCCCTTCTGGGATGCCTTTCCCGATGGCGTAATGACGAATTGTCGTATACATCATCCACGTCAACCAGCCAGCGTCGAGTCCAAGGATAATCCCTGAGACGGTATAGCCTTTATATCGTCTATCGTGGTCGAAGCCAGTGTAGATAAAGCATCCGACAGGTAGAGCGCCGTAGAGAAAGAGGTATAGAAATCTATTGACGAAATCGATAGGACGGCGAGAGGAACGGGAGACGATATGGTCTTGTTCGTCGTGCTGGGATGGAGTTTGTTCTCGAGACTAGAGGTATACTAGTGATCAATTGTACGAAGAAGACGATACTTTATACCTGTTCAATAATGGAATTACTTGTGACTTCGGAATGGATAAGCGGAAACTTTTCAATATCTCTATGGTGGTAATAGACTAGGCTGTCCAAATGATCGTGGTATACATCGGTACTCATTGTGAAGGAGGAATAATCGTTTAAGGAAGGATAGGTGGAAAGTTGTAAAGGACAGTGAGGGAGGGTAGAGGGTCCAATTCAACAAGTTTCGCTCCGATCTTGGCGGGAAGCCCCTCGTAACCCCACCTCGTTACCGCTAATCCCGACTAGGAAGGATGTCTTTTCACGACGTTACACGGACCTGCCAAGACATGTGACTCTCATTCCTCCCCCAGCGCCTTAAATTCCACTCAGACTGCGGCAGGCATTGCTCGTCGAGATTCAAATCAGCATTGCCAGCATCCTGCAGAGCCGGTCTCGTTCCGTATCTCTCCCCGATCTCTGGTCGTGACTCTCGAAGATGGCCGATCCACTCACCTATCCCAAGACCAAGAGCACCACGGTCAACCGCTACAACACTAGAGGTAACTTCATATCGTCATGGAAGATTGTGTGATAGCGGGCACTGATTCACGTCTGCTGCATAGCCACATACGACGTCAAGGCCATTCATTCCATCGTCAACGAAAGCTCGGTGCTCCACGTCTCCTTTGCTCCCGATGGCGAGGATCCATTCCCGGCCATTCTACCCATGATCGGGACAATGGGGTCCTACGACTACCCGAGCGCTGGTATCGACGAGCCGCTAGACTGCTACCTGCACGGCTACGTCAGCTCGCGTATCATGAGACTGGCCACATCTTCGCCCCAGGGTTTGCCCGTCAGTATTGCTGCCTCGAAGGTCGACGGGCTTGTTCTCGCCCTCACGCCCAACGCAAACAGCTACAACTATCGGAGTGCCATTTTGCACGGATATGCCAGCATTGTGGAGACAACAGAAGAGAAACTGTGGGCCATGGAGCTGATCACGAACTCTGTCGTTCCAGACAGGTGGAGGAACTCTCGGGTACCACCGGACAACGCAGAGATGCAGTCCACGAAAATCCTAAAGGTCAAGGTCACTGCAGCAAGCGGCAAGACAAGGGAGGGGGGGCCGCATGATGAGGCGAAGGACACTACACGAGAGGAAGTGACATCCAAAACCTGGGTGGGAGTGGTTCCCGTCATGGAGAAGTTTTGCGACCCGATACCAGCAGCACAGAACAAAGTGGACGAGCTTCCCAACTACATCGCAGATTATGTTGCAGAAGCGAACGCTAAGGCTGAAGCGTACGCCTTGAATGCAGCTCGGCTGCCATGAGAGGGGTGGCTCTCTGAGAAGGAAGACGGAGCAGTGTTGGCGTTGCTAGAGGCTGCTCCACATCCAGCACCGTTTCATCTTTGATAGTATGAGAACTACAGATGCTAGGAGCACTTCTATGCAAAGTCACCGTGGAACCGAAGGCGCGGTCAGTGGAGACGATACTAGTCTCCTTCTCAGTCGATCACTAGACAGAAGAACGTGGAATATCAATTGTGCCTTTTCATTGAGTTCGAGCGACGCCACGCTCAGGATGAGTATTTTCAACATATATGCCATTTGGTGAAAGCCTTGGTTCTCCCACTTAACACTGGGAGGATTACCTCTCGTGGAAATTCCATCTTCAGCCTTCCCAGCGGTCAAGATGCCTCAGGGTAACCCTGCCGATCCGCGGCCTGCCATGCAGGACTCGCCTGGTACGCGGCACGAACGGGGGCCAGGATCTGATTGAGAGCATCACCCACGGCGGTTATGATGTCTTCCGCAGAGAGATTCTGGCCCGTGAGGTCCTGCATGATCTGGTCAAAGGAGCTGTAGTGGCGATTTCCCTCGCCCGCTGGCCCGGAGGCGAAGGTGAAGACCGTCCCCTCCGGAGCGGACGGTGTCCAGAAGGGCTCGGACATGCTCAAACGACCGCCAGCAGGGCCTTTGACGTTCTCCGAGGAGGCCGTCTCCGCCGAGCGCTCCATCTGCAGCTGGCTAAAGGGGATGAGGACATCCCTGAGCGTCGCCAGGACACCGTTCTTGGAAACTGGGTTGTTCGAGAAGTACCCAGCCCGCACCTTTTGGTTGACGGTTTCGGCATCGTCGAGGAACATGATCTTGGTGTGTGGAGGGTGGGAGGAAGACATCTTGTCGCCATACAAGTTCGGGAGCATGGGGTTCATGAGGCGTGCTCGGTTTCTGTACCCGAGCTGGGGCAAGAACCGTTCCGCGAACTCGAAGATGCCGCGCTATTTCAGAATAGCGCAGGATGGGGTCAGCTTTGGGGCCAAGAGGAGATTGAATGGTGAAGGGTGTCTGTTTGGAGAGGATATAGTTTTACCTGATCCGTGCCTCCGAACTGGAAGTCAACGTCCAAATGCTCCTCCGCCAGCGTTTGCAGGCCGGGACACAGCATGGGCGCCAGCATATCCGGGTTGTAGCTCCGATCCCAGGCATCCCTGACAGCCTGCTGGGGCACGAGGGTGCAGAGTCTGCACTGGTCGAAGAAGAACCTGGCGTTGGTCTGATAAGAGGATTCCGCAACGAATTTGATGTTTGTGGACGGGACATCCAGAGCTTCCAGCGCAGCTTCAACGGTGAATTGATAGTAGTGCATGCGTTGGACCACCTGTTCCATGGGATACTTGACATTATCAAGGAAAGAGTAGACATCAAGAAGGACCACGATGATCTGGTTTCAGTCAGAGCCCGCCATCGGCAAGCTGGGTCATAGAACTCAAACCTCGGCCCCGGCCCGCAAGAAATCTGCGAATTTCAGTAGCGGGATTAGATACCCAATATGTGCTGGAAAAATCGTCTTAGTCACCAGTTCAGCCTTGTTTGCTGTTGCCTCGACTTACGTTTCCCTGTAGGTGAGGTGACTGTGGCTCTCAATCAGAAAAGTCTCTCATGGTGAGTCGTGCTCGGAATGCTGACCCCATAACCCAATTGGCTTTTTATCCTCACTTGCAAGCGCGGCATGGAGCAGATCAGCACCCTGGATGTTCTCCTGGGGAATCCTTCTTGTAATCAAATGGAAGTTTTCATCAAGTCTTCTGCGACTTGCCATATTGGGGCTTGTAGAAGGCAAAGCTGAAGAAGGGGTGTCAAAGAGTAGGTGGTCGAGAGTCTGCTTCTGCTGAGTGCCGGGTAGAAAATGTGGTTGCTTTACGAGCCTTCGAAATAGGTCTTTTTGTCCAGCATCCCAGTCGTCAAATGTGGCCCTGGACTGGTAGCTCTTTATGCATAACAGGACATCTGACGAACAGGCCAACAGGAACAAAAAACGTGCTCAAGCGGCTAAGGCTGAATGGAAGTGTTCGCGCACTGCTGTGACCGGTGTGTAACACTTGTAACGGACATGGAATCTCCGTAGAGCAACGAGACGTAGAGGCCTTGTGAATGCAGGACTAGTGAGCGCAATTCGTGTTGGCTTGTTGCATTTCCCCAATGAGTCACTGCATCATGTCCCAACTTATGTTGTGAAATGAACGACCATGTGAATCTCTTGATACCATTCGTTCCAGATAGTGATTGTGCAGTGTAACAAAAATGGAGGCACCTGATGAATGCTAGGCGCTGGAGATTGCCCTGAAAGAACATAGACTCAACCTCGATTCCTCCGTGGATAGGCGCTGTGGGTCTGCCGATTCCTGTCTTGCCGCCATCTCAGCGTCAACGTTCATGGAGGTATTGTTGAAGTCCTTCATGATGGCCTCACAATGCCTGTTGTAAACAGTAATATCCCATACCATGGGTTCACTTTCTCTCAATAGCTGCTGCTGTTGTGGAATAGCATTGACATGTTTGGCTCGACGTAGTGTCCATGTCTCCAGTTGTCGAGAATATTGTTCGGTCCACCTTTGAAGGACTACATTGTCCCACCAGAGATCGTTCAGCGGTCCACCGACAACGGTAATGGTTGCTTTGGTAGCAAGTGGCAGTAGATTGAACGGTTGTAGCAAGAAGACGCAATTCAGTGGGCCTCTTTCGAGGTCATCCTCATTGACATGCAGAGGTGAGTTCATACGTGGCATGGTGCCGTCGCATCGTATGTTTACACAAGGTATGCGAGCTGCTCTCCTGAGGGACTTGCAAAGCAAAACCAAGCCATCCCACAGGTCGGCGATGCATTCTGGATACTGGAAGGGGTTGATGTGGAATCGAAGCGAGGTTTTGGCGAAGTCCACTCCATGAAAACATGGTACATTGCATTCAATGTGTCCCGTGTCGTGTATGGAAGAAAAACATACTTCTCGGCTGCACAGCATTTCTCGAACCTCCCGATGTATTTGGTGGTTACACAGCATGATCCGCATTGGGCAGCAATGCTGACTGTGTTGAGGGGTAAATTGAACATCCAGATGACCTCGGCTTTGAGTGATAAGTGCGTAAGAGTATATCACATGGCGTATCTCCCTCGGTATTTGAAGAAAAGGCGACTGAGGTGATGTGCCGTTGCATACTGGCATGGTGGTATCACGTTGTTCGCTTGTCGACAACTGGTCATGAGCACTGCCAATACACCGTCGATATCCGGGCGCCTTGGTGGTACTGATATGCGCATGACATGTGTTCCGGGAGGAATTTCGTTACACAGAAAGGAGCAGAGCAAAAGAAAGTCGGAACGACATCGACTTATGAACATGTTTAGAGAAACAGCGAAGCAGTTGGGCGCAGACGCTGACAATTGATTGGTGCGGACTGTGATTGCCAAGGGTGCCAAGTCTTGTAATGACAGCGGTAATTTGCTAGCAAAAGCTTTGCAGGTTGATACCATGTTGTGAGACGTCGCTTCGGCTTGCTCCTGGTCCAGCATGTGCCTCTGGTGACTGAGGAGAGACAGGTGCGGAATATGACTATGTGACTTTCTTGACAACCTTGTTTGATATAGCTTCATGGGTTGACAGGGTATACGGAGCAAGTGATTTTATTTTGGGAGTATTCCGAAGACGAAGAGGCAGGAAAGGAGGTGCTGATGAGCAACAACCATGCCTGGTGAACATGCACCTTGGTGCTTGTCCTATTTTGATTTCCGCATACTCCTAATCGTACTGGAGAGAGGGCTCGTGCCGCAGTTTGCCGCAGAGAGCTGCCGTACTATAAGGGCACGACAACGACGGTCCCGTCCTAGCTATTCCATCCACATATCACGCACGGTATGCTCGGGCCTGAGGAAATATGAGATGTAATACCGCTCGCCCGCCCCATCTCCAGGTTGAGTCACTCGATGTCTGGGCGAATGAAGCTGATTTTGCGACAGTCGCTGCAGCGAGTCCGCAACATTGAAAAGCGCGCAATCCATCATGGGTGCTGTGAATGCCCATTCACCACCACCAGGTTGCTCTACTTCAAGACCCCATAGATCGTAAAACAACATTGTCAGCGTACCGCTGTCGGTGTGCACATTGTCTCCAACTTGACTAAGTTTGTCCAGGGTCGGCTCTGATATGAGCTTCAAGCCTGAGTCGCTGGTTTCTCCTTCGCGGTGTTTTGATTCGAATCTTTGGTCGTCAAGCAAGCCAAGAACGTCGGAAAAGGACGACAACACGGTGAGGCAGGTAGAGTGACAGAGCTTCGAAAAGAGATCCACAAGTCCAATCTTTTCTTCCATCAATTTAGGAAGCGGACATGTCTTCTGGAGGACTTCGTCATAAGCCATCTGGAAAATTGGTCATCTGTCAACTTTTGAAACGGTCGAGAAATGGCTCAGCTACCTCGAAAGTCTCATCACAACTGCTTTGTTTATAGCTAAATAGGTCAGTTATACTTTCAGCGACAGGAACACCTATGGATCACTCACCCACGATCCTGCGACGGATTCTGCCAAGCTCTGTGGAATTTCATTTTCTCATCGCTCGACTGGCGGAAGAAGTTCTCCGAAACGAGGTAGATGTCTGGCAGCATCGATGCTATCTGCCTCCCAATTACGTCATTCTGAAGATTCAGGTAGAAGAGGCCGGAAGAACGAGCAGCATTGAGCAGTTTCTCAACCTCAGTCGACGAACGTGTCCGTAAACCTGCCAGGTCTATGACCTCAAGTTTGGAAATCCTGGAGGGCTCGTCACTCATCTTGAATTCGGTGGTCTGAAAAGCGTATCACAGTCTAGATCAAGGAATAGAGGAATCAGCATTGACTGACTTTGAGAACTAAGAGAGATGAAGGAGATTTGAAGGTTCGCCCAACTTTTTCCGGATGATTCAAAGCCTGATCATCCTCTAAACCGAGCCGAGAGATGATCGTAGAGAACAAGAGTCCTTTCACGCGCCGAATAGAACTGTGACACAGCATTCTTTTCTTTTTCTTCAGATTTTGTAAGAGGCGCTCTAGCCTGCAGATTCGGGCGTTCCAAACCTGACGCGTTGCAATCATGCCCAGATGGGCGGGTCCAGACGTTAGAAAGATAACCCGTCACAAGACGTCAAGCACGAGGATGACGTGTCTCCCTAACCTGCAACAATGGTACCACGACATCTGAAGAGGGGGAAGTCATCGATTCCCGATTTGAGCCCACTTGAGAGACATCAGCAGGTCGGTGGTGTAGTGTACCGATGCGAGTTTCTACCACGCCGCCTCCAGCTTGAGAACATGTGAAAATCAGGACACGAGGCCTCCCTCCATCCGAAGAGCACATGTAGTGCACCATAGACGTGGGGAAGACGTTGGACAGGGCGTCATCATCTATGCCTGACCACATACCTCGTGCCCGGCTTGACTGCAGCCTCAGCGTCTGTCGTCGATTGCTGCCAAAGCCCTGTCAGTCTGGACGCATTTTCTGATCGTTATTGCGATCTGCAAAAAGGAAAACCACCTTTCTGGAGTGAATAGACAATATTCTATGTCCTCAAAGCTTCAGCCTTGGAGAGACAAGTTGTCCTATAAAGGATTCTGGGATGTTTGGCACAGAGCAAGAACTTGTGAAGGGCCCACCAGATAGTGTGGAGTTGTTGCGGGACTAGCCGAAGTAGGCAACTCAGAAAATCCTGTATTATGGGTCTTCATTGCACGGCTACACAACATGACTCTGCGCGCAAACCTTCCTTCGCTTTGCATCAACGCCTTGTTACACGAAATTTGGCTTCTCGTTACATCGGCGTGACCAACTGACGTGGCAGCTGCGGAGGCTATGGTCTAGCCAGTACCAGACTCGGGCACAGGATTCCAGATCGCCCCATGCAACAGCTTGCAGGCAGTCATTTCAATCGACAGACTCCGTGATTCCAACACGAGGAGCTCTGGGGAAACAACAGAGTTGACGCTCAGCCTCGGGACTGCTAAAAGCGACTTCAATCTAGGAAGGCCTTTACGAAGCTGAGCTTGCCATCGCTCCTCCTCGGGCAACGTTAGAACTCTCATTGTTTCTAGAACTGGAACATATTCCCCTACATGCTCGCCTAGTAGCTGATGGAATCCTCCACGTACACGTGGATGCTGGGATTTGGAATCATACTGATACTGCTAGGTTTTGTCCATTTCTTCGCACGAACTTCAAGCGACGATAACACCCTATATGTACATCCATCGAAGGATGGTTCGATATCACACGCCCTTGCTCTACGAGCCATGAAACGCATGTACCATCAACTACACAATCCAGAAGAGCTTCCTGACGTCAGACATGTCGCACGTAAGTGCTTAGATTCGCTTCTTGTCCAAACGGGCAAATTGGCTCGTCAGCATTTGGGCCAAAACAGATCCGAAAGGGCGAACGACAGCATTCTTCGCCTTGGGAATTTCTCGAAAGAGGGCCTACGAAGCTTCTTGGAGGCCACAAACACCGAGACCCAAGATGAGTGGGAAAGATATGTCCTGGGAAGAAAAGCGGGAGACCCACGAGAGTTGTTCCAGACCGCGAACGAGGCGGCCCAATGGATCAAGAAGATCAGCCCTGTGAAGCTCGTTGACGGGGCGTGGCTTGGCCATCTACGTCTCAGCCTCATGCCTTTCTCACTCCATCCCGTCCTCAAGGACCTTTGGCAAATATTCTCAGAAGAGTTGGGCGATGGCGATTTGGCCAAAAACCATGTCCACGTCTTCAAAGAGTTACTCCGCAGCGTCGATCCCAAGTTTCCCGATGCCGACCATGAAGACTTCATTTATCCCAAAGATTTGACCGAGGACTTGGCCATTTGGAATTCTGCACTCGCACAGCTGACCATTTCCCTGTTCCCGCAAGATTACATCCCCGAGATTCTCGGATTTAATCTGCATTTCGAGCTTGTGACGCTGGAGACGCTGAAAGCAACCAAAGAGTTGAAGGAAGTGGGTCTCGATCCATCTTACTTCTTCCTGCATGTTTGCATCGACAACACTGACTCCGGCCATTCAGCTATCGCCTTCCGCGCAGTCTGCAAATTTATGGACCACATCCAGGAAGTTGAAGGAGGAGATGCGACTGCACGCTATTGGAAGCGTATACAGAGTGGTTTCTGCTTGTCGCAGTTCTCGACCAAACTGGATGTCCCCACAGACACTTTCCTCCCAGGCAAACAGGAAGTGAGGATAGTCAGTCTTTTGACAAGCAAAGTCCGAGCTTCCAGGAAGGTCCATTGCAACAGCCCCGCCCGCATCAAGGGCCGGTTACTCGGAGAATGGCTGGATTCCGACAAGTGGGACTCTCTGAATTGGCGGATCGACTTCTTGGAGGCTTTCACTCGGGCTGAACAGTGGATATATCCGGGCGACAGTCGCCGAAGCGGATTCATCCAGACCATTTCCCCGGAAGGCAAGATGTTTGGTTCATTCACCACGGACGAGCGGGACGATTTGAGAGCGTGGATTGACAATTTGTCGCCCAAGGATGATTCGAAGAGAGAAAATCTTTGGCATGAGATGCAATGGCGTGGCTCCGAGCGCCCACATCCTGAAATAGAAGTGATATTGTCGGCAAAGATATGCTCGAACAGCAACTTTGTTTATGAGAAGGTTTTTCCCCTTTGGTTTGCAGCTTGCAGCTTACTGGAAGGCTTCGTATCAATTCCGACAAAGGCAACGACACAGCTTTCATTGAGCGTGTTGAAAGTTCTGCGAGTGCAGAACGGGTTTCGAGACGGCTTTGACCATGATATCGCCTCGACGGATGCAGCGGCTGAGGGGTATGCTTTCCCTAATCTGACCAGCATAGGGCTAGCGATGATGGAATCTACAGGATTCGGCCCCGTGTCTTCTCTCACCCAAGTTCTGGAGAAATGGCCGTTGGATTTCTCGTCGAAGATGGTTGAGCTGTCGAAAAGGCCAGAAGAGAACAAAGCAATTCTCATTGGCATGGCCGTGGCATTTGCCGAGTTTCATGCTCAAGTTGGGTCTTCTGACATTCTGGACCGGTGCAGCGGCGAAGCGCTTCGGATCATTGTCCAAGGCGAGATGCACTACTTGAGCTGTTGTCGGCGGCTTTTGGAAGACGATGAAGTCTGCCGATATCAATTCGGCGCTGGATATGACATTGCGCACACAGAGATTCGCAAGAGCATCAAACATGAGCACCAAGCCAGCTAGCATATATTAGCCCAATGGTGGTGAGGGCAGCAGCAAGCAATACATATTACTGTCTTCATATCAAGCTTACCTTTTGGGAATTATAGCTGATGATGCGTTTTCGTAGGACAAATGTGCACCCTCTCGAGGCCAATGTAGAGATCGGCAGTACCAAGTAGGCGCCACGGCGCATATTGGCCCTTCGGCCGAAAAGATGCCGAAGATGAACTGATGGTTTCGCTAAACCTTCCTCTATAATTGCTAGCACTCTTGCGCTATCTCCGTATAAACCCAGTTCTGGCGTCTTATTTTCTCACCGAACAGCTATGCCTCGTACACTCCACTCCTGGGAACCGGCATTGCCGGCAGCCTTGCCACAGTGCAAAGGCCATAGACTGATTTGGTCACTTGGGTTCACCCCTATTCTCTGGCTTCAATTTGTTGAATCAGTTGTTGTCATTTTTCCAAAGAAAGACTCGATCATGGTTTGAGAATGCTCTCCCCTGAATCCGTCCAGAACACATTAAAGAGTAAGCGTAAAGGGCGGAATCTGAGACCTTGCTATCCCTGCAGGCAGAGAAAAGTCAAGTGCAGCGACACGCGACCCTGCAGAAGGTGCGTCGAGCGGCGGCATGAGCACCTTTGCTCTTACGAACCTCCTTCAAAGTCGTGCGAACCAGGAGGTCCAGGATTGACCAAAAGGCGACGAGGACAAGGGGATTACGGCTCCCCAAATAGATCACAACCTGGCAGTCCGCAACATGCTTCTACCCCACCCCAAGCCGCTCCTACCTATCACGCGGTAGAGGATGCCGAACCTAAGCTTAATTCGCTGACACCTGCGACAAGTGTCTTCTTAGGTGAACAGTCAGTCCCTTCCTTCGTCGAAGAACAGATCAGCCAGGGAGTCTCGCCTCATGATGACGGTGCCGCAGAGATCAGACAGACAGCATTGCCTATGCTCGGGCTCCAACCGTCTGAACAGGAGCTTTTTCCCCAGTGGCAAACCAGTGGTGAATATGCCCAGAGCATACAAGAGGCTTTGCCAGACAAAACTGAAATTCTCGAGTTAGTGATTGTCCCTTGGCCCTGTCCTATCTAGCTCCAGCTCCGTGCCGTATATGAAAGGATTCGCCTCAATGACATCTTTGGGGAATTTTGAGATTTGATCTAACAAGGCAATAGGCTGTTCTCCCGCTATCTCCATGTCGTCTACCCGCTCAATCCATTTCTCCTCGACATTGGACGGTTTGAAATTGAAATCGGCCGCCTTTTGGAAGCGCCTTCGTCTCGATCTCTCCAAAACCCTCAGATCTACCTTCTAAGGTCGAAGCCTGCCTGGACTGCGCTCCTGTTTGCGGTCCTCGCGTCCGGACTTCAATGTGCTCGTGTCCGCACATCTGATGATAAGCTTAAATGCCGTCGTCATAGTAAGCAACAATTGACGCAGACGACTTAGCACCATCACTGACCGAGACCAGTCTCTACAGCATTCCACTGTTTGCATCTTGCACAAGCGTCTGTCAAACCTTCATTAGACTGCATCCAAGCCCTTGTGGTCCTTGTACACGTCCTTCAGAACGAACTACTCACTGAGGCTGCTTGGACCTTGGTCGGGCTGGTAAGCCGACAGGCCCAATCGTTGGGGCTGCACGTGGAGAAAACAAGCCTACAGCAAGATGGAAGTAACGGAGTCAGGCAAGTCCAGCTGTGGTACGTGCGCTGACCTTGAGGGAGGTTCAGGCTGGTCTCTTTTCTGACAACATCCAGGTGGATAATCATGTGGCAAGATAGTCTCCTGTCGCTGTGTTTCGACCGAGCACCCGTAACTGCCGTCAAATGTACGGACCCATTTCACACTCTGGTTGTCGGCGACAAGGAACTGGGATATCAAGAAGCGATGTGCGCCCTAACTCATGTCACCCTGAAGATCAGCGCTCGCCGCTATGCCTTCGATTTGACCAACTCCGCGAATACCACCTACGAGGATGTCATGCGGGATTTCAATATGGTTGAGCAAATCAAAGCAAAGCTGCGTGCAGAAATCCGGGTGCATGATAGTTGCAGAAGCATCCAGGATCTCGTCCATTACACCTGTTTCAGACTGCATTCGTCGTTTGTGCAGGGGGCGCTTCTGCGGCCGTCCTTGAACACCAAGAACTGGCGTTATCTGGCCCCCAGCCAAAGGCAGGAGTTGGCCACCAAATGCATCAATTCCTACAAAAACTCCCTGGACGCATATCTCAATCTACTGGCGACAAGCACAAGTGCAAGACGGTCGTGGGCAATGTTGCACAATGGGCTTGCATCGGCACTCATCTTGGCCATCACAGGCCAAATAAAACATGATTCCTCTGTGGCGTCCATGTTGGAACGCTTGTTTGCGACACTGCGAGCCGACTCTTCTCCCAGCGAAGCTTCAACCAAAGAACTCTGGGACCCCCACGAGAGAGGCTTGTGGGCGCTGCAAAGGATGTATGAACGTCAGACCATGGAAGCGACTTCCTCCATCATGCCCCTTGCTGATCCAGTGATGGGCACCATATCTGCCGGGGCAGGTAATGGTGGCGTCTCGACTCCTAGTCCAGCTCCGGGGCCAGTTCCTTCGGCCGCAGAGCCCTTTGACATAGACTATTTCACGTTTGATCCGCAATCGATTGGAGAAATATCCGCTTTTCTGCCTGACAATGTCACCGATGGTGACCTTATGGTTGACGACGTTTTCGATTCGGTACTGTGGGGATCTGGTTGATCAATGAGAGAACGAGAGACACGGGGTCAAAATCACCTGTGTGGTTGAAACAGGAAAGAGAACCACGACTGCATCCCATGACGCCGAAAGCCAAGTCAACCACCTCTTCACGTCATCAATCAGCGATGTCAAACTCTTCTTATCATTGGCCATTTTTCGGCACTGGCGTCGGCACTGCTGCAGCGATGATATCTGTATATCTAACAGGGCATGTTCAAATCCGAGATGAGAGATTAAGCGCTACAGGCACCCTTGCATATTGCTACGAAGGTGATTTATCTCTAGGATCTATGTAGAAGCTCAGCACTATCGAAGATACTGACTAGATCATCAATGAGTGGAAAATGGCCACCCTGGACGAGGAAATGAAGAATTCGCGACACCCCAACGCTCTAATACCGTCCCGACAGAATAGCCCTGCGGCAGTTTGTTGACAATTCACTTCCCAAACCCCCAAGCCATCCATCGCTCATTCACGCTTTTCTGAAGGTGCTCAGGGTAAGAATGTTTGAAGTCGGCCAGCTCCCAATTTTGACCACCGGCATATTCTGCCGGCAGCAAAGCATCAGAGACCACCTTGCCGCCTTTATTAGGCTCCGCGGTGCCATGGCCCATGTACGGAATCAAAGCGAAACCCCGACAGTCCTGGTAGAACAACTCATCGGTCTGCGGTCTGCATCGGGTCGAAAACGCGAAGAGCACGTCCTTGAAGTCGTACACGTCGATATCCTCGCCGACTAGGACTAGGCGGTGGATCGTATAGCCGGCTTTGTGCCCAAACACGAGATCCCCGACCAATTTACGGAATGCTTCAGGCGCGAGTTTCATGTCACGCAGTTTCTTCGTGTCGATTTGCAGTGCCACCCAGGTGACTTGGGTTTCGAAGAGGGCCATGGCCTCTTTGACGGGGAGAGAATGGTCCTGGCAAAGTTGGCGGATTTCGGCTGCGGCCAAGGGTCCGATCATCGTCTGCTATAAAGATGAACAAAATGGGGTCAGTTCTCCGGTCATTTCGCGTCTCGTGTCGAAGACATCATTAGGGGAATGGGAAAGTTGGGTATCTCGCCTGGCTTACCGTTTCATCCGTGATTCTCCCACAGTTGGATACCGGAAGGATGGCGTCTGTGCGATGGGTGATTTTGTTGACAGTATACACTGGCTGAGGATGGGAGTCTCCGGGAAACACGTACCCGTGCATTTCGCCGAAGGGGCCCTCGGGGGCCAGTTCGGAAACGGACAAGGTACCTTCGAAGACAATCTCCGAGTTTGCTGGGACGTACATATCGTTTGTCTCGCACTTGACGACGTCCAGAGGGTTACCCGTCATGGCGCCGATGTAGTCGGCTTCGGTGACTCCCTCGGGCAGCGGCATGCTTGCGGCCATGATGGCCGCTGGAGGTACCCCGAAGCACAGGGCCCACGGGACGTCCTTGCCGATTGCTTTCCACTGCTGCCGGATCTGCCAGATGTGTTGTGGCTCGATTACCAGGCCGACGAGGTGGTTCTTGTCTTTGACCATGGCCCTTGCGATGGACCAGTTTGTCCACTTGCCATCCGGAGACTGGACGACGTGCATTCCATATGTTTGAATGTATTTGCCGCCGTCAGATTGGTGCAGGAACGGGGAAGGGAGCTTTTCCAGGTCGAACTGGTCTAGGATGTGCTCCTTGCACGGCCCTGTGCTGACGACTCTTGGGGGGACAGGAGCCGACGTCTTCGCAGAGAGCATTTTGTCCAAGATGTCCTTCATGCCCGCCGTAGGTGGGAGGGCGAGATGGCGCGCCAGGCGGGCATATCGCTCTGACGGATCACGGCGCAGGGACGCCGGGGCTCCAAGGATTCTCCAAAAGCCATTGACGTTGCCCTTGAGGTTGTTGAGCAAGGGGGCTTTGTCATCAGTTTCGCACGCCTTTCTGATGATGGCAGCGGCCTCGAGATGGGGGTCGACCTCGTCGTTTATCTCAACTACGTCGCCGTCTTCCTTGAGAGCCGCAACGAAAGACCGAAAGCTCAGATGAGCTGGACCTTCTGAGGACTGTGTGAATGTGTTTGAGACCATTGTCGGGAATCGGGGCGTTCTCTGGTAGTCGTTTGGCCTGCGACGTCTGCTGCGGGATGTCACTGTACATTATCGATTTGATCGGGATTTGTTCCCTCAATATATAGTCTGGTCTCTGGAAGTCCCTGCGCTATTTTCTCTCTCTTTGTTGTCATCGTGGCCACGGAGGAGCACCACTTGTCTTGTATAAGCACGGCCGCGAATGCTGTCAAGATCGGTTTCATAGCTGACTGCGCCATAAGCATGACCTGGTGCATTCATACGTAAAGACGAAACAGGATCGAAAATACTCCTCACGGTCTCGGTGGCGTTGCGAGCTGTCCATTCAGAGCCTCTACCGAGATCGCCGAAATCTGCGAGTTTTGCGAAGTTTGCGAATCTCACCAGCAATTTTCCTTTCGCTACCACTGGTAAGAGCCGTGGTCGTTCTGATGACAGGAATGAATCACAAATATGACCCATCTTTAAGGCCGGAAGAGAGGGGGAAAGAGATGAGAAGGATGAGAAAACGCCGCCCGGCCTCGAAGGCCACAACATATAAGAGATGGCCGGGTGTTGGGCTACTCGACGCTCTGGATACATTGAAGACGCCTTGACTCTTGACCCTTGACGCAGACTGTATCCACCTTGAAATCATCTCCCATAACCATGATCGTGATCTACTGTCTCCTGGCATGTCTTTGTGGCTATGTTGTGGCCGGGGCTCACTGGGAGCCACCCAAAGGCCTCGGAGAAATCTTCAACATCAAATACCACGCAGCAAAGTCGATTGCCGCTGTACCAAGTGAGGTGCGAGGGCCGAGCAAGATCAAGGTACAAACAACGAAAGCAAAAGCATCACGGGCTGAAGGTGCGATGAACCCAAAGGTCGCGCCAGAAGGCCAATCCACCGCCTTGACCGCTGTTCAACCTGCGAAACCCCGAAAGCGAATCATTGTGGCCATGACCGGAGCAACAGGAGCCATCCTCGGAATCCGCCTTCTCGAAAAGCTTCGACAGCTCGACGTCGAAACCCATCTGGTTATGAGTAAGTGGGCGGAGGCGACCATCGTGTTCGAGACCGACTACAAGATCCGGGATGTCCGTGCTCTGGCATCAAAGGTCTACTCGTCACGCGACGTGGCGGCCTCGATATCCAGCGGGTCCTTCAAGGTCGACGGCATGATCGTCGTGCCTTGCAGCATGAAGACGCTGAGCAGCATCGCTACGGGCTACGGCGACGACCTGATCTCCCGAGCGGCAGACGTCACGCTCAAGGAGAGGAGGAAGCTGATTCTCATGGCGCGAGAAACCCCTCTGAGCGGCGTCCACCTCGAGAACATGATCAGGGTGACGCGGAACGGCGCCATCATCTTCCCGCCGGTGCCGGCATTCTACATCAGACCCAAGACTCTCGACGACATTATCGATCAGAGTGTCGGACGGCTGCTAGACCTGGTTGATATCGACACGGCTGATTTCGAGCGGTGGGACGGGATGCGGAAGTTTGGGGAGAAAGAGGCGATTTAGATTAAGGAGCCTTTAGCATTTGGCGAACTCAAGGGGACTGGGGTCACTGTACACTAGCGATTGATATCTGTGCTGGTGCATATTTTCCTGTATAGGCACTCGGTACATGCTCCTTTCGTATAATAGATGCGCCTTGCTGAGTCATCGATAACTAAGCGTAGCCCTGTGCATCCTCATTGGTCAACGCTCCTGCTGTGTCTTCCCGCCCGGCACAGTCATCACCGACCAAATCTTCAGGCCAGAGAAGCCAGTTGTTGCTTTGGCATCAACCGCCTCCCCAAACTGGCAATCTCTGTCCTATTTCCCGTTCTAAGAAGAACACGAGTGGGCGTCAATCTTGCCTTGGCCCGATCTCATGAAGATTCTAGCCTAGAATGGCTTGCTCTGTGGATAGCCTGAAGCCTAAACCCCGCCCGAAGTCGCCACTTGTCTTCCGCAGGCATGTTCAGACATGGCGTGCCACGGCCGCACCCTCGAGACACCCGCAGGTAGGCGTCCAACCCCCCTGTTCTGCGACGAGGATTGCAGACTCGAGCCTAACCACGCCACCCAACACTGCAGAAATCCCGCCCTCCATCCCAGAAAAAGGGCCTGAAACCGGCCAAGTCGAAGAATCCCAAGTCGCCGGGGTCGAATCCAAACGACAAGCCGCCCGCGTCAGCGCATGCGAGATGGCAGGCTCCGCCAATCCGGGAGATTGACGCGGTCCTGGACCCCTTCTGCAGGTTCCCCGTGGATGTGCCTGCAGACGGCCGTCGACTACTTCATTTCTGTCTGTTGATTCGGCCACGGGCCATTTCCACCAAGAGAGAGGGTTTACAAGGCTGACAGGTCTTCCGCCAGACATCACCACGGTTTCCAGCAAGATCTACGGGACCAATCGCAACCCAGGTTTCAGCCCTGTCCGAGATATCAGTTTCGTCGCCGCCTTGACATCCTCGTATACGCTGCAATGGATGGTTATTTCGGCAGAGGCGTTGCTTACGCGCTACAGAGGGGGACCCGATCCGCAGTCGCTATTTCGTCGCAAGGCCGTGGCCTACCTCTCGCTCAAAACATATCTGGAAAACTTCACGAGAGAAAAGGTCACGGATGACTTCGTCAATGGCCTCATCATGGCCATTATTGCCGAGTCGCGCATCGCAGGCCCGGAAGTTTCGAATATACACCTGAGAGCCTATGAAGCTGTCATGAAGACGGGAGGAGGCCTCAGGCAGGTAGTCGCTGCTTGCTCGCGGCCGTTTGACCAGATGAGCAACCTTATGCCCTATTTGATCTGTGAGCCCCTGCCAGACGCCTTGGTCTTTTCTGAAGAGTTTGAGGACCAAGCGATGGATGTCCTCCGGACCATAGCAAAGGGGGAGAATCCGGTTGATCCGGCAGAGCTCGTTTTCAAAGCGTCCCATGACATCGCACGACCCCAAGTATTGCTCCTGTCCTTGCGAGGATCCCTACCGCAGCAAATCCGCCGCTTGCTACTGTTCAGCGTGATTGCACCGTACCTGCGGGTTGACACATGGGAACAACGCCTCTATTCCCAAAAATCGTCGCACTTCATCTCCCTCTTTCTCCTGGTGTCGACGTTCTGGAAGCTGCGGGAGGATCACAAATCCCAGACCGCATTCTTCAGCGGCTTGTACCGCTTGTTCATGAACAGTGCCACTCAAGACCAGAAAGGCTCATGGTTGCTGACCGACGAAGGCTTCTTTTGGGTTGTCGTCAAGGCGTGCTTTGACGTCTACACCAATATGAGTGATAAGGAGGTGAGGTTGAAGAACTACATCGATTTTCTGGCCGATGCTGTCTCTGCTCTGAAGCTTTTCAGGGTCACTCACGACAACGTCAGGAAAAGGATGACCCTTTATCTCCACCAGTGCCTCACAAGCGAAAATGAGGCGCCAGATTGAAGGGCGGCTAACCACCCGGACAATATAATATGTCAGCGTCAGCCTCAATTAGTAATTTGGGTCACTAGTCTGTTTGCGCCCATCTACAACGGGCAGTCGACGCGCTCCATCCCCACCAACCCAAACCAAGGCCAGGATCCTTCTACTAAACTCTACAAGCGAAGCGGCCGCTCCAGAAGTCGGGCAGTGAAAAGCCAGTGTCGCTGAAGCAGTGTTCCGGCTCGGCCCATCCATCCTTTTACTTACCGTGGCCATCAAGACATATGGTCCAAATCGTTACACGAGTTATCTGCACCGAGCTCACGGTTGCGAGGTGCGAGCTTCACTGTTGCGTGAACCACTGATTTTCAAGAGAGAGAGAGGACAGTCTGACACCTCTCTACGACTGATGGCCTACGGACCTGGCCGTGATGGGCGTGCCCCTTTACCTCAACCATCCAAAAGTGTGCACCGCAGCCTCCTTCCGGCGGCGGTAATGCCAAATGCCTGCTTGCGATGACTGCAGAGTTCCGAGAGAAGGGCAACAAACCAAATGGTTGTCGATACCACCTCGATGCGATGAACCATCCTTTGCAACGATCTACATGCATTTGGCATTCAGTCGAGTGATAGACAGTTATGGTACTGTCAAATGAAATGAGGTTGTCGCCGTCCATGAACCAAGATCAACCCTCCACTGACAATGTGTGTTTGGCACAAACATGTATCTTGCTGGCTAACGACTGAGAATTGCATCCTTTGAAAACGTCACTCTTTTGACACAAGTTGTTCCCTTCCGGCAGAGGAAACCGTGTCGGAACGCCAACGGCGGTTTGATTTCGTGTGCTTCGAGATCTTTCATCCATTGAACCAAAGTGTGGATGTCACCTAGCGAGAGTATGGTTGGAGCCATGAAGCTTTGCACAAGCAGACGTGCGGCAACCTCTTGTACAGGCTTTTCGTCCTTGGCAGACGACGAGAGCTGTTTCAAGCGCAATAGCCAATGCTGAGCACTGGGGATAATTCTGTCATTGCCCATTGTCGAGCCAGGTAGAGGCAATTTGTCCAACTGTCCTCCAAAGCTTCCCATCCGATCTCCGCATCAAATTCTGAGGGAAGAACAACAAAGCTTTGAATGAAGCTACGGAACTTGCATCTGCTAGACGTCTCTGGCCGATTAATGGGAAGATAGCTGCCGAGCAACTTGTGATTGGCTTGTTGTGCTGCTCTCAAGACTTCTCGAAACCGCCTGCAGATGGATCATGGCGGTGTTAGAAAGGAAAGACCCTTGGGGGTGGGACAGGCTCGGAGAGGGGTCATGGGGTGAAGATGCATGGAGAACGGAGATTGCGTCTATGAGAACATGTATATCATTGAGCATACCGACATGCTCAGGACGGTGGAGATCTCACCAACTTTGTTCTTGTAAGGATTTGAAGGCAGCATTGACATCTTCCAACACGCTTTCCTCAACGACCTGCGAGGTTGAGTCCCGGGAGCCGCTGGGAACCAGCTCTGGGCTATTCTGAGCAGCTGTGCGATCGTATTGACTGAGCGCATCTTACTCGTCCCGAAAAGATCTGAAGGTACCTCTTGCAGCTACAAGTCAGCGCAGCACCGTAGTAATTGCCACCATCGTCGTGCCTCGCAGCTGAAGCTTCTATTTGGCGACATCACATCATGGATGGCTCGGACAATCGATGTTGCGGGCCGCGAACGGGCTGATGCTAACTAGAGATGGACTAGTTCTACTAGGAACATGGGGCAAATTTCATCCACCTTAGCACAGTAATGGGCGCTAGCACACTAAAAAGCTCGGCTAAGTTACCTTGAGCTTACAATTTTTTGGACATTTTCATTGCCAGTTGGAGAAACTTGCGTGTGCCGACCACATCGCAGTCCACAGTCCAGCGTTCTCAGGCCTGACAAGCTCCGCAGACATGGCAGAGAAGAAAAGAAAGGCAAGCTCGCTGGAGAGTGACCGACCGTCCAAAAAGCCGCAAACAAGCACCATCAAAGTCACTCACCTGCGCGGGCCGGACGTCGCCAAACCTCTGGTCGGTACGTGGAATTCGAATCTTGAATCCGATATTTCTTCCTTCCTTGAGGCTGACCATTAGTGTGCCAGCCTCGTCACCCGGTGTAAGACTTCCCTCGAACCTCAGCTTCGACGGGTTCTCCAAAAGAGAGCCGTCCGGCAGGGGTTCTAGCCTTCTCCTCCAGTCCTCCGACCATCCGACCATTGACTACGCAGCGACCGAGAGTGGCACGACCGATGCCGCCGAGAAGCACGTCAGGCACTATATCGCCGTCTTCGACCCAGCCTCCAACAAGCTCAAAGTGGTGGAGGCCAAGAGGGTGACGGTGAGAAGCACCGTGCGCCAGGTGGACAACCAAGAAAGCGACGGGGAGGAAGACGGCGCCGAGACCAAACCCGCCCCGACGCCGTCTCGCGCGGCATTGACGCAGGCATTTGGGACGAAAAAGTCAAAGAGAGCCGTAGCCTCGTCAGCCGAGAACCGCCTGCTGGCCCGCGATGGGGAGAACGTGGACAACCCTGTCTCGAACGCCATTCTCTCCTCGATCAAGGAAGAGGACGACCCAGCCGACATGATGGTCGATGCAGGGGCCTCCGCTCGAGCGAACAAACCCCTCCCGCAGGCCAACCTCGACACCACCGACATCACCCAAGTGTACGACCTGTCCGAGCTCGTCTTCCCGGGGCCTTACCGGACGACGCTCTCCCAGATGCCGATCGCATACTGGAAAGAATGCGCCAAGAACAAGAAGCCCGTGTCGACGCACCTGCGCTTCGTGGCGACGCGCGTCGGCTACCTGACGCAGCGCCACCTCAAGCAGCCCGACAACCCGGACGTGCTGCTCAAGCTCCAGATCCTGCGGTACATCCAGCTGCTGGTGGAGATCCACAAGTACGTGTCGCACCTGCCGGCGCGGCGGCCGGTGGCGCGGCCGGAGCAATGGCCCGCGGGGACCACGACGGGGGACAGCGCGCTGTCGACGGCGTTCAAGGCGCGGCTGATGGCGCGGTTCTTCCCCAACCACCTGCCCAGCGCGTTCAACCGCACGCGGCTCACGGCCACCATCCTCGCGCTGACCCTGCACGTGCCCCCGCCCGTCTTCACGCCGGGCGACACGCCGAAGACGCTCTTCGCCGAGCCGACCGACATCACGCTGGACCTGGCCATGCCGCACGCCGAGGTCCACAAGCTGTACCGCGAGCTGGGCTGCAAGATCGAGGCCATGACCGACGCCGAGCTGCAGCGTCACGGCTGGGACAAGGTCTCGCTCGTCTCCCAGAGAGGCGCTGGGGGGCTGGCCGACGACGGCCACGGCAACGGCCCCGTCAAGCTGCCCCGGCCCAAGTTCGCCAAACTGCGCTTCCCCGTCGAATTCCCCCGCATCAGCGCCGGCCGGCCGGGCAGGAGGTAGGAACTCTTGACTCGCCGGTCGTGGCAGTGACAACATGAGACAGGCGATGGGACGGGACGGAACCGCGCGGACAACGCAGGGGGTTACGTGACAATTACATTAGCTTTGAGACTGGACACCATGCGCGCCGTTGCTGCCTTTTACGCGGGTAACGTCTTGCACAGACGCACACACTTGCAAGCAACCTTGTAAATACACGAGACGGAGGTGGACAGAGGATTGGAACACAAAAGTGTGAGAATTACGCCTGCCTAAAAATGGCTCAAGAAGGCGATGCCATGACGATCGGAATTACGAGACGGAGAGCGAAAGGGCGGCCATACGTGGAATACGGGAAGCAACACATTTAACAAAAGAGTCCGATCGATCAAGAAAGCAGTGGTTTAGAAAGTCCCAAATGGCCACTTCATATGGCGATTGTAGATTTTCCTAGGTCATCGGGCATCAAGCACAGCCTTGTAGCTGAGCCAGTGGCCGGAAGGTATATAATGGGGCTGAAGAGCCGGACATTTGTCCCTTTTCCCCAGACGAAGCGAACAGGGACAAAGACTTTCGAATATCAAAACGAGCTCGTTCCTTCTTTTTGGCACATCTCCACATTCACACTCCCATGCCGTCTCATCATCTACTTTCTTCTCATGTCACATCACATTCCTATATCATACGGCGAGCACTTGCCTGTCTCCCGTCTTGAACCGACAACGGATACAGAGAAAGCTCAAGCCGCAGCCGCCGCAATGGGCAAAACTCTTTCCTTGGTGGCCTCCTCGATCAGTGGCTCAGCGACAAGAGACTGCGCGGCACTCTCAAGCTGCGCGTCGGTCCACAAGGACTGCACCGGCTCTGCATCCTTGACGCCGACGCCCACAAAGCCACCCTGGGCCTCCCAGTCCTTAACACGCTTAATGTTCAAACGGCTCCAGACATTCTCCAACGCGTCGACAAGTTCGGCGCGCAGTTCGGAAGTATGCCCGGGCGTGGGCGTGATACGAAGCCTCTCTTCACCACGTGGAACAGTTGGGTAATTGATGGATTGAACATAGATGTCGTACTCGGTGAGCAGCATATCAGAGGCTTTCTTTGCGGTTTCGGCGTCGCCAACCAAGAGCGGAACAATGTGCGATGGGTTGGGAATCACCGGAATGCCTTTCGCGGTAAGGTCCTCTTTCAAAGCACGAGTGTGAAGTTGTTGCAACCGACGATCTCCTTGGTAGACAGCTTGGTATTCAATCGCCGCACGGGCACCGGCCATAGTCGCGGGTGGGAGGGACGTGGTGAAGATGAATCCCGGTGCTAGAGAACGAATGGCGTCTACCAACGAGGCAGAGCCGGCGATGTAGCCACCCACACAGCCATATGCTTTGCCTAGTGTCCCCGTGATGATGTCGATTCGATCCATGACGGTACCTTTCTGGGATTCCTTGGTTCTATTTGGGTTGGCGTAGACATCGTAATCGAGGTGTTCCGCGACACCGGCACCTCGTGGCCCATACATTCCAACGGCATGGACTTCATCCAAAAATGTGATGGCGCCGTATTTATCCGCCAGATCACAGATGGCTTCAATGGGGGCAATGGAACCACACATGCTATAGACGGATTCAAAAGCGATTATTTTAGGTTGCTCTGGCGGGAGGCTCGCGAGTTTGGACTCCAAATCAACTAGGTCGTTATGCTTGAAGACCATTTTCTTCGCCCCGGAGTGACGAATGCCTTGGATCATGGAGGCATGGTTCATGCTGTCGCTCAGAATCACACAGTCGGGCAATTTGCTGCCCAGGGTCGCCAAGGTGGCATCATTGGCGACGTAGCAGGATGAGAAAACCAGAGCTCCTTCCTTGCCGTGAAGATCGGCGAGGGTCTTTTCGAGCTCGACGGCATGCTTGTTGTGGCCGGAGATGTTTCTAGTTCCTCCGGCGCCAGCTCCGTACATGTCGAGCGTTTCGTGCATGGTCTTCAGGACATGCTTGTTACGACCCATGCCGAGGTAGTCATTGGAACACCAGACGGTGACACGCTCGTCCTTTGCAGCCATGTGGGCACGAGGGAATTCTTTCGCGAGGCGATTGATGTTATTGAAATAGCGGTAAGATTTGTCCTTGTGCTTCTTGTCGAGCTCATTGTTGTAGAAACCTTCGTAGTCGAAACGTGGGGCAGTCGGCGCACTAGGTCTTGGGCCAGCGTAGGTGTCGGGCTTCTTAACGACATTCTTGACGGTCTGAGGAGGCGGAGCTATGGGGAAGTCAGTACCGCAGACGACATGGGTCGATGGGTGGAGGTATACCTGGCTGGGGAGGGCGGAACATATTGGTGTCCACGCTAGCCTTCTTTTCAGCTGAGGTGTGCAGTTTCTTCTCGAGCAGAGACTTGACCACGCCGGCGCCGGCAGCGACATTGCCATAGCTGCGACGCGAGTTGATGCGGGCGCTCTGGACGGCCAGAGCCTTGTTCATGACAGGGCATCGTCGGGCAATGAACTGCAGGTTCGTGATGGTGCCGCCACCTGGGGATTGATGGGTCGAGGTGGACAAAGAGCGCAGGGTTGCGGGCGAAGTTTTCTTCAAGAAGGGGCAGACGCCCTTGGACTGGTGCAGCAGGGCCTCCATGGTTGAGTCGCAGGAAGGATTGGGAGTTGCCGGTCAGGGAATGGGGGAGGGTTGGGAGGGATAGAAAGTGGGAGAAGCAAAGGATGAGCAGGAAGAGAGGATGGAGTAATATTTGCTCGGTAGCGGAAACGGTAGCGTTCGGTGGATGGAAATAGTAAGAAAGACGAAAGAATATGGGGTCAAGCGGGAGCTGCGGCAGTTCGGGCAGTGAGCCAATCACGGGCCGTGCATTAGCATCGCTCTCGCTGTTTCTTTCCCCTTTGGGCCATCCTTCCCCTTGGAGTCTTGGGGGGGCCTGTGGAATCTTTCTACCGACTCAAACTGCCAGGATTGGGCCCGGCTCGCCAGGTACACAGGCACCGCCAGGCACTACTGACAGGCACTGACAGCCCAGGCGCAGGGCTTGACTCGTCCCCGCGGAATCAGCACCCCCAAAGTCCCTCTTGGCCGCCATTCCATTCACTAACGAGGCGGCTCTACATGCGAAATGCTCTCAACCACCACTTCTCTCGAGCATCTGCCACCACCACCACCACCACCACCAAATTATCACGGTCGCTATGACTTGATCTCTGCCGCCTTCGCCCCATTGACCATTCTAATCCGACCCTCCAGTCTTGGCGCAATGGCCTGAACCACAAGGTCAGTCAGTATTCACCTGTTTGACGGTCACATCTTGTACTCACCCTTGTCCAGTCAACTTGGAACTCGCCTTCGTCCATGGGATCTACACATCCCGCCTCGTGCCGCACACCTGCTAGACGGCGCCATTTCCGCGTCACCTTCCTCGCGATCAGAGATTCTCGCTCGCTCAACAGATCCGAATAATCTCGCACGCGGTGGTTGCTTTCATCTTCCGAGTCATCAAGGGGAGTGGTCGTGCCTGTCTTGCTATGTATTCGCTTCAACTGATTCTCGTCCAAGTCGTCGAGGTTTGGCTCCACCACGGGGTGCGTTTCGTGCAAATCCTCGTGAATGGCATCCCAATGCCGACTCAAGCTTTTGCCCCAATGCTTCCACTTGCCGAGGATCTTCAAAGACATGAAATACTGCCGGAGCATCATGCTGATGAGGATGCCGTTCTCTTCCGAGACAATTTCTTCAGCCTCGCCCCCTTCCGATTTGACCAGCAACGAGTCGTACCCGTCTTTGCCTCTGCCCATGTACCCTCGTGTGACAAGGACGTATTTTCTTTCTAGGTCTAGTGGCTGACCACCAACCTTGGTCCACTTTATCCGGTGGAGTGGTGGCAGTGATGGATCGAATTCGAAAGCAATATTGGAGACTTGAGGGAAGCGGCCTTCAAGAGCAGGATACGAACCCACCGAGTTTTCGAGAGCGGCAAGTAGAGCAGCTCCTGTGACTCGGATGACGATAGTCGGGTCTTCAAATGGAAAACTTGACATGGATCATCAGCAGGCGGTTCAAGATCACCAAAGCCGATGGCCACTCGAGGACTTACCAGTTCATGACGTCTTTCAATCGCAGAACTCCTGGCGGATATATTTGATCTCCGCGGATGGTGCCGGACGCCATGAGGCAGCAATCGCCGTTGTAGTGAGCCCGCATCAGATCACAAACAAAGTTGCCGATGTTGGACTCCTTAAGTCGCACTGTGGTAAATCTCGCATCCAGGGGAGCGGCAGTATACCCCAGCGGCTTTTCCAGTTTGTCCTTCAGGGATGCCGTCAGCTCGTCGACGACTTGTTTCATCTGTTCATCTTCGGAAATATCTGACACGATATCCCGCCGCACAATGTGAAAATCCCATTTTTTGTCGCTGCCGGGCCGCCGTCGTGCTTCGATATAGCTAAGCTGCTTGAAGTCGCTCCCAGACCGCAAAACATGGGTTCCGTTGATCAGCGAGTGTTGGTAATAGTGGTCGTGTCCACCAAGCACTAGGTCTATAAGGCCTTCTGGCGTCTTTTCCGCGAGCTTGTTGTCGTTCGGCTCTCGCTGGTGGGTGAGCGCAATAATCATCTCCGCGCCTTGCTCGCGCAGCTTTGGCACCAGTTCTATAGCGGTTGCGGATGCGGATTTGTAGATCAAGTTGGGAGGTAGAGAGTTGATGGTATCCAACCACTCACGTTCAACGAGACCTATCACTCCGATCTTGATGCCATTGGAAGAGGTGAGCATGAGGGTCTTCTTTGCTTTGCCGAGAGGCACGTCCGGGCCATGTTGTGGATCTGTAGGTAGTCCTCAGCATATGGTTACCTTCTGCACAGATTCAAGAATGCGCACCCAAGACATTGGCTAACAACCAAGGAAATGTGCATTGTCGCGCAAGGCTACGGAACTGTTTGACGCCGAAATCGAGATCGTGGTTCTGGGCCAAGGGTCAGTTGAGTGGTTGGCTTCAGTCCGGCGCACCATGGTCTTGTAACGTACACCAACGCAGGCGACCTGGGTTCCTATCCGATTTAATATCGGTACCATATGACTCCCTATCATTGTCAGTGACATTTTTCACGTGACCCTTTTTTTTCGGGGGCATGGGCCTTACCTTTTGTGACACTGCTCTCCAAGCTGGGATTGAAGGCATCTCCAGAGAAGAGCGTGATCAAGTCAGGTTGACCTGAGAAGCGTTCGTTGTGGCGGTAGTCATTGCAGACAGTCTGAAAGCGGGTCACACCGCCCACTGGCTCTCTCGAGAAGGCATCGAGATGATAGACTAGATGTTCACCATGTTACTCTGAGTTTGGTACAGGATAAAGGATCCCAGGGTTCTGGCGAGAGGCTGGGTCATACCGTCGTTGAAGTGTAAGAGTCGAAGATCTGGTGGGGTGGATGTGTCGCCAGCGGTGTAAGTAACCGCTTCTTCCATTCTCCGCTACGTCATCCGAGCCCAAACGTTGCTCACGGCCAGCTGAGGTGTAGAATGCGAAGAACGGAGGAGGGTTTCGAGGTGATGTGAGAATACAAGAGGTAGTCCACCAAATCTCAGCATTCGGAAGCGGTGGAAGGATAAGGATTGAGTCAAGGAGCGGCGGAGGATGGAAGAATGCATGGGCGATATCCAAATGGGGTCTTTTGCACCGACAAGGCTTACATAATGCCAGCGTGCTCCCGTGAGCCTCACTCAGCCTTGTTTCCAAGGTGCATGGAGTCCGTTTCTGGATGGATTCTTGAGGTGGGCAGTAGTGAATCGTGGTCGAGATAGAGCAACAAGGAGCTCCCTGTGCAGGCCAAGGCATCAACTGTGGCACCTCAACACCGCATCGACGTCTCTGGCTTGGCATCTGGATGACCCAGAGAGGCACCACGCCCCGGATGTGCGGCCTGAGCAGGGCAGCTTGAGCGGCTGGTTGCAGTCATGCATGCTTCCATTTTCTCTCGGCTCTTCGCTATCATAAGGAATATTGCCAGAACGAAGCATAGCTATAGGATAGACAGATGGAAAGAGAGAAGCTGGAAGAGGCTGTCAACAACCATGCCTGCTACGTACTCGGTAGATGGATGTGTTCTGTCGATACACGTGCAGGGCTCTCCACCGCCGTCTGCTTGCCGAGAACCTGAACCAAGGATCGACAGCCGGGACGCGCTTTTCCCCCACGGCGGCTGGACGCTTCGAAAGAACCTCCTCTTCGCTTGCAGGTCCCAAGGTCAGTACCCAAGCGTCTCATGTCGCCGCATCGACAGGATCAAAAGACACGTATATCTGACATATCCACAGGCAGTTGTCTCGATGCCGAAACAAAACCTCTTCACTACCAAGCTAAAACCCCGTCGAGGGTCCCGAACGTCACACACGCGAGCCGCGAACCCGGGTTCGCGCAGCCTTCAAAATGCTGCCAGTTCCCGGCCTGCGGAACGTGTGTCTGATGCTCGTGCCCGGTGACGCTTCAAGAACAGAGATCGAAGAGATGCCCTCCCCTTGAAATGACCTGCATTTTTCTTTTGTTTTTGTCGCGAGAGAATTACGACTTCACCCCTTCGGCTTCCCAAGCCCCGGACCCTTTTTCTACTCTGTTTTCTTCACACGGGAACTTAGAGCCTCCTCCCTTCTAAGCGACGACGACGAACCCTCCCCTCGCTCCGTTTTCGCCAAGAGATTTGCGATTCTGGGTGCTGCAGGAAAAATGGGTGCCTTGTATGAAAGAAATCCTGGAAAGGAGGAACATGGGCGGAAGGAAAGATGGGTTTCGTATCCCCACGCACAACAACTCAGGCGATGAAGAACAACCTGCATAGTCCGAGGCGAACAAGTAGGTCAAAAAAAACTTGTTTCCATGGTGCAAGCGTTTGCGGCAGGTCTGCAAGAGAGGGTTCTTCTGTTCTCTTCCCGCGCAGCACCAGCCCGTTCGCCTGTCCGCAGCTGATGAGGACATTCTTCACAAAAAAAAGTAGTTTTCAATCTGAGCCTCACCTTTCTGGTGCGCAGCAACGCGGAGTTGTGGTCGTGGGTGTACGGATCTCGATTTTCCCTGGATTTCTTCATCTGCCTTGGACTTTCCGGGTCAACCAGGAGAAGATGTCAAGCGGGACCGCGTTTTCCAACGAGAGTTGAAAATGCGCAAGGAAGCCATGAGAGGGAGAAAGGACGAGGCATGGCGCGAACGAGGATGAAAAGACCCGATGAAGACCGAAGTCCAATAAGCCAAAGTTGAGACAGCCGAAGGGAGCGTGCATTGTGTTCAAGACGATCACCTGTACTTCTGGCTATCAGAGCAAACAGGAGAGAGCTTATCTGAGGGTATCAAATCTTGTTCAGTCCGCCTTTGTGGACAATGGTCGAGTTTGAGACCGAGACATTGAAATGACCGGCGTGTACAGAAAATTCTCCTTCAATCAATCTACCTTGACCTCGTCGGCGAATTTGACACCAGGGCACAGCCTCAAACATTGCAAAAGATCATCGACCTTGACTCGTGCAAAAGCCTGGTTCACGTCCTCCAGGCCGATTCCGACCAGCACGTCGTCGCCGAGGTATCCCGTCCCCAACTGCGACATGTACTCGACATCCTCCTCCTCCTCTTCCTGGTTCGCTGCAGCGGAATGCGGCGTCCATGCCCATGCCAGGCTTGGTGTGTAAGTGAAGTAAGCCTGGCTTTTGATGAAGTTGTTCCTCTGTTCAGCCTCGTTCTCATACAATTCTTCTCCGTCGCCTCTTCTAACCACCCTTACCTCCTTTTCATGTAAATGCTCCCTTGTAGCATTCCAACCTCTCTCTTTCGGATCAGGCCAGTTTTCCTCCTTCGTCCAAGGCCCCGCCCGCTCGTTTCTCATCAAAAGTGGAAATCGACTCACCCCTAACATCTGGAACGGTGCCCTACCCTCCCACACGACCACGTATCGCTCATACCGCAGTGGCAAATCTAGCTCATTGCTGAACTTTCGATGCATTATCGCAAAGTGCACAGAACGACCGGTAGTCACGGCCGTGCCATTGGCGTTTTCGTCATCCTTGCAGACAGCATCGCTCCGCGCCTGTGCCCTCGTGCAGAGGATAAGTCGGAGCGAGTTGGATCCTTGGTGCCAGTGGCCCTTGTTACCGAGGGAGTCGACGAAGTGTCCTTCACTCTGGGAGAAGCAGGGCTCTTCGAGGGCCGAGGTGAGGTTCGGCGTGGTGAAGCCGTTGCCGGTGAGTTTGGCGAAGGTGCGTCCTCCCTTGGTCTGTCTTGCTTCGGTCCACCTCCGGGGTTTTGCGTGGTGTGTCGAGGAAGCTGTGTGATTCGTGGCGTCGCCGGTAAGGAGGGCGGTAGTGGCATTCAATCCGAGTCTTGCCAACTCAAATACGTTTTCCTCATCGGCCTCTCCTAAACCCTGCCGGATCAGGTCGTATTGGACATAGGCAGTATCGGCACTCGGAAACCAGAGCATCCAATTCTTCTCCACGCGCGCCAGACTGTCTCTCGGATTCCGCGTGATCTCAGTGAGATGCGGGTAACTCATGAAGGGCTTGATGCCGAGTCCTCTGCGGGTGCCTATGCGCGCTGGATCCTGCTCCATCTCAGGCCCGGGGTTTGTGTCTCTCCCTTTCAGGCCTGGACTCCTGGCTTCTGTCCCGACGTCGATCGTCTTGTGGCGATGCTCACGACTCAATACCCTCTCGAGTTCCGGGTAGACCTTCCTCAAATCCACGATCCAGAGCCCGACGCACCCGTACCGACTGGCGCTGTTCACCAAGATCAGCGGCTCGCCTTTTCCGCTCCAGAAGACCCTAGGGTCGTGGAAGCCGGGGATATCTGGGAACGCGAGCCATGAGTCCGTACAGTTCTCCGCCGGGGTCGGGGGGATGTTGATCTTCTGTGGGGCCGTGAGGCAGCATAGCCCGCCGTTGGCGCCCAGGCGGATATCAGAGAGGTCAGAGGCGGAGCAAGGGCTGGTGTCTGGTGGCAGAACTGGTTGAGATCGAGGCAGCCGCTTTTCAAGGTATGGGGCAGGGTCAGCGTCGGGACCAGGGTGATGAGGAGTGGCATTGTCGCTACGTTCTAACGGAAAGGAAATTGCGGGCAACGGTGGTGCCTGAGGAGGATAACAAATGTCTGCCAAACAGACGTGAGACTCCTGGTGGAAGCCGGTCGTGACGAGGCGCGAGACGAGAACATATTTTGCGGGCCGAGACCAGTGTGGGAGGGGGATGATGGCCGGGTTGAAGAAGCGCGTGGCATCCTCCCCTTGCACGACGTCGTCAGAGCTCTCATCTCGCTCCTGGTGTTCTCGTGACGGCGGCGGTGCCCGTGGAGACGCGAGACTGATGTTGTACAGCACATTCGGCAGACGGATGTGTGATGTGTGCGGATTCGGCTGGGTCGGGCATTGCGTGAATTGCACAATCACAGGGTCTGCCAGAGGCAGTTCCTGCGGCTTGGAGACCATGGCGGCCTGCTTGTCAATGCCCGGTGAGCCGACCGCGAACAAGTGAGGGTGAGTACTGGCTTTGACGACAGCGACGTGAGCGCTTCGAACCACATAGCTCTGCAGGACGCCGTGGAGGAGCGCATTCTGTGACGAGCGTAAAAGCGCGCGTTGCGAGAGGACGCGGACGAAGATAAGGAGGGCGAGCACGGTCAGTGCCGGGACAAGATATCGACGCGCTGAAGGGACAGAGAGCATCATGGTTACGAACCACCAGACTGTGTTCGACTCGGAGGGGTGGGAGGATTCGAAGTTGGCAATATGAAGAACGGTGACCCGTACTATGCATGATTTTCGCAGGTAATCCAGGTGTTGGGTAGTCAAGGCCACCTAGTTGACAGATTGTATGCCATCTTCCTGTTTCTTTTTCCGTCTCCCTTTCTTTACCGGTGGTCCTCTGCCACACAATCGACCGTAGAATTTCACAAGGTATCCCATGTGATGGAGTAGGAAAAGTGATCCCTGAGTGTGCAAGTCTTGAACGTCCACCGCTGATTCACCTCCCTAATTGCACATGACAAGGCTATCTAACAGCCTCGCCACTCCCTCAAACCAAGTGATCTTCCCGAAATATACCGAGTATCTAAATATGCTTGTCCCTCCTCCGAGCACATTATTATATACCATAAATCTTTACCATTCCCAAAAAGACCGACTGCAGACCGACTGCATGGCCATTGCCCATTTTTTCATGTCTTCGTCAAACGCCATCGCTGCTTGGATACTGCCTAAAATCCGACTTCGAATGTTCACCCATCGTGCTTGAGTTGGAAGGTCCAACGACCCTCAAGCCTCTTCATCCTCCGACTTGTCAGACCCGTCATCGTCATCTTCATCTTCGTTCTCCGAGTCCCATCCCTCAGCCTCCAAGTTGGGTGATCGAATACCGAAGCTTAACAAGAAACCGATGAATGAGATACCACCAAAGATGCCAAAAGCAAGGGCTTCTCCTTTAGGATGGACTCGAGTGGCGAGTGAGAAAAGACCGCCTGAAACGAACGGGCCAACCGCTCGACCCGCAGCTGACAGGGTCTGTGCAAGGCCATTGAGGGTTCCCAAAACCGAGTGATTAGGAGCCGAGTTGGTGATCTGTGTATAGTCAGTGGAATATTCGCCTCCGCCGTGCAGAAAGACTTACCAACAACAGAGCGCTGGTAAGACCGCCTACCGCTGCGACAGTTTTGATAAGGAGTACAATGCAAATCTCTAGCCATAGCCATGCCGCACCACGTGTACCCACATTGCCGTCGGCATCGTCTTTATAACCGACCCAGGGCATCAAGACGTAGGCAATCACAAATCCAGCCAACCCAATTCTGTAAGCCCATCTATTTCCCATCATATCCCGCAACTTTCCGAAAATACCAATTTGGAAAAGAATGGTCACCACTCCAGCAAACGCGAGCGACAGGCCGATCTCCTCTGGGTCTAGATTTCGGCCGGTGGGTGGTGAGGCTTGAGCGAAAATGGGATAGAGCGAGTTGAAGGAAATGTTGGACAGTTGGAAAATGAGGTATGTCACAAGGAGGAGGATGGTGTCCCGGTTGAGCACGTCTTTCTTCTTCAATTCATCTGAAGCAGGGAGGAAGCCGGGGGTTTCCGCGCCGCCATCCGTATCTTCGTCGTCCGAGAGCTCGGCAAGACCGTTTTGGTGGGTTGGGCTTTGATGGCTCTTACCCTTTCGCCGCAGGTAGTGAGGTCTGCTGGAAGAGGTGAACTGCCAAAGCCATGTAAAGAGGTTCCGAACTCTGGATCCCAGCGGCTGGAGATATTGTGCCTCTTCTAAGCTTTCCTCGAGGAAGATTGACGTCAAAACGAAGTCTATCAAGAGGATCGCTGCGGACAGGAGGTTCGGTGTAAGATAAGGGTACGGATTCGGCTTGGATCTGTCGAAGGGATTCCTGGGAAACACCAACACACCGCCGATGACGGGGCCGGTGATACCTCCAAGGCCATAGATGACAGGGAGATAGGTGAAAGCCCGTGATTGATTGCTTCGATCGGTGATCTCACCAAGGCAGGTAGAGACAACACCTTGATTCCCATTCAACAGCCCCATAAACGCTTGGACCACAATTGCTTGTGGCAGTGTCTTCACAAATCCGAACGCCACAAAACAGGCCGCCGTAAATATTGTGCCCATCAAGATTACCGGCTTTCTTCCAATATGATCAGACAACCACCCCCAGAAGAAGTTTGTCGCCAACTGCGCGAGCGCAAAGGCAGAAGCGATCAACCCCACATACATGCCCACTTGTCCGGGATTCACCTCAGGAAATGTCGAGGCCATCGCAGGTAGGTAGGGGCTGATAGAATTGAGTGCAGTCTGTTCGCATAGAGCTATGACCGCTAGGATGGCCATCTGTTTCTTCGGCAGCGGCGAGCTGTGGTGGTGGTGATTGTCTTCTCCATTGTGCAGGTCGTGGCTGGACGAGTTGGAAGAATCGGACAACGGTCGCCCTCGAGATTTGGGAGGTGATATGCCGCCAAACGTCTGGTAGTGAGGAGTCGAAGACTTGCGACGGAGAAGAGGCCCATGATCCGAGGGCTTCATGGTTGTGGATCAAGCATTCATCAGGAAGGCGAGAGGGTTGCCTGCGGCGGGGGTGCGAGAGCCAGAGGCGCACCCAGCGAGAGAGTAAGTTATAGACAGAATTCGAACGTCGAGCACAAGACACAAGAAATCTCCTTGCAACAATCTTCCGACAATGAACCAAGATCTCAGACCCCAAATTGGCCTCTAGCAGCGACTTGAGCGGATGGTGAGAGCTGCGTCTAGACTTTTTGATGGCGAACTTGCAGCATGGGAAAGAGAGACTGCGCCTTCCGGCCAATGCGGACTCGCACTTCAAATGACGTATACATGCGCAAATGACGCTACTTGTTCGCTAATGCACCCACTGACGATCGAGCCATCGAGAGGGGACGAACCCCAGCTCGCCCAGCTACATTGGGGCTTTTCTCTTCGCTTGCTCGCTCGCTCGAGAGCTGTCAAAGATGTTATTGTCCTCTCGAGAAACAGCTTGCTATCGTCGCAAACTCCACCGTCGCGACCAAGGCTATGATATATCACTTTACCACATGGCTTCTCTAAGGCCCCCTCAAAGCCGACTGCAGATCCACGCCTCCCAGAAGCCAATATAGAACCGTCACCGGTTATGATGGCGCACCAGATGGCTCATGTCAAGACTGAGGAGATTCTGGGCATAGTACAATCACCCTTTCTGAACCCCTTTCATGTCTGCGTGGCTCAATCTGTTCCCGTTACAGCAACCTGCTCCACGTGTGATGTGACTGCTCCGGTCTTGACACCGCTTTCCTGACTCCCGTTCTTTGCTTCGCTGGTGTTGTAATGTTGAGTAAAGTCATATCGAAGCGCCATTGGTGACCGCATAAACTCTCGCTGAGCTTCCACGTCGCCTTCCATGTCCTTGAGCATCTTCAAGAACGAGTCATTCTCGAGAGCCTTGTCCGGGTCCTGGTCATACAGTCGCTTGATGTTGTCCGTGGAAATGGGATCCGTGACTGTCTGATACCTCTGTCGCCGCATCTCCGAGTACTTGTCGAGTATACTTTCATCCGCCTTGCCCTCGTAAACGCCGATCAAGCAATCATATAGACCCCCGATATCCACGAGACCACCTGTCAGTCCAAGACCGCCAAAAGGGTTGCATACTAGGGGGAAGCGTCAGCATCACGTTCTGCAGCGTCTTGTTAGACTTACTGTGTGCAGCATCTGCAGCGAGCATAAACCTGCCAACTCGCATCTTTTCCACCAAGCGCTGATGGATCTTGTACGGGCTGATCGCTGCAAGATCATACTCTCCTGGTTTGGGGTGGCCGGGCAACATGGCTTCGTATTTCATGGGTTGCCGCGCGATCAGCTCTTCTCGAGTGAGTCCAGAGATCTCGCCGTAGCTGACACGCCACCAGCCGCTGCCATCCGCGTTCTTGGTGAGACGAGCAACCATATGCCAGTGCTCTGGGTGGATGAAGAAATTGGCATCGTCATATCCAAATTTTTCAAACGGGTAGGCCACCTAGACACCAATGAGAAACGGCGTTGAGACATGAGCACATCGACTTACATTGGTCGCCACGATCTGTTTATCCCAGGTATAGCCAGGGAAATCCTTTGCACCGTACAACTTTCTTCTGACTATGCTCGATGCACCATCACAGCCCACAATGTACGCTGCCTCGAGCCGTTTCTGTCCCTCAGGGGTTTCAACATCCACCCATGCCTTGTCGTCGTCCTGTCCGATATCCACCACTTTGTGGTTGAAGAACACTTTCAGCGTGGGTTGCTGAACAGCGTGTCTGTAGAGCAAGCGGTCGAGCTGGGCCAATGGCAGGCACGCCAGTCGATCTGGATCTTCGTGCATAAGGGTGTTATCGAAACCAGCAAGATATGTGCCGTCGAGTTTTCTCCAACATGTCTTGACTGGATCAAACCCTTCCTTTCGCACGTCATCAATGACCCCAGCACGCCGTAACTCATAGGCAGCCGGAGGGCCGTAATACGCGGCGCGGGGAGAGTCGTCCAGTTCGCCAGAAGCTTCCAGGACATGGACAGTGACACCTTTCTTTGCCAGCATCAGACCCAGAAGCAAGCCTGACGGACCAGCACCGACAATGATTGTCCATGGCTTCTCAGAGGGTGACATTTCGATAGACCAATATGTTGAAGGTAGCAAAACACGCGAGAGGGGTATACAAGTCCGAGGAAAAGGGCACGAAGCAATGAGTGGACGATATTTTGGTTTGGATTTTTTTTTATTGTGTTTTCGTTCTTATATCTTGCCAGGCAGGCTCAAGCCCCGCGATCATTCTCCATGTGCCATCAATATCAGGAGATGCAACACCATGTTGAACCCATGCCGAAGCTTATGGGGGGATTCTCCGGATGTGGAGAGAGCCACGAGCATGTCGATGGTGGGCAATAGGCTGCCCTCGCCAGTAGGAGGTGGGGCAGTGCTTGGTGTATTTGTCCCTCTGTAAGTCGGATAGAAACGTAGGGATTGGGGAATCTTGCGTCCTGTTGCTTCTCTGTGGTCATACAGGAGTGCTAGTGTACTGATGAAGCAGCTGGGGGATGAGCGCATGACAGATCGACGCATGGTCTGGGTGTATGTATCTCGACCGCAGACGATGAACTCCCCTCACAGAGTACTCCGTACCGAGTACAGGACTCCAACATGCAATGCAGCCTTGCTAACTTTTTCCCAACACCAAGGCGCAGCCACCGTCGTAGCCCCGCATTAGAGCGCGCCCCAGGCGATCAGAGGTCAATCCGGCCATCGACAGGCGTCGAAACTGTGTCTGATCAGTTCCAACTTCGAACACACTGAGGTTAGTGGGGCTTATCCGGGCGACCTCGGTTTTGCATTGTCGTTCGTTTGACCGCAGACCTGTCCTGAGACCTGAGACCTTTCCGTCAACCTTGCTGAGAGATTCGCGAACTGTGCACTGGACCCTATCTGTCTACAGCCATGTCGAACGCACAGGAGAATAGCGTGGCCGAAGCCCACAAGCTCTTCTACGAGCAGGGGTTTCAGATCCGAACCGAAGTTGCTGGCACCGAACATGTCCAGCGCTCTCTTCAAAACAACTCGTCTGGCTTCGCTCGGCCGATGCAAGACCTGGCTACGGAGGTGGGATGGGGAATGATCTGGGCCCGGCCGGGACTTGGTGAATCCCTCTCCCTTTCTTACAAGTCTGTTTCATATTTAGAGGAGACCTGGCGACAGAATTTTTTTCAACTGGTACAGGCTAACATTGAGATGCAGAACGTAAGACCAGGAGCTTGCTGAATATCGCCATGCTCTGTGCGTTGAACCGGATGACTGAGCTAGCTGTGCATGTGAGGGGTGCGGTTCACAATGGGGCGAGCGAGGTGGAGATTCGAGAGACTCTGATGCAGGTTGCCATCTATTGCGGGTTTCCAGCAGGTCTCGAAGGGGTACGAGTTGCTGAAGGAGTATTGAAGACTATGCGAGAACAGAAGGAGTCTTGAGTTGGATCGAGGAGACCGAGAGGAGGAAGGGGGAGCGAGTTGCTGCATGCGCGAGTTGTGGGCTTGGAAACGACACCGAACATTGCGGCATCACCTCTCAAGCCCTGGCGTGCCTGGTTAGGTAGCCGAGCATGTTTGGCTGCATCATATCGCAGGGGATTGAACTCCTTTGGCCACGAGAATTGACATTGGCTTTCGGAGGATGATGAGACCCGGGCCATTGCTGGTATTATAGAAGAATGGAGAAACCGCAGTTGGGATGGCATCCATCTCACAAAAAGTAACAAGATTAAATGTCGCAGGATCTGGCTTTGGCACCCATTGAGACGCCTGGAAGGGTGCAGTAGGAGTAGCTGTACCTCACCTCGCTCAGTACAGTCAGAAGGGGGGGCCAGTTTGGCGTTCTAACGGGGCGTCAGGCACCAATCAGCCTTGGGATGGCACTACTTTAGAGGCCACCCAGAGGCGAGTCCCCAATCCGGTGCCAAACGGTGCCTGCAGTGCCTGTGATGCCAGTGGTTGCAGGTGGACGAGGGACCATGGACCATGGGCTCTTCGGCAGCCTTATTCCCCGATGCTAACCAAAAAGCCAAGTCCTTGTATCATTATTGTCCGCATCCCGCTGACAGCCAGCACACCACAGCACCAGCACCACACGTCTGCGACATTGCCCGGGCTGGCAGCATTCGACCGCATCTGTCCGCTCAATATTGTTCAAATGGATCATACACCACTCATCTCGCTGTTATTTACATCTTAGCGCTCATTGCGGCATCGCTCTGATATTAGTCCCATCCTCCGAACAGCCTACCCATTGCACACTCGTTCGCGGCCGGTTCCCTCGTCCCTGTCCTCAGGCTGCCTTGCGATCTCAGCACCTCTAAGATTGTCACCGATGACTCGGCGCAGCACATCACAAACTCCCGCAGAGTGATTCGTGCTGTTGGCATTTGAGGGATCTCGAATATGCCCAGCGACCTCCAGAGCCGACTCTGCGTTGACTCCGCCCTCTCACCTCCCGATCGCATATTCCAACAGCTGCGCTGACCATGGCCAGCTACCACCAAAATGGGCAGCCTTACTACCCGTCCGGCAACCACCCTTCGTCCGGCCAGAATAGTGGCCATGTTCCCTACGGCTCACCATCCATATATCCTCCAAGGCCTCTAGAGCGCTCGCCGAGTTTCGATGCGGGAGACGACGAAAGGTACTTCGATGGAGAAGAGCAGCCGCGCGGAACACAAAGACACAACTCATATGCTCCACCGCTCACAGGAGCGGCCGCGAGCCCTCCAGTGAATCGAGCTATGTCGGCGAGCGTGCAATCCTCGGCCACGATGCCATTCCGGACAAATACCCAACATGCAGCATTGGGCGGGTACCAGCATCAATATCAGTCTGCGGTGCCCGCTCACGCACCGTACAATCCCGCTCAGTATCATCAACAGCAGCAGCAGCAGCAGGCCTCTTACAATCCACAACTCTATGCAGCTCCCCAATCTGCCCATCCCACAAGCACCTATCAGCCGTATGTCCCGGCTGCGTACGGCGACCAGAACCTCACTCGTCGCACCTCTGTCTACAACAGCTACGGATCCTACGATGCGAACTCTCAATATAACTACTCTTCATCCCAACCGCTCCCGCCACCTCCTCGGTCTGAGGCAGTCGCATTTCCCAACCCACAAGCCTACGGTGCGTACCAGCACGATATATCCCAGCAATACCCTGTCCAACATTACGGAGCCTCGTCGACTTATTCTCCTCCAGCGCCTGCGCCACCGCCGCACGGAAGGACGTCAAGCATACCAGAAGAGACATATACCTATCCTACGGGCTCGTCGGCGACTTACCCAAACGCAACCCTCACGGCTTATTCGTCTCCTGACATCAACCGCAATTCGTCATTTGCGAGCCGCATGAGCAACCAATCTGCTTCACCTCAACCCTCCATTCCTACGCCGCCGAGCAGACAACCTTCCAACAGGTCCCCTCAGCGTATGGGTACTCTCGACCGTCATCCCCAGGGCAGATCACTTCCAGGCCTTCCGTCAGAGCCAGAGCCAGACAGTGACTATTTCAACTCTACAGGATCGCGGAATAGTGGAGCCCGCAACACTGCTTCGACAGGCTATGATGATTTGATGCAAGATCTTGACGAGGCGATAGGACAAACCTCGAGACATACAAGGTCAGGCAGCGACTACAGACACCGCAATTCGAGGGACGAGCGACCAGATGCCATGTTCCAACAGGCATCGCCCAGACCACAACTTTCTCCAGACGAGGCGCCAACGCATCTCAATGGGAATATCGCCTCCACCGGAGATGCCTACATCAACTATGGAGCCTTCACCGACGACAGTGACGCTGAGGCTGCTGCCGGGCTCGCTGCCATGCAAGCCCTGGATGAACAAGAAAGGGCAGAAGATGCGCGCCGGCGTAGTGGTTCGGCTACCCTCTTTCCAAGCCAGCCACGTGCGGATGAAGCGGCCGCCAGACTTTCGTCCCAGGAGCAGAGCAGCGATAGCGATTATGCCGGTTACGGTGATTTAAGTCTCGCTGGTGGAGGGTATGCGCCTGACATGACTTATGGCGAAACTGTTGTGTCCAACTATGCGGCTGCCGCAACGGCCATGCCGCAAAGTGAGCTCTATGGGCGATTGAACACCAGAATGAGTTCAGTGCGTAGCTCTGGCGTCTCCTCGGAGGGAAGGGAGTCACAGACGAGCGGGTTTGAGTCGATCCCGCCACTAGAGAGCGTTCATCCCTTCTCTTCTACGCCTAATGTTGCTCGCGTGGACACCGGGGGCACAGGAGGTCTGACAGAACCCAGCCCGCACCCCAGGCGGTTGAGCTACGAAGACGGAGACGAATCGACCATGATTGAGGCAGAAACTAACCGGACTTCGGCAAGCTCAAGTCCATCACGAGAAGAAATGCCGGACCTCTTCTTCCACCCTGGCATGAGCCAGCAGCGTCCACTTCCACCTCCCCCTTCGCTCTCAGACTCGGCGCTGCGAATACCACATCTGATGCCTGCCGGTACTTACACTCAACAAAGTCGATTCTCCCAATACACTGATCCAAATTCACGCACGTATCCTACCGCGCCAGATGCCTATCCCAACGCACTACTGAGTCCGGCAAGTGTTCCTCGATCTACGTCGTTGTCCTCTACACGAAGTGCCCCTAGGGCCGAACAGGTTAACCGCTCGAAAACAGATGCAGACCGTCAAAGGCTTTTACGGCAGCAGGGGAGACCGATGTCGGACCTGTATGACATTTCCAGTCCGCAATCTGCGGTAGCACTGGATCTTCCAGCTATTCCACGGAAGCGGTACAACCCATCCAAACTGACGGCTGATCAATTTAAGAAATGTTCGGAACCTTGGGCACTGAGCTCGATCTTGGCATGGATCAGAGAGCTGGCTGAGGAAGAAGTCGATCTGAAGGAAAATAACATTGTTGAAGGCATTGTTGCACTTTTCATGAATAAGGTGCCAACAATGTACATTACAGAGGCTGAATCTTTGGGAGAACGAGTGGTCAAAGAAATGTTGGATGCAAATGCTCTCGTGAGAGAGGAGGAATGGGTCAAGTTTGGGCCTGGAACGACGTCCGGCGTGCTATATCAGCTGACAGGCACCGGATGTTACTCTTCGAAATTGCACTTGTACCATACCCGTGGGCGATGTTACTCTTATCACTGCATGCGGACTCTCAAGAAACTCGATCTCGACAGCCTCCCAGTTGAGAAGAAGTCTGAAGATTGGGCAACATTCTACAAGCTCAAGAAGGAGGACGTCGAAACGCACGACAGGAAAGAAATTGAGCGCCAAAATGTCCTGCACGAAATTGTCACCAGTGAGGACCTTTACATTAGCCAGCTGGATGTGCTCAGAGTTCTTTACCGAGATCGGCTTTCTGGGGCGCAACCGCCTATTATACCTACCAAGAAATTGCCGACATTCCTCAGAGAAGTGTTTGGCGGCGTGGACAAGGTCAAGAAAGTCAACCAAGACTACCTCCTAGGCCAGCTCAAGTATCGACAGACCGAGCAGGGGCCCTGGATCGTTGGCTTCAGCGACATCTTCCGTGAATGGATTCGAAAAGCGAGGCCTGTGTATGTGGAGTACGCTTCGAACTTTCCTCGAGCGGATTACCTCATGCGGCGTGAAGCCGAACGAAACATTCCCTTCAAAAACTTCCTTGACCAGGCCCGCGAGGATAAGCGATCAAACAGACTAGGATGGGATAATTACTTGAAGGCCCCAATTACCAGGCTGCAACGCTACAGCCTGTTACTTTCTACTGTCCAAAAGAACATGTTGAAAGACTCCGAGGAGAAAGCCAACTTGGCCTATGCTTTGGACGAGATTCGAGCGGCCACTTTCGAATGTGATTCCAAGTTTGCGGAAATGACCAAGAAGATGGAATTGATCGAAATGCAAACCAAATTGAGGCTTCGACCACCAATGGAGAAGGAAGTTGAACTAAATCTCGATCATCTAGGGAGAGAAATTATCTTCCGGGGCGACTTGCAGCGTGCTGGAGGCAAAGGCTTTCAATGGGTCGAAACGCACGCTATTCTTTTCGATCACTATCTGGTCCTAGCGAAGCCTCTCAGCCGTGATCGCAGGGAGGGATATTACGACGTCTCAAAAGTCCCGATACCGATGGATTTGCTTGTCCTTGAGAGCTCTAACGACCCTGCAGTGGTGAAGTCTTCGATGAAAGGGATCGGAGCGGTCACCACAACTGTTGCACCCCGAGGCCAAGTAACGCCTGATAATCGACTTACAAGAGCGCAGTCCACTGCTAGTGGCGGAACTCCCGGTCCATTGACACATACAAATACCAGTCTCTCGATAGGATCTGGCAATGCAAGCCAGAGCATGGTTCCCATCACTACACTGGAGTCGAGCAGTTCCAAAGAGGAGAAAATCATGTACCCTTTCCGTGTCAAGCACCTTGGCAAGACCGAAACCTACACGCTCTACGCACCTAGTGCTCAAAATCGGCAGGACTGGTGCGAGGCTATAATTCAGGCTAAAACAAGGCATGCTGAGGCATTGTATTCTCAAAATGCCGAGCCATTCAAGCTGCGAGTACTGGCGGACACTGCATTCGGCTATGAGGGCATTACGTATCCCGCGAAGCGGATCCTCATCAAGGGAACCCCCTTGGACAGGGCTATTCGAGAAGCCGAGAAGAAGTTTGAAGGCCAGGGCCGACCTGCACCGGTTTGCCGGGCTCCTGTCAACTGCGCCACAGTATTCAACCAGCCATACGGTCGGCTTATGTGCGCGATTGGAACCGACTACGGCGTGTACATCTCCGAGTATCAAAATTCTCGGGGGTGGGTCAGGGTGAGTCTATTCTGGGATGAGTTCTCACTCGACTAACTTCTTGTAGGCTATTCAAATGCAACGAGTGACTCAAATCGCAGTACTAGAAGAGTTCAACCTCTTTTTGCTCATATCAGACAAGGCTCTTATTGCGTACCATCTCGACGTTGTTTGTCCGCCCACGGGCAATCCAGTCGCCCAAAATGACTCCTCGAGCCGGAAAGCGCCGCAGAAGTTGTCTGGCTCCAAGGATATTGGCTTCTTCGTGACAGGCAGGATGAAAGAGCGGACACTGGTGTTCTACAAGAAGAGGGATGGTATAGCATCCACGTTCAAGGTCCTCGAACCTGTCCTTCAAAAGAGCACTACTAGCCGATCACGGTTCTTGCCCTCGGCGTCACGGCGAGGGCAGACAGAATTCTTCCGAGAGTATGACGAGTTTTATATTCCCGCCGAATGCTACGGATTGAACTTGTTCCAGTCGAGCTTGGCCATATCGACTGCAAGGGGGGTGGAAGTGCTGACCTTGGAGAAAAAACAAACATGGAGTGTGCCGAACCTGCGAAGCGATCAGCCAGAGACACAAGCCCATCTTAGTTCTATTGCAACTCGGATCAAAGACCTTAAGCCACTGGGGATGTTTCGGCTTGGAGAAGCGGAGTTCTTGGTTACCTTCGAAGAATGTGCCGTCTATGTTAACAAACATGGAGATATTTCAAGGGGAGTAGTGATGGAATTCGTGGGTCGAGCCAAAGCAGCATCTCTCTACAACCAGTATCTGATCTTGGTTGACGACGACTTTGTGGAGATACGGGACGCCCAAAACGGCCGGCTGAAGCAAGTGATCGCAGGGAAAGACATCAAATTGCTCGACGACGGCGGTGGCGGCTCAGGAGGAGCTCAAACGCAGACTCAGGCCATGTTAGGAGGCGGAATTAATGGACTCGGTCTCAAGAACTTTGGAAATGCCCCGCGAACGCCGAAGATCGTCTTGCAGCATCCCGAGTACGAAAAGAGCCACGTCGTCGTTGAATTGTTGTTGACCACCGACCCGGCTTGAGATCAGCAGCGGCGCTTCTTGGATAACGGGGCTTAGGCAGGGGGCCATGTTCTACCTCATTGTGCAGCAATGGTGATTTGGAGGGTTTCCGGGTGTTTCAGGAGGCGGACAAAGGATGGGACGTTCATGACTGAATGAAATAGGTACGAGTCCTGGTCACTGGCGCCTGATGTTGGTCATGAGCGAGCGTGGGCTTTCCTCCCGGGTTATATGATGGTGGAAGATATGGATTGGCAGATCTTGCATATAATTAGTTATGCTAGAGAAATGAGTCTCGATATTGTTCATGGCGATGGGAGATCTCTTCCAATGTCTTCCGGTGTCAGTCTCGCAGTGTACGTAGATTGTCGAGTCTCGATAAGGCTGAGATTTCCCCAGTTACCGAGAGAACGTTTTCGGAGAGAATCAGGATGCCAAGCGGGCTCTGGCTTTTGGCCCCGGCGTCTTCCTGGAACAATCCGTCAGGATGCTTTCTGATGGCCACCACAGACATGTATCTTCGTATTGAGATGCTCCAGGACATCTAGAGAGCCTACGTCCGCCTCTCCAGCAGAACATGCCGCGCAGAGCGTGACATGCGCTGTCACCACACGCGGAAGCGACCTTGCCCCAACACCCACGTCTCGCTGACGGCCAGCCTGTGCCTCCCTCGTCTGCGCCATGTTAAGCTCGTTTGTACAGAAGTTCATTGAGCAGTCCTCTCTGTCCCCGACCAATGACAACCGCCCGTCAAAGGCTTCTCTTTTCCGGGATCAGTTCAGACTCCCCGCCGGTCAAAATCCCTTGCACGAGATTACCGCTGAACTATACCTGCCTCTTCCCTCGACGCCTGCGGGAGGCCCTATCACCTCCGGAGAGAAAGCGAGGGACAATGGCAACAAATACCTAGGCGAACTGCACTTGAGTGAACACTTCCTGTGCTTCTCGACCATCCGAACCAGTTTCCTACCTACTGCAAGCCATACATCATCCACATCCTTCACAGGCCCTACCCAAGGCGCGGGACCAGGAGGGCATGGCTTTACTCTGCCCTTGTGCTCTATACGAAGAGTCGAGAGGCTGAATAGCCATCAAGACAAGTTCTCGCTAGCCCTCACCACCTTCGAGTCCGTCCAGAAACCTTCGACCGAGAAGACCAAAGCGGTGCCACCTCCTCCCCGCAAGCTCATCCTTACCCTCGACGGTAGTCGCATCGCCTGTGAACGCTTCTGTGATGGTCTGAAGAAAGGGTTGAGAGAGGGCATGAAAGAGGTGGACAATCTGCGGCTTGTAGTCTCTCAATGCTACTCGGAATACCTCTTGGATCCCGCTCGGCTCAAGGCCAAAGAGGAAGGAACCACGCCGCCAGATCCGCCCGACACTGGACTGGGGATGCTGTTTAAATACCCGGGAGACGCCAGGAAACTTAGGGACCGGAGTAAAATCAGACTCTGGGGCGAGTACATGCGAGAGAATGGCCGAAATGCCACGATAGTACGCCAGCCCACTTTCCACAAACTGATCCGTGTTGGGTTGCCCAACCGGTTGAGAGGTGAAGTATGGGAGATATGCTCCGGCTCCTTCTACACACGGCTAAGGAATCCGAACCTCTATGCCAAAACGCTGGCCAAATTTACCGGGAAGGAGTCCTTGGCCATCGACGAGATTGAGAAGGATCTGAACCGGAGTCTACCAGAATATCCCGGCTTTCAGAGCGAAGAAGGTATTGGACGACTCCGACGCGTCCTCACCGCATACAGCTGGACCAATGAAGAAGTCGGCTACTGTCAAGCCATGAACATAGTCGTGGCTGCTCTACTCATCTACATGTCAGAATCCCAGGCATTCTTCACACTCGGCGCGTTGTGCGACAGACTACTTCCCGGATACTACTCGAAGGACATGTATGGTACTCTTTTAGATCAGCGTGTCTTCGAAAATCTCGTCGAGCGGACAATGCCTATTCTTTGGGAGCATCTGGTCAAGTCGGACGTCAACCTTTCCGTGGTGTCATTACCCTGGTTTTTGTCACTATACATAAACTCGATGCCCCTTGTGTTTGCTTTCCGGGTGCTCGACGTGTTTTTCCTCGAAGGTCCGAAAGTCCTCTTTCAGATTGGCCTGGCCATTCTCCGCATCAATGGAGAAGAATTACTTGATGTCAGCGATGACGGCTCCTTTATCTCCATACTCAAGAACTACTTCTCAAGACTGGACGAGTCAGCGCATCCACATTCAGAAAACGAAAAGCTGAGGGCTATCACCAAATTCCAGGAACTCATGGTGACGGCTTTCAAGGAGTTTGCCGGCATCACGCACGCCAGTATTGAGGAGCTGAGAGACAAACACATCGACGGCGTCAAGGAGGGGCTGGCAACATTCGCCAAACGGACATCAATCCGGAACTTGGGACCAGAAAGCAAGAAACTCAGCGCTGAGGATCTCAGTGCCATATACGACAGATTCTTTGGTGTCCTGGCCGAGCGACAAGAGCGTGCCAAAGCTCGCGAGGTAGAGAGAAGAAAGCAGCAAGACCAGAGAGCGCGGCCCGGTTTGTGGCCACAACATTCATCTCGTAACTACGACGAGCCTGCCCGCAATACTGCACCGCTGCAGACTATGGACTATGACGCCTTCAGAGAGTTCCTGGCCAACACGGCCAAATGGGCTGTAACAGACTCGCCCTCGTCACCCAGTAAGGAGATTGCCAGCCCCAATCAAAGTCAGAGGAAACGGAGTAAGACTATGTCCCAGTGGGGATCAGGACCCGAACCCGCCGACCACGACTTCATGCAACGCTTGTACGGCAAATGGGACGAGTCACATCAGGGAGAGATGACGCTTCAACAACTAGTTCGAGGCCTGGCTCAATTCAAAGGCACTACAGACATCATGAATTCTATGAGTCTGTTCTTCGATCTCTTTGACGACGACGGCACGGGCAAAGTCGACCGGGAGGGCATCCTCAGGATGTCTGAATCTCTCTTATTCCTTTCTCGGCGTGGTTTTGACGGTGCCATAACCCCATCTGACACGAGCAATGGACTGGCTTCTCCGCTCTCTGCTTCAGACTCCAGGGAGGGCTTGAAATTGAGCACCAATGAAAAGTTTCTGGGTAGCGTCAGTGCCTTCATCAGAAGATGCTTCGAATACGCCGATCCAGATGAGGCTGTGGGTGCAGCAAGCCCGAAGCTCGACGCGACAACCACCGACAGATCAAATGATGAAGAAGACCTACTTGATCTAACCGAATCACGATCTAATCACAAAACCGTCGCCTCGCCGAAACCTACAGAGAAAGATCCCCTGTCCGAGACAACCCCGCCACATACGCCCTCGCTCTCGAGCGCCCAAGACAATCGTAAATCCTCCTCCTCTCGCGCTGCCTCGCATAACCTCGCCCTCGATCCCAACAAGCCGTTGCATATCACCCTCCCGACCTTTCGCATGGTCATCCTCGCAGATGAACTTCTCGAGCAGTTCTTTGAGACTTTCTTCCCTCAATCTTTCCGTCTGGCCGATCTCCCTCCTAATGCGAGCTCCTTATCGTTGGCGTCAACCACCAATACACTCTCCGGAAATCTGACTACCTTCACCAATCTAGGCACTCCCGTCAAAAACTTGTTGAACGGCGCTCCCTCAAACAAGACTCTACCTGACGTCGGCCGTGCTGGTGGTGTTGTGGAACCGGGTTCTCGCGGCCTGCGAGGTGTTTTGGATAACATTGTGAATGACGGCATGCGAATGGCGGCTGAAATGCGGAAGCGTATGGACGATGCACAGAAGGAGTTTGAGCGAAATGCTCGCGAGCACGGGCAAAAGCCGTATCGAGATGACGAGGATGACGAGGAGGATTATGATGACAAGGACACGGGCATCGGCAAGAGAGATCAAGAGCTGTTGGAGGGTGCCGAGGTCGCTAGTATTCGGCCCGCTACCGGCCCTGGTGGGAGTCTGGATGAAGGAGGTGCGAGGAGTCGAGCCGCGAGCTCTACGACGTCGAGTTCGAAGGGAAGTAGCAGCGGCAGTGGCATGGGAACCCTGAGCCGCAAGACCACAGGCAGTGCGCACAGCGTGAGTATTTTGGATGTTAATGATACGCCGTCGGACTCGAAATGATAGGGAGCTGAAAACTACACCGGCAAGATACACCAGGCCAGGGTTATCGCTACTTAGGAGGCCACAGTGGATTTTTGTCCCGCTACAGTCCAAATACCCCTGAAATCACAAAAGGATATATAGCCGGATGGACGAATGGATGGATGGATGGATGGATGGATGGATGGTATGGAAGTTCTTATCCTTATCAACACGCTCGTGATATGTTCGGCTCGCCCATCTCTCCGCCTCTAAACTGTCAATTCTCTGTAGTCGGTACCTGTTCCAAATAAGCCTATAATATCCTGTGACCAGGCACTCGTTCACACTTGGACGGTTACCGTGTACTTGTGTCGCTACGTCGAGCATGATGGGTAGATGAGAGGACGAGGGCGAGCGAGACATGATCTTCTACCAAAAGGCAATTCTTCGCTTTCCATCGTAGCTGGCTGGCTGGTGAGGCTATGGCCGCAGACAAACTATAGACGGTACGAGGAAACGTATCTGTAAAGATATGAAATACATAGAGGGAAATGCCGAGGACCAAGGGGCCTATTCCGCCTCCCCTTCGGATCCTGAGTCCAGTTTCGAAACCGGGTCTAGGCCCAGGGACTCCTCGGTACAGGAGGATCCTTTCTTCCCTTGTTTGACTTGGGGATTTGGTCTTCAGACACACTGGACAGTGTGACAGTGCACTGGTGCGGATGGGGTTGGTGGTTGATTGAGGGGATATTGTTGTATAGTTCTGATTGGAGTGAGTCAAAATGAAACGTATCTGATCCCATACTCTCAATTGGAGCCCGCCGGATATATGCCATCCAGTCAGCGGTGCGGCGCAAGATGAGTGGAACAGCCCAGTATCCTTCATAACCAACACGCTGAAAACGCCGTAACAAAACGCTGGGAACGCGAGAACAGTCTGGTTCTCCCTACCCAGGAGATTTGGTCAGTCTTTCAGCAACTGAATGCTCCTGGCGCCTTGCTGGAACGCAAAAGTTGAAATGCAGGCGCTCGCTCTGGCTTTCAAGCGCCATGTTTACTCGTCACCGTCGTTGTCGTCGCTACCATCACTGCCGTCTTCTTCTTCCTCGTCGTCGTCGTCGTCGTCTTCGTCCTCATCACTCTCGACAATTAGCCTCTCGCTTCGGGTAACGGCCTTCTTTGTTTCTGTCTCATCTGGGTTCGCCTCGTCATTTTCCTTCTTCTCGTCTTCGGCTTCTCCTTCCTCTTCCCCTTCTTTCTTGTCTCCAACAACCTCTTCTACCTTCTCTGCAACGGCTTGGACCTCGTCCAGCGCGCTCTTGGCCACGTCGTCTCGGTCAAGTGTCGGCATCTCGTGGACATCCTCCTTGGACGGCACGACGACCCTGAGCTCGAGATCCGGCTGCTTGCTGTAGACGCGAAGCCCAACAACGCAGCTTGCGTTCCATGGGTTGCGATTAGGGTCTTTCTCATTGTCGTCAGAATCTTGTTTGGCCTCGTCCGCTGCTGCCGGCGCCGAAGAAGAGGACGAGGTGGACGGTGTTCTGGCTCCAGAGGGGACAGGAGTTGAAGTTCCAGATGCAGACTTTGAGGTAACTCCCGACGGCGACGAGGACGAAGGGAGCTGGCCCTTCTGATGAGCCAGATCGTACAGTTTGCCGATTTGAGTGATCTTGTCTCGTCGGTGGATATTCTTTCTGATGACATTCTCCACCTCATCTCGTCCAGTGGCGTGCGCCTCGACTTTGACCAGCACAGTATAAGTACCTTTGGTCAGACGCACTTCGACGTTCACAGAGCGTATCAACTCATAGTTCATCTTACTTCGAGCGAGGTATTCCTCTTCGTCGTCGTCGTCTTTCTGCACTCGGAATTGCATAGTGTAATTGTACTTACCCTGCAATCCCTTGAAGTACCGCTCATCAAGCTGAGAGAGTACAATCACCGCATCCGTGTCTTCGGGAACAGCGATTGAGAAGTGGTTTGTCTGGTAGTCCAGCGTACTCCAGGGCACTTGCACTGACATCCATTGCTGAGCAACTTGCCAGTCAGAGCCAAAGATGCGGGTCCGATCGATGTATTTGTACTTGCTCAACATATCCTTGTAGGTCATCCAGAAGACACCGTCGTCACCGAACTGGTGGCTCAATCTTGTCAACCACTCAGCGGTCCACTCTTTGGATCCGTCACTCCAGGCACCTGTCCATTCTTTTCGGCCCCAAGGGTTGCGGATCTTGACCAGCCGTTGCCCATGGCCTTCATATGTGTCGAGGACTGCATAAGCGTGTTGGCTCACGATCCCAGAGCGACGCTCCTCTCGGATCTTTTCGTTCGCCACCAGATATGGGCGCCACTCGCGCCAGCGCGCCGCAGCACAAGAGAAAACGAAATCCTTTCCGATGCGGCTGAGTTCTTTTTTCCAAAACGCATCTGTGTCCAGGATGTTGGTGGTATATATTTCGGTCGTGACGCCGCCAGTGAGGTCTTCAATCGCCTCCCCGGTTTGTCCGCCGGAGATGGAAGCATAATCTCCATGCGCCTTAGCATAGGCCTTTTCGAGAAGACTCACCCAAGTCTCGTTTTGATCTCGGCACTGAGCAAAATACAATGACTTGGATCCGCGCTGGAAAAGTTCTTGGTACTGGTCTTCCTGGTCCGGCCTTCGGATTCCATATTGTCCCAGAACTACATCCCCGCTCTCGTCGTATGCCGGTGCCCGGAGATATAGCTTGTCATCAATGATGCATTGGTGCCACTCACCATCACGGTGGAACACGAAGCCATAGACACCAACTGCTTGATCCTGGATCACGCAAACACGATCAATGAATTCTTGATTGCAGCTCAAGGTAGAAATGGCGGCCAAGAACCAGCAATCTCCTGCCGATCCTTGCAGAATATCGTCGTAAGAGACACCATTCACGTAGAACCTTGGTTCGTCGAAGATATCCTAGGAACCGGTGAGCGATCATCCTACCAAGCATATAGAGACTTACTGTGACTCGTTTTGCATCTGCCGGATATTCTTTGTCGTCATCCTCAATGATCAGGCCGTCCAGGCAATCCCTGATCCTGGTGATCTTCAGATCCCTTTCGATATCCCAGTGAGAATCGGTGTATTTCTGGTTCGAGGCTCGGCATTCCCTAATGATTCGTTTCACGTCTCGAATACAAGATGCCTTGGCATCCTCGTAGGACTTGATGGCCTTGTGGGCGATCTCGCCGACAAGTGTCACGGCGCTGAGATCCTTCTCTGTGATCCGGTCGGGTAGAACGCGAGTGACTTTGCCAGTGTACTCGGGATCGAAGTTCTTCCAAAACTTCTTCATCTTGGCCTGAGGATGAGGCTTCTTCTCTTTCGCCGGAGCGGGTGGTGGTGCTGGTGGTTTGTCCGGCACAAGCATGAGTTTGATCGTTTGGCCACCTCCCAGGACCAGCCCATCCTTTGGAGTGGCCGGTTCATCTCCAGTACGGTTGGTTGTAATGGTAAAAGCCGGGTTTGGTCCATCGCCAGAACTTTTCCCATCTTCTTTTATCTGCTCGTCTGCCTCATTTGCAGGGGTTTCTTGCTGTCCGGAAGGATCCATCTCCATGTCATTGCCATTGGACTCGTTATCATCGAGGTCGTTGTCTTGGAATTTGACTTGGTGACGAGACGGGTGGCCGTCACGGACAAAGAGATATCCAGACATTGTTTGCAGCAAGGCTGTAAGGGAACAAAGAGTGGAGATGGACCCTCGATATCAAGGGTCTTCGAATATAAACATTCCTCGCATAATCGGGCTCGCGAGGCTTAGGAGAGAAAGTTAGGCCCCCGCCATGGTCTGTCCCTGCGTGTGAGACGCTAGAGCAGGAAATGGGATCCTATCTTCGATAGTTCAACGCATTGCGAGGCTTGGTTAGTCACACGAATTGGCGGTAAGAAAGTTATCGATACCGGTCAAGGCCTAGTTCGGAGGAGTGGCTCTAAGCGAGTAGGCTCATAGGGTCGAGACTCGGCCAACCGTGATAAGACAAGTTTCTGGGCGACCCAGAATGCCTGTGAGGGTCTTCCGGGCGCCAATAGAGGGCCTCAACGATGGCAAGGGCCATGGGGAAGATGCGGGAGGGTCGCATGCTCGATTGAATGCAGCAGTCCTGAAGAACAAAGCCCGACCATAACGAGGCCAGAGCGCCCAGAAACAATACGACCTGTGTACTTGTATGTAGCTAGCTGGCTAGTTTCGAGGCGCTGCGCCCGACGGGCCGCGTTCGTAGCTGCACAGGCCTCCTGCCTGCGCACGGACTCGAGGATCGGAGTCACGCCAGCGTTGCAGTAGACGGAGTTCTGGGCCTAAAGAGAACGGACAGGGCCGGGGAACTCGCAGTCATGCCATGAACAGCTGAGGGATTGGGGGCGGGTGGCTCGACGAGACCAATCCCACCGTGGCGGCCGTTTTTCGAGGGGAACAGAGGATGAGGCTGAATCCGGGCCTCGGAGCAGCGGCAAAGCGGGCTGACATCTCTTCTAGGTCGGTAGGGTGTGAATGGCACTGGCGGAGTGCGTTGGACATCCGCGAACAGGGCAAATTCCGCTGAGACTAGCTAGTCAGAGCTTGAAGAAGCGACGGGGAGGTGAGAGGGAGTCGACGTTGGGACCGCAGCCCACAAATGAGTTCGTCACGTGAAAAGGCGCACTTGGCTGCACCCACTGCCGGTGGCTCAAAGTCCTGGCTAGCATCCGGCGGTGAGCCTATTTGTGCTGCTGGACCGCCACTGGGGGCAAGCGGCCTGGAGCCTGGAGCCTGGTGGGTGCCTGGCCCGAGTACGAGCACTACGAGTAACTGCACCTCCGGTTAATTTGGCAGCACAAGCATTTCCTTTGGTGAGGGGTACATATTGTAGCTCTTGGAGTAAATTTTTAGTTAAAGGTGGTCGCTTTAACCCCGATAATACCGGGGCCTCTCAACGCATCATCGGCACGCCTGCGCGGCCTATCCAAGCTTAGCATTGCCTGCACTTGCCTTCCTAGTTGTCATCTCTGGACGATTGCAAAAATCTCGGCAAACAATACTTTCGAAGACTCCCTCGCCGGTCCTTTCCATTCTGTCGACGAGCAGCATTCATTTTATCTTTACATGCTGGGCCAATTGCGGTAGATGAGGGATCCAGAGGGATTGCAGTCTGTTCTGACTGCGCCGGGACGCTTCCCGCTCGATTCTGGTTCTCTCCATCGTTTCGAACCACTCTCGAACCAGCCATTCTGTGGTGATGCCGAGGGCTGGGGCCCCGTGAGCTCCCTTCGATGGGATCTAACGCCATGCTTCCTTGATGTTTGGATCGTGGGTGTTGCCCTTTGGGGTGTGCTGTTTGGTGCTGGAGCTTTGTGGTATTTGTTCACCAAACGTATCGCCCAGGACGTTCCCAAAAACTGGCATTTCTATACAAAACTGTGAGGCTTGATGGATATTACTCTGTCGGTATCGGCGGCTGACCTGATGCTAGAACCATTGTCGCTGCCATAATCCTTACGACTGCGCTTCAAGCCTCTCTACAGATCGAACAACTACCTGGTGTGTGGTTTCGAGATATCCGGTTCTATACCTCGATCGCCACAATCCTATCACTCCTGGTCATCTTCACGGTACAATACTATGAGCATTGGCGGTCGCGGAATCCAAATGGCGTTGTGCTGTTTTTCTGGGTCTTCTTTATTCTAGCTTACACTCTGAAGCTGCGTTCGCTGGTGGCTAGGGAATCATACAAGGATCGCCTGCCATACTTCGTCACATTCAACATCAGTCTTGGGCTGGCGGTGGTGGAGTTTATTCTTGAGTACCTGGTTTCGAAGAAACAAAGCGTTTACGATGCGCTGGGAGCAGATGACGAATGTCCGTACGAGTATGCCGATATTTTCTCGGTTCTCACCTTTGGTTGGATGACACCTCTGATGAAATTTGGCTACAAGAATTTTCTTACCCAAGATGATTTGTGGAATCTGCGGAACCGAGATACTACCAGGGTCACGGGAGACAAGTTGCAGAAAGCTTGGGAAATCGAGCTGGAGAAGAAGAAACCAAACCTCTGGATCGCGCTGGCCAGAGCATTTGGTGGCCCATATCTGCGTGGAGCGTTGATAAAATCAATTAGCGACTGTTTGGCATTTGTCCAGCCGCAATTGCTTCGACTTCTGATTACTTTCGTCGATTCCTATCGGCCAGGTCGCGAACGCCAGCCAGCGATCCGGGGAGTGGCCATTGCGCTGGCAATGTTTGCGACTTCAATCTGCCAAACCGCCGCGCTGCATCAGTACTTTCAGCGCGCTTTCGAGACTGGTATGCGAATCAAGTCCTCGTTGACTGCGATGATCTATTCAAAATCCCTGCGGTTGTCAAATGAGTCGAGGGCTACAAAATCCACCGGCGACATTGTGACATACATGAGCGTTGATCAACAACGGCTCGCTGATCTCGCTCAATGGGGTCAACAATTATGGTCAGCACCGTTCCAAATCACCCTGTGTATGATTTCGCTCTATCAATTAGTGGGAGTTTCCTGCTTGGCCGGGGTTGCTGCAATGGTCATCATGATTCCTGTCAATGGCTTTATTGCGAGATTCATGAAGAAGCTCCAACTATCGCAGATGAAGTACAAGGATCGCCGCTCCCGGCTCATGACAGAGATTCTCAACAACATGAAAAGCATCAAGCTCTACGCATGGGGCTCCGCATTCATGGACAAGTTGAGCCATGTTCGCAACGATCTCGAGTTGAACAACCTTCGCAAAATTGGCGCAGCACAATCATTTGCAACATTCACCTGGTCCTCGACACCCTTTTTTGTCTCATGTTCGACCTTTGCGGTATTCGTCTTGGTCAACAATAGACCTTTGACAACGGACTTGGTGTTTCCGGCCCTGACCTTGTTCAATCTATTGACCTTCCCCTTAACAGTCCTCCCTATGGTCATCACGAGCATTATCGAAGCTTCAGTGGCCGTGGGTAGGTTGACTGCATTCTTTATCACAGACGAGCTCCAGGAAGACGCAGTGAGATTTATCGACGAGCCCCCAAAACAGGCAGGGGACGCGTCTGTCTCTATCAAGGATGCTACTTTCACTTGGGACAAGAATGCAGGCAAGAATGTTCTCCAGAATATCAACTTCAATGCCAATAAGGGAGAACTGACCTGCATCGTTGGCCGGGTGGGGGCTGGGAAATCTTCGCTGTTGCAAGCTATCCTCGGTGATCTTCACAAAATCAGTGGCGATACGGTTGTGAGAGGCCGGATTGCTTATGCGGCACAGTCGGCCTGGATTATGAATGCTAGTGTCAAGGAAAACATTGTTTTTGGGCATCGATGGGATCCTCATTTCTATGAGCAGACGGTCAACGCTTGTGCTCTCGTTGATGATTTCCGACAACTTCCGGATGGAGATCAGACAGAAGTAGGGGAACGTGGCATATCCCTATCTGGTGGCCAAAAAGCTCGACTTTCTTTGGCACGAGCGGTGTACGCAAGGGCAGATGTCTATCTCATGGACGATGTTCTCTCAGCCGTGGACCAACATGTCGGACGTCATTTGATCAATAATGTCCTTGGTCCCAACGGGCTTTTGAATGGCAAGGCGCGGATTCTGGCCACCAATGCAATCACTGTCCTTAAGGAGGCAGACTATATGTACCTGCTCCGTGATGGGACGATCCTTGAAAAGGGAACATACCAACAGCTCATGGCCATGCGAGGCGAAGTTGCCACCCTGATCAAATCTGCTACCGCCGAAGAAGAGGAATCCGAAGGAGAACGCAGCCCAAGTATCGAAGGAATGGAGTCCGACGACTCCACAACCATTGTCGGAGCCAACGGCGGCAGCACGCTGGACGAACTTGATGACGAGGAAGTCGAAGAATCGCAACAAGAAGTCGGTGGGCTGGTGCCCATCCACGCCGGCCCCAGTGGTCCCTCGAAGGCCCGCAAATCCAGCTTCAACACTCTTCGTCGCGCTTCGACGACCAGTTTCCACGGGCCCATGGGCCGCCTGACAGACGAAGAACATGGGGGCGCGCAACTGAAAAGTAAACAGACCAAAGAAGTAGCTGAACAAGGCAAAGTCAAATGGTCAGTCTACACAAGCTATGCGAAGGAAAGCAATCTCGTCGCCGTGGGGATCTATTTCATGGCCCTCCTAGCTGCTCAGACGGCACAGGTTGGAGGGAGCTTCTGGCTGAAGAGGTGGTCCGAGATCAATGAATCCCACGGATCGAATCCCCAGGTCGGAAAGTACATTGGCATTTACTTTGCTTTTGGCATCGGTGGTGCTGGATTGGTCGTCATTCAGGTACGTACCTGTCATCTCTCAGTTCCCCTGTCTTGGATCTATATTCTGCATGATCCGTGTCTCACGTCTTGGTCTTCGCTATTTTGTAACACGTAAGTGACCTGAACTGACATGAACCTGTGGGTACTCTAGACCTTGCTTCTCTGGATCTTCTGCTCGATAGAGGTATGGTTTTCCCCTTTCCTGCCCCCGATCTAGGTAGTCTCCGGTACCTCGCACTTCTCCAATCGTGGGTCACGACGATCACGTCAAGAGATCATGGTGCATGCATGCGAGACACGGTTAGACGATCTCTCATGTCGTCTCTGACGCTTTTCCCCATAGGCTTCGAGAAAGTTACATGATCGCATGGCATACGCAATATTCCGGTCTCCGATGAGCTTCTTTGATACCACTCCAGTGGGACGCATTCTGAACCGGTTCTCAAGGTACGTTGCAGCGCCGTCCCGTCCGTACCCTCGGTAGCATTGCTTGTAAGTACATCCGTGCTGACCTCCTGTTTTCAGCGACATCTACCGGGTCGATGAAGTTATCGCACGCACCTTCAACATGGTGAGTGGGAACAGACTCACATTCTTGATCTAGCAGGGCATCTAACTCACCAATCAGCTCTTTGTCAACACTGGTCGCGCACTGTTCACACTCGGCGTCATTGCTGCTTCGACCCCGATCTTCCTAATCCTGGTGGTGCCGCTGGGCTTCGTCTACATCATGTACCAAAAATACTACCTCCGAACCTCGAGAGAGCTGAAACGGCTTGACAGCGTCAGTCGCAGTCCGATCTATGCACATTTTCAGGAGTCGCTGGGTGGCGTCTCCACCATTCGTGCATATCGCCAACAGAGGAGATTTGCCTTGGAGAACGAGTGGCGCATGGACGCGAACTTGCGGGCATACTTTCCCTCGGTTAGCGCCAATCGTTGGTTGGCCGTCCGCTTGGAATTCATCGGGTCTGTCATTATCCTTGCAGCTGCCGTCTTTGCCATCATCTCGGTGACAACTGGTAGCGGCCTGACGGCCGGGATGGTTGGCCTCGCGGTAAGTTTTCCCTGTGGACCGCCGCCATGGTTGTTTCTCATGCACGTCATGGTCGGACGATACACAGCTTAGATGACTGACTCGATCCGGATTTCAGATGTCATATGCCTTGCAGATTACACAGTCCCTGAACTGGATTGTCCGCCAGACGGTCGAGGTGGAGACTAATATCGTGTCGGTGGAAAGAGTCCTGGAGTATGCCAACTTGCCCAGTGAAGCTCCTGATGTCATTTTCAAGAGCAGACCGAGCATCGGGTGGCCCGCACAGGGGCAGATCACCTTCAAGAATTATTCGACACGATATCGGGAAGGTCTGGACCCCGTCTTGAAGGACATCAACCTCAACATCAAAGCTCATGAAAAGATTGGGGTGGTCGGCCGCACGGGAGCAGGCAAGAGCTCGCTGACGTTGGCGCTCTTCCGGATCATCGAGCCGATATCTGGCTCTATCAGGTGCGTGCGACACATGTTGAAACCAGAGTTGCGTTCCGGTCATTACTGTTCTCTGACTGAGGCGAACTGGTGCTGAGCTAACTCATTCTACTGCAGCATCGACGGGCTCAACACTTCATCGATTGGGTTGCTAGATTTACGGCGACGGCTGGCAATCATCCCTCAAGATGCCGCTTTATTCGAAGGCACAATTCGTGACAATCTGGACCCTCGCCATGTACATGATGACACCGAACTGTGGAGTGTGCTTGAACACGCCCGTCTCAAGGAGCATGTCTCGAGCATGCCTGGCCAGTTGAATGCTGCCATTCTCGAAGCTGGTGAGTCCGCCACTGTGTCTTTACCACAGAGGACCCCGTGCACATGTCCATTGTTTTTTTCCCGCGTGTTCTGACTGTCGAATGTTGGCTGCAGGGTCCAATCTGAGCCAAGGCCAGCGTCAATTGGTCTCTCTCGCGCGTGCGCTGCTCACACCCAGCAATATCCTGGTCCTGGATGAGGCAACGGCAGCGGTCGATGTGGAGACGGACAGAATGCTTCAGGCCACGCTTCGAAGCACTATCTTCCAGAACCGCACCATTATCACCATTGCGCATCGCATCAACACCATCCTGGACTCCGATCGTATAGTGGTGCTGCAGCAAGGCCGGGTAGCAGAGTTTGACACTCCAGAAGAGTTGATCAAGAAGCGGGGCCTGTTTTATGAGCTTGTGCGTGAAGCCGGTTTGCTCGATGGGTTCGGCAATGGTGCAGCGGGTGCAAATCAGCATTAGCACAGGCGTGAGAGCCTAGCAAACTAAACGCTTCAAGCAATCATCAGACGGGGAACGATTGCTCTTCGTTCCGGCCCCACGGTACCGATCCCTTAACATCCCTTCCCGAGTGATGACGCGCGATCTCTGGCGACAGAGCAACGCCGTAACTTTGGGTTGAAGGACTGACGGCCCACTTTGATGGTACACACCACTCTGCCGATGCGCAGCGTTCGGTGGAGAAGCAGCATTCACACCAGCCCTGGTCTGGGCGCGATGAGCAGGTGCCTTCAGGGGGAGGGGGGGGGGGAGATCGAATGATTGCACGGCTTGTGGCCCACCAATAAGAGCCGGGACAGGCGCTCCGGACTCGACTAGTGAGCGCTGGAAAGGCCAGCCTCACCAGCCGGCATATGCTGTGTAACCCATTGACGAAAAGGACAAACCTGGTTTTGGTCATAAGCCGCGCGGTGATTGTTAAGGGTTTCTTCCGTCTAGGCAATCCGGTCCTCAATGCAACTACTCCCACGGTCGTGCAAAATATGCGTCAGTGGTGGCACAATGCGAAAAGCAAGAATGAAACGAGTCGGACAAAATGCATGGATCCGTGCTGCGTGCAGTCAGGCGCTCTAAGATACAGTGACTTCCGTCTTTCTGGTACAGGTACCTCGAGCCATATCATTCCCTCTCTGAGCTCAGTGTACCTGTTACCTATTAATAGAGTTTGTGTCCAGATCGTAGTTGTGTGGTTCCACCGAGCGCATGAATATCAAATCCGGGCTTCGAGGCGAAATTCCTTTGGTGGCGGGGCACCGACAACGGGAACACAGAGAGAGGTGAGGGGGTTGCGGGGGCCTCGAGGCAAGCAAGCGCCAGAGCGATTGTAAAATGAAACCACGGCCAGCCCCTGTGGCCTCTTGTACTGAAAGAGTAGGTGTCAGTATTAAAACCCCTGTTGGAGGCCTCCAGGCAATCCTCGGCAGAAATACTTACGTACAGTCCCTTTGCAGCTTCACAGGTATTCGTCATTGGTTGCATAGGACTTCCGTCGAATGAGGCTTTCACTCTTTCCGTGTTCGCTTTGAATCACCTCCTTGGCCTCTGCCTCTTGGTTGCGCCCATGGATGATGCACAAGCCACTAGAGGGCGGAGATGAAAAGCGACGTCAGGCGCTGCCACAATGGTGCAAGTGCAATTCGGAGCCGGAAACAAAGTTTCGCCTGCCATACCTCTGTGAAGGGAGGCTTCTCCATTTCGGTCACCTTCCCCGCCCGCAAACGGCGGTTTGCCGTAGATCTTGGCCAGTTCGAAGGGAGACAAAAGTCAAAATGCGAGGCCGTGTCCGTATCCCTTGAATGGTGGCCACAGCTACTGATTGCCCACGGGAAGCTCCGCGAAAATTTGAGCCTCAGGACGAGAGGAGAACATGTCGGATTGCTTAAGACGGAAAGAGGCTAGCGCGCTGGCCGCAAAATTGCAGAGATGGTGGGTAGCCCTGGTCCAAGATCGTTGACAGAAGCCGGGGGGGAGGGGGGGGGGTGACAAGATTCAAACAGAAGGCCAGGGGGCGGTCTCTGTGCAAGATATGCGGCCCGCCTGGTTCTCTGGCCTCTTGTCTCTTCCCTCTCGGCAGCTCCCGTCTTGCCGTTGGCCAGGCCGAGTCAAGTCCTTGAGGTCTCGGAAAGGGAAGATGTGACAGCATCGTATCTGCAGTTTGCTTCTGTGGGAGAGAGGAAGAGAGAGGGGACGATGAGAGTGGAAAGCAGGGTCCGTCGCTCTGTATCCCTGGCGAGCAACGTTAGCCAGCTAGGAGCTATTGGCCCGAATGATGTCCAGACAGAAGACTCACGGCCAGGTTCACGACCAGCGTAACCAGAATGGGAGTGGCTGGACGATTGATTGATCGATTGGTTTGGCTTGTTGAGGGCATTCGCAGCTCAGCGTGTCACAGAAGGAATCCCTTAGCGTGTGAGTTTACCGATGAGTAGGACGAACGGGCAGACAACGGAGGAGGGGCGACTCGAAATTCGCTAGAGCTAGAAACAAACAGGCTGTTGCTGCTAGTCGTGGTGTTGCATGGTGGTGCGTGGAGGTGCGCGATGATGGAGTTGGAGCTGGAGCTGGAGCCAGCTAGTCAGTGACCGAGGCGATAAGGCCATCGCGCGGGTTCTTGCCAACTGCCGGCACTCGAGGCCTTTTTCACTGGTTTGCAGCCACTTCCTGCAGTCTCCCCTCTCCCCGTTACTCAGACCTTGTCCATGCCCATTTCTGCCTGGCACACAAGTCGGAACCATGCTGCCGTCGCTTGTCCAACTCACCCGAACCGCCAAAGCACAAGCCATCCAAAGCAACTCGATGCACCGCCCCCCTTGCAATGCCTCAACGGGCCGTTTGCTCCAGATTGCAAAGACCGTTGGGACCCCCATGCTGCCAAGGAGTTCATTCTCTCTCACGGAAAGGCTTTTAGGCTGAGATTTGCGTCTGGCGTGAGTATAGGGAACCCCGTCGGAGAAAACTGCAAGCCTTGCACTTGTCCAGCCGAAAGAGGCACCTCGATCCTAAGGAGAGACAGGCCCAAACCGAACCGTGACCCCAGAGCGTGACGGACCGGTGCAACGAGGGACAAGCCCGACAAAAGTCGACTCCTCCCTCCTCCTCCCACCCCTCTCAGGTACACAAGCCTTTGGAAAGAGATGGACTTCTGGTTGCAAGTTTTCTTCTGACACCTGCCGCCACTCTCGAGTCTCGCTATTCCCCCTTTGCAGTGGGAGTTGTCGCTCACTGACACACCAAGACCACCACCGCCGCCATCATCCACCCACCCACCCACCCACACAACCCTCTCTTCTCTTCAGTCGCTGCTCCACGAACCTATGCCCCATTCTATCTCGACTCCCTCTGATCCCCTCCTTGCCTATTGGCTGCTTGCATGGCGTCGTCCGATTGGCAATCGCATATACATCTTCGTCTGGACCACTCCGGGGAACTCGGTTTCCTCTTCCTTTCCCTAGACACTTTCATTTGTACCCAGCTAGCCAGGCCGTCCTTCCGCTCCAACCCTGCCGTCATCCACGCCTCAAAACTAGACGGTCGAGAAAGCGAAATCAAGCAAACAATCCCAAAGAAATCGATCAACGCACCTCGCTGGACTGTCGCACTTCCGTCTTGGTGGCCTATTCATCCAAATCTGCTATCCTCAAGACTTGACTCCTAGAGAAACAAGACGAAATCCTGCCTCTTCTGCAGTCCCTTCTTACACCCATCCTCCTCCGAACCACCTACTGTCCAATTCGAATATTCGCAACGGTAATTGCAGCTCACTGATGGCTGTTTAGAGCCGAGAGCTCGTCCCCATCAATCTCGCTGGCCGGCCTCGTCTCTGTTTTCGTCGCTTTTTGTGGTGGTTTGTTGTTATTGCTTTTGCGGTGTACACAGCGAGGCGACAGATACATTCGACCCTCATACGAACCAAGAACGCCTCATTCTTACAACTTTGCATTCTAGCTCAAGAGCCGCGGCACCATTTCCCTTGCGCCGTTACCCAGGAGCGCACCTGCCACCCAGGCGAAGAAAAGGTTCGTGGTGATTCCGTCTCTCTCTCCACAAGTTGTCGTTCGCCCGAGATATCTGCGGTGATGCGCATGTCGTCCTCTTTGACGCTGGCGGATGTCGAGGAACTGACGATCCGTCGCCGTGAGCGGGTGCCAGTGGGGAAGCCCCAAACTGTTAGCTTGGAGATCCCTGGGGCATGCAAGGCGACTGGGTTTGGCCCTAACTTAGCCGCACTGCATGCGCCTTGCCCCCCAAGGTCTAGCCGCAGTCCTGGGACTGTCCGAGCATGTGTGAACCGTTAGAGACGTTCTAACTAGCTCTCCCCCGTTTGCACTCTGTCGCTCCATGCCTTCCCCTTACCCCTCTACAAGCACACCGCCCCAAAGTCATGCCTTTAGGCTCTTGGGCATTGGCCAGACGTCGCCTGGTCTTTGTACACATGAGGTTCCACGCTCTAGGTCGAATCACAGTCACTAACAATTATGTTCTTCGCTTTAGAGTCAGCTTTGCTTAGACTCCATCTCGGCTGTCGAGCACTCTTTCTCCACTTTCCAAAACCCAGGAATCCTGCAATGTGGATTAAGCCTTTACATTGAAAATGACTTCTGAAGTGAACTTCAAGTCGTCCCCTCAGTCCCCTACCGACAAGCTCTCAACCACGCCTCAAGAAGATCCGAAAACACTTGGTGCTGCAGTATCCGGTCTGACCAAAGAAGCTAAGCAACAATACCTGATAGTAAGCAATGCGTTCAAAATCGGCAAAGAGAACAAGTCGAGTTAACCTTCATTGCAGAATGAAATCAAGAAGCTCGTCGAAGATTGCGAAGATTTCATCGGCCTGGTGCCGGGTCCTCATGGTGTCCCCGAGGTTGTGGTTTCCCCCAATATCAAGAAGGACAGATGGGCGATTATTGGCGAGTCTCATGGGACCTTTGCCCAATACCTGTCCATGCGTAGCCCCAGCGCTCCCGGTATGTGACCCCATTACGGGTCAACACAGTACTGACTGGAGTAGCCCATTGCTGCGGCGCCAATCACCAAAATGCTAAACCCTCGAAGCCAGAACCTGTGGCGGATGCGGTAACGGCAGGCGGTGCAATTACTTGGCCCGCGCAACGTCCTCTGAAGCGGCACAGATCTAAGACCAACATCTGCTCAAGAAATACGTCAAGATCACGGCCTCAGCAGAGTGGTGGCGGAGCAAGGCTCTGGGAAGCTCCCGCATCTCAAATCCGGGTGGACGACCATGAGAAGCTAGCCCACTGGTATAGAGAGGCCTTTTTGATACTGCAACAGGTGGCTTGTCGGCTGGTGGCCAAGGTCTGGATCAAAAGACTCCACCCCAAGAAGGTTCGATGGCTACTCCGGGAACTGTTTTCAACCAAGAATAACTGAAGATTCCAGCAATCGACGCATCCTTATAATGGCCAAATGCCACGGGGCGAGCCTCCGGATCCGGATCGGACTCGGCCACCTTACTGGCCTGCTGGTATGTCATCCATCTTCCCTGCGACATGACCTACCTTATCATATGCGTGCGCATCTCCCAAGAGTCTAACATCTGCTGTTCTTTTCCAGATGTCATCCACCGAGAGCCAGATCATATTGGTCGCGATGGTAAGCTTCCTCCAATGGCATATCCAAGTTTTAATTGCTGACGATGCGCAGACAGAACCCGGCTGCTCGTCCATTTGATCACGAATACCCCCCAGCCAGTCATTACGAACCCTCCGTCGGATGGGGCGAACCAGCAATTCGTCAGGGCTCGAGACCTGCTAGAATCTCTGCAGACGAAGAGAAGTGAGTTGCGAGAAGACCGCTGGGATATCATTCAACAGATTGTGAATGCGAGAGAGAAACAAGAGCAGTATGAGGCCAACGAGATAGGTAAGCCCCTGGGAGAGGTGATAAAGTATGGCCGCAGCACTGACATCGGCAGACGGCGATACGCTGGTCTTTGTTTGTGACTACGGCGACGGTACCAGTTCCAAATTGTCCGCAATCGATTCTGATGACGACGGGCTTCGGCGAGCTGGTTCTGCGCTTGGGGCATCCAGTGACGGCTCCATAGATGCCGGTGAAGAGCATGAACCAACGCCAGGCTCATCTACACAAACATCTCCCAATGATCAGACTGCCACGGACGCTCGCCTCCTAAGCAACAAAGCTCGGACCTCGGGTTTCAAGGAAGCCAGCAGTCGTCGCTACGCACCGCGTCGACCTCGACAGAGCTTCAATAGCGCTCGGGTGGTATCGGTTATTGCCCCGCGGACAGGACAGGAGTTTTCTCCTGGGGTGAAAATGGGGATGGAGGACGGGACGACACTAACAGATGGCGTCATGCTACCAATAGCTGGAATCCACCAGGTACCACCCAGTGTGTTTGCGCGCAATATTGACAGCCACGCTGGGACGAACGCCATGATCCATGCTGCTGCGCATAGTGGTCATCTCACTACAGACCTTCACTCTTCAACCTGGTCAGGGATGCTGCCAGACATGGGACCTGACCCACCTCCCGAGATGTTCGGCATCCCCTCTAATATGGCGCCACACCCGGTTGGCTTGAGACACGGATATTTTGCTCAAGAGTCGCTCGAAATGGCCAACGGGATCCAAAGTGGACTGGCTCCCACCGTCGTAAACCCCATGCTTTACCACGACTTTGGGGACAACGCGCGACGTTCTTTGCCGCTGCGGGTTGCAGAAACACAGCAAGCCGCAATGATACCAACTCCGGACATCAGCATGGAGATGATGGCTGACCGTTGCTACAAGCTCGATCATTGGTGATGTCTTTCAACCTCAAGCTCACGTCTCCGAAGCCTGTGGTCAACCCGTCCCATCTCAAAACAAGGTGACAGTGCCAATTGCGGGCAGAATTCTCGCCGCTCATATCTCAGCAGATCCCATCATGGCCTGCTTTGCCGGAAATACTCTCGACTGCGGTACCCGCCACCACGTTGCACGAATTCCCTTTTGCGCTTTATCACGTTTTGTCGTTTTTATGATTTTCTTCGTTTCGGTCTGCATTCTTTGACCTGTTGCATTTATCGGCTGCATTTTCTGCATTTCTGACAAGGGGATGAAGCACAGCAGCCATGAATTGGAGCAAGTCACAGCTAAAAGTTTGGAGTGAGGTAATGAGTCGGGTTGTCAGGGTGGCGCCTCGGTCGTGCCAGGTGGAAGACAGTGACCATTCGTATTCGGCACGGCAGGATTGGCGAGGCGAAAGATACGAGCGATTCTCTCTTGGGCAGTGTTTTGGCCTTGGGTTTTCGGACTATCTCAGTTGCGACTGCTTTGCGGTTCTGACTTGGTTTGCTTTGATTGTGGTTTGAGGCCCATCGAACAGCTTGTGCGGCGTTCTCATAATGAATGTGAGCATTTGCTTGGGGCTTTCTCGGGTCAATGTAGATGAGATACGAGTCAAGATATTGGGCATCTAACCATGTCAAATGAATGCATATAACCCAAAGATCCAGATGGTGAATTAGTTGTAGCCTAGAAGAGTTGGTGTGAAGTGTGGGTGGTGGTCGATATTGAGTGTGGCGGCCTGGCAGCGGAGTGGCATGCCCTGTTCGATCTGGGCACGTATCCAGGGATCTCGCTAGGCATGTCTTGGGGGCCTCCCAGCTAACGATGCACCCGAAGAGAGCAGCCAATAGGCGAGGCTTACCCAACGGTCACCTCGGTCGTCTTCGATTTCTCCGTCTGGAGCGGGCGCGCCATCGTCACTTTCTTTGTTACACGAGCTTTTCACGCCCACGCGACGACGAGGGACGAGGACAAAGACAGCGACGAACGCAGCGCGCTTGCTTGCCATCCCTCCCACCTCGCGACTTGCATATTTTCTTCTTCACTTTCGATAGTCCCATCGACCGTTTCAAGCTGAATTTGGAGCCATAGCCATCTCGAGATTCACCCTCCCTCTGCCTCTCGCCCTGACCTCCTCGACATTCTCCTACATGACATGACAATCCTCCGATGTTGATCGATCATTCTTGCGCCCATGTCTGCGCCGCCGTCCACCCGCGGACAACGCGGTGGCAGCTCGACCAGAGGCGGACGAGGGACTCCGTCTCAATCGACCCGAGGGCGCGGTAGCACTCGCGGATCTACCACTGTGAGAGGACGAGGCAGAGGCGCAGGCGCAAATGTGGGTGCTTCAAATACCAATGGCGAAGGGTTACTGCAGCGACTACGTGCGGGAACTGTCAAAAGAGGCGATGACAATGGACCGTCTGGGCCAGGGAGAGGTGAGCCCATCGAAACCACTCGCTCGGCGACAAACTAAGGCCATGCTAACCTGCGCCAGGACGCGGTGGTGGTGGTACTGGAAATGCAATGCCCTCTACCGCCGGCTCTCGAGGACGTGGCCGCGGATTCGCGAACTTGTCGCAGACATTCAACACACCCAAATCCCAAACGTCAAAACCTGGCTCTCGAGCGGCTTCCCCTGCACCTGCCTCCCACCGGGACTTTATGAATTTGGCCTATAACAAATTTCAAGCGGTGCGTTGCGGCCCATTCCATATTTCGCTGACTATGACTGCGTCTATAGGTTTCTGACGTGCGAGACCTTCATATAGCTCAAGCAAAGCCGAGAAGAGGAAAGGGCCAAAGCAATTCGCGATGGCTTTCTCGCCGATCCGGAGAAGAAGACCAGCCTGGATAAAGCCATCACCCCGGTCGGAACCTGCACGGAGATGTGCCCAGAATTCGAAAGAGTGGAGCGGATAGTGCAGAACATGGTTGACAAGGCAGAGAAGGTGAATGTTTTGTTTGTTCGCTTGTGGGCCAGTATGCTGAAGGTATGGGTAGGTGCGCAACGAAGAAACAGGCAAGGACATTCCCGCAGAAGATCGCATGGTCAAACGCTTTCGCCGGTCTGCTGCTGGGTACGACGAGCAACTGCCCTCCGATATCCGAACCCCCGAGACTCTGGAACGTACGTTGGACTACCTCCTCGACAAAGTCATTGGTGGTGGTGAACGATTGGCAACCGTCCACAAATTTGTCTGGGATCGAACGCGAGGAATCCGCAACGACTTCTCAATCCAACAAGTCACCAATGTGCAGGACGTCAAGCTTGCCGTTGACTGTTTCGAGCGAATAGCAAGATTCCATATACTGTCGTTGCACCAGTTGTCAAACCCTGACAATCTGCTGGAGGGAGAGAACTTTGACACCTACCAAGAGAGAGAGCAGCTGAACAACACCCTCCTATCTCTGGTCTACTATTACGATGATCATCGAGGGCGTATTGACTTTCCCAACGAAGCAGAGTTTCGCGCTTATCTCGTGATCTTTGAAATCCAGGCTCCCGAAAGACCGGACTTGGAAGACCGCATGCAATCATGGCCTAGGGGTCTTCTCAGAGACAAGAGAGTCCAGACGGCACTGAAGCTGTACAGGGCGGCAGGCAACTCCCTACTCGGCCAGGGGCCTCTTCAACCATGGGAGCCTTTCGCCGTAGCTCAGGGGAAAACGGGAAGCTTTTGGAACCTTCTCGCCTCTGATGCGGTGCCCTACATCATGGCATGCCTCGCTGAGATATATTTCGCCGAAGTGCGTTTTGCTGGCTTGGATGCGCTGTGGCGCTCGTGCAAGAAGGGCCCTCTGGCACAACAAGCAAAGTCGAGGGATTGGACACTGGGTGAAGTAACAAACTTCCTTGGGTTTGATTCCGACGACGAGACCAATGACTTCTGCGCCGCTTTCGATCTCTACTTCGCCACAGATGATAGTGGCGAGGAGTATCTGGATGCGACGGCAAATAGTGCTCAATCGCTCGACCGTACGTCCTTCCACCCACCCACCGTTCTTCACCGCCGAGTACTGATGTCTGTGTAGCATCCTCGATACCGCGGCGCCAGGTTTTTTCGCACAGTTACGTGGAGAGGAAGCGGTACCACCGAACACTGACCGCCGTCATCAACGGGGCAACCGTCGCAGAAGCAATTCGTCATGGCTGGGTTGAGTCTGAAGAGGAGGATGCCCGCCCTATAGATGATACCAGGGATGATGATCAAGGCATGTTCGTTCCCGAGACGAAAGCAACATCCACCTCTGCAACTTCCTCGTTCTCAGGGCCTTCACTCAACCCACAAGCTGCCTCCTTTACACCGACATTCGGCCAAAGCACGGCCTCGTCAAGCTGGACGAAGCCAACGGAGTTTGCTGGATTTGGTCCGTCCAGTCCATTCAATGCTGCTGCCTCTGTCAAGTCGACAGATGCGTCTCCATTTGGCAAGCCTCTGAAAACTGGCGGTTTCGGATCATTCGATCCATCAAAATCGACCGATTCGACTGGCACCTTTGCCAAGTCGACTCTTGCTCAGCCTCAGCAAGCTTCGACCTTCGGCTTTGCTGGATTCACAACATCAACAACACCATCTTCCTCAACGTTCGGATCGCCCGCACTAGCACAGAAAGAAAACAAGCCCTTCAGCTTTGGCGGATTCACTGCCAAGGTTCCGGAGGAACCTACTCGCTCTCAAGGTAACGAGCCTGTCGCGCCCGCGTCTACGTTCAACTTTGGCAAACAACCCTTCGCCCTTTCGGCGTCCGCGGCCTCATCGGTAACTCCTCTTGCGGCCGTCTTTGGGGAACCGCCAACACCACAATCAACTGTTCCTGCCACGTCACAGGCGGGTCAAGGTAATGAAACTTCACTTTTGTCTCACCTTGCCACATTCCAGGCCGCTGCTAATCCTTTGTTTCTGCAAAGTGAACGCCCCAACGACAGCTCCATCGTCAACACCCTTTCAATTCGCTTCCCTCACGCCATCATCTTCTACTTCTGCAACGTCTGAGCAGGTCACTGGAGGCTCAACTGCCCCATCATTTTTCACATCGAACGAGAAACCTACAACTCATCCAGAGGCCGCCCAGGCAACGTCGGAGTTGGAGAAGCGCTCGCCATCGACCACAACTCCAGTGGTTTCGTCTCCAGAACTGGTCCCAAGTCCCTTCTTCAACCCAAGTACCGCTGGCTCTTTCCAGGTCCAACCTGCATCAACCACTGAACCTGTTTCGAAACCTACTTTAGAAAAGTTTACTTTCTCTCCTGCGACAACTTCGCCCACGACCTCTGGAACTCAGCAACCAGGCTTCCAACTTGATAAAATAAAACCCACTTCGAGCCCAGCCTTCGAAGAGCCTCCTCGTCGCAGCACAACTCCTCCACACTCTCCTCGTCAGTCTCTAGCCAAGCCGGTCTTTACCCAAGCAGACCGGAGCAAGCTTGCAGAGAACGTCGCCAGAATTGCTTTGACACAACAGAGGGGATTGCTTAACAGCTACCTAGATTTCACACTACGTGACCTTGTGACAACCGCCTTCAATCAACATCGGCTAGAAGCTCGCGATGCAGCTATTGGTTAGTCGCCATATCCCTTGACTAGAGACACACCACTGACCCTGTTTGGCAGCATCTGTTCGTGAACGTATCCTTGCGCGCAAGTTTGGATATCTCTGGCGAACACGCGCCTGGACCAGTGCCCTGAACCGACGGGCGAAAACCAGACGCCAGCTATTTGCGGAGACAGTCAGAACTGAACAGGCAAGAAAACAAAGAACAGAGGAGGAACTCGAGGAGATACTGAGGGCAACAAAGGAAACAAAACGTCTTCAAAGAGAGGTCCAGCAGGCTGTCGGAGCAGGAAAATCCATGACTGCCCTGCAAAACGGTGCACAAGTCGGCAACGTTGCTGGAAGAAAGCGCAAAAGCTTCTCTGGTGCAAACCCCACAGCTCATGGGACACCGTCGGTTTCTGGACATAAAAGGTCGAAAACGATGAGTGTTTCTTCAGATCCCTCAGCCTCTACAACGAGCCAAAGGCCACCCGTCCCTGCTTTCAGGACATCCACTACCAGGCCGCATCAACATGTCTCCATCTTTTCGCGCACATCTACACTCAGTCCATCAGCATTGGCTCAGAAACTCGATACTACACGCACCGATTATTTCAGGCTTAAAGCTATGGGTGTCGACCCCGAGACACCGATCATCCCCGACACCCAGCAAACGCTAGCTATTCGAAGACAAAGAGAAGCAGAAGAGAGACAAGCAAGTCTTAAGAGAGCAAACCGGCGCATGAGAAGCTCTCTTTCCTCTGCCCAAAGCTCCCCTGCGCCAACGCAGCCACCTGCGGTTACTGATACTCGGACGTCAGATGCGAAACCATTACCGCACCAGATGGCCCCTCTGCCTCCAGTTGAAGATGATTTCCTGATGCAAATCAGGCAAGCACGTGAAGCAATGGTAGAAGAGATCGAATGGTTCAAACAGCAATCCGTGTCACTGGAGAAGGAAATCGAACAAGAAGAAGAGTTCCAAAGAAGCCAAAGCAGTCGTGACCACGGTAGCCCTAGCTCGGCAAGTGGTATGCTAAGAGTCAACGGTTATGAATACCTACCGGGAGCAAACAAACCAGGTTCAAGTCTGTCGCGGACCGAGCGGCGTATTCGAGAAACTGGTGCCCACGGACTAGCCACGAAGCCTCTGCGAACGAGCTCGCAGTATGTGCCTGTTGCAATGTCGAAGAAAAGTGCACGTGAATACTCCAGAGGGTTAAGTATCTCGAGTCCGGGGAGGAAACGTGCGCACGATGATGTGGACAAAGTGCCTCATGACAAGATAACGAACCGGAGCTCCAGCAGTCTACCTGCTTCCAAACGCCCTCGAGCCGCACCTTATAAGACCATAGACCCGACCGTGGGCCGTTCGAAGCCAAACCATATCGCCAGAACCCAAGGCAACAATTCTTTCGATCTGCTCCAGTCGCCCCCAACCGACGACCAAGGCAGAGCAGATGACGATAGCGAAGGAGGCGACCATGATCAGGACGAGCTGTACGATGAAGAAGGGGATCTCTCTGGACATGATCCTCTCCAGGATGCACGCAATGGGACTTATGCATACGATGAAGATGAAGAGTTGGAGGAAGAGGAACAAGAAAACAGATACCACCTTGGACAAGCAAATGGAGAAGGGGAGCACGAAGACGAGACTGAGGAGGAAGACGAGGACGACGACCTCGAGGACTACGACAAGGAAGAAGACGAAGAGGACGAAGAAGAAGAGGACGAAGAAGAAGAGGACGAAGAAGAGGAAGAAGAAGAAGAAGACGAAGAAGAGGAAGAAGAAGAAGAAGACGACAGGCAATATACTTATTCAGCGTATCTCCAAGCGCGCCAGGACGAATATGACGACGGCGAAACACCCCTGACGAATCCCCAGCTTAGCCGCGCCGCCAGCAGCGCCCCTGGTGGCAGTGTGGACGATGCGCTGGTTCTGAGCGACAGTGACTGAGCGGATCCCGAACATGTCGGCGTCGTCAAGGTTCGACACAGCAATCTATCGGTCGGTATGTGTGGGATCCATAGCTATGTAGCTAGCTCCCGGTCCCTTCTTCGCGGGCTTTGCAGGGGGGATTACATTTGGGAACTTGAGGACGGGAAAGGCAAGGCGGTGGACAAGCCGAGTCGTCAAAATGCATTCCAGGACTTCTCTTCTCCTTCTTTGCTCTTCTCTCTTCTCTCCTTGCGAGTGAGTGAGAGTTGCATAGGAACAAAGCAGAAACGGCAACGGCAACGGCAACGGCAACAATGGCAACACAAACCTACCCCCATCGATCTACGTGGGCGATTAAAGTTAGAGATCAACAATAGTACCTACCAGCTTGGCTCATCTGTGCTTGTGCTTGTACCTTGTGTTTGTTTGTGTGTTTGTGTTTATTTCCCTTTCTAGAATCTTCAAACCTACCGTTGGACTTCGGTGCTTGGTCCCTTGTCTAGCGATCATCTACTACCATTGACGCTACCATCTTTCATGGCGAGTGTCGAGTCTGGGAATGTTTATCTGCCAGTCGATCGGTCTCTTAGTCTCTTAGTCTCTTAGTCTGCTGATCAGTCGTATTCATGCATGTCCATCTACGGAGTGCATGCTGAGTACGAGGTACATTAATACAGAGCTGCTCCACCTCCCCGATTCGTCTGGACTCTGTAGGATGGAGTCAACCAGAAAATCGTCCTATATTCATGCAAATTCTCTATTCTCGGTCTCTCATTTTTCCCTTCCAAGGAGAGAGGGAAACATCTCTGTCTGTCGGGGACCTGGCTACCTGGCTACGCCCATCCCAGTCCTCACCGAAGGCCGAGTCGGGGGCTTTTCGTTCCTTTCGTGTTTGAGGTGTGAAAAAGGTCGGACCAGGTCAGACCAACTCCAGACCCATTATATCAATGATGCTTGCTTGCTGGCTAGCTAGCTTTGCCTGTTTCTATACTTTACTTTTTCGCTTTGGCGCTTGTGCGGTTCTCGTCACAGTCTCTGGCTACGTACGCAGGCGCCGTTTTAGGCTACCATCCTCCACGCCCAGCGAATACATAGGGGATAGATAGACATACAAGTCCGCTCGCTCACCCGCCTACCTGGTCACTTCGCTTAACCAACAGAAGCAAAGAAAGCAAGCAAGAGAATGGACGTGTATTCGTTCATAGCTTCGCCTTGAACTTGGCCGAGCCCAGCTCGTTACGGTCCAGACCCATGGTTCGGAAGAGCTCCTCGGTCTTGGCCTGTTGGCGTGCGATGCGGGCCCGGATCTCGTCCTTGCGCGTCTTGTTCTCGCGGCGACCGAGTTGACTGAGATGGGCTGGAGGGATGGAGGGTTAGTAAAGGAGGGCTCTGCTTGGGAATGTCAAGATAAGAGTAACTCACCCTCATCTGGTCCGTCGGCGATTCTCAACGTCCTCAAGTGTGCCCACATGTGCGCCAGCGGCGTATCCTGGCATACGCCCATGGCACCGTGCACCTGAATTGCCCGGTCAATGACCTCGAGCGCCATTTGCGGCACCTTGACCTTTGCCTCGGCAATCTCCTTGAGCGCGAACTTGGCGTCCTTCTGGTCAATCTTGACGGCAGCGTTCAGCACAACCAGTCTCGAGGCATCGATCTCGATCCTAGCTTTGGCGACCCACTCCAACAGCACACCGTGCTCGCGGAGGGGCTTTCCGAAGGGGATCTTCCTGTCGTCGTTGAGGCGGTTGATCAGCCACTCGAGAGCCTTTTCAGCGGCGCCGACAGCTCTCATGGCGTGGTGGATTCGACCAGGTCCCAGACGGCCTTGCATGATCTCGTTGCCTCGGCCCTCACCCAGAATGAGCGCGTCCAGGGGTACTTTGACGTTGTCGAAGGTGATGTGGCCATGGCCGTGAGGGGCGTCGTCGTATCCAAACACCGACAGCATGCGGTGGACAATGATACCCGGAGTGTCAGATGGAACCAGTAGCATACTCTGTTGTCGGTACTTGTCTGGATTGTTGGGGTCGGATTTGCCCATGACAATGAAGACCTTGCAGCGGTCATCACCGGCGCCAGAAGACCACCACTTTGATCCGTTGAGGAGGTAATGGTCACCCTTGCGCTCGATGCGGAGCTTGATGTTGCTGCCGTCCGAGGAGGCAATATCTGGTTCAGTCATGAGAAAGCCTGAGCGGATCTCGCCTGCGAGAAGAGGCTTGAGCCATCTTTCCTTCTGGGCCGGGGAGCCATAGCGGGCGATGACCTCCATGTTGCCTGTGTCAGGAGCGGCGCAGTTGCATGCCTAAATGGAGGGGCCATTCGTCAATAGGAATGGCCTAAACGAAGTCGCGGAAAGGGAATAATCGGTCATAGAGCCGCAGAGCCGCAGGAAAGGACGGGTAGGAAAACACACCTCGCTGGCTGTAATACTCTTGCCCAACTGCTCGGCCATAAGCCCATACTCGACGTTGGTGAACTGAGGCCCCTCCTTGAAATGGTTCTTTGGCAAGAACATGTTCCAGATGCCCAAGGCCCGGGCTTTCTTCTTCAGGTCCTCCAAGATGGAGGGGTGGCCGTGCCAGCGAGCATCACCGGTGCCGATTTGTGAGGAGTAGACGACATCGGCGGGGATACATTCCTCGTCAACGAATTTCTCGACCTGGGCGGCGAAGAGAGGTAAGATTAGAGAGTGATCGAGCGGGACAAGGAGCGAGCAGGGTAATATACCAAGTCCAACAGCTTCTTCGCCCGCTCCGACACAAAGGGGACGGCAAGAGGCGGGATGTTCTCTGAGGCGGGCATCTTGAATGGAGTGGGGTGGCGTCCTCGGTATGCAGGAGGGAAATAGTAGAGCTGGCAGACGATGAGGATCAAGGGTGGCAGAAGGCAATCAATATGTACTCGGGGCTCGTCGCGATTCCCAGACCCTCGGCTACTGAGCAAAGCGAGAGAAAGGAAGGGATGTGTTCAATGGGAGACGGTGGAGGGCGCAGTTACTTTGTAGCTTGTTCGGCTGTGAGTCTGAATCCGGGGGAGTTGGAGTTGGAGACTGCGACTTTGTGCCTCGGCCATTGCCTCTGCCAACTTAGCCACCAGCCGAGATGCCTGGGGGAAGCCCAGCGAGCCAGTGAGCCAGGCAGCCTGCAGACCGCCACCAGCGGCTGATTTCCAGATCCGGGACAGACACGGCCGGGGGCATAACCGGCTCGAGCGAGGTAAGTCAGGCACTGGTACAGACACAACAAATACACCGCGGGTTGAGAGGGTTGAAATTCTCCATTCTTGAAAGACTCTTGTCAATCAATGCCCGTCTAGAGGCCAAAGTATCAATCTAGCTACTTCTCGCTCGACAAGCTCTCTGCTCTCAGCAAAGCTCTCAGCAAAGCTCCAGCTCCATCTCTTTCAAGCCAACAAAGTAAAAAAGTCCCCGCGCGTCCAGGAGAATTGATGCAATTCAAAGAGCACACACGCCTGTCTCAACACCTCAAATGGCCTTCTTCAAACCTGAATAGTGAACCGTTCCCCCTTCGCTGCCGACAGCAACACCACTCCCACCCCAAGCTTTTCTTCCCATATCCTATGATGCTGTCCTTGTCGGATTTCATGTGGTGAATCCCCACGGTAAAATAAAACACTCAAAAAAAACATACTCGCGGCCGCCGCCGTGCCCAATGCCTTTGTCCGGGTATTTTTGGTTTCTGATTGCTGTTGGTACACGCCATGACACCTCGTCGATAAACAAGCCCATGTTTGCAAAGTCATCAGTGTCAAGGTTCCAATCAAGACAAAAGCGAGGGTGGGAGTATTTTTTTTCCTTCCTTTTCTCAAAAGCATGGCAATGTGGTCTTCACCTGACCCATCCAAACAAAAACACAAGACTCGTTCCCCCCCTGCTGGGATTGTAACTCGCCCCGGTTCACACAAAGTTCGAATAAGCTGACAAGAAGGTGATGCTCAAAGAATTACAAATGGAAGTTGTGCCAACCTCCAACCCACTCAAGTTCATCCTCGTCAGTCGAGGATGAATCCGTCACCCGTTGTTGCCGCCAATCTTGATCCAGGTACGCCGGACGAGCCTTGGGTCGGCTGTCGCGACGGTGCCATGGATGCTGATGGTGGTGGTGGGGATCATGTCCCAATCCGGTCGTAGGCTTCCTACGTGATCCCGTCGTCATAGATCGTTTCTTGAAGGTCCATGTCTGCGTGTCCGACTCCGTCTGGTAGTTCCGCCTCTTGTCGCCCAGTGCCGCCCACTTGTCCACGGGAAATTGTTTGGGCGAGTGTCGAGGAGTTCGTGCACGCCACCCAAAAGGGTCGTTCTCATTGGCCCCATCGCTCGTCTTGATGGGCGATACGGGCTTTGGCGTGCGGCTGCGGCAAGCATTGCTAGAAGAGCGACTCTTAGACTCGGTGAGCACCCCAGGAGGGACTGGGAGACGTTTTTGACTGTCTTGACTCCAGCTTCGCGAGTTTTGCTCACGTCGCAACTTCAGATCAGCCTCGCGTTCCGACTCCTCCTCATCTTCCTCGAACATATCACTCCAACTCTTGGCGACCGTATCATCCTTCTTCTTTCCAAAGATGGACGACATGGTGGGAATGGGCCGGGAGGCACGAGATGGTAATGAGTTGGGGATGGGGAGAGGGTCCGGCTGAGGTGGGTTGCGGGCAGCAGATCGCCTGAGGGTCATGGATTTGAAGGATCCATAGGCTGAGTCGAAGATTGACGTCAGAGAAGGCGTGGTGCCGTGGCCAGAGTACCATGACTCTCCGAGCTTAAGGCTCTTGTCTGAGTCAAAGAGATCTTCCTCGTACAGATCAGGGATCGAGTCAAGTTGCTGCTTGAGAGGACTGGCATGCAATGCCTTGGCCCACGGGAAGGAGTCGCCATCCATCTGAGGACTCTGAATTGACGGAGTCCGCAAGGGCTCGCGATTGGCACTGGCTCGGACAACATCTCGTTCCTCGGAACAGAAAAAGTCGTCGAAGGATTCGTCCTCGGTGGTGAAAGCAATGGCACGGAGAACAGCTTGCCTCACGGCGCCTAAGTCCCGTTTGGCAGGGTCCAAAGCCATGGCCACAGATAGGATCTCAAAGGTATCCTGCGACATGCTGGGAAAGATGTCAAACAGAGACTGGCGGTCTCGACGATAATCGGCAAAGAGGATGTCTGATTCCGTGGGTGTCACAAAGGGATTCCTGGCAAAAAGGACATTGAGCAAGCAGATACCGATAGACCAGATATCTGCCTTTGCGGGGGAGTAGCCCGCGCCGGCAGGATCGTACTGTTCCGGGGCCATATATCGGTCGCTTCCAACGCAAGACTCGTAAGACCATAGGCTCTTGGTGGCCAAGCCGAAATCCCCCAGTTTGACGGAACCATCTTGGGTCAAGAAGATATTCTCAGGCTTGATGTCTCGGTGAAAGAGGCCGTTAGCATGCATATGTTGCACGGCGCTGATCAGCTGCAGCATGAAACGTCGAACGTGCTCAGTCTGGACAGGACCCCGGTTGAGGCGGATGGCTTCGTACAGGTCACCTTGCGAGCAGTATTCCAGAACCAGGTAGGTGTGAGCGTCGGTTTCAAAGTGATGAACCAGGTTAACCAGGTGATCGTGGTGCCTCAGAATTGCATGGCACGCAAACTCTTCTGTCCCTTCGTCCGTGGTTGGTACCTGTGTGGACTTGGCGGTAACAGAAGGCTTGGTCAAACATTTGATGGCCACATTTTGCCGAGTCAAGGTGTCCTCGGCCAGGAAGACCATGCCGAAGGAACCATGGTTGAGGGGAGCAATGGTTCTGAAGCGACCATCCAGAAGTTGATCCTTGTGGAACTCATCTTTCATGCACTCCATCGTTGTATTGGCGGATATCAAGAATGGGGTGAGCCGGTATATCTCTGATGCTTCGAGCAGCGTTCTATCCTTTTTGGATTCAAGTGACAAGAACTTTTGTTGACTGAACAGCGACGTGTAATATGACCCAGGAGGACTTTGTACAGCAGTATAGACAGGAATGGGATCGCAACGTAGACGCAATGTGTAAGAGCAGATACGCTCAGGAGGAAACGTCGAGTATAGGAACTGGAACCCGGACACCAAGCATAGATCCGCCTTGTAGCTTCAATTCTTCAACCTCCCCACTTATCATGTGTTAGAAAAACGCCCAGTCGAGAAGGACACCGCGGAACTCCTTGTCGTTCGTGTAAGGTCAGAGGCTCATAGAGGTGGTATAGGTCGTAACGTAAAACAAAAGGAAAAGCTGATCGCTGACGCAGAGCCTGCTGGGCTCGTTGTGCAGTCGAACGAGCAGAGGCGTAAAGAGCGTCAGTTTATTGTGTCATGGTCGAAAGGATTGTGGGACTGGTTCCGGCAGAAGAGCCAAAGAATGCGGATGAAGAAGTAGAGGAGGGAGTGAGGATAGTCGAAGAAGTGGTAGAGATTCGAGAGATTAGAGAGAGAGAGAGAGAGTGGGAGAGTGGTGAGTTGGTTGAGCTGACCCCAAGGTAGTTGAAAGCGTAGTTGGTGTCACGGCTTGTCGAGCTCCAGATGCCTGTCGACAGGCAGCCACAGGGTTTGTTGCCACTGAAGAAGCTGGTGAACAGGCAAGACGATGAAGAATGAGCTTGGATGGTGTAGTCTTGACTCAAAGCAGAGAGCTTCACCCCTTTGTCTGAAGTTTATTGTGGTGTGGGCTGAGCGTGACTTGACCTGACTTTGACCCAGTTGACACCCGCAACAATGATTCACCAACTAAGCCGAATCCGAAAGGCAGGGTAGACTCGACAGATTCGATGCTCAAATAGCCCTGATATCCCAGGCAGATCGAGGAACAGTTCAGTGGTATAACAGGATTATAGGTACAGTTGTGATGGGGGTGGTTCGAGCTCAATGCCGGGCGTGGTGGGGAGTCGAGGACCAGCGGGGTGTGAGGTCGCTGGGCGACGGCGAGGAATGCTGGCGAGCAGAAGGAACGTCGTCGAGACGGGAGGGTGAGAAGGAGAGACACGGCCAGGTGTTAAGTTGTAGGTGACAGGGAGAGAAGAACGAACACTCGTGAGGGCTTTTGATTTCACATTGCAGGGCGGTCGATTTGGAGGTCGAGTGGTAGGGGCAGAGGGTAAACAGTGAGACGAAGATGGCTGAGTGGTGGTTATGAAGCAGGAAGAACAACCACCAAGACCCCAGGTGCGGCGGTCGAGTTGGCGGTGACGGGTGGCTCTGACAGCTTGGCCCTGCCCGGTCCCTGGGAATGGTGCATTCTGGGGCCAGCCGAGCAGTGGGCACACCACTCTCACGGAGCGCCCTCACAGGCCTAACTTTGACAAAGGCGGCAGAGGGCTACGGGCTACGAGCTACGGGCAACGGCGAAAAACTGCCCACCAGTGCCTGCCCCAACAAATGACGCTGGGCCCTCGCCCACTGGGCGACCGAAGTCAATGGAACCAGCCGGCAACTGCAGGGCCAGACAGGGACGAATCACGCCGCCGCGGGTGGGGGGACTGGGATTGTGCCTGCGCCTGCGAGGGTGGCCCACGGTTGGAAGGCAGCTGCAGGAGCTAGTCTGCTTGGGGACTGGCGGCTGCTGCACGAGCAACACCTCGCAATTTCCTGCTAGCGCGTGACCCATTTTTCTTCTGACCCTCGCTGGCTTTCTCTGCCTGTCCTCGTGCTCATTTCTACGCCTGAAGGTTTGAGGGGCTTGACGAAGCAATGCCGCCACCCACTGCCCTCTCTTTTTTTGTCTCACACACGCGCAGACAATCCCTCCCACCCTGCAGCGATCGATGCCCTCCAAGCCATCCAGACCCAGTGAGACCTCGACGGGCTTGCTCAGTCAGGTGCAAGCCAGACAAAGGCTCCCTTTTTGAACCACCCTCCCACTGCCTCCCTACCCGCTTTCGGCTCCTCGCTTTGTCTCCTCCAGCCAATAGTCACGCCACAGCCATCATGAGCTTTGACAAGAAAATGACGCCGCCGCCGGGTAGCGAACACGCAACCACCACAGTGGATGATGACCACGAGGCCAGAGGTGAATAAAAGAGGACACTTTGCAATGAACAATAATAATATGGAGTACCTAATTACGAATGTCGGTCCCAGAGGGAGCACGAGCCCCCGAAGGCTTCCATCCCCCTTTGTCATGAAGAATGCATTTTGCCTTCATAACTCGACTCTGACAATCCCCGTTCTGGATGCCATATCCGGGCACCTACAAAGACAATCCTGCTCCCGAGTTCCGTGGTTATTTCCTTTGTGATAGGGCAATGCAGCGACTGCCTCACGCAACTCGTCTTAACTGTGTCTCCGATCCCAGGTGCCCTGCATTCATTTCAAGAGCTGACAAGTCAAGGAATCCTAATCATTGGGCCTGGACATTGGAGGCACAGGATGAAAATCTCTCACTTGGGTCCTTATCGTTGTTGCTCGATGCTCTTCTGGCTGAGTCAACCTTACGAGTTCACCCGCAGGTCCCATTGATAGCCCGAAGTGACCTTGGGATGGTGGTACAGCACAGTCCTCCCCCTGGAAGCTTACCCCGCAAAACTGGGAATCCTGGACGGATGGCAAAGTTCGTCGCCGGCCATGAACCCATGGATTTTAATCCCAGAATCTGCAACGACGACGACGGTGCCTTCCACAACTTGTCACCGCGGTACTTGTAGTCGTCCTCCGTGATGTCTTCCATCCTACAAAGAAGGACCGAGGAGCGAGGTGCTTCGTATTCCATACAGTCTCTGCCACCACACTCGACGAGCTGAGGTCATGTGATTGCAACCATTCGCATCGCAAAGGCCCACCCAGACGGCCCCAAGAAGGATTCAAGCAAGGAGGTTATCTCGCTTTGCTTCGACCAGTTTCCAAGGGTTTCCAAGCATTCAAGCCCTCCGTGCTCTGTCCAGCGAATCCGGTCCCGGAATAGGGAGCTGTCAAAAACCTGTCAACGGCAGTGGCATGTTTATCTGATCGGCGGTCTTGTTCCAAGCGACATTAGGCTTACGAAACATAGATCCAATGATGTCCCAGAGAAAACAGGGGATGACCACGTGAAATGATAAGCTACTATTGGCAGATGCTGGGTTTGAGAACTCGGGGGTCATCTCGGATAATCCCAAGGAAGTCGAAGCACTGACACTGGAGGTTTCGGCAGTGTCATTGAGATGCCTTGCTGATGTTTCAGCCAGACGTCGCTTTGGCAATCCAAGGCACCCACAAGGCAAGAGACCCAGTCTTTCGACGGGGCAGAGAGCATTCATCGTCAATGAGCGTCAACCGAGCCGTGCTGTAAATTACACAGACCAACATGTCGCCGTATCTCGATCATTGACCCAACAAAAGACAGACTGGACTGCTATTCGATACTTGCCATTTTGCCCAAAAGTCGGTGAAAAGGCAGTGCAATTTCAACCTCCTTCAATGGCTCTTTCAGTGGCACTCTGGTGCTGTTACAGTGCCTGTCTCGGTGCAGTCTAATGCAGCCAGCGGGCACTTGAGATGCAGAAGCCTGCATAAGCTCAGCAGGAGGGGTTCTCCATTCCGCCTCCGCTTCGATTTTGGGCTGGGCGACCGCCGATGAAGGGCTCCAGGCCCGTTTGGATGCTGGCGCCTCGGAAAAGAGGCCAAGTCATTCAGACCTGATTGGCGCCAGCGGAGAAAGGGCACTCGTCACCCACTGGCAAAGGGCCACGAAACGTCCAGTTATCGACCTGCTTGCAACAATGCCATGGCTGTTGCCAATCCCGTTGTGGTGGTCGTCGCCCTGCACTAGGTAAAGCCAACCGCCGAAAGCCTTGAAGCTTTCCATTATTGGTCTGTCAGACTATTGAACACTTTGCATTGGCCAACGTCGGGCCGAAGCAACACTCGCGCAGCTCTCGAGACTGGTACCCCTCTCCCCGACCTCGTCACTCCACCAGGGCGTCGATCTCGGACCTGAAATCTTTGGCTATGAGGTTCGCGTTGAGAGCAGATCCACAGAGCAAAGCGTCTGCTCTAACAACCATCACTACTACCGTGGCACCTGAGAGGAGAATTGGGCTTCACAAGAATTCGTTCGGAGTAATGATTGACACGTTTTCGAGGAGGTTGGCCCCCGTTTTCTTGGATTGAGTGGCATCTGAAATTCTCCGGCTACTCGACGGCCATACTCCTCCAGATTCCGACAGGCAGGGAGCTTCGAGTCCTCTCCCTACTTGTCATCCAAATAGAGACATCCTTCGATACCACGGTCCGGCTCTGTAACAGGATTGCTCCACACAAGAGTGCAATACTCTTGAGATTTGGCGAGCGTCACGGAGTCTGTCATCATGTTGGCAACGCTTCTCCTCTGCCACAACGATTCCACGTCTTCAATGGTTCCACGCCTTCCATGTTGCTTTCGCATACGTGCCACCGCATTGCATTGATGGCAGCAAGGTGCAGAAAGCCCAACCTTGAAGGCCCTCCATTCAGATCATTCTCCGGTAGGTTTTCGAGATCTTCCAAAACCCTTAGTGCAGAATTTGGAGAGCCTCGTCTGGTGAGGCCCTAAGCGAACCCACCCAGCGGCTGTTCCCATACACCATCCGTGTTCTAGCGTTTCCTGCTCAGACATGGCGGTATATACACCGCCATGTTGCAATTTCTTCCACCTTCAAGATTCGCTGGTCTTTTCCTTTCTCGTTGCCGAAATTCAGGAAGTTTTGCGTTGGTGCTGCAGCGTGCATGAACAACATCGAGGTGGCTGAAAGATGCAGATCTCGATTGCCTACGAGTTTCTGTGCTGATTGGATGAGGAGAGAGACCGCAATCGCACACTTGAAAATTTCAACGAAAATCAGAAAAAAAAATTTCTTCCAGCATGGTCTGTGCATGTCGCAGCGCGAGGACGGTGTGTTGATCGTTTACTCGTTTGGTCCATGTTGTTTCCAATGCTCCGTTCCTAGGCTCACATGCTGCCCAAATGATGGACTTCACCTCCGGCGCAAGTCGGTAGATTGCATTCGTGACGGTGTGAGACACCTGAGGCTTCATCTCAATCCATGGATGGGGGATATGTGGCTCTCACCCTGCTTCCCTCGACCATGTTTGCCCACAGGTATTTCGGCTTGCTTGTTCATTCTTTCTCTCGACCAGGAGTCCCGCAATTCGGACATCTTCGCATTGTGCAAATGCTCAGTTTGCTTGGAGACTGGGCAGGAATCGATCACATCCCAATAATCTGCAACAATTCTCCAAGAAAGGGCTGCGACCCAGTCAATCTTCGCATAGACGCCGGATGAAGACTGCGGCCGTCGTTACCTTTTGCCATCCTGGAGCGGGTCGTCGTGCCCAGCAGCTTGAAATTACCACAACATGACTGAGAGTGGTGGGTCATCCGGTCATTGCGGTGAGGGATTCCTCCCTGAGCACGAACTCGAAATGCACTCTTGCCGGCTCTCTCTCGAAGTCGCGACACGACAAGTTCACTTTCCACCCTGAGCCTGCGGCGGACTCCTGAAAATCCTGTGGGTCGTTGGTTGGGTGAGTCCCTATTCAGCGACCAAAGGGGGCGGGCGTGCTAAGGTGTAAGACACAGCGCTTGACTCCTGTCCTCCCCGATCTTTTGTTGACCCTTTTAGGGACCTCCCTGATATTTAGACAGAGTTGTAAGCCATGTCCTTGATGTAGCCCATTCTCATCGCTGTCAAACCCTTTTCAGAGCGAGGTCGAATCTCTTTGCTGGATCCCCTTCTCTTTGCAGTGGTCCTCATATATTACGGATGGTGATACATGTATTTACTGTATACATAGCCCGTTTGCATCTGAGCTCTCTACCCAATCTATCAGTTCGGGTTTCCTTTCTATCCCATATGCTCGTCTCAATGGTCCGCCTCTTACTTTGAGGAGGGAAAATTATTGTACATGGGAAATAACCCAGTCCCTTCTTCCGAAGGAGTTTCCTGTCTCCAAGGTAATGGAAAGCCAGAGTTCGTCGCGCGAGTGAGAGGAGAAGAGGGTTGCAGGTCAGCATGCTTCGCTCGTGCAGGGGCAAGTGTCGAAGAGAGGAGAGTTATGGCGCTCGTCGGCTTCTCGTTTTGTCAAAATGGGGCGTTAGAGGCACTGGTCTCGTATAGTTGGCGTGTGCCTGGCAACAGCGTATAGTCATTGCTTCAGGTTTCTTCCGATATCAGGGTATTCCGGGAGCCTGTGGCGGCACTGGTCAGCTGTTCGCAGGTGATCAGAAGCACTGCTCTCGTTTGCCTTCTTCGACGAGCTCCTCCCCATAGTAGTAGCGCTCATAAAGCGCCTCCCAAGGCCTCAACTAGCCAAAGGGCCAGTCGCACCTTCAAGCCCACCCTCCGATCGATCTTCGCGAGATCGTCCTGTGTTGCGACTGCCGCATCTTTTTGCAGATTTTCCGTCTCTTCTTTCAGTCTTCGTTTCAGCGCCTCGTCGCCGGTGAGAATCATCGCTCCAATTTCCAGGTCAAGACTGTAGCTTCTTTTCGTGTAGTTGCTGCTCCCTACCACCGTGATGCTTGGTCCCGGTTCTTCGATGGCCTGCCCCTCAGTGTCCAATTGAGGCGGTAGAGTCACCCATAGCCCTTTGGCGTGGTAGGTCATCCCACCAGGCTCACCGACCGTACCTTTTCTCCACTCCTTCAGCTGAATTACGTCTTCTTTACCAGCATCGTGCACGGTACGCAGGAAACGTCGAGAAAGGAGAGTATAAGCTGCTGGTAGCATACCGCTCACTCCGGGGCTGCCGTAGAAACCGTTGGCCCATGGCGATGCGGTAATCACCGTGCATGCCTTTTCGAAAGCTTTGATGCCTGGTTCAAGTGCTCGTGGGCTTTCTGGAGCGGCGGATATGAGAAGTTGGCAGATGTCTGGGTCGATATTGAAGTATCCAGCAGTGAATATCCACGTTGACTTGTGCAGTCGCTTGTCCTCGGCAAGGTTGGTGAGCAGTTTAGTAATTGCAGGCTTCTCTGTAGAAGTGTATTGTGCAAACTCATAGTCGAGCAGGGCCATATTCTTAGGCGCGCCAAGGAGGACGTCGAACTGAGCCAGCGGATAGACGAAAGTCTTTTGCTGTGTAAATTCGACTGGAAACATCTTCTGTCTAGCTTTCTTGTGGATTAATGGTTCAAGTATCTCTTTGGCATATGCCTTGAATCTTTTGGTATGCCATAACGGGTCGGGATACCCTCGTTCATGGGGGCTAAGCAGCTCAAAGCCGCCGGGTCGCGCCTCCGAGGGCACGAGGTGGTACGACAGGTCGCAGACAGCTTCGTGAACAGCACCGTAGAAATCTGTGAGCTCTTTGGAAGAGAAAATGTGGTACCGGTCAAGACGGTTGGTGAAGTAGTCGTCGGATAAATTGGCGCTGGGTGGATTAGAATAGTAACAAGAACAAGGGCGAGAAGCCACCATACCCTGAGAGCATTATTTCATCGTCAAATCCGTAGAGTTTCATGTGTTGCAAGCCCCATCCTTCGTTTATCCGCTTGGGCATGTACTTCTTCTTCCACCCGTTGAGATTTGGAGTGTGGAACATGGAGATCCGAACCCGATCACCGAATCGAACAATCAACGGTGCTAGGAGGGTGGCACACGACGGATTAGGGTCTTCTCGAGTGCCTCGAAGTGCATCGGTAAGGATCGAGACCTCAAGGTCCGGGTTGTTCTCCAATGCTTCATCAAGTGTCTGGATGAGCTCGTGTTCGGTTTTGCCAATGTACAACGTAGATAGGTATATCCGTCGTTTTGCTCCTTTTATCTTGGCCTGCAGCACACCTTAGCTGGCCGCTTCCCATAGGTGCATCATGTCTCTACCTTCAGGGTATCGTAGAAAGCGGTTGGAGAATCGAGAATCTGAATATCGTCCGGGTCTATCTCGAAACGGGGTGCGACATGATCAAGCTGAGTGGCAATCCCTGCGAGAGGATGCGCCGTTGGAGCAGGGCCATTGCTGAACGCCGACGAGGACGAGGACGAGGAAAAGCGTCGGGAGACGAGCTTCGTTGCAGGGGCACGATGAACGCAAGCTCTGGTCGTCCGACTGCAGCTGCGAAGTGCCTGCAGTCCACAGTTCCTGGCGAACATGTCCGTCCACAGGGATAACTGCACAAAGCCGGTCACCTTTTGTGCAGCTGGTACCTCTCCATCTGGCCGATCCCAGAGAAACCGTCTTGACTGGTGGATGCCGGTCTCCTAACGCGTGCTGAACCATTTGCTCAATATTTCTTGCTGGGGATTTGCGACGATGTCATTGCTTGGCCGCTGAAAATGACTAAGCCTGTCTTGCGCCGCTTTTATGACTTTTGCTCAAAGCAGTTTCCATGCAGGAAAGGTAACGATGCTGCTTTAATCCAGAACATGGTGTTCGAGGTAGAGCACGAAGAAGCTACAGAATAATACACAGTTCAGATTCAGGGCCGATTGAGGCCTCAGCTGTGCCTGCCTGCTGTTCCTTCAAGGATAGTGAGTAGATTGATTTACTAACGCAGGCGAGTTACACAATATTTGGGCAGAATCCTCATGCATGTGTGCGCTAGCCATCTCGCCTTGCACTCCAACACTACTCCAGCTGGTGGAACTCGGACGACCACGACGGTCCAGCCTAACGCTCGTAAGGCTGTCTTTGTGGAGGCTGAGCAGCCAGACCACCCAGGCTTGGACAGATGCTACCAAGCTGGTCTGGGAAGGTAACCATCCTATAATGTGAAAAGAATCTTCCAAATCCAAAGGTCATGTTTCCTGGATTGACTCCAAGAACTTCTCGGTCGAGAAGACATGTCTTTATTTGATATGAATGCGTGAGAGGAGACAATCACACTGCTGAGCTGCCTTCCCGACACTTACAAGTGTGTGCGGCCCTCAACACTCTCCAGAGGCTTGTCCCGATTTGCTCCCTGAAAGATGGAAGTAGCTGGGCTCCTTGTCAGCATTGTGCCTCCGATCAGCTGTTTTAAAGACTGTGTCGACTTGCTATCCTATATCTCGGCAGCTCGGTCTTTCGGTCGCGATTATGACTTGCTCAACATGAAGCTGGATTTGCAGAGGGCACTCTTGCTACAGTGAGCAGAGCGAATCCAACTTCTTACACGGAAGCCCGCACAACCTGACAGGCGCCTTGAACATAATCATGAGCTTGTCGGCGAAATTCTCGCGAGCATAGCGCTGCTTCTCAGCGACGGTGAATGCTTACAGACTCGTTATGGTTTGCGGAAAGCAGCAGCAAGTGACCAAGACGACGAGGAAGGACAAGAGAATGTGCACCAAGAAGATGAGAGTGAGGCGGCCCTGGCCAGACATGTCGACGCTAAAATGCCCAAGCTTACAGGGACCTTGTCGATAAGTCTTCTGGAGTGTTCTTATGGCTCGTACTGGCCTGCCGCTCTCTTTGCGAAGGGCTCGACAGCGGTGATGGCACTGCTGACCTCCGCCGTCGGCTCGATGAACTGCCTCCAGAGCTTCAAGATTTGTTCCAACACATGCCTAGCAAGATTGAAACAAGGTACAGACCCGGGTGGCAAAATGCTTGCGTGTCAGATATGCTTATCACGCACATGCGAACACTCAAGGCTTTCCAACTCTCGGCTTTGCGCTTGTCGACTCGCATGAAATGGACGTAGCTCAACTACAAGACTTTGGACATATCTCCGGCGAGGACAAGGTATGGAAAGTGCAGACTTTGGAAAGACGATTGAGAAGCCATTCCTGCGGGCTTCTGGAAATCACCCAGCCCCGGATTCCCGACGTCAAACAACCGCGTTTGCGACAAGGAGCCCTGCCACGACAGGCTTGTGGACTCACACGTGGAATTCATTCATAGACCTGTCTATGAATTCCTGAGCAGCCCAGGAGCCTTTACTCTCGGCGCGCGGCAGACCCAGGACGACGTGTTCGATGAGAATGCGATTTTGACGTGTCTCTCGTTCTACTTGATGATGCTGAAGTTGAAGTTAAAAAGTATCTCCCCAGTCCCAACAAGACTCTATCTGAAAGATCTTGCTTTCTTCGGCAGGCGCGTACGACTCTCGTCAATCGGGGTCCAGGGGAAGATTATGAGCCGCCTTGCAGGAGGATATTTTACCATGCCCAAATTGCGTCGCTCCTTCAGCACGTGGCTATTTGCCCTGCAAAGCTCAACGTCGACCTTTGATGTCAGAGATTGGGACGAATTCAGGGCTTTCACCGGCCGCGCCTGTTCTGTCGAAGCTGGTATGGTAGAGTTGGTACAGCATCAGGACAATCTCCCCGGTGAGTCTCTCCCCTCTCCACCACGATTCCCTCTCCTCTACCACGCAATGTCAGCGCCGCTCTTGAAAGCTTGTTGGGATGTGCAACTTCCATTCTCAACACTCATGGTTCGCTATCTCCTTTCGCCCGGGTGCGATCCCAACGAGTCGTTCACGGATGAGCTTTGTAGGAATTGTACTCCATGGGAGCACTGGCTACGTGAAATGCAGGTCTGGGATATTGGTTCTGCGCTCGAGAATGCAGATCTCATCGAAGAGCTTGTAGGAGCTGGCGCCAAGGGCAGCGTGAATTCATTGAAGGAGAAAGTATAGGTCGAGTTACTACTGGGACAGTGTGTCTCAGAACGGGTCCTTAGCTCAGGGCCTTCCAGCGATCTGGACAAGATCAAAGACAGAGTCGCCGAGCTCTTTCGTTTCCTTGATGGGATTGGGTCGTGCAAACAGAGCTCCCTGTGGGAGGCCAAATCGAATGGTCCTCGAAAAAGAAAGATTCAATGTCAGAGAGTTGGATCCAAGGAGAGCACGGCTCGGCGACCAACTTTCAGCGGCAAAATGGGTGAGGAAAGAGCAAGAAATAACGCATCCTTTACAAGATGCTGGCGGTGATCCTGTACATTGATGCTTACTCGAGAATACACCATTTTCAGGCTCCATTCCTTCGCTTGTGCGCATTCCCTTCATTCTTGATACAGTGCCCTGCGTCACCCTAGCCTTAAGGGCATTCGCCGATTTCCTCCAGTGAGTAGCGCTGAGCAGGATCAGCCCTCTTCCCTGTACAGTCTTTGGCAACACGTCCACTGCGGCCGCTAGCACCTATCATTCCACCTCTTCATACAGCCACCGCTGTGTAAGCGCAGTTGACGTTACTTTACTCTTCATGTTCAATGATGCACCCGCATGCAGATGGGTCCTGGCAGCCACAGGTATCGAAATCCAGCTCCGGGAGTGGGCCAGCATCCTTCACCGCGACAACCACCCAGGGATCTTGACAAAATAGGTCAGTGGCAGGGACTCGAGGACCCTCGAGAATGCTTACAGTCATAGTCCTGGCCCATCCTCATACACAGGATATCCCACATGCGATCTCCAATGCCTTCCGTGAGGCCGAGAGTGTCTGTATTGGCGGAACAGCTACGCAGTATCATAGCCTCGCAAGCATGTAGCGGACAACAATGCGCCGGCCCCTTGAAGATTCGGATATTGTCAGGTGTCGTTGAGAGGAAGCCCCATTCAAAGCCTGCACGGGGGCCGCCCCAAACGTTGACGTTGACTATTGGGGTTCTCAGAATCATCTCAACGGTGCTGCTAAGTGTCTTGAGGACTTACCCGTGACGGAAGCCCAGTGCACGGATGGGCTTGGCCCTTTGTCGTAGCCATATAGCTTTGCTCCAGCGGAACGAACCAGCTCTTTACACTCGTCGTCGGTCTCGACCATCCAGTTGGTCTGGCAAACGTAAGCCAGAGCTCTTGCGTTAGGGCACGGGGAAGTGGCGGGTTTCTCATGTGAGAATCGGAATGTGAATCGTTAGAGCGATGTGGGTCCAACAACGTACCATCTTGAAATTCTCGCCCGCTTTCATATGGTACTAGATACCCAAAGTCAGTTGCTGGGAGGACGGCGAATGGCTTTCGACACTCACGATCTTGCGCAGGTAACTGCGTGCACTGTAGTCAAGGAATGACACCGGCTCAGCAGCAATCAGCTCACGGTCTCTCGGCTCGATTGTAGCATCACGAAACCACGCAGAAGGGTTGTTGTGGAGCAGTGAGAGGGCCACGCGGGCTCTCGGGATCATATCTGTCATCGTGAGAAGTCTCTCCACAGGGCACGAGATCGATGAGACAAGTTCGATGTTCAGAGTACCCGAAAAGAAAGAGGAATTCTTGAAGAGACGATGCTGTTGGGCAGAGGAGAGACCTTTGGGCGGTAGAGATGAAGAGAAAGTGAGAGATCGGTCGGAGCCTGCCTCCCCTTTGGTTGTCTGCATCTTCCCCGTCACTGACCAGCCACTTCCTCAAATCATCCATGGCTTCTTCATGCAAGAGGCATTGGAACAACGCAGCTTCACGGTGCCAATCTGACCGTCAGCAGTTCCTCTCCCTTGACTGCTGCGTTCCTCCCTCTTCCCATCTCTCTGGCTCACCAGACGGCTTGCATACCAACGTCTGGTCCATTTCACATCTCACTGAACCATTCGTGCGTAAGCCCATCCTTATCTACTAAGGAATCTGTAAGATCATGTTGCAGGCAAGATACCTTCCCTCTTCCCTTCAAGCTCATCTGGCGGCAAGCATTCAACTCCTTCGTTTGCGATACCTCTCAGCTCTCTCGATCCCTTCAAAAGTGCCTGAAGTTCCGTTCGGCCGGCTTCAGCCAACCTTCATCATCATGTCAAACCCAAGGCATCGGCTAAGAAGAGTGCAATGGAAGAGTATCGGCTCAATTCGTGGATACAAAGTATCATTTCAGCACCCTTGAAGCCACGGAGTCAGGGAGTCCGCCGACATCATGGTCTGGGTGTCCAAAAGGGGTGTGAGGAGGGGGAAGGGGCATTAGTCTTCTGCGCCCAAGGCAGTAATCTCGTCAACTTCCGACAGCGCTGTATCCATGTCGATCAACACAGACGCAGTCTCAGTATTGGGATTTGATGCAACCTGAAACAAGACATTGCTCGACTCCTCAGCAGGCGGACACCAGCGGAGTCACGGAAAAACCTCGGCCGCCTCCTGCATAAAACGAATATAGGAGCAGGGTTTAAAAGGGTAAAAGGCCTTCTAATGATATCGAGCTTGGGAAAGATCTCCCATTGCTAGGATCATTTACAAAGAGTGGCCGGGACTGCCACGGGACTGCTTGTTGTCATGGCGACGAGCCCTCTTCCCTGGACACGGCGTTTGCAATGATTGCTCAGATCCCAAGACGCGTCGCATTATGAAGGTGCATTCCACCTCGAGCGGCGAACAACGTCTTGCCATGCTTTCCAGCTGCTGCAAAGGCTGCTCTGAGATCATCACAAACCCTTCCTGGCCCAGCACCTCTCCTTCGTCCACTGGTTGTGTTTCAGGAGGTTTTGTGCTCACATGGAGCTATTCGGCAAGTTCAGTCACATAGGTAAAGCTGCGTGGGAGTGCTACTCACTGTGCCCGGGACTGCTCTGCATTCATGATTGGTTCCATCCAGATGGGTGCATGGATCTAAGCACTGGAGATATTGTTCTAGAACTAGGAGACAGCACTCAATAAACAAATATGCGATCGACTATGTCTTGGTTTCGCGGAGTGACCTCCTGTCTGCTCCATCAGCGTTGAACTCCAGAGGATCGACTGTAGGTAGAAAACTCCTCGACAGCAGCTCGCTGTCTAGGCGGTCGTTTCGATTCAGCAAGTTTCTTGGATCTATGTTTCGGCTCGCCAGAAGAGCTGAGAGAAAGTCAGGCCTGTCATTTCGTGAGTGAGCGGGCAACGTGAAGCGAGTCTCGAAGCGAAGCTCGATGCGGGCTGCTGTCCGTGGCAGTCAGTCGGTACTCAACAGTTAAATGATGGCGGGACCTCGAGATCACATAAAGCCATCTACGACGATCAACATGTTGAGGACGTGGAGATAGACCAATTTGTGGACGGCCACAGGCTGCTTTAACGGTACCTTCACGTGCTCCCATAAGTACTGCCGAACATCAAAGCAGCATAGGGCGGCATCGCATCCCTGACCCAAAAGGGTTTCAATCACCTTAGCGCATTCGCGAGTCGCCAACAGACCGACTTCCACTTTCTCACTGGGACAGTTGTCGAAGCGGTGTGCTCGTGGCTGGTAAAGATGAGATGTCATGAGCTGTGACAGATGATTTTTTGAGGTCAGCCTCTCAAGGAGAGATTCCCAATGGACAACGCTGAAAATGCGATTTCCGGAGCCGGTCTTACTCCTCTTCGTCGCCCTCGTTGCGGGTTCATCGAGTCCATTCACGACGACATTAACACCTTCCACTTGTCCTTTTCGCACAGTTAACTACATTACTCACAGTCTCCCTCAGCAATGTCTTGCGTCTGCTCGGAAGACGAACAACGCTTCCACAACTGTCGAAACCACCGCCTCTCCCAGTCTAGATCTCGCGGTCCCTACGACTTCGGCAACTGACCATTCCCACGAGACTTCTTCCCCACCGGTTCTGTCTCCTGTTCATTCACCATCCACCCTCAACTCTTCGGTTCAACCTGTGCATACGCGGCCAGAACAGCCTGCTTCGGGTGGTTCCCAGACCGAAGTGCATACTGTTTCGTCAGATACAGGACACGATGAGACCGAGGAAGAGTCTCCTCTCGAAGAAGGGAAATTTCTCTCTTTCGAGGACTGGAAGAGGGAGAATCTGAAGAAGTCGGGTCAGTCTGAACACATTGGCAAGGGCTCTGGAATGGAGGGCCGAGAGCCGAGGAAACGAGTCGCATCTCTTCGAGACTCTCTAGATTCTTTGGGGGACGACGCTGAAATAGACTTGGATTTCTCCGGTTTCGTTTCTGATACTCTTGACCCCCCAAACCAAGGTCAGCCCAGAGCCCAGCAGGGGATACGCGACGCCTCTGTCGAGATTGAACCGGGGCGCGCCCCAAGAGCCGGTGTGAGGAGCAAAGATGCCGGCACAACTTGCAAGGAACGGTTCAATTATGCCTCTTTTGACTGCGCGGCCAACGTTCTGAAGACCAATCCCGAAGCCAAAAGCGCTTCTGCGGTGCTGGGAAATAACAAGGACTCTTACATGCTGAATGAGTGCTCTGCTCAGAACAAGTTCTTGATTCTCGAGCTGTGTGACGATATATCGATCGACACTATTGTGCTGGCAAACTTTGAGTTCTTCAGCTCGACTTTCCATACTTTTCGAGTAAGCGTATCTGACAAGTACCCAGTCAAAGTCGACAAATGGAAGACTCTAGGCACTTTTGAAGCTCGAAACACCCGTGAGGTCCAAGCATTTTTGGTTGAGAATCCGGTCATCTGGGCGCGGTATCTGCGCATTGAGTTCCTCACCCATTATGGAAATGAGTTCTACTGCCCCGTCAGCCTCGTCAGAGTTCATGGGACGACGATGCTGGAGGAGTACAAACACGATCTTGAATCAGTCCAAATGGAGGATGAAGGTAAAGCGGAGCAAGAAGGCGCCGGGAATTCAGAAGAGGATAGACTTCTACCGGAAGCAGTGGCCGAGCAGCTTCTGACCGAAACCGACGCTGTGGGAGATTCCGTCCACACTGCTGACGCAACGACTGCATCTGATTCATCCGGAGTGCGAGATCCTGTCGTCAATCATACTCAATATCCCCTGGTCGAAGATGGTCAACTCGCAGTGTCAACCTCTCCAGCGCTTTCGTATCGAATGCTCAATGACTTGGGCGACAACAACGATACGCTCAGCACGTGTAGGATCACGAGAGACAAAGCTAGTACAACATCCGATGCTCCTGACCGACAGGATGCCACTCAATCGTCTGATACAGGAGCTACAGAGCTTACTACCGATGTACTGGTTTCCAGTTCCTTTGGAGGAAATTACGTCACATCGACGTCGATGGACGGCTCAATTACAACGTCCAAATCCGATTCCATTGTCAACTCGACAGCTGTCGACGCTTCATCCTTCCCACCTACCAGCAACAGTTCGAAAGTATCCGCGTCCTCCACGCAGTCCTCTCATCCAGCTCCAACGATGCAAGAATCCTTTTTCAAGTCTGTTCAGAAACGTCTGCAAATGCTTGAATCAAATTCTTCACTGTCCCTTCAGTACATAGAAGATCAATCTCGTGCCCTTCGAGATGCATTCCACAAAGTGGAACAAAGACAGCTGGCCAAAACAACCTCTTTCCTCGAACATCTAAATACCACGGTCCTCAATGAGCTCAGAGAGTTCCGCCAACAATACGACCAGTTATGGCAGTCCACAGTCATAGAGCTTGAGATGCAGCGCGAGCGCTACCAACAGGAAAATCTCGCCATCAATGCCCGGCTAGGCGTCCTTGCCGACGAAGTCATCTTCCAGAAACGAATGTCTTTTCTGCAATTGATTCTCATCTTAATCTGTCTTGGGTTGGTGTTGTTCTCCAAGGGCAATCTGAACAGCTATCTGGAGCTGCCACTGGTACAAAGTGTCTTGTCCAGATCTCCGAGTACTCGATTCTTGAATGTCTCCAGCCCTGACACACCCTCACACAACTCTCCAGTCTCGAGATCTGACTCGGCGAACGCAGTGCGAAGGCGTCTGGGCATTTTAAAAGGCCACCGGCGTTTCCCTTCGGAGGACTCGGCTGACAACACATTGAGTCCAACTGATTTGTACTCGCCACCCACGCCTGTTAGCTTCGGGGATCCTTCATCGGACGGCGACGACAAAGAGGATAGTAATAAACTTGGAGATCCCCAGTTCGACCCTAGCCTGATCGAACGGCCTAGTACGAGTCCACCGGTGTTGACAGGGGCCGAATTGCCTGGTGACTTAGAACCTAATGCGGAGATGATTGACGATTCCATTGACAATGTACTTCTCGGTTCATCCAATGACAAACAAACAAAGCCTCCTATCCTCCTTGTCGAGGATTCTACGCCTCCCCCTAAACATCTGAAGTGGCAATTGCCAGAGAGCTAGGGACAGTTTTGAGTCGACATAGCGGAACAGACACACCCCAGCCAATTCCTTCCGCGCCGACTTCAATCGAGTCGGACCTGATTTCTGGAGGCAAATGGGCGGCTCGCGAAGGCGGTCCTCAAAGGAATCAAGCCCACTTCAGTCTAGCTTATACCGGTCGGGAGATATGCGCCCACCCGACATGCAACCTTTCTTCGTTCCAACACCACCTAGCTCCCTACAGAAGCCCCAGAAGAATGGGGAGATACCTGCCAGATTCTTGTGTAAGAACGATATATTTATGTTGCACTGGGATTGAAACCTACTCGATGGTGCACATGAGAACACGTTCAGTAGGACATTTTACCCATTGGTGCAGAAATAAAGCAAAGAGGATGCTGAACAAGCATATGCTGCACAGCTTTGCGATCTTGTGGTCGAGGCAAATGAGGGCAAACAAAGGCCCTACAATAAAAAGAGCCCAGAAGACGAAGATTGTGCACGGATATGCATCTGCCCCCTGCAAGGTGGGTTGGGGACGGTTGCTGTACTGGGTTGAAGTGGGTGTCGACTCCTGGGGCCAGTTAGCATCTTAATGGCGAGAAGTGAATGCTCTTGTTAGGACTCACGTATGGAACTCGATCTGTGTTCGGACGCCTTCTTGCGGGCCTTTTCCGAGCATCGTAACTGGACTTTGGCAATTCAAAGTTGTGAATCTTCCTGGTGAATGCTTCTTCGTCCATGTGGGCCTTTGGTTGCTTAGAACATTTGAAAAGTTGGACTCTTGAGGCACTGTGACCACGAGGACCTGTGTTTGGCCGCAACCGTCATGCCAAGGGCGATGTTGAAATCCAAAGCTGTTTTGCAGCCAAACAATGTCTCAACGTGAGTGGCTGCAGTTTCCACACTAAGACTGCTTCGGGTCTAATACCATCGTAACCATATGTTGATGTTTTTGGAGAAATTTTTTGGAGTGCGGCGGAGTTGCCGTGGCCCTGAACGCCAACCAACCGCATGGCATACGAGTATGCGCCCGAGAGAAGGCCAAGTGAGAGGTCGATCTACGAAGGGCTGAGATCGGAGGTAGGCGTAGTGGGCAAAGGATGAATTTGAAGCTTCTCACCTCAATATTAGAGCAGGGCTGGGCTAGTGGCATCGGTGGGCAGACAGAAGTACAGACTCGAACAAATGGCGACCCATTTGGTAGATTCCCCGACTGGAGAGAACAATACAAGCCCAGTGATCGCCACAAGGCCGAGAGGAGAGATTGAAGAATCAAATACCGGCATAAGCGGCACAGCCTGACGGGGAAAGGGCATTGTGGTGGTAAGTGTGGTCGGTTCGATTGTTATGTGCATGATAGTATTTGTTCGTAAGGATATTCTGTCAACCCTTGAGCGCAGTGGTACCCTTTAGCAAGGAATCCTCTTTATATGTGATTGTGCTTCATACGGAGTTCCTCGTACTAATACATGCAGATGTTGGAACAAGGTTCGGGTCGATAGCCTACATTCGCCGACACTTGCCTCTGTCGGAAAATGATTCTTCCGCCACCCGGGATCTGCCCATTCTCGCCATGTCAACAATGGTGCTTTTCTCCTGCAACCACTACGTCTAGCTTTTCGATTTCCTCCGTGTCTCTCCATGCAAGACGCCGGCGAGATGGATGGTGGTGTGGTGCAATTCGTTCACAGCTTGCTGGCCGTGTGTAGCCCGAACTGTATTCCTCCGTCTTCAGCACTCAGTATCCGACGGTTGGGAATGTGTTACCTCAGGTAGGTTGACCCCCAGGCAAGTCTGAATTGTATTGAAATAGGTGCTTGCCGTCCATATCTGTGGGAGTCTTCCATTCTTCTCGACTGAGTCTGCCCACGACACACCATCACACGTCCCGGACATGTCTAGGCTCAACCTCTACATTTCAGCTGCCGTCGCAGCCTCCACTGGCGCCTTGTTTGGCTACTCGGTCGGCTTTGTGGGAGGGCTGTTGGTATTGCCCTCGTTCCTTCGCCATTTCCGCCTCGATGTCCTTCCACCGAATGAACTCGCGCGAGCTCAATCACTTGTTGTCTCTTCGTGGATCATTGGGGCCTTCTTTGGGGTGCCCACCGGAATCCCTATCTGCTCTCGCTTCGGCCGGAAGGCATGTTTGATCTTCAGTGCCGCTCTGTACGTGCTTGGGGCTGCGTTACAGGTCCTTGATGCTGGGTCGGCACTTTGGTTGTTTGAAGTAGGAAGATTCCTGAATGGCTATGGGGTGGGCGCTGGCACTTTGGTCTCACCAATTTAGTATGTTCACTTTGCGTCGGTTCTCCAAAGCCCTGTGCTGACCATTCATTCCAGCATTTCCGAGATCGCAACTCCCTCCGATAGAGGCATACTGATGTCTAGCTTTCAAGTCGTGATTCAAGGCTGCGCTGTGGTCGGCTTTTGGGGAGCATATGCTGCTAACGCTGCGATCGCAGACACTTCAGATCTACAGTGGCAGGTTCCAGTTGCCGTTCAGCTTGTCCCTGGGATTCTCCTCCTTTTAGGGACTCTTTATATCAAAGAGACACCACACTACCTTGCCGCTAAGGACGATCTCGAGCTGGTTGGGGGTACTCTGTCCTGGTTCCGAGGATTGTCCCCCTCCGACGCCGCCGTAAAACGTGAAGCCAGAGAAATCTCCCAGAGCGTCCTCTCCGGAATACGTCGACAAGCAATCCACAAAACACATTTCCTCCGTGAAGCACTCAGCAATCCAATCCGCAAGCGGCTAACCGTCGGTGTCGGCCTGTTCGTCGCACAAAACATGTCAGGAATGAACGCGCTGAACTATTATGTGGCCATTATATTTCTGACGGCAGGCTTCAAGAGCGTCTCCGCGTCTCTGTTTCTAACAGGGATATTTGGCCTTGCCAAACTCGTCTCCGCGCTTCTCTTCATGTTCCTCTGTGTGCGCATCTATGGCAATCGCTTCTGGCTCCTCTGGGGAACCGGCATATGCGCCATATCAATGTTTGTGCTAGGGTACTGTGCGGCAACGATGCCCGAGCCATCAGATGATGACAGCATACCGTCTGTGGTTCGCGCCACGCTTTGCGTCCTGAGTGTCTACGTGTACGCAGTCGCATTCGGGGTTTCGAGCGGGCCAATTGCCTGGAACGTCTGCAGCGAGATTTTTCCTTCTTATATCAACGCAAAGTGCTGTGCGGTCACGACATGCACGCAGTGGTTGTTTCAGATCATTGTGGCAGCCGTCACACCTATCCTGCTGGCTTCTATTGGACCGATGACTTTCGTCTTCTACGGGGCCTGCAATGTCATCGCCATGGCATTCTACTACCTCTGCGTGCCTGAGACAAGGGGGGTTGCGTTGGGGAAAGAGATGAGTCAGGTGTTTGGCCAGGACGACCGCAAAGATGGGGAAAGTGATGGTGCGGTGGAGGAAGTGGAGGATGCTGACGACGATGACGATGACGATGACGAGACGCCTTTACTTGCTACGGAGAGGAAGAGGAGGAGAAGCTCGATTGCAATTATGGTATAAATTTGTCTCGGATCTTGTTTGGCGTTGCGACCCGCTCTTTTTCTCGTCTCTGAGCGGGCACCCGACGAAGAGGAAGCGGTACAATTTCAAGAAAACATCTCTTCGTCTTATCCTCAAAGCTTGTGGATAAACTTGACCCTGTTCGCCAGCGCCGACTTCGCGGTCGAGATCTTTGGTGCAAACGTCTCAAAACTATGAGGCAGTCCGGGATATACGTGCATTTCGAGCGGGATGCCAGCCTCAGCATGCCGTGCCGCGTACTTGATGTTCTCATCCCTGAAGATGTCCAGGTCGGGCACGTCGATGTACACGGGCGGCAGGCCTGCCACTGACGCGACCCGCGCCGGCGCAGCCCAGGGCGAGACGTCGGCGTCGGGTTTGCCGGCCTTGTCGCGACCCAGGTACGCGGCCCAGCCCGTGAGGTTGTCGTCGGGCGTCCAGACGTGGAAGTCCTTGGCGGCTTCGTACCGGCCCTGGTTGCGGTCGTCGAGCATCGCGTTGACGAGCACCTGCTTCGCCAGAGGGGGGTTGAGGTTTCTGTCTCGAGCCATGATGGCCACGCCAGCGGCGAGCCCTCCGCCCGCCGAGTCGCCCATGATGGCGATGCGAGCAGGGTCGATACCCAACTCCCCCGCGGCGGTGGAGTGAATCCACTTGAGCGCCGCGTAGCAGTCCTCGATGGGCGTGGGGAAGGGGAACTCGGGTGGCGAGCGGTACTCGACCGCGAAGAACGGGATGCCGCCCTGCGTCACGTAGCTCTGGATCATCTTGCGGTAGAGCGGCACGCTGAGACAGAAAAAGCCGCCACCGTGGGTGTACACGACAGCCGGCGAGCCGCTGCCGGTTGTTCTTGTTGTCGGGGTAGCGCCTTTCTTTGCGAAGCGGTGGACGTTGATCTCGACGCCGTCAAAGGACGAGATCTTGAAGATGGTCTCCTCGACGTCCTCGACCACGGGCCATTGCTGCATAAATCCCTCCCACATGTCGTCGATGCCATTTCGACGCGAGGCGACGTCGTAGGGCGGGTGTTTCGGCGCCGCGGCCATGGCGGGCAACAATGGCTCCATGACCTTGTAGTATTCGGGATCATATTGGTACGGCATCTTGTTTTGTTTTGTTCCCCCCTGGCGTTCGAAAGGTGTGAATAAGAGCCAACGACAACAGTCTAGTGTCTTTCTTCGATGCGAAAAGGGTCTTGGCCCCGAGCTGTCGAGGAATAGAATGTTCCGGGGCTGTGAGATATCTCTATGAATACCTATATATATGTCTGTGTGCCTGTGTATATACTCCGCAGAGTCAGAGCAAGGCTGCGCTCCCGGTATTATTTGTGAGCTCCTCCGTCCCCTTGACTAATCTGTTCGAGTGCGCATAAACACGCCTCATGCCTTGGGGCGCCTTGTGCACTGGTATAGATCGACAGCGAGGGTAAGGGGGGAACCGAATACGCGCTTTGGGCGGGGAAGAAAAAAAGGTCTTGCCCCCTGTCGAGGACGCGGTATGTGAGGACACTTGTTGCCTGGCGAACAAGCGATCGATCAAGAATGGGAGAGTTGGTGCCCTCATTCGAACGATTACCGAGTACTCGGTATATACCCTCGGGTGTTGCAGTTGGCGGGGCCGAGGAGAAGGTGTATCTTCATCCCCACCCACAACCCGCATACAGTACACCATGTACTGACCCATTCTGTTGTCTATCGTACCTATTCTTGCTCCAGCCCACTGGCATACCCAGTATACGGACCTCCCTATCGTCTTCCATCGCCATCCCACCCCCATCTCCCCCTGTTCTCCCACCCCCTCAAGGCCATCCGCCCACCCCCAATCTCCTGAAGAACCTCCCTCAGCCAAACGCACTGTATATTGTGCACAACTGAGCGCTGACAAACGCTCAAGCTGTTGCGACCGTATACAAATCATTGTATTTGTCACCCTCTCTCGCCCTCGGTCAGATGGGTGGTGGAAGAATGAGTATCATGTCGAGGTAGTTAGTTGCCCCGTCAGTGGACCAAACCTCCTGAAAACCCGCAGCCTCGTCCCTTTTGTGGGCCCATCCAGGAGCCCTGCCATTACCAAGTACATCTAGCAAGGGCACGGAGGTGTCTACTTCCTCGAGTAAGCTTCTTAATTGCAGTCATCGACTGGTGTGTTTCGTAGCCGTACTCTGCGTGGTTCTATCGGAGTACTATCTATCCTCTCGTGGTCTCCGATCACACCCTAGTTGAACGAGGGCCAAAGTGCTGAGTTGCATGTCGCCGGACTAATGTCACCGGTAGCAGGTTTATCAGTAGTAGCCTCATAGGACTCTGTTTCCCGTCGAGAACTGGGAGTTTGCGCACTCCTCTGGACTTTAATTTCGGAAGTGCCTGACTTGGCATGGAAGAGCAGACCAAGCGAGACAAATGGACGTTATCAAGCAGCCACGCTTTAAACATATTGATAGTCAAACGAAGGCATTTCTCAACTCCTGTCCCCACGAGCACCAGGGGAGAGTGGAAGGAATGTACGTACCCCCAGCGAAGCGATTTCTGAGCCTTCTCCCATCGACCTGGAAGATGAAGGCCTGACCGCTAAGACTCAGGACATGCGGTAGGGAACGATGGAAAAGGAGCCCACTGGCAGCACTCGCACTCACATTTGCCTGACGATATGAGCTTGTCTGTCTCGACGACCTGCGTGTTGGGAAAGAGATGTCATACGGTCTGGAGACTCGAGAATGCGAGGGATCGAGCAGGGGGTGACGAGGAGGAGGGGGAAAGACGGGCTTGACAAAGGTCTGAGGACTGCGACGTGTGGACATTCGACGAGACCGTACTGTAGTTGAAGCATATAGAGGAGTGAAAGGATACATCATTGGATTCCCCTCCGAGAGCCATCTGAATGAAACCCACACAGTTCAGTTGCTGTTGGGCACCAATACAAGTTCACACCAGGTTCATGTCTCTAGTAATAGAAATTCTAGAGTCTTTCAGCATAGATCGATATTCGTCTGCCTCATTTACTCCTCACCTCAGATCCGACAATGTCCTTCGTTACCAGTACGCCAAATATACGACCAGTGCAAGTGCTGCTCTGACTGACAGAGACGCTGCTTGCCAGGAACTCCCTCGAACTGCGCGGTCGGTTGAGGCGAGGACAGCCTGGGTGTTCCCCCTCTAACGACTTGCCCGCTCCGACAGTACTAATATTGAACACTTCTCCATGTAAATTCCCGCTGGCTTCGGTGTCAGGCCGTCAAAGCTCCGACCGCTTCCACTTGATGTTCTGCGCCTTCTCTATGACCTTGTAAAAGTCCGTGTCCTTCAGATCTTGACCCGTGTATTTCTGGTAGTTCTCTGCGGCGACGGCCACAGCCTGCTCATGTTTCCAAACCAGGACTCCGACCGCGAGCACCAGTAACAGCAGCAGGACGAGGACGGTCGGTGACAGGGAACTCCGGCGGCGAGGGTGGAAGGGAATTTTCTCGCCAGTGTATGCGCCGTCGGGGGATTTGGGAAACCATTCTTCGGTCTTTGCGCGCTTCACGTTGGGGTTGATGCGGTTGGTCTTGGACATGTCGTGCGAGGTCTGCGAGAGGGTGCGCGAGAGAGTAAAGATATGGTATGCAAGGGTTAGACTGGCTGCCTCGAAACAACAGATCACACCAAAGTTAGTCGGGACAGCACCCAACGAATCTGCGCAGACAAAGGAAAGATGGCACGCGAGAAGGAGATCTGTGGTCCGTGATAGGAGGCTTCTCAAGGAGCACAGCTGTCACAACATCGCAATGTGTCCCCCAAGCTGAGCATTTCAGGCGGGCCAGGCACCGTGTCGTCTGCCGTCGGGGTCGGGGTCGATATCGTGCTGACTAAGAGTCTAATATTAACACCAACCGTGCCAGCTAGACTCAACCTGATAGATTAGATTCTCCGTGCTGCGTGAGTTCCGGGAAGTGGCTGTCCCGACAAGGCGTGGCTAAGGAGAACGAAGGAAGGACGGTGCTGACACGGACGGGGGCGCATTGACGTCCACCCATCGTAGTAGGTTCATTAGACTCGGGAGAGGTGGTGATTCGCTGACAGGCTCTCTGCAGCATGTGTTAAGGTTAATGCCGTGTGACTGGGGCAGAGGGCCGATGTTGGCAGTCTGTGGCTGCTGGTCCTCGAAGCCTCACAGACATCTGATAGCTGGACGCTTGATGCTACTGAACTGACTGCGTTCGTTTGTTCACCTCTAGAGAAATTGGCGAGGCTGAAACGCAAGGCCCAATGACGTCAGGACATGAGTTCCCCTCAGCCTTGCGGCCAAGAGAGCCACTTCTGCGACGTCCTTCCACCACTTCTTCCACACCATTGATTCAGCCGTGCTTCCAAAATACATATCAAACCGTAGGCAGGCATCTCTCCACGGTAGCCGAGTGCGTTAAACCAGGAATATCCTAGCTCAAGCGGAGGATACAATATGCTTCACACCTGCCGGTTTCCTCCAAAGATCTTCAACCCATCCCCTTCGGCGACCGAAGGAACGAGGCTGGGCTACAGCATGGGCCCAATGCAAAGACGAACCAGTGTAAATTCATCACGTTCTGGACCCTGACATCATAACGGCCATGTGTCTGGAACCGCGCTCGATGTTGACCGTTGATTCGTCGCAATGTGCATCGCTCATCGCGATTGTCGAAGATCTATGGGCGTGGATGTACTGATAACATCAACGGCCAAGACGGTAAGTGGAAATGATGACGATGGCACCAACTTGAACGGCCAGAATATATATGCCAGTGTCAGCCTCTGCCCAGAGCTGTCCAATATGCTGCATCCAGCAAGTTGATCGTGATTTACACATCCGGGCAGCCATGTCACAGCTTATCCACGACTCCTTCTTTGGCCGCTTGCTGCGACACTTGTCCAAGGGAAGGTTGCTGCCGCACGAGGAGACTAAAGACCCTGCCATCCTAGAACAATTTGCTAATGTCTCGTCTACTCCGGTGGAAAAGACGTCGCCTGAACGACCCGCTTCGAACGCGAGCACTCTCAACCCAGGCGATGGCGAACTGGCTGAGAAAGGACGAGACCCGAACATTGTGGGCTGGTACGGACCGGACGATCCAGAGGTGAGATACTTAGCTGGATAGTCGCAACCTGTCACTGAACGCGACCTGTTGATCATTTATGCAGAACCCTCTCAATTGGTCAGCCTTCACCAAATGCGCAATCACCTTTGAGCTGTGCTACTTGACTTTTGCGGTCTATGTGGGATCTTCTGTCTATACTGCTGGCGTTGTGGACGTCATGAAGGATTTCGGGGTTGGCCAGATACCTGCGACACTTCCACTGACAGTCTTCGTGCTCGGGTTTGGACTAGGTGATAACATCTTTGATCCATCTTATGCCATGAGTTGGCGGCTCTTGTTGACCCCGTACTAAGTATGCGGCCAGGACCCATGACCCTAGCACCGCTCAGTGAGGCACCTGCAATTGGAAGAACGCCAATTTACATTTGGACACTTCTAGCTTTCGTCCTACTCCAGATTCCCGTGGCTTTGTCGGTCGACCTTCCCATGCTCATTGTTTTCCGGTTCATTACAGGCGTTCTAGGGTCTCCTCCCCTTGCTACTGGCGGCGCCTCCATCGCGGAGATATTCACACCGCGAAAGAGAGGACTGGCGATCGGCATCTGGGGCGTTGCAGCTGTATGTACTACAACTACTTCAGATATTCTCTGACTGACATTCCAACTTACATTAGATCTTTGGTCCTATCTTTGGTCCGCTTCTTGGTGGCTTTGCCGCTCAGTCGAAAGGTTGGCGCTGGACCATATGGGAGCTGATGTGGATCTCTGGCCTTGCTCTCATCATCTTGTTCTTCTTCCTGCCCGAGGTCAACGCAAAGAATATTTTGTATCGCCGAGCGCACCGACTCCGACGTCTGACAGGCAATACCAAACTCATGAGCGAAGGAGAAATCGCCTACAAGCACGTCACTGTCCGAAAAGTGGCATATCTCACCATCATCCGCCCCTGGATCCTAACGTTTACGGAGCCACTCGTCTTTCTCCTTCACACCTGGGTCGCGCTAATTTTCGGCCTGTTGTTCATCTGGTTTACGTCGTTCCCGCTGGTGTTCGAGGGAGTCTACGGTTTCAACCCGGGGCAAACCGGACTGTCGTTTCTCGGTCTCCTCGTCGGAGCGTTTTTCTGCATTCCACCGTTCATCTGGTACGACCGTGGAGTGCAGCGGAGGATGTTTGACGAAGGTGGTCGGATCATGAAGCCTGAGCAACGCCTCGTTCCCGCGATGGTCACCGCCGCCACCATCCCGATCTGTCTCTTCTGGTTCGGCTGGAGCGCCCGGAAGGACGTCCATTGGTAAGGCCCTTCCACTACTGTCTGATCGTTGACAACACACCCCCATGCCCACACGACTTCGTTTTCTAATCTTGGAGGGATAAAAAGGATCGTCCCCATCATCGGCACCTGTTTCTTCGCCGTCGGCGCCCTGATCATCGTCAACGCAGTCCTGACCTATCTCCCCGACGCGTTCCCGACAGAAATCCCCTCCGTCATGGCCGGCTCCGCGTTCATGCGCTTCTCCTTCGGCGCCGCCTTCCCGTTGTTCGCGCCGGCCATGTACCACAACCTTGGAATCCACTGGGCGAGCAGCCTGCTGGGCTTTCTAGGTCTGGCGTACGTGCCGATCCCGTTCCTGTTTTACTTTGTAAGTATACGTTCTCACCTTCCTCCTCCTTCCTGTTGAAAGTTGATTAGCAACCCGTTAAGTGGTCGAAGGTTGACCTATAATACCTCGTTCTAGTTCGGCGAGAGATTCCGGAATGCAAGTAAGCGAGCGCGGCACACCTGAGTGCTGGGACAAAAACGTCACGGTTGACATTTTTTGTCGCCAATCACTGCTTTGTGGGATATTGTTATCGCCAGGGGAACGAGGGATGGCGCTTTACTACATCCTGGATCGGAAGATCAATTGCACAACTTACTCCATTTAATGATATGGGGAACGGGAGACATGCGATGAGCGGAAAGGAGAACTATCAAGCTTGACGAGCTTTGTCGAAAACACACGCGGGTGTGAAACGTTGCTTTGCGAGGAGGCAGCAGCCTTTGCGACAGGCGAACATGTCACGCAATACCTGTCGAAAGACACGAACGGTACAAGCGAACATGTTGTAGGGAAAACAGGTCACATTTTTTCCAGACTTGTCAGTCCCGCCAGGGAAGCCATTTCTCCTGGCCTCACGTAAAATCTCATTATATCCATTACCCGAGGCCTCGGTTCAATCAATGAATCAGTCGTCTTCTTCCCCGGCCCTCACGGTCCTGGCTTTCCTCCGCGCGCCCTTAAAGTGCTTTTTGCTGCCGTTCATCTTCATTTCCGCCGGGTCAATGTCCTTCTCCAGCGCCGCCATCGTCTTCGCCTTGCGGCCCGTCAGCTGCTTCTGCTGCACCTGCTGCTTCCCCTGTTCCGTGTACTGGTGGTTGAAGGGCATGGTAAGGTGTCCTGCATTGCCGGACCCCGGACCGAAGAAGCCCTTGTCGAGCCGTTTCGCCCTGGCGCCCTTCTCCACGGGGGCAGGTGCACGCTGCATGGATGTGGTTGACGCAGTTTCCGCCTCTCCATCGGCGAGTACCGACTCTTCAGAATGCGCGATCAGCCAGGCTTGTCTCTTGGCGGGCAAGTGCGCGAAGTCGTACAACTTCTCATTGAACTCCTTCCCGTAGGTCTCCACGTCCGTTTCCGGATCGCCCGATGGCGGAGGATGACAATACAGCAATTTCCCATTCACGTAGTCCTTCAAAATATACCTCGCGGCGCGTGACTCGTCCGGTTGACTTCCTGGTCCTGTCGTGGCGAATCCTCTTGCCCGAGCGTACGCTCTCAGCATTTCCGATGCCGTAGGTACACCCGTTCCACCTTCTTCGAGCGGGCGTGTGTGAATCTTCATTCCGTACACGTTTTCAAGAAATGCTTGCGGGATGCGTTGCGCAACGAGGCTGGTAGGTCCGGTATACTCTCTCAATTGATCGATCGGTAACACGCCGTTGCAGACCAACTCGGCCTTTGTGGTTGCAAAGTTTGGAAAGACTAACCCGGGACAGTCGCAGAGGATAACGCGGTCTGAAAGGTGGATGGTTTGGAAATGTTTTGTCTTGCCAGGCGTGGAGGAGACGGACACCTTTTTCGAGCCGAGGAGAGCATTGATGGTGGAGGACTTTCCGACGTTTGGATAACCAACTAGCCCGATTGTAGTTTTTCTGTCGGTCGTGGCGTCCTTGGGAATGTTTTCGAGGAAGAGGGATTCGAGCTCGTCGACGGTGAGGATTTGCGTGTCAGGCGACGCAGAGGCTGAATTTTCGGGGAGCGAGCCAACCTCGCCATCTTCAGGTTCTGACCCCTCAGCTTCGGAGTCTTCGTCGTCGTCCTCTTCGTCAGTCCATTCCTCTTCTTCTCCTTCTTCATCCTTTAAATTTAGATCTTGAACATTCTTCACCATTGTCTTCTCCGGCAAATTGCGATCGATCTGCTGCTGGATTTGCCGTGCATCGAGTTCCTCCAGGGCATCTCTTCCCTCGTTCATCTCCTTAGCCAGATGGGCAGAGAAAAACTTGTAATTGATACCTTGCTCGTAGAAATAGTCCGCCCATGTTCTTCTTTGCTCTTCGGTCATCATGTCCGCCTTGTTGACCAGCAAAAGGTTCCTTTTCTTCGCATCAACTTCCTTGACGTATTTCTCTAGGTCTTCGCTCCGGAATAGGAGCGGATTTCGGGCATCCACAATCTGCACCACCAGATCGGATCGTTCGATCACTCGCCACAGTTGTCGCCATACTTCAATATTCCTCTCGAAAGGTGTCATAAGCAAGTCGTCATTCTCTTGAAGTTCGGCAAGGCCCCGCCTCCATTCCAGCAGACTCGCTCTTTCCTGTTCGTCCAACTGACGGGGCGTCGTTGACTCGTCCCATTTCGGCCTTCTGGGCACTGTTAATCTTCCCTTGTTCTGAGCATGTTTCCTCCTCGCACCCCTCTCCTCCGCCGCACTCAACAGATAAGGATTTCTTTGGTCCGAGTGTATGATTTTGACATTGTTCATCTTCTCCGCAGTGAAATCAGTGCCAGCCAGTTCCGCGGTCGAAAGAAACTCGTCGAGGGCACCTTGTTCGGTCACGCTGCGCATTTTGACCCACGATGCTTCCTTTGCAGCATTTGTTACATAGGTTTGGCCTGTTGTGTGATCTGTCCTCACGACTCCCTGCTGAGACACTTTCTTCCGATCTGTACCTTTGCCTCGTCCGAACCGGTCATTCATGAGGCTGTTGCCCAGCCCCACACTGTTCTTGCTCTTTGGGAGAACCATTTTGGCACTAACGGGGGATTTCTCAGAGGAAGAAAGAAGGGATCGAGTGGGAAAGTTGTGTGGAAATCGAGGTCGCAAAGACCTCGTGTATTGTGAGGGTCGGTTGCAGGAAAAGTGAATGGGTGCGGGAGGGGACGTCATATGTACATAATGCAGTGGCTTTGGCTGTGGTCAAAATTTCTTAGAAATTAATTTTCCGCAGGCATTATTACCACCCCACCATAAGTCGACCGACACAAGACAACCACGCTCGCTTACCAAATTCGTGCTCTGGGATTCCAAAAGTGAAGATGCCTCGAAAGCGCTGGATGTAAGAGCTTCATCCCCCTCTTACAATGGACGTGGAGACTGACGAAAGCACAGCGACAAGAACAACGCACAAACCTTCCAATTGCTCTACCGCCCACAAACCGACCCAGCCCTCCATGATGAAGCCGCCGGTGAGCGGGCACTTTACCAGGTCTCTGGACCTGGCGCTTCGTCTTCTCACAAACCTGAATTTAAGGAAGGGCTACATTTGACCGATTTGGAAAATGATCTGGACTTCGAGCACATGCGTGAAAATGAGGGCGAGGCCGCACAGTATGGTATTTACTTTGACGACACTAGCTATGACTACATGCAGCATCTACGAGATATTGGTGAAGGGGAAGGGGAGGCACATTTTGTTGAGTCAGTGCCTGCCAAAGCTCAGGGCAAGGGCAAAGGCAAAGCCAAGACGATGAAGTTGGAAGATGCACTGAGAGAATTATCGGTTGATGATGGCGAAAGTGTGGCAGGCAGTGATCTGTTTTCAACATTCTCGACTTCGACGAGGCCGAGAACGTATCAGAACCAGCAGGATGTACCAGACGAGATCGCAGGGTTCCAGCCCGACATGGACCCGAGACTGAGGGAGGTGTTGGAGGCATTGGACGATGATGCGTATGTGGATGACAAGGACGAAGAAGATATCTTTGCAGCCCTCACGAACGACGGTCGCAACGGGGAGCTTGACTTGGAGGACTTCGAGGCGAATTATGTGGAGGACGAGGATGAGGGTTGGGAGTCAGATGTCACAGAAAAGGCGCCTGAGCAGCCTTCCGAAGTGAAACTAACGCAGGCTGTTCCTGTGACAGAAGACGGACACCATTTGAATGAATTGCCCGCTCCGGACGCAGAGGCAGCTGCAGCTGAAGATGGAGACTGGCTCCGAGATTTTGCCAAATTCAAGCGGGACAATGTACGAAAAGCGCCGCCCAAAGCTGCAGAATCGATCATCGCTGCTTCCGCCATCCAGGATAAAGCACCGACATTGTATACCTTGAATGGCACGCCCCTGCGACAGAAGAAACGCAAGGGAGCTTTAACAAACCCCAGCGCCTATTCCATGACGTCTTCCTCTCTCGCACGGACCTCAGGCCAGCAATTACTGGATGCCCGCTTCGACCAAGTCGAAAAGATGTATTCGCTGGACGAGGGCGAAGAGTTCGATGATATGGATGGTGGAATGTCATTAGCTTCGGGGATGACGGGTCGATCCAAGATGTCGCAGCTCTCCACCACCAGTTTTGCAGATGAGGGGGCTGTACGAGAGGATTTCGACAACATGATGGATGGATTCCTAGGGGACTGGAACAAAGCAAACCCCGGTGGTGGGAAACGGAAAGGGGCCAAAGGCAAACGTGGAAAGAACGGCAATGAGAAGTACGGTCTCCAACAGCTGGACGAAGTCCGCGCGGAACTGGGGCCTGCCAGGATATACCGGCGGACAACAAAGGCATGAAAAGGGAAGGAAGGCGTTGGAAATGGCTGATGATGTGGCGCATGACCAGAGATACCCCGTCTTACAAGGATAGACAATGGATTTCTTTTCATTTGAGAACCCCGCAAACTCCTCATGTATGCATCTGTACAGTGATGATGTAGTATCGGCCAGGCTCATGGGTCTGGTTGTAAGCTCTCCTTACTCTCGAATGTCTCGAGCCGCAAAGGGGGTTGAACCATCTCGGGGTTTTGCGACGGGATCCCATGCGCTGTACTTTGGTTTGGTCCTGGATTCGAGTCAATTGCAATCTCAACTGGAGGGACATGGCAGGGTTCGCATACGTAGAATATGGGCGGTAAGCTCCTCTGCTCTGGGTCAAGTTGATCTTGGGCTCTTTGCTCTCCCACGGCCGCAATCCAAACTGCATGATCTTGTCTTCAACGGGCGGCTTGTCGACCAAATAACTCATCCAGGCATGCCAGCCCGGGTCAATCTGGCTCGCATCAAGCTCCTTGTCCTTGTAGTCGACCTGCAAGCTCTTAGTCTCTGCACCGCACAACGCCCCTCAAAAGCTTCATACCCATCGCGTCCGCAAGGGAAGCTCTTCCGTCAAGTTCTCGTAGTATTTGTTGCCATATCTGTCCATTCCAATGAATGTGCCAGCTTTTGTGTCACCCTGAAACTCAGTCAGAACCCATGAACGTGGTTGTTTCTGCATTGGCCGTGACGTACGATATACTGCATCTGGTGGCCGTAATCGCGGAGACCAACCCGCCAGAGGTTGCGGAGGGTACGGGTGATGGTGGACATCGTGAACTGCCCAAGGAAGTCGAGGAGGTGGCGGCAGACGGAGGACGGGGAGGTGTGGTGGTTGTCGCCGTCGAGGTCAGGGAAGATGTCAGTGATTTTGCTCTTATGAACGGAAGGTGGCTCGTCGCTTATTGGCTTCGGAGAAGCGCAGTTTCGAAGGAAGCGAGCTCACTCAGGACTCGGAGGGTCGTGTCCAGGCTAAGCTCCGATCTTGGCGGGAATTGCTGGTGGATTGGGGCCCGAGGATGGCGTTTTGATTCCTGAATCTGGTGGAGGAGGATGGTGGATGGTGGATGGTGGAAGCGGACGTGGGCTGCCCCCATCCAGTCCAGAAGCGCCTCTTGTCGCCCTTGTTCGCCCTGTACCGAGTAGGACCATCGTATCGCCTCGCCTCGCCTCTCCTTCGTCCGCGGGGCGAAAAAAACCCAGCCCAACCGTGGACAAACGCAGCCAGACCTGCTGAGCTGAGATTTCTTTACTCATAAAACCCCTCGGGCCAAGCACAGGAGAAAAGAGGCACTTATGAGACAATCTCCAGCGTCCTGTGACGTCCCCATCCCCAAGATGCGATATTGCCCGCCGTCCATAACCTAGGCATCTGTCATAAACCGAGCCTGCATGACTTGCATTAAATACTCCCGACCGACAAGGACAGATAACAGCCCGCCTGCCCAATCCGGCCACATATCTGTCGACAGCCGCGATATGATCCCAGCACTCTGCCTCTACTGTGTCTAGCAACATTCCTGCGCGTAATAGAAGCGCAGTTCCAGGCGTCGCTATGGCCAGTGGAATCAACCGATTCCTCTCCAAACGCGACGGAAAGCGCAATCGGGGCCGCGGTGACCACGAACACCACCACCACTTGCCTCATCACTCTCATCCGCTCGCCAGAAAGCCATTCTCGACCGTGAGTTCTCTTGTTCCTGCTTCTCCAAATGTGGCACCGGCAGATCTTCTCATTTTCCTGCACCGTCTGCCACCTCCAGGACTCATGCCGAATGTCCAACGTTTCTGCCTGTCCATATGTACTCCCGCCCGGGAGAGGGATGCCTCTTCTGTATTTCTTGGCTGTTCCCATCGTCAAACCCCATACTGACTGGCATCTCTCCACAGTCCAGCCCCGAACTGGCCCTGAAAGCGAGCGATCCAAACTCGGCTGCCGATTTCTATGGCCTGTTTGACGTCCACGTTCCCCCGGCGACTCTAGCAGAGGAGCCCAAGGTAAGATGGTCGGACCTCACCCCAAATTCAACTCTGCTGAATGTGCTGGGTTAGATCAAGACGTTGCGCCATCGAATCCTCAACTCCAAAGGGGTGCTGTTAAGGGATGCCCAAATGCTGTGGGCTCTTCGCTCCAATGCCGCCAGCGGAGATGTCGATGCCGCATGTGGACTCTTGCTTGCCATGTCCGATGCCTCGGAAGGCATTGTCACGCCGTATGATCCTAGAACGAAGCTCCTTGGGGCACAGAACCGACAGGGAGTCACGTGTTTCCTCGATGCGACCCTGTTTTCCATGTTCTCTCGGCTCGACAGCTTTGAAGCTATGCTCTATAACTCCTTCAACGACTTAGCACGCAATAAGCTCGCGTTCCTTTTACGCCTTTGGGTTAACCTTCTGCGCTCTGGGAAGCTGATCACCACAGACATAACAAAAGTGATGCAGGACACTTTGGCAGAATGCGGTTGGCTGGAAGCTGCAGAGCTGCACCAACAAGATGCTTCGGAAGCCTTTTCCTTTATCACGGGCAAGCTCGAACTGCCCTTGATGACTTTGAAAATGGACATTTATCACACTGGCAAAGAGGACAGCAACGATGATCACAAATTCATCAATGAAAGGCTCCTTGAGGTGGCCATCCCTCCCGACCCCACGGGCGAAAGATCCGTAATTACTCTCGAAGAATGTCTCGAGGACTACTTCAACAATCGAATCGAGGTCCGCAGGTACTTAGAGCGACGGTCGACCATAAATTCCATGCGCAAAGCAAGTGCGGTGCATGTCGAGACGGTCGAGTTGGATGGTGACCAATCACCAATCACCCCCCTCTCCCCGTCTCCGAGCTACGCATCTCCCACCAGACCAGGAGCAAACCGTACTCGCGCACCTAGCATTATTCAGGAGCGCTACATACCGGCCCGGAATGAAAGTGGATATTCATCGCTGGCTCCAATCGACTCAAAGGAGTCAGCACCCATGTCGCGCGTCGGAAGCGTTCGGAAAGAGGTCATGATGCCGGCGTGGCAATTCTTCAGCCTGATTCGTAAGTCTGGCTCCCATGACCAATGCGGCTTTAAACTGATATGCTTCAGCCTGGTATACCGACAACGCGCCTATGAATGACGCGCAAGTCGCTGCTCACTTCTCATCGAAACGGCCCGTGCTCGGACTTTGCCTCAAGAGATATTCATTCACTGCAAGCGGCAAAGCAATTCGGTTGGATACGCAGGTGGATATTCCAGTCGAGATTGGAGTGCCTCATTTCATTCAGGATGATCGTATGGAGGACGCTGGTGGCCTGCACGGCAATTTCAAACTCTCCTTACAGTCGGTCGTCTGCCACCGAGGCAATTCCGTTGATTCCGGGCACTACATTGCTCTTGTGCGAGGCACTGCTCCGCCATGGTCTTCTGATGGGCAACTTCCCGATACATCCAACACCTGGATGAGGTTCGACGATCTTGCACCACAACGTATCACTGTTGTCGACATTGATAAAGCTCTCAGGGAGGAAACTCCATACCTACTTTTCTACCAGATCCTTCCCATCCAGGGAGACCCCGGGAGTATAGCGGCGGGAGAGGAGCCCCTGGCCTCGGTTTCCGAACGCAATGCATCCGTCAGTGAGGTCTCGAGTGAGTCTGCTCTGACAGACAATCAGACACCGTCTGGTCGCCCCAGTTTTGAGATCACGCTCCTAGATGAACCCAGAGGCCGGTCGCCGACGGAAACCAGGAGGACGAGTGTCATTTCGTTCCAGGAACCGCCCCCGGAATACACAAATGGAGCATCCTTGGCTGTGCCCAAAAATTCGGATCCATCTACCACGCCGCGTCCCAAATCGCTGTCACGGACGCAGAGCAAGGCGAGTGAGAGTGGCAGTCTGGGTCGAACGCTGTCCAAGTTTAAAAGGAAAAGCCGAGAAATCTTGCCGCTGGAAAATCAAAACGTGGCAGAGGTCCATGTTACGGAAATCTCTGAGCGGAGTACGCCAGCCACACAAGACGGACACATCCACGGAGCGCAAACCGGTTCGCAAAACGCTCCAAAACCGAATACTCTTCAATTCCAGCATCAGCCACCTAGAACACATAAAAGCGAAAAGAGCCGCAGTCGGATATCGAGGAGTAAAATGCGAGGTGAGAAGCCGGATAGAGAGTGTGTTGTTATGTGAGTTTGAGTGCCAACTCACCATCTGCTACTTGATGCATTATGGTCCTTCCAGCGTTCATGCCATGCGCATTGGGGACTGGCAAGCGGGATTCCGTGCCATTGGCTTGTTGTTTATGATTTTCTGATGATTTCTCATGAAGGCATGTTGTCTTATTGACCTAGGCCAAGGGGGCAAGGCACGATCAGGATTACCCAACGTTGAGCGTTCAGAACACAGAGATGCTTTTTCAAAGCACATGAAAAGAAAAGACAAGACGTTTTCCCCTTGATCTGCCACATCCCCAAGCTTGGCTCTAGACTTGTTCCAATCTTGCAGACTAGAGAGATATCCATATATACCTTGTGACTCGGTCGACGGGAGTTTTGGTGACGACGAGTCGACGAGGCTGACTGAGTTTCCCAAAAGGGTCTAGCACCTCCTTTAAGTCAACCACAGCCAGCATCTGGGCAAATCATTCTCCTGCTCGATTCGATCAGCGTCCACCTCGCTCAGAAATAGCTGCCCCTCCAAGTCCTCATGTGCTTGACGAGACGAAAGCTGCCACATGCTTTTGGGCCTCTGCTCCGAGTGAGGAGAGCAGACGCCACGCCAATCTCTGGCCAGCCAGTTATGGATCGAGGCTCGAGGAATGCGGGGGTTTTTGTGCCCTCCTCTTCCTTCGAATCCTTTTCCCCCTCTTTGCCGATGTGGGACGTACCAATGATGTTGCAAACCGACGTTGTCTATCCGACCAGTCACGTCCCCTTCCCTCGTATTTGCTTCGAAGCCAATGTTGACTTTGCCTGTGACCATCCGGTGGTGCGGATCCGGTCACTGGCCGAGGGTCTGAATACTTAGAAGATGGACTCACCCCTCCTTTACAAAGAAAGAGGGAAAAAGGTATATAAACAGGGCCCCAGGTCGACGGAAGGCGTCATTGGGTGTGCAATTCGAACGCAAAGCAAGCCCTTTTGCTCACTAATCAGAACTTCATCACCCCCTTAACCCTTTGGTACAACATCCTCGAAGATGGCAAAGATAGCTGCAGAAGCAGTTCCTCAACTCAAATCTCAAATCGATGCCCTCACCTCTGACCCTGATGGCGCCCCCGGTGTGGTCTTTGCTGCCGTCAACAAACAAGGCGAGATCATATTCGAACATGCTAGCGGCAAGGTGGGCCATGGAAAGTCACAGCCCATGACCATGAACAATGTGTTCTGGATCGCAAGCTGTACCAAGATGATCACGGGAGTTGCCTGTATGCAGCTTGTCGAGCAAGGGAAGTTGGCGTTGGACGATGTAGAGCTGGTGGAAAAGCTGGCTCCGGTACGTCTTAAACCCTTTGGCTGTTATTTTGCGGAGAAGATTGGAACCATGTCTTGGTGAATGATATCGTATCAATCAGGTCGCTGACTCTCGATCGACCCGGCACAGGAATTGAAAGCCGTGCAAGTCTTTGAAAACGGCAAGTTGGTGCCCAAGAAGAGAGGCATCACCTTGAGAATGCTCCTCTCTCACACGGGTAAGCTGCCCTCCCTCGTTTCCCTGCCTCATCACGTGTCCCTGGCTAGCTCTTGTCTCTCCCTGACTCTCCTATATGCCCTACTAATATGTTTCTACGTAAGCCGGCTTCGGATACTCGTTCTTCGACCAGCGCATCAACGATTGGGCCGGGCCCCTAGGTATCGACGAATTCTCTGGTTCCTATCACGACTATCTATCCCAGCCACTCGTAAACCAACCAGGTGAGACTTGGGAATACGGAATCAACATCGACTGGGCGGGACAACTCGTGGAACGGGTTTCTGGTCTCAAACTCAACGACTACTTTCAACAGCACATCTTCAAGCCCATGGGCATCACCCACATCAATTTCTTCCCCACCGAGGAAATGAAAGCCGACCTTGCGTGGATGAACTCGCGTGCTCCAGATGGAAAACTCTCCCTGTACGTCAATGGGCATTTGAACAGGCGGCCACTTTATGCGACGACGAAGGGAGAGATTGATGCGACGTTCCACGCAGGTGGGGCCGGCTGTTTCGCGAGACCCAGCCAGTACTGCCAGATTATTGCCATGTTGTTGAACGATGGAGTGCATCCGGGCACCGGCAACAGGATCTTGAAGAAGGAGACGGTGGAGACCATGTTTACGAACCAGGTACGGAGTATAAAAGGCCCTCACGGCGAGAAAGAGAAAAACTTATTTGATGCTGACGACCATCGTGTCCGTATAGATCCCTGAGATGCCCAACTATGGAAGACAGGTGAGGGCTCCCCATGCCATTCACTCGTGCAGGTCTTCTACAGCCGCGGATAGCTCCTGGACACGAAAGACATTCTGTATTGTCCAAGTGCATCGATGACTGACTGGAACCTTGACTGGGGCGCAGGGCATCTCTCCACCGAAACTCGACATGTCGAATCCCCTTCCCGAACTATACCCAGAGCCGCACGACGTCCCGCAAGGCTGGGGACTGACCTTCTTCCTCCATCTACGCGACTCGGCGGTCCATAGTGAGGGGACAGGCTGGTGGGCGGGATTGCCCAATCTGTTCTGGTGGGCCGATCGCAAGAGGGTACGTTTTGGATCTCGCGTCTTTGTGACGAACACACACACACACACACACACACACACACACACACACACACACACACACACACACACACATCCAAGCCCTCTTACGTCTTTTGCTCTGTCCAAGACACCCCCCATATAAACTCTGCGGGCTAACACTGCTTGATTTCCAACCTAGGGTCTCGGCGGCATCATCGCCTCACAGATCGTGCCATTCGGTAAAGCACATCCCCGTTCTTTCCCCTCCTTTCTCTTTCCTCTGTCCCCCTCGTTTATCTCCTTCCGACGACCCTCGCCGCTTGGCCCTTTTTCTTCCGCGTTTGTACCTCCGTTGGGCAGAGACGTGCCGCTGACGCGACAATCCACTTCGCAGGTGACCCCAAGATCCTCGGGCTCTGGGCACAGACTGAGGCCGGACTGATCCAGAATCTCAAGTAGAGAGGGACGAGAGGAGAGAAGCGGGACCCCCAAATGTAAGGCGAAGAGGGGGGTGGAGAAGCTTCAGAGTGGGAAGGGAAATCCGGGAAAGGTGAAGGTGTCGTTCAAAAGGACGCCTGCCTCATTACGAAAAGAAACTGGGGACTTCTCTGGTTTTGGGTGCCTCCGGTATCTGAATTGTCAGGACCACCATAACTATGGACCAGTCTCGTGGTACTGGATTTACGGGTAGTAGTCCGTACCTCATGCTGCATTCGTAGCACGTTAATCAAAGCGAAGCAATCATATGGTGAAGACTCTGTTCTTTTTGAAACTCTTTGATATTGTACAATGTAGCTATCCACGCACGTCAAGCATCCATGGTATGTGACGTGCTCAAGGTAACTCTTAGCTCGTGGGATTGCCATCGACAGAATACCCAATAGGTATGCACACCTTTGGCAGGGAGCTGTTCCTGGGGAATGACACCGAGATACCCCAATTCGGGGATGCCAGGAATTCATTTCGGTCTCAACCACCTCACTCTCGTGGAATGGCGCATCATCCGAGTCGTGGGCCTTGGATCAAGCTCTCGGAAAGTTATCGTCTGGGGACTTCGATAGCTTGTAGAGAAACAGCTGATGCTCGGCGGAACGTCTGAGACGTGCATGAAATTCATCGGCATGGGCGACAAAGCCTCGAACAAGACAAGGCCGAGACGCCCAACCCCGAACCCAACAAAATAGCTCCGTGTGCAGACTGGACTGCATTGGGATGGTGTACTAGGCTACATGTCTCAACTCCTCCTGCTGGCCAGCGTGAGATGCCCTGCACATATAATGGCAAGGGTTTTAATCCACAATCTTGCCGTAAAAAGGAATGCCTAGTTGCTGAAGGAGGAGTCTTGCGTCTTTGTCACAACTGGCTGTGGTGTGAATGGTGATGTAAAGACCCTGGAAAAGAGGGATTAGCAAAATCAATCACAGAGATGTCAAAGCTCGGGGAACTCACCGGTATTAGCTTAGTGGGATAGGCATCGTAGTTGATTTCGATCTCCGGGAAACCAGCAACAACATCTGGCGTCAACCCGAAAGAGAGATTGCCACTGTTGTCCCCAGTGGTGGCCCTGACACCATTCCAGTCCTTGATACGGGGTAGGACGACGTTGATCATTTTACCCAGAAAATGATACATGTCTTCACCCTTCAAGTCCACCGTAAGACTGACCGGCCGGCCTCTGATCAGGCCCCAGCCCTGCTCATTCGATCTGGCTTTGTGCACCACGACTCTTTGGTTTGTGATTGCTTGCAGGATCATGCCTGCCACGTGAAGGTAGCCCGAGCCTCCCTTCAGAGCGCCTTTGCAAAACGCGTGAACAGTGACTCGTTCCACCATGGGCACATTGCGAAAGGTTACAGGTTTTCTCAGTAACCGCAGCACGTCTCCGCCACGTGGGCCACGCAGCTGTCTGTTGGAAAAGTACGGGTTGTCTCCAATCCATGGTCGTAACCGAGGGCCCTTCTCTGCCGGTCTGAAGCCGGGAGGCGTATGTTGATAGCACATTGTCATGAAATCTGGGGCAATGATGTTGTGATAGGCGAGTTCGACTCGAGGCGACGAAAAAGGGCCCGGGACGAATTCCCGACTTGCAGGATCTGAAGGATGGAGAGGCTGATGGGGATGCATCGGGCCACGATCGTACCTGGGACTTCGGAATCGATACCTGCAGAGTGTGAGCACATCTCCATCCACATCTGGGATATGGCTTTGAAATACCTGCTGGGTGGCAGCTGTCGCTTTCTTGACTTTGGAAAGGCCAGAGGATCGAAAGCCTGTGCTTTGGGGTGTGGACTCTGCATGGGGAGTAGCGATGACTCCTGCTCAAGCTCCAGGTATGGCTCTGTGCTTGCTACAGCTGCCGGAGTAGCCATTGTTCGTCGCGACTGCATGCATCGATTGCAGATGGGTGCATGATTCAAGGATCGCCACGGCCGGAGAAGGCGTAGAGAACCAGGAGAGAATGCCATCGTGCACCCATAAACACTCAGGGCGAGGTTGCTGAAGCCGGGACCAAAATAGTCGACTCGCCGATAATACCAACTGTGCAGCCGAAATTTGAAGCTGTTCTCGTGTTTCGATCTCAATCGCGGAAAATAGTTGGCGCTTTTTGCCGCATGCTTCACGGTAGTCAGCGCTACGGCAAGACTTTGGAGCCTTTTTGCGCAGACCGCAACTGCGGCTTTGATCCCCACCTGTTCATCGAGGCTGGAGTGTGCCTTGCAGGACTCGCACTTTCACGAGATCCTTGCGTCTTCGACTTGGAACGCAGTACAATTGCAGTTTCAACTGCTTCAAACTCTTCCCACCTGCCCACGCCCGCGTATTCTGTTCTTCCGGGCCCCCATCTCGACTGTACAAGGTCGAGAAATAGTATCCATGGAACGCAGCCTTCAGCTTTGGTCAACTTCCGCCAGACATTCGTCGTGACTGGCAAAAACGGTCGCAATGACCTATCTCTTTGCCTCAATCCCACCATGGAAGATATCGCCGTACAGGCGTCCCGGTACATAGCCCCCTTCCTCCATGACTTCACCGTTCTGACGCTGGGCTTCGCAGAAATGTAAATCGTACAGAAACCGACCTCTTACAGGCCCTATACCGCGCAGAGCCCGTAACTCAGGGCCTGGAATCCTTGCTGGCAAAGTGAATGCAACCAATGTATGAAAGAACCTCTCACTCACGACACTAGATTTCGCTCAGCATGTCAAGACTTCCTCTTCCTCGACTTCAGGGCCGCGGCCGGGAAGAAAGTCGAAGATCGTCTGTGGAATGCTCATATGAAGGCAAACTCAAAGTTCAGGCAATATCTTGCCAACTTCCGTGAAGGAGAAGGCAAGAAGAAGGTTGTCGAACGTCGAAAAGCCGAGAAGCTTTATCTAGAGTTCATCAAGTCGAGCCAACGCTTCTATCGAGAGTATATCCAACGACTCGCCTCAAATTATAAGGATATTTCGGAGATACTTGAGGTTGCTCAAGGCATGAAGCTGGATAGTATGCAATGCCTTAGCTTGTTACCGATCCTCGCTGACACTTGTAGCACTCTCCGCAGACCCTCCGCAGAAAGTGGACGACACGCTGAAGAAGCTACTCATTGATTCATGTTATTCGGCCCTGGTGCAACTGGGAGATCTCTCGAGGTATCGGGAAACCGAATTGCAGACGAATCGACGCAACTGGGGTCCTGCTGTCGGTTATTATAACAAGGCTGTCGCTCTCAATCCGACAGATGGCAGATCATATAATCAACTGGCCGTTGTCGCGCTTGCTGGCGAGGACCACCTACGAGCTGTCTACTATTTCTATCGAGCCATCTGCCTCGATAGTCCCGCTCCACAAGCTCAAGGAAACCTGGACCTTGAGTTCAAGAAGCTTAGGACAAGGTCAAACCAAGGCAAGCCCATCTCCAGCACAGCATCAGTTGCTGAGGGCAGCCGTGACCTCCATGACCGCTTCCTCATATTTCACGCTAATTGTCTCGGAGAGGACCCACGTGGACAAAAGGATCAGCAAATCGAGATTCTTCGACTTCTCGAGGAGCAAATTCGAGAGCGGTCTGGTGATACGATCCTCAGAAAGCTCGTCTTGGTCAATATTTCTGCAGAGAAGTCTGCTTCAGAGAAAGTTAAAGGTGCGTAAAAACGATCATAGAGCGAGCAGCTCTCTGGTTCTGCTTTACTAACATGCCCTGCAGCTACCCGCTCTTTCGAGATTTTCCAGTCGTTTAATGTCAAAACCTTTTTCCTACTCCTCAGAATCTTGCTTGATGAACTGCAGAAGCTCACAGGAGAAACTATTAGCAATGAATGTGCCGCAGCCGACGACTTGCCTCAAGTCCCTCCAGTAATCCGCCGAATGCTTCCCCATATGAGGCTGTATAGTGGATGGCTGTTGAGTACCGTCCAACTCCTGCTGGAGAACGAGACACTTGTCGTGTCTCTGCGCCAGATGTGGCCGTTGTATGTCAACGTCCTGAATGTTCTGATGCAGGTATTTCCTCCTAAAGCTGCGCCCGAGATCCAATATCTTTTGGACGAAGATATGGATACCAGAGGGCTCTCTGCCTTCAGTCCTCTCGTCCAAAGGACACGGCTTTGCAGCCGCGCAGGGCCGATCAAAATGGTACACAACGACGCAGTATTTGGCACTCGCTCTCCACAACACGAGATGTTGTATCGACTCAAGTGTCTAATAACAGACGGCGTGTTACTTGCTCGTAAACAAGTAAGTTACCCACGTAACATATACCAGGTGTCGCTGATATTTTCAGGATGAATTCAAGTCCTTGCCCATTCCTCTCACATTTGCCAACATGCGCTTCGTCTACCTCGAGGAGGGTGACGATGTTGCACATGTCGATGGTCAGACCGCAACTCTAGCGGTTCCCGCCTACGCTGCTTCAGGCGAGGACATACGCAGTTATATTGGGCGCACTCCTCAGCATGAAATTCCTCTGCCCCAGGCACCAAGCCAACAAGCGCCGGCGTTCGACACTGAAAATTCTATGGCGTCCAGAATGGAGAACATGGTGGATAATCTCATGCGGTCTGAAGCACCACGGTCCACCAACAGTTCTGGGGCCGTTATGTACGATGTGCCTGCATCCATGTCGAATGCACCATTGGTACCACGAGGGCTCACCAACAGAAGCACATCGCAATCGCAGCCTGTTCCCTTTACTGCTCGAGACCTCGTGCAGCGAATCCAGCAGTCTCCCAGCGCATCACAGCCTAGCATGGTAGACCAGGCTGTCAACGTTGCCATCTTACCTTCTATCTTGAACACCCCATTTGCACCACGACCTGGAGAAACCCCCGAATCATCACCGCGGCCAAGTACCGCCCATCGTTTCCCCGATCCAGCATCAGCATCTGTTCGCCTCAACAGTTCTGCTCAATTCCAGGCACACCTCATGCACATGCAGGATCAGGTACAAATGCGGACGTCACCGCTCGAGTCGTTTGAGCCGACCATGTCGAGTCACTATGGCACTCCTATAAATCTGACGGCTCGGATCCGAGCGAATGATCCGATACAGCCTCAACTCTCCCCTTGGCAGACCTCATTTAGCAGCGCTGTACCTGTGCAACATACTCCTATCTCGACCCGGCCTCCGGATTCCTCACCTTTTGGTGCCATCGGCGAGCCGCGTCCGAAGAGCAGTCGGACTCCTACCAGCGGCCAGCCAGGATGACGTTTCACATCTTTCTCGCTCGCCTCTTCGATCTCTCACAGCGATTTCAGTGGGCCACTATTAGGAGAGCGAGAATGAGACACAATCAGATGCCATTCCGTTCATTATCGGGATGCGACAAGGACATCTATCAGTCCTGGGCGCCAGCCACCCGCGCGCACCGGTCCAAGCCTTGGCTTCGTTACAAGTCTTTCAAATTTGACGCTCGAATAGCCTGGTATCCACGCACTGCCGGGCAAGAGGAAAGATCTGAGGACAATCACGTGGACTTAAATTCAAGGGGTCTGCGCCAATTCCAGAAGGTGATCGTCACTGGCAAGTTAGCGGAACCATCAGGAAGACCTTGTTAGGAACATAATTCTGACTAGGGGAAGGCGAATAGAGACCTGAATGAGGTCAAATCAAACTGACTCCTTTCTTTTTTGGCTTCTATTTTCGTTCCTGGTTAGGAAGGATCTCCTTCTATGTCATATCGGGGCTCTAATTTTCGGCATCAAAATTTGCCAGTCAACAAGCCGTGAAGGACGTGGTATCATGTCTGACATACTCTCCAGAGGTCTTGTTGAATTAGACCTTTCCGCTGTTAAAGCGCGCCCATACTGGTACATTCTTCTGAGGAAAAAAGGGAAACGCCAGACTTATGCAATACTCAATCCGAAGAGGCCCTTGGTTCAAGCCTTGTATGTCTGCTTCGGCCGGGGATATCTGTATAATGGCGTTTGTTAGAGACTGATGCGGTAGAAAGATGGCAAAAAACTTACGCGGGGCCCAATTCCTGTAGACTCAATCTTGCAAGCCACTGGCCCTTTTTGATACAGACTTCCAGGGGATCGCCCTGGACCACACCGGCGCAAAAACCACCTGCAAAGGCGTCGCCCGCACCATTTGTGTCGTTGATCAGGTTCTTGTCGATGACCGGCACCGAGTATTCCTTGAGTTCCACCTCTTCTTTCCCTGCTTCAGCGACGGCCACGATTGTTGGGTCCGTGCCCTGCGTGACAATCACCACCCTGGGTCTCTTTGTATTCACCTTGGGCAGCTTGGCCATCAGCTTGGCGCACTCTTGCATCGAGATGTCAGAGGGGCGGCCTTGAGACTCTGCCCAAGTCTTCGCCTCGTTCTCGTTCCCAAAGACAAAGTCGCAATATGGCAATATCTCGGCAAGCGGCTCCTTGAAGAACTGGGGGATGAATCCTGCCGACAGGCTCAGCATGAATATCTTGTTCGTTTCAGCGGCGTGCTTGGCCAGCGCCATGGCGGCGGGCGGGCACACTGTCAGGTGGTAGCCGCCGACGTAGAAGCCCACGGAGGTCGCTTCTACCATGCTCCAAATCCGCGGTTCGAGGAGGTGCTCAAGCTTGTATTCGTTGGCGGCGGCGAGGTGCGTGCACATTGTGCGGTGGTGGTCTGTGATTATGACGCCGCATTTCCCCGTGGGGGTGGTAGGGTCGACGCGGTACTCGACGTGCAGTCCTGAAGGTCTTCTCGTCAATGTCCGTTTGATGGGGGAGAGAGCTTGAGTTGTGTGTGCGTGCAAGACACCGGGCGAAAAGTGGTGTGATTTATGTACCTTCTTCCTTGCACTTCTCCCTCAATATCTTTGCGTACTCATCGTCGCCCACACAACCAATGTACCAGACACTGTCCGGGGGGAGCATGTACTGTGCGCCCCTGGCGGTGTTTTGCGCAGCACCGCCGGGGATCAACTTGGCGTTGCGGTTCTGGATGAGGTCGTCGTAGAGGCCCATCTGGTGGGGTTCCGCCAGCAGCGTGTCGTTCAGTTTCAGGCCGTACTTTTCGAGCATAGCGTGATCACTGCGAAACCATGAGATGTATGTTCTCAATGGCAAAACTCCAGTAGCTGAGGGTTTCAGGTCAAGAAGTACATACCCAGCGCCCTGAATATCAAGGAGGGGATTCTCCAAGCAGAGCAGCTTGAAGGATTTGGTTGCCATCTTGCGGATTGGTGAGGGCAGTGGCCCCAGAGATAGCGAGGATGAAGGAGAAAAGAAAGGTGAAAAGGGTCGAAGGAGTAAGGAGGGAGAAGATCGGACAGCAAAGATCCGTGGTCGCGTAGATACACACCTTGTCGACAGCATCAAGACGCTTTTGTGAGACTGTGATCAGAGAATTGAAATCGGTGTGGGGCAAGAGAGGTGCATTGACCTGGTTAGCCGAAGATATTCCGCTCCGAGCTCCTGCGAGGCTACAGGCGAGTAGGTCTTTCTCCACGCACTTCGTCCTCCTCCCTCATTCAAGACAAGTCTTCATTCGCGACACTCTCATCCATCATGGCCCCCGCTGCCACAGAAATCGCTTCCACGATACAATCTGCCCACATCAAGCACGACCCATCTCCGGAGCACGACATCAACCCTTCGACCGCCGCATCCAAAAAGCTGCCAGCCGAAGTCGAGACCATATCCCCTCCTCGTTCTCGCTCTCACTCCCCAAGCGGCTCTGAGTCTACTTTACCCAGCGACATCATCCGGCCCCGTCCCAGATCCCGGTCATTCCCTCCGATCCCCGACTTCCGCTTCGAACAGTCCTACCTCGCCAGCATCAAATCCGCCGATTCGAATTGGAAAATCGCCTTCATCACCATCCGGGACCAAGTGTTTTTGCCGTTGGTGCAGGGGATACTATGGAACTTGCTGATGTTCGGGTGGCGGCACTGGAACCGTGGGAGCAAGTTTCAGGGACAGACCTTGGGGGCAAAGGTAAGGAAGTGGTGGTGGGGTGTCAATAACTGGAAGGTCCCTGAGGCGGAAGCGAAGGAACAGAGTGATAGACAAGTATTGCAAAGAGTCGAGGACTTCTTTGTCGATCGCTTTGGAACCAGCCTGGGGGATTGAGGCACCCGGATAGTCTCCTGATGCATATTGGAGATGGGGTTGGTCAAATTGTCCCAGACCATACTCCGCCAGTTTCTTCCGCTTCACCGTCCCCATATAGCTCTGGGTGTTGGATGAGCTTGTCATCTCTCCCGCCATCAGCGCTTGGGGCGTTACAAGCCTGGCTGGCTTGTTGAAGAGCCTCTTAGGGAAAGAATAGAAGACGGTTTATTCCGTGCTTATGGAAATTGGGCACGCCGGCTTCGAAGCTACACCAACATGCGCGAAGTGCGGACTAGGCTCATGGGCGAGGAAGTTGGAAATCGAGGGCGGCGCCGGGACGACACGCAAGACGTGTCAGTGGGTGAAGTGAGAAAGGTTGATGGAAATGGTTGGAGGGATAGTTACGCCCTCTAGCTTGGGTTCTACGATTTCACAGTGGAAAGGGAATCATTGTCACAAATCAGAAATGCCCATATTGAGCGGGACTCGTGAAGAGCAACAAGCGGGCCTGAAACAGTGATGATTTGGACTTGTCAATTCCTGTCCTGTTTTTGAAGCACTCATCTCACCGAGCCGCACCGACAATGTGGGTGCCTTGCAGCAAGACGAGCAGCAGGCGCTTCTCTATTGAGAGCACTTTTTATCTCGTCAACTTTCGTGTGAGCCCATTTCAATTGACGCCATCGAACTGACTGCGAAGGTCCCACCAGCCATTTGCCAGGGTGTCTGCCTTCATCCTTGTCGAAGAAATGACTTTGCCAATCCCTTTCAATCCTCCGTCTCCGCCATCCGCCGATCCACCGAAAACATCTATCGGCTCTTTGCTTGCACCTTGCTTGGTGCTCCCTTAGCGCCCTGCTTGCTGGTGATCTGGCCTCTCGCCGCGTTCGCCGCGCTCTTCGCCTTCTCGGCCTTCTTCTTGCTTTCGCTGGCAGCCTTCTTCTCCTTGGCGTCCTTAATCGCTGCTTGACGAGCTGCGGCGCGGGCCTCCGGGCGTTGTGCGCGGCGTTCCTTGATCACGTCGAGAGAAGCGCCGACGATGGCTCGCTGGTGTTTTACTGTGCGGCGGGTGCGTTTTTTGGCGACTTCCTATATTTTGGCAGGTACGTTAGTGGGTCTGGCGTTGAGCAGAACGTACGGAGGTAGAAAGTCAGGTTGAATAGCAGATGTCCCTCCTCGTATCAAATTTCAATTTACAGATCCCCAAATGTCACCAATATTCCGTCATAGGTAGCGATGTTTTCGATTCGTGACTAACCTCTGAGATACCCTTCTTGTGCATTCGTCGGTAGAGCATGGTCCAGGCTATTCTTCTTGGGTTCTTGCGCTGCAAGAAAAGGGACTCGGTCTTGCCATTCTGGAATCGGAAGATCTTGCTGTCGCCGCGGACGTAGAGCTTACCCTGTAGAATGTCGAATTCCCATGTCAGCAACAGGCATGTCCGTAGGATGTGCGAATTTCACTGCCGTCTGGCTGCGCGAGCACTCGCTGACCGCGGGGGAAAGTGGGCGAGTTGTACTGACCTTGCCAGGGTAGATCTTGGTGGCGCTGAAGGTATCGTCGTAGGTACGCATCTTGACGGTCGACTGATGCTGTACCTATTCTTCGATAATTCGTTGAGTGGGATGAAAGTTGGTAACGCAATCGGCCGTTCAATGTCTGCGGCGGAGTTGCAATTCTGCAGTGTGCGCCTTAGCTAATGCCAAGAATCATTCTACGTTCAACTGCAAACACACTAGCGCAGCGACTTCAAAATTATGCACGTGATCGGAGTTGCAACACCCCTTTTCTGTATCGCACATGTGGTTTTCATTGGGTATCACAGATCTCTTGCCGTTCGCAGTCTTATTTGTCTCGCCCTGGCGAGATCACTCGAGTCAATGCCCTACTTCCAATGGGTAGGTTTCTGAGCTAATAGTACATGTTTATCATGTTGTCACAGAGGCTCTCGCTGATGTCCCGTCATCCAAGAGAAGCTCGTTAGGAGTTCCAAAGCCCAATTGTTCTGTTCACCTTCATGTCCATGAGCTTGATTCTGGTAAATCTTGTCTTAACCGTTCATAGAGCGCGGCGATTCATATCCTCATCATGCCACAAGCATTCTGCCCATGGGTTCTTCTTGCACTTTCGACACTGAATGTCTTTGCAGATTGGATTGGGGCATTCTCCACAGCAATCGGGACAGACCATCTTGCCGCAGCCGATTTCGCCACCCTTGGTGCATTGAAGAAAAGTCGGTGCTTCTTGGCCATATGGGAATAGGAAAGCAATCTGGAGAAGTCTCTCTTCTGCCGTCTTTAGGGATTCTGGATTGTCCTTCTGGATCTTGACGGCGAGCGCAGCGGCTTTGTAGGCACAGCAGGCGCGACCGCAGACGGCGCAGCAGTGATCGAGGCAAGTAGTGCATTTGAGGTTGCGAGAATGCCAGGCGCGGCTAGTGTTTGGGTGACGTGGATATGGCTGTCCATCATCATAGTCATAACTGTAATTGTTGGTGGTGGTGCGCAAGTAACGTTCCTGGTGTTCGCTGTCAGTTAAGCTGCCGCAATGACCGTGAAGGGAGAACTTACAAGATCAGGTCGGTGAAGCATGTCCACATTCTTGGGCGAGGCGAAGTCGGGTTGAGGCCTCTCAGATTTTGTCTTGAACAAATCAGTGACCTTGCGTAGACCAGTCTTCTTCTGCTCAAATCCGTCCGAAACTGGGGTAACGACCGGCTTGCTGCTGTCGAAGGGAGTCCTGCCTGGAGTAGATGCGCCAGCCATGGGTGAGCCTTCATTGGAGACGTTGAAGATATCAGTCTGGACGTTCTCGGTACCAATTTGGAATGTTGACAGGTTCCTGCTGAGATCGTAGGTGTTGGCAGCATCAGAGCTTTGTCGTGGCATCGAACGAGGCAAGATGGGTCGACAAGCAAACGGCTCCGGTGGATTTGGACTCATAGAGTCTTCCGTGCCGATGGGCTTCGCGCTGAATGGGCTGTCCTGGACCTTGCCATTGTCGTGACTACCTCTGACGAACGCGTTCCCTGGTTTTGGCAGTGTGTCGAACTTGATTCTGTTTTTCAGCCGAGCTTCATGTTCAGCTTTTTCACGTTCCGCCTCTTCACGCTCAGCTTCGCGCTCCTTCTCGTCGAACCGTCGTCTAGCTTCTCTCACCATCCGCTTGATTTCTTCTTTCTTGGACGTGGTGAGCAGCGACGGCGCGTCACTCGTGGAGGAAAAGGGATTTGGTTGGTTCATTGGATGCTGGCTGATGTCTGGTGCTGGGATTCTCGTCAGATGGTGGAAGGGTCGTTCGATGACTTTGTGCCGCTTGGGTGTGAGAATGTGGCCATTGTTGGCATTCACTGGAGGAGATGAGGGTGGCACAGCGCCAGGTTGAGCTGAGAGGCCCGGCAGTGGCATGGCGAGAGACGGAGTAGGTTTGATTGTCTTTGCGTCGTCTTCTCGTAGGACTTTCATGCCTTTGGGGGAGCGACTTTGCTTGACAGGGTCGCGGGTCGGAGAGGCGCAATTTGAGTGGTTTTGGACAATTTCCATTGCCAGATTCACATCAAATTCAAACGGCTGTCCAGTCACAATGGACAAGGGCCTAAAAGACCCTCCTCTACGTCTGTTGTAGAGGGGTGCGACAGGACGTGAAGAATCACTCACGTGATCATTCAGCCTCGTACCGTCCCCTCTGTCTGGCGAAGCCTTTCGGCTCCGCACAGACAAGGCCGTCTGGCTCAACTTCTTCCCCAGAGTCCTCAAGGGGGACCCCGGGGAGCGAAGAAGAGCCTTGACGGCCTGCGGCGTTGATGGCCGCGAGGGTAGGCACGAGGCCATCTCATCGGAGTCAAGACTCCACCGGCTCTGCTCCATGGTGGACGTCTTTGATATTGATGAATGCGAAAGAGAAGAAGAACAGCGTGTTTTTAGATCAACAGTTTCATCTCAAATGTAGCTCCAGTTCACGCCGAGCGTCAGCGGCGGGTACAAAATCGACCAATGGCGCGCACCAGTCTCCAGCCGCTTTCTTGAGGCGATGATGTCGCCTTGCCGTGCCAAACAGACATCGAGAACAGCCGTCAAGTGGCCAGGATGGACGACACATAATGAACGACAGAGACCGAGGCGACAGGACGCACACCGTTTCGGAAAAAAGGGACGAACAACAGCGGACGACATGGAGTCTATTCCATGAGAGAGGTTTCAAAGGCAGGTACAGAAAGAATCCAGAGCACGACTCACCATAATGCATGGTCAACAACCTCAAACCAAGGAATCTTCTATTGTATTCATCATTCGATAGTAAGAGTCCATCGTGCTTAGAGAAATGAAAGGCAGGGACCTTTCTTCTCTGGTCATTGCGTCAAGGCTGAATGCTCATCTGATCGTCGATCGTCCCACGCTACATCTTCATCGAATTCTCCGTTTTCGGAAACCTTTCCTTCGACCTGGATCATCAAAAGTGAGAGTTGCAATCACGGCATGGCATAGGTTTTGGTCCACTCTCTAGCTGTTTGGATCGCAGCCTCTTGGTCCTCCTTCCACCGCTGAGCAACATCATTCGCCAAAGGGTCATCCGGGTTTGGAGCGCCTAGCAAAGCCTGAATTGAAAGAAGAATCGTTCTGATCTGGAGAGCGGGCGACCAGTTGCCTTGACAAAAGATCAGTCCTGGTCCAACCCAGTCCAACCCACGGGAAAAAGGAACTCACTCTTCAATACATCCAAGCAGATGCGACCGAGCTTGTCAATGTTTGGATGGTATATCTTGGTCAGAAATCTGATCTTGGGAGGGGTCATCGGATAGTCGTCCGGTAGGAAGAGTTCAAGCTTGAAGACGCCGCCTGCAGAGAGTCAGCCCCGCCTCGCCAGAGCGCTGGTGATATACCGACTTACCTTCATATGGGGATTGGGATGGGCCATGTATGCTGACATCAAAGTACCGCAGATTGTCTTCGTGAGGCACCGCGCTGATCCCCGGGACACTTGGAAGACTTAGTTGGGCTCCACTCAGTTCAAGGGCCAGGAAAGGACCTACGGCTCTGCCATCAACCTCTCCGTCTCTTTCACGATTCTTTTTGGCAGCGCCATCGCAAAGGTATGTTTCACCTCGCCGCAGAGGGCAGATCAAAAGGTCTGGACCACAACAGTCTCGGAGAGCCCAATCTTCAACAACCCGCAGGCAAGGTCTGGCAAGAGGGTGGAACTGAAGACCAGACAAAGAGCAAGTCGTGGAAGGATGTCTGAAGAGGCGTTAGGACCGCAGTTTACGTGAAACGGAGCGACAGCGCGTGATAGGAGAAATGGTATGTCAAGGGTGCGGTGCACAATAGTCGCGACGATTTATTCTTAGAGGGTGTGGCTGCTTCGCTGAGGCAATGGATTGTCACTGTCGTTTGAGTCACTCTGATTGATATGGCACAGCGTTAACTGCGCCTTCCATTCAGTCTCATGACTCGCGAGCAATCTTGGCGCCAGTCTTCTGTACGTGGACCATGACTCGAGCTAAGCCGCCGCGATATCGTCCTCATCGTCTCTACGAGGAATTCAGATCACCTTTCTCGCACGGGCTTCAGGATTGGAATGCCAAGTATACGCAGCACCGCCAGTCGTTGTCCTGTCCTCGTCCGATATCTATACAAATGACGCTAGTTTCCCCCAGCCATGTTCTATACCTCCTACGCACTCGGACATGAGATCCTGGACAGGACTTCTTCACGTGCAATAGCTTATACGCACCCTTGAGCTTAGGCCAAGGACTGCGTGTCTCCATTCAGCAGGTCTGCCAGCTGCCCTGCATTAGGGGTAGTATGGATTTTGCTGTGCAGCTCCTTGGAAGCTAATACTCGTGAATGACAGCCTTGCCCCGTCGCATCCCCAGCATGTCCCCGCATTTTAGCGTCCCGCACACGGATCATATCCTCCAGGTCGACAGACACGAGAAGTCTGTCCCACCTCTGGAGGCGCCCCCATCATGAGAGAAAAGCCTTGGATGCAGTACACCTCGGCGCGTTCACATCCTATTCCAGCCCATGATACATAGCAGTCCTTCGTGGTTCGATCTGAGATGAGACCCGCAACACCACAATCTGGGTAGGGATGGTTATCTGGCCATTGACCCTTACCCCGTCAACTCCCTTGTTTGTGTCAGGACACTTTTTTGAGATCAGTGGACTCACGCGAAAGCTTAGAACCATTCCTTTGGTCAAAGAACCCATTATATAAGAACTCATCCTTCCCTTCCATGTTCTTGTGTTCGACACAGTGCTTTGCTTTTTGAGCCTTCAGCACTCAACGAGACTGATAAAATGGCTTCCCAAGGACAAAACGAGGGTTTCGAGACCACAGATGTGATAATATGTGGATGTGGGCCAACGGGCGCACTCCTAAGTGCACTTCTAGGTCGAATGTCCATCAAGAATGTTGTCTTGGAGAAAGAGCAGGAAATCGTGACAGACCCACGTGGCATCGCTCTAGATGAGGACGGGATTCGGCTCCTGCAGGAACTGGGTTTGTATGAGCAGGTCCACGGCGAAATCGGACAACATATTGGATGGACCTTGTTTACATCTGGAAAGCATGGGCTCATGACCAAGCCATTCCTGAGAATGAACCTAGGCACCACTGAAGGAGGCACTGGCCACGTCGCTGCTATCTGTCACAAACAGCCTGTAATGGAAAAGCATATTCGCATGGCTGCAAACGGCTGTCCCGGCTCCCAGCTGCGCCTGGGGTCGACGATTGTGGATATCGAAGAAGGCAAGGACTTTGTTAGAGCACAGTACATCGACAACGACGGCACACAGCGCATCATCCAGGGAAAGTTCTTCGTGGGAGCAGATGGGAAAACTGGATTTACACGCAAGCGCTATCTGGAACCAAAAGGAGTCTCTCTCCAAACACTTTCTGGGTAAGACAAATTTACCGTAGCAGGCACACCAGGCACAACTGACAAGATGCTAGCTACGAGTATCAGGAGACGTGGGTAGCAATGAACTGGCACATGGACCTCCCTACCCAAGAGACACACCCAACCTTTCCCCTGTGGAAACTGAACTACACCCCTGAACAAGTCTACGACAAATTTTTTCCGCCAAATTTTCGATTCATTGGCAATCCTGACAGACCCTCGGTCTGTGGAAGCTTCGGCCCACGGTGCGACAGACTCTGGAGATTCGAATTCGTGGTGGACAAGGGAGAAGATCCACAGGAAATGGCTACTTGGGAGAAGACGTCCGAAATCGTCCTACCATACCTGACTCACCCAGGCACGGAATACGGGTAAGTCTCCGACAGTCCATCTAGCGAGGTGTCTGCGCCTGCCACTTATACGAAACCGAGCAGTTTGAAAGATGCTGTGCAGTATCCGATTGACTGCATCCACGTTCTGCGATCGAGGCCTTTCACTTTTGCCGCTCGAAGCTGTAACCAGTGGGCTGTCGATAGAGTGATACTATGTGGTGATGCAGCCCATGTCATGCCTCCGTGTACGTATTTGACGAGCACAAACTTAAAAATCGTGCTGACAGACATAGTCGGCGGCCAAGGTATTGTCTCCGGATTTAGAGACGCATCAGGTATTGCATGGAGGCTGGCACTAGCCTGTCGTCCCGATTTTGATGGAAGCTATGAAACCCTCTTCAACGGGTGGTTTTTAGAACGAAAGCAGCAGCTGGACCGCTCTCTTGCCGCTACTGTTGCCAACGGGAATCTCACAACGGCCCGAAATCCCACCAAGATCTTTCTCAGGGATTGGATCCTGTGGTTGATGCAACTTGTCCCCAGTCTGAGACACAAGCTCGAGCTAGGTCCACGCGCAAACGGCATGCAACGGTACACATTCAGCCCCGGAATGGCATTCCTTCCAGACCTAGCAGGCGGACGTTGTTTGCCACAAGTGTACTGTTGTCCGGTTTACCCCTCGACCAAAGATCAAGTCGCACAGGTCCAATTTACAGATGACGTGTTACTCAATGGACCAAGGGCTGGTGCTCTGCTGCGACTCGTCGTCGTGATTGACAATATCGAGCAGGCCCAGAAAGCGTGGTCGGAACTCAGAGACATGGACCTAGAGGAAGCCTCCCACAACGAAATCCGCAGGAACTCTGCTTTCTTTCTGATCCATTCGCCATCGCTCGAGCATCGTCAAACAAATACCTCGTCGGATATTCCCCAGCAAAACGTGTATCGTATAGCAACTGGGGACGAATTTGCCGCATCAGACCTTTGCAGAAACCGGCCCTACCCGACCGGATACGACATGTATCGAATTAAAAAGGATGTTGGGGGGAGGAAATACGTTTTGATCCGTCCAGACCGATTTGTGTTTGCCGCCTGTCACACTGGCGCAGAGCTCATCACTGCTTGCGAACGCATCCCTCAAACGTTGTTTGGGTCTTCTAAAAAAGCAACAAACCCGCACGGTGCTAAGCGATAGATGGGCTCAACATCTGATATCAACTAGACGGGTGATGTCGATAGGAAATTTGTTTGGAGACTTTCACGCAGAGTCTCGTTCCGCACTCAGCATCTTTAAGCACAATCTCCTCAGGCGCCATTTGATATCCATATACAATATTGCAAACATCCATAAAGCGATTTTTTAAGTGATCTCAGTATTGCACGGCTCGAACCAAAGCCATTGCAAGGCACTCAGCCTATAGCTCTTTCCACATCCTTGACACCTGGTCGCCACAAGGAACAGCCCAAAGAGCAGCAAGGCAAACAAACACGGTCAAAGCCGGCATGTCTGAAGCCGCCTTCAAAGGGATCTCCTACGCATACCCGGACCAGCCGAAGGTTTAGCGACATGTGGGAGCGCCATCAGCCTTGTTGCGGGACGATATTCGCCCGACTAGCTTCCTATAGGCGAGCATTGGGCCTTGAATCCTGATCTACAGTACGGCTTCTCCGCGCCGGCGAGGGCACCCCATACTCGGCTTAAACAGTACTCCAGCTTGCTTCCACAATCCTTCACATCGAAATCTTATTTGCCGTCCGCCACGTCGAAGTGTCAGCAAACCTTGGCCTTTGCTCTGCTTTATCTGTGCGAGAACCGCCGCTCGAAAACCGCCCCGATCCTTCGATCATCAGCTTGGTCGTTGGGCAGACGCCCAACCCAACTTGCACAGCATTCAACAGAGACTGTCATATCTCCATGCAGGCCGTCTTCGCCCAAACGGCCGTTCGTTCGAAGCTCAGCTAGTTACACTACAGGCAAGCGATGGCAACTACTCCCACAACCAATCCGGAGCCTGGGCTGCAGACTGAACAGCCCGTTGCAATTAGAACAGGAAAAGGGAAAAAGTGTCCATATTGCTCCCGGGAGTTCTACAAAGCCGACCATTTTCATCGGCATATTCGATCTCACACCAAGGAGAAGCCATTCCGCTGTCACATATGCCGCAAGGCGTATCCGCGCCAGTAGGTGAAGTCTACCTCCTCATCGGGGGTCATCACTAACCCTGAAAGCGACACGCTACTCCGTCATGCAAGAATCCACAGGCAAGAGTCGAATATTGCGGGTTCCGGCACGAAAGGAACTGCGAATGAGGCACCTCCAACAGTGTATCAAGACGCATCTCCCTCCGGTAATTCTACTGCGACTTCCAGATCCACGAATCTCGAGGGACCAGCGACCTGTTCGTACGACAACCAACCAACGCCGGCATCGCATCCGTCATCCAAATCGTTAGGCTATGGCCATCATGAGAATGTGCAAGACCCTGGAGCCGTGGTCCTCTCAACTTTCCCAGAAATGTCTCCATCGCAAGATCTTTCAAGCAATCCGGCAGGATCAATGCGAACTTTACAAGACAGCCTTCACCCGGGTGTAACCTTCGGTCAACCTCAAATGGCAACGAACATGCTCCCAGCATCCACGATAGCCGGAGCTGACGCCACTCTAATTGCAGAAGCTAATCACTTCGGTTTCAATGGACCTCTGGAGACACATCCATTCGTAGAGCAACTTACTGATGTGCACTCTGGACAATGGCTCCTGGAAGACGACTTCGACTTTACCATCTTCGAAAACATGGGTTTCAGCAATACTCTTCACGAACCACAATATAGGCATCATGACGCGAACCTTGGATCGCCGCATCACCACAAGACGGAGAAACCCAAACTTCGACCAGCCGTCCTCGATCTAAGACAAATCTGGTATATCCAAGTTTCCGGCACAGAAAACGAGCCCGTTCCAGATTCTGGGACGGGGACTCCAAGGGAAATAGCTACGACGTCTCTCGACAACATCGACGAAATATACCGTGTAAAGATGGCAAAAAAGCTGCGTCCAACACTGCGGGACGAGCCGCTGCCCTCTATTGACTTCATGAATCTGTGTATACATCTGTTTTTTACCCGATTCAATGTCGCCCTACCTCTCATACATAGCCCAACCTTTCGACCAACGCACAGCAACGCACTGTTGGTACTCTCTATTTGTTCGGCAGGGTGTCTGTCCCTCGGCTCCGAGATGTCTGCCAAAACAGGGTCCATGCTCTTTGAGCGGGTGAACAAGGCTATCCTCGTTGCGCCCTGGGAGAGAGCCCTTCCTCGAGCCACTGATCAAACTTGGAACCTCGTGAAGGCTTCTATGATCGGGCAGACTTACGCACTGTTGTCAGGTGATCCTGCTCACCGAGCGACGGCCGCGGCCTACCACGGGTCACTCATTGCGCTTGCCCGTCACCACAAGTTGTTTACTCCGGCACCACCCTTTCATCTCCCCGACGATCTCTCTAATGAGGCTCTGGACAAAGCATGGAGGACGTGGGTCACGCAGGAAGAGCTGAGAAGGGTCGCTGTGCTACTTTATATCCATGACGCCGAGATCGCGGCACTGTTTCACCATGAGCCGGTCTTCCGTCACAACGCCGGACATATACCAACGGTCTCCTCATCAGAGCTCTTTTGCGCTCCATCTGCATCTACATGGGCTTCTTTGCTCCGAGCGGAACAAAGAGACAGGCAATTCGGGACCTCAAATTATCGAAGCGAAATCACTGGTTCTTTCAATGTTGGGCAAGGAGGTACTGGTAGTGAGAGTCAGTCAAATCCTCTGTTGCAAAGAGGTTTGAAGTATCGCAACATATTGAACGTGTATAACGGCCTTTCTGGTATCAGCGCGTCGATTTGCGAATGCCGACATCTGGATCTCCTCTCTTTCAGTATGGTGAGCAAATTCGAGTCCGACCTTCTCACGTGGTACGCGTCCACCCCGAAGGCCTTCAAAATGTCGCACGACCCTTCATTGCAGACGGAAGCTCCGTTCAGCTTGCTTCCTCTATGGCATTACAACTTCCTCACCCTGAGCACGGATCTCAATATTCTCGAGGTTGCGATCGGCAAAGAAGGTAGCGAAGTTCCTCCATCGGTCCGCGAGTCAGTGCTGTCCTGGATTACGTCGCTTGACTCTAAAAGGTGCCTGCTCCACGCTCTGTTCCTGCAAAATCTGATTGTATCAACAAACATGGGTGCACTTGTCGCTATTCATACGCCACGGATTCTCTTCTCGGCCGCGATCTGTTGGTACTGCTATATGCTATATCTACCAGAGAGTTCTTCGGTATCCGTGTCATGGGCACCATCTTTCCCGGATCGGATGTTCGAGCCACTAAATTCACTGCCCGAGATTCAGCTACTTCGTGAAGGGAAAAATATGGATTCTACCAACATTTACCCGGTGCCACACATACTGGATGAAACTCTTACTGCTCTGCCGAAGATTCTGGCCGCAAATGTTGCCGAAATGAAAGCCAATACCCTTTGCGTCATCGAATGCATTCTCCGCCGACTAGGGACAACTGGTATCTCACTGCGGTTTGCGGACATTATTCAAGTCTTTATTTCTGGGGAGAGAGACAGCCTGAGAGTGGATCAACATGCGGTTCGATATGCCACTCAGGTAGCAGCAGCCTAAACGACGCCTGAAGCATTGGCATAACCGCAAGTAGAATGGAAGAAACCAGCGTCGCTATTAATATATTCAAATGTTGGGGAAGTGCATGCCCTTCTTATAAGGAGGGTATATGTGGGCGGCATTTTCCTGTGCAAGAGCCAAAACTGTATCTATAGTCACTCAAGGATAGAAGAAAAACATCTAGGAATGTGTCTTTGTCCAGGATCTCAGCAAGGCTCTATCCCCCTTTTTCATAGCCTGGGCGAGCTGAGGGATTGCCAAGCCAGGACCTGACTCATGTATTATGTAACATGTCTTGGCATCTGATGGAGCGAGGCCTTTCCGAACTGCTTTGTCCGCTGCTTGTCCTTGATGCCATTCATTCATACCTCCAACAATCATCATTAGCACACCTCCGCTCCCATCGGTCTCAACTCCTTCTTCAAGCTTTAGCGCTCTCGGGACTTTGCTGTTCGGTCTGACGTGGATTGGTCTTCCTGTCAGCAGAACGCAATCTCCGAGACGCGTTCGTTACCTGGCCGCCTGAGATGAAGGCTTCCAGGTCGCTGCACTACGCTCTAGGCGGACCTAGATTCCATTGCCGTCTGGCGAGATGATTCCTTGACGGACACCAGAGAGTGTAACGCGGATATCTGCCTGCGATAGAGACGCCTCTAGCGGATATGGCTCCTCGAGGCCCGACCTCCGCTTTTGAAAGCGAATACTTCGGCAAAGATGCATCTTTCCGACTTGAGCAACCTGTGGGATCCATGACCATTTCTCCGAGCGGCCGAGATGTCGCGTTGGCATCGAAAGAAGGACTTCACATCATTGACCTGGATTCTCCCTGGGATCCACCGCGTTACCTTCCTCACCGGACTCCCTGGGAAGTCGCCGATGTTCAGTGGTCTCCATTTGCTGCAAGGGACTATTGGGTTATCAGTACATCGAACCAAAAGGCCCTGGTTTGGAATCTGGATGCTCGATCGTGGCAAGACCCCATCGAATTCGTCCTTCACGGCCATACAAGAGCAATAACAGACATCAACTTTTCGGCCCATCATCCCGATGTCCTTGCAACTTGCGCCGTTGATAGCTTCGTGCACAGCTGGGACTTGCGAGCCCCAGCGAGGCCCGTCAATTCCTTTTCCGACTGGTTCGCAGGTGCAACTCAGGTCAAGTGGAATCGACAAGATGAACACGTCATTGCAAGCTCTCATGACAAGTTTCTTCACATTTGGGATGACAGAAATGGTGCATATCCCGTTCGAACCATCGAAGCCCATGGAACGAAAATCTATGGGATCGACTGGAACCGCCACCATCCTAACAAAATTGTCACTTGCTCCCTGGACCGGACAATCAAGTTCTGGGATTTCGACGGAGAAGAAAGCACGCTGGAGCGCGTCATCGAAACACCATTCCCGGTATGGAGAGCGCGTCATACTCCTTTCGGATGGGGACTGCTCGCCATGCCGCAGCGCGGTAACAGCGACTTGCATCTCTACGATCGTCGTGCGATCAACGGGGTTTTCGAGAGCGGCCCTGTCCGTCCAGTTGCGACATTTGGGGGGCATGAAGGTCAGGTCAAAGAGTTCCTGTGGCGCGCTCGGGGAACAATCGTCGACAATATCGATAATAGAGACTTCCAGCTGGTGTCCTGGGGCACGGACAGGGAGTTGAGGCTCCATGCCGTTGACCCCGATATCTATGCAGACATTGGGTACGAAAAAGGTGTCTCCAAAATGCAACGGCTGAATTTCACGCGAAGGGGTGCAGTGTACAAGACCTTTCGTGATGTCCCGGGTGACGCCGATTCCCCCTCGGACGACACACCTCGTAGTGAGGTCTTCCCCCGCCACAGCCACCTCACGCATTTCCGACCTCGCTCAAGCACCAGTGTTGGCATGAGTAAAATGCCTGTTTCTCAGTTCCGTGGCTGGGTTCAAGGTGGGCGTTACACGCAAAGATCCGGCATGCACGGAAGAGGCAACAATCGTCAGAATACGGACCCAATCTCATGGCTCAAGAACGTGAAGATATTTTCTTGGGATCCTGATACATTGGCTGAAGAGATCCGGCAGGTAGGAGAAAAGTTCAAAAAGGTGGAGTTTGAGGTCGTCGATATCTCGCATCGAAAGGCGGTCATGTCAGTCCCTTGGGGAGAAGACTCGAGCAAAATTTATCTGCGCGTGGAGATGAAATTTCCCAAACTATATCCTCGGAGTGCAAATGCGATCTTGACTTTGCAGAAGTCGGGATCTCTGGATGAAGAAACGCACAGACTGATAACAACAGAATTGCACACGATTGCAGAAACCTACGCTTCCAGGAAACGTGGATGCCTCGAAGCAGTCTTACGCTACTTGCTCCGGGAGCAGAATCTTGAACAGATTGTGGCTTGGGTTCTTGGGGAATCGCTGGTCGATTCAAAGATCTTGGATACGAGCACAGTCGGGGCCGACGACTCCAGCAGTGACAGTGATGATCAGCTAGATGGCGTGCGAGAAGGGCTCGATGCTTCGGCGAACATTCTCGTACCGCTGGCCAAGGGTTGCGGTGCCCTTTGGTCCGAGACAGGAAAGTTGGTTTGCTTCTTTCCTGCCAAAGGAAACGAGCCTGTCTCCTTTTTGAGCACTCTGGGCGTCAAAGACCTTGAGGATTCTGAGTCTGGCAGACTCTTTGAAGGCTTTGGCCGTCTACACGCGAGCTCTCCGGCCCGCAAACCCACCCGAGGGGCCAAAACAGCGGACGATGATTCTGACTCCGACACATCAGACTCGTCATGGAAGTCATCCAGCAGTTCCTCTTCCTCATTCGAGACCGAGCAAAATATTCCCGGCGTGTCATCATACCGAGCTGGGGCTTCCGGGCTCCAGCAACGGTCGCGCTCGCCTGATCGGTCCAACCATTCTACTACCGGAGGTCCCAACAAGCTGAATGATGCTCCTCGCAAAAGCGCCGTGTCAATACATACCTTTGATGATCTGATTCCCTCAAAACGTGAGCTTGCGGTCGGGTATCAGCTTTTTGGCGACGGCCCAGACGTTTGCAAGCACAATGCTACTGTTGCGCGAAACGCGTCCCTCAGAGACCTTGAATCCGTATGGATCGTTGTCGGTCTTGTCTTGGACAACTCGGTCCCGCTGGAAGTTCTCCCTGAACTGCGGGATCCTACTTTGCAAGACGTTCTAGTGATCGCAAAAACGGTCACAGGGAGAACTCCCGGAAAGAGCAACAATCATCTAGACAAGCACAATGTCTTCGGAAGAACACGATGGGGCAGCCATCCTTTCGGCTCAACATACCTACTGCCTGCTATCTTCGACTATTTTGAAAGACTCGGTGATGTGCAGATGCTTGCCACATTGGCTTGCGTCCTTGCTTCAAGCATCAACAATGGTGTCATACCAGGAGACGACCAAGAACAAATGCCTAAGCTTGTTTCCAGCGACGTGTCCCACACTCAGAGTGAATATTTTCCATCGAGGGCCGTAGCAAAGTCCTCCTTCCAAAAGGATGTCGAAGTGGAAGGATATGTCTTCATCCACTCCAAGAATGTCCCTTTGGGTCCCGGGGTCCAAGGCCTAGGGGGCGCTGAAAGCCGGCGCAGACCACATCATCTCTTGGGCCGCCAAGGAAGTCAGTTCTCTTCCAGGGCAGCAAGTTTCGTTGCCGACGATTCTCATGACCCATCTGCGCCTTATTCAACTGCTGTTTCAGTGTCGACATCCCCTGAGGGGAATCGACCAAGCAACAAAACAACTTCCGGCATTTCTTATTCCTCTGCGCGAGCAAGTTTGTCGGCCTTGACACAGTCATACTCAAACTCCCCTCCGAATCAGAGTTCGTCATCAGGCTTTGCATCTAGCCTGAAAAAATATAGCCCCTCAGGGTCACTGGCGCCTGGCTGGGTGTCTTCGGGCATATTTGGCAGTCAAATGACAAGTAGGGGTTCACGGATGACCTTTCATCATACTGAAGGTGCGGGTCAGGATAGCCGCGAGCTGGGCAATCGCTCGTCGCTATCATCCTCCGGCGCGCAGAGTTCTCGGAGAAGTAACACTATGCAAACGTCGGCAAGCCGGCGCAGCGGTGTATCTGTCGTAGAGTCTGAGGTCTCAGAGAAGACTTTCGGCAAAACCCCTCCGAAGCGCAGGAAGATCAAAACACGCCTGATTAACCAAGACAAATTCGACCTGGACGGGTATTCATCCTCGTTGATCTTGGACCGTGTCCTGGAGAGGAAGTGCAGGATGTACCGCGAAAGCTATGCGAATCTTCTGGATGTGTGGCAGTTGCACCTACAACGTGCTGAGGTACTCAAGTTTGACGGCATGACAGCTGAAGGGTCTGACTTGGGCCACGGTCGAACAAATGGTATTCACCCACCTCCTGGAAATGGTCTAGAGCGACCACGCAGGAAGACGTTGACCACAGCGTCTCGAGCCACGGATCTTGGTCTGGAAATCAGACGCCTGTGTCGCAATTGTGGGGAGCTTCCAGCACCGATAGAGAAAAATGGCGTTCCCATCGGATGGCATTGCGTGAGTCCATCGTGCATTCCACCATATCAACTTTCAGGGGTGAGAGCTCCCAAGGCACCCAAGCGAAGTGCATGTGCCATTTGCAATACCTCCATCTCGGGTCTAGCGGTCCCTTGCTTGCAGTGTGGGCATATGACGTGCTATGACTGTGCTCAGGGATGGTTTGGTGCTCGACAAGCAAAGCACGACCAGGCGGAATCGAGGCGGTCTTCAGCTGAGAAATCACAACTATCGCCAATTGAGGGCGAGGATGGTGCAGATGCTCTTGGCGAAGAACCACCGGATGAACATGATGCTTGTCCTACAGGCTGCGGCTGTCCCTGCGCGACGCTCGCCACGGTGACTGTGCCATTTCCTCAATCGAACAATGAAGACGCCACTGCAAGCAATCACGAGCATGCCTACCTTGAACCGCCCCAGCTGACCCACCAGCTAAGCCGCAGCAGCGGCGGAAGTTCGAATCTACCTCGCTCGACAAGCCTCCTTGTCCCCACTTCCTCCCATTCGCATTCCTCCACCGACGCCGGCACCGGAGGCGCAGATACGGCGCTGGCGGCGGCATTTCTGGCTCTCACCCAGTCCCACCAACGATCGAAATCCGTGAATCTGGTGTCGGCGCGGAGCAAAGCTTCATCTGTCTCTCGACATTCGGAGACGCAGAATCCAGGCGGGTCGAGCAAAACGCCGAACGAAAGTGGCAAATCAACTGTATCCGATAGCGACGGAGAGCCGGCTGCGGCGTCGCAACTAGGGGAAGGGGATGATTCCAACTCACTCAATCCTTTCGCCGGGAGCAAAATTGCGACGCTGGGACGAGGCATTGGCGCGGGTCTGAGCCGTGGGTTGACTTCAAAGGCCAGCGACGCCACAATTCGGAAAATCAAGTGACGAAACCAACTAGGGCTTCTTTACGTGGCTAGTAAAAAGGCGAGGTATTCTGTTATCTTTGTATGAATGAGTTTGTCCGTGGAAGTGTACAAAATATAGCTATGGATGTGCAGGGAAGATGTGTACGACTATGAGATGAGATGACCAGCCACGAAGATGATACACGCGGGAAATGGTGAGGAAGGGGGCAAAGGCATTGCGGACGGTGGTCTGCCCGAAGGTGCTATCTCAGGGGTATGGTGGGAATAGTTGTGGTTGGCGTCTTTGTTTGCTGTACATGTTTCGTCGTGACGAGTTGAGTAGTGTAGGGCCTATATTCATTTCACAACGACCTCCCTCGCTCTAGGTCGCTAGCCATCCTCTCCGACTCGGGAGCGAAAACCCTTTCAGGCAGAACATGGATACAAGCGCTCATCCAAAGCAAAGCAAACCTAGCTGGCCGTGTCCCAAGGGGCCAGCAAGGAAGGTTTCATACATCCTTACGAGACATGGACAATGAGAGAGAATAGTAGCTAGCGAGGCTGGACCTGATTGTGCTCTTTATACAAAGTATCCAAGGGATATGGAGGGATCGATACGATATCAGCCTTCATCGGCTGGATTCTATAGAGGAAGTGTGCAAGGCTGAGGTTCAGTATCCGTAAGCAGTGGAGTTCGTATGTAGCGGCCAATCATAACCATGACCTATACATCCATATTATTACTCCTAGCTGCCCAGGAATGTTCCTAGTGTTCCCAGCGACTAAATCAAGTCAATCCATGTCTGAGTACAGCGCATAAATGATCTTGTCGTCGCAGCCCCTCGATGAGAATTCATCCATAGCCTAATAATGTTCACCCCAAGGCTTGCCTTCTAGTCTACACCAAGCACCCAATGGCTCGCCGCTAGATTCTGCACAAAAACCTCGCCGGCATTCCGCGAGCGGCAACCATGGATCTGCAAAACACCACATCCTTCACATCCTGGCCAGATCCCAAAGGAGGCAATGCGTCGGTTGATCGCCATGTATCTTGCTCCACCATCCCCCGCAATGTCGCCCATGCCGGCCAATGGTCGAACTTCCCACCGCCAACAACCCGGGTATCACAAGGTCCTTCTAGAACCCCAAAGCAACCCGGAACCCCGCCTTCGATGATGGATGAAATCTGCGGTACTGGCAGGAAGAGGAAACCTTGTCTCTACCTGCTTCCTTGCTCGACGGCTAATGTGCCGATAGCCTACTGTCCATCAATGACGTCTCCTGGAGGGTGTCGGCACTTCAGTCCGATGGGCAGAGTAGAACGTGTGATGCCGGTAGGTCAACGGTACGGGCGGGTTATAAACTGGACGGCGATCCCTTGTTACGTGACCTCCGTCCTTCGTCTTCTGGGCTTTACCGAAATCAATATTTCTGAACCGAGATGATACAGCTTACCATGTCCAGGGTTCTGTGCTTGCTGCTGGGCTCGGCCTTATGGGCGTCAAGTTCACAAGCGGCACTCATCGCCCGCCAAACGGGCCAAGCACCAACAATCAAGGTCAAGAACGGCAGCTATTACGGCGTCTACCAGCCGACGTATGACCAAGATCTGTTTCTGGGCATGCCGTTTGCCCAGCCGCCCCTGGGAGACCTCCGCTTCAATCTGCCAAAGTCTCTCAACACGACGTGGACCGCGTCCCGAAACGCCACGCAGTATGGGTACGAGTGCTACGGCTACGGCAGCGATCAATGGGTCCTAGGCAACATCGTCAGCGAGGATTGCCTGACGCTGAACGTCGTCAGGCCCAGCGGCGTCGCACCGGACGCGAAACTACCGGTCGGCGTCTGGATCCATGGCGGTGGCTTGTATGAATCCCCCACCCTGACGGGCGACTGGTGGAAAACTAACACTCCTCACAGCACCGAAGGCGGCAGCAGGGATCCTCGCTACAACTTGAGCTTCATTGTGCAACAGTCGGTCGAGATGAAACAGCCGATCATCGGAGTGAGCTTCAACTACCGTCTCCAAGCATTCGGGTTCATGTACGGCACCGAGGTGCTGAAAGCCGGGGTCGCCAATCTGGGCTTCCGTGACCAACGTCTAGCGCTCCATTGGATACAAGAGAACATTGCTCCTTTTGGAGGAGATCCGACCAAGGTCACGATTTGGGGCGAGGTGAGGAGAGTCCCCATTGTTGTTGTTTCTGGGGACTTACCAACGCATGTTTCGCCCAAAGAGTGCGGGCGGTAACTCTATAGGCACACAACTCATTGCCTACGGTGGTCGCGACGACAAGCTCTTCCGAGGTGGCATCATGGAGAGCGGCGCTCCCATCCCGTTTGACCCATACATGAATGGATCTTCTTGGGACAAGTATTACAACAACATCACCAAGGCGACCAATTGCAGCTCTGCCCAAGATACGCTCGCCTGTTTGCGCAAGGTACCGATCGGGAAACTCAGTAACGTGCTGAACAGCAGTGTCACAGCCTCCGTGCCTGGCTGGAACGCTCAGATCGACCACGACGTACGTCCCCTTCCCCTCAGTTGACGAACACGCACGAGGGAGCGAGACTAACAAAGATCCCCAGTTCATTGCCGGCTCTGCCGCGCAACAACTCCTCTCGGGCGAGTTCGTCAAAGTCCCTGTGCTGCAAGGCACCAATTTCGACGAAGGCACCGCGTTCGGCGCAAAGGGGGTCAACACGACGGCCCAGTTCCTGGCCGCCGTCGAACTCACCGGCCCCAACGCCACCGTCGCCCAGACGTTCGCGCTCCTGTACCCAGACATCCCCGGCATCGGGATCCCCGCGACCATGCAGGGCCGCCCGTCCGGGAACTACTCCTTCCTCGGAGCCCAGTACAAGCGCGCGAGCGCCTACGGCGGCGACCTCGCCATGCAGGCCCCCCGCCGCGCGACCTCCCAAGCCTGGGCGGCCCGCAACGTGAGTAGTTGGAGCTACCACTTCAACGTGGTCCCCAACGGCGTGCCGCCGCAGACCGGCGCGACGCATTTCCAGGAGGTCGCGTTCGTGTTCCGGAATATCCTGGGCCAGGGGTACAACAACTCGGTGGCGATGGACCCGTTTGCCAGGATGCCGCAGTCGTACGACTCCCTGGCGACGAGGATGAGCAGGATGTGGGTGAGCTTCATTGCGTCGGGAGACCCGAACGGTGCGAACAACGGTGAGTGAATACGTCCATGGGCTCGGATTGGCTGTGGTTTATGGGGCTACTCCTTTCTTTCCAGCCTGGCCATGCTCCATTGGCGAAGGTCTGTTACATGCTGACATGAACCATGTGTAGCATCCTCCCCATCCGTCCACTGGCCGCCCTACACTTCCAGCCAGCCGCAGAACATGGTCTTCGACACGAACCATACGGATCTGATGTACGTTGAGAGCGACTACTACCGCGCCGAGGGGATTCAGTACATGATCGATCTGTTCCCGACGGTGTATGGCCGATGATCCGGATCGTGACGCAGGACAAGAAAGCAGAGCAAGATAAGGAGCCGTGGTGACAAAAGGGGGGGCTCAAGTCGACGAGAAGGCATCGATGGAAGGTTTTTGTGACCCTCGCGAGGAGAAGAGAGAGGACGAGAATTCTGGATTCGTGCCCCCTCGTTCATGCCAGCCTCGTCGTTTAGGGGGTGAATATGTAGCACGGGACCGACAAGGTGACGACTCTGTCAGATCTTGGACAGGCACGAGATCCTCGCGAAGTAACATCACGAAAAGAAGTAGTACTAAATTCTACCCGAGGGTGCACACAACGACTATCGTGATCGCTTATTACAGCACCACGCGGGTTTGCTGGGAAATTTCCCGCCGAATCTAGAGGTCGAAGCCAAGATCCACACCCTAGTCCTTTTGCGTATGCCCGTTCTCCAAGGGGAGCTTCTCCCATACTTCGAGTCCTGTGGCGACTTCGATGTCAAGGAATACCCAAACACTCTTGATACTCTCTCTCTCTTCTTATCGCCCCGCCTTGCATTTTCCTTACACAAATCCGTCTCACACAGGCTGAAGAGCTTTTCAGTTATTGAATGCCTGAATGGTGGGGGGGGGGGGGATACTAGTACCTGCAACGAGACTCCGTTTTGCGGGCAAACGAATCCATTTTTTTGTCTTGATATACTTCATCCATACCAGTCCTCATCAGTGCGCCGAAAATACCAAGGCTCGAAGCTCGATGCGTTTTCGGGACGGCACACCAGGAGACACGCCGGGGATTTTGATCTCCGCATGAGGACAAACTTTCGACGAAGGTCAGCGCGCTGTCATTCCAATGGGAGGTGATTCTTTCAACACGACGTACATCTCGCCGCCACGGACTCGCCGGAGTCCAAGGTCTTGAACAACAGCACCTCCTCGGGACTATGCTGGCTGAGATAGTACCACTGATGGGTCCTGCCGTCCATCCCGTACCGCGTTGCCCCCGTGTAATGCCGCCGGACGTTGTCCGCTTCCAGGAAATCGGCGGGCGAGGCGGTGCCGGCGTCGCAGAGGGCCAGAGGGTAGTCTTCGACGACATTGCCGTGGGGGCGCCACGCGCTACCGCAATGTTACTAACGGTTTGGGATTGGATGTGGTGTGGGAAAGTCATATTTGGGTTGCTACCGTACTTGATGATGCGCACCCTGCGCTGCAAGAGCTCTTCGGCCTCGTCGCTCAACTGTAACTGAACTCGCGACAACACCGCTGATGGACTTTGGTCTATTCTCCGTGAGTCCGTGGTGCGCTCTGATACAGGGATGGGGAAGGTAAACTGACCGATATGACAGTATGTCGCGGGCAGAAGCGGTTCGGTGTAGTCGTTGAGATCAAAGAAGCCCTTCGTCTTCCTCGTCGCCGTGGCCGCCAGCCGCGGATTTGGACGGCGGCTGCGCATCGCCTCCCGATGAATTCCGGTGCACAGAAGTCTCTTCTTCACCTCTTCTTCTTTGATTTGCGCCGAGTCTCGGACCTGCGATACCGTCTCAGTTAGTCCCGGCTCAGGACAGAGGGTGCCTGGCATCGAACGACACCGGTGCGCGCCCGGAGCGATGGACGATAAACAGCACGAGGCTGGCTTTTCCTCACCCGCCAATCAAACCAAACCACTCTCTCGAAATCTTCAACCACCTCCCTCAACATCCTCTCCATCTCGGGTAGACACCTGTCTTCCACCACCTCCCTCTCGGTGAACCCCTCCAACTCGCTCCGCTGCCTCACAATCGTGAACCCGTTCTCATTCAACGTAAACGCCCTATCCGAGTCCCGGATGTCCTTGACCTCCTTCTCCACCGGCTCAAACACCAAGTTCGTCATCCGCCGGTCCTCGTCGTGGTCCTCGACATCGTACAGCAGCACGAACGGCTTCTCGTCGTCGTAGAGGTCCAACTACTTGATGTATGCGATGTTCGTGGTGATCGTTCCTGGCATGGCGAGAGGGCGGTGGGTGAGGGAAATCGATGCGTTAACTGTGGTAAATGTGCAACAGGCAGCGTTGCTCGATGGTGGGCCGGTCAGGGTCAGCTCCCAACGATCTCGATGACTCTCTTTCTCTTTCTGGATCATCCTAGACTTACCACAGGAACATGAAATAGCGCGGGCGGCGGGCCCGTGGAAAACCCTGGGACACACTCCTTCGGAGATGGACTGCCACAGACCTCCTGAGGAGAGAGAAGGTCGAATCCGCCCGCCATTGCCAGCAGCTGCAGTAGAAGTTGGCTTCCCTGCCCTTCCCCCCAACAGCAGCCTTGCGAGTCAAAACACGTCCCAGGAGCACTCAGCTCGGTGCATCTCATCCCAGAAACGCACACAGCTATTGCTGTCTTCGCGAATTCCATCCCTTTCTCAGATGTCCCCGATTGGGTCGGCGGCCTTCTACTCGAGGCTGTGCTCGGCGCTCCTGAACCAAACGACTTCGTCGCACTTGCCGAGGGCCGTGAAGCGACACTTGCAAAGATGGAAGCGACTCGACAGCAACTTCAAGCAGAACAGGATAAGACTACCCCAGTCAAGCCTCTAGAGCAGTATGTGGGCAAATACTTCAATAACATCGGCAACTTCTACCTCGACGTTACCGTCAACGGCGATGGGCTGAAGATGTGCGTCCAAGGATTCGACAATACCTGCCACGACCTAGAGCACTTCTGCAATGACACTTTCGCTTGGGAGTGCAATCGCGAGAAAGAGGCGCGCAACGTCATGTCCCCGTCGTGATACGGTGAGATGCACAAGATTCACTTTGGGAGTGGCAAGGCGGATGGGACCATCGACCATACAATCCGGAAGTATGCTCGCGACGTGCCAGCGCCAGGAGAGACGTTCATGAGGAGTCCGGTCGGCCAGCCATTCTGCTGGCAACCGGCTCAGGTGAGCGGTGGGCTCGCCCAGATTTAGTCCATGCTTTGCTTGCTGCGACGCTCAGAGCTCTCACTAGTTCCAATGGTTGCGGAATACGCTCTCCAAGATACGTAGCCTAGATTACTACGAAGCCCCCACCACAGCTGTGAGCTTGAGCTTCCTGACACTTTGCTATTCCCTCTGTTCGAGGTGTCTTCCAGTCAGAGCTCGGAATCAGAAGTATCTGACGAAAAAATTCTCCTGCCATCTTCATCTGACATTTTCTCAACGAACTCTACGTCCTTGCCCTGGAACTTTGACAAGCGGAGCGCAAATCACACGTGGCTGCCTTGGGCACGGCTGCCAGGGGCACGGCTGCCAGGGTCGGTCCTTTGTTTCCAGGTGGGCGAAGCACAGCAGAGAAGTCGACGAAGTGGCGTTGATAGAGTTGAATGGAAGGGATGTGTTTTGACGAATCGGTCAAAGGCTTCGTTGTTTGGGGGCTCAAAGATCCCGTCCACCCATCCATCATCTCAGCCTGATTCGTGATGAGAGTCTTCGAGGACGAAGATAGCTCGGCCAGGTCGCGAGAAGCTTTCGCAAAGTGAGACTCGGCGTTCGCCTGTAGATCTAATAATAGCCTGGATGCTGCATGTTTTTCTGCAAAGAAGGGCCCTTTCTGAAGCGTTGATAAAAGATAGCTGCAGAAGCAAATCGGCAACGCTGCGAAGTTCGCTGTTTCGGCGCCTCACTTCTCAGGCTCAAGAAGCTAGTCAACCTTGAGGCACTGTGATCCGTGTCTCTTTGAACACGAGCAGGCGGAACGGGGCAACAACCGTCTGCCTAAGGTAAGAAGCGTTCTTGATTGAAGCCCCAAGATGCATGTCCGCAAGTTCTTCCGACTGTCCTTCGCAAGCGCCGTGAAGGTGGCGTCCGCCAGGATAGGTTGGTTCCCGACAGAGACTTGGAAGGAGAGCCAGTGGACGGCGCAGTCTTGTACGAGATATATAGCACCCTGAGTTATCAGGCTTGACGCCCGACCATCATAGTCAACTTAGTCTATTGATTCGCTCTATACCGTTCCTACCCGCTTTGGCCTGGTCCAGCACCATATCACCTGACACACATAAGACCCCAACTCACCCCCGAATCGTACCTTCATGGAGCGATTCATAACATCCTGATCTCCTGGCCATGATCTACGGCACTGCCTGGAAAGGAGACCAAACAGCAGACCTAGTCGCACATGCCTTCGAAGCCGGATTCCGCGCTTTTGACACCGCAGCCCAGCCTCGCCACTATCGCGAAGAGCTGGTCGGCAAGGGCATCAGAATATGCGTGGCAAAGTTCGGCGCGAAAAGGGAAGATCTGTACATCCGTAAGTGGCCCACGTCGCGTTATAAAGCTGTTGATCTCTAAATGCCCCCATCCCAGAGACCAAGTTCCTTGGCCTTGCAGGTCAAGGCGCCGGACAAGAGGTGCCGTACGATCCTGCTTCGAGCCTCACTGAGCAGGTGCGAACGTCCATAATAGGGTCATTGTCCAATCTGGCACCGGAAGAACATCTGCCTCTGACGCAGGTCTTCATAGACTGCCTGATACTGCACGCGCCATTTCAACGTCTGGAGGACACGCTTTCGGTATGGAACGTGTTCGAGGACTGCCTCCCTCATACCGTGTGATCTCTCGGGATCGCAAATGTCCAGCTTCAGGAGCTTCAAGGACTTTGCCAGCACGTAAAGATTAAACCTTCCGTGGTCCAGAACGCCTTTCACTCTGGGACCAAATCTGATGTCGATGTTCGAAAATTCTGTGTGCAGAACGGTATCGTGTACCAGGCCTTTTCGACTCTGACTGCCAATCCAGAGCTCCTTTCAAGCGATTTTGTGAGCTCTTTGGCTTCAGAGGCGGGCATGGAGAGGGCTGTGGCGTTGTACTACCTCATAGAGAAGCTCGAGAACGTCAACGTCCTGAACGGAACAACGAAAGCTGAGACTATGAAACGAGACTTGGAACAGGTGCTCGAATTGAAGGACTGGGCATCGTCCAGCTCGCATGCAGAAGAGCTAGCTGTCATCACGTCGCAATTCAGAGCTTATATCGGGGAGAGGGACGAGGGTGGGACATGAGGTTCTTTATAGCCGTTAAAAGCGGCGGCGCGCTCAGCCCGCGACCATACCCGAAGCGGCCGGCCCGCCTAAACCGGAGACGGATTTCCTGGCCACGACTTCACAACCTAAGCCGCTCTAACTCGTGCGCCTAGGTAGGGTTGACCATAGAGCGCGTATGTATCACCTTAGCCAGAAGCGGAGTGAGAACTAAGTAGGTTCTCTAACCCTTCGACGTATGAATACCCCCCCAACAAAATCCTCCGCCCCTCAATTGTGCACAGCGATCATTCGATAGCGTCGCCACGGGGAGTAGATGGGCAAGGTCCAGCGTCAAGGCCGCAAGCACCATTCAAAATTCGGCAAATCGACCGTGGTCAGAAGGCAGCACAGCCATCAGCAACCGGTGCAGCAGCGTCCCGCCAAAGTTGCAGCGCCACCTGGCGGAGGAGGCCAACATGTTCCGCCAAAGGCACGGGTGAAGGTGCCTTTTACCAGGCATGACAATGTGCTCCTTGTCGGTGAAGGTGAGCTGAGAGCGTCCAACCCGATAGACACCTTGACTCGAGGGAGTGACTGCTCATGAGGTGCTAGGAGACTTTTCGTTCTCGCTGTCGTTGAAACTGCAGCACAAAGTGCACCAGATCGTAGCCACCTGCTACGATTCGACAGAGGTGCTCCAGAGCAAGTACCCAGAGGTCCAGAAAACTACAGCACAGCTCCAGTCGTCTACTCGCGGTAATAGTGTCCCCCCTTTACGACAGGAGACAAATGAAGGCGACGAGAGCACAGACGACAAAAAGGACGAATGGAAAGGGTTTTCTCCGTCGCCGCCCAATTCCCCCATTCACGACCAAGTCGATGACTCAGACAGACCCCTAGGCGATGGCAATGTCTACATCCTCTACGGAATTGATGCAACCAAGCTTTCTTCGGCGCACAAGAAGGCCCTGAGGCCGTACGCTCCATTCACGAAGATTGTCTTCAACTTCCCACATGTCGGGGGTCTAAGTACAGATGTCAACAGGCAGGTTAGGTACAACCAAAAACTGCTGGTAGGATTTTTCCAGTCGGCCAAGTCGTTGCTCTCCTCTCGAAACCGCCCGGCAGCGATACGACTACTGGCAACGGAGGATGAAATGGGTGATTACAATGATACCTCAGAGACATCAGAGAGTTCTGACCCTGGCGCTGTGAATGGCCAGATTCTTGTCACCCTGTTTGAAGGTGAACCTTACACGTTGTGGAATATCCGGGATTTGGCCCGTCACTGTGGCCTGAAGGTGGTAGAGAGCTTCAAGTTCCCGTGGTCTGCCTATCCCGGGTACCGTCATGCGAGGACTGTTGGGGACATCACCACTGGCAAGGACAGGAGCGACGAAGGGAAGAGGAAGGGCGCGTGGAGAGGAGAGGAGCGCGATGCACGCTGCTATGTGCTGGAGGACCAGAATGCACAGGAAGGGGATGCAGTGTCTCAGAGACGGAAGAAGAGGCGGAAGCAGGGGGATGAAGAGGATGACAGCGACTGACACCACCGTCTGAAGATATGACCATGAGAGCATGTACCTCGTAGTTGGCTGGAGTATTCAATGTCTGTTTGTAGAGCAGCAGCCGCGTTGTGCCAAGGCGCCCGCCCGGCGCCACGACTGGCGAAAGAATTGCAGCTGCTGGCACGGTCCCCATCCACTTTCTCCGCAAACTCGAGCCACGCCGGCCCCATTTCCACTTTCTTTTCTCTTCCTTCACTTCCTCCCGCTCCCCTACCCGTGAACTACATACGTCGGCTTCACAGCGTTGTTGCAACGAGACCCCCCATCTCACGCGCCTCTCCGCCATGGCAGACGAAGCGCCTCGCAAGCGGTCACGCTTCGACCAGACGGAACCCGAGCCACGAAAGCCCTCCCGCTTCGACAGGCGCTCCCGATCTCCTTCCTCCCGGCACAGCGAATCCAGGAGAAGTCGCAGTCCGCTCGCAAAGGCCAGCCAGAGTCCCGCGGCTAGTGAGAAGCGCAGCACCCCTCTGGATCCAGCTGCGGCCGCAGGTACGTCGCCATTTCTCTGGATGGATTCCCTGGCGCGTTGCTAACCCTCAACTCAGCTGCGGCCGCTGCGAAGATCAATGCCGAGTTGCAAGCCCGCAAAGGCATCCAGCATGTCGACGTCCCTCCAGTCCGATCGGTAAGATGTCCCAGCGTGTCTTGAGATGTGCACGCGCTTACTGTGTCCTCAGTCGTCGACACCCACTCCTGCCCCTACTCCTGCGACGCCTTCCTCCGGTCACAGCGCAGCCAAAGTCGACGGTGAGATCTACATTGCGGACGGTGACTATATCAAGGACATTGAGGTCAACGACTTGCGCAATCGCTACACTTTGACCAAAGGATCCACGCAGAAGATGGTAAATTCCCCTCCCCCACCTGACCTGGATCGCATTGTTACACTTTGGCCCAGCGCCAACAACGGAGCTGTCCTCAGCCAACGAATCCCGTCTTGTGTCGACGACTACTAGTTCACTTGTCGAAGAACATCTCTAATCGAAATGAGTCTGGATAACTTGCTGACATCGTTTGCTTGCCTTTTAGATCAAAGACGAGACAGGAGCTGGTATGCTTCCCCCGGCAGATCTTTGTTGTTTTGCACAAGACTTACCTGTATTCTGAAGATGTCACAACCCGCGGTTCCTACTATCCGGACAAATCCATGGCTACGGCAGTTGTAAGTAAGCGGTACTTTCACACACAACCTGTTGACTAATGAGTCACAGAATCCACCGTTGTATTTGCACGTCACTAGCACCACCAAGGCCGGGCTTGAGAAGGCGATTGCAAAAATCGAGGAGCTGATGAAGCAAGAACTGCCCAACCTCGTTGATGAAAGACGTTTCCGCCGAAGGGAGCCAGAGCAATTCGAACGGGATGAATTTGGCAGGGTAAGTGAGACAAATACACTGTATGATTCCTCTAACTCACTTGTGATCAGAGAAAATGGCCGGAAGAGCGGATCCCCATCGACATGGAAAACATCCCGGGCTTCAACCTGCGCGCCCAGGTTGTGGGTCAAGGCGGCGCATACGTCAAACACATCCAACAGGAGACCGGATGTCGAGTCCAGATCAAGGGCCGCGGGTCTGGCTTCATGGAACACAGCACCGGACAGGAGTCGGATGAGCCAATGTATCTCCATGTCGCCGGACCTCAACCCGCCCAGGTTCAGAAGGCCAAAGAACTGTGTGAAGATCTGCTTGCTAACGTTCGCGTCAACTTTGAGCACTTCAAAGCGAACCCACCACCGCCGAGAATGGAGTCGTACACTGATGGTTATGGAGCTGATGCAAATCGCAGTTCTTATGGCGGACACGGAAGAGACCGCGGTCGCGACAACAGCTACTCGCATGGCAACAACAACAACAACTACAACTCTCCCTACTCCGGGGCATCGACAACTCCTGCACCTGGAACCGCTTCTTCACCAACAGACTACGCCGCCCAATACGCTCAGTACTATGCAAATCAGCCCGGAGGCGATCCTTATGCTGCATACGGCGGCTATCAGAACTACGTTGCCTATTATCAATACTACCAGCAACAGGCTGCTGCTCATCAACAACAGTCGCCACCTCCACCGCCACCAGCAGATTCGAATCCACCGCCTCCTCCGGCGGATGGCGGTGCTGCACCACCTCCACCACCTCCATCTAGTGGCTATTCGGCGGTGCCCCCGCCTCCAGGTTTATGAGCATGTATGGTCTCATTAGGCTGACGGTGTCAGATAAAGCACTGCGACACCTATTTCAGGGCAACATGCGCATTTCTTCTCCGCAATCTTTGTCACTTGACCCTTCTTTCTTTCGACATGAGTATAGCAATATTCTGCCGGCGGGATCGCGGTTTGTATTTCAAACGCACAGGACGGGCCAACTTGCACGTTGGACAGGCAAAGTATCACAAAAGGGCATAAATTCGAGAGAGCTGATCGGTCAATAGGGACCAGATCCCATAATTCCATTTGCAAGGTTTCCTCGTGCGTTTCTAGCAGCTGACTCTACTTGGCGTAGTCGTGACATCCAGTCAGCCGCTGTGCTCAGCGTAGTGAGCCTGCTATATGATGAGATGGTTCGACTCATTCTTGCTGAGTTTGATTTGGTCGACCTCGACAAGTCAACGGCTGCATGTGAGTGCACCAAGCTGCTTTTTCTACAGTCTCATATACCAGGTCGCTCGGTCCGAACGCGCATGGTATGCTGCTTGATCAAGGAATTCTAAGCCCTAGCACCATTCTCAGTCTTGGCAAGGAGAGAACGAGTTCTGGATGTTGGACTTTGCAAGCATTCAAAGTCGGTTGGAGTCAATGTGTGCAAAATGCATCCAGCACCGCTGTTCTGTCTGGTCCGCGTCGACGACCCAACAACGCCGTACTGCCTGCTCGATTCAAGCAAACTGAGTACAGTGGCATATCGGAGAGTGGGCACGAAATGGCATCACCTCCAGGAATTCAGCATATCAAGACAGCTTATGAAGCACATTTCTTTAACGAATCTGAGATCCATCTTTTGGATTGGCATTCCTCAATCATCCACCCTTGCATTATGATCAGCTGTTCGCCGCCTGGTCCCCCTTTCTTCTTTCTCCATGCACAGCACTAACTTTAGTCGTGCTTCGGCCAGGGCTTGGGCACAGTTTCCATACAAAGATAGAGAATCGACACCGCTATTTGCTGGGAACATATGCCCCGTTCAGACGTTGGGATACCCTCAGATCCTCACAGTACATGGGCATGTAGTACATGTAGTTGAAAGTTGACGTTAAAGCGGCCTGCATAATATGTGCTACACGTGACTAGCAGAAGCGATGACGCGAGGCGAGTGCGCGTCTCGAGACCTGCATTGTTCAAGGCATAGAGCAGGGTGGCAGGCTCAATTCCCCGAGTACCCACCTAGATAGATGGCCGTCATGCTCGCACGCGATGAACCCGAAGCTGACCGTTGCGCTTGCTGCCGCCGAGGTGAAGTGAAATAGCGTACGGAGTATATTCTAACAATTCTAGGTGTTTTGTAAAGTACAGAAGCCGAACGGGACATTTCGTGTCGAGTGATTCTTCTTTCGACATGACCTCTTTACGTTTCAGAAATTCCTCGAGCCCATTGCCGGCCCGCCACCAAATCGAAACGCCTCGCAATGCATAAGATCTTCGTCCAAAGCCATCGAACCAAGTCAACATATCGAAGAATAGTAGTAGTCTACAACTTCCTGCCATCAACCTCGCGCTTCCTGCACTCATGCCTTCAGGCTATCTCGGTTACTCTGGCTGCTGGCGCTCATGGTATTCGTCGTAGGAAGTATCGTCTTGGGTTTCGAGGATTCTCGCACCTTCGCAAGCGCATAGACGATGCCGCTGACAAACCCGACAGTGATAGCCGAGACACTGGGGATGGTAACGGGGGCGTCAAAAAAGATGAGGCCCGATACGGCAATGGGAAGTTTGTTCAGCGCCCCAACCATAGAGTACGTGGTTGAGGATGTGGCCCGCACACACCACGCCGACGTGTATGAAATGAAAATCGAGGACAGGCCGGTGAAGATCATGGCGCCAATGATTGCGTTCCTTGCATCGAGCGGGAAATTCTTCGTCAGGTTAACGGCGGACCAGTCTTCCAGGGCCAAGGAGGCGACCAAAAGGATGGGAATGGTAAGGAGATTGTTGTAGAACATTGCTGAAGGTATGTGATTAGTATGCTTCCTGCCTCAGAATATTTGCGTCAACTCACTGTCAAAGTCCTTGAAGTTCGTAAGCTTGATGCGTTTGCGCATGCCCAACACGTAGGCTGCAGTCGACAGACAATTGGCGAACATCCAGATATACCCAGCATTCAAAGTCGCCAATTGTGCAGTTGCAGCGGCTGAAGCAGAACCGTGTGATTCTAGAGCGTGCTTGATGTCGGCCCATGCCGCAATGACGGAGCTGAGGACCATCAAGCCGAAGGAGAAAAGAGCCATCGACGAAACCGAGCCACCAAACCATAGCACCTCACCATAAGCGATCAGGATGATGGTCAAGTTCTTGAAGATCGTGTAAACGGGGATTGAGAGGTATCGTAGGGCTTTAGTGCTCGTATAGATCATTCCGATCAGAAGGAGGGAGATTGGAAACCCTGAAATTTGTTAAATCCAACATTTTACCGACACCGAAATCTGGTTTCAACTCATACATTTTTTGGCCTCGTCTGCTTTGAAGTCCCGATAGGTAATGATGCCTGCAGTTTTGCAGGATTGGATCGCCAGGACGCAAACAATTGACTAGGAGAGAATGAACGTCAGCTGGAGGTGTAGAGGACAGTTGTTGAGTGGATCGACGTACCTGAACAGCCAACAGAAAGAAATTCAGGTTGTAGTCAGGAAACGAAAGAATGTACTTGTTGGCCACGGTCATTAAGATAGAAGAGGCGCAATAGCTGACAACGGGAAGAATGGGATTGTTCTGCCAGTTCGACGAAGGGGGTGAATATCTTGGGATTGAGGCTTGAGGAGCGTGACTGAAGGTCCTGCCCTGCTTCTCTCCGAGTTCCATCTCGTTGCCCTCGAGGAACCGCTTCTTCTCTTCTTCGGCCATCTCTTTTCTGGTGTATGTGTCCTGACCGTCAAGGTTGAGGAGGCTCTCAGGGAGATTTGGGACAAACAATGACGTGGCTTTGCGGAGAGGTCGGACGGAGCGTAGGGTTTGCAAATAGAGTAGCCCAAGAGACGTGAAGAAGTCAGAACAAAGGCAGGGATGGAAACGTTTGATATTAAGGTCCGAGAATATGGAAAGGAAAAGAAGGCGAAGGCGTATTCCGAAGTAAATGCGCGTTTGGCAGGTGGTGGATGTTGAGAATTTGATTAGAGGCCGTGGGAAAAAGGGACGAGACGATTGAATGGGAAAAAAGGGGAGACGCAGGTGGACGCGCAACGGAAAAGTCCAAAATGGCTGCAGCTTGTCCCCTCATGGTGGCTGACGTGCGTCAATCATTCCCTACTGGATGGCCAGTGGCCACGGGGTGGCTCTTCCGGTGGCTACAGGCACCGCAGGGGCTTAACTAGGCGTCCATTTGCTGGGCCTTGGGGGCCCTGTTGTGCCCGTGATGTGCCTAGAGCAGCCTGAACCAGCCTAAAGCCCCCCAGAGGAGCCGCAGCCTAGCCAAGCCCTCGCAACGCCCCCAAGTTGCGTCCCACCGGCCTGAGCGTGTTCAGCTCAGCAAATATAATTTCCGATATCTTCTGCTGCCAGGTACAATCCCTGTCCATACAAAGTCGTCCGGATTACGGAGTATTTCTTGCCCGCTACCTGTCTCGCCTCTCAATAGCTCCTGACGATCAGATTCGGTCCCCGGTAGATCCAGCCGATCGCGTTTGATATCAATTGCAGGCAGTGGGAAAAAGAAGATAACGGCTCTCTCCTACCACTACCCATATCCCTTCAGTTGCGGGTCTGTTTCAAGAGGCGGACTACCTTGACACCTCGATTAACTGTGATAGGGGTGGTATGCCTCAGAGCTGCAACCTCAATCATCTCAAGTCAGGTCACTCACACTCATTCTCGCTTGTATCGAACGAAATAGCGATGCTCAGGAGTCAGGACAAGAAACGCCCAGTCTAGCCTGAGTCGGCAAAGAGACAATCCCCAACGTCTTCCCGCTGTCGGCAAAGGGACGCATTGGGAAAACCTACAGACTTGGGCTTGAAAGACTTATCACGAACGTTGCCATGCAGCTGAAGTTCTGACCAACCACGAGCCATACATGCGAGGATATTAATTCCCGCTCGTCATCACGATCGGCACAGACAGAACGCGCATCTCAGTGTCTAATCATCTCCTTCCTCTCCAGAAAAACGTCCGAGGGAAAATTACTCCAATAGGGGGTTCATGGATGAACCCGACATTGTCCCCGACCAGTGTCTCTCCAGAATGGCTGATCCTGTGGTTGACTGATGACATCTAGGAGCACGCTTGAATCGAGTTACTTCTACGGTCGAAGTCTTCTTTTGACGCTTTCAATGGCTACCAGCTTCGAGTACGTGTTGGATTTAAACCCTTGAAATGAAGGCTTTTCGCTGCTGACCGAGCCGCATCCAACTTCTGCATGCACTATCACTCAGAGTTCCGGCAATTAAGCTTCTCTCCGAGCGAAACAGTAAGGGTAGAGGAGGAATAGGCGTGTGACGCTCACTTTGACATTCTGCATGCACCTTCAATTGTGGAGCTGTTATGCTTTAGGTCACATCCAGCCATATGCTACCTGATGGAGGCGCAAAGGGCGTCAACTCCGTCTTTGCCTCGCCGTGCCCGGGAAATTACTCTACTCCTCCTCAGGAGCTGGGTAGAGCATGCCAGGTGGAGAGGCTGAACAGAGAGCGGATTGAGAATCAGCAGTTGTCTGTCTCGCAAACACGGAGCCAGACAGATGATGGTGCGGAATATCTCAGATGCATCCACTTCAATAGCTATTCTTCCACTTTTATCAATCAGCTGCCGCATAATGGACAGTCAGTGGCAATGCATCGATTATTTCACTCCCGACCTGGCAGAATGGGTAGCGTCTTGGACGTGCCAATGAGCTCTCTTACTGCACTAGAGGTGGAACATCAGACTAACTGCATCTCAAGTGGTTACGGGTAATCATCAGGAAGGGACAAACATTGCCTGGCTAACTTTGCTTCCGTCAATGAATCAACCGGGACATTCTGCTCCAGAGCTTGGCTTGGCTGTAACCATTTGCACACCACACCGTACTTCCCCGAGCATCGACACAGAATACTCGCGTATTTCCTGCAGTCCAAATATTGCCCTGGTTTCCAGGTTGGCAGCTCCATTTTCGAGAAGCTCAACGCACCCTCAACGCTTTGCGATTTGGACCCAGTACCGGTTCACCGCGAGCAGTGAAATGACTCGGAATGGGCATGAGGCGAGTTGGTCCTTATTGAGGAAGGGGAATGGTCAACTGTCCCGTACGTGGCGGTCGTTGGCAGAATCTGCTGAGTCCTTCAGTCCCAATCGTCGTCGTCGTCGTCGTCGTTGTCGTTCTGGTTCCGACTGCGAATAGCTCCGCGGACTGCTTTCCGACGATCTGGCGCTTCCTCGTCGTCATCACTTCTCTCGTCTTCGTGACCAAGGAGGAGTTTCTTGGGTAACACTGTCCAGCCCAGAAGTACATCCTCAAGGGCTCTGGTGACATCCATACTGCCCTCTTTGCCATCCCAGCATAGTCCCTCGAACCCGGTGACTCTCCCTTTGACTGCTCCTTTGACAAATCCAATCACACACGGCAGAACTCTCACACTCAGCTTCTCAACCACAAACGGCGCGTCCTTGACATCGATTCTGGCAAAGGCAACATCCGCACTCCCGTATTCTGCTTGCTTCTCCGCAATGAGCTCACAGTGGGTATCCATTGTGTTGCATCTCGCAAAGTCGGGATGGAAAAAATGGAGCACTGCTCTCTCGTGCTCGGTCGTGAAAGTAAGGGCCTCCTCATCACTCTTCAGTGTGATATATGCCTTCTTGATCGTGGCAAAGGTTGTAGTTCCGGCAGACACTCCCGCTGCATTTTTTAATTCTTCCAGTCTCTGAGTCTGGTAAGCCTCGGAGTCTTCTTCCTCCAGCGATGCTAGGATCGCATCGGCATCTTCATCCTCTTGATCGTGATTGCTGCTGCTTTTGTTAGGACCAGTATTGGATGCCATCGCTAGGCTCGGGAAACTTTCTGAGATGCAAGGAGTCGAAAGGTCCTACACCATCGCGTCAACACCCGGCCTGCCTCTCAATCTGGTAGTCTGAACTGTATTCTGTAAGATTGATGTCGTATATGACGATAAAAGGAAAACCCATATGGCAATATTTGGAGGGCAAGACTGCTGGAGAAGAATGCGCTAGATAGCCATATGATCCACCGAAGCGCACTCTTGGCAACAATGAAGTCTTGGCACGCGGAAGCCCACAATCAAGTCGCCCGACAATCTGCGACTTGAGATTGACAACTTTTTTGACGACCATCTACAACACCCACCCCCTCCGGCACAACGACAGCAGAGATGGCGCCACCAACTCAAAAGCCTAAAGGTACGGATCACCCCTTTCTTTGAGGACAAAGTGAAGCAGAATTCAACCAGGACGGGTGATTGGAAAATGCACAATTGGAGCGGCGGAGAGAAACTCTTCGACCTCGCCTTCTGCCTTCAAACTTCTGCGTGGAACGGAGAACTGACAGGTGCATGATCTAGGTGGCTCCTCAAAGCCAAAGAAGCCGAGTGCGAAAGCGAACCAGGCCGCCAAAGCCACCCTCAGAGGCGTACGTTGAATATGAAGTCAATGGCAATCCGTTCACTGGAGCAAGAAATCTCACAGATTACTCAGGTCCATGCCGGCAAAGCCCGCAAAATCCGCACATCGACCACCTTCCACAGACCCAAGACGCTCGTTCTCTCGCGATCCCCCAAATACCCGCGCAAGTCCATCCCCCATGAGACGAGACTCGACCACCACAAGGTGCTCGTTCACCCGTTGAATACCGAGAGCGCGATGAAGAAGATCGAGGAGCACAACACGCTGGTATTCATCGTCGACACCAAGGCCAACAAGCGACAGATCAAGGAGGCCCTGAAGAAGCTGTACGACGTGGATACCGTTAAGATCAACACCCTGATCAGACCAGATGGCACGAAGAAGGCATTTGCGAGATTAACATCGGATGTGGATGCGCTGGATATTGCGGCTACGAAGTTGTCGATCGTGTAAAGTGGGAGTTTGCACGGGGAGAGTGGGTTGTGATGTGTGATGGATTGGCCGGGAAATGAGGAGAGCCCGTCCATTTGGCATCTACGGATTGCATCGGTATCAAGGGCATGATTCAGCCAAGGTCCCAATCGACGCTCGATAGAGAATCTCGAGTTGTGATTGACAATCGGCGTCGCCAAAATAGGAGCAGAAATTCTTCAATTGCTTTTCCGAGATGAAATTGCTTTCCGCTCCATCATGAAGCATGGGAGGATGTCGTTGTTACAAATGAGCAAAAAGCCTGCCTGGCCGAGCTCAATCCAAGCCAGCTGCCCGCCGGAGCAATCCAAACGCATTGTAGAGCCATCTTTTCCTAACCGATACCTTTCACATCTCATGCTATTTCCCTGTTATTCTGTACAAAGCACACTGATGATCGAATGCGTTCGCGAGGAAGGTCTCATCTCCGCACCATCATTGACACGGTGTCGAGATCACTGATTCGCCCTCAATGCCTCGAGATGTTTCAGAATCACCATGTTCGAATCGAACAGGCGGTTCACACAGTTCGTCATGCAGGACTCTTCCTTGCCGGCCAGTTTCCCCGAGGATATCGAGCCCGTGATGCATTTCTTGAAGCACAACTCGGTCAATTCGTGGATTTCTGTGAACAATATAGGTCAGTGGATGCTTCCAAGATGCTACTTCTGCGGCCGGGGGTGTGTGGGAGCCGTACGTTTCTGAACCTGGGCTTTTTGCGACTCGCTTTGGAGAAAGCCTTGCAGCTCCCGCTTTTCGCGGTCCGTGAGGCGCTCGACGTCTTGTGCGTTGATGCTGAGTTCGCTGTCATCCATGGCGGGGGGCGGTTGCTCAGGTGAAATGCAGGTATAAGAGGAGGAGTTTGCGTTTATTTGACGACGCAGTTGTTCAGGTATTACTTGGCTTGGTTGAAGCTGTTTGGGTTTGCGCCAGACAGGACACACTGCAAAGCCCCAGTCAAAATGTCATCTATCCAGCCTTGTCTTGGCACGTGCTGCTCGGAACTCACTTGAGGATTTTCCCCGACCTGCCGCTTTAAAACCATCTGCTCGTTACACCCTCCGCTACAGGCGACTCACCTCCCTACCTACTCACCTACCACGTCGCCCCTTGCCTGGACGCTCCTAATTCGTCCTGCGATCGCATCTGCACGCCATCCTCGTGCCAGCCAACCAAGATCAAAGATTGGTCACAGTGGAATGGTCCATCCAGCGTCCTGGGGGACCGGATTCCGCCGCCTCAATTCTCCTGCTCTATTGCTGAGGGTATCCCTTCCCTCCCTTTTGGGATACTCCTCGGTTTTCTCCCTCATGAATAAAATCTTCTCCTAAACACAATCACCATTAACTGCCTGCTGTCTTGTTCTTATTCTCGTCCAGAAACCCCCAGATTCCAACAGTGGCTAGCATGAAACCCTTGATCCGGAGCGGTGGTCTCAAAACAGATGTTTCAGTCAGGACAGGTATGTTTCCACCAGCTACATTGACAGCACCTTGCCTATCAGAGTGCCATCGTAGCATTTATCCTTTGCAATTGACTTTCGCATTTGGATCCCGGGGCTTTGCAGGATTCACAGCCTTGGAGGCTCCACTTCCCCTTATTGACATGAAGAAAAGAGGTTCCTGCCTTCAACAATCAGTCTATCCCCTGAACGGAACATCCCCGCCCTTTTCTGGCCGTTTCTCTGCTTTTGTCTACCAAATACATGTATAATAATCATAGACGGCAACTCCGCTGTTCTCCGCAAAAGAACAGAGCCAATGCTCTGGGACAAGTACGGAGCGCCATGGACCGTCCCGAGATGGGGGCAAGAACACCCGATGTTCGCGTGGGATTTTACGTAAACGGGCCAGCACGCCCTCCGTATTTAAGGTCCAGGCTGGCATAGAACGTGGGAGAAAGAAGACGGAGCCTCATGGCACACCAAGTGCACGCACACGATATGTGAGGCTTGCCTGATCTAGAAGCGATGGTTCGCTTAATACCGTTGGGCTGGAGCAACGCTCTTCTCACCCCGGTTGCTGCGACTTAGTGCAGGCCCTCTTTCGTTATCCTATCTCTCGGTTATTGTGGCCGCCTGCTTAGAGCGAGTCCTGCAGGCCACACTCAAGTGGGCGATACCGCTATGTTGTCCGTCCCTTCATTTGCGTTCAGCTCGGCTAGTTGGAAGGCAAGTTGGCGCGCAGCGAGCGCACCTCGTTATGCATACACGGGACGAGAGGGTTGCTACTAGTCGGCCGCCCCCATCATTATTCACTTTGGACCCCATCATTCGCGCACCAAGTGGCGCAGCCTTACTCGATGGTGTGGCCAGCCTGAAGATTGATAAGAATGGCAGCGCCCTCCCTCGCCGCGGCCGGCCGCTCCCAGGTTCACAAGTTTCAGCCTGACTGTCTTACCGTTGACTTGGGTCGAATCTCAGCATACCATGGCTGCCTGGGTGGTAGTCACGACAAGATGGACGTTGGCCGAAGTTCAGGCTGTAATCACCGTCACGATTACTCTTGTCTGTTTCCTGGCATCATCCACAGTTGCTCGACTCTTCTGGCAGACCAGCGCGGTAAGGCTGAGCCACAGTCGAAATGTCCCGCTTTCGTCCCTGGTGACCTCGACGAGCCCCTCGGAGGTTTGGGACGTCGTTCGCTTATTTAAATCCCGGCTGTTCTCCTCGAGGCACCGTACGTTAGGAATCCAGGGTATCCTGGTCGTCCTTCTGAACGTGGGCGGGATTCTGGCTGGAGTAGTTGCAAAGGTTTCTACTCGGACAGGGTCTATCACTCCTCATCGCCCGACTCAAGGCACCATGGCGACGAGGACGATGCAGGATGAGATTGATAACACAGTCAGATGGCAGAAGATCATGGATACGCTCGATCGAGCGAAATTTCCGAGAGATCAATTGCTCGATTTCCTCCCCGACCTGAATACGGACTGGGTCTACAAGGCTGAAGATTGGAACTCAACTTTCGCTGTCAAATGTCACTCGACCCCACAGACTTTGATCAGCCTGGAAGCAGTCGGAAACTATAATTACAGCCGCACCGCTTTGGGAGCCTTGTACGAAGTCCCGGGTCTTTGGTCCCTTTTCTCTGACGAATGGCAACAGAACGCTTACATGTATGACGCCCAAGTTTACGGCGAATGGACGAATACCCAATTTTGGAACTACGGCGTTGTCTGGATAACATCAACAGTCCAACCTTCAGGCGCTGGCAGCGACATGACTAACATGTCAGTGGCTCTGATGGCTGTCAGTTTCAAGCACGCGCCATATCCACCAGACCCTGACGTGGGGAACTTTGGCATTGGGCCGATCCAACAATCTTCGTTTACCAAAATCGAATGCGACATCACGAGGAAGAGACCGCACGACTTTTCCTTCTTCGAGTCGTACCCAGCAGTCTTCTACAACAACAGCCATCTAAGCGCCATGTTGCATTCGCAGTTCTGGCCCAATCTCTTCCGGCCAACCATCGATGGCGACATTCAAGTGAACGCTCCCTCTGGTGAAGAGATGTTTCGACTATACCAGGCTTACACCATCAGCAAAGACACCTTTTACCCTCATCCCGCAACGCGCCCGATGAGTGTCATAGTTCGCACCGTGGAAGTCTCCATTGCTTTCCTCATCGTCGCTGCTGTGGTAATATCGTTACTGCTAGTCGGTGTGATCAGGATCCTATTCCTGTGGAAGCGGCACCACCACATCACCAAGGACGTCCCTGAGTCAAAGATTGACTGGATGATTCAATCACTTCCCGGAGAGAATCTAAAACGCGGCTCATCGGTGTCCTCTTCTCCAGCGCTCATGACGCCGGCGTACGGTGACGGCCAGGGGTACCTCCCGCTCTCTTCCTCAACGGGGGTCGAAATGGACAAGCTCGACGTCCTCGAAAGCGCCGTCTTCAGCGTCGCAGACGGCGTCTGTACCCGTCCAAGAAGCGGCAGTTGGCGGAGCAGCACACCATTCAGCAAAGTCCTGTTCTCACCCACGACCCCACCCCCTACTTCGAGGAGCTTTGGCAGTCTCAACAATGGCAGCCCATTGAGTCGCCACACAACCGCAGACCCTAGTCCGGGCCCGTATTCCGAATTAGCAAATCTCCTGCCCACGACCTCGAATCTTTGGGTCAGGACCCATCGCAGCCATGATTCAGGCTCGACCCTAGTCTCCAATTGGGAAACCTGATCTTCATTGTGGTGTTGCCGAGCATGCGTAGTACTGAAGCCCTGTCCAGGGTGTGAAAACGCCATGATCGTCTAAATCACTGGGTGTTTGTGCTCGTTTGGATCATCTTTTGATGGAAGCAGCCTTTTTGGGAAGGGATGGAAATAACCTAATGACCCAATTCTTTCTTCCGTGGCCCAGGACCTGTCATTCTTCGTTTCACGTAGCGGAGCACTTCAGCTCCAGGGAGACACTTCCTCGCTGACATTCCAGCACGGCAACCCTGCCGGGGCAACGTTAATCTGCGAACCGCTCGCAAGAACCAGAAGATGGGTGAGTGCTATCATGTGCGAGGTCCTCTATTGCTCCCTGGGTATTACCCAGTTGCGAGATCATGCGTGCAATCGCCCTCATCCTTGTCAAAGTGCATTCGTCACCCTTTGCCTCCAATTCTTCCCCCGTGTAGGAACCAGAACGATCCGTGAGCATCGTAAGCATCTCACGCCGCTTTACCTGGGACGAGGCTGAATATTTCGGCAAACCTGCTGGTTACGTCATATTGCCAATTTATTTTTCCGGCGGGGGGCCGCAGTTTGGTCGCCGCAGCCTTGCCTGCCACTTCTCGCTCGATCCGAGAGAATATAACTCACTCGCCTCCACGACCTCCTCCCCCTGCTCACGGACTGCCACGACAGAAATCACCCCTACAGATACACACCTGTTTTCAAAGCCAAGGTCATTACATTCCACCGACACAATAAACCCCTTGCATTCTCCACCGAAAGGAAAAAGAAAACAAAAACCAATAATGCCTCCCGTCCGCTCTCGGGCTCACAAGAAGCCGCCCCCAGCGGGATTCGAGGACATCGAAGACACGCTCCTCGAGTACGCGAACAAGATGCGCGACGCCCAGAACGCGTCGCACGAGGGCAAGAAGAAGCACGAGGCCCTGTGGCCCATCTTCCAGATCTCGCACGCCCGCTCCCGCTACGTCTACGACCTGTACTACCAGCGCGAGGCCATCTCGAAGCCGCTGTACGAGTGGCTGATCAAGAACGGCTACGCGGACGCGGCCCTGATCGCCAAGTGGAAGAAGCAGGGGTACGAGAAGCTGTGCTGCCTGCGGTGCGTGCAGACCAAGGAGACGAATTTCCAGGGCACCTGCATCTGCCGTGTGCCCAAGGCGTCGTTGAAGAGGGACGGCGAGGCGGGCGAGGGCGAGGGCGGTGGTGGTGGTGGTGGCGGGCTCCAGTGCGTCAATTGCGGGTGCAGAGGGTGTGCGAGCAGTGATTGAGCTGAGCGTGGTTGGAGGGTAGCGGTGGCCGCGAACCGGTTGGCCACGCGCGCGCGCGGCGCCCAGAATTCTTGAGAATCAATTGTTTTCACAACACTGAGAGTGCTGGATTGAGCACCATCTGGAGGTTCTGATATGTCAGGGAGGCGGGCTTCTTTCACCGGGTACCGATCGGGACAACCAGCTCGATCAGCGACTACGTCCCCCGGGAACGGGCCCTGGCAGGATGGCGGAGGAGACGATGATGAAATGCGCGAATGATTGATGACCATCCTCCCACGAGTCTAGACTCTTTGGATACCCGCCCGTGGTATACCATGTCGGCGGGGTATGCCAACGGACGACACCGTCATCTACAAGTATGTGTCGGAAGACGACACAGCGCTGAGAGATTCTACGTTCCCCGTCCATCACCGAGACGAAGGGGATGAATGCGATCGGATGGGCCGGCTGTCTTCTGGGGGTTGCAACCCATGAGGCAAGCATATGGGGAATTATCGTCCTGGCGTGTCCCGTTGCATCTGCGGGATTATGCGGCCAAAGGTACCGTGTTCACAGAGTCTGACCAACGGGCTTATTGTGGACTTGAGCCAGAGCAACAGCAGAGAATTGACACTCGTCTACAAAACAAAAAGGGCTTCGTTAGGTATGAAGGTATGTGTCCAGCACCATCATCCCTTCGGGAACAAATGAGATCCACCTCAAAAGAATGACCAGTCTTTAGTTTCCATACTTTCCAAATCTGCTCCACGATATGATCTTTCAGAGATAACTTCCGTGCCAGTAGTCCACCACGTGAACCAACCCAAAACTGACAAATTCTTGTCGTCCTGACCCGATTCGTCTCATGAAGATCATAAACCATGGTCTTCGTACATTGATCCAGCCCCTTGTTCTGCTTTAGTTTCATCTAAATGTCAAATGACACTACTCCCAGAATGAGTCATCCTCGAGACGTAATGTCCAGCTTCAACACCCTTCTCAAATCATCCTCAAGTTGTTGCGCACTAGGCTTAGATCGGTGAGTCGGCATCTGCGGGTGGTTCACGGATGACCCTGTAGTATACTGTGACTGTTGACGAGCGGTATGTTTTCGCGAAACCGTCGGTGGCGATATTGCGCTATCGGAAGACAACTCGGCGTACTCCGGCTCGCTCTGTGCACCATAGACATGCCTAAGCCGGGAAGAGTTCGTTCGCTTTGGAGTATACATCTGGCCGGCCGAGAATGGGTACCCTACCGGGGCGAAGTTCTGCGGAGAATGGTAGACAGAGTTCTCATGCTTGTAAACCGGGGTACCAGGGTTCGAGCTGGAGCGAACCTGGGCCTGTGGGAGGGGAGGACCGGCTGAATACGGGGCTCTGGCATTAAAAGGGTTCGAATCGGTGACGGATTCACCGTCGATGCTGCTCTCTCGACCACTTGATTTCATGAGCAACTTCTTCAATGCCTCCGATTTCGCCTTGCGCTCGTTCTCGTCCATGCTCTTGCCTCCTGTGGACGTCGACTTTGTGGATCGCAGGGCCTCAATGCGATCTTTGTAAGGGGTGGCAAATGAAGATCCGTCCTCTCCAGGGTTGGCACCCTCCAGCTCGAAGGGAAACATGGGGTCGCCTTCTCGGGGTGCGGGTGACTGAGAAGCAGGACTTCCATTCGCAACAGAGAGATTGCCGGAACGTGTGGCAGGGCTCTCACCCCGAGGAGTCGCCCTTGCCTGTCGGGCAGCTTCAAAGAGAAAGTCACATGGAGTGGATTCTCGCTTGCTGGGTGATTCTTCGCCTGGTGTGACTGAAGAGTCGTGGGAGCTGGTATCTTCTGAGGTGGGGGCCTGTTGTGGCATGAAGCTTGTGGTCGGTAGAGATTTGGAGTAGAAGCTTGGGAGAGGCAGAGCAGAAGGGGCTGGGGATTGTTGGAAAGCAGATCCGGCGTACGCGGCTGGTTTCATGGGTGTCGGTGTCGGCTTGACCTTCTCCTGTTGGTTGTTGCCATGCTTTCCTTCTGTTTGCGACTTGTTATTGCCTTGTGGAGGTTTGCGGTGTTGACCTTTGATGTTGTTCTTTGTTGTACCACCCATAGTGGGGGAGGGGTTGCGCTGAGGACCTGCAGCTGGTGCAGCAGGAGCTGGAGCGCTGTCACCAGTGTCTGACGGTCGAGGCTTCTTTCCTGAACGGCGAGGGCCTCGGGGAGCTTGATGCGCCGGAGTCGCAGCTACCGCCGACATTGTGTTTGAGGAATTTGATGGGCCTGATGAAATCGGCAGCCCAGGGCCTGTAGATAAGGAATAATGAAATGCAGAACGCTCAGAGATAAACGAATACTGAATGGCACGCCAGAGGACAAAGAGACCAGCCGAGAGTGTCAGTGGGCGTCTATCTTGAGCGTTTACGGTGTGGCGAAGCGTAGGGTCTCAGAGTAGGTCGTCGTGGTTGATGTGAGATGCGGTTGAAGGTTGAAGTGTAAGTGTTCATTGTCTGAACGTACTGTGGTTTCTGAGGCGCGAGCGACCAAGTCTATCCCTGCGACAGAGGATTGGTCTGAAACGCAATCGTTGTATTGATAGAAATGAAGATATTGTTGAACCAGATTGGTGAACCGCGGAGGTGTATTGAAGGGACAAAGAAAGCGAATGAGTTCGGGTGACGCAGGAGCCTGCGACAAGAGGGAGGAAGGACAACAAATAATAAGGTGGGAGGGCGGAGGCGCCCCCAGGGGCCAAGGCAGTGCTGCGGCTGGGCGGCGAGGGGCGTGTTAGAGGGTCACAGGGGGGAAGCGCATTATCGCCACCCAGCCAGCCAGTCAACCAGGCTGCGAGGCGGCGCCGCTCTGACCAATCTTGGTTCGGGAACCATCCTCAGCCATTCATTCACTTCAGCCTTGTGTCTTGCTCATCCATCAACTCCGCAGTTTGGCCTGGAGAGCCTTTGATTTCCACTTCATCACGCCCTGTCCTCCATCTCCTCTTCAGCCATTGTCATTTTCAGCGTATCCACACCGGACTCAACCAGAGAACTTGACACTAGCCTCCCAAACCACATTGAACCCTTCCTGTTCCGCTGCCTCTACCATCCCCGCACTTTCCTACTTACTGTCGAAGAAAAGCGACAACCGTCCTAGACAGTCAAATGGCGGACGTTGAGATGGCTGATGCTACCGCGCCTTCCGATTCCAAGACCAAAGCCCCCGTCAAAGCCTCGAAATCGGGTGCCACTGAAGGCGGTGACACCAAGAAGAGATTTGAAGTCAAGAAGGTCGGTTGGAACACACGGGTTTCCCTTGACCTTTATACTGAGATATTCTAGTGGAATGCGGTCGCCTTATGGGCGTGGGATATTGTCGTTGACAACTGCGCCATCTGCAGGAACCACATTATGGATCTCTGTAAGCTATGGCTCTGACCTCAGCTTCATCGGCCCTCTTTGCTAATGATACTCGAGGCATTGAATGCCAGGCAAATCAGGGCGCGGCTACGACGGAGGAATGCACAGTTGCATGGGGAATCTGCAATGTAAGGAGACCAGCCATGACCATTTGATCCAACCGCTGACGGAGGGATTTAGCATGCCTTCCACTTCCACTGCATCTCCCGCTGGCTGAAGACTCGACAAGTGTGTCCATTGGACAATCGAGACTGGGAATTCCAGAAATACGGCCGGTAAATGATGAGTCAAAGGAGAATTCAGACATATCCCGGATGTCCTTGGGGAGGAATCACAGCCTTGATTGAAGTACGATGCGGCGTCTGGCAGTGTTGGTGGGGAGACACGCATAGCCGTACAGAGGCGAGAAGGTCAAGCAGGTGGACCAAGTCTGACATGCGGTGCCTTGGAATGGCTGAGTGACTCACGCCAGGACAAAATTTTGATGACTGTGATGGCCGAATGCATTGACAACCAAGGATTAGGGAACGAGGAAACGATGACCATGGGGGTTTGAGCACAAGCATTGAACAAGAAAATCAGGCCAAAAATAACCCGAAGTTGTTGTGACCCGTTACATTCATCCTCGGAAAATCCACACATATTCTCATCTCGCCTGTGTTCCCACCACGATCCCCCCTGGCGGCAATGCTGTTTGGGAACCAAGCCAAGGCTGAGGATGTTGATTGTAGGCCGGCCAGGGAGGAACGACAAAAAACATTGCAAGTAGGGCGCCGGCCAAACCAATCCACATAGTCAGATAGATGTCTTGGTCAATGAAGCCCATTATCAGAGCAAGAATCTGCAAGTGTGTTAATCAGCCGCCAACAGAAGGTGACACCCAGTCTTTGAAGGACTGTCGAATGGGAGGGAGCCTTACGGAGGAGATGGTTAGGACGGCAGAGGAAATTCGCTCTGCAAGACGCTGACCGTCACAATCCTGGTTGCAACGAGTCAGGATCGGAAAGCTGCGGTTTTAGATGAGCTGAGAGGGGGAGGGAGGTGTATAGGCTGATCATTTCCGGACATACTATTTGACCTTCAAAGAGGTCTTGCAGCTGAGAAATTACGGCGTCCATGGGTAATGGCTCTGGTCTTCCCGGGAGATGAGCGATTAAATCCAATGGTTGGTGAACGTTCTTGCTGGGATCGAGGATACCAGCATGAACGGGGTGCTTTGTTGTTGTGGTGTGAGCAAGGCAAAGACCAAAGGTGGCCTCGAGTCGCGATACTTGGCTTCAAAACAAGCTCCGGAGCTGCCAGGCTTATGGACCCCCTCACGGGTGGTCTGCCAGGTTCTCCAAGCCTGAACCAGACGCGATCTCGGCTAGTTCTGGTTAAGAGAAGGGGGGGAAGAGGGGTTGCAGCAGGGGCCCAGGGGGACCTAGATCTCGGCGATTGACCGTGAAGGAATTCTGGTTCTGACTGGCTGTTCGGGGGCCTGCGGGCGAATCCGAACACAATGCCTTGCCGGCGCGATGGGCGTGCAAAAATGCCTCTCGCTAAAGGGGGAGCCACGCCCAATGCCCACTAATCGTGACTCTTCTGCTGAGGTTTAGGTCCTCCTGGTTGGTGAGCAGTCTGGTTCCGTCTACCCATCAACCCCTTCCCCCTGCCCATGCCTGCCCTGGGCCTGTAGCCCACTTGCCTGCGGGTAACCTGTTGGGTGGTTCAGCATAAATTTTTCCTTCGTCTTGACCGTCAGCGTCTTTTTTCTCTCCTCACCTTTTGCCCTTTTCCCCAGTGACATCGAAGTTGCATAATAGCAACCCAACTTCTCCCCACCTTTTCACACACTTTTTTTTCCTCCTCCCTGGCCTTTTACATCGCCCTTGACTTCCGTCGGACACTTCCTCATCCCGTGGCTGCATACTGCAGAAATCGGCGCTGCGACATATCGCCCTTCTCTGACGCCTCCGACTCTACTCCATCCGCCCATCTATCTAAGATTGACTACTTGGACTGGCCGACCTGTCTGTCCGAGTTTTTGTCTCTCTCATTACCCGGAAATCCCATACCTCCAGTATTCAAAGGCATAGGAAGGCTGTTTAACAGTCTTTCCTATCTGTGCTTTCGAACCTTCCACCCTGGCGCTCGATAGCGACGTTCACTCTCCTCCGGCCTTCAAGTTGGCGGGCTCTACAATCTTCTCCTTCATTCGCCCTTTGCTAGGCACCTCCTGCATGGTCTTCACCGGCGCTACAACTCGACCTCCGTAACTGGCCCTTCGGAGCTGCAAACCCATCCCTGGCCGTACCTGGCCTGGGGATATACCAATATTCTTTATTTGAAAAAGAGACGGTTCTGGCTGTTTGGATACCTTGGAGCACCTTCTTCCCTGGCTGGCGACTCTTTCGCCGTCGCATCTTACAAAGTGGCATAATTAGCGCATTGGTTGCACTGGATACAGTGCCGACGAGGCTGTTGGAGTCTGCATCAGAAGGAAAGTTCGGCTCAAAATGTCGTCGTCTGGGTCATCGCCAGAAGAGAAGATGGACAGCCGCTATAGTACCCCAGCCCCTGAGCTGGATGACCATCGAAACACATTGGGTGTCCATCCCGCGCATGTCACTTTGACTGTGCCCGCGGTTGAGCTACAAGTGACCACGCCGAGACCCAGCGCTATGGAAGAACGAGACCTGGCCTCTGTGGACAACGCGTTGCTGAAAACGCGGGATCAAGAGAGACATCCAATCACTCGCGACTTTGAGAATGCTATCGAAGATGACGACAAAAGCGATGTGGAATTTGACGGGCCACAAAGCAGCCTCAGGCGCCCGTCTCTTCATGCTAGGAGATATACGAACAACCGCGAGGGTCGTACCCGTCTTCCGCGAAACGATCGTTCACGAGAGAGCTCGTCCTCCCGATCGACTTCGCCAGCCAACTCCATTGAAGCCTTTGCCGAACCACGCCGCCGACAACGCGCCAATACTGCCGAAAGCCATGCGTCCTCACTCCTGGAGACTTTCCGAAATCGCACCTACTCAAACGGCACCAATCAAAGGCGTCCGACGCTGAGTAATATTAGCATCCCGCCTGCTCTTACTCTGCGCACGGACAAGGACGCCAGCGAGGACGTGACCTTCCCAACCGACGAGGAACCTGGAAAGACCTACAAGATTGATTTCGAGGAACTCGAGGAGTTCGTCGCCCTCTGCGCACAGGGCAAGATTCCGGACGACCAGGTTACCGAGGTCTCAACCGACAGCCGGGCCTTTGTGGATCTTCGACAACACCATGGCCACGCTGGAGAACCAGATGCCGTCCTCAACGGCGAATGTTTTTATGAGAAACCGGTGACGCACCACGATTCGAACAACGGCCAGCCTTCCTCGTCCGAAGAGGAGGTCATTATCCGAACAACTCGTCCTGCGCCAGAGCCCGTTGACAGGTTCTTCCTGTTTACGTCTGAATTGACCCAAGGTCAGCGTGCCAAGAAGCTGGGCGATTTTGTAGCCGATGGCACCACATTCCGTGATCTGTTCGAGGTCGGACCTGATGGTGGTGTATGGTGGCTTGACGTCCTGAATCCCACCAGAGCCGAGCTTGCTGTCCTTTGCAGGGCATTCAAGATCCATCGCCTCACTCAGGAAGATATCGAGACACAAGAAGCTCGCGAAAAAGTCGAATTGTTTTCGCAATACTACTTTGTCTGTTTCAGGTCATTCAACATGGACCAAGGCCATGAAGACTTTCTCGACCCGATCCACGTCTATATTGTCGTCTGTGGTGATGGAGTGCTGAGCTTCAGTTACAGCCCCAACCCACATCCGAAGAACGTGCGCAAGCGGATCGCGAAGCTGGGTGATTTCCTCTCCCTTGGCCCGGATTACATTTGTTACGCCATGATCGACGACATCGTCGACTCCTTCGCGCCTATCATTCGCGATGCCGAGCAAGAATCCGAGAACATCGAGGACCAAGTGTTTATTGCACGTGAGGATGACTTCCTGGCTCTGCTCAGGCAGATTGGCGAATGCCGCAAGCGCGTCCTTAACATGATGCGGCTGTTGGGCGGCAAAGCGGACGTCATCAAGGGCTTTGCAAAGCGCTGCAACGACCAGTACCAGATGACCCCTCGTGGTGATATTGGGTTGTACCTGGGCGACATCCAAGATCACGTCGTGACGATGATGTCGAACTTGGGCCACGTGGAGAAGATGCTATCTCGCTCACACGCCAACTACCTTGCCCAGCTCAATGTGGACAACATTCTAAAGGGTAACCACACCAACAAGAACCTGGCAAAGATTACAGTTTTGGCGACCATTCTCGTGCCCTTGAATCTGATAACCGGTCTATTTGGCATGAACGTCAATGTTCCCGGCAAGAACACCGAGGGCTTGTATTGGTTCTTTGGCATTCTTGGGGGCATCGGCGTGTTCGTCGTGATGAGCCTGCTTCTTGCACGACGACTACGGGCGATCTAAAACATGGGATTACTGTTATCCTGTTTCGTATGTACTCGCGATGTGCATTTTGTCGTTGCTGTTTCTCTTTTTGGTGGATTCTTATCTCGCTTTGCGTTGATCTCTCTGTCCGGCACGATGTGCTGTATGTCTGTGGGGCGACCAGGCAATTCGCCTCTACAGGACAGACACTACCCGTTAGAGCTATCACTTATGTCAGTACAGCAGTGGGATTGATATATTGATCTCTTTGACGCGTTATCTGAGTGGGGATAGAGTTGTGCATAGAGTTTATAGTTTATGAGTTACTGTAGTCGCCAATGATGTTGCAAAGACCAGTCCAAGTTTCTTGTCTTGTTCTCGATTGTATAGTTCGTGTCATGGAGAATGAAATAGTACGGCATACCGCCACCTACGAGTCTATGACTTGTACTTTTGGTCTCGGAATCCAGCGAGAACCTCAACTGTCCCATCTCCCCGTTCCGCCCACCTCTTGGCCGCGACGTCTGGATTCAACTGCAGAGTCTGCTTTGCCTTGACCCACTGCTCCATTGTGACCAGCTTGTCGAACCTGGGCTGGACACCGGCCTTTTCCAAGACCGGCGAGTCGGTGATGGGGACAAGCACTGTGTCGTTGTGCGGGCGGGCAAAGTACAGCAACCCGGTGCGTTTGTACTGGCGTTGATCCTCCGGAGGGGCGACGACCCGGTGGACCGAGCTCTTGAGCCAGCCGCCGGTCAGATGCGAGATGGTGTCCGCGAGGTTCACGGTGATGGTGCCGGGCTGAGCCGACACGTACGTCCAGTTGCCGTCTTCGCCGAGGATTTGCAGGCCGGCCACCGGCTGGCGGAACAGGAGTGTCACGGTGCCCAGGTCGGTGTGCCCGCCGCGCCTCCCGTAGTCGCTGGCGGCCCATTGCTCTTCGGTGCGCGGGTGGTAGAGCATGTACCGGAAATGGTCCTCGCTCTTCTTGTCGTAGGTGTGCTGGTTAACCAAGTAGTCCTCGTCCGGCAGCTGCAGGACGACGGCAAAGAGCCGCAGAAGCGGGAGCACCACGTTGGCGTGGAGGGCGCGCTGAAACGTCTCGATCTCGCCCAGGTGGGCCTTGATCAGGTCGGGGTAGTCGTACTTGCCGACAAAGTCTCCGGTGAACTTGGGGAAGTTGAGCATCTCGACGTTGTCCCGGGAATTGGCCTGCAGCGAGCGCCCGGGCCGCCTCCAGCCGTTGTAGTCGGCCTCTGCGTAGCGCACCTCGTATTTCTCCTTCTCCGCGACGGGCAGCTCGAAGAAGTTCTGTGCGAGCGTGAATTGTCGGTCGACTTCTTCCTGGGACAGGCCAAAGTTCTTCACATAGAAGAAACCGACGTGGTGGACGGCATGTTCCAGCTGCTTCGCCAGACGCTCTTTGCCGCCCGGCCGGCTCAGGTCCTCGAGGTCGAGCGTGACGAGCTCAGCCCAGGGGAGGTCTGCTTTGGTCACCGGCGGGTGCACGTAGGGCTTGAGACGGCTGTAGTCATACTGCTGAGGATCCTGAACTCCATTGGCAGCTGGAGCTTTGGTATCAGTGACGGTAGCCGACATGATTGATATTGAAGTCTGGCCTTTGCTATGATCAGTGGGAGCCAAAATTCCAGCTCGACCTCCTCAGGGTAGTGACGCGAGAGTGAAAACCTAGTATGCCTCTATACACTACCCGCAGTTCTCCTTATCAGAAATACTGCAAGAAGTGAATCGGACTTGATTGTGTCAACCTTTCTCCAAATGTCGCCATAGTCGTTTCCATCCATGCTATTCGCTACTAGGTCAGCAGTGCGCACATCAACGGCACAAAACGACTATGGTCCTGCATATCTGTTCGACATGCCATGCCAACCGCCGTTGATAAAGCATCTGGACTCTGTTGTACGCAGCACTCATCGGCCCCTGATTCGTTCTTGACGAGTTGTATTTGTCAGTCACCACATGCGATTTCGTCCCTGGAGGGCTCTCTGATCGTTACCTGCCGAGGGTCAATTCCTTGAGCGCCGCGCAATAATTCGAAAGGACCGTCGAGGGGCATTTTTGGCAGTTTCTATGTTGCTGGTTGTTTCTGGACAAGAGACGGATGCCATCATTCTCAGCCTTGTCTCATTAGTCAGCAGGATAGGTCGGAGGGATCAGATCATGTGACAAGGCTGACTTGACGTGCTTGCCACTCGCTTCACCAGCTGCGAGCCAAACCATCATACTTGAAAACCCTTCCACCAGGCCTTTTTACGATCCAACCCCCCACTTCCTCGTCGACGCATCTTTGTCTCTCCTACCCTAGACCACCGCAGCCATGCCTCGAGCAGAAGTGGGATCGACCAAGTACATCGCCAACCAGATGAAGTCGAAAGGACTTCAACGGTTGCGATGGTACTGTCAAGCATGTCAGCGGCAAATGCGGGATGAAAACGGTTTCAAATGCCATGTCGCGTCCGAATCCCACGTCCGCCAGATGCAGCTGATTGGCGAGGACCCTCGGAAAGCCATCAACGACTATTCAAACCAGTTCCTCCGAGACTTCATCCAACTCCTGCGTACCGGGCACGGCGAGAAAAAGGTCAATGTCAACCAATTCTATCAAGAGTACATTTCAAATAAACAGCATGTACATATGAATGCGACCAAATGGAGTAGTCTGACAGAGTTTGCGAAGTACCTGGGCAGAGAAGGACTATGCCGCGTGGACGAGGATGAGAAGAACGAAAGCCGCACTGGCGCAAGTGGGCTCACAATCAGTTGGATTGATAACAGTCCTGAAGCACTGCGGCGTCAGGAGGCGATCCGGAAGAAGGAAAGACAAGACCGCGGCGACGAAGAACGAGAGCAAAGAATGATCCAAGAACAGATCCGAAAAGCAAAGCGGCAAGGATTGGCGGACACTGTAGAAGATGAAGAGGAACAGGAGGACGATACGGAGGATGTTGGCGGCGAGGGTATCAAACGAAAGGAGGGAGAGAAAATCGTGCTCAATTTTGGAGCGAAGAAACAGACACCCGAGACGGCTAAACCACCAACTCCTCCTCTCTCGGAGAAAGATGAACCATCATCTGACAAGGAGAAAGAGAACACCGTAACCCCAACGACTTCGCCTCCCGTGTCCGACGACCCCAAGGCAGTGCAGACCTCTGCAAAGCCGCCTGTATCCATGTCCTTTGGCAGCTCGTCAACCAAGCCGAAGAATGTGTTCGCCGCATCTTCCAAGAAGAACCCATTGGGTGCTCCAAAAAAATCAGTGGGCTCTGTCCAGCAAAGGCCGATGAGCGAAGCGGAGCGGATTATGAAAGAAGAGATCGAGCGGAAACGCCAACGGGAGGCTAATGGTGTTCATGGCGGGAATGTGTTCAAAAGGCAGCGGGTTTGATAGAGGGAGGGCTGGAGATGGGTCTCGAGGCCCAGATATGGATCATTACGATTTACGACCAAAAGATGTATGAGTAGCACACTGGAAGCCCAGGGCTTTGCCAGATCCACGGAAAGGAGTTTGGTCAGACTAGGCCTGTGTGCTCAAGGAGGAAACCCTGTGATAGGGATCGATAGCCTCTTAATATGACAGCCCACAGACTGCCATGGTTTAAAGAAGTTATTGATGCCCGCACGTTCTAAGAACATTGTCAGGGAGAGATACTATGGTTTCTGATCTGTACCAATAATAATAGATTCAAGATTCTTCCTAATATGGAGATGGCGGATCCATTGCAAAGACGAAGATGATTGGCCGCTCCGACTTCGATTTTCACTGTTGCAACAAGCGCTGAAATGTATAAACGTCGAGAACGGCATCATCACCGCTAAAAGGAACCGGAATGTTCAATACAAGGCCCAACACAAGCATGGACATTATTTTCTCCCTCGTCGTCGTGCCATTTTGAGCCCTGGCAGCGCGACATAAAACCATGATCGATCCAGCATGGCCATCCCATCACAGCAGCCACCCTCGGCCAAGAGCAAGAGCAAGAGTAAGGGCAAGGACAAGGCTCCACGACGTAGCAAGGCGAGATCCAAAGTGCCGACGTCCTTGAAATCGACTCGTCCGCCTCTCCTCGCCGCTTCCTGGGCGCCGGCCCCGGCGCCGGCCCCGAGCCCGACGACGGCGAGCGCGAAAACAGCAGGTGGTCCACCGTCATCGTCCAGCATCTCCGCTCGGTCGACGCCCTCGTCGAAACACACCCGCGCGCTGATCAATACGCACCACCTGCTCCAGAAGCGCCTCGCGCACGCGCGCGCGAGGCACGACGTCGACGCGGCCCGCGAGATCGAGGCTCAGCTCGCAGCGCAGGGCGGGTTGCAGTCGTACCAGCGCGCGAGCCGGACGGGCCAGAGCGCCGAGCGCGGCGGCGACTCCAGCCGCGTGCTGGTCCGCTGGCTCGAGGGGGAGCTTGGCTCTCGCAAGGCTGCCCTGCGCAACCGCCGTGAGGGCGCTTTACGACGGAGGGGACGACAGGAGACTCACTTGCAGGGTCATCATGATGACGACGTCGACGTCGACGTCGACGAGGACGAGGACGAAGATGGCGATGGCGATGGCGGACAGGCTACGAATCCTCAAGAGCCCGCGGCAGGAGTGCATCCGCTCCGCATCCTCGAGATTGGCGCACTGAGCACGCACAACGCCCTGAACGTCGCGGGGGTCACGCACGTGAGGCGGATCGATCTGCGCAGCGCCGAAGAGGGGATCGAAGAGGTCGACTTCATGCACCTCCCACTTCCCAGCGGGGTCGGACGCGGCGGCAGCAAAAGGGGGGAGCGGTGTGACCGCGAGCAGCAGCGAGGAGGGTACGATGTGCTCAGTCTCAGCCTGGTGTTGAACTACGTGCCCGACCCCAAGCAGCGGGGAGCGATGCTGAAGCGTACGACCTTGTTCTTCTCGCCGCCACTATCACCATCACCATCACACTCGAAATCACGTCCGATAGCACAATCACAATCACAATCACAACCGACCCCAGCCCCGGCTACTTCTACATTCCTCCCTTGCCAGGGGAACCGCCGGATGGGTGAGACTACCGACGACGACGACAAAACGGAAGAAGCCAGTCCGCACGACGTGACACAGCTCCCGTGCCTCTTCCTCGTCCTGCCCTCGCCCTGCTTGCACAACAGCCGCTACCTCACGCCGCAGCATCTCACCGCCATCCTCAACTCGCTCGGCTACATCCACCTGCACACAAAGACCACGCGCAAGCTGCATTACAGCCTCTGGCGCTTCGACGGACCAAGAGCCAGAGACAAGTGGATTAAAAGTGGCGGCGACACGGTGTTTAAAAAGAGGGAGATCAATCCCGGAGGCGGCAGGAACAATTTTTGCATCGTACTGGACGACGACGATTGGGAGCCATAGAATCTGTCGACTTGAGGGCAGGGCGCAATCAAGGGAAACTGTGGATCGAAGGGAATGCAATAGAGTCTGTTTGGATTGCCTTCAAGTCTTCTCTGTTTCCAGTCCTTTCAACGTAGTCCGTACACTGTCCACCCCGGATGCTTCTCCCCTTGGACGTGCTCTTCTCTCCCCCTTCCAATCAGCTGGATATCCGCCCACTTCTTTTCTACATGGTATGTTTAGTGATCGGGGCGCAGCGCCGTGTTCTCTCTGGAGGAGACGTCGAACTTCTTGCTCAGTCGCCCGTCCGCAATATCGGTTGCCGCCAATTGGAATATCAACTCTACCCATACAATAAGCCATGTCCCTTCCACCTGATCCCACCCAGAGAGTTTGCCAAAAAGGGATAGCTTTCGACAATAAAAGCCAGAGACGCCGGGGCTGTGTAGTAAAAGCGCGCCTTCCATGATGAATAAGTCTGTTGATGCTTGCATTCAATGCTCCATGTGCCCCAGAACGCCATATCCAGGCGATGTTTGGGGTCATTTATACCGACTCAGGCCGTTGTCAAAAACAAAAATACAAGATAGGATGATTAAATCGCCACCGTCTTCATTTCTCCCTCGATCCCGTTGACCCCCAAGCCCTTAACTTCGGGTTCTGGTTCCTTCGGTTTGTCGTCCTGGGTTTCGTTGTTGCCAGCTGTCAGGACTCGGGTGAGTCGAGTAGCGGGGAAGTCCTTCGAGTCTGCGCTCTTCAATGACGCGGGCGTCGAGACATCGACAAGTTTATCTCCAGCTTGCTTGGTGGCAGTCGCCACTTGTGAATCGATGGGCGTGGGAGCTGCTCGTTTCTTGCCTTCACTGACAGAATCCTCTGCCGCTTCAGCGAAGTCCCGTACTACATCTCCACCGGGACGAATGGCTTGCGGTTGGGCAATTTCCTCTTGAACTCGTGCAAGAGGACTGCTGACTGTGTGCCTGGGGCTACCCGTAGGTCCCCGTGAAAAACGGTGAGGTGATCGACCTCTATCCTCACCAACGACGGGACTGTTGTAGGGGGAATGCCGGCCGTTCTGCGCCACTGAGCTGTTGTTGTTTAATCCTGGTGGTTGGGATCTCCGTTTCGGTCCTCTCCGTCCATATTTCTGGTCTGCTCGCCAGCGCAAAATATCCATATAACCGGGTTCGACTGACTCAGTCTTGAATTCCTTCAGTTTCAGCTCGCCGGTTTCCTCGTCGACAAAGACTTTCTCGCTGCTCAGGTCGTCTGCCACGGTGGCCAGAAAGTGCGCCCACGACCGTGCAACGACATATTTACAATCGTAGTCTCTTCCAAAAAGAATGACTTGGCCCCATTTGCCCATTGGTCCCGGTGCCAGATCGATGGCAATATTGTTACCGCCCCAATCTCTGGCTAGGGCAATCCAGCTGGGATGAGCATATGCTTTCTGGATGGCGTTAGGGGGTTGTGACTCTTGTCGATCGAGCAATTCTTGTCGCCAGAAGCGATTGCCATTGGCCTGGCTTGACGAGGAAGCGCTGTTACTGAGACCTTTGGAGCTGTACGAGGGTTTCCGGGCACCGCTCAGATACTCCTCGTTGACAACCTGCCAATTCTTCCATTCCTGCACAATTTCTTCACAGTCGAGCAGCATACAGCCAAAAATGATACCAGTTGGTCTGCCACCGCGTTCTTGACCATCATGAATGGCGAGGGACTCGCGGACGTCTTGCGGTAATGACATGTTCAGCTCATGCTCCAGCTCGTTGATGTCATTCTGCGTACACCCCTCGCCCAGCTGGTCCCAAAGCTCCGGATAGTTCTTCTCAGCCCAGCGGTCGATCTTCTTCCAGGAGTGAGACACAGGAGGGGGTGGAGGTGCACCGTCGGCAAAGTTCTGCATTTGGATCTCGCCTGGGGACACCACCTCCTCGGTTCCAGCACGCTTGGGAGATGATACGGAGCGCATGCCCGGTGAGTATGGTCTGGCAGGTGACTGGGCTAATTGGGTTGACGAGACTGAAGGTCGTTTGGATTCGTCGTGGTATGTCTGGGAGAGATCCTGGTGCGACTCAATGGCACTGGTTGCGACGGACGTCAGGGGGGCATGTCGACTTTGTCCGACAGGGACATGTTGACCGGTCCGGTAGGGAGAGTCGTGGGAGGCATGGCGGTCATTGGAGGTCATGGTATGCCAGAAAGAGCGCCATGCCGTAGCAAAACTGCGAGAAGTCAGAATGGGTAGAGACTGGAATTAGGGAGAGGGACGCACGAGTTTGCCATGACTGGCGAAACAGTCACGGTAGTCGCTGCCACTTTGACGGTTAGTTGGCAGTGGTTCTAGTTGAATTAGGACATTAACATGGGTTGACTTGAACGAGGGTTTCTGGGTCTGGTCGTCGGTGTGGTCAAAACAAAGGGCAACGGAGGACTGGTGAGGGTGGTTTGTTGCCAGCCGCAAACAAAGAAGAATTCCCCGTGTTGACAACGGAGTTGGGCGAGATCAAAACAATGGAGATGGAAGCGGTTTGTTACACGAAGCATGCAGTCCAGTGCGGTTCGTGCAGAGCAAGATGGCAAGAAAATCGTCAACGAGAGGTGTCAAGACTAGTTGATTGAGGATTGAGAGTCGAGGGTCGAGGAGCGAGGGTGGTGAGGATTGTGTAGGTTTGCAGGTTCACAGGCACACCGCAAAAGGCGCAGGGAGGGCAGGCGCTGGACCGGGCTGGCAAAAGGGGAGCAGAGGGCAGCTGTGAACTTTGGGAAAAACTGGGGAGATGGGCACCGCTAAAAGCATGTTACGGGTGCACCACATGCGCCTGCAGATGACATTTGGGACACCCGCGCCTAGGAGCCTACCCTACCAGCTCCCTAAGAAAATTAGAAGCCGAGCAGCCTAGCAGCCTAGTAGTCTAACCACGCCCGCCCACTAACAGCGCCCACCCTGGTCACCCTGGCTTCTTACCGGGGGGGGGGGGGACTAGGATTTTCGCTACAGCCTGCGCCCATCAGTTCTTGGGAGCCTCATCCATGTTGACCCATCGCCCAATAATGTCCACCTTTTCTTCATCCTCAGTTTATTTTATTTTGTCTCACACAATCATTACAGACAAACCTAAACTCAAGGAGTTGCATTACCTTTTCAAACGACCCGAGTGCCGTTTGCATCTCCGGCTAGCTGCCCCTCCAGCATCGGTGTCGAGAGGCGTCGAGCTCGTATTCTTCGATCTTCAGCCGCCTTCGTGCGTTCAGCTCTTCGCTCCCGTCCCTGCAAGCACTGCGCCCCGGGTCTCGACGCGTCAATCATCTCTTCAATCAGCTTAGGCATGTCCTGGCTTGTGGGGGACAAAAGAGGATTACGAGTTGATGACGCCCTTGCTGTGCTTGGTTCTCCTCTCCTTATTGCCTACCTACTCGTACAAACAATCATAACGCCATCCCCGACGGTGTGAGGCTCATGCTCCACCTGCATCTATCTGAATCGCGCTTCCCGATACGCGTCAATTTATGGCTGCAATCAAGCCTCATGGTGGCCCCGCTCACCGATAGGCTCAAGGTCCGCTGTTAGAGATTGGACGATAACGCAAAAGAAAAGAGCGTGGATTAAAAGGGGCTCATCATACCCCGACACTCCTTTAAGGGGATACAACCTTGACCAAAACGATCTTTCTCCGGCGAACTCTATGCTGATTCGCCATGTGCGAGATGAAGGGAGAAGGTCGCGCAGGTCACGCCCACACCGTCGATCTTCAACGAGGAAATTTCTCTTTTCCCAGGTTCATTGATCTTCGCACTGTCTCGGATCCGACTTCCAACCCCTCAACCCCTCGCCCTTGACCAACATGACCTGCGAGTTGCACATCAGTCAACCGGTTTCTCCACGAGCAAACCCGTTTGCAGCAAAATTCTCCGTCCGATCCTGTGCAACGTGGCTGCTAGTCTTGCATGTTGAGAAACAAGCTGCAAAACCAGGACGGTATGCTGCAGGTCGATCTGTCCCACAACCCGTTGTATTTGTGTTCCGGCAATACAACCACAACTACAACGTAGTCCTCAAATCGAACATTCTGGGCCCTTTGCTGAGCAGACAATTACTCTGCCGAGGGTTAGAAGCAAAGACCCCTTCGTCGCCTTGTTACCACCCGCGCAGTCGACATCCACACCTATATTGGCCTCATTATGTAATCGATCCGCACCGCATTCTGCCCAGAGCTACGACGCGATTAGAGAAGAGCCCCTTCCCCCAAATCAACGCCTACAACCTGTGTGGCTTCTCATTATACGCGTTGTCCGTCGCAATTGCATCGTTGGAAACGACCAAGCGATCGAGTATACATTCCAGCACATACTTCTGTTGCCGGAGCAGCCTCAAAACAAAAGCCTGACAGACGGCCAATCGGTGAGTTTCGCCACGCCTAATGCAGGTACACAAGACATTTCCGTGGTCCAGCCTTACGACCAGCAAAGCTGCGAGATAAGTATAGAATCTGCCCTGCAGCTAAGTTGAAGTCTAATAACCAATCAGAGATGGCCTCAATTCCCTGTTTTCGGCCCCTGGGAACTGGGCATTGATGAGCCCACCGCGACACGCGGGGATTGCATCTGGACGGGAAAAGTTACTTCAGCCCGGTACGCCAGCTATTGGAGAACCGTGCTAGACCACTTGAGCACTTTGGGAGAAGATTCTATATATCGATTTTGGTCCCCGCCACTCGCCGCGAAGGAATCGAGCTGTGTCAGCAAGTCAGCAACCAACCACTTTAGCGGGATGCCCGAAGCGATTCCCGTTCCGCACGCCCGTACAAAGCTTTGCTTTAACGGTCCTCTTGCCGATATAGGTGAAGGTACTTTCCGTGGATGGGGGCTATCATTGGCAAACTGCAAACTACCGACTTCTGTATACGGCTGCCGGGCCATGATGTCCTTTATCCAGTCCGCGTCATTTCATCCGCGGCAGGCAGAAGTGAGGCATCAGTGCATCTTACTTGCGTCTCATTGGTCTCTATGAAGCTGCAAGTGTATGCTGACGAGGTCGTTCGGTGTCCGTGTTGTTGATTCCGTCGATGGTTTGGAATCACATCCACACGAATACGTGAGGCACAGCCGATTGTCACCTTCATCTTCAGAGCTATGCCTCTCTGGGTGAATGCTCGCGGTGGTCACTACTAAATACGGAGCCAGAGAATGACGGATCTTTATCACTCCCCTATGCAGCGCCCTCGTTACATGCAGGCTCCGACTGGCCCCTTCTCCCAGGCAAGAGAGGGATTGTTGTAGCATAAATCCGACCTCACTCTGCGATCAGTGTTCTGGCCAGTTATGCAGACTTTGAGCTCGAAATCGGCCTTTCATGATCAGGACAGTCATACTACTTATGAACCATCCTACCAGCATGACACTGCTATGGATGTCAGTTGCCACACATCGGCTGCCGGCCTTCGAATCCATCTCTGACGCATGTGATTTCTCGAAACATGGTTCTGTACCCATGGCCAGGTTGTCACGTTCGCTCGAGTTAACAGACATGGACTTTGGAACGCAAGTTGATCATGGCAACACTGTCATTTCCCGAGCAAGATGCTGGTTCTCACCGCCATCTCAACGCTTTGCCAAAGTCTGGGTCTGTAATGCGCCGTCCTCAAAGCCCCTTCGCACCCGGCTCTTGCGTAGGCAACTCAGGCTAGAATCACGGTTCAGTCCGCTGTATCCTCATCATCCTTGTCAACGTTTACTTTTACTTCACGTCGTCGACCCTTTGTGCAGTCCTCTGTTTATGTTGGCTGTTAACTCATTGGCTTCTTCTCTCGCTTCACCAGAAGTTTTTTCTGCACAACTCGCATACGCCAGGGGCACCCACTGTCAGCCAGGCCGTGAGTTTAGCAACTTCTGGTCATTCTAAACTTGGTAAGTCAAAGACACAGGCTAGCCAACTCCAGTTGAACTGCAAGCGTGATTATCGCTTCTATATCGTCTGCCGAACCTTTCCTGTCTTCCTCGACAGCGGGCGAACTCCGACTACTGAGTTGGAATTTTGATACCTTTTCTCGTAAACAACGATGACGCATCTAGGGCGATTTAGGCCAAAGCTTCATCTATCGAGCATGCTGGAGAGAATGGCTTACAGCAGATATTTCTCGGAGCACAAGGAGTGGAGGATCGATTAATTTCCTGTACGGAATACCGGCCGGTGTCCATCTCATCTCATCAATGATTTCCTTTCACCAATAGGATATATGATCTTGACAAAGACAGAGGACCGTCGCCGCGATTGAACGCTGCAATCAATCGGAGGGAGAAGGAATTGTCGCCATCCGGGTCGGGTCCTCTGCGATCGTCCCAGCTCGCGCTTGATCCAGGTGGAAGGGCTTGCGCTATGCGCTCTGGCAGCGTTCATCGTGATCATCCAGCGGCCGTGGAAGGAGTCGATCGTCGTGGTATGCCTCATCCTGTTCAGCAAGCGACTCGGTTTGCGGCCGCAATCATGCTCGACGGTGATGGACGCCCACCCTCAGAGCCCAATAGAATGATTGACTGAGTGAATAAGTGAGCGAAGTGGCTGCGAGTAGTGCATCCATCACATTTGTGCCAGGAGACCGGTGGATAAAACAGGTTAAACCCTCCCGAGCCCAGGTTTCTCAACTCGCACTCAACAGGTAAGCTCCCTGTTGGAAGAAGACATTGGCTATTCAGCGGGAAATAAGCCTTTAGTCTAGATCTATTAGGATTGTCTTGTACTCGTACATGTCTCTGTCTATATAACACCCTTTCCAAGAGGGGGGCCGCGCACAGAATATCTCGCACGCGTGACGAAGCTGCCCCCTCTTATTTCCTATCCTTTGACAAGATATGACCCAGAAGATCTATCCACCATCCTCTTTGATGAATCGTTTCCCATGAAAAGAAATGCAACATCAACTGGCCCTCCGCCACCGAGACGAACTCGAAAGTCCGCGCCAACCGGTTAGTCTGTTCCTAGTATTATTAACAGCTTGGGATTATCATATCCCGTACATATAACCCAATGAATGTATCCGTCCATTCCATCTATCCATCTATCCGTGTTTTGTTTCGTCAGACTCGTCAAGATCGAACATAATAGTAGCCGTGGATTCTCGAGACACTTGACAAAATATACAGTGCTCGACGACCGGCTGTGGGGTCCGCCGCCTATGGCTTGCTCAATTGCTCCTTGCGGTAGAACTGTGAGGAAGACAAATGGTTAGCTCGCCGATATATGAAAGGCAGAGGGGTGTTTCCATTAGATGGCAGGGACATGGAGATAAAGTCATCGCTCACCTTGAAATACCCGACACAGATACTCAGATTGGCTACCAACCCGATCCAAAACCAGGCTTGCCAGATAGGGCCCACTCCGCCACTGATGTCCGGGCTGATGGGCCCGGGCCCGATCTTGTTGGGTGCCACGGCTCTGGCGACGATGGTAGCAACCGAACCAAGGACCTGTGCCGTCACGAGCGTGAAGGCGACGTGCACCCGCGTCAGTGTGGCGAGGAGGATCATCCCCAATCCCACGCCTTGGATGGCATCGAGGGTCCCGAGCCACAGCCACAGCGCGCGGGAAACGAGGGCTGAGGCCTTGTAGCCGCCAGCCCAGGGCAGATAGAGCCCGATGTTGCTGGTCCCCCACCAGATCTGGGCCCAGCGGGGTGCTCCAAGGCCGATGGCAAACAGCGGTAGGATCCAGCTGTGCGACTTGGAAAGCACGCCGAACAGCCACAAAATACCCGCCCAGACGCCGATGAAGAACAAGACGACGAGTAGTAGAACCTGCCAGGTCTTGGCGTGTGAGCTGCTCCAGAGGAACGACCAGTTACGGCCATAGGGGGCGGACAGGAAGAAGTTCTGGATGAGAACCGTGACGAAGAACCAGAGAACAATCTTGCGGCGCAGCAAGCTCCTGTAGAAGCTCGGCATTTTGCCAGGCGCTTGTCGGTAGTAGCTTGGCAGTCCGAACCACATCAGCAGTCCAATGAACCAGAGGCCAAATGCAATCGGAAGCGTGATGGCTGTGATTTTCCAGGTCGAGGAGATGGGGTCGGGAGTGGTGACAAGGGCGTCGACCGTGCGTCGATTGAGATATGCACCCCAGTACCACAGAGCCACAACATAGATCTGCTGTGTACCTTGAATCACGCAGGCTCGGAACACCCAAGCTTTGACCTGCGCGCCACCTTCGTCGCCAAAGTTGAGGGCAAAGAAGATGGAGCCTGATGACGAAGCCACGGCGTACATACCAGTTCCCACGTTCTGGATCCATCCCCGGCCGCTAATTGTAGAGCCGTAATGGGCGGTTCCAATCAGGATGAATGCCAGACCGTAGAAGAAGAAGGGCAAAGACAGACAGAGTCTGGACTGGAACCGCTTGAAGAGGAGCCACCAGCAAATCGATGTGGCGAGATAGATGGAGGCAACAGCGTAGAGCTTGTCTGCGGTTTGACCAACCTCTCCAGTCAACAGAGTGATCTGGTAGGAGTTGGCCGCAATGATTTGTCCAAAGCCCATGAAAAAGGCATATACGGGCCAATCTCCAATGCGCAACTGCATCCATTTCCTCAACCCAGTGGGCGGCTTGTAGTCTTTTCCTAGCAAAAACTCCTCGGCTAGATTGTTCGGGTCGGGTTGAGAGTCAGTGTCGGTGTTGGCCCCATAGACAGAAGGGGCGGCTGAAGTTGGGCGAGACTCGCGGTTGGTGTGGAAGCTTGAGCGACCCGAGGGAGCAATGTGCCTCCCAAGTTTGACATTGCGGAAGGTGTCAAACCATTGCTTCTCTGATTTGATCAAGAATTCTTCGATACACGTTGCAGACTCCGAGTTGCTGCCCTTGAGATCTTCGAGTTTCTTTTCGAAAGCTTTGGCAAACTCGCCGTTGCTATCTGTGAAGAATGGATCAACCTTCTGCAGCTGGAAGTCGGTCTTTTCTCCAACTATGGTATTCATGGAGAGTAGCGAGTTGGTACTTGAGACGCGGTTGCTGTCTGTGAAAGTGGGTGGTGGAATAAGAAGCCCTGATTCCGGCCTAGGCGTCCCTTGCTCAGGCGAATGAGCATGGTGGCTGAGAATGTTCGGTAGGGGGCTGAGTTCCAGTCCCACCGTCCTGCTTGACCGGCGGGTGTTGTTCGATTGTGCGGAGTAAGGAGAATCTTCATTCACAGCCAGCCGCTGATACCGCGCGGGGGTCTGAACAGGCATCGTCATACCTTCCCCATCATCATCCTCGAAATCGCTATCCATGTCTTCGTCGTCCTCGTCCATATTCTCATTGGGGTTTTGAACGCCTGCTATTCCCAGCCCAGTGTCGTCACCTTCAACATCAGGCACCGGTGGAAGGATTGCAGGCGCGTGCGGGTCTTCTTCGTCGTGTTCATCCTGAGTGTTAACATGGCCAGGACCTCTGCGTGATCCTAGGGAGGCTGAACGAGACAGGCCAGATGCCGTCCGCGAATGGCTAGAGGTGGGTGGCTCTGAGGGGATATCCTGGCTCTGTTCTCGACTGTGACCTAGGTTCTTGAGACGAGTGGTGAGGGAATGCAAGGCTGCATAGCTCGTCAACCGCGAATGACCAAATGTGGGCGTGTGGAAACCAGCTGGTGTGACTGCACCCGATCCGCCAGGAGTGTTCCAGACAGATGATCCCAAAAGATCTCCTGCGGCGCTATGACGCCTTGTAGCTTCGACCTTGTTGTGGATGCGAATAGCCGTACTCTGCAGAATTTCGAGGTCTTCAACCCATTGTGCAACTGGAAACCTCTGTTTGGCCGATCGAGCCCTCATCAGGGCCCGAATCTCCGTCTTCGAGCTTAGGGCCTCGTGGATGGCTTGTTTGAACTGATGAAGCAGATGCGCTGTTGTTGTAGACTCGACAGTGTACCACCAACCCGGCATTTGACCCAGCCCTCCGACTCTGGCACCCACTCCCAAGGCACCTTTACGACCGAATTCGACAGCGACAAGCCCAAAGGGTTCGTCTCTCGACGGGATCAGCGCAAATTCGGCCCCGGAGAAGATGAATGGAGGAAGAGCTGTGAAGACTGGCTTGGAAAAGACTCTACCAGGATAGAGCTTCATCATCCGATCCAATTTGAGTGCCGCGAATTTACCGTACAGATCGATGACAGGTCCAATGGTGATGAGCTGTACGTTGGGATTGGACTCCAAAATTGACGGAAACACGTCTGCAATCAGGTCGACACCTTTTTGCATCGACCAGCGCCCGACAAAAACGAACAGCTCGGCGTTTGGATTTTGCTCCAAACCAGCCCATTCCTGGGCTTGACGTTTCAATTCAGGGCGCGCGGCCTCAAATTCTGGGTCAATATGGATATCGGCTTCGTTGGGAAGCTTTTTGTCCCATTCGCCAGTATCAGACGGGTCGGGATTGGGCAGCTTGCCGACCTTCTTCAGTCCCCAGAAGATGGGGTAGCGGGCATAAGACCGCTTACCATATTTCTTGGAAACACCTACTGCTCCAAACCCTTGCTGATGGACTCTCAAATACGAGGCTCCGGCGTGGAGAAGGTTGAACACTTCGCCAAACTGGACGTACCGCTGTACAAGCTCAGGAGACAGGTTGAAGACGGAGCAGACCTCGTCCCGTTCCCGCTTTGTACGCATCGGCCACAGTCCCTGAAATTCGGCATTGTGTAGGGACAAGCAAGCAGGGATGGTCCTTGGGAGGAGGTACAGTGGAGCGACCGATCCATGATAGTCGTTGATGTGATACAGGTCCACGGGGAAGCGATTGAGGGCTTGGGCAATGCATTGGTTCCACGCCGAATAGTAAATAGCCGAAGACAGGTCATCCATTCGGGGTGGATAAGGCTCGGCCTTGGTTTGCTGCCTGAAGACAGGTGCGTCGAGCAGCACGTACGTGATGTTGCGCAGGATGTGGTACTGGACTTGGACTTCATACGGCTTGCCCAGGACTGTTACTGTCATTGGATCCGCTTTCTCATCTTCCGGATAGTCGACGCCTCCAACACAGGGCACAACCCAGATCAGATCTTGGTGGCCAAGGTTCTTACCCATCAGCTGTGCCATGACACCGAGACCCCCGATCTTGATCTTGATACCCCAATCTTCGATATCGTACTCCATTGTTGCAATCAGAACCGTGCGTCTTTTCTGCTGGTCGATGACGGTGTCCGACGGCTGCAGAAATTTTGGTTTACGGGTGAATTTCGTCAGGATCCCCGGGGATGCTTCCTCGTCGACTAGCTTTTTGAACTGTCTCCTGAAAACCGTTGGGATCAGCCCAGCCTTCTCTGATATGCCAATCTCGTTGAACTTGATTTGGTAGAAAGATTGCATAAATGACCACACGCCAAAGGCTGCTGTGATGATTGGAACGACCCAGAGGAGCACGTATAGGATAAGTTGGGTCCACATATTACCGGACGGCAACAGCTTGAAATGCAGACTGCTATCATCTAAGACAACTCTCCATCCGAGATGTGGCTTTGGAGGTGGCTGAGTAATGTTCAGGACGACAGCGGCGAGCGATGATGGAGGAAGACGATCGAGGACCGAGTCTCCATCGGCATCTCCCATCACAATTGTCTGATCCGGTTTGCCATCTGGGTTGAGACCCCAGACGTTGATTTGAGCAAGCGCACCCTTCAGGCTCCATTCAGTCATGAAGTGACGAGCCCAAGTTGAATTGCCTTCGAGCTTCATTTCGTTGTCGAGACCAGCGTCGTATCCATACTGGTTGTACGGCCCATTCAAGAAAAGATGAGGAAATCTCCGGGGAGTGCTGAAGCCGACGTCGCCCTGTTGGATGTGGTCGCTGCTGCCGGCCAGACGGCTGAAGTACTCCACACGGACGTGCGTACCTTTCCAGGACTGAAGTTTGGTTCCAGTCCAAGCCTGCTCCTTAATCTGGGTCTTTCCGCCCACGTAAGGCATCCAGTCTGAGAAAGACGATCCCCAGTTCGTAGAGTATCGCCATTTGTCTGCCCCTGCCGCAGCATGGGAAATGACGAGGGAACCGTTCTCACTCTTACTGACAAGACTGGACGAGTAATTCGCGGCTCTTGTGAACACGATCGGATTGTCTCTCTGCCCAATGCGGAACAGGAAACGGTCAACAGCGTCGGTAGGTTCTCCTGCCTGAGATGATACATTGCGGACAGAAATTGCATGAATGCCATTGGCTACGTTGTTGAGCGTGGCAGACCAGGACCATGTCGATGCAATCGCGCCGACATACGGAGGAGCTTGAGGGTCCGCGAGATTAGTGCATTGCACACTGCTTTGGTCGATGGTGGGAGTCGTTCCCAGTTCGGTAGTGGAATTGAAGACAATGCCATTCGAGACGCTTTCGCAGTTCATTTCCACCGAGAACTGAAGCTCGATCTTAACGGTTTCGGTGCCATTCGCGTTGACCTTGGACTCGATGCGCGCGTCGTGGCCAGGGACAAACTTAGTGATCATCGGTTTCGGACCTACCCATTGATCCAACGGAACATAGGCTCTAAAGTCATAAGCAGCCATGTGCAGGCTACTGAGACAGCCATTCGGATTTGTTGATCCGTTGATTCCCAAGCGATGGACGCTGTCAGTAAGAGTTTGCTCATCGTAAGGATAGAACAGGTTCTTGACGGTCGTGCCGGCGTCGTACGGAGCGATTAAACTGGTAGTATTCAGATCCGTATCATTGTTGTTGCAATCGAATGTGTACGTGGTGGATGCATTCGCATTCGAGTAGAGCAGCCAGACGGGAAGATTTCCTGCGCCCGTATCACCGAGATCTTGTATGCCAGGAAATGCGGAGCGCATCACCGACCACATTCCGGTTTCGGTTGTCACATTACCGGAACCAGGGTATTGGATCTGTTGGGTCTGGTTGGACAGTTGCTGCAAGAAAAAACCATCCTGCAGGACTGGAAATTGTTCTCGTAGTAGATTCATATGATGAATGATATTGCGTACAGGGTGTGACGGGTCTCTGTGGTCGTAGCTAACAGTATCGTCCTGACAGCCATGACGCGATGCATTCAGCGGCATCTTGAAGAATTGTGTCGAATCGAGACTATAGCAGCCATGGGTTTGCCAGGCAGTTGCTGAAGACATTGCTTGTCGACCAAAGATATAGTTGGACGCGGTGTTATCCAGTATGTAGAATGCCTGCTCCTCGCCCCATAGCAGGAGTGGAGCGCCGGGCATATGGATCGTGGTTATAAAATGGCCCAACAGCTGGCGATGGATACCATTGGTGATGGCTGGCCATCGGAAGACATCTTGATTCGTAACTCCGTACATGTGCCTGGGGTCGACCTTCCCAGTATTAGGATTCACGAAGTCATTCGTGAGCAAAAAGGTATTCCACATGTCCACGAAGTTACGGGGAGCATCATAACCAGCCTCCAGGTTACCGTCCATGCCCAAGAAGCGTGTCAGCGTGCGATAGACTGTGTAATGGAAGGCAGCAGCGTCGAGGGCACCGTGTTCGGGGTCTCTGAGAAAATATTTGTCTGCAGAGTTGTTGGTCATTGTGGCTGCCATCGTCAAATTTTCGGGAATCATGTCAGGCTGTCTCCCACGACCCAAGAAGATCGACCCGAAGACGTTTCCGCCAGTAATCTCACCGGGAGTAAAGAAGTTGTCTTTGCCGAATCGTCGGGCGCATCGGCGCATGGCGTCGTTCATGGAACCCATCGCATCAACTGTAGACTGTGTGGCCTTATCATATCGATAACCATCGATGTCAAGCTGCGCAATCATCATACAGTAGAAGTTCTCGAGCTTCTGGCGGACAGGCTCGTGCCATTCTCGCAGACGATCTTGGACGGAAGCGAATTTTGACAGTTCACGACGCCAGTCGGGGAAGACGCCGAAGGCCTCTGTGTCGCCATACTGGTCAAAGTCGCTGTCATAGCAGCCGACCATTTGGCTCGTCACATCTTCGCCAACTGGATACCCCGTCTCCAGCCAGAATTTTGGATATTGGCATGTCTTGTTGTAGTTATTTCCGAAGCGGAAGTCATGATACTGGCGATCTGACTTCCACTGCACTTGATGCTCCGCAAGCGTAAAAGGTGTAGTGGTATTGAGGTAACCGTCGAATCCGATGAGATCCCCTAGCGTAGCGAATGTGTTGTCCAGGATGACGTACATACCACGGGCGTGGATCTCTTGTATAGCAGCTCGCCACATGTCAATGGTACCAAAATGTTGGTCCAGGACGGAGAGGTCGAGCGGCGAGTATTGATCATAACCCCATGGAGTATTGATGAAGGGAGATCCGGCGATATACAATCCCTGTACTGGTTAGCCCCGATACTATGACTGGGGAAACAGCGGTCACACCTTGACACCCATTCCATGGAGGTAGTCCAGCGTGTCAACAAGGCCCTGAAGATCGCCTCCATGGCGCATCTGGTTGGAATTCGGGTCGTGTTCATATGCTGTTCCATTGATATTATCGTTGCTAGGGTCGCCATTGACGAATCTGTCGAGAAAGAGGGTATAGAACGGGAACCGCCAGTTCGACGGCGAAGGGTGGTACTGATGGTCTGTCCATTCCCCCCAGTAGTCTAGCGGATTCTCTGCTGTTTGGTTCTGGTTGAGATTATACTGAAGGAAAGCTGGATCATATCTGAGTGCCCTGCAACTCGACAAAAAGAGAAAAGTGGTCCAAGCGAGAGTATTAAGAAACATGTCGTAGAGAGGGAAACAAACGAAGGACTAAGGTACGACAACGGTAACCGTGAAAGCGAGCGTGGCAACCGTAATAGTAGCGAGTGACTGGGGGACGTTCAAGTCATGGGAGGAATAGCAAGAGGGTATAAAGACAAGGCGTGTCAAGGGAGGACGAGGGAGAAGAATCGAGAATGGGCCCAACGCAGGTCAGCCTACCACAAAGCATGTGCTCCATGTTCAATAGGAGAGACCGATATGGAAATGATGAGAACGAGCTCAGCCTCCGTCGCGAAAGACTGTGACTGCAAAGGTTTGGTCGGAGAATACCTAGATCGACCAACGTAGTCCTCGTCACACAATCCAGCAGGTGGGGAGACATATGAGACATGGTAAGCATTGCCGTGGAAGTTTTGCTTCCAGCCATGCACGAGCCTCATGCACCGTGGCAAACCCTGCATGGGCTCTGTGACGGAAGGAACCTGAGGGATCCAGGAACAGGTTGCGATGACCCACGGTGAGGATCCCACATACCAAGTGGTCTCGCAGGGATTCAGACTTACGAAAGATCCAAGTGTAGTCCATGCCAAACCAGCTGACGGTTAAGTATCCCCTGGCATGGCCATAAAAAGAATATGGCTGTCAGGCGACAACCTTGTGCGAGTCCCAGGTCACGGTACTATGAGACAGGCAGACAACGATGACAACTGAAAAGGGCAGTGTGGCCATGCCCTTTCGTGGTTGAGCGATAACTGCCAAAATCCAGGGCGTGGACGGCAAAAGTGATCCATAAGGCTGGAGACAGAGGGGTAGAAGGCAGGATACCCTTGCAGTTTTTCGACAGGGAATAATTGTTGGCGAGCCGACACAAAAGCGGGCATCGCCCAGGTTATACTGCTCTTTTCTGGATGGGAGGCTGTGGTCCAATCGTGCCTACGCGGTAAAAGCTGGCGAGCATTTTTGACGTTGCATAAGACATGTATCGAGCCAGGGCCTCCCCTGTACCATCCCGTTGGGCCTTCGTCATATCATCGGCAAAGGCGGACATATACAAGTCGGTAGAGTGAACAACGGGATTATGTTCACTATGCGTGTGTCATCATTGTACCCACCAGGAAAATATTACTTTCCATGTTGGAAAGAGGGAATAGTGATTTGATCGAGCTTACCACAGAACAACCCCAGGGCTGGAATATAAGCAATTCGCGAACTTAGCGAGGGCAATGGCCTTTGCTGCTGGTTTGATGTCAATGCTGGTCGTGTGAGGCTGCATGTGATGCAGGCAGTGCACCCCAGGACGCGCCCAGGAAGACAACCGGCTACCGCTCGTACTCGTAGCTGTTGCATGTGCTCATGTCTGCCTGCGCACCGGGGCAGGGTTCAGGGCAGCACAGACACGGCGCCGAGAGGGCCTAGTAGAATGTTGGGCATGGGCATTGCATATAGTCGGGAGCTGAACAGCGGCTGTTGAAGGGGGAAAATTTGGGAAAACTGGAAAACTGGGACGATGGAGCAAGTTGGTTGGAGGTTGAAAGTAACTGTGGCCTTCAGCGACCCGCTCGTCACGTTGTCCCGCTCGGGAATAGCGGCCGAGCGGGTCTCCTGTTTTTCCCTCTCGCCTTCTCGTTTTTCCGTGCTTGGCATTTGGCCGCGCTGCGCCACTCGCTCGGCTTCCTCTGCTTCCTCGTATCATCCCATTCATTCCAGCCAATCTGCAACCCTTGTCCTCCGGGCACATCTCGCTTCCATTTACACAGTTGGGCCACTTGTGCGCCATGATCACCTCATAACATTCACCCCTGGCCACATCAACGCCACCTACACAGCATCTACAAGTACGACTAATTCAGCGTCTCGGTCTCGGCTGTCTTCTGAGATAGCCGGGTGAAACCTGCGTATCGACAAGTACTTGTACACGGTACGAGTACTTCAACACCGCGCATCAACAGACCGCCTCGTCGCGTTTATCATACAAGAGGGGCTCATGATCCGCTGCAAGGAGGCTCTTCAACACAGGGCCCAGCGGCAGATACACGTGGCCCCGCTGATCGTCAGCTTGTTCGACCGCTTTCAGCCACCCGTTCGCAGCTCTCCCGCTACCCGTGCACGAGCGAAATTGTGCGAGGCTGTAGCTTGTTATACCCGATTACTCACCCTTGGATCACGTCGTTCCACCTGGACGAGGCTTAGTGGTGAGTCGTATATGCTCAACCGCTTTTGGGTCTGTCAGGACAAGAATAGCTCCTCGTGGGCGGCTTCCCCTGCATGAACTTCTATCCCAGTGGATATGTTTCGGGTAAATTGTGGGTTACCCTTGCGCATGGTCAAACCACACAACATCATGGAGCCGGCCGTCTCTGCCACATCTCAGCCTTTAAACATTGCTTGTGACGTATCATCCCATGGTGTTGCATTTGCAACCTGCAGAATTTTGCGCTTCCCACATCCCAGGAGGCCAGAATCGACGGCAATGACTGATAATAGATAACAAGTAGATGGCATTACCTCGGATGGCCTCTCAAGATCCTGGCCAGACCCTCTCCCAGCGGGCTGTCTCCTCGGATTCGATGACCAATCCCACTGGATATCTGTCTCCCAGGCAAACAAACTTTCGCAAGAAAGAAGATGGCTAACATGGTTGAAATTTTCAGAGGGCTACTCATTGCCGCCAGTTTGCAGCTACGAGCATGTCCCTCCCGAAAATTCTGCCATGCAACACGCCCGTGTTCTCATTCTCCCGCTGCTGTACGAGCTAACGAGACGGTAGCAATTCTCAGATGTGCGCAGCGAAACAAAAATAAAAGGGATGAATTGGTGAGAGGAGAAAGGAGGCGCACAGCTTATGACGAAGAGGCGGTTTCATATATCTTCCTGAAGTGGACGCTGGTGTGCGCGTCTGTCAATGAGAACCAGCTGAACTGGACCCAGCGAGACAGGTGGATGGGCAGCGAGCATGAACTGGTTGCACAACGGCCCACCACAAGAGCATCGTCCATCCATGCCAGTGTCAGACCCAGACTGCAATGCTTGCAGCCTTCACTTCTATCAGCAAGTCGATCCTTCCGGAACTAGTCCTTAGATGTTGTCATCCTTCTTTTGATCCTCTATACATCAACGCACCCCTTACAACTCCCTAGTTAGGTCAATGAGCCGCCACGGTGCGTGGGTGTGGTGGTCGCCACCATTCCCCGGCTCATCCTCTCTCAGCGCGGCGAAGATTAGTCTGCAGATAAGCATGGGCGCAACGGCGATCCGCTCAAGGCTCGACTCCAGCCTGGGATGATATCTGACGAGACACGGTCATTTTCCTGCAGGAACAGCTTTGTCGAAGGAACTGGCTCGCTGGGTGGAATCATCCCTGGGATGAATCAATCGGTAAATTTCCTGGCGGCAATTGTAAATGCGAGTTGCCCTCTCGTACTTGGATTCGCTATGACGCGTCCCGCGGGTCGGCACGCCAATGTCACTCGATGAGCATTTTCCCGGCTCGCCAGCTCTCGCTCGACCTTACCGCGATAGGCAGTAGTTCATCTGCCCCCACACTTCACACTGCACAACCACATTGTCCTTCTCTCTACCAGCCTACGTACTGGAGGAGAGGGGATGCCCATTGTTGAGGATGCGGGTGCATTGCTCGGGCCTCATGTCGAGGCCCCTGAGTCGCCCAGTTCTTTCCTCCCCGCGAGCATGCTGCCATAAGTTGTCCCGCCGATTGCCGAATCCCGCCAGACGTTCGTTGCAGAGCGATAGCAGCAGAGAAAAGGCTCCGGACTTTGCGTTCGCTTTTGAGTACGGTTAGACAAGCGCCAGCTTTGGCTCTCATTCTGACCGTTCCTTTGATAGCATCGATGGCGTCCTCGTTCGGAGCTCCAAGCCGATCCCCCACGCCTCGTCGACGCTCAGATTCCTCCAGCACAATCGGATCCCTTTCATGCTCCTCACCAATGGCGGCGGCAAGCACGAATCAGAACGAGTCGAAGACCTCTCCTCGACTCTTTCCGTGCCCCTCGACACGTCCAACTTCATCCAGTCGCACACGCCCTTTGCCGAGCTGATACATGGAGAAGACAGCCTGCGGCACAAATGCATCATGGTGGTCGGAGGCGAGTACGGACGATGCAGGGACGTGGCTGAGAGGTACGGCTTTACAAACGTCGTCACACCTGGTGATATATACATGGCGCACCCGGAGATATGGCCGTTCAGCAAGCCCTTTCAGCGCGACTACTATGCCTCGTTTGCTCGTCCGCTGCCCAAGCCCATCACCCCGACATCCCCCGAGGAGAGTCTCAAGATCGAAGCTGTGTTCGTCTACAACGACCCGCGTGACTGGGGGTTGGACATGCAGGTCATTCTCGACGTGATGCTGTCGCGCGAGGGCATCATGGGGACATTTTCGTCCAAGAACGGCGACCTCGCCCTGCCGAACAGCGGCTTTCTCCAGGACGGACAACCGACACTGTACTTCTCGAACCCGGACCTGCTCTGGGCGGCCGACTACCACCTGTCGCGCCTAGGCCAGGGGGGCTTCCGGGAAGCCCTCGAGGGCCTGTGGCGCGCCGTCACGTACAACAAGAACCACCACAAGGCCCCGAAGCTGTACAAGCGCGTCATCGGCAAGCCCTACAGGACGACGTACTCGTACGCGGAGAAGCAGCTGATGCGATACCGCGACTCCCTGTTCGGGAAGCATCACGCGACCAAGTTGAAAAGAGTCTACATGGTCGGGGACAACCCGGAGAGCGACATTCGAGGCGCCAATACCTACGAGTCGGCCCACGGCATCAACTGGGTCAGCCTGCTGACGAGGACGGGCGTGTATAAAGACCAGGACGGTCGACGGCCCACGTGGGAGCCCGCGGCGATAGTGGATGATGTTAGAGGCGCCGTGCAGTGGGCGTTGAAGGACAGTAACTGGCACCAGTCCTTGGAATAGACGAAAAGAAGCATAGACTACTCCGGTCTTTTGGGAGGGCGGTTATATCTCATACTTTTGGACAGGAGACAGACCCATTTTTACACACGTCTTACACCGAAAAGACGCCCTTAGCCCTCTCGAGGAGGCAACTGCATAGAACCTAGACGAAATCAAACGTATCACCTCCCTGATCATTGATCAATCTGCCCATCCTCTCTGTCCCCACAATCCTCTCCAGTTTCAACACATCCCACTTTGAAAACAGTGCTCTAATGGCACCTTTCGCACCGCCCTTGCCAGCAGCAGCGTGGCGCTCTCCGCCCTTGTCCGCGCCGAGCCCCAAGAGCGCAATGATCTCGGTCCAGAAGATGGGGTTCTCGGGGACGCCGTACCACAAAATCTTCCGCACGCCCTTGATCCTATACCGGAAATGATGATGCGCTCTCTCCGAATACAGGAGCACTGCGTGGCGGCCGGAGAGGAAGTGCGAGCGCGCGCGCATCACCTCCTTCACGGGCGTGTATTCCGAGACACTGCCAAAGGAGAGCGACGTCGCGTCGGAGGACGTCGAGAGGTGGTTGCGCAGACGGGCGAAGTCGGCGTAGGTGGGGATGAAGAGCAGGATGCCCCGTTGATGGCGGGCGTCGCGGACCAGCGGCGCCAGGATCGTGGTGGTGAAGAATTTGAAGCGGGCGTCGGAGTCGGTCAAGGGGTTCGGCGAGGGAACGCGCAGGAATGTTTGAGGGACACTCGAGGTGAAAGGGAGGGCGAGGGAGGATACTGAGAGCATCGCCCCCGGGTATTTCGGGACAAGCTTCACTCGCCCAGCGACATTGTGCAGATGGGTCGAGGCCAAGGCGTTGATTTCGGGGGTCAGATAGTCGGAGAATATAATGGTTTGGCGCAGATATTTGGCCTGCCCGTCGAGATACCAGTGGCGGACGCGAGAGAAGTCACAGCCATGGGAATCCTTGGGGAGAAGGTTCAGTTGGGAGAAGACATAGTCCACGTGTTGCCAGTTCTGCATCTGCAAGGCGTTTGTGTGGTCCATAATGACAAGTTCAATAGAAGAGAGGAAATCTGCGTCGTGAGATTTCTTCTTGTCCTTGCCGCCGCCAGTGGTAATTGTGCGCATCAACCCAAGGGGCGACCCGATGATGATGTCCGAGTTGTAGAAGCCGGAGAAATACTTGATAGTTTTTCTGGTGAATTTCAACCCGATCCGAAAGTCTTCGTCGTGGTTGCCGCCAAAAAGTGCCCGAAAGTCTTCGGGCTTGTCTTGCCATTCATCCTCATCGTCATGAGAGAAGGTTTCCAGAAACCGGGCTTTGTTTTCTTGCTGATCAGGTTCGCTGATTTTGACTATGCTGTCGACGAACCGCACACACGCCTGCTTCGTGGGTACCATGATGAGGACTTTGGGTCGAGTGAATCCCTGATCACGGAAGTCGAGTGCCTCATCACTGGATGTCGAGCTCAACTTCGCATTGTTTTTGAGGACCCGATCCCTGGTCTTGAAGATGTGGTTAAGGGCGTGCAAGCAAGATAGGTCGCGCAAACGGGTTGAATTAGGGATGCTGCGGCAGCCATTTATGATATCAATATAGTTGAACACGAGTGCAGCGTGGGTTTTCTCCCCCGAGGTCAAACTAGAGACAAGTTTGTTCCCAGCATCGACCAACCTGCGCTTGAGATAGGCATCTTTTGTCGATCTCAGCTCGCTGACTTCGGCTGGATTCTCTTTGGTGAAGAGAACCGTGCTGCGAACGCCCGAATCCGATGTAGAGGAGGAAGTGTTCCATTGCTTCTGGTCCGCCTGGTGGATTGCTGCTTTTAAATCTTGCTCCAAGATTGTCGTATAATGCTTCTCGAACGGATCTCGCATGAGGATGCCCTCATCTTCTGAGTCAACATCTGCCTCATGACCTTCTGCGTGCTCTTCATCCGTTTCCACCTCCTCTAGAAGTTCCACAGGTTGCTCGTTCGCGTCCGCCTCAGGGATTTGCTCTTGAGACAGCTCTCCATTTGTCACAGTCATCCCTGGTGCGCTGTCATTGTTCTCTTTGGTGCGCAGGAGCTTTCTTTTCTTCCTCGCAGGTTCAGGGTTCTCTTTTCCCGAGATGAGCGATTGCAACAATAGGGCGTAGGAGTTTGACGTTGGAGCTTCATCTTCGCTCGCAGTTTGGAATTGTGATTCGTCTTTGTCGGAGACGTTTTCGTCGGCGGCAACTAAATCGTCTTCCTCACTTTTGGCGTCATCTTGCAAAGCATCATCTCTACCAGCATTAGCGAACCACGACTCCAACAAATGTGCTGTGCTATGCCACTCACTCCGTCTCTTTTAATCGCGAACTCTGAAAAACGTCCTGCTTCTCAGCCACGTGGCCTCTTTTACCTGCGCGGCCTTTCGAAGAAGGCTTGCCTCCCCTACGAGGTCGGTAGCCAGGCATTGTTGGCTTTCCGAAATTTGGAAAATGTGCAATCGATGCGGGGAAAAAAATCACGTCGAAACTTTTGAGACGCATAAGTCTCAAATCGGCAACTCTTCACCGCCGCTTTACTGGGAACGCGAAGTCTGACACGTGATTTCGCTGTTAGTTTCAACACCTCCATCGACGCCACGATTCTTGGAGCCATAAAGACAATGTCCTCCATAAGAGCACGCTATAGAGCTATAATTTGCATCAGTCATATCCGTGTCTCCATGTGTAATCCCGCTTGGTGGACTACCAATGTTAGCACGCACACTACTGTCCCAACTCGAGACGCAAGACCACTCGAAAACTTGCTCAACGTCCAACTGCTCTCTTATGCTGACTAGATCAGCTGAACCCAACACAATCTGTACAGTTTTGACAACCCCTGAATCAACAGAGCAGGCAACCCTTACCTTCTTGTGCGTCTTGCTGTGACTTTACCTCGCCACCCTCAAGAGATGACTTGGTCGAACATCCTGTATTGATTGGAAGACTTGCCTTGCGATCTAAACTTGGCATTATGAAGACCATGGGCGCACTCAACGTGTTTGAAAACAATGTAAACAAGCTCAGCTGCCAATCTTGGCCGTGAGTAAGCTGACAACGGCGCCCTTTGATCACCGTATTCGGCTCTTCTTTGTAAGGGAGTGCCTTGTGGGGATGAATAAGGCTCCGCGGAAAAGGTTGTGAAGATTCAAGATGGACTCTTATATATAGTCAGCGATGCAAACCGGGATATACGGTGTCTTCTTTGTTGAACACCATGCTTGAGAGGAACTATCTTCTGAGCCACCCAACCTAGGCAACGGAAATCCGGTAGCCATGGCACCGCAAACTTCGCAGGAACTCGTCAGCCTCGTCCGAGACCTTTCAGGCGCAATAGCAGGTGTGGACTCCAAAAGAGGGTTGTCTGTAACGCAGCGCGAGCACATTCTCCGGCTCAATCGAGCGATCCAGAACAAAGTGCAGCCTCCCGAGGACCACATCATCGCCACGGCCTTCACCATCAACCTCAACATCTGCATCCGCGCGTGTATCGAACTCGGCGTGTTCGAACTCCTCGATTCCGCAGCCCCTAACTGGCTATCTGCCCCTGACATCGCAAGGGCCTTGAATGCAGAGGAACTACTGATAACCCGCTTCATGCGCGGCGTCTGCGCGCTCAACTTTGCCACCGAAGTCGGGCCTGGCCGGTTCCTCGCCAACGACGTCACCCACGCACTGGTCCAGCCGCCTCTGGCAGCGGGCTTCAGCCTGATGTTCGACAACGCCGCGCGGCCGAAGAGCAACCTGTGGTCGCACATGGAACGCTTTCGGCAGCACGGGTACAAGAGCCCCTTCGACGCCAAGGACGGACCCTACCAGCACGCCAACGACTGCGTGGGGATGACGACGTTTGAGCACTGGATGACGGACCCGGCGGAGAGCGCTCGGTTCAACACCTTCATGAAAGGGGTGAGGGGGAGTCGGCCGAATTGGTATACGTGGTTCGATGTTCAGATGCTCCTCGGAGGTGGAGGTGCGAGCGGTTGCGACGCGGAAGACGAGGTGTTCATGGTCGACGTCGCAGGCGGGTACGGACATGATCTGGACGCGTTCCTGCAGCGTCACGGCGACCAAGTCCAGGGCCGGGTCATCCTCCAGGACCTTCCGGGCGTCGTTGACGCCATCGAGCCAGGCTCCATCTCCAACCGGATCGAGATCCAGCGCCATGACTTCTTCACGGCCCAGCCCGTCCGCGGCGCCAGGGTATACTTTATGCACATGATCATGCACGACTGGCCTGATGACGACTGCGTCCGGATCCTGACGCACTTGAGGGACGCCATGAGGAGGGACCATTCGCAGATCCTCATCAACGACATGATTCTCCCCGACACGCAGTGTCCGCTTATGTGAGTATGACGACAAGCTATTTCTATGGGCCCAGTAGCAGCTGGCAGGACAATTGGCTGACCTTTTTTTTTTTTCTTTTCAACAATTCAGTGCAACGGGAATGGACATCACCATGATGGCGCACCATTGCGGGGTGGAGAGAAATGAAGACATGTGGAGGAGCCTGATCGCCAAAGTGGACGGGCTGGAACTGATCAAGATCTGGCACCCGCCGGAGGGGGAGGGGATCCTTCAGGTCAGCAGGAAATAACGATTTCCGTCCCTGGGCTTTCCTCCAACAACTGGTAGGAAAAGGAGGTTCGTCGATGTCGCCTGAAGGAGAGCAAGGAGGCCTGGGGGATGGAAACGTTAACATCACCTAGACCATTGCGTCTGGTTTGTGGGTGGTGGGTGATTCATGGCACGCCTCTTGAGGTAAGGAAATGCTGATCAGGATCCCCTGTGTTGCCGCCTGATCTTTATACGCACACCTACGACTGATGATACAGCAATGTCTTACTAGATATCAGGAAGTTAAGCGAGAAGTTCGTCACAGAGTGGGGGGCCCAACCTCCCCGACGGTTCCGGATATCGAGGCGTGCCATGATAGTCCCAGGCGTCCTTACAAGTACATACCTACAAACCTACAAAGGTCGCAAAAAGAGTCTTGTCGATCCTTGCTTGTATCCCGGCCCCTCTCCTCGTAGCGCGGACGGACGCCGCCGAGACCCCTGCGTATCATGATTGGTCCGACCGGAAAGGGGACCCATAAGTATACCTCCCCCGTTTATCGAATCCTTCCCGTGTTCCTAGTTGACACCTATACTGTATCGAGCTATATACGGGGCAAAGCGCGGCGGGACCACAGTGGGCAAGCATTTCCGAACGGATGATCCAAAAGACCATTGGAACTCGCTATTGCTAGCAACATTATCCTACTGACGATCTCAACGGTGGGGGGCAAAACAAAAGGTGATGGTCGAGGGCATATATCTATATGTACCTACGCCCTAAGGACCTGGGTTTATGTGTCGGGTAGGAGATATCGCAGCCCGGAACCGAGCGAATGGACCACTAATTAACCGAGTGTGTGACCGGGACAGCCATTGGGGCAAGTGATGAACATGCGGGAGAGGAAACAAGAGTATGTGAGTATGTAGGTGAAGCTTTGTTGATTCGAGAAACGCTATGAACTGGGTCTTTCGGCATTCTTCCCCCTATCAAACCATCGTCCACGCTGTCACCCTTGGGTGGGAAAAACGAATCTCAATCTGCCTGCCGTTTTGGTATTCTTATCATCACCTTCATGATCTTCGCGCTGGTCGCCATCATCAACGTCACCTGTCCTGGTGTGTACACACAGCTCTCTCATGCGCTTCGGCATCAGCTTAGTTGGTTCTAGCCCTCGCTCACTGTCCCCTTCCCTCTGTTGTATGTGTGTGTGAGCGTGTTTCTGGGTCCTGTCTGCCCTTTTGTAACTGCAAGCTCGCACAATGTTCCCCCTCTGCTTTTGGTCTTGTCGCTCGAATCCTTCGCCGGATCCGCATCATCGCAGTTTCTCTTTTAACCTAGTCGCCTGACCTGGAAACCAATGACCACTTTCCCGTATCCAAGCCGAGTGGGTAGATTCGACTTCTGAAAAACCAATGACAATCTCCGAGGAGAGTCGTGGACATGTCGGCTTGATAATGGGTGGCTGAATCGAAGCATCGACTGAGCGAAAGCCGAATCAAACCTCAGCCCCATCGGTCTTGCTGGTCTTCTCGGCGAGAGTCTCATCCTCCATCTGGTTGCCGCCGTCGTTCTTCGCACCGGACTTCTTGGCTGGGGCGACCTGACTGTCCTCCTCGGCGTCTTCTTCGGCCTTGACCAATGACTCGCTCTTCATTTTCTTCTTGACCCCAACCCGTTTGGAACCCATTGGTGCTGAAGCCGCCGACTCGTCAGGGTCTGCTGTGGAAAGCTTGCGCTTGCGGCTGGTACTGGTGGTGGCGGCGGCATACTTGGCGCGCTTGGGTGGTTTGGACTCGCCGTCTCCATTCGCAGTAGGGCAAGGCTTCGCCGCGGTGACTCCGGTGCCGACGTCCTTGAGGATGGTGATTGCACCATTCTCGAACCTGAGGCCGTGTTGCTCGAGGATCGACTTGAAGCGAGCACTCCTACGAATTGCGACATTCGCGGGTAAGAATCGATCTTGGTGCGCTGAAGAGCTTGGAGAGACAAAAGGGAGGGCGGAGGGAGGTAAAGGAGCAAACCACATACGCATTCCTCGCATAAGCGATACCATTCTCCTTGGCCACTTCATTCCAGTCCGCCTTGACCTGCTCGCAGTGTTTGAGGACGCTCAAGACGAATCTGAAAGCAGTGTCCCCCACGCCGCTTGCTGCCGCTCCAACTCGCGGAGCCATCTCGACTTGTTATGGGAAAGGGGGTAAGTGGTAAAGAGAATTCGAGGGAAGGAACTTGATTGCACACGAGCGGTGCTGACAGGGCGGTGAGAAAGATGAGCAAATGAGAAAGGCAAGTGATTCTTTGCACGATTTTTTTCTGTCGTCTGTCTAGAGTGAAGGGAGAAAACACAAAAACAAAGGCTCGAAGAAGAAATGAGGGAGGTTATCTGAATTGAGACTGAAAGCAGTGAATGAAAATAAGACGCAGAGCTGAATGGGAACAGAGGGAGCTGAGAGCAAAGAATTCTTTCTGTCGCTCGCGCACGTGTTTGATATGCTTCACTCTGGGGTCCAATAGTTCTGGTCCGTGACCTTTGCCGAATCAAACCTGTACTCGCCCGTCTGCCGGCCCTTGAGGTCTTGGAAACCCTTCTCGGTCTGCAGCAGATACAGTTTCGGATCCTGGGTCATGTTCAGGTAGAAGGGTACGTCCAAACTGTTCAAGTCACCCTCGACCCATTCAACCCCGGCGGTCGAGATGCCCTCCCACTCTCGCTCGATCTTGTCCTTCATAGCCAGCGGCAGCTTGGTGGTCATGGGACACTGGTACCACTGCGCAAAGTAGTCTATGGCCAGCATGATGCGGTGCTTGTCGCTCTTGTTGGGCATGCCGGCGTGCCAGAGCCGCAGGTCGCGGAAGCAGATGCTGCCTTTGCGCACCTTGGGCTGTACGGGAGGCTTGACCTTGGCTCGCTCCTGGATGTACTCTTTCTTGATCCATCCGCGCTCGGGAAATGCCTGCTGTTCTTTCTGTGGGTAGGCGTTGTGTGTGCCGCACCAGACCTCTGTCACGCCGTTCCTCTCATCCGAGTCCTGCAGGTAGATGTTCATGACGAGCCCGAACGGGATCACGGGCCAGTCATGGCTGACGTCGCTGTGCACAGCTTGACGCCCCGTGCCGCCCGGACAGGCCACGTTGCTGTTGATGAAGCGAAGCTCAGGTTTGGGTCCGAGCAGATTTTCCACCACGTGGATCATGTGAGAGTTCGCATAGAATTCGCGGTCCAGGTAGTCGGGTTCAAGGGGTGGGATTTGGCTGACATTCCCCGTGGCAGCGCCCTGGTTCCAGTGCATGTGCTTCTTCCGGAGGAACTCGACATTGTCTTTCACCATGCGGTTGTACAGCCGGTCGACCAGCTCGTCGGGGATGGCGTTTTCCAGCACCACGAAGCCGTCTCGGTGGAAGTACTTGAGACATTCTTGCAGTGTCTCCGGGCGCGTCTTTCCCGAATGAAGCTCCTCGTCGGTCAGTCGAATGACGACGGGATTGTCGCCGTGCTTCTCCACGTCGGTGATCAAGGCGCCGTCAACGTATTTCGGCGTCGTCGATGCCGGCGGATCGATTATCGCTGAAGGTGCCATGATGGTCTTTAGCCACTCGACGATGCAATCTCGGAGCCTGACAGAATAGAGACGGAAGCGTTACGATGGCCACGACAGCTATTCTCTCTTCGCCTCTCTCTTCTGGAATTCAATGCCCGAGGTTAAAGAGTGACAATTCCTCAATCATCGTCGTACAGGTCGGACTTCCTCTCGCTGTCGGATTCCCCCACTCGGACGGTCGAAGCGGGACGATCAGAACACCTGTTTCCCGCAGGAATTGACATGGTTGACGGCCGTGCTTCTCGGGTCGCAAGCTGCAGCAAGGTCCAGTTGGGTATTAACAAACGGTTGATAATATCCATTTAGGCTAATGGGGCGCTACCTCTTCAGTTACGGTGACATGAGCCACTCCACTGTGTTCCCCCCCTCCTTTCCCAGCTCTCCGCAAAGTTCCCCATATCAGCTCGCATATCGAGCACCGTCGACCAGAGATTCCCCGCCCAACCATCGAAGAACAGGTCGCGGTTATAGCCTATGTCAGGTGGTCTGCTGTCTCATTGGCTGGTAGCCGAATAGCACGCCTTACTCAGGAGAGTAAATGGCACGGCTTGGAAAGATCGGAGTGTGGCCGGGCTGGATGATCGACCGTGGTTGTTACTGCTTTACCATAGATCGTCCGAGAGCCAGAGAGATAATTGGCACTCTAAGGCCACTTGGAACAATTAGCTGTTAGCTTTTCCATGGGCAATGGCAAAGTACAAACTCGCCTTGTGACCTCTTCATCATGCGTGCTTGCGTCTGCCTCGGGGCAAGGCGATGGAATTGTCCTGCAATGCAACAACATCCCGACACATCCCCCGTCACCTGGAGCATTGCTGTTTCCAGAACCCAGAAACTGCTACCCGAGGATGTTCAGTAGATTCGGAGAAACATCCATGATACTGTTCGTGGGATCCACGTGTACCCATTGTTTCCCCGGACTGTGCCCCGGATGCTTCCCCTAGACGTCTCCTCAGTGGGATCGCTTGTCAGAAGAGATTCAAAAGCATGGACATAGACGGTGAACTTCGTTGGTGTCCACATAACTCTCCCTCTCCTGGCTTCTCGTCGCAATCTCTGCAATCATGATTAATCTCTTTTCCAAAGTCCCCAAATCCCAAACCTTGGTCGTTGGAGGCCAGGAGTATCCGGAGGTGAAATGGTGGAAGCACAGATCTCTGATCCACTTGCACTTCCTCTGCGCCATTTTGCTGCTGTCGTCGGCCACGAACGGCTATGATGGGTCGATGAGTAGGTCGTCTCCGAATTTCCGACAAAACAAGGCGGACTGACCACGAGACAGTGAACGGTCTGCAAACTCTGAGCTATTGGCAGAACACTTTTCACCGACCTTCCGCTTCCACACTCGGACTCCTGAATGCCATCTTCTCGGTTGGACAAGTTGTTGGCCTACCTCTGGTACCTTTTTTCGCGGACCACATTGGCCGCAAGTGGACCATCTTGCTTGGAAGCTCCCTGATCTTCCTCGGCGTGATTTTGCAGACCGTTTCCATCAACATTGGCATGTTCATTGCTGCCCGTTTCATCATCGGACTCGGGATTGTGTACACCCAAAGTTGCTCTCCGATGCTAATCACCGAACTATCTCACCCTCAATATCGTGCGAGGCTGACGACAATTTACAACACGCTGTGGTATCTGGGCTCCATCATCGCTAGTTGGACCACGTACGGTACTCTCAAGATGCAGAGCCAGTGGTCGTGGAAGCTGCCTAGCATATTGCAGGCATTCCCGTCGGTAATCCAACTCTTCTTAATCTGGCTCGTCCCCGAGAGTCCCAGGTACCACATCGTCAAAGGCCGTCACGAAACAGCAAAGAAGATATTTCAGCGATTCCACGGCCCTGCTTCCGGTCAGGAGTTCGTCGAGAGTGAATATCGGGAAGTGTTGGAAACCATGGCGCTGGAAAAGGAATTTGCCAGCCGCGGCATCTCGGAGCTTTGGGCGACTAAAGGTAATCGACACCGCTTGCTTATTGTCGTCACGGCCGGCGTCTTTAGCCAAACCGCCGGGTCGGGGATCGTCTCATATTACATCTTCCTCGTCTTGTCGCAGATTGGTATCACGGACTCCAACTCCCAGCTGATCTTGAACGGCTGTTTGACCATTTTCAACATGTGTATCGCCACGGGGATGGCCTTTGCAGTTGACAAACTCGGCCGTCGTCCTCTTTACTTGACGGCAACCTTCGGGATGTGCATTGCCATGACAGGCTGGACAATTGCCAGTCAACAGCAACAGGCCCATGGAACCACGGCCGCGGGTCGCGCGGTGATTGCACTCATCTTCGTCTTCATGTTTTTCTACAACCTTGCCTGGTCAGGCCTGCTGATCGGGTACGTCGTGGAGATCTCGCCTTTTTATCTCCGGTCGCGATATCTTACCGTCATGCTGCTCAGCGTGGCGGCAGGGCTATTCTTCTCCAACTATGTGAACCCCGTGGCGCTCGAGAACATCCAGTGGAAGTACTATCTGTGTTACATCATCTGGTTGGCGATCCAGTCCGTGGTCGTGTACTTCTTCTACATCGAGACAAAAGGTCACAGCCTGGAGACGATAGCAGTCTGTTTTGACGGGGAAGACGCGAAGATCGGTGGCCAGGCGGCAACGGCCAAGGGACGGGAACTGCTCGGGAAGTTGGAGGACAAAGACAGCAAGGCTGTTGAGACGCACATCGAGCGAGTGCAATCGATGGAGTAGACTGCGCAGAGAGGGACGTACTGATTGGAAAGGGAACAGCGCACGGGCGAGGAGGACGAGATGGAGGTCAAAGGATCAGATGGAGTGGCCGCAAGAAATGCAGCGAGTTTAGAGTTTACGCATCGGGTTCAGCGCCTGGGCATCGTACACTCTTCCAACTATCTAAAGCAGCAGGACGATCATTCTGAATGAGGAAGGCATCACAAATCTCCACATCAATAAGCTGGCACGGCTGGATTGCCTTCAGGTTGACTCCTTTGCGGGCCATCTGTCGCTACCTGGACTGTATTTGATCTGACGGATGCTTTGAGTATCATCCCCCAAGTTCAAGCTCTCTTGATTCCGCCGTCTGATGGAGCAAAGAGACCCCTCAGCCCCGAACAGTTCATTTCCAGTCGTCCTGCAAGATGTGAATCCTCGCTTTAGAATCGGAGAAGCTGCACAGTCCCTTTTGGACTACCTGTGCCCGCCTTCAGGGTACTCGACTATTGCTCTTCGTCCTCCACTTCGGCCTTGACATCATGCTTTTGTTCCTCGCCGTCGTCCTCGGCGTCCACCTCCTCGACCTTTAGCTGCATGGCTTTCTTCTTCGGAGCCGCCTTGGTCTTCTTGGCCGGTGAGCCTTCGTCGCTGTTGTCTTCGTCCTTGGCTTTGCGCTTTCGAGGCGCGGCAACTTTGGCAGTTGGCGCTGGAGCTGCTTGACGGCCTTTACCACTCGTGCCTGCAAGACCCCATTTCTTCATAATACCCCAGTGCCGGTGATAGCTGTGATGAATGGTGAACATGGGTCAGCGTCCGTGGAGAGATGAGGTATGTGTTGATCACCGAGCAACGCAGCATAGAACTACCGTGGATGATGCACTTCCGGGAACTCAAACGAAAGGTTGCGAGTGGAACTTACCATGCGTTGCCACTCTTTGCTCCTGTCTCCTTCGCGACTTCTTCAAAGTTGATCTTGGGCTTCACCTCGGCATGTTTAAGGCATGTCATGATGAATGTGAAGTCTTCGGTGCTTCCGTTGGCAGGGGCCATTGTTGCTGACATTGATCAGTTGCTGCCGGCTGAGAAGTGCTGTGCAGATAGCATTGCAGCCGAGACTAACCTGCAGAATTGTTGGGAGAGATGTGGATGAATGCTTGAGATATCGATCCTGAATGGCGTAACGACCTGGCTGGTAAGATTCGACGAACCGGGTGTGGAATTGGAGAATGACGAGGTGTAGAGAAAAGAAAAAGATCCTTGGATGGATGAAGGGAAGGATTAAATAAGTTGTGGCACCCTAGGACAAGATACCTCTATGCGCCTGGGATGATGACCTACACGAGAAGTGAGACCAGAAGAGCTCATGAACTTTTCACTTCTAAAGTCAAGTTCTAGGGGAATCACACCCAAATAACAGAGAAACACTAAAGGAAAGGTGAGGTCGGATCAGTTCATTCCGTTTTCCTCTCGAAAGTCGAGAGCGGAAATGCTATCTCAGCGCCTTTTTTTTTTGTTCAGCGATGCTGTCACTAGCTACATGCTCTGTGGTGCTCAGAAGAAGAGTCGTTCACCAATCATCCCACTTCTCTGCTGCAAATGTCATGCTTTGCCCTGTGTTCACCGTCGTACGCCAATACCCAAGTTCTCTTCAATGCCAATCCATGATCACCAACTTGAGTAACCGAGAAGCCAAGAAACCCTCAGTGCATGTAAATGATGGCCCGAAGTCTTGATGTCTTGTTAGTTGTCATCCTGAGGTGGAACGGTGTCGGTCTTGGAAATCGCAGCAGCGGCTTTGACCATTTTCGACGTGGACACATCCTTCTTCACTGCATACTTGGCTGCCTCGTGGTCGCCTGGCGTCGCTTCATCATCACCCAAACTGCCTTCATCAGGAGTGGCGGGATTGACCTTCTTGACACCTTTGCCCTTGGACTTCTTTGCGAGCGTGGTAGCAACATCGGCGTCATTGTCGATCTCAGCACCTTCGGCGAGCTTAGCGGCGTTGGTCTTGGTAGCTTTGCCGCGGGCCTTCTTCTTGGGAGGTTCGTTGTCGGTCTCGTCGGTCTCGGAAGATGTAATTTCATCCTTGGTCTTGGGAGTGATTCTCGCCAAACTCTTATTCGGAGCGCCTTTCTTGGCAGTGGCCTTGCGCTTACCACCTGTAGCAGCAGCAGCTTGGGGCTCAGCCTTGTCGTCTTTGGTGGTCCACGCCGCACCATCCTCTTCGAGCTGCTTCATGATAGCACGGAACTTGTTGCTGCCGAGCAAATGTATTAGTATACTAGGTTGACGGTTGCACGAAGATGGCGAGGCAGTATAGAGAGAGGAAATGGACAAGCCATCATAGAATCTTCAAGGCCAAACCAGAGGAGAGTAGAGAACTTACGCAGCGCCACCCTTGCTCATCTTGAGTTCATTCGCAAGAGCTTCGAAGTCGACAGTGACCTTCTCCTTGGCATACTTGATGCAAGCGGCCAGGAAGGCTTCGTTACCCGCAATTGGACTCATTGCGACTGGACGGTTGACTTCGAGTTGTTGAGGTTTGAGAGTTCAGGAATGTGGAAAACGCCTAGATGCAGGATAGAGGGATGGTCAGTAAGCTTGTTCGAAGGATTTGAGAAGAGCAAGCGGCCATACCGATGGTTTGAAGATGTTTTGATGAGTTGTGTGAGAGGTATCGGTGATGGGAAAGTTGGATGGCGGTGAGGTGTAGACAAGGTGGAAGAGAAATCCTAGGCAGGTTTGAAGATGGAAAGTGAATGGACTGTCCGCGAATTTTCGCCTAGTGGCTCGACAATTCACATAGCAAGCAATGTCCACGATGCAACAAGCCATCTGTGGACAAAGGTTCGGCATCACCCTGACCCCTCGACAATGCGCGGGCAGCAAACCACCTTGCATTGACTCCCACAAGAAAACGAGGCATAGAGACGACCTGGAACTGCATCTCCCCCCTCTTTGATGGCTCGAACGATCAGAACACGGCTTGTCCAAGGCTTGCGAGATCTTCAGCTGCTCTTTTGTACGATACGATGACGTGCTGTGCCAACAAGGAGCCCTCCGCGCCTTGTTGCACCTCCCGCTCCTTGTTCCTTTTGCAGCAGACGACAGAAAGGAGAGCTGTGCCCCAGTTCTTGCCTGTGACCATTGTTGACAACATCAGCAAAACATCTTCCAGTAGTTCTGCTCTCCGCCATCTTCATCCTCAGAGTATACCTCTTAGAGAGGATTAAGGCAAGCCAGACCGTCACTCATACTGCCTACCTCAAGAGCAACGCAGACGTTCTCACCAAGGAAAATGGCATTCTTGCGCTTCAAGCGTCCTTGGGTATCAAAGGGCAAGCACTCCAATTCATGTCATTCTCTCTCACGACATTCTGTCGTCAAAAAGCTGACCTGTTGCGGCACCAACTATAGTCTCTGGGAAGAGCTCCTCGCCATCTGAGCACGTCCGTCAAGATGGTTTGCTGATCCCTCAATGCCACAGAGAACACGCCCAGGCCATACAATCATACCCGCCTGGAAAGATAAGATGGAGGGAGTGGTTGACACGAGGACATTGCCGGGAAAATTCCGGACCACGAGCAAAGAGAAGCATCATAGCCCAAGCTTGGAGGCGAGAACTGCATTGCTGGTGAAGTCATTATGGATGCCTCGAGGAGGAGAGCAACCTCCAATACCTCGATGCCCCCTGGCTCCGGTCATCTGTCCCAAACACGCGCAACAGAGCCCAGATACTTTCGTGGACGACCTATCGTGGTTTGGACATCTGCGAAGCCCTCATTGGGTTCCATGTTGGCGCTTCCTTCTAAGAGCAGGGCGGTGATGCATCCTGTTGACCAGAGAAGATTGAGTCGCCAACCCCCTTGACAGTATCCGAAATGAGAGATTTTGACACCCTGGTCGCAGGCAGTGGCGATTTTGCATAGCTCGAGAACTCAGCTCTGCACGAAGCACAAACCTCCTGGCATCGTGCAGCCTGCCAAACTTTACGCCGGTGGTACACTCCTTGTCTTCTTACCGTGGTTGACCCGACGCAGATATTCACCGAACTGGGCGATGGTCTCTGTTACCTAAGAGGATGGTAATTTTTAGGGTTGCCGGGTTCTCGAACATCCCAACCCAATGCAAGGGATGCCTTCCGGATGCAAGGGGTCTGAGCTGCAGCAGCGTCAACAGCGCTATGCTGTGCGTCGTTCCTTTCACCCAATGCGGCACCCGAGATGCGACTTGGACACGACCGGCAAAGTCCACGCGAGCTTCTGCGCAAAAAACTCAGGCCAGATCCGAGAAAAAGGCCGGATGACGCGACGAGATTCTTCCTCGTGGCCAGCAAGGTTTCCCAAGAGCGATCCCTGCGCCAATGCACGACTTTAGCTTCACTGAAACTCGGGGCCACGAGGCATGGACAGGACGGACGAAACCAATTCTCGACAAAGGGTGGTGTGAGAACAACCTTTTGGAGGGGGTGGTCAGAGCTTGAAGCTTGGGAGCTCGCTTGTTTCGTAGCGAGCTGAAGGGACGGCAGTTGAGATGCTGACTCGCTGACTCGCTGACTCGGCGGGCCTGGCCTCGCCGCCATCGCAGCTAAGACTTCAGAGTTGTCTTCTTCCACGTGGCTCATCGGACACGCCGGGAATGTGGCGGGCGCACTAGCATCAGAACTATCGGAAACCCACGTGGACTCGATGTCAGCCCCAAACGTCGCTTAGGCTCAGGAGACTCCACGCCCTCCTGTCGCTGCCAATTGACTGGTATAGGGTGGGTGATGGATGACTTGCTGCCGGCTTGGGGGGGCTGGAGCCACATTCTCGGTAGCTCTGCTCCGAAATCATGTTGACCGAATGCGACACCCAAACGCACTCAATGGGAACACGGCCACGAAGAAAAGGGTTGGAACCAGCTGCCAGCTGCAGAAAAGGGCGGAAGCGGTCTAGACTTTCTCGCTTGCCTTGTCCCACTGCTCTGACGTTGTTCCCATCTCGATTGGCGAGCCGCTCGATTCTGGCATGCAGCTAGAACATGTTGTGGCGCCTTCAGATGCTGTCAAATCTTGTGTGACCCAAGGATCCGGCACACTGGAACGTGTCGGAAAGCATCTTGTCAGAAGCCTGGGCTCGGCCGGGATCGACTTTTGGGCGACGACCTAGGGGGCTGAACACGAACCCCTTGTGTCGTCGGCGCCCTGGACGAGGTGCGAAATGGAGGTGGGAGGGTAATACCAGTATTATCAATCATCCAATGTTGTACAGGTGTATCACTGCCGCCGAGTGACGGTGCCCATGTGTGCTCGCTCGTATAATGTACATACGCATAGTCTTCACCATCTATGCTTCTGCTCCCAGAGAAACCCTCCAACAAATGTCTTCTGTGCTACCCCTGCAACCGGGCTGCCATTGAGTCCTCCTTTAGTGGTGTCATCATCAAAAGATGTGCGTGAGACAGAGGGTATGGTTATAACCTATCCGTTACTCTGGACGATGGATGCGCGAAGCTAACAAAAAAAATGCTGTCTCTGTGAACAGATATGGTTTTTGCGTTCCCAACTGCTAATTCCTGATCCCAACCATGCTGACATGCTTCGTCCCTCAAGCATGTTCGTGCTGATCTTTTCCCGCGTTCCCTGAAACCCATCGCTTGAACGCAGAAGACTTTAAAAACACACATGAGATGCCGGAGAAATAGAAAAGACGAGAAAACGGACGGGCTGGCGCTGTGGCTGTTGCAGTTGCCGTTCCTGAAGCAAATCAGAGACACTGAGAGTTCCTTGCGACCATGGCTGTTTAGGAGGTCGAGTAATGCTGCCAACCAACTTTGGCTTTTAGAACTTGCAAATTATGTCGCAGGTTCTGCCTCTCGAAAAATTTGCTGTGCATTCCCGAGAAAGGCGCAGGAAGGGCTGAGCCGTGCGCCGCGATTTGCTCCAGTGTCGTCTCTTCTCGAGTTGAAGTGCGGATCATAAAAAATCCCCCTGATAACGTAGCATTCAGTAGCTGTTTCGCGTAAGGGATCCTCTCGCTGCTGCAGGTTCACCTCCATGACACCCCTTTTCGTGCCGTTTCATGTTGCTTCGGACGCTGAAATATTTCCCACACCCGTCGTACTTGCACCTATAAGGTTTTTCTCCCGTATGTGAATAAGTGTGAATCTTCAGCGAGCTCGGCCTGGAGAAGGGTTTGTGGCATGTCGGGCATATGTAGCGCTCGTGGCTGTGAGGGTATGCGTTGTGGACAGCGGGGTAGTATTGAGGAAGCTGCCACGCTGGCGCCACTGTAGGGTCGACTGTTTGCAGACCAATACCTGGAATGGGGCCAGGGAAATCTGTTGGGAGAGGCCGTTGTTGAGAAAGGCCGTTGTAGGCTGGAACTTCTGCTGCACGAGGCTCGATTGAAGGCGCTGCTTGAGGCCTTGGCGGTTGGTCTGGATGCACACTTTCAGCTGCGAGCCTTGGAAGGTGTGGAGGTGGCCATGAACTCCGGTCAGTTGATGAAGGATATGCAGTAGCTGGTTCAGTCACTGCGAGCCCAGCTGCCGGCCGTTGAGCATACAACTCTGGATTCGTGCTTTGATGATAAATGCCCCGGCTGGGACCTGAGCTGGGCGATGTGTTGGTGGGGGAGGGTCGGGGCAAGTCGAATCTCGACGGCGGCGGTAGTTCTGGTGTCGGTGGAGGAAGACTTCGGGGGCTTCCTGATAGTTTTGGTCTCTCTGGGCTTATTCCATGTCCATGCGAGCCCCCAGAAATCCTTCGAGAGGCACCGAATGTTGGAGAGGAAGCGTTGCCTGGCGACAATTAGAATCTGTCTGTCCAATTTCGTGAGATCAAACGATGGGAACACATACCTTTTTCAGACTGCTCCGTGACTGCTTCGATGAGACTGGAGATAGAGGGCAAGGAAGGCCTGAGCTTGTTGGCCTGTTCCATAGCCGCTGAAGCCAGCAGTACGGTTGGCGAGGGTAGAGGGTTCTGCAGAGGGTGGCACGAGTGGTAGGGTGGAAGCAATGCCAATGCCATAGCACAGGCAAGATATTGGCAAACGGGCCTGTGGCAGACTTATTGTGTTCGAAATCCCTACTCCGGCCTGTGAGGGAGTATGCGATGCCCACGAGCACTGTACTGCTGGTCGACGATGAGAACGATCCAAGACTACTCTTTCAGGTTCTCTCAAGGAAGAACAGGACGACTGGTGAAGAGCGAAGTCTGCGTAGGCTTTTCCTTACTCGGCTCGAGGGTCGAAGGGATGGTGTAATGGGGGTCGTCCACAGGAGATCGAGATAGGATTGGGATCTACACCTCCTCGCCTGTTTGGCACTGAGGGGGGGACTATGGTGAGAGTAGAGATGAACGTGTCTACTGGCGGGGGAGGGTTACAAGAGACGAAGGAAGGAAGATATTGGCTGGTGAAGGATCAGGAAAAGGTCGGTCGGTGGGATTCAGGGTGGTGACGTTGCAGTGGGAGCGAAGCAAACAACCCAGGGTTTTTCCAAGGACTGGATCGACTGTCCTCGAGCAAATCGACGAACGGCTCGCTTGTGTTGTGAAAGGGATGCTAAGGCAAGCGACAGAGTCTCGGAGAGGACGGGCGGTCCTTGGAGAGGGCCACAATTAACGATGGGCAGGGCGCTTCTGGAGCCGAGGGGTATGACAGGTGAAGATCGTCGAGAACAGGACGGGGGGGGGGAGATGGTTTGGATGTATTTTTCGTTTCGGTGGTTTCCAGAGAGTGATTGGGAGGGTCGGCTGGCCACGGGCGATGCCACTCCACTGGCCTAAGGCAGTGGCCTGAAGGGATATCTTGTCCAGTGTCCACCTAGCACCGGTGCCTGGTTTGGCAACCTGAAGGCGTGCGATGTGCGGGCTTGGGTGAAGATCAAAAGTGGGCGGGAAGTGAGTTTAAAGCCACAGTAGGCGTAGGAGTGGGATGGATGAGCGGCCACAGGCCTGGGGAGTGGGTAATCGGGGCTGTCAAGAGTCAAGACCAGGTCCCCATCATACCATGGCGACTGCTGACCGTTTCCGGACTCGGAGGGCGCATGGGAGCACGACGGCCGTCACCTGTATGGCTGTGGGTTGCTTGGCCTCCTCGTGTGGGTGGTGCGTGCGTGGTAAACTCCCGAAAAAGCCCAACCTGGCCCAAGAACGGCTGAGGTGGCGTCACTGGCGCACCTGGGGGAGACGGCTTGGTGAGCTAAGATGGAAAGAGGACGGTCCTGCGAGGCAAGGAGAGTGGTTAGTGAGAAAAGTCAACCCAGTCTCTGAGAAAGCCATACAGTAGTGTCGAGTGTGCTCGGCAGCAGCAGGGAAAACACGGGTTGGCTCGTGCTGGACGTGACGAGGCAGAAGAGGCAGGTGAAGGAGGGAAATGGTACCGCGTGAAATCGACTTCCACCAGCAACCGACTGGATGACTGCACGGGGGATGATCAGCGATGCCGGGGTTGGGAACACAAGTTGCTCCATACATGTAATACGCTGGCGCAAGCATTTATTTTGGGGGGGAGGGACTGACGAGGGAGCATTCGAGGCCAATTCGGAACGGCGCCGAAGGAATCACAAGGGGAGGGGGGAAAGAGTGGGAAGGGTGCAGGTGGCTTTCTTTAGCAGACTTCCCGAAAGATCCATCAAGACTCAAGAGAGGTTTTCAATCCACAATTACCAGTTTGTGCAGAGTAGGTATAGACACACAATGTCAAAGGTCCTGTACGAGGAGCTGTCATGGCAAGAGGTCCAATGGGTGGCAGGACCCAGGTCGCTTGGAACAAGCCAATGCAGCAAATGTATCTTTGTTTATTCCTTAAGCGAGGAGGGCCGCCCAACAGGAACCTGAGGCTGACGTTTAGGGTCATGTTGTGCTTTCCCTGAACGGCTCGAGGTTCGCGGCACAGAAGGAAAACCAACCTGGAACCAAAGCGCTCCCAGAGATCTCCCGGCTTCACACGCCCAGGCTGAGGCCCCTGGGGGTGGTGGTAGGGTGGGTGCCGAACCACGATCAGAATCGATCAGACGATCAAGCGGCAAACCATTAGCCTCGAGCTAGCGAGTGGAGGTGCTTCTTCCAGGGACCAGGGGGGGTGTCTGCCGGTGGTCAATGGCCAAGGACTTGGGCATGGGCATGGGCATGGGCTCTGGAGAGGGCCCCCCCCCAGAGGCCCAGAGGCCCAGACTAGCCTGAGGGAGGCTAAACGCTTGCACACAAGCCTGCCAAGGGGCCACGAAGCCTCTTTGGTCCTGTGTTACCTCGATGCGATTAGATAACGGTTGCCTCGTTCACCCTCCCATTAACCTTGTCTGGCCCTTGCCCAGTCCTCCCACCGTTCACAAGGTTGCGATGCGAGTCGAACTGTACCTACTCGTATTACACCAGCTTGCAAGGCTGCCCTGATCATGCGTGCCTAAGCCACCTTTTCCGACGCCCGCTCCTATCATGGGAAATGAGAAAGTGGCACTCTGAAACCGCGCAGCAAAGGGCATGGGACTTTGTCAACTGCTTTATCCCCGCCTCCGCGCAGCGAGTGTCCCTGGCAGACAAGCCAAAACCAATCATCATTTCCGATCCATTCCGTGGAAAGGGGGGATTTGCCCATCTACCTCGTGCAGCATCACGTACTTGGACTCCGTTCACCAGGTACATGCTCGATCCTCTCAAATAAAAGTACTGACTGAAAGGCAAATATTCCTTCTAGTACGAACCTTGCCACCGTACCTCTGCTCAGTATCTACCTTGTTCCCCCGCTTACGAGAGACACTAAGAATCCCCTTCACCTACCCTTGCTTGTAGAGATGAGGCAAAAGAAAAGACTAAAAGAGCTGGTCTTGTTGACATGAACCATCTGGAAACACACTGCATCAGGCCTCGAAGGATTCGCTTAAGGAGTCCTGATCACCCAGTCCAATGAGCTTCAATCGGAGATTATGCGCATAAAGACACCCTAGTGCCTCGCCTTGGACTGACTCGCTTACTGATGACCTGGTCATACGCTGCCAATGAAGAAACATTTTGTGTCCTTGCGCACACTAGGACCTTGCCCTGGTATCCCTGCGTCACGTTGGCAGTCGAAGAGATCTGCGCCATGACAGAAAAAGAGACTCAACCTCCAGCTGACCATCCCCCAGGATTGGTGCTCTGAATTGCCCCGAATGCGGCCTCTGTCGGCTATCGGCTGGGGGCTCTTGAGATGCGAACTAGAACGACAAAACAAGAGGGTACCAACCACGAGGACATAACGGGCGCACATCTTTTGTGAGCAGCACCATCTGTGATCTCTCCTGGTCACCCCCTTGTTCACTTTTTCCTTGGCGAATCAGTGGGCATAGGCACCCCTGTTGGTTCCGAAGCAGCGGCGTCATTCGGGATGTCATCCAATTAAACGTGCCAGTCATCGTGAGGATCCTGGTCGTCGCCAGCCACGCGGTGTCGATCGTGTTGCACATGGACCCATGGAGCCGTTTGATCATCACTGGTGACCAGTGATGGTAAAATACGTGAAATCTATTCCTTGACGAAAGAATAAACGTTCTGAAACCGAAGATTCGATATAATACCGAATTTACTTGGCCCCCAACGTACTAAAAAAGTACGCTATAATGCTAGCGCCTAGTAATTTATATGAGGAATGTGTTTCGTCTATAGCACTAAAATACACCTTAACTATCTCTATTTCTCTCATACAACGCGAGATTATCACGCTACAGGAATGCCACTTAACGCGTAAACTGTGCGCACTTGCACACCTGTAAATGCTTTACAACAGCATCGATTAAACAACGTCTACTGTCTCAAACTGCCTGTTCTCAACGATCTCTTGCCTTAG